AAAGATCAAAGGGATTTAGTGTCGAACTATAATGCAGAATTAAGAAGTAATGCTTGTATAAATTGAAATAATACAAAAGTCAAATTTCGGCGGGGGTGATGGGGAAACCACAAGGTTTGGGGTTCGAGTTAGTGTTTTGAAACCTAAACGGTATGGAACCATTCATGAGAAGTTGTAAATTTTCGCATGGAGGCGGCCTTTATCAATGAGTGCAATTATTCATGAAGATTGTACCTTGACTGAATGTGTCTTTTCACCAATTGGTGGAACCATTCGTATGGTTGTATCTTTAAACAATAGATGTTGCACTTTTTCGCCAAAATTGACCAACCCTCTATAAATCTTCAATATGGGTTTAGTGCAAAACACGGCGACGACTAGCAGCAAATCTTTTAGTCTCTGACTATTCTCTTAGATCAAAAGTTCGAGTATTTTGTTTGGATGGTTCCATAGTTGAGTTCGTAGTAACCCAATAGTGGGATTGAATTTTATCTTTTGAAAAAGTGTTCAAAACATGATCCCGTCAACTATCCAAGTTCTTATATTGATCTTCAACTTCGTAATCTGATATTCCCCAACACATGGTGCAAATGCATGGTAGGAATATGTGAATTTAATGGACTAGGTTTTGGGCATGATTGGCCATTCCCAATCACATTGCTTTGTTTAGTTTTCAATCTTGTTTATAAATTTTTTCTTTTAAAAAATATAACATCCAACACTTATTTTTCTTTATATTTTACTATTCTCAAAACACTAAAACGCTTATAAATTATAATATTATATTGGTTGATTGTGACATAAATTAAAGGTATTTTTAAAAGTATATATGTGAGTTAATGAAGTGAGAATTTTTTTTTGATAGATTATGTGTGTAAGTAGTTGTGGCATTTTTGTAAAAAAAATGTAATATTGAATGGTATATATTAAGGAGTGTATAAAAGTTATTTGTTATAGATGGAAAGTGCTTATTTTTTATGAACGAGCAAAAAGAAAAAACGAGCATAGATTTAGTGGACGGAAGGAATATATAACTGCGGAGTGCCTGAAACAAATACATATGCTAGTTTTTATTGCCTTACTGTACTGTATAAAGATTTAGTACATAGTGCATACAATCTACAGTGTTTATACTCTCTACCTTAGTGATTGCCAAGTAAAAAACAGTGATTCAAGTTTGCTTTTGTTGGGCTGTAGTTAGATACTCTATGGATTATTTGGCTTGCTTGAGACAAACTCATACTTGCTTCCTTTCCTATTTATGATAATTGAAGGTTTGCTGCTGAGATATTTCATAATCTACATGAAGAAGTGATTGTAACAGCTGCCAGAGGACATAATTTAATGATTCGAATTCAACAACTTGAGGCTGAGGTTCCTTCCATAGAGAGATCATTTCTCTCCCAGACAGATCACTCATCATGCTTTTATGATGCTGGTTAGCCACTACCCTTCTTGCAATCACATGGTTAAGTTGATTGGGAAAGTTTTCATTCTATAAGGAATCTAAGTCTTGTCTATGCTGCATCTTCTCCTTCAGCTATGACAGTGCTTCTTAGACGAAATAGTTATGTAGTTAAAATATTATTGTGCAGGTGTTGATTGGCATCCTAATCTACAAATAGATGTGAATCTAGTCACGCATGGAGATTTACCTCGTTTTATAATGGATTCCTATGAAGAATGCAGGGCCCCTCCTCGTCTATTCATGCTGGACAAGTATGGTTTGTTATTTAAATATAGGTTAATGTATATGTCTTGTGTAGAAATAATATGTCAGATAGTTTCTTTGGTTCAGGTTTGATGTTGCTGGGACTGGATCATGTCTAAAACGTTACTCAGATCCTTCATTTTTTAAAGAAGAAACAACAAACACTGCAACTGCAGATGTCCAGAGGGAAAAGAAGATTCTCAAATTGAAGGTACAGTTCTTGCATTTCTTTTAGAGAAAAACACCATGTATACAGAAACAAAGGAGTTCTTTTTATAGTATTTGTGTGGGTTTGATCATCAGGCTCTGTGTGCCCCAAGCAAGTATCATGCTTATAAATATAGCAGAAGATACAGCCACATTAAGATATTCTTTTTATCTCTTTTCCTCTAGCAAAACATGGGTACTGTCATGATTATAGCTATTTAATCTGCATCCACTCCAAATTATATGATTCGTGCATTAGTTGACAGATTTTAATATGGGCTTACAGAGAAAAGGCCACCATGGAAGAAACGGGGAAACCGCAGAAATTGCACAAACTTCACATGCCAAGTAAGGCGCATATATTATATTAATCTAGATAACTATTTGCCTTTTCATTTATGCTATAGATGGAGAATGATTGGCATTCTAACTTGTTAGAAATGTGTTAGATTAGGCCATTTATTTATGAACAGTTTTGACGTGTTTAGGATAGGCATATTTACTTGCATTAGTATGCGATTTGATTGATAATTGAAAATACACATTACACGTTTACATAACTCTTACAGACTCCATCAGCTTTTTCTGGAGGAGCGCACTGAAAATGGTGTGAACAGCTATTCAGGTCGTGTGAAATTAAAGAGAAGGCTGAACGGATTTCCATTTGACTCAAACATTGGAAAAAGCTACATGGAGAATATTCTTAAGTCTCCTTCCTCACATCAGAAAGTGCTTCATGAAGTTGATGTAAATTCACTGTCTTCCCTGATGCCAGCGAGTATTCATGAAAATGAATTTGGCCTTGAAGCGCTTGAAGTCAGACCAGTGAGCCCTGACAGAGGACATGTGGGAAGAGAAAGACGTATAATTCTATCTGCAGAAAGAAAAGATAATTTCCCTAGTCCTTCCTCTTATGAACCCAGTGAGGTTACGACAGATGATCAGACTGGCATGATACCGAATCATAATTTTGCAAAAGGTGGCACTTCGTCTACACTTGATAAGGTGACCACTGAAAAAGTTATAGCTGTGAATTCAGAAAACAACTCAGAAGGTTGCCTCACTGGTTTTGAATCCAATGCTATTGCCAGTGAGGTTGAAAATTTTGTGGATGCAACTTCAATAATGGAAACTGAAGTGGACACAGAAGACGAATCAGAAATGAAGAATGATTCAACTGCTCAACATACTCAGTCACTGATGTCTGATGCAAATGATGAACATAGTCCCACTTGGATGTTGGATTGTCAATCCAGTAGAGGCTCTATAATATCCGACGAGGGGAACAACTCCTCCAGTAAAGAAATTTATGGTTGCTCTTCATCCGAATCTGCAAGCACATCAGTAGAAAATCCACAATCAGAAAAATCTACCAACAGAAGACTGCCTGCAGATACCCCTGAAATTGAGACAGTTGCTTCATCTTCCCCCCTAAATTATTTTGATCAATGTTTCTCTGCGGATCAGCATTCCCAAACTGAGGTTTGTGATGATGCAAGTATTTCCACTGATGCAACCAATCGCTGTACTTCTGACTTTGAGCAGCTGACTAGGCTATGCAAAGATGACTCCTTACCTACGTCGATGCATTCTGAATTGAATGATTCTGTCACAGAAAATAAGTTAAAGCGACCTGAGTATGATGAAACATCCTCCACCTTTGACGATGATGAAAAGATGAAAATTTTAGAGATGGATCAGCCATGTTATTCAGTTGTTTCTGATTTTGAATTGCATTCCGGAGGCAATTCAGAAATTCCTTCTGCTGGACAATTTCTTGTGAATGAAGTGAAGGGTGAAATGGTTCTCTCCTCATCTTCTGTCCCTGAGGTTAGCTATCACATCACAGATAGTTCTGCTACATCTTTCAATATACACCTTGAGGATGAGACCTACCCGAGGGGTCAGAATCTGGTTGAGAACTCAACATCCTCATTAAATGTATTTAATGTTATTTACCAGAGCAGAAATGATACTCCACAAATGAAGCCTAGCACAAACCCTATTCCAGTTGAATCAGATGAAGTTCCAAAGTTTCTTGAAAACTTGTCCTCTGATTATCCTGACATTGCGTACAGCAAAGATGTTATTGAGTCAGTTGTTCCCCAAGAAGAAAATCCTAGCGAATTGAATAATGAGGACTTAAATGGTTCTATTGATGCTTCAAAGTGTTCTTCTGTTATGATGGGGGCTTCTTTTAGCCGGGAGCTCAATGAAACATTATCTGCAAATGATCAAACAGTAGATGCTGAAGAGAAGAACCGCTCTAATAGCTCAACTGATAATCTTTATAACTCAGAAAATTTGATGCTATTGCACTTGGTGAATTCTCCTGATCGGCCACAGGCAGACCTTGATGCTGATGAAGAGGCTGTTATTCCTGAACAAGACATAGTGGGAACTGGAACCTTTACACTTGGATCCCTGGCATCTTGTGAAGTTGTGCAGTTGCAGGCTACAGGAATGACAGATTTTGTTTTCGCCAATGATTCAGAAGCCCTGGGAAGATCATTTTATGCTACTAAAAATCTTGAGAAGCCTTCAGGAGCATCAGATAGCATAGAAATGGATGGAATAGCTCTTGTGACAAGTCCCACTGCTCAAGAAGTTACTGAAGTATCTGATTCCACTGTTGTGAAAACACCAACTTTGGCTGATATAATGTTGGAAGAGCCTGATTCAAAGGGGGAAATTTTAAATATAGATATGGGGGATACTAAATTTACTGTTTCTGATAATACAATACTAGATAATACCCTTATTAATGTGAATTTTAAGGAAGAGGTTTGTTGCTCGGAGGAATCTAGACTGGATGAACTTGAGAGTGATAGGAACTGTGTTTCAGGAAGTCTTGGGAAATCAGGCACCGTGGAGGAAGTTGGTCCAGCAGACGATGGCATCACAGATTCTGAAGCATTCTTGTGCAACAGATTGTATTCTGATCATCCAAAACTAGAAAAATCAGATATTGTTCCTAGTTCACTTCATTATTTGGAAGCTGAAAACGAATTGAAATATGCTGAAGCTGACACAATTCAGCCACTTTTGGAGCAAAGTGTCTTGGGCACAAAGCATGAATTTTTCCGTCAATGTTGTAGTCTTGGGAATGAAGTCCCTGATGCTATGTTCTTACCCCTCAGTTATGGCACTGAAGAATTCACAACCCAGGAAAGAATTGGACCATCCATTGAACTGGATCAAGAGTCATCAGATCCTGGTCACGTCAGTTCAGCGTTATCATCTTTGTGGCCCATGAGTCACCAGAAAATGCTAGCTCATGATAATAGTGAAGGTAACAACAGTTCTGCTATCACGTTTCATGTTGATCATTCAAATCTACCTTCAGTTTCAGAGCTTCAAAGGCAAAGTAACTATGACGATGGTGTCTCTGGCTACACGAAGGATCCATTGGGTTCTATTTCCCCTCAAAATAATCCTTTTTCTAAACCAATTCAGATGAACCTGGTAGAATTACCTCCATTGCCACCCCTTCCTCCAGTTCAATGGAGAATGGGAATGTTTCTGCAGAACTCAACTTCTACAAGGGGAGAGGTGATGCAATGTCAGGAAATACCACCTCAATCAATTTTCCAGCCCCTTCCGCAGACGGCTCCTTCCACCAAGGATGTTAGTTTTTCTTCTGCCACGTTGACACCAACCACTGATTATGTTAATCTGTCACCTGAAGAGATGACACAGTGTCCATTTCAAACTACTCCCAAGCTTGAATTGAAAGAAAAAGAAGCAAAAAATAGTTGCTCTACCCTGGAATTTAAAAATATGAGTGAGACTATAGATGTTGTACCAAAAATGGAAGGCAAGCAACAGCCAGTGACAGAATCATGTCTTGAAGAGGCAACACATTTTCCAAATCAAAGTGCTCCCAAACATGTATCAATTAAAGAAGAAGAGGCAAACAGTAGTTTCTCTGTGATAGATGCTGTATCAAATATAGAAGACAAGAAGCAACAGTCTTTGGTAATGACAGTGAATAGGGAATTTACAGCACCACAAGAGGATGGGCATTCACATGGGGGTCGTATGGTGAAACTGCCTCGTTCTCGCAATCCTCTGGTCGAAGATATTGTTGCTCTTGATAGGAGCAAAGTAGGTGTTATTGTGGTTTATTATCTCTTACTGCAAGTCCCGTTGTTTAATACTATATATTATACTGTGAAGTAGTCTGTGTAATTCTGATCAGTTGAAATCATTCTGCAGCTGAGGAAAGTTACAGAGAGTGAGAGGCCGTGGGTGCAGAAGGGTAATGAAAGAGATGCTTTCTTAGAGCAAATAAGGGACAAGGTATGGATCGATCAAGTTTATATTGCTGTTGGTCTGGTCTGGTCGGGTCTGTATGAATGTAACTCCTCCTCGATATCATGCATGCATGTTGGGTTGGTCAGTCTTTCAAGCTGAAGCCTGCTGCAATGGCATCAAGAGCCAGCAGCAGCATTCAACAACGTAAAACCAATCTTAGAGTTGCTGCGATTTTGGAAAAAGCAAATGCAATGCGACAGGTTCCTTTCTTTTCCTTGTCACAGCTAGCTCTCATGCATGCTGCCCTGGCCTGCTATTGTTGTCAACATTATTTATTTAGTTATTTATCAATGGGACACCGCCCGGGAATATTAATAATTTCATTTACAGGCCATAGCTGACAGCAGCGATGATGATGATGATGATGATGCTTGTTGGGAGTGATTGATTATTGACAAGGAAGCTATTGATGGGCAATTGGATGGGCACTGTACGTAGAAACTCCTGCGCTGCGTGGGCAGGCAAGGCAACAACGGATCTACCTTACCTTGCCTTACCTATTAATTTGTCTACAACTAGAAGATGATTTTCTTGGCATGGCCTGGGACAGACGGACGGAATGCCAGTTCAGGTATTGCTTTAATTCCAGTTGAGGTCATCAATATTATATTATATTATATTAATATTAGATGAAGCAAATGTTGCACGCGTGATATACTTACTACCTAGCTACGAGCGTGTAAATCTCAGTATATATATATATATATATATATTATTGTTGGTTAGTTGCTACTGTACATTCGTGTTCGTCTTTCCGTCTCCAACCGACCTTTGGAAGTTTTGTGACGATCAACGGCACATGTAAGACTCACACACCGATCGTCTATCTGACGCACATCCGGCCTTATGCAGGGGCTGTCAGATTTTGATTTTGCCACTATTTTATCTCATTGCTCTCTCTATTCTGTTTTATTTTGAAATTTTATTTGTTCGCATTTGTTAAACTTGACTTATTTATTTTTTTAATTTGAAGATTTACTTATTGCTTTGATATGTGACAACATAATTAACTTTTATTGATTTGATACTATTTGTTTTTGGAAAAACTTCTCATCAAATACATAATTTTTTTTCATAGAATATCAAATTAAATAATAATTTTTTTGCAAATTTTCAAAATTTTTCAAAAACTTTAGTTAAAACGCAACCATAATCTTTGTGATATTTGGGAGCTTTCAAGCTTGTGGTTATATTATAGATAATCCTATGACTACTCCACGTGATATTAGAATAGTAAGACATCAAATTCTTAGGCATTGTTCAAGAAATTTGGGATAATTTAAAATTGTGATTTTAGACTATTTATTGTGTACATTACTATCAGCTTCTTATTCATTGATTGAATTGAAACACAAATATGATAATTGAATGACGTTTTTTCCTACCATTCAATTTCTCTAAAATCGGGTTGAATCAATAAGGCCGTTGTTCCCGTTCGCTACTCCAGCTCGTTGAGGAGATTCCTGTATAACAAGCGGTCTCTTTATCCTCAAATTCAAACATGTGGGCCGCTCAACTGTTCGAGCCGCAATGCTTGGTATAGATTCGAATCGAATCAGGAGGCCATTGAACCTAATCATTCAACTTCTTCTAATGAAGCTCCATGATCCCTTTTGTGTCTTGTTACTTCATCGTCCATTTCCTTTGACAGGATATTATATTTAATTTGAAGAGATCTCAAATTAACTGTATTTTAATATTAATACAAATACATAATTACTTTTAATGTAATATGAAATGATATTTTTGAGTAGAAGAAGAATACATTCAATTAGAAATGCTTCAAAATAAAATTTTATATAATATAAAATATAAAGTAAATTATTTTAGTATGCAAGAAACCCAAAAAAATCCAATTCTTCTTTATTTATATATATATATTGACTGACAATGACGCGGAGGGTTTACTGGTCTCAAATGTCGGTGCCCTAAGAATATATAGAAGATTGAATGTGGTCTACGGAGCTCAAAACAAAACGTAAGAAACCCTAATATTTAGTTGGTGTTTTGATCGATGATCGACGGATCGAGCGATGACATACATTATACTCCTAATAAATTCAGATTCTCGACCAACGCATGCATACGGTCTCCGACAAGTATAGAGTAATGAGCATCATTACATCTGAAAATTACGATTGATCGATCGAGTATGGATGTGGCCGCCGCCGCCGCCGCCTCCTCTTCCTCTTCCTCTGAGTCTGTACTGATGATTAGGTTATATGTGGGGCACCTGCTAGCCAGATGGGGCGCCAGGATGTGGGAATTCTCCGTTGCCTTGTACCTCATCCATATTTCCCCGCACTCGTCGTCTTTGCTTCTTGCTGCCGCTTATGGCGTCGTTGAATCAGCCTCCACTGCGCTGTTCGCTCCCTTCATTGGGCACCTCCTCAATAAGTTTTCCTACATTCAGGTTTAATCTAATTAATTGAGCAATTTGTTAAATTAATTAAGCCACTGAGACATATATAATTAGACTACGTACTCAAACACACACACACATATATAACTCTACTCGCAAAACACTACTGGTATTAATTAAGATTGTGTTCATCCTCTTAATTAGCTTCATCTTTTTATGAGTTGCTGAGTTTATTTTAGTCGTGTCCCACTTCTCCATGTATGTAGTACGTCATCTTCATTTAAGTCCCCTGATGGATGCTGTGTGGTTAAATCTTTTAATTTACGTTCATGATCTCTACGAACGAACGAACGAACGAACGAACAGGTACTCCAAGTTTGGCTTTTGACCCAGAATGTGTCATTTGTAGTTGCTGGAGGTGCTGTTGTTGTGGTGTTGGTCTACGCACAATACATGTCTGCAAATTATGTGGCATTCATCTCTCTCGTCATAGTAATTAATCTCACTGGAGCTGTCGGAATGCTTTCAACTCTGGCAGGAACTATCTTGATTGAAAGAGAATGGTGAGCCACTAGCATTCTTAATTCATTCATTCAATTTTCTTTTCAACTCACCATTTCACCAAATCCAACATTCATCATTTCATGTCATGTCATGCCATGTATAATTAAATACTCATATCCTCTTCTCTTCTCTTCTCTTCTGCAGGGTGGTTGTGATCTCAGAGTCGGAGGAGCAGCCTCCAGGAGTTCTGACAAAGATGAACTCCATAGTAAGAAGGATCGACCTGAGCAGCAAGTTGTTTGCTCCTGTGGTGTCCGGATTCATTATTAGTTTTGCATCTCTAACTGCATCCGCCATCACCCTAATACTCTGGAATGTGCTGTCCGTCTGTTTGCAATATTGGCTTTTTACGTCTGTATACAATGGTTTCCCAAGATTAAGAGAAATCAGCCAACAAAGAGCTGAGGGAGGAGCATCTGCATCTGTTGATCTCGAGAAACAAAGCTTGTTCATTGATTCAGAAACAGATCATGAGCAGCGCCTTAAAAATAGCTCAAAAGGGGAACGGGAAGGGGTAGATGAAAAGCTTCTGAATAATCTTCCTTACATTGCTGCTTGGAGATTATACATCAAACAAGATGTAGTCCTCCCAGGGGTAGCTCTTGCATTCTTGTTTTACAATGTGCTTAGGTAACAACAGCCAGCTTTTATTATATTGTATCAAGCTAATATATATATATATATATGTTTTAATGATGATGATTATTATTATTATTCCTAATCAAGTTTAATCATTGTTTGTCTAAAGAATCCTGGTCCCTGCAGATGAGCTGGTGAATTTAATTAATGTCTGACGATTCATCTAATTAATTAACTTTCTTCTATGTTATATGTAGTTTTGGATCGTTAATGACAGCCAGTCTAGAGTGGCAGGGTGTGGCAACATATGTGATCGGAATAGGACGAGGGGTGAGTGCAATAATGGGAATAGCTGCAACATTTGTGTACCCTGTGTTAGAGTCGCGCATTGGAACACTTCGGACAGGCCTTTGGTCTATATGGTCTCAGGTGAGTATGACATGCATAGATACATACATACATATACATATACATATACAGAGAGAGTGTGTGTGAATGTGTATTGTGTGGATGGATGCAGTGGAGCTGTCTGTTGGTATGTGTTGGTTCAGCATTTGTGAAGAATGAGGTGGTAGCAGCTTATATGCTAATGGGCGGGGTGGCTTCGTCGCGCCTTGGACTCTGGGTTTTTGATATGTGCGTGCTTCAGCAAATGCAGGCACGGATCATAATAATAATAATACATAAATCAATAATCGATGATATGAATTACATCTGTATATATTAATGCCTTTGTTTTATGGTTGATATTTATTGGGTCGTGTCCTGTACTGTACTGTGCTGCCAATTTGCAGGATGAAGTTGCTGAATGTGATCGATGCATTGTGGGCGGTGTTCAAAGCTCCCTCCAGTCTGTGATGGACTTGATGACCTACATTATGGGCATAATAATCAGCAATCCACAGGTAAAATACACACACACACACAGGCTCAGAGGAGGAGCTGACCTTATATATATATATATAAAAGAAAATTAATTAGATAGATTGGTGCATGCTCTCATGTATGTGGTGTGGTGTGGTGTTGCAGGATTTCTGGAAGTTGATAACGACATCATTTGTGGTGGTGACAGTGGCGGCCACCGTGTACGTTGTGCATGTTTATCGCCTGCGAAGCCATCTGTTCCACTGGGACAAGCTGCTACCGCCGCCTCTCTGCTCCATATATATGGGAATGGAATACAAGAACCACAACAACAAACCACTGCGGGGTTGGACAAATATGAATGATTGATTTGCAGGATAATTCATATTTATGACTAACCCGATCTCTGTTGCATTATATAATTATTATTATATATTGGTGGGATTTGCTGCATTTTAAGATTTTGGTATTTTAATGGGAGAAAAGCCAAAATAAAATAAAAATTAGGGTGTTGAGATGTTAGGCATCGACAGCATAAATAAATAGATAAGTATTAGAAAAGTGGCTGGTTGGCATTTCCTTGATGTCAAGTTAATAATTTCAGAAAAGACAGACAACATCAAGTAGATTAGACACTTGGGGTTACGTTGCGTTTTGAGTGAGATCTCATTTGATTCGTCTTTGTCATAAGACACATGATAATATTGTTGGCGCTACGTTTCGCTTCACTGCCACTTGACTTACTAACTACACCGATTAAATATAAAAAGTAGCAGTTGTAGTATTAGTATTTTATTAAACAGGCTCAGGCTCAGGCTCAGGCTCAGGCATCGATCTGGGTCTGGGAGTGGATATACTCAACCACTTCTTAAATATAATAATAATAATACTGATGGATTATTACTAATTTCAATTAATTCAACAGAGTGAGTATATAGTTTGTATATACAATACAATACAATACAGTGCAACACAACCAATTAACTGGTGGAGGGAGCTCCTGCTCCTGCTCCTGCTCCTGCTCTGCTCAATTAAATGAGCAACTTCAACTACAACCTAACCGGCCGAGCCTGGTAAGATGTGAGATGTCTCCCTGCCAGTGCCTACCCACCCAACCCAAGTCTCTACTCTGAAGACTACTAAAACTTCACATAAGTCAGTCAGCTGGTTCCCTTCTCTACTTGCTGTGGAGGGAAACACCACCGCGCCATTACCATATATTCATTCTGCTCTGCTCATAAGGTAAGGCAGGGTAGCATAACATAACATGTAGTATCCTGGTCGACTGAGTTCATGGTTTCAAACTCCCCGATGATGCCTAATGTGATTTGCGGATGCCCTTGCTAGGGAAACAGTTGTAATAGGAAATCTTCTTGGCAGAGACAGAATAATAGTAATACACTAGTACAGAGGAGCAAGAGGAAGACGCAGAAATGGACAGAGCACCATTGATACTGACTGAGGAAGAACATGGTGCACCATTGATTGAGGAAGAACCTCCTCCTCCATCATCCTTTCACTTTCCATTACTGCTTAATCTCTATATAGGCCACTTCTTAGCAAGATGGGGAGCCAGGATGTGGGAATTCTCGGTTGGTTTATACATGATCAATATCTGGCCAGACTCCTTGGTCCTTGCAGCAGTTTATGGGGTGGTCGAGTCCGCCTCCACAGCTTTATTGGGTCCTTTAGTCGGAGAATGGGTGGACAAATTATCATATCTTCAGGTAAATAATTTGCTCCTTCACTACTAATTCTTATAATTCTAATTCTAATTCTAATTGAAGAGGGTGCTGGTGATGTCTTCATTACATTCATATCACAGCTCTGCCCTGCCTGAACTACTGAAATATTTTGCCGCTGCTAATTAATCAGGTCTCTGATCAAACTAGTTTTCAACCTAACCTAACCTAACCTAACAGGCCAACGAACCAAGTAATATCTTGAAATCTTTGCACATGCTCTATCTATATTCATCAACGTCTACATTCTATTATTCAATCTTGAGCCATACATTTGTAGCTTGAAGAAATATGAAATATATGCCCACTTTAATTTCCATTACATGTGAATATGAACGATGAGCAAATTATTATGGTTTTCAACATGCATGTTAACTTTATGTTTCTCGTTTCTGCTTCATTACCATGCAGATATTGTATTGTTTGGTAAGGATCCATTCATTTTTAAAATTTATGAACATACAGGTTCTGCGACTTTGGCTCTTGATCCAAAACCTCTCATTTGTGGTAGCAGGAGGTTCAGTGATTGCAATTCTGGACTATGCAGATCACCTGAGTGCAAAATCTGCAGCATTCATCTCCCTCATTAATATCTCCGGTGCTGTTGCTGTTCTCTCTTCTTTGGCTGGAACAATCTTGATTGAAAGGGAATGGTGAGGCAGCCTTGTATTGGAATTGGTTTACTTATTTGCTTGTTGGTATGATGCTTGAATAGCTGCCTGATTGCCTGCCTGCATTAACTAATTAATCATCTGAAAAAAGGGCCTCGGTTGTTGCATGTAGGGTTGTGGTGATCTCAGGAAGGCAGCCGCCAGGAGCTTTGACGAAGATGAACTCAGTAGTAAGGAGGATTGATCTGAGCTGCAAGCTGTTTGCTCCAGTGGTCTCTGGCTTCATTATTAGTTTTATATCCCTAACTGCATCTGCCGTGACCTTGGCCTTATGGAACATGTTAGGTGTGTGCTTACAGTACTGGCTTTTATTGTCTGTGTACAATGGTTTCCCGGAGTTACAGGAAGCCGACCAAAGGAGGAGGAGGAGGAGGAGGATGGAGGAAGTTGTTGAGGCCACATTTGCATTGGCCTTTGCTGATCATCCTGATCCTGATCCTGATCCTGAGGGAGAAACCTTGATGAGAAGTAGTAGTAGTAGTAGTAGGAGTAGCCCATCATCCCACACAAATTGCAATGGAATAATTAGAAGCAGCAGCAGATTAGTGAAGCAGTTTCTTGAGAGTCCGTACATGAATGCATGGAGGCTGTACCTGAAGCAAGATGTTGTCCTCCCAGGGGTAGCTCTTGCACTGCTGTTTTTCACTGTACTAAGGTAAACATATAGTAGTCAGCATACGCATACGTGTGTGTTTGCTTTAGGATTTTGTATCATAGACATAGTTAATAATTATTGTAATTAATTTGTAGTATGAATTTGTATGCAGCTTTGGGTCGTTGATGAGTGCTGTGCTGGAGTGGGAAGGCATCCCCGCATACGTGATCGGGATCGCACGTGGGGTGAGTGCTACTATCGGAATAGCTGCCACATTCGTGTATCCTCTCATGGAAGCCCGCATTTCCACACTCCGGACGGGTCTTTGGTCCATCTGGTCCCAGGTACGTCCATACATGGACTAGTAGTAGATTTGAGATAATGAATTCAGTTGTGATTGTTATATATACCTAGAGAAATCACCAAAGACTTGAAAAAAAATGATGATATGATATGATATGGTGTGCAGTGGAGTTGCCTGGTGGTGTGCGTGGGATCCATATTGGTTAGTGACAGAGTGATGTCGGCATATTTGCTGATGGGTGGGGTGGCCTTCTCCCGCCTGGGGCTGTGGATGTTCGATTTGTCTGTGATTCAGCTGATGCAGGAGGAGGAGGACAGCCTGGGTGGTGGTGGTGAATCCCATCGCTGTGTGGTTTTCGGGGTTCAGAACTCACTGCAGTCTTTGCTCGACCTGCTCACCTACGTCATGGGAATACTAATCCCGGACCCCAAGGTACGTAGGCAAGCAAATAGAGATAGAGATAGATACCTCCATCCATCCATCCACCCATCTAGTATGTAAACTGACCAATCAAATGCTAATAATTTATCAGGAGTTCTGGAAATTGATCACCATGTCATTTGTGGTGGTTACGCTGGCGGGGGTGCTCTACACCCTCCATGTTTATCGGGTGCGCAAACATCTCTTCCATTTTGACAAGCTAGCTTATTGATCATTACATTACACCGTAGGGGGTTGTGTTAATAATTCTTACTTACTATCCATTGTTGTAATATTTACCATCTAGAGGAGACTATAATTACTTTTAACATATACTATATATTATTATTCATTGTATCGATTAGAGTAAGATATCTACATCATCCTTTATTCAAACTTACAACACCTATTCATTTGATTATAGTGAAAAATTGCCTTAACTAGTTTGTATTACACGTTCAAATAGTATTTTTATGTAAATCATTTGTCATGTCCGATAAATAAATCTGCTTAATTTTCTTACAATTGTTTTTTTGTTTCAGCATAGTCTTCAATTACTATTTTATTCTATGTTTACATGTATATCTATAATTAATCAAATCAATCCCATTGTTTAGCAGTCTAGTAGTAGTAATAATAATAATAATAATAATAATAATAGGTGTTATAATTGATTTGATTGGGATGTGATGTGATGTGGAGACCAGTTTATATATATAATACATATTGGTGTTGCTGTAGGGACGGAGTTAACTATTGATAACGCCTCCCCCTCCTCCTCCTCCTCCTCCTCCTCCATGCTTGCCACTGCTAGTTGCTTCCTGCCATCATTTTCACCTTATGCTGTCATTCTCAACTCTCTATTCTTTCTTTTATTGGTTTATTATTTTTTAATATAATTAATAGGGGGGATGAAGAAAACGAAGACATTTTATGCAAAGTGTGTTTTACTAGTGTGTATGCTCGTTTAATCTGTTACTGCTTAATATCTATCTATTCAGATAGATAGATAGATAGAGGTGAGAGAAGACTCAAGTCAAGTTTTGCAATTCACAGCCTTATATTTTCATTTCATAATGAATAATAATAATAATCATAATAGAAGAGGGTTTTCTTGGCGATTTGGTTTGATCTGATCGGATAGGAGCTAGGCAGGCACAAACATGTTTTCATTTGGGTTTGGGTTTGGGTTGTCTTGCAAGAAAAGAACACCTCAACCTCAACCTCAACCTCACCAAAAGTCAACATACAAAAGGATTGATTAATGATGGTGAAATAAGACGCTGTCATTAATTATTTAATCATCAACGTTAGCGTTAAACGCGGTGCCTTACGCAACCACTGCCAACTTTTATTATTTATTAAGTATTTTATTTGATTTCAGTAATTCCCTCTGTTTTGCTATTTAAGAAAGAAATACACACTACTCACCAATACCCTACCCTAACTAACTTGCTCTCAAACAGAAGTTTATGTCGTTTCTATTACACATTGTTTGTTTGCTACGATGTATTGTGTCACATTCACGTACTATTAAATTTGGCTACAAATTTACTAGAATGCATTCGAAAAATAATACTCACCATTTTCCATGTTATGATAAATAAATAAATTAATGTTATAAAAACAAAAGAATAAAAAACACATATAATGTTTGAAAAGGAAATCTTTTAATTTTGACAAAAAATATCTTTTGTACCATCTTTTTTTTTAATTAAGTAAATATTAATTATATATTTTTGGTATACTATTATGTTTGATATGTCCCGATTAATAAAATTAAAAGAAAATAAAAAACAATGGGTGTGTTTATTTAAATATAGTTTAAATAGAAATATAATATTAATTTTTTGAAAAAAATATTACTGTTATTATCAAAATTTATATAAATTGTATAGTAAAATGATTAATAAAAAAAAAAAAAGTAAAGTGAACAAAGCTAACTTACCAGCATTCATCGTCTCATTACATAAAATCGTAAATAATAATAATAATATTATTATTATTATCATTATTATTATGGGTTCATCAAAAAAAAAAAAAAAGAGAAACGATAACGATAAGTAGGAGAATAAAAGAGGGTGCACGTGGAGGAAGGGAGGTAGCGAGAACAGACGATCCCAGCTCAGCTCAGGTCTGTGCGAGTGAGCCGCCGGCGCCGAGAACTGGTCAAACCCGCAAGCTTTGACCAAAGATGTAATTTTCCACAGTCAAAGGTGGTGTTGCCTTCCCAGAAGCAGCAGCTGCAGCTTCTTTTTCCACAATTCAACCAAACCATCTTTATTGCATTTTAGTACTATATAGGAGTATTTGTTTGTTTGTATATATACCACCATCCCCTACATCTCCCCGAATTCGATCCTTGCTTCTACTTCTACTGCTGCTCCTCTTTTTGAAAACCAGCACGGAATTGAAATTCGAAAGCAGCATGGCTTCCTCTGGAGGCAGCTTGAACACTCCTGCTGCTGTGAACCCTCCTCTTCACCACCGCAGCAGCTCCTCGTCGAACGCACCTCACTCGCAGTACATGGCCACTTCGTTTACCGATCTTCTTACAAACCACGGGGATGGCGGAGGAGGGGAGCGCACTGGTGCTTCTGCTGCTGCTTCTTCTTCTTCTTCCTTCAGTTGGGGTGGGATCAATTCTCAAGCACTGCTGGCCTCCTCCAACCACAAGAGCATCGAAATCCCCAAGTACAAGTCTTTCTCACCTGCTTCCTTACCGGTCTCCCCTCCCCCCGTCTCCCCTTCTTCCTACCTTTCGTTTCCCCCCACGTTGAGCCCTTCTGTCCTTCTTGATTCTCCTGTTCTTTTCTCCTCCTCCAATGTAAGTTAGCTGCTTAGTTTAGTTAAATAATTCTCTCTTAATTGCCACATGGATAGGATTTTGAATCGCGTGTGTTTGCTTGTTTGTCTGTGTAGGTGCTTCCATCCCCGACCACCGGTAGCTTTGCAGGCCTGTTCGCCAAGGAGGACGACGCCAAGTTTTCTGATTTCTCTTTCCAATCCCACACAAGACCTTCTTCAAATTCTACTTCGGCCATGTTCTCCTCGTCCTCGTCCTCTGCTGCTGCTGCTGGATTCAATTCGACGGTATTAACTAACGAACACACACACACCTATATGGTTAATAATTCATGCTATGCTTTCGATTGGCCACAGACACAACTCTGATCGATCATTTACCAACTTACTCTCGATTTTCCAAATGATTTGATTTGATTTGAGACGCACGAGTTGTCCGCAAATTAGATTTGTCTGCTGGCACTATGTATATTCATTCGTTTCATCTTGATCGATCGTTCAATATAACTGCTTTTGTAACTCGAGTTCTTTATTTGCGTGAGAAATTCCGAGTTGAACAACATTGATTAATTGTCTAACCTACTACTTTGCTGGTCAACAATTCGCCATAATTACAATTTACAGACTGAGTCATCGTCATCATCAAGTGTCGATTAATCTAAAAACTGGGAGCCAAGCAAGCCTGCAGTTATGTTATTAGTTCTTGTACTTGCTTTACTTCCTGGTTGCTGACAGCATTGAACTTGGAACAGGAACCACCACCACCACCTCCACCATTCAGAGGGCAACAAGAAGATGGTGTGCCATTTATTAACAGCAGCAAGCCAGCGGAGTTCCCAACCGCAAAGCCGCCTTTCTCAAAATCAGAAGCTGCTGCAGTAGAAAGTTTTTCTCAAAAACTTCAGCCCAGCCACAGCCAAAGCCAAATGCAATACGCTCCTCAACCGCCATCACAATACGTCAGGGAGCAGAGAAAATCCGACGATGGCTACAACTGGAGGAAGTACGGACAGAAGCAAGTTAAGGGGAGCGAGAATCCTCGCAGCTATTACAAATGCACTTTCCCCAACTGTCCAACCAAGAAGAAAGTGGAACGGAACCTGGAGGGGCATATTACTGAGATTGTGTACAAAGGAAGCCACAATCATCCAAAGCCCCAATCCACTCGGAGATCTTCCTCCAATTCCATGCAGAATCCCTCTTACACTACTAGTTTGGGAATGTCCAACCAGCCAAACTCGTTTATTGACAATGCTCATCAGGTAGACTCTGGGTCCGCCGCGACCCCCGAAAATTCATCAACTTCCTTTGGGGATGATGATTTTGAGCAGGGCTCCTCAATGAGCAACTCTAGAGAAGATGATGAGATTGAACCTGAGGCCAAAAGATGGTGAGCAAACATTTTCTAAGTGGCCAACCATAACCGTTCCTGGTGATGCATAGTGTTATACAACAGCAACTAATGCTAACTCTTTTGCAGGAAGGGGGACACTGAGAATGAGGGCATATCAGCTTCTGGAAGTAGAACTGTTCGCGAGCCTAGAATTGTTGTTCAAACCACAAGTGATATCGACATCCTTGATGATGGTTACAGATGGAGAAAGTATGGGCAGAAAGTTGTAAAAGGCAACCCAAATCCAAGGTATATAGTATATCATAACAACAACACTACTCCCAAGTTTACACCCAAACATTACATTCTGAATCTCATTCATGCCCACATTCACATTCTTGCAGGAGCTATTACAAATGCACATACAATGGCTGCCCTGTTAGGAAGCATGTTGAACGAGCCTGCCACGATTCAAGGGCCGTGATCACCACATATGAAGGGAAGCACAACCATGATGTGCCCGCCGCACGTGGCAGTGGCAGTTACACCATGAGCAGACCCCCAACAATGAGCACGGCGATCAAGCCCTCTGCTATTACCAGCCATTCCAACGGGATGAATTTCCCCAACCAGAACAGGCTGCAGCCAATGCAAAACCAAACTCCATACACCCTGCAGATGCTGCCAAATGCAGATAGTTATGCTTTTCCAGGATTTGGAAACTCAGCCGGAGGCTATATGAATCAGATACAGCAAGCCAAGGAAGAACCCAAAGATGACTCATTTTTCAACTCATTTCTGAACGGAAACTGAAACAAGCCCTGAATCAAATTCAGGCTACTGTCAAATTTTTTGATAGCTGCGTCTAACAAGAAATTTGTGGTTGTGATTTGTAAGTAGGCAATCGTGATCATACAATAGGGTGGGTTTAGTTAGGAGCATTTTTTCATCTCTTCTGGTGGCCATTGAAATTAGGCTAGACGGCAGCCTTGGATCAGGTTTGCTTTTGCAACAGAAAAGTAGAATAACGAAATTGTGTTAGGAAAGGAGCTTTGGATTCATTTTCATTTTTTTATACACTTTCCATTTTCAATGTATTGACTGTGTAATACAAGCAATGAATTCTGTTTCAATATATTATTAATTAATAGCACGTCTCTGGTTCCGCCCACTGATTAATCTTGAATACTGGTGACTGTTGTCTGTTGTGGTAAGATAACATAGAAGAAGAGAAGGAAAGATGGATTGAAGCGGTATCCTGTAGTTAGTATAATTAAAGAACATGTCAATGTTCACTGCTAGCAGCTCTAAAGATTCAGGGACCAGGTGCAAAAGACAAATGTTGTCGTTCTATAAAGAGAGCTTTACAATCTTAAAACACATTGACATTTAATTAATTACATGTAAAAATGGCTGGAGCCGATGAATCGGATCAGGTGTATAATTGATTTGTGAGTTTGTATCCAGAAGCAAGAGCCGACAATGCCAATGAGAGGAAAGCAAGGAACTCCAAGCTGATGGCCGATGCTGAGGCATCCGTAAATATGTTGTCTGCTCCTTCTCTCATTTTATTTGTTAAAGGCACAGCGGATGAGGCGGCTGATATCAACAGGTACGCCAAGATCTGCATTTCCGGGAAACTGCATTATATATATGTACAGAGGAAGAGGAAGAGGAAGAGGAGGGTAGAGCTGAGACGTCTCTCAAACTGCCTTGATTATTATCTTTATTATGACTGTATGATCTAGAAGACTGGGGGTTGAACTTATTTGAACCAAGGTTGAATTTTCATGTGATAAAAATAAAATTCAAAAGGAGACCGAATCCATCCAGATGGCTCCTCCAACCCAACGAATCAGTTTTCATTCATATTGTAGGATGTTAAACATGATCCCATCTCGATCGAATAAAGCAACACAGCAAATGGCTGATTATATTGAGAAATTAAACTGGCAGTCAAGTCAAGCTATAATAAGTAAGTCAACCTGATCACCAATAAAATCAAGCGTGGCCAACTTGTGCCTCGACAAAATCTCGGTGCCTGTGTAGCGTTGATGAATATCCCGCAAAGATTGGAGGCCCGTGTAGAGAGTTGATAGAATTGCAGTTGCCAATACGTATCTACAAATTATAAGGTGAGGAGAGAGAGCATGCTAAGAGATAAAATCATATGGAGGCAGGGAGATCGAGATCAAGATCAAGCAAGAAGGGCAGAATATGATGTATATGGAATTAATTAGGTAACAACAGGGTTTACTTTACCTACCTGTATTCTTCATATTTGTCGAAGTCTTTCCAATCACCATGTTTGTTGCTGGCCATAATAATAAAAGATAACAAAGAGAACACGAATCCAAATCCCCGCAAAGGCAAGGACCCTTTCTTCACGAGATCGTCCCTATTCCATCGCCGCGCGATGCCTGAAATTCCGGTCCCGCCCGGCGGCGGCGGTGACTGCGGTGTATCTGTAGGATTCGTCATGTGGTTGCCAGCGAGAAAGGGACACTAAAATGATGTTGCTCTGCCCTGCTTGCTATATCAATTTCCAGACAGTTTGGTGCTGATGTGGTCGGGTTTTGTCTTTTTGGCGATATTCTTTCTCTTGGTTGTTTTCATTTATTGATGTATGATGATGATGATGAGATGATGATCGGTAGTTAACGTAGTTGCGAGGGGAGGCTACCCTGATCTGATCTGATCTGTGTAGGCATTATTACACGCAACGCGACACAGCACAAGGGCTCCAAAAAAAAAAAGAAAAAGAAGCTTCACTTTCACCAGAAGCTGCTTGATGGGAATATAATAACAACAAAAATAGTGTAATGGACAAGTGAGAGGCCTTCCTCCACCGCAGTGCATAGTAAATTATATTGATATTATTATCGTTTAGGAGTGCCGGCAAAAACAGTCGCCGTCGTCTTGCATTGCTAGCTATGTGGTGGAACTGGAGGCTTAATTACAAAGTCTGTTAGTTGGTTGGTATGAATCAATCAAACCATTTAATTTATTATTATACCACCATCCTTCAATTCCCTCACCAATAAAACAAGAGCTGAGCTTGCACAAATTAACCTGCGGTGTCTGTGTATTATAATTAATTTCAATGGAACTTGCACAAACTAAATTCATTGAATGAATGGTGGTTGCATTGTTTTATTAGATGAGATGAGATGAGCTGAGATGGCTAGAGATAGAACAACCTAAGCAAATGCACATGCTTCCTTCCTCCTAGCTAATTCATATATAATTAGTTGCACCCTCATTTTAAATAAACAACACTAATTAGTAATTAATTAACCTTCGGTGCAGGTGCTGAAGAGAATAAGCTAATTAATTCATTACTTAATTAATTAGCACTGGAGGGACAGTTGGAAGCAGGCAGCAGCAGCAACTCTAATTAACTTATTTTCTTTCACTTTGAATCTAGCTTAGCGAATTAAAATGATAGACGGTGATTCATTCCTTTCTCATATACACTACTACTACTGTACTGACATACTGTGTTTTATGGGATTCTCCCCAAATATACTATTCATAGAAACATCGAATTAAATATTTGTTTTTTATTTTTTATATTACAGTAAAAATTAATTTTACATTCAAAGCATCAAATCAGTACCTATTTATATCACATCATACAACTATTTAAATTAAAAATTTTACTATTCAAATTCTAATTCATAATCCAAACCCAAACAAACACACAATTAAATTAGATTAGCTTAGCACAGCACAGCACGGTACAGTACGCGACTTGTCCCCATTCCAAATTAAACATGTACATATATATATATATATATATATATATTTATTTATTCCAATTAAGACACACTATGAGATAATTAAAGCGAATCCTGAATCTTTTCAATGAATGCCATATCACACTCCATCAATCGGTTTTGCTTGAAAAAGAAATTAAATTAAATTGAAGGGTGGTGGTGGTCAGGTCAATTATCCCATACCATACCTATGTATACTACACATGTCAAAACGAGTTAACGGGGCAGATTGGCCTACAACCCACCATAATCCGCAGATAGGTGGGTTGTTTGCTGGTCAACCCACGACGAGACGGATCAAACTTTCATCAACCCAATTCAATCCACCGGCTGATGGAGAACTAAACTAGCTAGCCCACAGGTTTTTTTTAAAAAATAATATTATAAATATGTTCGTAATTAATATTTAAAAATAGCTAAAAATAATTTTATTGTAAAATATAAATAATAAATATTTTAAAATAAATAAAAAAATATAAAAATTTTTAATTCTAAATAGTATTAGTTAGTGTATTTAAAAAATTTATTAATAAGAAATATTTTACAAATAAATTATAATTAATTTTATAAAACTGTAGATTCTAAAATAAAAAAATATTATAAAACAATAAAATAGAAGACAGAATAAAACAAATGATGAAAAATCGAAATAAATAAAAGTGACATTGATAGTAGAGTTAGAAAATAAAAGTAACGTTTAGACAATATTGATTAATTTATTTAAGCTAATTTTATTCAGTCTTAACTAAAAATATATCTTTTCAGTAGATTAAAAATAATAATATATTATTTATTGAATAAAATGTACATAATGATTCTGATATTTTTTTTCTTTGTACGTTATTTATAAATTAATTGTATTTATAATGGTATATTTGTAGTTTATATAAAATAAAAATATATTATGATATTAATATTTGATTACTTTTATTATAATTTTTTAATATGACAGTAAAAAATAATTAAAAAATATTTAGTTGATACAGGTTAGTACTAATTATTATATTTAGTTAGCCCGCGCTAACCCACCTCACTGTCGGCTAACCCACTCTCAACCCACGGCCCACATGAGTTGGTCCGTTTAGACCCGCATTTTAATGGGCTTACAAAATCACAACTCAATCCTCCTAAAAAGTGAGGCGGGACGGGCCAACCCAACGAGCTCAACCAATTTTGACGACTCTAAGGTATACCACCTGTCTGGATATCTCTCGCCCTATTTTTAGTCATCAGGTCCAAGTTCACCTCACCATCCAAATTCGGGTAGATATATGTATTTTTACATTTAAAAACTAATAAATATTAAATAAATCTCATATTTAATATTAGGAATCAATTAATATGCATGATCGACGATATATGAGATCGATCGATCATGTCCCTCAAAGTCGAATTGATGGACTACACTACACTACACTACACTAGTGCACCATTCACCTGCATAATTTGTCCATCTGATCTATCTGTGTATCATAGGGCAAGGTCTGAGTTCCCAATTTAAGTCCAACCTCAACCGCAACCAACACTTTAAATTAGTCCTAATAATAATAATAACTCAACCTCTAATTAAATTTATGTATCTGATGAAGAGAAGAAGATATATGAAGAACCTTTTTCGTTATTATATTAATAATTTCTATATAGATATGATGCATGGCCACGTTTTACTTGCATATACATTAGTTATACTATTAATTAATTTTGTAACACTCCCGCTCCCACTCCCTACTCCAAAATGTTATGTACAATTTTTCAGGAAAAAAAAAAAAAAAAAATTACGTATATCACTAAATTTTGTTTTGCAATAATGCTCTTCCATATTAAAATAATATTCTCTACATAATTAATTAATAATATTCTCTAAATAATACGTTTTATATTTAAAATATAATATTAGTATTATTTATGTGAACAGCCCAAAACAACGGCAACTCACTCGCTCACTCACCGACCCATTCTTCTTCCAGAACTCACTTTTATAATATTCCTTTGTCTTTACTGCCTTGTGGTAATTAATAATATTATCTTGGAAAAATAAATAAATAAATAAAATAAAAATGGTTGAGGTTGTGTAAGTATTGCTTAACTTGGAATTAATCACATAAATACTAAAAAGACATCATCAATGGCATCGTCGTCATTTTATTCGCTTTCAGACCTTCTCTCTCCGCGTCCGTGTCGTGCTTGGTTCCATCTAACCCTAACTATAATGATTATTATAATAATAATATAATTATTAAGAGTGTATTCCGGTTACGATTAATTATAAGAGACCCCACTAGTAGTAACGTAACGTGCAGTTGGGTTGGGTTGGTTTGATTTAAGGGCTGCAGTGAAATTGTGATTAGTGGGCACTGCTGCACCGGCTCGGCCCGTGACCGGTTACCCAGCCGCGTTGGCGTCTCTTCTCCTCTCATCCAATCCATCCGCTGGCAGCGGCGGGACCAGCGCCACTTGGTGCCTTATTCCTTTCGTTTCTTCTTCCATCCTTCTCCTTCCCTTCCAGCGTCTATACCGAAATACCTCTCCGACGCTCCTCTCCCCCCCGCCCCTCTTAACAGACTCGTAGTAGAGAGTTGATGATGCTATTGCTGCTGCTATGTATGCTATGAATAGAATCCTCAATTGGGTCTACTCAACCTGAACCTGCTCTTATCAATCTTCAATCATGTTCTCGCCTTTTGCCCCCTTCGATCTATCCTTTTCTTACCCTTGTCCCGCCCGTTGCCTCGTCGGCGCAAATCATACTTCCGCTCGATTCTGCTGCCGGTAATCGTTCCCCCACTGCGGTTTCTACCCCTTTCCTGTAATTTACCTGATTTCTTTCTTCTTTTTCTTTTTTTCTTCGTTTGGTCTGCTTCGAAAATTACACCGTTTCAGATTCATCACAGGAAAGGAAAAATAAAGATTCTTTATTGATTCATTTTTTTCATTGTTAATGGAACCGACCGGTGGGAAGCCCAGCTTCCTCAAAAATATTCTGGTGCGTCTGTTTCTCTTCTGCTTGCTTCTCATCGCCTTCAGGTTTGCTTATTTGGTCACAATCCGAGGTGAATCGTGTGACATCGGCGATTTTTGTTTCTTCGCCTTACCGGATAACTTCAACGTTGTATCGAGCGTGGGACAGCTGACCAAATCCTCTTCTTCGGCTGTTAGCTCATCCTCCGGCAAAGCCGCGCGGTCGACGCCGAGTAAAATTCCCGATCTATGGACGACCAAGGGTTTCCAGAAAGCAGTGGGATTCTACTCCTCGGTCTTTCAGGATCTGATGTCTGAAGCCATGCTAAGCCCTAATTTCAAATCCCTATGCGTCGACACTCAAACGGGAGCTGACGTCTTTGCGCTGAGAGAGGTCGGCGTTGAGGATTCCATTGGTATTTCAAAGAAGGGTTTCAAGCCGTTGGTGATTCAAGGGCAGGGTTTTAAGCAGCGGTTCGGCGATGAGACTTTTGATTTCGTCTTCTGTGGAAATGGGGCGGTGGAGAAATCGGGGAGGCCTGGGGATCTGGCAGCAGAGATTGGTCGGACAATGAAACCCGAAGGGTTTCTTGTCATCCACACAGGGTCGAACGATACTTACAGTTTTGAATCTTTACTTGCTTTGTTCAATTTTTGTAGATTGGTCAAGAGTAAGAACATTGATGGGTTTGATTCTAAAATGCCATTCATTCGAGAGATTGTCCTGCAGAAAATTAGTGGGGAGGGGTATATGAATCAAATTGCTGGAAAATCCAGCGGTGGGTCAGTGGATAAATGCTCTGTTCCAAGTTATAAACGGGATTTGATAAGCAAAGCAGAGCCTTTGATTATGGAGGAGCCTGCAAAACCATGGCTTACGCTTAAAAGGAATGTCCAGAAGATAAAATATCTGCCTTCAATGGTTGATATTAGTTTCAAGCCAAGGTATGTATATGTAGATGTTGGTGCCAGAAGCTATGGATCGAGTATTGTGAGTTGGTTTAAGAAGCAATATCCGAAGCAAAACAAGACCTTTGACATATATGCAATTGAAGCAGATAAGACTTTTCACGATCAGTACAAGTCCAAGAAAGGTGTTAGTTTACTACCCTATGCAGCCTGGGTGAAGAATGAGACGCTGTCGTTTGAGATCAATGAGGACCCAGGACACAAAAATGTGGAGAAAGGCAGAGGGATGGGCAGGATTCAACCTGTTCAATCTTCCGGTGCCTCTTTATCTTCTGGTAATGTTGATCGCATTCAGGGATTTGATTTTGCCGATTGGTTGAAGAATACGGTGTCAGAGAGGGACTATGTGGTGATGAAAATGGACGTTGAAGGGACTGAATTTGATCTGATTCCCAGGTTGTTTGAAATGGGAGCAATTTGCTTGATTGATGAGCTTTTCCTTGAATGCCATTATAATAGGTGGCAGAAATGCTGCCCAGGTGAGAGAACAACCAAGTACCAGAAAACATATGGGCAGTGCATGGATTTGTTCACTTCGCTTAGAAGAAGTGGAGTTCTGGTGCATCAGTGGTGGTAACTGGTAACATATATACACATATATATATATATATTATTCTATATACACATATTCTTGCTGCTAGTGTAGTGTAGCCTTTCTCATTATCAAGCCTTCACTTCAGTTTCTGCAAGTAAATGAAACATGTAGCATTTTCCTTCCTCCCCTTTGTGGAATACATCTACTTTGTATTGTATTTATTGTATGTTAAAGGCATGGGTAGAGTGTTGTAGTTGTTGCATGAAATTGTGTTTCACTGTAAGGACAGTGAAAGAGAAGACATTACAGATTCATTTGAAATTCCTCGATTTATTGCTCTTAAGTTGTGCATTGCTGCTTGTGAGTTTTGCCTTTTCTGCTAGTTAAGAATCCTAGTCCGGGTTTAGTCTGGAATTCCTCAGCTTTAGGGAATTCATAGCGAGTGATGCTGCTAAGTTATTGCCAATATTTTCCCCATTTCTTGAACCTGGATGGGTGCCATTTACATCTCAAAGTAACATTAGTTAGTCTGTTGTTATTTTTAGTTGGGCAGAGAGTTTCGAAAATGATAATGTTAGGCTTAGGCGTTGAGTCATTAATGTAAGAAGCAGCAGCAGCAGCAGTTATTGTTCCGGTTGGCCTGGCGCTGAGGGTAGCTGTAAGCCGGCCCTCTCCCTCCCTTTTTCTTTTTGGTTAAGTTAATCACGAACATGACTTGAAAATGCAAGGAAGGCTCTTTTGCTTTATTTCAATAGGGAAGGGAATCTTCGGGGACACGGACGCGGTTCTCTGCCTTTCACGTTCTTCAACTGACTGATGGTTTATTCTTTCGTGAATTAGACATGATGCAATTAAATTCTGGTTATGGAGATGATATGCAAGTGCCTGCTTGGACAGGATTCATGCTTTTGCTGTTTGTATGTTTGGTGGTCAAATTTGACTCACCCACTGACTGCTGTGCTTGCTTGCATGCATGCATGCATGACATACACACACGTCGAACTGACATGAATGAAAAAGTGGCCGCGTTTTGGCTCATCGTCACAAGCATAGTTAGTTAGTCAGAAGAGCCACGAATGGCTCATAGTTCCCCCGCAAGCAACAATCAACCAGCGCTAATGCTGCTGATCTCCTCCTCCTCCTCTTTTCCTGATGTCCAGACGACCTAAAAGGGAAGTAATTCCTAAACTTATCCATCCCTTCTTTCTTTTATTTAACGCCAGGAAAATGAGTGATTTAGATGCCTGCCTGCCTGCATCAAATCTATTATTAATAGTAAGTCAATAGTAATTCGAGGACCTGAAGCATGCGTGAGAGCCGTACATCGTATGAGAAGATACAAACCCCAGTTCAATTGTGACAAATTGCTCAACAAGAAATTAAAGAAATATGACTCTTTTCTGATTTCATTCATCATTTCATTAGGGAGGTTTATGATTGATGTTCAAACAAATGCCATTTATTTAATTAATTAATTAATCCTCCCTTTGCATTTCCCCTCTCTAACTACTATTGATTGATTAATGTTTTGTTTGTTTGCTTGTTTGTAATAATAATTGACGTACTTGGATTTGAAAATATACCAATTAACCACCCCTGAAGAAAAAGTATTTTCGGGTGCCATTCGTTTTACCAGTTTGTTTATATAATGGGCGGCTGTTGTTCATGTCGTACGGCTACCAGCAGCTTTGTGGATTACCACCATGCTCATGGAAAAGAAGATGGAGAAGGAGATGCTGCTGATCATGATATTGATATCGTACTCAAAGAACGTGCAGGCGCGCGCGTCCTGCTCCAAGGTTCCTCCAAACATGTATCTATGTTCACCAAACAAGGGAAAAAAAGCGTCAATCAAGATGCCATGACCGTTTGGGAGGTAAGACAAAATAAGACAACACAAAACAATTGAATTGTAGGAAGAAAAACAAACAAACACCAGGGCAGGGCAGTCTTTATCATTTCCATACGCACGTGTTATTGTTAATACAAATATATGATACTAATTGGTACTTACTAATTAATTAATTAATGCATCTTATCCTTGTTTGTTGTTGTCCGTCCGTCCTCGTCCTCCTCAGAACTTTTTAGGCGACAAAGACATGTTCTTCGGCGCTGTGTTTGATGGGCATGGGTCGTCCGGCCATAAAGTGGCGCGCTACATTCGTGATTTTTTGCCCGCAAAGCTGTATTTGCTGCTGAATAAAAGCACATACGGAGATGGAAAGGATGCAGATGTGCTTGACATGGACATGGAAACCACACCCGATGATGACGATGATGATGATAATGATGCTGACCATAATCCCTTGTTCTTGTCGTGGAAGGCTAGATTGACCAGGTGCTTCAAAGAGATGGACCAACAGCTTGAAAGGGAGAAATCAATCGAGAGCTATTGCAGTGGTTCAACTACAGTTTGCCTACTTAAAAAGGTATGCAGATTGGTGATCGTCTACGAACTCACTCTACTTGCAATTAATCGATTATGATGACGATGATGCGAATTAATGCTCTCTGTTTATAAATCCAATCCATTGTAATTAATTGATTCCCGTTGATGATCAGCACGAGCACTTGGTGATTGCAAATTTAGGGGATTCTCGTGCTGTTCTCTGCACGAGGGATGAAAATGACAGGCTTGTTTCAAAACAGCTCACTGTTGATCTCAAACCGAGCGTCTCAAGTTAGTTAGTCAGTGTGCAGCTGATATATATATATACATACATATATATGTATTGAAATCCTGGTGTGATCAGGTGAGGCGGAGAGAATAAAAAGTTGCAGCGGCAGAGTGTTGGCGGTGTACGAGGAACCAAATGTGTTCAGGGTTTGGATGCCTCACGAAGACTGCCCTGGTTTGGCAATGACGAGGGCTTTCGGGGATTTTTGTTTGAAGGACTTTGGCGTCATCTCAACCCCGCAAGTTACCTACAGAAAGCTTACAGACAAGGATGAATTCATTGTCTTGGCGACGGACGGGGTAAGCAAGCGTATATGTATGTATATACAGTAAGCGATGATGACGATGATTGTGAATTGTGATGGTGATAGACAGATATGGGATGCTCTATCCAACAATAAAGTGGTAAAGATCGTGGCGTCGGCGAGAAACAGATCCATGGCAGCTCAACTGGTGGTGGACAAAGCCGTGAGGGCCTGGAGGTACAGATACCCGCGTGCCAGGGTGGATGATTGCTCCGCTGTCTGCTTCTTCTTCAACCGCGACACCACTCCTCGCCACCACCCCCCAATCCTCCTCAAAAAATCCTGCTCCCAAGCCGCCCTCAACCCCGACCCCCAACCCCACAAGATGCACGTTCTTGGCACCAGGAGCCACCACGCCCTCGACACGCTTTTCGAACTTCAAAACGACTCAAATCCCTGATTCATTGTTTAGGTTTAATTATTTGCAGGAAGAATGTAAGGTCTGATTATTACTAGTATTATTATTATGATAAGCGATTGACGAAGACGAAACTTCAGTCTTGACGACGACTCGGTAGATATTGAAGGGGAGCAACTATATGCTACACTAGTTCATTGTTTCTGAATTTATTTGCTGGGATTTTTATCAGGTACACAAAGATAAACTAAGCAACACTAGAAACTGGCAAGTAAATTAGTGCTCCTACAAATAATAAGTATATAATTTTCTCAGTCGTCACGTCTTCTTTTACTGCACCACAGGTCACGTCATTCATTCCTATTCTTACAAGATACACTACAAATTTAGTAACGTTTTACTGCACCTTTAAAGATAAAATTCTGCCTACATATTTCTGTGTAGTAAATATCTTTCTCAACAATGACAGATACTTCAAACCGTGACACACGTAGTAATAATAATAATAATAACACCTTGGCTTAGCATATGATAGCATATAGTAGTATTTGTTTTTTAGTTCATTCTACACACAACAGAACAGAACAGATAGATAAAATGATGATGTAAATAAGGTCAAAAAGGCTAGCTTGGGCAATAGGAAGGGTGAATTGATCTGATCTGATCACTATGCAGAGGAACAAAATACAAGTGCCACTGGCCCGGACCAATCAATGCATGCTACCTCATCTTAAAAAACCAATTTCACTTCAAACACTATTGGGTCACCGAACCAAAAAATAATAAAAATTAAAAATAAAACGGAAAGTGCTGACAACTGAAAACGAGACCACGGAACGGACAGATTTTAATTTATTGGACGTACAAGCCAAGACAATACCAAACAAAACCACTGCCAATTCCACCTCTTGGATCTTGGTATATATGTATATATTGTTCTTTTTCTTCATAAGAAGAATCTCACTAAACAAGAAAAGGAAAGAAAAAAGGCTGAGAGGAGAGCCCTTCAAAACCTTCCGAATCCCAAACCATACAGCACAAACCCGTCATCATCAGTATCATTTCCTCTCTCTCTCTCACACACAGTGCAACAAGCATAGATAGGTTATAATAGATTGAAATGTAGATAGACAGATGGGATGGGATGGGATGGGATGGGATGGCCCCTACCAGGCAGGCCCATTACATCACTCACTCACTACGCTATTCTACTGTACCTTTTTCTTTTTCTTTTCCGAAACCCAAGAAAGCATGCTTATGCTTAGGTCTCAGAAATTTCAGAGCTGCCAGGGAAAAAATCAGATTGAAAATCAAGCAACAGCTGCTTGCTGATGCTGATTTTGATTTTGCCTTCCCCCACCAGACACACTGCTTCAAAAGTCTTTCCTCTCTGACCCACCCCACTACATGTTACAAAAGCAGACCCACAATTTCCTCTTAACCAGTCATTAGTCGGACGTGCCTTATCCTTAATTATTGTTACTGTAAACGCATTTTTATAAAGAATCCTTTGAGCAGAAAAAGGGTCAGGGAATGGACTGGAGTACTGATAAACTAACGTGGTGGTATCCTAACACCATTTCATGATGACGATGATGATACCATTAACACGCTAAATAGCTAGCTAGGCCACACAAAATCATTTCCCCTTTATGTTGGCAAATGCTGCTGTTATTGACTGTTAATGCTTTTCCTGATCTCCACAAGGGTGATTTCATGTTTAAATTAATCTTCATTCAAACAATATATCGGCAGATCCAAAGGCTGACTGTCCGGGGAATGCCCGCAACTAATTACCTTCTAAATGTTTGTTCTCATGATTTCCAAGATATAATAGCATGCACTCTCACGAAATTATCAGATGAAAGATAAATATAGATAATAATGGAACACAGCAATATTGATGCAACAGCATCGCGTTTAAACACGACGACACAACATGCAAGCAAAACATATCATTACTATATATAAGTAAGTAGTATTTTATTATTCTATTACAAGTGTCCACACATTTCATTAGCGGCAAAAGCAGCAGGAGGAGGGAGATGGATGGATGGATGGATGGATTAAAGATGCTAGCTAATTAATTGATCAAGTGGGGGTCTATTGTTTCATTAACATAATTAAACAGCGGTTGTGGATGATGATGATTTGCGGACAATGTAACGGTATGCAGCGACCTTCCTCCTCCGGGAGGTGGAGTTGTCGACGGAGAGCACCAGTTTTCCAGCTTCCCTGGTGGAGTAGGAGTTGTGAATCGCCTCCTCACTCGCCGGAACCCGTCGCGGCTTTTCCACCGCGATGGTGTAGCTGCCCTCCGCGTTTGGTACGAATTCCACGCTATATTCCAACTCCCACCCGGCCACCACTATGTCCCACGTTATCGTTGCTCCACCCTGAACATTCATTAATTTATTAATCAATTCATTATGTTGAATACGGATGGATGTTGCAGATTTGCATCGATAAACCGCCAAAAGTGATCAATGAATAATAATACAAATAATTAAAGTAGGCAGAAAAAGTCACGTTTGTCGGAAATTTGAATTTTTGTCATCTTCCGACAGCGATCATGTGATGCGATGGCAAGTGAAAAGGTATTGTTCGGCTGCTTTTTCCCCAACCATACCCGATTTGAATTCAACAACCAACAAAACTGGTTCGATATTTTCCCCCCACGGAAGGTAGAGAAGAAGAGGCAAGTAATTAAGAGGCATTCATGGACTGATGTTTATTTATTACCTCAATGCCCTCGATTTGAATATTCACTTTCTCTCCTCCTTTGACTGTGAATTCAGACGCCGGTTTGGGCGGACAGTTCAGCGCCTCACTCGGCCGGCTCATTCCCCCGTATTGAACCGGGACCTCCTCCGGTCTGATGAACCTGATCATCACCAACACCAACACCAAGCAATAAGCAAATAAAACAAAGAAAAACACACTCCGATCCAGACAGCAAGCATTAAAGTCTTAGGACATCAACATGATGGTAAGATTATATCTATCTATGTGTATCACCGGCCAGGGCATCATCGCAGCATAGCTACTAGCATGAAGGACAGTAGGCAGGCATTAAGCGGCTTGCTGATGCAGAGGAATGAAAAAAAAATTGGTGTATACAGACAGAAAATCTAAGCACACTTACTTGTAAAGGGTCTCAGCAGCATTGCCTTCCTTGGATATCACAAACTTACTCTTAGTTCTTTGAGTCAGAAATGGACTAAACATTGAATACATCAGGCTGAAGTACCATGGCACGTTTATAAAGATCTGCACCGTACGTACGTACGTAGATAGGATCAGAAGCGAATGCGATTTGGGAATGGAATTCAATACATGGAGATACTAATACTATTGCAGTAGGAGTAATTGAAAACGGCGGGGGGCGAAGGAAGAAGAAAGGAAGTGATATAGTAGTAGGCAGCAGGTACCTTTCTGGCAACCATTTCAGGGTAGTTGTCTTGGAAGAGCGAGAGAATGTGATTGGAGGCGACTCTGAGCTCTCTTTTAGGCATATCCTTGAGATCAGTGACCTGAATGATGGAATTGACCCCGCCAGGCTTGAACTGCAGGAGCTTGATCCCTCTCTCAAGGACCTGGACTCTCCACCTCAGAAACCTCTTGAGCTTCTCATCGTCGCCGAAGATCCTCTCGTACATCTCCCTGTCCTTGAAGACTCCGTAGGCATTGTAGCAGACAGGGTGGCCTTGTCGGTCGCAGCCGTGCATATAAGCCACCACTCCTTCCAGCTCCTTGAAGCCCAGGTCTTCCTCCAGGATGGACTCGGCCGTGAATTCCTTCCTCCACGCCAAGCACTTGAGGAGCATGTTGAGGGCGTCTTGGACGCGGAAATCCCGGGCACGGAGGAACTTGAGGAGGATGACGTCAGCGCGCTCGTCCCCGTTTCCCACCAGGGGCATGCCCCACATGGAGTCCGGGCCGTGTGCGGCCATGAAGCGGTCCTTGAGATCCAGGAGCGCCTTCTTCTCGGAGTTGTTGAGATGGCAGATGAGGTAGGTGTCCTCCTTGAAAGAAGGCGTGCGGAGGGAGGCGGCTTCCATCAATGAAGCGACGAATGTTTTCTTGGCAGCAGAGGTGGGCTGAGCGCTTTGATTTTCTTGGAGACGACGACTGGTTGCGGTTGAACTTGAGAGAGGCGAAGTGGCTTCCATGTTTGTTGATGATGATGATGGATGAGGTCAGTAAAAAGAAAGGAAAAGGAAAGGATGGATATAGCAAAGAAAAGCAAAGAGGGAGGGAGGGAAATGCGTGAAGGCGCAGTAATAAGAAGTGAAGTACAGTGCAGCGCTGAGCTATCTCTGTGTGTGATTAGTATTAGAGGAAAGGTGGGGGTGGGGGGGAGGGAATTGGAGTGACTAGTATTTAATTATAGCGGCCGGGTGGCTGGCTGGCTGGCTGGCTCCGCTCAAGTGACATGATGATGATGATGGTGATGATTAGCGTGTGGGCACGGGCGGTGTTGCGGGTTTTTGAATGAATGAACGGAACGGAACAGCACGGATTGTCGTCTATACAAAGCCGCTTTCATTTGCTTTTATCGACCAACAAAAGCTGTAGCAGTCAGTTTACTCTCTCTCTCTCTCCCTCTCACGCATACAGCATACTTGACTTCCTTCCATTCACTGGGTACTCCCTCTATTGGGTCTAATCATCCATATATAATAGTACTAAGCACTAGTATATAGATAGATAATAAGTATAATTTGATGTTAATTCGGAGTGTAATAGCAGCATTACGTGTATGTTTATATTATTGTTATCATCAACAAGAAAGGTCGTCGTCCATATAGATTTTGGACTTGTAGAAATGGGATAGACTCCTCTTAAGCCCAATAAATTAAAATTATCATCATCACTCTTGTTGCATAGATAGGGTGGATTCCTTCCGGTGCTGTTATAATTAGTTCTTCAATCGAGTTCAACGAATGAGGACTAATTGATGTAGTTATGGCAGCCTTTGGGTCCATTATCATTCAAACTGATACTAAATCCAAGCCCAAACCCAAGTCAACATTATTATTATTAATCGTTTTCAACAAAGTAGTAGAACAGCATGGTTTCATCCCTACAATAGCTACCCATTCGAGATGACTAGGAAGGACCATTCGCGAAAAAACACCGTGCGACCAACCGTATTTGGGTGGAGAAATCTGATCGAGTTCAGTCAAATTTGGAGTAAAACCTATCTAGTATCAGAGGATAGACGTCGTAGCATAATCATTTGACATGGTAGGATGTGTATATATCTAGCTAGAAGAATTGATGATGTAAGAATAGAGGATCTGATTCCAGACATCAGGCACGCCTGGAAGACACCAATGGCCGCAGTCCGAGTGGCGGCTCCTTTTGCGAGGGTCTGCCTCCTTTTGAAAGTCGTAGGTATAGATGGAAGGATGTGCGTCCTTCCTGTAATCCGACAGATGTGTAATGTTGAGGTATTCCACTCTCACACCCCTCCTCGCCAGCTTTTGTATGGCAGACTGTGCGATTAGGCCGAAATCATCGGGAAATGTCTCCACCCGGCGGCGACCACGGTAACCATCCTCCTCCAAGGTTGGCTCTGTTTCGTTGTAGCAGTGCTGCAGCACGTCCAAACTTTCACCACTGCATATATGATACTATATATTATGTATCACATATCACACTTGAAGAAGAAGAAAAATGAATCGAGGATGTTAACAAGCAAACATATAGTAGCAGTAGTAGTAGCAGTTACTATGGGTGCATTGGCGAGAGGCTCATAAAGAACATCTTCGTCCTCGTTCTGTTGACGTTGAACTCGACCCAGTCCGACCAAGTGTCTAAGGCCATTTCATAGACACGCTTCTCCATGCCCTCGACAACCTGTTTGTAGCTTGCATCGGAGCTCCCGGGTGAAAATGATCCCCCCCATCTGAATCCATCCATCGTCAATCATCAATCATCAATCAATAAATATTAACCATATAAACAGGGAGAGAGAGACGCACAAGATGGTCATCGATGGCTGCAGCCACCAGATGAAAGAATCAAAGACGAGTATATCTGCGTCGGTCCAGTGCCGGCCATGCTTCTCTATCGCTTTGATCTTAACAATACGCTGCTTCACCTTGTGTTCCATCGGGTCATCGCAATTCGACTCCACCAGCAACGGAGACCAATAGAAATCGATTGTCGAATTGTATTCCTATTTCACAAAACCCATCCATTTAATTAGCTAATATTTTAATTACACAGTAGAAGAGGAGAACAATTAAATTAATCAAAGCAGAGAGACATATGGATGGATGGATAGATAGATAGAGGGGGATTGAATTGAATGGAATGTAATGTAATTGAAATTGAACTTACAGGAGCGTGGAAGGTGAACTGATTGCCGTCTCTGATGACTGTGGAGTGCCGGAGAGACGAAGAAGACTCGATCAAGCAAAGCATGGACACCCATTGGTTCCTGTTCAACGAATCGCCAACAAACACAAGCCTCTTCCCCCTCAGTGCCTCCATCAACGCAGTGCCGTTAAAGCGGGGAAGATCGCAGCCCCGAGGCTGCCATTTCCAACCTTGATATTTGGAGTCGGGTCTCCCGTTCCTCTGACAGGCAAACTCTGGTGTCATGTAAGAGCATTGTCCCTCCTCATACGGCGGATACGAGGACGAGGACGAGGACGAGGAGGCCTTGCCAAAAACCCATCTGCCTGAAAACAAGTTGCACTCCGAAACCAGCTCTATTATCTTTTCTTCATTGCTCTCTGCCTTTGCCTTGTTATTCGCAGCAACCCCCATGTTCCGCTTCTCCACGATGCCGCTGCCATTGTCAAGGGTTAGGAGCGCAACGGCGGCTAGAGCTGCGAGGAAGAAGACGACCAGGTAATAGGATTTGAATCCCACTTTCCTTGTCTCCAGATTCATTTTTTTTGTTAGGTACGACTCAAATTCCTTGTATAGATACAGATGGGAGTTTTTGTCCTACTTGAAGATAAAATTTGTTCAACTGATTTGTTCATAGAATAGAATCCAACTCGCTCTGCCGGCTCATATTCGAACTCAGAGAGACGTCCAAATTTGTTGCGCCTCCGAGGAGGTTTTATCATGGTAAAACGTACCCCAACTTATTTTAATAGATTTTTTAGATCTGATTTGAAATAGTTGATGGTAAAGCGGAATAGCATAAGTTTATTAATTATAGATACTTGTATTATTACCTGCATGCATTGTTTTATTGGGGACCACATGTTTATAGTATTAATTATTTCGTTTAGATAAGATGAACTAACCCAATAGAGAGGCAACAGTTAATCTTAAAGTGTATTCAGTGGAAATCAGTATATATTTCATTGTGTGTTTTGAGAGGTTAATTAAGCATATATGACTTGTAACGGATTGGGTGAGCCTGCCAACTCCACCGATGATAATAACATACATACATACATACAACTAACTCGTCAAGCAAGTACAACAACGCCACTATGATATTACTACAGTCTACAGTATTAAATAAGTAGTAGGAAAGAATAGAGGATCTGATTCCAGACATCCGGCACTCCTGGGAGACACCAGTGCACGCAGTCGGCGTAACTGTTGGGATCTAACTTCTTCTGCTTCTGGTTATTAGTAGTGTAGAACGATCTGTAAATAGAGGGATGTGCGTCTCTCCGGTATTCGGACAGCCCCGTTATCCTTACATACTCCACTCTCACCCCTCGTGTCTCCAGCTTTTGTAACGTTGATTCCACTATACTCGCCAGCCTCTTCCTCCTCCTGCTGCTGCTGCTGCTGCTGTAACTGGAATACCTAATTCCACTACTGCTCGCCTCTTCAACCTTAGCCTCAGGCTCAGTCACATTGTAGCATTGCCCCCAGGTTTCACCTCTGCATCATCATATCCGCATTCCCACCTATACATATATACATATACATATTAACTAAGAAATCATGTACGTCGTACCTCAACGTGTAAGGTGACGCACTCATGAAGAACAGCTTGGTTTTGGAACGATTAACGTTTATTTCCAGCCAATCCGACCAAGTGTTTAGTGCCATCTCGAATCTACGATCCTTCATTGCTACTGTTTTGTGAATCGCATCTGGGCTCCCGACTGATCCCCACCTACCAACCAACCAACCAGTTCGTATATAAAAATATATATATATATATTGTGGGCTGTTAACCTTGAAAAATGAAAAGATAACAACCGATGATACATCGGAACTTTATTTTTATTTTAACTTAATTAAATTAATCAATCTATCGTCTACTTACAAGACTTGAATATCGTAATTGATCCACCACGCATATGAATCAAAGACGAGGATGTCTGCGTCGTTCCAGTGCCTGGCATGCTTTTCGATGCCGTGGACTCTAACCGTTTGCCCTGCCGACTGATGCTGCCACGGGTCATCGCAGTTCGATTCAACAAGAAACGGCGACCAGTAGAACCCAATTGTCGTTTCGTGTTCCTAAACGGTCCATCCATACTTTCAATATGTTTGTTTGACTAAGGAAGGAGATCGACTATCGAAATTGGGGGTGGGTTTCATCATTCAAACCCTAATTCCAGCTCTCCTACTCGATCAATAATATGAAGAAGAAAGAAAGAAAGACTTCTTACGTACTTTGATGTGGAAATATTGCAAGTTGCCTGTAAAGTTAAACATCTTTATGGACGAGGGAGGAAGAGACGACTCGATGAGGCAAAGCATGGACACCCACTGGTTTCGACATAATGAATCTCCCACAAATATAAGTTTTTTCCCTTTCAATTTCTCCAGCAATAATGTGCCATTAAACCTGTGCAGTGAGTGGATCATGACACACATGTATCTTCTTAAACTAAACTAAATGAAGGCGCAATGCCATCATAATTAACTAATTAGTCCAGAAAAGAAGGTTTTTTTTTTTTTTTTTTTTAATAGAACCTTGGAAGGTTGCAGTGATGAGGCTGCCATCGCCAATTCTGATACTTGAGGTTCTTTCTCCCATATTTCTGACAAGCAAAAGCACCCTCCATGAAAGCACACTGGCTCTCCTCGTACAGAGGGTAAGACACATTATCGTAAACCCATCTGCCCGAGAAATGGTCACACTGTTGACTGGAGTAAATGTTGTCTGCACTTGACTCCGATCTTTTTACTCTGATCTGGTTTTTGAACAAGTTCAAGTAATTAATATCATGAGATAAGTATACAACAGCGAAAAAGAAAACGAGGATGAAGAGGCCTGCAGCAATGTGGTGCAACTTGAGAACGGTTTCCCATGTTTTGACAGGCCACATATTGCTATGTGTGTATTATGATGATACTCGCTACTGTTAGTTGGAGATTTATATATTCTCTCTACTTGCAAGATCAACATAGTTATATTCAGGTGTCGTACATGTTAATAATTATCCTGGTTATAATTTTCACGTGATTTTCATGATTATTTCAATACATATATATGATTGAATCGCTTCTTACCTTGTTTAATCAGAAGAATGTTTGCAGATACATATACTTAATATGTACATATTATTATTATATATGATCTTCTGCGTATCATAGAGTTGAATGATATTGATTTTGTTTCCTCCGTGATTAACTGCCCAAGTGCAGACCCCTGTTCCTCCAGCTTGTACATATACATGGTCCCTAGTAAATATTGCAATTTTGCCTGATTTGCCAAGTAAATCATGGTAATAGCTGTATTTCTCGTGAGGGACAATTTCCTAATTTTTAGACGATTATGAACATAAAACATAAAAAAACACTCAAATGTAAAACATTTAATTACAATTGCAGTTAATTTGATTAGGGCCTTTGTACTATAACCACCACACCACCACATATATATATATATATATATATATATACGTGCAGTGAAAAAGACTTTACCTTTGTAAAATCTTTTCAGCAATGAGATGGATATATCACCAGTGAATTAATTTTGTGTGTGGTTAAAAATGTAAGCATACAAGAGCTCGTTCCAGACATCAGGAACTCCGGGAAGACACCAATGCACGCAATCTGCATAACCAAGAGGATCTGCAAGTTGCTCTTGAGTCAAAGGCTCCCATTGTTTTCTGTATATGGAGGGGTGCCCTTCTTTCCTGTACTCAGAAAGCTGTGTTATGTTGATCATCTGCACATTCAACCCTCTTCTTTCAAGGTCATCTATTGTGGCCTCCACCATTCTCATCATCTTAGGATCTGTTCCTTTTCCTCTGTACCCCACTTCCTTTATCATTTCTGTTTCTGTGTAGCAGTTCCCTCCTTCAGGCTGCCCCCATTCTTCAGCCCTGCAAATTTAATTGATTGCATATATATGATGAAATCAGCAGGTTTATTTTTTTAATTAGATGAATCGAATCGAATTGTACGAAGATTATACCGTTCATGAGTCGGGGACATGCTCATGAAGAACAATTGGGTCTTGCTTCGATTGACGTGTATTTCCAGCCAGTCGGCCCATGTCTTTAGAGCTAGTTCGTAGCTCCGCAGCATATCTACTTTCTTGTATATTCCATCTGAGCTATTGAATGTGCCCCACCTGATCATCGATCATAATAGCCATTTATCTTAATTAATTATATAAGTATGTGGTGCCGTGCGAGGTGGCTATGTATGTATGTATGTATATATGGATATATCAATTAGTTAAGTGCTCACAGGACATCCATTTGAGGCCTTCTCCACCAAAGATAGGTATTGAAAACAAGTATATCCGCGTCGGTCCAGTGGCGGGCATGCTTCTCTATAGCTTGAGCTCTAACGATCCGTTCTGGCAGACGATGCAAAACTGGATCGTCTGAGTTGGACTCCACCAACAAGGGAGCCCAGTAGAACTCTATTTTCGCATTGTATTCCTTCAATGCAAGAATTCAATATATATTAATTAATCTTGAATGAACAAATTAAGTAGGTATATAGGTGTACTGTAATTGCTTACTTTTGCCTTGAAGGTGATCAAGGAGCTGCCATTGTTGTGCATGTATTTGAGGTGTGGTGGAATAGCCTTGTCCAGCAGACACACCATAGATACCCATTGCCCTCTATTCAATGAGTCCCCAACGAATACTAGCCTCTTATTCCTTAATCTCTCTAACAATGCTGTTGCATTGAACCTAGCTTTATACAGATAGAAAGAAAAACACACACATTCCACCTTGCGCGTCAAATATCATTCTTACATAAACCTGCTCATTAAATCAATTGATATATTTTTTAATAATATAATCTAGTATAAGGTCTCCACGCAAAAATTAATTGATGAATCAAATAATTAATTAAGAAAGGCGAGACGACGTTCCAGACCACCTTGGGAGGTCACACTGATGAGGTTGCCATCGCCAATGCTGATAGTCCAAGTCTTTCCTGCCAAACTTGGCACAAGCCAATTGATCCGACATGAAGGAGCACTCCTTGTCTTTGTACAAAGGATATGACTCGTTGTCATAAACCCATTTCCCTGCAAACAGATCGCACCCAGACGTAGTAGTCGTATCGTTAGTTGCCCCTATCAATTTGTGACCCTCATCTTCTTCTCGTACCAAGTAGCCACTCTCCGCTGTGAGATAAATGGCCCCGACCACCAACGCCGCCACAAGAAGCCCTATCAGGGAATGAAAACTGCACCTGATATCTATCGTCCCGGACACTGCTTCTGGAAGCAAAATATGTTTCTTGGCGGCCATTAATAATTACTCTATTCTTAATTACCTGATTGGAGGATACATACACAATCGATGTTCTGGCGCATGGAGGTTATATCTGTATTGAAGTGGAAGCTGGATGCCACAGCATTAGGTAGGTGAAATTTAGCTTTCGGGGTTTGTTAGGATTATTTAGCTAGAGTAGGGGAACTGCAGCATACTTGGTGGTGGTTTAGCTAGTGGAACCAACAGTAGTAGTTCTAAGTAGTTGGTTGCTTTAATTAATTAGTTTTCTTATTGGTTAATTAGGAGCTCCATTAAAAATTAATTAAGAAAAAATGTAAATATAAATTATAGTACATATGTATGGACTATTTAAATATTATTGATTCGCGGGGCTCAATCAATCAGTCAATCGTATTTGCCAAGCTAAGGAAAGGAAGAAAGAAAGAAAGAGTGGCGAGGAGGTTTTGGTTCGTGCACACCCACACGGGCATTATTATTAATTTACATATTTGTAATGGCAACTAGGATGTTTGGACCGGGGTGGATACTATATTAATTAATTAGGTTGGGGTGGGGGTGGGGGTGGGGGTGGGGCAGTTGAAGTTCTGGTTGAACCGTTGACATCTTAAATCGTTGAAGTCAAGATAATTCTCATATATATATATATATATATATCATCCCCCACTGACTGTCCACAGGCACATCTATATATATAGATACAGCACTAAACCCACCCATTCCCATTCTTTTCTAATATAAAGTGATAGCTATATGAAACGGATCTTATATATATATATATATATATATATACATGTATCAATGTATTGGTGAAATATAACCCCAAGAATAGATAGATAGATAGATGCACAAGTACGCAGGAAGCCTCTAGTTAGGTATCTTTTCCATGAAGCATTGGTTGCTTGAGATTGAATGTAGTTTATAATTAATCTTTGAATTGTTGTTATGGTCCTGTCATATCATATGACATATGTACATACTCGTTGAAGGTGACGAAATAATTAGTTAAATGAGGCCTTTCCCGTTGATAAAAATCCATGCTCTGCTGTAGCATTATATATGTTACAGTGATACTTCAAAAATACTGCCGAATGATTCATTCAGCAAGGCTTTATTTAATCTCAATGTGATACATGATCCAACCCCTTAAATTTTAATTTGAATCTTAGATTAAAACAGTATTTTTATATCATTTTGTGGGGGAGAAAAAAAAAGAAAGTATGTTTTTATTAATAATTAGACAAAATGAGTAATCATAATTTTGGTTTGAAGAACAAACCAAATAAAACATACTCTGTATGTATTCATTAAGTGAGTTTAAATGCACGCGGTTAAACAAAACATGTTTCCAATAATAGTTTATCAATTTAGCCACCCCGTGTAACGTGTACGAAAACTGATATGCCCGGCGCATAAGCCATGCTCGCGAGGCTCAGACCAACCGTCCCCTGTGCGCAATACATTTGGGACATACACGTACCTGCACCAAAATATAGGTTATCAGTCAGCCGTACAAGATAAGGACTCGCACACATAGGACGGATTATGGCTGAGAACCAGGGGCAGAGATATTGGTCCGTGACACTCGGCAACCCTAATTAATATTGCTTCGGAAATCAAATCAAAGACAACATATTAAGGCCATTGGCCATGCATGTTTATTAGTATATGGGAGCATCGGGAATTAATAAGAATTAAAAACACTTGAAGACTTCTAAAGATAATTTGTAAAAATCCTCTGCTAATTAATTCTATTGGCATGTCGACAATAAATTATTATCTTACGGGGCTGTGACTATTTCGTGGATCTCAAATTTAAGGAATAAATAGCACGACAACTTTCATGGTTCAGAGTCTTCTAAACGTCATTTTATATATGTCATGTGAAGGAGATGGATTTTGAGATTTAGATACGGCCGTCGTGTCGTGTTGGAGAATTATGCATTATTAATTGCAAATTTATTATTACTATTAAAAGGTCTAGGATTCTAAAATCAAGAAAAATGAAAACTGAATAGTTAGCAAACTACTGCACTGGACTGGACGTTTAGGCACGTGAAGGACCAAATATTAGAGCTTCTAGGCTAACTTGTATGTATGTATACTTGGTTATTCTATACATACATACATTTCTGGATATTTATTTATACTTGGCTTTGTTTTTTGCTGTACCATATTTGATTAAACATGCCAGCCAGAATATCTTTTGCTGATTCCAAAGCAATTAAAAAACATTGTTGTTTATATACATGATCCCGATCGAATCATATTCACTTTGTTTGAGCCTATCTATCTGACTGACTATCTATCTGGGTTGATTGATATATAGATAAGTATGCAATTATAAATTTCTGTTACTGATGTTGCTGGATGGTACTAATTTCTTTATTCATATCAAACGTAGTAATTATATTAATTCCAATCATGCTTTGGTAGTAGTTAAAACTAACATGTACATATACATGATAATAATTATAATCAGGAAGGAAGGAGGATATATGTACTCTTACACAACTGTATATGCCCCTGCCAATGCCCACTTCTCCTTTTGTTATTAACTCGAATATTCTCTCCATCCCCACAATTTTATACCTATTTACAAAGAAAATTGGTATAAAATTCAGAATTAATAATTAGAGAACAGTCAAGAAAGATATTCTAAGGCAAGAGGGCAAAAGAAAAAACGAAAATGATGATAATAAAGAAAGAGAAAAGAAAAGCAAGATGAAAAAGGACGCTAGCTTCTGCTTATTTAAGTAACTGGAGAATATAAAAAGGGTTTATATAAATAAAACCCAAACTACTCAACTTGCGAAATTGATCGGAAGAAGACGAAACATCTTTTTCTTTTAGCACAGTTAGTTTGTCGTTTCTGCAAATTGACAGGAGGAGGAGGAGCTCACACTAGTATTTGTTTGTACTCGAAATATCTGGTTCCAATTTATAATTAAATTTATTATCGCATGCATGTGTTTCCCCTCCACACTGCAGTCAGCAGATATCGATCGAGTCGAAGATAGATAAGTACCAACGTATAGATTGAGTCAAAAAAGATGCAGTTTTATATATATATATATATATATATATATAGTAGAAGATATCATCATCATCATCATCCACACAGAGAGAAATTAAAGTAAAAAATGATTTCTGTAACGAGGAAACCTTGCAAAAATTGCATGCGGTCTTTCTGTAACGTGAAGGCATTCAACCTAAGCAAGCAGAGAATATTGAAAAAGGTAGCTGCTGCTGCTGCTGCTGCTTCTGCCCACTTGGCCTCATGCCATGCCATGCCGATGCCAGCCAACTTGCATCCCTAAGTACCCTCAGCCATTTCTTTTTTCCTCTATATGTAATATTAATTTTTAATTCAATTCCACCATTTAATTTCTTCCTTTTTAAATATATATATATATATATATATGGCCAAGTTGCAGTGATATATATATATATATTTATACATCCCCACCCTAGTTCCCTTACCTTACCTGATGAAGAATTAGACAGAGAGATACGAAAATCAAGGACAATCAAACAATGCCCATCGAGGAGACCTTGCAACTTGCAGGCTTATTAGCTTGCTACAACGCATGCTTTTATATATGTGTATATAAATATATAATTTTAAAGGCTACTTGTTGACACCAAAAGGCCAACTTGCAGCGTTGCTGTTTGCTTTCAATTATCTTTTACTGATAAATAATAATTCTTTCTTTTTAATTCATCCACTGGGTCATGTTGAATGTTATTTTTGAAGAAAACAAAAAACATGGAAACCCAAGTGCTTGTTAGATCTATCTAATCAGATGGGAATTTCTGTACATACTACTAGTTCACAATAACATTAAACAAAAGACATGAAATTCCATTAATTTATATCGTGTGTCTTAGATGTTAAAAATAAACTATCAGGAATATATTACATCTTCAAGGTCTGCACGCACGCTGACAATATAATGGTACATCCAAGATACAACATAGATATGCATATCCATGGCAGCAATTATACATACTGATGCTAAAGTTATTCTTTTATTTCATAACACGAGTAGAATGTATAGTGATAAATATATGCTACATTAACAGCTGTGATTCATTTAACTTCTCCCCTTGTCGCATTTTAATGGTGGATATATATATATATATATACATATTGTGTTTCGTGTGAATTGCTTATATTATTGCCCAATGGAGTTGAATGGAGAAACCCTATAGCCTATACAAATATAGTAAGCATCGTCTTGTGCTGCCCAAACTGCAGATCTAAAACCAGTCGTCAAACTAATGATCGAGTTACGTTGTTTGAGGTTACCAACGTTTAGTTATATATATAATGTGTAAGGCTGTTTTTGTGTGATCTATGGAAAACGAAGTGGCCCTGGAAGATATTATTCTATGCAATTGCTAACATTATAGTTCTAAATTATGATCAGCTCTCTGACACAGAATGCATTCAAGTTTAATTATTAATTAAAAACCATTTGATTTTAATTTGATAGCATCATCATCTTTAGCCGCCTTAACTTGCTCTCCTCCACATCCAAAAAGTCCACCACTTCACATGCTCACAGATGCAAAATAAATTAATCGCAGAAAGAGAGAGAGAATAGCAGCAGCAGCAAGAATATGCACAGATCAAGTGTAAATTGTTCTTGAACACACAACGGCAATCGACAGACCTCAAAGTCAAGGCCATAAAAACATTACATGTTCTTCGAACAATAAAAAGCAAGCTTCGTCTCATGGTACGATGAGTATAATACAAAAGTCACATTGATCCAGCCGGGATTCCTCTGATGATATGAGCTGATCGAGCAGTGCGTTTCGAATTGTAAATTTTTCATGGAGGAGTTAAGGGCTTCGTCTGACTAATCAGATTCTCAGTGATCTGAGTCAACGATTGAAGATTACATTTCACAATCGTATCAACAAAAACGCAGGTTTCTTCTTTAGTGTTACCTTGCGGGACATCGACAACGTACGACTCCACCACCACCGTGCCGCCGTCCGATGCGGCGTGTAGTGTCGTGACAGATCTATAATTAGCTAATCGGTGGTCGCCGCCGACTACGCTGAAGCTGATGATGTGGCGCTCATCATCCAGAATTTCCAAACGCTCGGTGCTGCTGACGGCGGGTAGGCCGGAGATGACTCGGACTTCCCGGACGGTACCGACGTTTCCGTTTCCGAGGATGACGTGGCAGCTCTTGACGAAGTGCTTGTAGGCTTGTGGGTTGTCGAAGCGGCGGACTACTGACCAGACGGTGGAGACGGGAGCGGAGATGTGTTGGATGACGGCGGAGCAGCACTGGTTGGGGCCGACGGCGTAGGTGTGGTACCTGGCTACTTGGTCGGGAACCTGGGCGGCAGCTGGATGGCTGTATGCTTGCTTGCAGGCGCCGGCGGAGGCGGTGGTGGTAGGCGTTTCATTGATTCGCTGGAGTAGAAGGGAGGATTTAGATTGAGTCGAAGGCATTTTAATAATTTGTTTAGATGGATGGTGATTGAGCAAGATAATCTGCAGGGATTGTGATTTGTGACTGCATATATATGTATATTTAAGAGAGAGAGACACACAAACACTTATGCCCAAGTTGCAATATTCAACTCTTACCAGAGCTTTTCTTACATCAGTGAAAGTGAAGGAGAGAGTGGGAGAAAAGAAAAAGAAAAAGAAAAAGAAAATCACAAAGTTGGAATTAGTATTTCATAGACAGTCCTGGACCACAAACGCCGGGGACAATAACAAAACACAGGAATCACGTTGCACGCATGGGACCCGCGTCATGATTGGCGGAGATTGTTCTAAAAATTAAACTCCCGGGAGCGGGAGCGGGTAACAATCAGGGCCAAGACAAGACAACCTTGCCAAATTCATGATCAAATTAAATAGGATTGATTGGTTATTAGAAAATTGCAATTTGTACCATTCTTGGAATCTCAAAACGATATTCATTCGCTGGTACAAAACTCTACTATCTTCTGGTCAAAGAAGATTGATTGTCTAGAAGAGGCTAGATAAATGGATGGATGGATGGATAGCCATCGATTTCAAGTAGTAGTAGTTATTCAATAGTTTAAAATACAATTAATTAATGAACCATTTGGTGCGTGGGTTTTTCTTTTAAAATTTTCTTACATCAACAACACCACCCAAGTGGGGTGGGATATATATATATATATGTGTGTATATTACCCTCACATATGAGGTTAATTAGAGATTAAGTAAGGCCCACATTATAGTCCATGCCATGCTATATATGAGGAACTAAGTTGTAGAGCATGCATATATACATACATACATAGATACATACGCTGCACAGTAAATTAAACAGGAATAGGACTAGTGCACTGTGACTCGATGATGGATAATTAATTAATCATATCAGATTATATTATTTATTTACTTCTTTAATTGGGCCGTACGTGTTTAATAATTTTGTGTATATATAGTTGAATAGTAGTGTATGCGATGCGATGTGATGTGGTCCATTCCTCCTAATTTCCTCTCCAATTCTGCATGCATGGTGATTGGTCCCGCCTGCTGCAACTATTATTTGAATGAATTGTTTTATGAATAAAATATTGTGAGTGAAGAATCTGAGAATTGGATTGGTGCAATCAAATATTAAAAGTAGCAAAAAGGAGAGGAGCTAGGCATAGGGCATAGGGCATAGGGCATGCATCATCATATCGAAAAGCTACCAAAAGCAATTAGCAATAGTCTGTAAGTAGGTAGCTGTACATGAACATACTACATCTTTCTCACAATACAATAGAAAGGATCTGAGTCTCTCTCTCCATCTCTAGGTACACAAACACAAACAAGGCCAGCTCTGCCTTGGCTTATTAGGTTATCTCCATCCTTGGTTGCATTTTCATGCATTAAACTAATCTAAGGAAACACACTGCTCTACATTCCAATTAAACCCATTCTCAAAATAAAACTTAAATGCATCATCATTTTATTTCTTCTTACGTACGTAAAATGCAACTCCTTTAATTTCCTAAAGTGGTTGCTTATATATATCTCCAGCGACGGCAGCAAGCGCGCATTATTATAAAACTGAAAATGATGAGTAGAGCAGTACTCTATTAATCAACTTTATTCTGCCACTTATATATCATATGGGAGGGATGTATATTGGACTCAGGATTGGTTGATTAATTAAATAATTGCGATCACCTGCATATCTGTTAAGTACTACTAGTTAAAAATATCTGAGTGGATGTACCATCAATCATTCAGTAATATATATATATATATATGTATATGGAGTAACCTTAATTTGTATTTAATTTAAATTACTTTATATTTTAATAATTTTGAAGTAGATAAACAAATTAAAGTCGAGCTGAGCTAGGAAGGATTCCTCGCTCGTCTCCAAGCCACAGGGGCTGGCTGGCTAATATCCTAGCTAACTAGCTGAGAACTTATTAGGCATGACAAGAAATGCATTTTCTACTTACTAATTTATTAATCTAATTGCTCACAAAACCATATGTACATTAAAATATATAGTTCCAGAGTTTTCTTATTTCAGTTGCGTATGCATATTATTTTTATTATTATACATGGCCCTTGGGGACTGTAATATATCAAAGTTGAAATGTACAATACATTCATAACTGTATTATTTTATATTATGTTTTATTGCGACATATTGGAGAGGATATGGGAGTTCAGCCCCCCATTGCCCTATCTATCTATCAACATACTGTCGTTTTGTCTTCTCTCTTTTTTTTCCTTTCACAAATATATTAATTACTATAGTAGTCTCCAAACTCCAAAGCGCTAGTACTACCTCTACCTCTACCTCTACCTCTACCTCACTGTAATAATCTATTGCAATGGATTGGAAATCAACAGATAAACCAACCTTACACAGAAAGAAACCTACGTAATCAGGAGCTAATTCCATCGTAACTGCAGCTTGCTTCACTTCAACTCAAAAAATAAAAAATCATACTTGGTTTCTGAATCCTAAACATGTATGTATGTATGGTATGTTGTACTTAGATATCTGCAGTATTTCAGTTAACAACAAATACCATCAAGAGTATGCATATTTAAGATAAAATAAATCATGGTAATAAAAATACAAAGGAAAATCCCCTATCCACCATCCTTAGAGAGTGGAGAGCAGGTAACCTTACCCGCATATGACAGATTTCATAGAGAGTGACCTAAAAACTCCCGTTGGAGCAGGTAGGTAAGAAAACATCCTACTATTATTCTGTCAATCAAAGCCATGCATCTTTAAATATAAAATTCCAATGTAATACCAAAAGCTCATACAAACATAAAATTATACTATCCCCACACATACTAAATCAAGTGCCCAAGAAAATTTAATAACGTCAAAACTTCAAATAGCCTAGGCAGTGGAAGCCTGGGCGGAAAGCCTCTTCCTGGCCTCCTCAATGATGGACAACTTGATACCTTTGCCCTTTGGAAGGGACACCCAGGGTTTTGTACCCTTGCCAATTATGAACACATTCCCCAATCGAGTAGCAAATTCATGCCCAGTAGCATCCTGAACGTGAATGGTTTCAAAGCTTCCCTTATGCTTCTCTCGATTCTTGATCACTCCAACCCTTCCCCTGTTCCTACCACCAGTCACCATAACCACATTTCCCACATCAAACTTTATGAAGTCAACAATTTTGCCACTCTCTAGGTCAAATTTGATGGTGTCGTTTGCCTTGATCAGAGGATCAGGATAGCGAATGGTCCTGCCATCATATGTGTTAAGGTAAGGGATACCTTTTTGCCCAAACTGCACTGACCGGACCTTGCACAGCTTAAACTGCATTTTCATGACAACATGAGTATTAAGGCCTTAACAAAAAGAATTTAAAAAAAGTAGCATAACATACCACATTCAGGAATTCAAAGGACCAATAAAATAAGGATAATATAAACATTTAAATCCAGCTACTAGGCAACACAATAAAACATCAAGGTACAGAAAAAATAAGGGGAAAAAACCTGATGTACAATAATACGCTTCATCAAGTTCACTAAAGTCATTAACCAACAATTGTTCAATAAACCAGATGCTGATATATCTCTGAGGGTAAAATATCCATCATAAATAAAACCTCACCAAAGAATAAGGTGTAGAAATACAAACCTTAGCTTCCTCATCCCTGATAGAGTGGAGCCTAAAACGACCCTTGGTGTCATAGAGGAGACGGAAATTTTCGTTGGTCTTGGGGATAGAGACAACATCTAGAACAAATTAAGAGGCATACATCATATTAGCAAGTACGATTAAGAGGGAAGAAAATTTAAACAGCATAAGAGAGATCCAAAACTTGTTGAGTGAAAAGTGTTGAGAATAACTAATGTGATCAAAATAGTATAGGTGAAAATATTATTAAGCATTGCAAAACATTAAGTATAAGCATGTATAGGGCCCGTGGTTTCATAATTCTACATACAAGGAATAATCACTGAGCACTACTATCCAACTTAAAATTACGTAAAGCAGATAAACATACCCATAAAACCAGCAGGATAAGTCTTATCAGTCCTGACCTTGCCGTCAACAAGAACATGCCTTTGCATCAAAATAGCAATGACTTCCCTGTAATCCAGGGCATATTTCAGCCTATTACGCAGAATCAGAATTAGAGGCAAGCATTCCCTGGACTTGTGGGGTCCAGATGATGGTTTCGGCGCCTGCAGATCAAAGTATTAAACATAATGGAAACATCGTGACACCCTTAGATTAGATACCATCAAGATGCAGACTAACACAAGAACAGAAAGACAGATAGGTAAGGATAAGGAAGAAAAAGCAGAACAGAACAAAACAAAACAAATCATACTCACAAAAGCACCACCAAGCTTATCCAGCATCCAATGCTTCGGAGCATTGAGCCTCTTCAAGTGCTTCTTCAGACCACGAGCCTGTGGCAAATTCAAAGACAAATATCAATAGCCATCCATAAGTATTCTCCGAACAATGTATAAATCCCACCACAAGATATTTTTGTTGTACAAACTATAATATTGCAGATTCCCTAGGAAAAACATTAGAAAGCTATGCGTCCAACGGATTCACGTAAGAATGATGTCTCAGAGCATGACTATGGATTTATGTCGTAACGAACGATAAATTTAAGAGAACGTCCGAGTGCAATTTTTTTCATGTTGGAGAAAGATAAGAACAGCTAGCTTCCACTGAAGCCAAATTCCAATCATGAACAAATCTGTTAAGAAATTGGTACGATTTTTTATCCTCCTTGGAATGATACGAACAGGTTGCAGAAATTAAACATAAAATAAAATAATCCAAATTACAAATAAAAAACAAGTTCCAAAAACATACAAGCAGGCTCAGAAAGAATCGATATTTCAGCTAGCAAGGTAGAACATCCGCACATACAAACACTAAATCCACAAGCAAATAAGAAGAAACACCTAAAAAGCAATACCGATTATTCGCAGCCCATGAGAACAACCAGGAAACATCATTCTTCAAAAACATTGTAATGTTTCTCAGAGATCTACAAATAAGAACTACACGAAGAATTGCTTACCATCTTGCCGACGAAAGTAGGAACCGCGGCGCTTGTCTCCCTCGCTGCCCCAGTACTCAAGTAAACAGAATGATAACCCTAAACGCGATATATATGTGGCAGTGGGGCAAAGGGTTTATGATTTAGAGATACTTTCGGGCTTAATTTATAGCAAGCCCAGGCCCAATAAGATGGCATAAGGGGTATATATTTAATACCAACGCATGGAAAAAAATGTTTTGTTCACTTGTTTTTGTTTTTTCCCTTAATAATATTTACTAATGTATTTTTTTAATACGCATTATATTTAATAATTATATATTTTACATATAAATACTATATTTAATGTTTTTTTCTATAGATATTAAAAAAAAAAAACACACACCAAATCAACATTCTTCAATGAAAATTTGATTCTGCTTTCTAGATCACAACAGCGATTCCATTCATCTATCCTTTTAACAATTTTGCTGCTGTTATTACAGGTTTGCAATTGCCACCCATCAGATATGACTAATACCACCAAATATTTTCAGTAGTTTTTTACTAAGTGATCATTTTTTTTTTTTTCTGATGACTCCATTTAATTTCTTGAATTATCCTCTGTACATGTTTTTTGCAATGGTATCAACAGTATGACTCCCTTTTTACAGAAATTAACACAACACCCACCCCTTTTACATTTGTGCCATCCATATCATATGTACTTTGACATGTCTTCTTTCACACCCCAAGTAGAAACCCTCACCAGGGGTGTCTCCTTCCACAGCAAGACCATCATCTTGCTTCCAATCTTCACATTGTATGAACTATCTCCTCCATCCACCATCAGCTTAGCTACAGCCAAACTTTCTTGGCTGTGCTTCACACCTTCCATCCCTGAGTCCTCCATCTCTGATAGAAGACTATAATCTTTCATCTCCTTCCACTCCTGGAACCAAACTTTGGGGCACATTAGGGGTGACAGAAAAAGATTTTCCATAGCTGTTCTTGCCTCTACAAGATAAACAGGGAAATTCTTCTCCAACGATTCAAAGATAGCCCGGTAGTGTCTTAAGAGATGATCAAAGTATAAGGAGTAACTTGACCCATCATTCAAACTCTCCCCAGCTTCTCCATCCCCGAGAACCACAATTCCATCACATCTCTGTAACACTCCCCTGGCTACCTTGAGAAACTCTATTCTAGTTCTTGTTCTCCTCCTCCCACCCATGTGGGGAAGTCCCAACATGCAGTTGAACACCACCCACTCTCCTCTGCCTCCTGTTCCCTCCCTCATCAGTTCACTAGAAATCTCCCCAATGCTTTTCTCCTCCATCTGCAGCTTCACACCGTACTGTCTCGCATGAGACATGAGGCGTTTCATCGTATCCTCATAGTTCCAGCAAGAATAGATGCATCCCTCTTCTGGCCTAACCGATGTGATCCACACTTGCTTACGTTTCCTGCTCAGGGCCTCAATCAATGGAGGCCACTGAATCCCCTCCCCGAGATGGAAATCTATTATGCGTATTTTTTCTACATCGTGTGGCATTGATTTGAGGATAGCAGTGGTAGCTGTGAAATGAGCGAACTGGGAGTTGGGGAGACTCTGACACAACACCTTGAATGCTGGTAAGAAATTCTTGCTTGATTCCAGCCTCAAATATTCTCCTTGGTGATCTCTGGACTGAAACAGGTTGTACGCAAGGCGTTCCATGGTGTTGCCCACAGGACTGCTTTTCTCGTTTATAGACTTCACAATCACCTCCGCCAGCTCCTCCTCCCCATTCTCCATAGCCTCACCATACGCCTTGAGCAGATGAATCAGACTCAATTGCTCATCCATCTTCATCTTCTCCATGCCAGTGAGAGAATACTCCCAGGGATTATGGTTACATTCTACAGAAACACAAGGGCTCCCTTCGTTACTCACAGTGTCAGTGGTCAGCAGAGACGAACAATTTCCTTCTGCTGTCCTATCATTTCCATTTACCCATTCATAGATATCCTCCTCCATTTTTTCACTCGGAGTAGCTGTATCTATGGGCGAGCACATTTGAACTCCATCTACCCAATTGTCGAGATCCAGAAACTCGTCAGGGAACATGGTTGGGACATCAGAGCTTGAAGAAACCACAGAGGACTCCGCCTCCGGGGAAGGGAAGGAACAAGGAAAGTCACAAAATTCCATTACTTGATCACCATATTCAAATTGTGATGGTGAGGGTGTGGTAATGAAGCTGGGTTGCCATGAACTAGGAAGAAGCAGCTCTGGTTCAATCATTTTTCTTGCTATTATTTTTCTTCTGCCGGGATCAAAGGTATCTAACTATCTATCATCCACCCATTATATATATATCACTAAGCTGTGGCAATTGATGTTGACACAAAAAATAAAAGAATATCACGAGGAAAGACAACACAGTCGGTCACACGCATATAAAAATAATATATTGTAAAGTTCCCACAGAAGTCCTCTTTTGCTGCAAACTTCTTGGATGTTTACCATGAAGCCTTGAGTATTGGTATATAATTCAAACCATAAAATATTGAATTAAATATATAAGTATGATACAAATCTCTTTCCTCTACAGGCCATGGCTTGCAATTAGCAGTCCATATGGGTCCCAGAGGTTTAGGTTCACCGAAAAGTTAGGTCACATACCGACACACACAAATTACTTCCCAACCATGGCAGCTTTCTTTAATAGAGAAGCTTGCAGCAATACTTCAGTAATTAATCAATTGATCATCATCCTAACAAAATACAAATACAAATACAGATAGAATACAAGCCAAAGAGATAATCATTTACTAATTAATTTGCATCTCCTACTTCAATTTTTTCCATTATACCTTTGTTGGCCGGACTCCCAACCTCCCATCCCGTGTCAACTAACTTACATATGTATGTAAGACAACTTCCAAGTGCATTGATGATGATCATACAGGATAATTTAATAGGTAAATCGTCTATTGATGTGATGTGGTGTGATGTGATGTGTTTAATCATTTCTTACGAGGGTGAGTGCGTGCAATTGCAATACAATCCAAACACATATATCCCCTGCCCTTGCATGAATTTCTGGGAACTGTTGTGACTTGTAAGATACCCACTGAATGAAAGGCGTCGATCCATGCAGATCAGGGGACCTGGACTCCCGGCCATTCCATACGAGGTGAGCATTGAAAAGAGTTGAGAATGAAGTGGCAGTAATGAGGTGACAGGGAATCCCAATTAAGGCTTTTTTTGGCGAAGGAAAACTTGCATAAATCCAATCAGTTGCACAACCCAAAATGTTTCGTATCCATCGCGACACCGATACACACATCTATTTTAATTGTGGACAACTTAACTTCATGACCGTACCGAGACAACAGTTTCGTCCAAAAGAAAGTGTATATAATATAAATAAAGCCCTGCTGAGCCTGAGCCTGAGCCTTTATTATTATTATGGGCCTGTTTTTTATAACTATAGAATACCAATGCCTTTATATTAATATGTTTGGTCTGCTGTAGTACAAGTAAAGATGGGCTTTGTTTGTTTGATGGACCAGATTTCTCTAATCACATGATCCAAATGATTCATAGTCTCTATTTACCCAATACTCTTGGACTTTTTTGTGCGTTATTGAAATTTTTAAAAAAGTCTCCCAAAAACTGAAAATTACAGGGGACGTTAATATGGGAATGGGACTTGCCGTCCACCACCACCGACACAAATTTAAAAATAACTAAAATAATTGAACAAAAATTCAATGCTAATACCTAGCTCCAATCCCAAATCCATGGAATGTGTAGAGTGGTCAGTGGTAATCCTAATACCTCTCCACATGGAGTAGCAATAAAACACTTCAATGCTCCACTAATCTGTCGGTAGTCGGTAGTGTCAACTTCTTTGATCTTGTTTTCTTCTGTTTCATCTTGATCTTGATCTTGATCTTCAGGTTTCTAATTAACATGACATGTCAAGGAGGGAGAGATTGTTACAGAGTGATTAGAAAATGTAACGCGGCTGCTTCCCCCTCAATCACCATCATCACGCTAATTTCAGTCATGGCTGCTGTCTTGATCCTGATCAAAGACATAACTTTCACAGCCAGAATCACTCTCAGGTGGCCTCCTGAATATCTCCATATTATTGGAGTTGGAGGACGCTCAAGCACCCACCCCAACCCCACAGTTGTCAAAAATGGAGAAGTAGAAGTAGAAGAAGAAGGGGTTGCGTTGGGGTGTGACTTGTCCAAGGGAAGATGGGTGTTCGACGATGTGACGAGGCCGTTGTACAAGGAAGAAGACTGCAGGTTTCTGACAGCTCAGGTGACGTGTATCCGAAATGGGAGAAAGGACACCATGTATCAGAAATGGAGATGGCAGCCCCATCAATGTTCTTTGCCCAGGTAAGTTAAGTAGTAGTGTTACTGAATGATCAATACCCGGCCCGCAACTTAAACAGAAGTGAATAAATACTTACGGTAGCTAGGTTTAAAGCAAGAGTCCTGCTGGAGAAGCTGAGGGGGAAGAGGATGATGTTTGTGGGGGATTCACTGAACCGGAACCAGTGGGAGTCAATGGTCTGTTTGCTCCAATCCGCCGTCGCTCCGCACAAAGCTTCCTGGAGGGTCGGGGCCCCACTTTCCGTTTTCTCTCTCCAGGTAAATATATACCAACCTACTCTTTAACTACCAAATACTTGTACTTTTGGGCTATGCTAAACATGTATGTGATTGCAATGGGATCCATCCAAGTGTCGGTAGACTCAGTCATATCCATCATTTTTGTTTTTTCAAGTCAAAATCAGCCATGGGGAGAATTTCTTTCATGTACCCCAACTTAATTAATCCACCTCCTTCATACATAATTAGAGGCCGGTCCCGTCCCGTCCCGTCCCAGTCCTTTTGCAGGCAGCCACAAACAATCCTTTCGTTGTTCATCAAATTGCAGGAGTACAATGCGACAGTTGAGTTCTACTGGGCCCCTTTTCTGGTAGAATCAAATTCGGATGACCCACGAAATCACTCCGCCATCGCCCACCGAATCATTGCGCCGGACTCAATCTCCAACCACGGCCTCCACTGGAAGCCTGCGGATTTCCTCGTCTTCAACACCTACATTTGGTGGATGAATCGCCGCACCATTAAAGTCTTGTACATACGCATACACATACACTTTCATTATTAATTATTATTATTATTATTATATATTGATTTGATTGATTAATCTAATTAATAATTATGGTGGTATATGGAGCAGACGAGGAGGAGGGCCGCTGGCTGATCATGGATCAGCAGCAGCAGCAGCAGAATTCGACGAACTCGAACGTGTCACAGCATATGAAAGAGTAATGACAACGTGGGCAAATTGGGTAAAGCATAACATCGACCACAATCGCACATCGTCCTTCTTCGTCACCATGTCTCCAGTTCATCAGGAGTACGTACTTCATTAATTAATTAACGAACTGAAGTTGTCAGTAGTACAGTTAATTAACCTTAATTAATTTATATATACTACAAGTTTTAAAATTGATTAAAGTAAGTACGTGCGTATAGCTAGACACGGTTGGTATTGTCTTGATGTGCCAATAGGAGCTCAAACTGGAATGGTCCAAAGGGGATGGGGTGTGCCCTGGAGACTGTCCCCATCATCTCAATGTCAAACTCAAACTCAAATGCAAGTCTGAGCCTGAGCCTGAACATGGGCACTGACAGGCGGCTCCTGGAAATCACGAGGAGGGTGATCAATGCCACAAGAATCCCGGTGAGGTTGATCGATATCACGACGCTGTCTGAGTACAGAAAGGATGCGCACACGTCGGTATATACAATCCGGCAAGGAAAGCTCCTGACGCCGGAACAAAAGGCTGATCCTGCAACCTACGCGGATTGCCTGCACTGGTGCGTCCCAGGACTCCCCGACACCTGGAATCAACTGCTCTACGCTCACATCATTGCCAATGCCAATGCCAACTGCTCCTCTTGAATCATTCAATCCATATATACCCTGCACTTCCCAATACATACACCCACATTAACTATTAATGTCGAAACTTTCATACTTTAGTAATTGGGTTTGGGCTTTAATCACTTGGCTACTATTGGGTCTGATAAACAGCTTGGTTTAGGCTTAATTCATTTTAGTTTAATGGGCTTAGGTTGATCTTGGGCTCAAAACTTGGCCCATGTATTAGGTTGTGCTGTCTTGCGTCTTGTCCACAATTAGTTCCGCTGACATACGAGAATAATCATATATCCATTTTTTTAAAAAAAAACATATAAAATTATTTTTGATTTGTAATATTCTTAAACTTCTGTATAAATATATTTATTAATGCCAAACCAAAAACATGCAAAATTATTGGGACGAATGTAATACTAAATAATTTTTTCTTTATTATTTTCATGAACTTTTATATTAATTTAACTTGAAATTATTAAGTGGGGATGAGAACTTATGTATATATAACAGAGTCAGGGAAAATACTTATTGAAGAAAATGATGACAATTACGCACAAATCTCATTGTAATTAAAGTGGGGTTATTTGTGAATATAATGTCGACTATATTGAGTGGCATAAGAAATTTGAGTATTAATATATAAGATAGGTGAAATGTTAACATTAAGTGGGGGCCAAATAGACATTGAAAATGATACAAGATATACCTTTGACGTGAATACAATATACATATATATATATATAATTAGATAATTATCAACAAAATATATTCTTTATATTATTCCCCACTATGCTATAATAATAGTATGATTTTTCATCTGTCACTATGACTATCCCAAAAGTAGTATTACACAAAAATACAAGATCAAGAAACTTCACCTGCAGTGCTCAAGGCAATAAAAGGTCTAAAATGTCCCTGAATAGGGGAATTTGCAAATTATTCATCTCTTCTCGTTTTCTATTATTATTATTATTATCATTGATTAGTATCCAAATGATATGTATGAAAAGTGGTAAATAAAAAGCAATGAATTTACAATCTCTAGAATGGTTCAAATTTTATTGGAACAAAGACTTCTCTAAAAATACAGGCGCAAACAAGTAATAAGTTTAATTGGAGATCTTAATCTGCATTTATGACCACAATTAAACTTTAATTAATATATACAGAGACAAAGTGCACCAAACAGGAAGCAATAAGAGTTACAGAATAAGGATTAAAGATTTGTTAATTACGACGTTTAAGTCCATGTATATATATATATATACACACTAATACACGTCATCTCTTGCATTGCATGAGGTAATATATAAATTATATTGAATTGAATTAGATATGTATTTAATACACAACAATAATAAGAGAGGTGGAAAAAAGAGCACATTAGTATATTTAATTTGTGGGCTCTCAGTCATACATAAAAAGAATTCCTTACAAGTCACCAAAATTCAATCTGTAGTAGTATTGTATGCCATTCTTGGCCCCTATAATTTTAATATCTAAAAAATGATAGCAGTATGGAATATATGCACCTACCAATATGGACTGGACCAGTTGTGAAGCTGCAGCTTGAATATTGGTATTCAATTCCATGCCGTTCATACATATACATACATACATACATACAAACATGTAAGTACATGCTAATGCATATGTGCCAAGGCATGTGCATGTGCATATGATATATATATATATATTTATTTATTTATTTATTTGGAATTGAAATTGGGATATACTAGTATATTTCATAAGACGACAGACATGCTCATTCTGAGTTGAAGAATGCATGGTAGCTAGATCCGCATTAATAGGCACAAACACACATTTCCCTATGGCCTATGTCACCCGGGCCCTCCTTCCTTCCCCCCCTAGCTACCTTGTAAGAGATGCCAAAATTTTTATTTGTATGTATATGTGTATGTATATATATATATATATAGAGAGAGAGAGAGAGAGAGAGAGAGGGCACACGCATACATACACACAGACAGAGACACAGGTCTTGTTGGGACTTGGGCGTTGACTTCAACAAGTTGGACACTTTGTGATTAACTTTTCCTAGATCTAAATTAATCATTGAAAAATAATTATATACTTGTTTTAATGGCTGCATAGATGTACGTCTTCCATTTGTTGTTGTTTCGAGAGGCTTGTCTATGCCTTCACAACAAATATTGAGTCAAGTGCCCATCCAAAACTCAACTTTTCAGAAAACTTTACTGAATTGAAAAGTTAAAAAAACAAATATTGAGTCTTCAACAAGTTAATACAAACTTGTAATTTCTTCAACTTTACTAATATATATAAATATATATAAGTAGTCAATTAATATTAATTAATTTCAATGATTAGATGCTAGTTACTGAAGCACGCATATGTACGTACAGTAGTAGTAACTCATGTACATTAACATATATAATTGTTGCGATGATTATAAAATACATACAATGCATCTGAAATTAATTAATTTTTTATCCCGCCCAATAAATGGATTATTTATCTTAGCCACTGGCGTTGTTGCTGCTGCTGCACCAATATCTTTTTCAAGTCATCGGCTGCATCAAATATTTCATGAAATGGTGGCCACACATACAAATATTTCAAGAAGCCCGTGTTGTAGATTAAGTTCGTCCATGGATTCATTTTCTTTACATGTAGTTAAAGTGAAGTAATTAATTAATGTAGTAACAGAGAAAGTTATATAAATTGTATGGTCTGCCTGTCCCTGTTATAAGGTCACGGTTCATAATACAATTAACAATCCTTTGGAATAACCCTAACCACTATGCATCCCATCTCTATATATCTATGATCACAGAAGATTCCCATGAATATTTCGTGGTCCACATTTTCTGAAATTCTATGTATACAAAATATATATGTGTGTGTGTGGTCTCTCTCGCTCAGGATATATGGTTAAAGAAATTGATCAATAAGCATGCATGTGTTATGGACAAAACAATTTAGAGAGAGGGTTTCAAACAGTAGGTAGTGAATTAAATTAAATCAGATTATATTAGATGGAGGAAGTAGTTGAATAAATAGTGTAGGTCCCAATTCCACCAGCTTAAGAACAAGCCCCGTGATTCCCGACGCAAAGGCAGCTGCAAACATGCAATTTTTCTTGATTTTATTACCCTCTTCATCACTCTCAACTCATTTCTTCTTATTTATTAATATTTATATTGTGAATCTGCATCAAATCCAATGTTAGACATGACTTCAAAATTTGAGATAACACAATTCAATATTTTTTGGACCATCCCGGAAACAAACATACAGACATCCCCTCCTCCACTCTTAATTATTGTTTAATCAAGCATTTGGGTTGAATCAAAATTCGAATACTTCCTGCACTACTGATTCTAATGGTGCAAAACAGGTCACCCTTTCTTTCAGAGACAACTTGCTAATTAATTATAATTTCCAGAACTGATCAACGTTATTCAGAACAACAATAATAAACCAGAAATTAAATTTCCAATATATATGATTGGTTATTAATGTGGAAGAGAGCAGGCAGCAGCAGTGAGACTTTTCTGCAAATGCCTTATTTAGGTTGAAAAAGGTTGATTAATTAGAGAGAGTGTATTGAGATGGATGGCATGCACATTAAATAAATAAATGGTAGAATATGTAATTAATTTCAATCTCCGATCCGTTTTCCATACAGAAATTTGGCGGTCCCAAGGTGTTGCTTCTCCCACTAACATAATGACAAAAAAATTACTTTGAAATTACGAAGACTCCAATTTCATCCAAGTAGCAGCTAGGGTTCTGGTGCTCTTTTATAAAATTTGTAAGGTTCCGCTAGCTGTTCCCTTTTTAAATTTAAGTTTTGTAATTGTAATTTAATGATTACATATATTATTATGTCTTGAGTTGAACCAGTCTATATAAATTTCAACATTTTCAACTCTGTGAAAAGATGAAAGCAATTTAATATTAGAAAACAAACAAGTCCGTGGAAAATATTGCTTTTCTTAGAAGGTGGACAATAGTGATCTGGCTTCACATGAGTGCAGCTGCATATACATACATACATCCATATTAATAAAATATTTTTGGCCATTCACATCAACATCACATATTGATGCATATATCTATCATACATACATGCACATATAGGTTTGTCAATCAAAGATACCTTCCGATCGATTTAATTTCCATAGACAAGTATTTCCAGAGAGAGAGAGAGAGAGAGAGATGGGGGTGGATCTTTCATCTTCCTAGCTAGTTAGCTAGTTCTCTCATTCTAGGGTTTTATTCTTCATTCGTTCTAGCTATATATCTAGGGTTATAGATCATATATAATGTGATCTTTTATTCTGTGGGGGAATAAGGTTTGGGTGTAGTATAACTAGCTTACCTGCAGGCTGGAGAACTACAGGAGGAGAGATAGATTCAATATATATCAGATCATATATAGCTTGAGCTTCTAGTACGTAATTAGCCCTAGCTAGTTGTCGAAAGAATCAGTAGGCTCCTCTGTACAGATTGATCAGAGATATATAAGATCAGATATTAGTTAGTACGTAGCCAGATGTGCATTCCAGTTTCTTTGTAATTATATCCAAAAAGGCTACGTCTGTCAGGGAGATTCAAATGGAAAGTGATGACAAAGGCAGTTATCTGAAGAAAAGCCACTGCGAGGATCAGGAGACTGATCGTGATGACGAGGGGGAGAGCTGCACTGTGAAAGATGGAGGAAGTTCAAGCAACAGCACGGTTGATGAGTGCGAGAAGAAGCCTTCTGTGCGGTCATATGTCCGATCCAAGATGCCGAGGCTCCGGTGGACACCCGATCTTCACATCCGCTTTGTGCACGCTGTGGAAAGGCTTGGTGGACAAGAGAGTGAGTCGTTCTACCTCTAAATCATGTATACCGATTGTGAATTCAGAGGCTGTTTACTCACTTGATGATCTAATTATTATTCACATGATTATTGAGATTTGTTTTAATTAGTTTTATGTAATGTGTCTGTGCTTCTCTCATTTCTGGTTTGACGCAGGAGCAACCCCAAAGTTAGTGCTTCAACTGATGAACATTAAAGGACTGAAAATTGCTCATGTCAAGAGCCACTTGCAGGTTCGATTGTAAACCCTTAAATTGATGACTCTTTTTTCTTGATCTGAATTTTAAGTTGAGAGATAGCTGTATTGTCTGGCTTTACAGATGTACAGGAGCAAGAAGATTGATGGATCAAATGAAGGTAGGTATCTGATGATGTTTTTTCTTGTTCTTGATCTTCCACGTGTCCCTTTCAAAATTTCAAGAATACAATTAGGGTTTCAGTTTGATGTTTAATTGTTCTAAGCCTCCTTTAATATGTGTTCTCAGATCACAGGCTCTTTATGGAAGGTGTAGATCAGAACATTTACAAATCAACTCAGCCGCCTCATTTTACCAACTTCAACCAAAGAAAAATCTCAAACTTCGGGTACTACTCGCCCTGGAAATCTAACTGATGACATAATAATACTCTCTCCTATTAAGGGTTGATATGATTTTGTTGTGTTTTAAGTTTTTTCTCTTACTAGTATATATTTTTCTTAATTAAATTAATTGCCTTCACTGAAGGTATGGAGATGCTCCTTGGATTAATAGTCATGGAAAACGGATGCATGACTTTACTATGGGGCAGACTCCAAGCAGCAAGCTGACGAAGCCAGGATTTTATAGTACAATGACAGAAAGGTTCTTGGGCAGCAAATTCCATAGATCAACAAACACTGATCTTTGTTCCAGAATTTCCTCTTTCAATGAAGGATCCATACGGCTCATCAATGAAGATACGAAACAAGAATATGCTTCAAGGCAGAAGCAAGAAAATTGGGTAGGTCAATCTACTGAGTTCAACTCTTTGAAGCTGATCCAGAATGGAGTTCTTGGGCATATAATGGTGCCACCATCAGGCACTGGTGAGAGCTGCATGAGCCACCTGAAGAAGGTTGGATACAAAAGAAAAGCCTCTGATGCTGAACTTGATTTGAATTTATCACTTGGGCTGGAACCAAAACATGTGGAACCGGAGGATAAGCAATACCTGGATTTGTCACTGCACATTACCCCTACCTCTTCAAAGTTTATTAAGAAGATGACAATTGAAACTCTTGGTTGCGAAACTGCAAGAGGGATGAGTACTCTGGATCTGACTCTATGAATTAGGTAAGATTCTAAGTGAGATCTTGAGGTACTTGTTTCTGAGTTTGCATTTCTAAGACTGTCTTGTAGCATTAAGATAGAACCGATAATCAGAATCGTTTGCAAATGTTTATTTCTTGTGATCTAATATATCTATCTATATCTATATCTATATATATAACACAGACGCGCGCGCACACACACACATACATATATATATATATACCCTTGTTTGGAAGGTGGCCTGCTTTATGAATTCGTGTGCTCATCTTTATGGGAAAAGGTTACTTTCTTGTTTGTGATAATTGTTTCATGTTCAACAAAATAAAAATACAGATAGTAAGGGGGTAATAGAAAGAAATTCCCCTCACTACTGCTTCAGTTTAGTATGGTAGTTGCAAGTTGAAACAGTTGGCAATAGTTAGTCAAAATGGCGTAGTGCATTTGTTTGCTGGTGAATTTATCAATGTTATCTCTATGGGGAAGTGTGCATAAAGTTTTAAATTTTGATTTCGGAAGAGACAGTATATACATATATATATATATATATATGCAGTAAGGCTGATTATTTTTGTATCTCCCAGATATGCAATTATAAAATAAAGAACATCTGTATTTCTGCAAAACTGGTTAGCAGATTCCTATGATGAGCTAGCTAGCAAATTAACTAAGAGGCAATTCAGAAAGATGCGTGCTCTCAAACAGTCATAACAAAGTTTTAGCTAGGGTTTTTGTAAATAAACCTGTGGGGGGGGGGGGGGGTGGGGGGGGTAGGGGTAGGGGTTTATTACATATTTGAGATTACGAGGATCATTTTATTTAAGGTAAAAACTAAGGCAGAAGATGTAGTTGATAAGCAATTTCATATCAACTTGGGAATAAAAATGAGATGAAATGCTGCATGCCTGGAACTTACAAAGTGCAAGCAAACTCTAATTGGTATGGGAACTTTTAGCAGCACAATGCCCTAATCCAGCTAATAGGCCGCCTCACTCACAGTCATATTGTAAATTAAGGGTGTGTTTGTTAGAGGGTTTGGATTTTGAGTTGGGATTTGAATAGTAAAAATTTTGATTTTGAATTTGAATAGTTGTATGATGTGATATAAATAGGTGTTGATGTGATGTTTTGAATGTAAAATTGATTTTTTAGTATAATATAAAAAATAAAAATAGGTGTTTGATTTGATGTTTTGGGGGAAAAATTTTAAAATGAATAGTAGAATTTTGGTAAAATTCTTCAAATGAACAAACCTTAAGTAAATCACTTCTCTTTGGGGAATCTGCACAAACAAACGTGCGCACTGCTCCGTACAAGGCACTAATTAGTAACATTAAAAGAAAAGAAAAAAAGAAAAAAGAAAAGATCAGTTCAATAGGTATTTTATTTTTATGGATGAAAACACTACACAAAATCGATGATTTTAATTTGGGATTATCTCCTATATTAGGCTATTGCCAGTGTGTCTTTAATTAAATTCTATGATATATTTCTTATATATATTTATATCCTGTATAAAAGCCAGAAAAGTTCTAATCGATCATATATATATTCGATTAAGAGGTAGCTAGTTGTGTCATTGCTAACTGTACTTCGTATGACAAATTATATTAGCCGCATATACACATTTCCTTAATATAATTCTTGGTTGCCTGTGTCTGAGTATGTTAGAATCTATTTGCATTGAGCATGCTGAAATTTTCATTGTTTCTCATAATGTTCATTTTCAAGGTGAAATCGCTTTTATTAAGCTGACACATATAATCCGTTGCATATTTCATTTCATTCATATTCATATAAATTAAAGACAATGGGTGTGTCCTAACTATGGCATTGGCAGGACAAAGCACGAATGTCAAATGGATATATGTAACCCCTAGGCCAGCTTAGCTGCAGGGGACAAATAGAAGATCGAACGAAAGAAGCAACAAAATAGCTTAAATTCATTAATAACTATTAATCAAATATACTAAGCACGTTGATGGGTAGAGACATAAGGTTTATCCTTTAAAACAGGGTGACATAACTGGTCTAAGCATCCGATGAAACAAAAGCCTACTTCTCAATAAGCACGCTCTCGCCTTGTACATATTCAACTCAGTCAAGCATTTGGTCTGAAAGGCCAATAGGAAGAAGATCCCTTTACCTGTCCCGTGTCTTTCTCATCTTTCACAGCCATCTTACTCCCATAGGCCAGAGGGAGCTACATGGTTATATCATATCATCTATATATATATATAATCGCCTAACCACAGCACAAGCAGCCATGCCCTCTATCTCGAATTAACCATCATACCAATAAACAAGTGTGAACCATCATCATATCTAATCAAATTGTACCCATTCCTCTGTTACCTTCGCAGAAGAAGGTATAGGTGCAAACAGTTGCACTGGCACAGGGTTTGAAGATTGGATATTATTGAAGGAGGAGGGGGAAGACAGAACAGGAGAAGGGATAAAAGAAGACGCCATAGTAGAGGCAGCAAGTTTCACAGGCTTGTGGGTAGAAGATTGGATCTGGGAAGAGATGGAAGATATTTCAGCCGAGGGGCTGGAACTTGTAATAGTGGGCGTATGTTCGAGGGTTTGGTTAGGAGTAGGAGAGGGCTGTGCCTGTGTGTTAGGGGAAGAAGACGCCGCCAGGGAGGGTGGTATAGTTGCATTCCCCCAATCAGGCTCAAATGTCTCCCATTTAGTGGTCAAGGACACATGATCACCATCTACCTTGCAGAAGGGATCTAAGTTTCTTGACTTAAGATAATCCATTGTTTCCACAAAACTCTGAATTCTATGCACCTGAAGAGGAGATAAATTAATGTCAGTCCAGGAACACCAAAATATACCTGATTAACATGATGGCAATGGACTCCCACTCACTGATTATGCTATCATTTCTTCAGAGAGAGAAAGGCTATATATGCTTTACATAACAGAATACAAACCTCCATCTTCCTCTGCACCTTAGCTTCTCCTTCCGCTTCAATGCCATCCAATTGGAGCAACTGTCTCATCAGCATCTCAGTCACATATAAGATATCCTTGGCGTCAACCTTGACTCCACTGTCTGCAGCAGCTTGCAGAGAAGAAACCTACCATGGGAAAGATCAAGCACAGTTCATGTGCTAGTCAACTAAGTAGCCACAAAAACAGAGAAAAAGTGGTACCATAAACAACAATTAAGAAGTCATCAACCTTCTCTGAGAGCTTGTCAACCTCTTCCTTTACTTCAGCAACGGCTGCACTCCCTTGTGCTATCATGCTCGCTTCCTTAAATTCAGCCCTCTCCTGGGTGCATGATATGCCTTGTACAAGAAAGCCCTCGGGACAATTTTTCACTCCGGCAGTCCGGAGGTCTTCACCGTCCCCTTTTAATTTACCTAGGAAAAGGAACAGGAGTTTATGCATCTTTTGAATAATATTGATTTCAAATCTCCTGCTTCCAATGAACGTAAATATTTAATGTAAATACAGAAAATTAAAGGAAAACAAACAAGAAAGGATTTTAAGAATGCAGATTGCACAACAAATAATATGCAGGGTAGAAAAAGGAATAGCTTTCTCTGAACAACCAATGTTGAATGGATAATCGTAAGATCACATTACAAAGGTAAGGAGAACACTGTTGAAACGGAACTTGAAACTGTTATCAAATCCGATCAGGGAACAAGAGTGCAAAACATTCTAATAAAAAGATGGATTTGTACCCTTATATACACCGGAGTAGATCCGTGGAGAAACGGACCTTGAAATCCTGGACTATATACATACAAACGGCCAATCTACGGATAGATGGGTACCCCCACTCATGATCTCAATCAGCAGTGTGAAAAACCAAAAAAAAAAGGAAATGCAGCAAATAAATATTCATAGGCGAATCTTTCGCTGTAGCTATAGAATTGATTCACTAATCATATCGCACTCGATTATCAATAAGAAAGTAAAACTACCGAAGCCAGCATTAGAATGCAAGGCAACTTGATGTTCATTAAGCCCATGAGTGACCTTGACGTTAGGAATGCCGGCCATATCTTCATGTCTCTCGCCAGTTTTGACGAATGAGTTTAAACCACTCATTGTGCAAATCTACAGTGGTTGGAGCAACAAGAAGTTGTTACAGAGTAGGATGAATCCGGCCGCTTAATGCATATGGGGTGATGAGGCTTTATGGAGATCAATGAAAGCGGACCTACAACAGATTTTGATCCCGGATAATCACTGAATATGGACCGGAACTCTTGACCTCTCTCCCCTTTCTTCTTCCTGCTGCGCCATAAAATCGACAAGGCAACCGTAGCAAAGGAGCTACTTTACTGAGGTCGATGTTTGAGCTGCTGAAGGATTTCCGTAAACGCCTCTGTTGCTTCCGAAGATGGAGAATAGTAAATAAAGGCCCAACCTTTTGGGGGCCACGCCCACACAATGGGACCTCAACACAGCCCAATCTTACCTTTTTTCCCCTCCATAATTTTTTTTAACTTTTGTTATTTATATTATATGGGAGTTGTTGAATGATTTTGATGGGAGCTGCGATCTGCAAACTGCAATCCGATATCTGCATATTGCTAATGCTTTGTGGCGTGGAACACACACATATACACACAAGCTAAACCAGTACCACTTAAAAACTTGAATTTATTTCCTTTACAATCACAGCTCACTCCATAAAGAAAAGAGAAGACAAGAGTGAGAATTTCGCAATCTAATAAATGGAAGAAGGAAGACTAAAACTTGGCTAACAGGACAGACTCCCCGAGTATGTGCCCATCCACTGCCTCCAATACCTTGTCCTTAGTTACCTGCACAAACAATTCCTGTCACCGATCTTGATCTTGATCTTAATCTTACAAGAGAGAGAGAGATGGAAAGAAGAAGAGAGAGACCTTGTTTCCAAGATGCAGGTGATCGTCCAAAGCAAAGAGCTTGAATTCAATCCGGTGGCCCCCGGAGGGTAACTTGGGTGCGTCCCAGCCGTGCTTCTTCATATCATTCTGCCCTTCTTTGATGGCGGCATAATCGCCGCCCATCTCCTCTCCCTTGAGGGAGAATCCCTCCGGCAGACCCTTCACGGTGGGAGGGATGTTGATCACCACCCAAATGGTCCAGGGGACGATGGGCCCAGACGGGTCTGGGGCATCAATGTCTTGTACGATCAGGGCCAAGCTTTTCGTCCCCTCCGGCAAGTTGTACCATTCCAGGGGCGGAGAAATGTTCTTCTTAGCGCCCTGCCCGTCGCCCATGTACTGCCGAGGCAGCCTCCCCTCGTGGTCGATGTGCGGCGACACCACCCGGAATTCGTTGCTTCCATCGCTCGCCATTACGTTTTTTTTCTTTCCCGCACAATCCAGCCTTCTCTTCCCTGCACAACTACTTATAAATAAATAAAAGTATTCATATTCATTCATTCATCCGCTTGGGAACAGGTGGGTTGTCTGAGAAACATCGGGTTGGGCATAGAAGCTGTGACGACGCACGGGGAGGCGGCACGTAGCGTCTACGTGTGATACGCTCCGCGGACATACCCTTCCAACAGATTCCACTCATTTCGCAATCTCTCCAATTTTAAACCCACCACTTCAACTTCAATCTCGCCTTAAAATAGTAAAATATAAATATGTAATTATTGTACAATTTATTTTTTAATTAAATAGATTTAATATATAGATATTTTGATTTATTTTAAATAATTATAGAATCAAATAAATAATAATATAATAATTAAATTTAACTATAAATATAAATATAATACGTTGGGATTTAAATGCTAGTCTGCTGTGTAGGTACGTACTTACGGTACCGTTCACCCACAAACTTTTTACTCTCTCCGTTAACTAACCCCCAGACAAAAGAAACACCAAATAAAATGAGCCCCGACGAAATAACACAATTTTGTAACAATAAACATTAATCAATTTCTATTTTCGAATTGTTAAAGTAAACATGTTACGATTAATTGTTGTCACTTTTATTCATATCTATATATATATATATATATCATATTCAGTATTAAGCTGAGTACTAGTACATAGTTTGAAGAAATCAATCCATTTAAATTTCGGAATTATGATTATATAAAATACAAAATCAAAATATTAGAGCGATGTAACAAATAATGCGGAATACATATATATTTTTGTCAAAGCGACGTAACAAATAATGCGGAATACATATATATTTTTGTCAAACCGATACTATACATAGGCATAATTCTCATTGGGTTCGAAAGGATAATCTCTAAAGTGAAGGTGACATTACTTGTTCACCACAACGGCCATTTACATAGCCCATAATATATTTCTCCAAGGTCTGGTTCGATCTTATGATTGATGTCCATTGTAATCGAAGACCACCATTGGAACGGATCCTCTTACCAAATGCATAGAAACCCTCAACAGTAACCAAAGAAGAGAAGGAATCACCCAGATTGATTTTTGGAAATATGCTCTCAAAATGAGTGTTTGAAAATATTAACGAAATATAGGTAAAAACGCATCCTTTGGGTACGCACACCCATAAAAATATTCTCCATCGGCAGCCAAACCCCTCATATATTACAAGCTACAAGAGCATTCCATCACAACAATCCCGGTGTGTCAACTTCTCCACTAATTCCGATAATGGCTTCCATTTTATCCGGATAATTCGTAGTCATAAAAATGCTAATCAAGCTCCACAATAGTTAGGCGATCTTCCATATAATTTCTACTACTCCAGAGAGTCAAATTGCAATATTGATTAGATTCATGGCAGGCTAAGGGTTTGGGATTGGTTTTGGTTTTGGTTTTGGGTTGTGCCGTGATTTTGGTTTCAAAACAAAACCACGTACACTCTCAAGAAATTTGATTGGCGCAAGTAAGAAACACCCAAGAGAATCAACACAATCACATCTACATGAATTGCCAACTATAAAAAGGGGATATTGATAAAAGACAGAATAGTCCATATGATTGATGAAATAGTTCATTTCAGCGTCGAAAAACAGCAGCCAACACAAGTACCTTTTAAATATAATGAAAGTGAAAAATAACGGGAAATAAACGAAACCCTAGAAGCAATTCATTGCAGCAAGAAGAAACAGCGGAAAATTAGAGGCTTCTACTTGGATCTCTGCCTCATCTTTCGGCGCTTCCTCTTCAGCCTCCTCATACGCTTCTTCTTCCACTATAATTGCATATAAACCATAGGAGAATGAATTATGAATTAACAAAAACAGTGAAAGCAGTCCTAATCTTAGAAAAAACGATGAAACAGAAAGACTTACCTTGGCTCTCATCGTGAAGGAGAAACTTCGATCAGACGCAGAACGCCGCCTTAAGGTAGAGAGAGGAATGTAATGAGAATCGCAACAACACAAACCCTAGGTTTGCTAGGAAATATATAGTCGTCCTTGTTTTGATTGGACCGAAAATAAATTGGGCTTTTAAAATTCTCAGTGTTGCCCAGCCCACTCTTGTATCGGACTCTCATTTCGTTTTGAATAATTTAAATATCAAATTTAAAATATTTCCCAAAACCTGTTTATTTCGATTATAAATTATTTTAAATAATTAACAACTATAAGTATTAATCTTAAACTGTTAATAATATTATTTCATATTTTCACTATAGCACTTCACAAAATCAAAATATCAAGGCATTTCAGTATGAACAGATCCTGATTATTATAATAATAACCCACGCTTTAAAGAAAACGTGTTTGTTCGTGGCAGAGTTGGCGGCGAGTTGAAGGCCTGGAGAGAAACGCCTCCGTTGCAATCCCTTGATCAACAATGGAGCCCATGGAAATTGATCCTGAAAAAATTCCGTCTTCAGGTTCGAATGTGCTTAGTTAGCTTAATTTTGTTAATATTTCTGAAAGTGAACTCTAATAAGTGATTTTCCTTCGAGAAGGAGAAGAAAAGGAAGGAAGCAAGCCAATTGTTCTAATGCTGGTAGGACTGCCGGGAAGTGGAAAATCTACCTTTTGTGATGAAGTTATGAAGCTTTCTTCCCGTCCGTGGGCTCGTGTCTGCCAGGTTTCACTTATATTACCATCTGTTATTATTTGCTCAAATAGGGAGCTTCAAACGAATATCTGTAAAAATGGATACTTGCAGATGTTTCTTGCGCGGTTTACTGCTCCAGGCTTAGTCCTTCTCGAGATGTTCAACTTTTGTTGTTTGATTAAATATTTTATAACGAAAGCATTGCACTCTACGTTTGTGACCGAAGTATTTTGTTACACTTTGTGGGTATTAAGTAGTTTGGTGGTGCGTACTCTGTGCTTTCATGGAGCATACACTTTGTCGGAATTTATGTCATCTTCGTACTATATTAGGAGTGTTGCTGAAAATGCTACACCTTGTATATGATTGTGAATATTCTATTGTTCACTAAATCCTTTTGGTCTATATTCTACTTTAGGACACTGCTAATAACGGCGGTAAGGCTGGGACAAAAGCCCAGTGTCTGTCAGTTGCAGCTGCATCTTTAAAGGATGGAAAGAGTGTACTTATAGATAGATGTAACATTGATAGAGATCAGCGAGTGGACTTTCTGAACCTTGGTGACTCACAAACTGAAAAGCATGCTGTGGTTCTTGATCTTCCTCCCAAGCTCTGTATTTCACGTTCCGTGAAGCGAACTGGACATGAGGGCAACTTACAAGGCGGAAGAGCTGCTGCTGTAGTGAATCAGATGAACTCAAAGAAGGAACACCCTAAACTGAGTGAAGGGTTCTATAGGATTACATTTTGTCAAGATGAGAAAGATGTCGAACAAGCAATCAAGTTGTATGGTTCGTTTGGCTCATTAGATTCTCTTCCTTCTGGTTGTTATGGTCAGAAGAATTCAACTGCCAAAACACAGCAAGGCATTTTGAAGTTTTTCAAAAAAGTAGATCCTTCAGGAAATCCAGAGTCTGAGCCAACTGTCGGTCAGAAATTTAGACCTGACAAAATATCTATAGAGAATGGTCCCAGCCTTCAGACGAAAGAGAATTCTCATTCATCAAGCGATGCTTCTGAGAGATTAAAAAAAGGTGGTAACTCCACCCTAGTCTCTGCTTCTGGTGCCATTGATGCAAACGATATTCCCACTCTGGCATTTCCATCTATTTCTACTGCAGACTTTCAGTTTGATCTTGATAAGGCATCTAGCATTATTGTTGAAACAGTTGAGAAATTTATAAGATTGATAGGAAAGGCTAGACTTGTTCTAGTAGATCTGTCACGTGGATCTAAAGTCTTGTCCATTGTAAAGACTAAAGCTGCACAGAAGAGAATTGACCCAAGCAAATTTTTTACATTTGTTGGAGATATAACGCAACTTCGCTCTCAAGGAGGTTTACAATGCAATGTCATTGCAAATGCTTCCAACTGGTAAGTTTGTGAATTTTTCATGCTAGATTGAATAATGATAAGCAAATGGTTAAGCATGTGTACTAAGAAGATCACAATTATGTCTGACCTGATATTATAGAGGTGAGAACCTAAAGGACTTAATGAATATAAGTGATGAATCTGGATGGATAAAATAAATCTCGAGAGGAGATAGAAACACATTTTTAAGAGGGCATTGAATCTAGAACATCATCTCTCGGGGAAATAACATGTATTACAACCTTGAAAATAATGTACTGTGCTATGTTCCACATTAGTTGCCATTTGTTATTCAGTATACTCAAGCATTTATGCCATGACTGAATAGAGTGGCTTTAATTGGAAATCAATGCTGAAGCACAATTATTCAGAGCATCATGGTGTTGCTAAGTTTTCATGTTCACAGTGCTATGTCATCTGATACGTGTATGGTTTTAGTTGTTGAGCATGATGGTGAGAATGCGAATATTTTATCGTCTGACCACTGTGATTCAATTTTCCAATAATAATCACATGTTAAACTTTGCGCAGGCGTTTAAAACCTGGAGGGGGCGGTGTAAATTCAGCTATCTTCAATGCCGGAGGTTCTGCACTAGCAACTGCAACTAAGGAAAGAGCTGTCTCTCTTAGTCCAGGGAAATCAGTGACTGTACCACTTCCTTCATCTTCTCCATTGTTTTCCAGGGAAGGTGTGACTCATGTCATTCATGTTCTTGGACCAAATATGAACCCCATGAGACCCAACTGCCTTAAAGGTGACTACAATCAGGGCTGCAAGATACTTCGCGAAGCTTACTCATCACTGTTTGAAGCATTTATTTCTATTTTGAGATCTAACAACAGTGAAGGGCCGTTTAATGCTGGAGAGATCCAAGAGGTAATCCCTTTGAAAGATGATCCAAGGACCAAACGGGAAGCAACTCATGAAATCGAAAAGAACAAAAAATATAAGGGTTCCCAAGATGACCTCAGACTTGGCGACAGCAGCTCCACTGGTTTGAATAAAATCAAGGATGAGAAAACCCGTATATCCAACACATGGGCTTCATGGGCTCAAGCTCTTCACATTATTGCTATGCATCCTCAAAAGCATGAGAATGTTGTACTTGACTTGTTGGATGATGTTTTAGTGATTACTGATGCTTATCCAAAGGTCTCTCTCTCTCTCTCTCTCTCAACACTTACATACACACACAAGAGATAAAAGGATAATAAAGTTAACTAGGAAAAATATTTGTTTGGAATGTTTTCATCTCCTTCTTACTGCAGGCACAACACCACCTCTTGGTCTTAGCACGGGCAGATGGTCTTGACACCATTTCAGATGTGCGCAGAGAGCACATCTCATTATTGAAGTCGATGCATTCGGTTGGCTTGAAATGGGCTGAGAAGTTCCTCAGTGAAAATAAATCTTTGTTATTCCGCCTTGGATACCACTCAGTAAGTTCTGATAGCTTTCTCACTGTCGTAACCATTCATGGAAACAATGCTGTGCTGCTTGGGTTATGGCACATTTAAAGCTACTGAGATAATTGTAATAACTTAGAGATGAAGTATCCTTGTAGGATGTGAAGCATTTTGAAATTGTATTTCTAATCAAAGAGTTCTTGAACTATCTTGGGTAGCAGAAGTATATTGTACTAGGTTGTACTATGTCACCTTAACAGTATGTTACAATGCAGCATTGAACCTGTCTCATTTATGACTATGCTCTTTCCAGGTTCCTTCTATGCGACAATTGCATCTTCATGTGATTAGCCAGGATTTCGACTCCATTCATCTGAAGAATAAGAAGCATTGGAATTCATTCAATACTCCATTTTTCCTGGATTCAGTCGACGTGATAAAGGAACTTGAGAATGTGGGGACTATTACATTGAAAGATGATAAGTTCCTGAAAATGGAGCTGCGGTGCCATCGTTGTCGAAGTGTACATCCAAACATACCTCGCCTGAAATCACATATCAGCGCTTGTCAAGCCCAGTTTCCTCCTGATATGCTGAAAAATGGTCATCTTGTTTCCGCAGAAGGTGTCGCATGCTAAGGTTTCTTACCAGTATGCTCCTTAGTCTTCCTTAGTGTCCAGGTTTGAGGTACATAATCCTAAGATTTTGTTCCCTTGTTTGGAAGTGGTTGCCAACAATGGACAAAGATAAGGCACGTTAGTTGATGCCTGCCCGCCTGTTTTTGTTTCTAAAATATCGGGCTGACAATAGGAATTCAGGGTTGACCTAAAATGATCCACTTTTGAATTAAATTTAATCTGGGCAATCATTTGGTGCCATAACTATACTTGTGCGTTGGAATAATGACTCTTTTTGCTCAAATGATCTTTACTTAGCGAAATAATAATAACTACTATTCAGAAGATTCGTGATTATTTGGAAACTTCATGAAGCACTAAAATGAGTTTGATGAATATGATAAAATTCTTGTTAGAATCAATAGAAAGTTAAGTCCTTTACCATCAGCCAGCATATGGAATAGAAAATAGTTGCCCGGTTGGCTGGTTTATTAATTATAGCTTTTTGGGGGGACTAATATCATGTTCTAATTATAGCTTTACACTTGTCGGTAGATACTCACTAAGTGGGTCTGGTCGTGCCAAACTTGAATAGATGCTGCTGGACGGACAAAAATGGCGCAGTTACACAAGCAGCTTTACACTGTAGTGCAGCTGGAAGCAATTACTTTTTCATGATTGGTAATAAATTATAAATTACATGGAGTGATAATTATTCACTAGTCTAATTTGCACCAGCGAAAGCTCCATTAGCCACCACAAACCTAACCTAACACTCGGTCCGTCTGTCTGCCCTTCATCTTGTCTTTCTGGTGGATGGATTATACATCAGAAGAAAATTAAAAAGCAGCTTTTATGGAACTTGGGACTGCCCCACCATTATTATGCCTTCTAAAGCCAGGATATGAAATATCTAACACGGCAACATATCCCATACAGAATTATTTCTAGTCTGGTATACACAGATGGTATGTTGCCTGAAGATTGATCTGTTCTGATGTAGGAGACAATAACAAAATTGGAACTAATTATATATTATCGTTTCAGTAGAGTATGTACATGCCATACCTACTGAGGGTTTGGGGGGCGGCTATTAGCAGCAGATACCCTGGAGCCCCATTCAAGAAGCTCTTTGCTCGTGTCATCTTTGTGCACAATCACTTCTATGAAACACAAGCAATCCTTCTTCTCTCCGGTTGCTGTCGCTATTGCATTGATCAGTTCTTCTTCACATCGGACCTTAGTAGTCCAGCAGTTGCCTTCACCGTTATTGATTGCATCGACAAAGGCTGTGTAGTTCCAGTTCTTTATCACATTATACGGCCCATCGTGGATCTCCACCTCAATGGTGTATCCGCCGTTGTTTATCAGGAATATGATGCTCTTCTGGGCATACCGGATCATCGTTGACACATCCTGAGCTGTTACCTACATATGTTCGCCAATGTAGGTAGTAAACAACTTATCACATTAATGGGCAATAACATCAACCAGCTACTAGATTCTACATGGATAACAGACAGCAAAAAATTGTAAAGGTATTATACCTGAAAGCTACCGTCTCCAATGCAAGCAATCACTCGCTTCTCCGGAACACCCTGCGCATAACCCAGAGTTGCACCAACTGACCAGCCAATTGATCCATATTGCATCTGGAATTCATACCTACAGAGCAGATTTGGCATTGAGTGAATATGATATTGCCCAAGCCATCATCAAGAACAGTTGTATAACACCATCACTCACCCACATCCAGCTGGTAATTTCAGTTTCTGGCAATTAAACCAAGAGTCTCCGGTCTCAGCAATAATGGCCGTGTCTCCAGATAACATCTTTTGGATGTGCTGGAAAAGAACATTTACCCTCAGTAATTCCTTAGGATCACCTTTCAATGGCTGCCCGTCTGAAACATAAATCCTATGGTAGTTCTCATATGCAGTTGTGTTGCGCTTGAGCCTTTTAGCAAGGGCGGACAAGAAATCTTTCATCAGAATGCATCCAAATGCCGGCCCATTACCGATGACCACACGGTCAGGCTGCACGATGATTGCCTTCTCCTTCTTGAGCAGCAGAGAGTAGCCTACAGAGCTGTAGTCGTTGAATATGGGTCCAGCAAAGAGATAAGCATCAGCAGACTCCACAATTTCAGCACAGAAGGCGGTGCTAACAGCCCCCCAGTAGGTCCCGATGAAATGGGGGTGGTGTTCTGGCACTAGCCCCTTTGCAGATGGCATTACTGCAAGGGCATAGCCACAAGCATCTGCCAGTTCAACAAATGCGCTGCACGCTGTTGCAACACGCAGTTTAGGCCCTCCCACCATTACTGGCTTCACAGCCTTGTTCAAGAAATCAACTGCTGTCTCAACTGCAACTTCTAGACCCATCTGATTGCTCAATCTACAATCACGAAACATTCGTTATATTTATTTTCGTAAAACGGGTTCTGCTATTCAAATCGAGTAGGGTTCGATTACTAGTTTACAACAATTTAAAAGATTATAAAGTATCAGATTCTAGCATGATCTCTTCCACATTTGAAAACAAAAACGCAAGTTTATGTATTGAAGCTTGAGCTTACTTGGGGGAGAGCGAAAACGGAACAGGCTCGCGGCTGAAGGTCGGATGTGGAATTCCCGGAAGGTTACAGCTCACGCTTATATACACAGGCTTGCTCTCCTTTAGCGCCGTCGATATCGCCGTATCCATCAGCTCGTGTGCGTCCTCCAGGTTATTCACCACCGCCTAATGAAATCGTAAAAAATATCGTTAGAAAACTAGTGAATAAAAGGAAAATGCATGAAATGGATGCACATGCCTGATAGCAGGTAACAGTCTGGAAGCAACGGAGCTCCTGGCTGAAATCCGGCAGGCCGATAGTGTGGTGTAGGATCCTGTTAGTACCATAATCGTTGGAGTTGGGGCCCCCAACAATACATATCACCGGCAGATTTTCGCTGTAGGCGCCGGCGATCGCGTTGAGAATACTCAATCCACCTACAGTAAACGTGACGACGCAGGCACCAACTCCACGAGCCCTGGCGTAGCCGTCGGCGGCGTACCCGGCGTTGAGCTCGTTACAACAACCGACTAAGTTAAGACCAGGCTCAGCCAGTAGATGGTCCAGCAGCGTCAAATTAAAATCTCCTGGAACTGAAAAGACGTCGGTGACGCCAATTTGCACGAGGCGGCGAGCCAAGTGGCGACCGAGCGTGGCGTCGGCGGAGTTGAAAGGCAGGGAGGAGCATTGGATGGTTGAAACGGCGCCGTTGGAGGGAAGACTGGCAACGGCGTCACATGTAGCGGGGCTGGAGCATTCCAAGGGAGCAGAGCCTATCTTGGTGTTCATTTCGATCGGGTTGATGGCGATGGGATCAGTCAGGACAGGGACAACAGGCGGTGGTAGTATATATATTAGTATTTTATACGATATGGTGAGCTTTAGTGCTGGTGGAGGAGGAGAATTGAATTCTGAATTCTGGGGTTGGACAGACAGACAGTAAACATACAGGGCGTTCCCGTTCAGTCCACAGGCGGTGGACTGTACACGTAGACGCAGGCGGGCCAGGATGATGATTAGTGAATATTTTAAATATTAATTATTTCAAAACTAATGGCTGGCTGGCTGCGGGCAATACACGAGAACTTTCGAGACAGCACAACACAAACCTCGTGATTTATTTACTATGTGGAGGAAAAGTAGCATAGGAGGAAGACAAGGGCAATTTGATGTTGTCATTAATTAGGGTAGGGAGATGGATTCTTTACATTGCATATACAAAGTCTTACACTAAACTCACCTCCAGCCATTGATTAAATTCTTAGCACAGCACAAACAGGCAACAGGAGGATTCTTGAGGGGTCATTGTCATGTGATGGGAATAGGAATCGGAATCGGAATCTGGCGGGTTCTTGAAAAATATCCCAACACACCAATATTGTTACATTGAAAATGGCTGACAGAGAGACAACAAACCAATATTGTTTACATTTATTAATCATTCTATCTATCTAAATAGAAAGAAAAATGTATACATAAATGGCAGCAAAAGAGCAGTCAGTGAACAAAGTACGACACACCACACCGGTTAACAATTTTCATGTCTCAAAGCAGCAGCAGCGAACACGATACAACCAAGCGGCCAAAATTTCTTTCTTTAACATGCATGATACACGACTAAGACTGCCAAGAAACAAGAGAAACTCCTCATTCTTTTGCATCCATAGGCTCTGGCTCTGCTGCTGCACCTTCAACTTTGTCTTCTTTCTTACCTGTGTGTATCAAATGGCATTTTACAATGGAAAACAGGAATCCAATCACCAACATATATGCAAATCATGTATAAAAGTTCTCACCCTTCTTCTTTTTCCCTCCGCCCTTCTTTTTTGTCTTTGTGGCCAATGCTAACCATGCTTTAATCTCCGGATCCTCAATAGTTTTAGTAGGTTGCAGCTCCTGAAGAGGATGGGATGTGATCCTATCCGAGCCATTTGGCATAAGCAAAACAGTGAACTTGATATGCGCAACCAAGTCACCTGCCATACAAGCATTTATGCAGCATTCATTAGTCATACATGATAAGTAGCCACGGCTCAATTTTAGCCATCACAAGTTCACAACCTACCTGGCTTCTCATGAAGTACGGGATAGGGCTGTAAAAGTTCATGGTTCACACACTCTAAAAGGCCCAGACGACCTCTCTTTTCGTCCAAAGCCCTGTAATATTAAAAATTAATCCTCATTTGAAACATTTAGAATCTAGTTGCAGCAAATAGCATAGACCAACAAACCTTGCAGTGAATGGCATGATGGGGAAGTTTTGGCTTATCTCACTAAAAATAAACCGAGATGCTTTCATCTTGAGGTGATAGTTCTTATCAACAGCTCTTTTATAAATAGTTGTTTGTTTCTCATCTAATAATTTTGGCTGCAAGTTACATAAAAAGATTTTAGTATATTAATATTGGTTAAACAGTCATATGTACCATTAATATCCACTAAAACCATTACCTTTCCTTCACCAGTACTGGTGACAATGTCAACAGAATACACCTCATTCTCCTCAAATTCTGCTTCATCCACTCTAGTATCAGGGCTTGAGACACTTAGCACAACCTTGTTTCCATCAATTACAAATTGCTTCATTTGATGACTTAGTACTCCTTCAACAATCTTGCAGTCGTAAGCAGCTGCAACTTTCTGAATTGCCTCGGTGACGTCTTTATTCTACGAAGATGGAGGAAAATGGGAAGTTAATAGAGACCTCATCAATGCCTAAATCAATAAATTAAATGGTATTTTGTAGATGTGTGAATTACAAAAACTTTGTAGCTGCCCATTTAGCACCAAGAAACTTTAAGTTAGCACCACACTCCAGATGCATTTGTTTGCACTAGACTTTTATTTTGGCAATAACAATATGCAGGACCGACAGATTGATCAGCCATACAGGTCAAATGTCATACAGCCTGTAATAATATTGGCAACAGGGAAAAGAGGAAACCAACAGAAAATTTGATCACCTCGGCAAAGTTGCCATTGTAACAGATACCAAAATAGAAAAAGGGATCATGAAACCACAGAACATTCAATTACAAAGAATGCGCTAGCTACATATACAATATTGTTTTCCAAATTAAAATGCATGCAGTTAGCATCATAATCTAAGTTGTCTTACTATATTGTTGCAGAGATATCTACAAATAATATCTAGCTGTTCCAATTCCATTAATGACTAAGAAAGTGATAAACCTAGCAGTAGACCTGTATACAAGTTTTAAAATCATTACCAATAATAAAGAACCTCACAAAACAGTTAACTGTTCTCATACACCACCAAAAGACAACTTTAGGAGAACATGATGCTTCTCTATCAGTGTAACTATGACTAAAATGAAAATTCACTGGATACAAGATCCATCACTCAATAATAATATCATCATGTAGAGAATCATGTACTCCCTTAAAAGTAACTAGGACTGGCACTTTTTCAAATAACAGCTATAAGATACACAACTGAATAAATCAATAAGGTATTTCTAGCTAGTCTAATATCAGCACAGTAGAAAGTGATGGAGACAGTTCTTCACCATCCACTACATTCAACCAGGCAATTTCCTTATAGGCAACAGGGAAAAGAGGGGATTAACAAGTTCTCAATCACCTCGGCAAAGTTGCCTCCATGTTTTATATGCAGCTAAATGTCTTTCTCAAAGTTCTAGCTTGGAAGTTTGATCCAATTTATTAAATTAATGATTAGCAAGAAGTAAAAATGGCAATAATTAAGTTGCAACAACAAAATTCCTCCATCAGAGTAACTATGACAATAGCATCACTTGGATTTTCACCCATAGCTTCTTAAATACATTCATCATTTAGAGGATCCATGCAGGTAATCACTCACTAAAGACAAGACAAACGTATTCAATGCAATAATATGACTTAGCTTCCAACTATGACCTTGATTATAATTGATTAAGAACAATATGATAGAAGCGCAACCCTTGTACGTACCTTTTTCCCTGGCCTCACAAGCCTCAAAGCAACCTCAGCAGCCGTATTTGCTGCAGCAATAACATCAGCTGCTCTTCCAGTTACTGGCCCTTGCTGAAGCACTTGCGTATGAGCAACTACAGCAATAAAGCCATCTATGTGACACCCCATATCACTGCAGATAAAATAAATTACTCCCAAATTCCAAAACGATGGGTGTAAAGAGTAAATTTTTTAATTAATATATTTGCAGAAAAGAATAGCAAAGCTCACATTTTCACAATATCTCCATCTTCCAACACAGCCTCATCACTGGCCAATGGCGAAAAGTGACAGACGGTATTGTTCACTGAGATACAAGTTGGGAAGGCAACACCCCTTTCTATCTTCTTCTTCACATTCTTGTACATGTTCCCAGTTTGTCTAGTCCAAAAGCATAATACAAATTGAGCAATGACTATAAATAACAGAATAAGTTAAGTGAGATACGGCAGAGACTTACTCCCTGATAAAAGCATCCCCCTTTTCACAAATGTCAACAATCTTCGACTTTGGTTTGCACTGAGACAAAACTAATTGCAGCGCCTCTGCACCCATTCGACAAAAACATCTAACCATATTAATCGAAGCATTAAATAAATGGTAAAGTCCGCATCACCAAACAATAAATCCAAACGAGAACGTTAAATCCTATAAAACACCAATCATTATACCGATAAAAATCCCTACAAGTTTCGGTAACGAAGTACACAATGGCACAGAATTACACGCATACACACACACATGTATATATAAATGGAAAATAAAGAAGGGAACATACTGTTAACAATTTCAGCAGCGGATTTGTATTTTGTGACAACTTCGGGGGAGGTGAGATCCAACTCCCGTTCCTCCCTTTCTTCGTCGGACATTTTCCCAACCTTCAATAATAATAATCAACAAAAAAACAATCACCCGTTAATCGCATAGTGGCAAGCACAAGATTTTAAAACTGAAAATCAGCAACAAATCATGATATACACAATTGAGACCAAACGAAATGAAAAACGCACGAAAATTCAGTAATGCTAGGCGATTAGGGTTTAAGCCAATAGAGAGATGACGAGGAGAGAATAAGGTTAAGATTGAAGTCGGCGGCGACGAGTGCAGCGTGCTTTATATAATGCTACTATTTGTGTATAGTGTGCGTTGGATTGAGCTTAGGGTTTCGGATGAGTAGGCCGCTGAGCCGCTCCTACAATTTTTTTTAATTATTTTTGTTTATTATTTGTTGCAAGCTGAGCTGGCTGCTGATCACGATGATAAATGATTTTTTCCAGTGTAAAAGTACATAATTAAAATTAATCTAATCAGAAATGTTCAAAATAAAAACGGATGTCTTGTAATATTAGGTAGCATTAGCCCACTGGCTTGGTCGGTTTGGACCATCAGCCCAGATCACACTGGACCTAACCTACAATAATAGAACTCATTTGATTAACTTCATCATTTTGGTTCCAACCCGTTATATGGCCCATTTGTTTGGGCCTAAGTCAGGCGGCTGGGGACTTTACTCGAACAACTAAGATTTGTTTTGTTATGCATGGTTAAAAAGTGTATATTTGATTGATAATTAAACTACCGCATAATATATATTTAATTAAAAATAAAATTTAAACATATATTATGATATACTTAATATGAATACTAAAAATAATATATAAATGATTAATATAAATCAATTTTATAAGTAAATAATAAATATATATTTGCTTAATTGTTTTTTTAAGAGAACTAAAAATTAGAAGTTATAGCTTATTTAAAAAATTATGAACTCATTAACTGTTGGCTATTTAAATCAGCAGCCAAAAAAAAATAGCAACAAAAAAATCCAAACCTTAACAAATAATCCCAATAACTAACAGGTTGCTTTCCGCAAGAATCTGGAACAAAAAATTTCCAATGGATTTGTCTGCACAAGGGTCCATGAACAACACATCGATCCATGGAATTATTACCCTTACTATCACGGTTCTGGATACAACATATCAATGAGAAGCACAAATTCGCATATGAGAAGTCTAAGATAGAGATAATCAATGGATGGAGAAGGCAGAGGGCTTTCTAACAACTCAATCCTTACTCATATGAAGAATGATGCTACAAAATTTGTAGATTTTGATTCTGAGAGAGTGAAGTGATCTACAGAGATATGCTGTGCAAGTATCTCCTCTCATACAGGCCAATTACTTGATCCGCCACAGCCCACATAATAGCCTGGCCGGGTGGGATTCTCATAAGCCGGGGCAGCAGCCCCTTCCAGAGGGCGCGCAATCCTTCTTCCGTATATATTGTTTTGATGGCATGAACCATACCTGTGTATTTTAGCTCACCACCAGATCGACTCTGAGCCATGAGCCTTGTTTTCACAACATCAAATGGACCAGTACAAACTGGACCAACAGTTCCTGCAAGAAATCCAGATATCATCGACTGCCAAGGCTGGAGCACTTTCCCATCACCTTCATGCTTATTCCACAGTAGCCCATCAAATGCATTTTTGGCTGTAAACATAGCGGCCTGGTTTGTTCCATTGCGCATCACAGTTGGGGCAGCTCCTGCCCACAAACCAAGCAGCCCTTCTTCACGAATGATCATACCGGCACAATGAATAGGTCCCTTGTACTTTAGAAGCTCAGGACTCAATCCCCTTTGCTGCTGCAGTCTGATTTTCACTACCTATATGTTACAGAAGTTCAACAATTTCATTTTATAGCCACTAGAACTATGGTTCATAGCTTGCACCTAGGCAACAAAACATAAAGAAAAATAAGACAAGAACAAAAAGAAACAAACAGAACTTAAGTCTATAAATTGTTCCCAATGCAGGCTATGTGCATATATTACTGCTTATGTAAAAACAGGCCAGAGAGCACCAATTACAGAGAGTGTTGTAACACATATCTGAATGCCTGAAATTGGGCAGGAAAATCCATCAACAACAAGGAATGCTTTTCATCATTTAATCATGATCATCTAACAGAAATCCATATCCCAATACCAAGTTAAAGTGATTAGCAAAAATCAACTTTAGATTGGATGAGCTACAACCAAGCCAAGGCCATCCAAGTTAGAAAACCAAGTAGTTGTTCCAGTTTCTAAGAACTTGTATCAATCGCCAACATGTCTACCCAAACCAGCTATTCCACATTTCACTAGTGCTTTTTACAAACATATAATCCCTTTCCAAACACTAGTTTTTTATACATGGAAATTTTACAAACGATTGCAGTTTCTTTTCATTCTTTAGTCTGCGCAATAGGATTTAAGGGTGAAATCAAGAGGATCAGAGTTCTAATGTCAATATAAATATACTATACTAGGTTAACCAGCAATCTTATATATGCAACAATTGGTCAAGAACACGAGAGCCAATCAAGAAGAATTTTCGTGAATGACAATATGTGGACTGACCTCGAAAGGGGTGACGATAGCAAGAGCTTCGAGCACGCCGGCACCAAACCCCGAGAAAAGCCTTGCGTGGTGACTGAGATTTCCAGTCTGCGGGTCCTTGAACGCCGATTGTAGAACCGCATTGGAGCCCATACGGAGTGTGTATTTGAGAGTCAAATGAGTAGCAAAGGGCGTCAGCCCCTTCCACAAGGCTCGCACTCCTTCAGTCTTGGTTATGGTGGCGCCGCAGTGGAGTATCCCTTTGTAGGATCCGGAGCGATCGAGTTGGAGCCTCGTCTTGATGACGTCAATAGGTTGTAAACAGCAGGCTTCGACTATGCCGCCTAGGGATCCGGATGCTGCCTTCATGTACGGCGGAATTGATTTCGTATTCTTTTGATTTTTCTCGGCCATGGCCCCGCGGAGAAGGCGACGCTATGGTTGGTGAGTTGGGTGGTTCTTCTCCTCCTCTCAGGGCCGGTACAGTTTTGTAGGTGGGATGGGATGGTAATTTCGGTATTCAGGCAAAACACAGCAAGAGCACAGAACCAAAAGAAATTCGATTTTGGAATGGAGGAATTTTTTACGGTACAACAGTGGTTTAATAACCCACCCCGTTTGCCACGTAGATAAAAAAGAAAAATATATAATACATATACCCAATTTAACTTAAATAAAAAATAAAAAAAATTAATTCATTATTCATGGAGTATTTCTTAACGGTACAAAAAGAACTTAAACCATATGCTTTAGCTGCTCTTAAATATCGAGTTAGTTTAGATAGTCCAAACTATTTTTCCTCATGAAAAATACAATATTATAATTTTTTTATATATAATTATACTATAATTCTAAAATTATTATACTAAATATTTATTTATATTATATAAATAACTATTTAAAATCAAATTTTATATTATCACAAAAATAATTTAATACTTCTGTTGGGTACAAGATTTTAGATGAAAAGTATTAAATATGATAATTTATAAATTACGTGATCTGATAAAAAAAATATTATATAATTTTTTTTTTTTTTGAGTGATGAGATGAAATAAGTTATGAATATAGATTAAATATAATTAATTACTTTTTAATTTAAAAATATTGCATGTATTTCGGATATATCAAAAATAATATTAATATTATAGGGTGTTTGGTAACGAAAAAATTCTGTTTAGAAATGTTAGAAGTTAGAACGAACATACCCGTTACCATTATCTGCAGCTGTAACTGGACCTCCACGGATTGTGAAAAACTGGTATTAAGCAAATCCGAAAGGATTTAATCTTTTTTTTGTCTTTGTTTTTTTTACAATAGATGATACATTTGATGGTACAATGTAAACATGAAAACAAAAGTAATTGATTCTGCAGAATGAAAAAACAGGTGTTCCATCAGCGAGGGCTATTGGCATGGGGAAAAACCTGACTGGGGTTGTTGCTGTTCAGACTGTACTGTCCTGAGGAGAAATCTCCATTGCTTATGGGAACAGTGTAAAGATCAGCCCCGGCCCCTGTAACCGGAGCACTGTAAAGATCCATACCATCCCCACCGCTCATCAGCCCCACCGATTCTTCATGAATATTTTGATTTGCCCAAGGATGCCTGGTGAACTTCCTCAAGCCTTCAAGTTCCATGGCCACCTCCTTCATTGTCGGCCTGTCTTCGCCATTCAGATTCAAGCACCTCTTTATGAGCTGTGCAGTTGCCTGGAGCTGCTCCAGGGACCCCTCCCTCACAACCTGTGGCTCCAGGATTTGAAACAGTTTGTTCTCTTTCAGAGCCATGATGAAATAGGTTGTCAGGTTCCGCTGCTCCTGGCTCCTATCCATGTCAATGGGCCTCTTCCCTGTCATCAGCTCAGCAAGCACCACTCCGAAGCTGTACACATCGCTTTTCTCCGTTAATTGGCTGGTGTGGAAGTATTCGGGATCCAGGTACCCTAATGTCCCCTGAACCAGCGTTGTGACTTCTGTTTGATCCAGGGAGACCTGCCTGGAGGCCCCGAAATCTGATATCTTGGCCGTGTAGTATCCGTCCAGCAAGATGTTGGCTGATTTCACATCTCTATGGATGACAGGGACTGAAGCTGCTGAGTGAAGATAGGAGAGGGCACCGGCAGCTTCTGAGGCGATCCGTAGACGATTCTCCCAGGTTAACCAAGTCAAGGCCCTGTTGTGGATGTGCTCGAAGAGTGTACCGTTCGAAACATATTCGTAGACTAATAAAGGGACTTCTAGCTCTAGACAGCATCCCAGAAGTTTGACAACGTTTCTGTGATTCACCTGTGTGAGAATGACCACTTCGTTGATGAATTGTTCGACTTGAGTTTCATCCATTACCCTGGATTTCTTTATAGCGACTGTTCGATTGTCTGGCAGAATCCCCTTGTAGACAGTGCCGTATCCACCTCTGCCTAGGATCCTGTCGTCTGCGTAATTGTTGGTGGCCGTTTTCAGCTCTTCTGCCGTGAATATTTTTGTGGACTCCATGGGGCCTTCGTCGGAAGAGATCTGCTGCTTGAGCAACAAACCACCGTTCTGCTGGAAGAATTTCTCCCTGAGCTTTATGAGCTTTCTTTTCTTGAGGCTAAAGTAGAGCCAACTCACAGCGATCACCAACGACAAAAACCCAATCCCAATTCCTACAAGATGATTGAAGACAAGAGGATCAAACACCAAAGCAAATCATCCCAATCTCAGGAATCTTCAAGAGAAACATTACCTAATGCCACCTGAGTCACCGGGAATCGAGAGCTGCGTTCGGTGCAGCCTTTACCATTCTTTCTGCCATCCCCGAAGTGTCCGTGTGGACACGAACAGTTGAAACCACCCGGAAGGTTGGTGCACATCTTTTCGTTTACGCAGTCATGCAGGTTTGGATCCGCGCATTCATTGATGTCTACAGATGATAAATTAGTTAAACAAGTACAAACACAAGGCAGGCAGATCTTCAGATTCACTGGTGTACAAAGTTACCTGTGCAGCCTGGATCTAAGTACGGATTGCCTTCATAACCTTTCTTACAGCTGCATCGATAGCCATCCAATCCGGTGTCCGAATCAACGCAGTCACTGTTAGCCTTGCAGGCGTAATCTGAAAAATTCGGAACCTGTGCGCAGGTGGAATTGCCAAGTGCCCAATCTAGCACGATGGGAACTGTAGTCAGGACCCGCTGCATGAAATTCGGGTCGGATAGATCCGTCGCCCCTCGGAAAACGAACCTCTCCTTCTCTCCAAGAAACGCGTAGCTACATGGATCGAACGAAGAAACTTGCGTGTGATTTTTCAAGCTGCTGAGATCGGTCAAGTAGAACTTCAATCCTTTCGGCAGGGACGTCTGGCAGCAGCCTATACCCGAGCAGGATTCGTTTATTACATCCTCGGCTCTCGAGCAGAGTGAAACGCACCCGCTGGTGAAGTTCCGGCTGCCAACGCCGGTGACGAGCGCGAAATCGTCACAGCCGATGACCGTGAATTTATTCAGCTCCGAGTAGCTGAACGGAGTGGAGCTGATGCTGGAGGAGGCGGTGTTGTGCAGGACTACTGAGCCAGATCGGTCGTAGCATCTCCTGGCTACAACGTTGGAGATTCGCATTTGATTGTCGGAGATTTCGTAGACCTGAATGTTGCCAATTAATGCTCGGGGAGGATCGAAGGCGTTGCTGCAATTGAGCTCAAACCAGTCCCCGATCCCGCAGCCGCTGCCAACGCCGATGCCGAAGGGGTACGGAACAGTGAGATCCCCACATTTGCTGGGGCAATCGGGCCTCTTGGTGATGATTGGAGCCCTCGTAATGTTGAATGTGTCGGCGGTGGCGGTGTCGGTGGAATTGGTGGCTGCCAGGGCTACGGTAATCCCGGCCAACAAAATTCCGGCGAACTGGACGATAAGCATGATTAGTCTTCACCAGTGATTTTTCCGGTGAAGGAAATTGTGAAGAAATACTATCAAGGTCAAGATAGCATGCAAACGTACAATAAACAATGCTACATTATTTTTTATCAGGGTTGGTGAAAGACGACTTTGATGAGAGCAGGACGTGCTACTCATACCATTGCAAGTTGACTTGACTTGATCAACGATGCTTTGGATTTTTATTTATAGTTTGCTTCTAATAAATATTTACTATATTTGAGAAATATGTTCTATTGTCTCAAGGTTGCTAAGTCAACTTGCTGCTATACTAGAATCTTTTAGTAAATAGTAATAGAGTGTAGTGAGAATATCGCATGGGTGCACGTTAGCTGTTAGACGACATTTTTAGGTAGACCCAGAGTTTATGCATGCCCACTTGCAATGCGACACCCTCCTTTGAATTTTTAGATAAATTTTGAAAATAATAAAATTTGATTTTAAATAGCATTATCAAAATATTATTTTAAAAAAAATATAATGTCAATTTTGTGGTTGTGGAAATTTATGATATGCAATTGCAAGTATAAAGTCTGTAAAAAATGATTTGTCAATTGTCATGGCACATTATTGTCAACTCTGCCATTCTCAATTTGCTATTTTCTCTCCTACCGTCGTTTCGACATCTTCTCAGAAATTTCCAACCTCATCTCGCCCAATATCCGAACTGCATATCTTTGATGGTCGTCACAGAATGTATAAGAATTCACCCAACTTTTTTTCTTTCAATCCTCGTGCACTGCATCACAATCTTGATTTTCATATGATTAACTGTTCGGAAAAATTATATATATATATATTTGGAACAAAATTTCCACCTGTCAATGGGTCTAACACCGTTTGTTCGTTTAGATTTGATCCCAGACAAGGCAAAAAATTGCAAACTCGAGTATTTGTGTGTGTAATAACCAGCTTAACAAAATAAATCATTCACGAAAAAAAGAAAAAGAGAAAAAGGAAACATGCAATGCAATGATTCACATGGACCTTAACGGATGGAAACTTTTGTTACAGAACGATAATTAACAAAGCGTAAACGCTTCTTCAATTCAATCACATTGACCAAGGTTGCTGTTCAAAATGTACTGCCTTGCAAATTCTCCTCTACTAATTTGGGATCAGTGTAAAAATCGGCCTCTGTAATTGGAGCAGTATAAAGATCAGTAATTTCACGGCCGCTGTAGCTCATTAATCCCACCGATTCTTCTTGAACATTACTTTGATTATTAGCCCAAGGATGTCTGGTGAACTTCCTCAATCCTTCAAGTTCCATCGCCACTTCCTTCATTGTTGGCCTGTCTTCCCCGTTAAGGTACAAACACTTTATTATTAGCTGCGCAGCTGCCTGGAGCTGCTCCAGGGATCCTTCCCGGACAACTTGTGGCTCCAGGATTTGAAACATTCTGTTTTCTTTCACAGCTGTGATGAAACAGGTTGTCAGGGGTTGATTTTCCTGGTTGCTTCCAATGTGGATGGGTCTTCTCCCTGTCACTAATTCCGCAAGCACGACTCCAAAGCTGTATACGTCACTTTTTTCAGTTAATTGGCCCGAGTGAAAGTATTCAGGATCCAGGTACCCTAATGTCCCCTGAACAAGTGTTGTTACTTCTGTTTGGCCAAGTGAGATCAGCCTGGAGGCTCCGAAATCTGATATCTTGGCTGTGTAATATTCGTCCAGCAAGATGTTTGCCGATTTCACGTCCCTGTGGATAACAGGAGTCGATGCGGCTGAATGAAGATAAGACAAGGCTGATGCAGCTTCTGCAGCAATACGTAAACGATTCTCCCATGACAACCAACTCATCGCCCTGTTGTGGATGTGCTCGAAGAGTGTACCATTAGAGACACACTCGTATACTAACAGGGGCACTTCTAGCTCCAGACAGCATCCAAGAAGTTTGACCACATTTCTGTGATTGACCTGTGTGAGGATAACAACTTCATTGATGAATTGTTCGATTTGGCTTTTGTCCATTATGCGCGATTTTTTAATAGCGACTGTGCGGTGGTCGGGAAGAATGCCTTTGTAGACTGTTCCGTATCCTCCTCTGCCAAGGATCATGTTGTCTGCATAATTGTTAGTCGCTTTTTTCAGCTCATCGGCTGTGAATATTTTTGTAGGTTCCATGGCCCCTTTGTGGAAAGAGAGATGGTGTTTCAGCAACGAACCACCATTTTGCTGGAAGAATTGCTTCCGTAGGTTTGCCAGCTTTCTTTTCTTGATGCTGACGTACATGAAGGATACAATAATTATGAAGGACAAAAGACCGAACCCAACTCCTGCAAGATGTGATGTGCTCGCCTGTTTTTATATTTTATTTCGATCGAGAAAATTTCCGACTCAAAATAGTTGTAATTACCTAAGGACACCTTGGTCACAGGGAGCTCAGAGATGCGTTTGTTGCAGCTTTTACCATTCTTTCTGCCATCCCCAAATTGTCCCCGTGGACAAGAACAGCTGAACCCTCCCGGCGTGTTGATGCAGATCTTTTCACAGACATTCAGGTTTGGATCCACACATTCATCAATGTCTACAAAACAGAACAAATTCAAGCACGATCAGCAGTTGTACAAAGCTCAATTGCCGCGCGTATACAAGAATTGAAGAATAATAATTTACCTGTACAGCCGGGATCTAAATAAGGGTTGCCTTCATACCCCTTATTACAGCTGCATCGATACCCATATAATCCAGTGTCCGAATCGACACACTGACTATTAGCCTTACAGGCGTAACCTGAAGAATTCTGGACTTGTGCACAAGTCACATTCCCAATTGCCCAATCAAGAACGATTGGAACTGTACTCCGAATCCGCTGCAAGAAATCTGGGTCGGATAGATCCGAAAGCCCACCAAAACTGAACCTTTCCTCCTCTCCAAGAAATGCATAACCACAAGAAACGTTAGCTTGGGTGGGAGTTCCCAAGCCGATGAGACTGGAATTGTAGTATTTTAATCCTTTTGGCAGGGAAATCTGGCAGCATCCATCACCGGAGCAGTATCCGCCGACCACATTCTCGACGGTCGAGCAGGCTGAAACGCAGCCGCTGGAGAAGTTCCGGCTGCCGACTATGGTAAAAAGCGCTAAATCACTGCAGCCAACGACTGTAAATTTATTTACGTCTGAGTAGCTGTATGGAGTGCTGCTAATGTCGGAGGAGGCAGTGTTCTGCATCAAAACTGTGCCAGCTTTGTCGTAGCATCTCCTGGCCACGACATTGGAGATTCTTATTTGGTTGTCGGATATTTCAAATACCTGAATGGTGCCGAGGAAGGCTCGGGGAGGATCGAATGCCATGCTGCAATTGAATTCGAATCCTTCGCCAATGCCACAGCCGCTGCCAATGCCAATTCCGAAGGGGTATGGAACGGAAAGATTTCCACATTTGTTAGGGCAGTCAGGCCTCTTGGTGATTGCTGCGGCTTTGCCAATGTTGAATGTGTCGGCGCCGGCGGCTGTGGAATTGGAGGTGGCCAGGGCTACGGTCATCCCGACCAAAAAGATCCTTGCAAGCTGGACGGCGATAAGCATGATTTTTACTTCTCCGACTGCAAAAATTTTTGCTAAACAAAACTATAAAAAAAATGAATCCAGCATGCAGATACATATACAATAAATTATTTTTTTAATCAAGATAGGCGGAAGATGACTTCGATGAGCAGGGTCGTGCAATTAGTCATGCAAGTTGCAAGTTGACTTGACAATGCCACAGCCTAAATTGGATTTCGGAATCTTTTTCATCGAACAAATATTGAAAATTCAAATGATAAATGAGATTTAGCGCCGTTGACGATTTCAAATCCGTAATAGAAAAAGATATTATGAATTTTAATTAAATTAATTAATTAATTTTGGTTTGTGATTGTTACTAGCTAATTTGTCTTCTTCTGGGCGGTAACAGCCAAATATGAAGTTTACTGAAGAAACGTGTGTACATTGTCGCTCGAAACTAAATGAACTCGTTAAGGCGACCAAGACCCAATTGCTAAGGTCAACCAACGACTTACAAATCACAATATACTAACATGATGTTGGGATATATAAAAGCCTATTGGATATCAGTGTTCATGAACAGCAATTCAACTAAACTTAATGTATCATAATACCAACATAAAATTATATTGAAGTTGTTTTTTGTTTTTTTTTTGCGAGGGCGTGTGTGAGAGATCTAAACATGAGCCTATGCCTTCACAAATAGTGAAGAACCCAGAAGGAAATTTTTCTTGGACAACTGAGAGTTTTCATCTACTAAAAAAGTTGTGCATTTTTTACACTGTTTACTATATTACATCACTTGTCAAAAAAAAAAAAGTCTGATTACAAGGTTGCCCAAATTAGTTAATTTGCTTACAAACATTTTTTATTTGTCGAGTACATTTAATGTGCAATTAATTGCCTATCGTAATGAAAATGAAATTTGCAGCTCCGATTGCTTCCCCTTATCTGTGCTTTGCAGCTCCTTGACCTCCAGCAAACCATGCCTGTGCAAGAATAAATGACTTACTGCAGAAGCAGTGGCAAACATTCTGAGATAAGAAATGGTTGCTGTCTAGAATTTCATACAGAGGAAGTCTCTTTTCAAATAGCGAAATACAAATATTGTTAAGTGTCCAAGATAACGTGTCCCAATGTTTGGGAATAACCAAACCTTGCTTGCACAACCTTCATTAAGCCAAGTAAGCCTACAACTTGGGGTTGTTGTACTTGGTTCCTGCCTACAGCATAAGTAGCTTTGAGGTGCAAATTATTTGGCAAGGAGTGTATGTGCATCTTAGCATTCCCTGAAGTCAATATTTGGGGAATTGTATGAATATTTGGATCAATCCTGCATGTTTCAATCCTGCATGTTTCTATGTTGCTTATGCTTATGCAGGCACCGATACTGCTCCAAGGGACTTGTATCCAGTAGGTTGTATGCACACAACCTGAGGATGCATTACGAAAGCTAAGGTAGTGTTGGCAAGAATTTTTATATCCTTTTTGGGTTGAAATTTTTGATACCATGGGAACAATGTGGTGAATTAGTCTACCTCCCAGAACAGGGAAGTACTATTTTTAAGAAAGTTAAAAGTCTGCCCCAAACAAATTGCAAGTAGATTAATCACATTGCCATCCATTGGTATACGGATGATATCACACTCTACGAATATTATATGAAGTGGTTGAGGAGAGGCCATGTTGACAAACCTTTAATAAGACCATGACATTTCAATCAGAATACTTCACTTGTAATTTTACAGTGTCCGAAGCCTGGAACAAGTCAACTCTCCCATTTTTTTTCCATTTGAGATTGGTAAGAATGATGTAACAATGTTATTCTTTAAATGGAACATCATATATAATGCATTGGTATTGGACTTTATACCTGATCTATTTTGTTCCCAGTTGCACCATTTAGAGCTTCAAAAAATATTTATTTAGGTTGGCATGCACTTGCATATAGAGAGGAGCTTCTGCCTCTATGATTCATAGTGAGTGAGTATTGAGAGAATTACCCTTGTGACTGCTTCTGCCGAATACCATTAGCTTTCAATGATGCTGAAAATTTTTCTACTGTATTCTTTTCTCTTTCACTTTACATGGCTTCACAGTGCACTTGCTGACTCTGATAAAACCAACACAGCCAGATCACCCACAACCATCACCAAAGGACTCAACATATCGAAGCCTGGCTGCCCAAGCAAGTGCGGAAAGTTAGCTGTTCCATATCCATTTGGCATTGGCATAGGCTCAGGGTGTTCCATAGGCCAGGCGTTTGACATAAAATGTGACACTTCTTTCAGCCCTCCAAAGCCATATAAGGGAACTTCAGGTTTTGAAGTCATATCTATATCAAACTCCCAAATAAGGATTAAGAACTTGTTGGCTTCAGGATGTTACAACCAAAATGGCAATCTGACGAGCCGCAGAGTTATTGAGATCTTTTGGGAATCACAATTTACCTTTTCTGATGCCAATAAGTTTACTGTGGTAGGATGTGATGATATTGCCTTGATTGGTGGAATGGGTGGGACTGATTTCTCCAGTGGATGTGTTTCTCTCTGTTCCAGGAAAGAGGATATCCTAGAAGGTTATTGTACAGGAATCGGTTGCTGCCAAACTTCAATACCAAATGGCCTAAAGGGCTTTTCTACTACAATGATGTCCATCTATAAACACATAGAAGTCTCATCCTTTAACCTTTGTGGTTATGGTTTTCTTGCAGAGGAGAACACTTTTATATTTCATTCATCTGACCTCAGTGATGCAGAATTTATAAACAGGACAAGAGATAATGTTCCAGTAGTTTTGGACTGGGTGATCAGTAATCAAACTTGCTCTGAAGCTCAGAAATCAAATGATTACGCATGCAGGAAGAATAGCAAGTGCATTGACTCTGACACAAAATCAGGGGGATATCACTGCACCTGCTTTGAAGGATATGAAGGCAATCCCTACCTTGATCAAGGGTGCAATGGTTAGTACATTTTTCTATTTCTTTTTTAGTTCAGTGTTTTGACAGTTTATACTATTGGATGAGAGCTGATTATTTTCACGTTGATTGCTGATTTCTAGACAAAAATGAATGTGAAAATAGCCCTTGTGATCCCCAAGGTATTTGCACCAACATTCCTGGTAGTTATAACTGTTCATGCCCTCACGGATTCCATGGTGATGGCATGAAAGATGGCCGAGGCTGTGTCAAACATGCTTCATCATTTCCGGCGGTGAAGTTCTCATTAGGTACAACGTGCACCTCTAGTTGCTTCATACGTTAACTGAAAGCTTAATATTACAAGCCTGACTGAAAATTTTTCATTTGCAGGCTTTGGCTTTAGCTTGTTGGCAGTGATAATTGGCCTTACATGGATATACTTCAGCTTTCAGAAAAGAAAACTAATCATACTCAGACAAAAATTCTTCCTGCAGAACGGAGGCTTACTACTGAGACAGCAGCTGTCCTCTAATGAAGGAAGAATGCAATCAGCTAAAATCTTTTCTGATGAAGAACTTAATAAGGCCACGAATAATTATTCCGAAGAACGCATCCTTGGAAAAGGGGGCTATGGAACAGTTTACAAAGGGATTCTCAAGGATCATCGTGAGGTGGCAATCAAGAAGTCTAGAATAATGGATGAGACTCAAATAGAGCTCTTCATCAATGAGTTTGTTATTCTCACTCAGATCAATCACAGAAATGTGGTCAAACTCTTGGGCTGTTGTTTAGAGACTGAGGTTCCTTTGCTTGTATATGAATATGTCTCCAATGGTACTCTGTTTCACCATATCCACAACAGTGCGGACATGCCTTGGTTTTCTTGGGAAAACCGGCTCAGGATTGCTGCGGAGGCAGCAGCTGCACTTGCCTATCTTCATTCTGCAACAGCAATGCCAGTTATTCACAGAGATGTCAAGTCACCAAATATATTGCTTGACGAGTCTTACACAGCAAAAATAGCAGATTTTGGGGCTTCAAGATTGGTGCCTATTGATCAAGCACAAGTGACTACTCTTGTGCAGGGAACATTGGGCTATCTTGATCCTGAATACTTCCATACTGGCCAATTGACAGAGAAAAGTGATGTTTACAGTTTTGGAGTGGTCCTGGCAGAGCTTCTGACAGGGCGAAAACCACTTTCACCTGAAAATGGTGAGGTAGAAAGAAACTTGTCTACTTGTGTAGTTGCAGCTATGAAGGAAAATTTGTTGTTTCAAATAGTGCAACCAAGAATTCTGCGTGAAGGGAGTACAGAACAGATTAATGCAGCGGGTAAGCTTGTTAAGAGATGCCTCAAATTAAGTGGGGAAGAAAGACCAACCATGAAAGAAGTGTCTATGGAATTGGAAAACTTAAGAAAGTACAAGTTGCATTTCAGGAAACAGCTTGAAAACCCTAGCGAGAACATGCGATTTACAGCGAAGCAAGCTGATCTACATCCTGTTTCTGTTGACCCTGGTTTCAACACTGGAGATTTTTCTGGACAATATTCTCTGGACAGCACACACTTCTTTCCGGAAATCAATACTCCTCGCTGAATGGAACTACCTGAGTACATTCAAATGTTGATAGATATGAAGATTTATTGATTTGATTTTTACATTTTTGTTCTCTTATATAGTGCCTGATAAAATTTGTGATGCACCAGATTTGAAGAGTTGTTGATGCTTATTTATCAGTGTTGTATATTTAGTGATGCATTGTGTTGGAGTGTTCTATTTGTAATAAAAATACTGAAAGTGACTATTGGATTACTTTTTGGAGTATTATGTTACCTACATACACACCAAAGTTTTGTCTAATCAATAATAAGCACATCGAATCTGGGAACATTGGATTGTGTGGTGCAGCGAATAATTCTGTAAGAAGGGAGTACGGAACAGATTCGGGCAATGAGTTGTCAGCTCGTCATGAAATGCTTCAAGTTAAATGGAGAAAAATTTTCAACCATGAATGATGTGTTTGTTAAATTGAAAAGATTGGCGAAGTTATACCAGCTCTTGCTTCCATCATACTGCATAATTAGCTGTGCAAATATATATATATATATATTTCTTTTTATGACGTGGAAACCGCAGCCGCTATTCTTCAAGCGCGCTCTGGTTTACAAATATTTTACACAAATGGAGTTGTGCATGTGTGTAACATGCCTTATTAGTGCTTGAAGAGTTTATATGAGTGGCCAGATGATTCCTGTATATATATATATATATATATTTGCATTCCCTATATATACCTGTGTATGTCGTCACCATGCGGTTGTAAAAATTAAAGAAACTCAAGCCAGTGAATCTGTGCCAAGTCACTGAAACTCTTCATTAAATATTAAATATTAACAAAGTGAAATTGTGCTGCATCAGCTAACAACATGTCAATCGATCTGTACTTGATTCAGTCTAGCTTCCATCACATATGATACAATTCTGTTTGACAGCTACACTTAGTTGATTCAGTATTATATCCTCAATTTGCATGAGATCAAGGCTACTAATTTATATAAACTGAGAGCAAGTGATGAGCAATCAATTAAAAGTCAGCCATATAGATTGTTTTTGAGTTTCTGAATAAGCAAAGACTACGCTGCATTTGTATAATGTTGGGATAGTGTAACTACGACAATGACATTATAGAACTTGAGAAATAAATAGGAATAAGGTTGGATTTATGGTTTATGAATGGAATTAAATTTTTATTCTGTAGGTCACTTGGCAATGTTATATTTTAATTCCTCTTTATATTCATTTTGTCTCATTGTGATTTCACATTGAACCTGTCAAATTAAAAACACATATAACAAGTATGCTAAAATTCCAGCATATACAATGGTGAAAACAAGTTTGCAATACATTAGGGGAGCAAGAGATCTGGAATTTATTCATTTATCCAATTCTCATGTACACTCTCTGATATCTGTTGTAGTATGACAGAACTGAGGGTAAAAAAAAAATTATTGCAAAAAATAAATCTCCTTTCTACCAAGCTGAAACCATCTCCTAACTTAGATATGTAGTCCGTATATATTTGGCCTAGATGGACTTTATATATATATACAGACTCAAGAAATAATAAATAAATAATTCTAAAACAAAAGTTCAAGTCATCAACCTTAGCAGCTGAAGTGAACTTGGTCCATCTTTCCTTAACATAAACCTTAATTAAGATTGCCCAACCTCATATCATAGTATGGCTCTTTATATACTTCAGCATATCTAATATTAATAAATTTACTGTGAACATACTCCCTTGTCAGCTAACAAAATGTCAATCGATAGGTACTCGATTCAGTCTGGCTTCCATGCATCTGATAAAATTTTGTTTGATAGCTACACTGTGAGTTGATTCAGTATTGTATCCTCGATTTTGAATGAGATCATGGCTTTAACTAATTTATATAAACTGAAAGCTATTGATGAGAAATCAATTAAAAGTCAGCCATTTAATTTACTTTTAATTTCCTGAACACCAAATGACTATGCTGCATTTGCATGTAACAGTGAAAACAAGTTTGTAATGCTTTCTAGGGAGCAGGAGATCTTGAATTTATTCATATATCCAACTCCCAAATATCGTCGGAAAACATGCTTGCTATTTCCAACATATTACAATCAACTTGGAAACCAGATCGACAAAAATATACTATCTTATATCTTCAGTATGGCACTTCACTTCAGCATGTCTTATAATAACTTTACTATGAACAAGACGCCCTTGATGCCAGGAAAGTAGAAAGGTATATTAATTTAGTGCATCACGCTGGGGGTAACAGCTTGATAAATTAAGATAGCTAACAAACCTTTTCCATAGAAAAAAAATAACCCTTCAATTCAAACATCCAAGTTGTAAAGTTTTGACAATGTCTGAAGCCTGGATCAATTATAGTTTTAAATTGATAAGAGTGATGTAACAATGCAATTCATTAAAATAGAACATCATAGATGTTGCTTTTGAGGGATTTATACATGATTTCTTTAGTTCCTGGTGGGATTGTTACAGCTGCAACTAATTTGCAACTTGAAATTTAGGGTGACATGCACTTGCTGGTGCAGGAATAGCTAGAGCTTCTAAGTTCTGCCTATATATATCATGTTCAGGCGTTGAGAAGATTACCCTTGTGAACGCATCCTAGCTGAAGATAATTTAACTCCAAAGATGCTGAAAACATTTCTTCTGTATCTTCTTGTTCTCAATTTTGTCTGGTTTCACTGTTCACTGGCCGATTCTAATAAAACCAACGCCACCAGACCTCCAGCAACCATCACCCAGGGTGTCAACATAACTAAGCCTGGCTGCAAAAGCAAGTGTGGAAATTTGATCGTTCCATATCCATTTGGCATTGGCGTGGGCTCAGACTGTTCCATAGGTCCGGAATTTGACATCTTCTGCGACACATCTTTCAACCCTCCAAAGCCATTTATGGGAGAATCCTCCAATCTTGAACTCATTGATATATCAGATACCCAAATACGGGCTAAGAACGAGGTGGCTTCGCAGTGTTACAATCCAAGTGGTAATGAGACCAGTTCCTTCGCAATGAACATCACTTTGGTACAGCCGTTCAGCTTGTCTGAATCAAATAAGTTAACAGTAGTAGGATGTGACGATTTTGCAGTAGTGTCCGGGTGGGGTGGGAGTAACATCTCAGTTGCGTGCTTTTCTAGTTGTGGAAAAAAAGAGGATATCTTCGAAGGTGATTGTAGGGGGATTGGATGTTGCCAGGTTTCGATACCACCTGGACTAACGGAAATTTATGGCACGGTTGACAGTTCTGATAATCACACGAATGTATCATCCTTCAACCCTTGCGGTTATGCCTTTCTTGCAGAGCAGGATAGTTTCGTATTCAGTTCAGCAGACCTTAATGACCCGGCGTTTGAAAATAGAACAGTTGAAAATGTCTCAATAGCCATCGACTGGGCGGTGGGGGAGCAAAATTGCTCTGAAGCTCAGAAATCCAAAGATTTTGCGTGTAGGATGAACAGTAACTGCATCAACTCTGACACCAGGCTAGGTGGGTATCGCTGCTTGTGCGCTGAAGGATACGAGGGCAATCCTTATCTTGATCCAGGCTGCAATGGTTACGTTCATAACCTTTTTTCTGTTCTCACTCATGAGCATGGCATTTTTCTGTCATTATTTTTTATAAAATGAGATGAGCTAATTACCGTGATGTGATTTCCTATTTTCCAGACGTCAATGAATGTGAAAAACATCCATGTGGCCGTAATGCTATATGCATCAACACTCCAGGTAGCTACAACTGTTCATGTCCTAATGGATTCTCCGGCAATGCAACTGAAGTTTGTGTCAAACCGCTTTCATCAATTACAGCTTTGAAGTTTTCATTAGGTACACTAACGTCCGCCAGCTTCAATATGGTTGACTTACATCTTTATGCTTAGCTAAAGACTTTTATCTGCAGGTTTTGGCTTTGGCTTGTTGGCGGTGATAATTGGCCTTACTTGGATATTCTTCATCTTCCAGAAGAGGAAACTAATTAAACTCAGACAAAAGTTCTTCCTGCAGAATGGAGGCTTGCTATTGAGACAGCAGTTGTCTTCAAATGAAGGAAGTATGGAATCAGCCAAAATCTTTTCTGCTGAAGAACTTGAGAGGGCCACCAACAATTACGCCGAAGAACACATCCTTGGAAGAGGGGGATATGGAACAGTTTACAAAGGAATTCTCAAAGATCAACGCGTGGTTGCAATCAAGAAATCCAGAATAATGGATGAGGCTCAAATAGAACTCTTCATCAATGAGGTCGTCATTCTGACTCAAATCAATCACAGAAATGTGGTCAAACTCTTGGGGTGTTGTTTAGAAACTGAAGTTCCTTTGCTCGTATATGAATATGTCTCAAATGGTACTCTATTTCACCATATCCACAATAGTGCGAACATGCCTTGGTTTTCTTGGGAAAATCGGCTCAGGATTGCCGCGGAGGCAGCTGGTGCACTTGCCTATCTTCATTCTGCAACAGCAATGCCAGTTATTCACAGAGATGTCAAGTCGCCTAATATATTGCTTGATGAGTCTTACACAGCAAAAATAGCAGATTTTGGGGCATCAAGATTGGTGCCTATTGATCAAACACAGGTGACTACTCTGGTGCAGGGAACATTGGGCTATCTTGATCCTGAATATTTCCACACAAGCCAATTGACAGAGAAGAGCGACGTTTACAGCTTCGGTGTGGTCTTGGCAGAGCTTCTTACTGGGAAAAAACCACTTTCTCCTGAAAACGTTGAGGAAGAAAGAAACCTGTCTACTTACATTGTTTTAGCTGTGAAGGAAAATCGGTTGTTTCAAATAGTGCAACCGAGAGTTCTGCGGGAAGCAAGTACAGAACAGATTGAAGCAATTGGCAAGCTTGTTAAACGATGCCTTAAGTTAAATGGGGAAGAAAGACCAACCATGAAAGAAGTGTCAATGGAATTGGAAAGCTTGAGGAAGTACAAGTTGCATCACAAGGAACAGTTTGAAAGCCCTGTAGAGAACATGGGATTTACAGGGAAGCAAACTGATCTGTACCCTGTTTCACTGGACATCGGTTTCAACACTGGAGACTATTCTGGACAATATACTCTGGACAGCACAAAAATTTTGCCTGCAGTCAATACTCCTCGCTAATGGAACCACCTGAGTATATTTGTTAAGATTTCAATATATGTTGAAGTTTCTTGCACATTTGCTGTGTGATGTGCCTTATTTGAATGGTTTGGATGCTTATTATCATTGTTCTCTTAGTAATGTATCGTGTTTCGAGTTTGATTTGTTTTCGATAAAAACAATTGGAAGTGACTATCAGCTTAGAGTCTTCGCTGTATCATGTTACTTAAGTAAAATAGAAAAATTGTCTAATTGAATGTCGTTTATCCTGTTGAAATAATTTATAATCCAAGAACACTATTAAATTAATTACAGTAAACAGGGTGTTTTGTCTTGACTAGTTAAATTGATAACCTGGTTTACCCTCGCTTTTGAGAAATTTTAGTCCAACCTATCCGCGGTCCAAACACCACTTGAAAAATATTTGGCTAAATATTTAGTAAGGGCATAAACATGGCTCTGAAAATTATTTTTAATTATAAAAGAAATTGTATTTTGTTGCAACTAAAAACGTGTAAGAGGATTTAATTGTAGGATCTTTTGAATGGTCCTTTGCTTCTATTTCCTTATTGTGAAAACCAATGTTTTTCCTAATTTTATTTGTTCATTCTAAACTATTTGTATTGTAATATTTCAGATTCAAATTTTATTCCTTATATACCATTTCCTTATTGTGAACAGCAATGCTTAATGCATGATTTTACGATAGATATAGCATTGACGTTATATACATGAAGATGGTAATATGTTACAACTTACATATATACATATAATTACTGCAATTATAATTACTATATATATTACGAAAGTGGAGATGTGTTAATATTACTGCACATAAATAATTGTTTTGTACTATAATTACTGCAGTTTTGTAATCTGACTCAATAAGATTAATGAGTAGTAGGCACGTGTGAAGTATAAATAGCCAATCGCTCCTCTCACAACACAACAGCATCCATCCATCCATCCTTTCTGCAATAGAGAAAAGATATACAAGTAAAACATGTCTCGGTGGCTATGGCGAACAACAAGATTCTCTGGGTTCTTTTACTCTTTTGACAGGTATATATATATACATACATGAAAAAAAAGAATTAGTAATGATTTATGCTAGTGTGTATATGTGTATACATATACTGATCCATTCATTCAATTATATATATGTAACTAGTGATGGGGGCGAGCAAAAGCATTGTGGAAGTGAAGGGGCAGAAGAAGTGCACAGTGGTGCTGAACAACAAGGGATGCGTTGAGACGCTGTGTGAGGGGCAGTGCTCTAAGCCGTACAATGGCGGCAAGGGCTCCTGAAAAAGCTGAGGAAGAAAGAAACCTATCTACTTACATTGTTTTAGCTGTGAAGGAAAAACGGTTGTTTCAAATAGTGCAACCAAGAGTTCTGCGGGAAGGGACTACAGAACAGATCAAAGCAATTGGCAAGCTTGTTAAACGATGCCTCAAGTTAATTGGGGAGAAAGGCGAACCATGAAAGAAGTGTCGATGGAGTTGGAAAGCTTGAGAAGTACAAGTTGCATCACAGGGAACAGTTTGAAAGCTCTGGAGAAAATAGGGGAATTACAGGGAAGCAAGGTGATCTGTATCCGGTTGTAGTGGTCCCAGGTTTCAACACGGGAGAGTATTCTTGGCAATATTCTCTGGACAGCACCCAATTCTTGCCAGCAATCAATACCCCTAGGTGAGTGGAACCACCTGAGATTATTCACATGTCACATTAGTTTATATATTTTTTTGTCTTTTGCATTGTTTTTTTCTTAGTTTGTGCCTCATAATGTGTGTGATGCATGTATGATTAGTTGTTAATGCTTATTTATCATTGTTGTTTTTCATCTGGATACATTGTACTTCGAGTGTAAATGTGTTATCTGTCTTGAGTGAAAAATATTAAAAGTTACTATTGAATTAAAGAATTTACAGTATTATATGCTATTCAATTACACGTTAAAGTGTTGTCTGATCAATGACAGCACATCAAAGCGGCACCATTGGATTCCATAGTGCAGCCAAGAATTCTGCAAGAAGAAAATATGGAACAGATTGGGGCAGTGAGTCAGCTTGTTCAGAAAAAATTCTCAAGTTAAAACAGGGAAGAAAATCCAACCATGAAATAATTAATTTTCGATGGAATTGGAAATATTGAGGAAATACAAGTTGCATTACACAAAATAGGTTGAAATCCCTATTGTAGCATAGTATAAACTAAAACACAACCTGTTATATATCTTGTTTCAGTTAACTTGATTTTAATTTTGGAACCTATTATTCGGTAAGGTAAGTTGAAATGCATGTTGACTATTAAAGTGGTTGAGGTATATGAATGATAAATTATAATCGTGTGCCACCAATTCGGACCAGATAATGACGTAAGTACACGAGACATTAGTTTTATCTTGGGCTCAAAGGTCTTGGTCAGAATTTAGGTTTGAATTTTGGTGAATGCTAGTTTGATGAAGTCTATTATTTTTTGGGTGTCAAATTGAAACAAAATATTTTATTGAAACCCAAAAATATATATTTTTATGGACAAAAATTATAGTTCAAAAATTGTAATTACATATAAATAATTATTTTGAAATCAAAAAATTCAAATAAATATCATGAATAAATAAATTTGTTTTGACTGTTACCCTAGCCTAAGGTTTAGGCTTAGAATTAAATTCCCACTGCCACATTAATTTTCAACACCATTCTATAGCTCTCCCTTCCTATTTTCCTCTAGGCCTTTATCTCTTCCTCCAAGAGTTTTTTTCATGAGTTTTTCAGAGATATTTCGGGAACTCTTCTTTATATTCAAGTCTTCCGACACAATTTTTTGTTTCCCAACTTTTTGTTTCCTTATTTTAGTTCGTCTGACGAAAGTATGTTTTATTTTTAAGAACGTTAGATCATGAACAGGAGTCACTACCACATTTATTTCAATAATTTATTTTGATTATCAAATTTTATTTTTCGATAATTATTTGATATTTTCATGATATAATAATTAAGGTTTATTTTGTTGAACTAGTCAAAAAAATATGGTCTTTGGTTCTTGGCGATAATTTTGAAAAAAAAAAGATCATATCCATGTTTCCAAGTAAATTTCATATGTATCACCTCTACATGGCACATGTTGCTCTACCTGTTTCTCAAGTATCCCAGGACATGCAACTACTCTTGTTTCCGGTTTACTGCATGAATAGCTAGCTCTGCAAATATTTTACGCACATGGTGTTGTGCAACAGTGTGGCACCCCTTCTTAGTTCTTGAGGAATTTATATGAGCAATCAAACTATACCTGTACATATTTGTGTTCCCTATACCTGCTTACATTGTCACCAAGCGATTGTAAAGCTAAAGAGAACTCAAGCATGGATTCAGTGCCAAAGTCACTGGGTGAAACATGAATTAAGAATTAATGCAACAAGTAATGGTTGTGCTCTGTCAACTGACATGATGTCAACCGATCATCACTTGATTCAGTTTAGCTTCCATCACTTACAGATAGCTAACTGTGAGTTGATTCATTATTATATCCTCAATTTGTGCATTAGGAAAGGCTTTAGCTAATTACTATAAACTGAAAGCGAATGATGAACGACCAATTAAAAGTCAGCCATTTAACTTACAACCTTTAGTTTGAATAAATTGGCGTCTGAGTAATTTATTTCTGTCATGAGTGCACCCAATGTCCACCAATCTATTCATTTTTTTAATTATTTTTTTTATCTCCAAAAAAATATATATTTTGTATATAACAAATAATTCTTACATACTGATTAGTATTATACATATATTACAACTACTTACACACTTAACTACATAAATTTTGTGGATGTAGGAAGTAGTTGATTTGTCGCCCAAAAAAATCTCTTAAAAAAAAAAAAGGAAAGAAAGAAAAGCTGTGCAAATCCTACAAGATTTGTATATGAAGATGAAAACTGGTTTGCAAGGCATTAAGAGTAGAGGACAAATTTACACATCTGACTCCCGAATAAGGTTGTGAACATGCTTGCTTGGTTCAACATGTTACAACCAAATTGGCAACGATATCATGATTACACTGCTGATACCTGAAGTTTGGCACCTCACTTCATCATCTCTAATGCTACTGAGTTTACTGTGAAGATACTCGGGAAAGGAATTAATGCATCACTTTGGACTATGTTTGCAAGGTCACAAGTGAGCTTATAACAGTTAAATTATCCTGATGAGAAAGTGGGGCAAAAGATTAAGGGAAAGAAAAGGAAAAGAAATAAAAATATCAGCGTTCAACAGCTTGACAAATTAAGACAAGACCAAAATAGATAAGAATAACAATGTTGTTCTTTTGATAGTTATAGATGGTGCTGTTTGAGGATTTATACATGATTTATTTAGTTCCTAGTTGGAATATTAGAGGTGCAAATAATTTGCAACTTGAAATTTTTTGACAATGTCTGAAGCCTGGAACAAGTCTAAGATTTTAAATTGATAAGAATGATGTAACAATGCAATTCTTTGGATAGATCATCATAGATTTTGCTCTTGAGGGATTTTTACAAGATTTCGTTAGTTCCTAGTGGGATTGTTTAAAGCTGCAAATAATTTGCAACTTGAAATTAGGGTGACATGCACTTGCTGATGTACGAATAGCTGGAGCTTGAGTTCTGCCTCTATATATACCATGTTCAGTCGTTGAGAAGATTACCCTTGTGAATGCATCCTAGCTGAAGATAATTAATTCCAAAGATGCTGAAAACATTTCCTCTGTATCTTCTTGTTCTCAAGTTTGTCTGGTTTCACTGTTCACTGGCCGATTCTAATAAAACCAGCTCAGCCAGACCTCCAGCAACCATCACCCAGGGTGTCAACATAACTAAGCCTGGCTGCAAATCCAAGTGTGGAAATTTGATCGTTCCATATCCATTTGGCATTGGCGTGGGCTCAGACTGTTCCATAGGTCCGAGATTTGACATCAGCTGCAACACATCTTTCAACCCTCCAAAGCCATTTAAGGGAACATCCAATCTTGAAGTAGTTGATATATTAGACACCCAAATAAGGGTTAAGAACGTGGTGGCTTCAGAGTGTTTCGACCCACGTGGTAATGTGACCAGCGACTATACAATGAGCATCACTTTGCTACCACCCTTTAGCTTGTCTGAAGCAAATAAGTTAACAGTCGTAGGATGCGACGATTTTGCAGTAATGTCCGGATGGGGTGCGAGTAATATCACCGTCGCGTGCACTGCTAGTTGTGGAAAAAAAGAGGATATCTTCGAAGGTGATTGTAAGGGGATTGGATGCTGTCAGGTTTCGATACCAAATGGACTAACGGAAATTTTTGTCACGATGAGAAGTTTTCATAATCACACGAATGTATCGTCCTTCAACCCTTGCGGTTACGCCTTTCTTGCAGAGCAGAATAGCTTCTCATTTGATTCATTAGACCTCAATGACCCAGCGTTTGAAAATAGAACCGTGGAAAATGTCTCAATAGCCATGGACTGGGTGCTGGGGGATCAAAATTGTTCTGAAGCTCAGAAATACAAAGATTTTGCATGTAGGAAGAACAGTAACTGCGTCAACTCTGACACCAGGCTAGGTGGGTATCGTTGCTTCTGCGCTGAAGGATATGAGGGCAATCCTTATCTTGATCCAGGCTGCAATGGTATGTTCATATCTTTTTTCTGTTTTCAGGAGCATGGCATTTTCTTTTATTTGTTTAAGTTTGATGGGCTAACTACTGTGATGTGATTTCCTGATTTTCAGACATCAATGAATGTGAGAAAAACCCATGTGGTCGTAATGCTATATGCACCAATACTCTAGGTAGCTACAAGTGTTCATGTCCTAAAGGATTCTCCGGCAATGGCACTGAAGAAAGACCTTGTGTTAAACCACCTTCATCATCAATTACAGCGTTGAAATTTTCATTAGGTACACTAACGTCCGCCAGCTTCAATATGGTTGACTTACATCTTTATGCTTAACTCAAGATTTATTATCTACAGGTTTTGGCTTTGGCCTTTTGGCAGTGATAATTGGCGTTATTTGGATATTCTTCATCTTCCAGAAGAGGAAACTAATTAGACTCAGACAAAAATTCTTCCTGCAGAATGGAGGCTTACTATTGAGACAGCAGTTGTCTTCTAATGAAGGAAGTATGGAATCAGCCAAAATCTTTTCTGCTGAAGAACTTGAGAGGGCCACCAACAATTACGCCGAAGAACACATCCTTGGAAGAGGGGGATATGGAACAGTTTACAAAGGAATTCTCAAAGATCAGCTCGTGGTTGCAATCAAGAAATCCAGAATAATGGATGAGGCTCAAATAGAACTCTTCATCAATGAGGTCGTCATTCTGACTCAAATCAATCACAGAAATGTGGTCAAACTCTTGGGGTGTTGTTTAGAAACTGAAGTTCCTTTGCTCGTATATGAATATGTCTCAAATGGTACTCTATTTCACCATATCCACAATAGTGCGAACATGCCTTGGTTTTCTTGGGAAAATCGGCTCAGGATTGCCGCGGAGGCAGCTGGTGCACTTGCCTATCTTCATTCTGCAACAGCAATGCCAGTTATTCACAGAGATGTCAAGTCGCCTAATATATTGCTTGATGAGTCTTACACAGCAAAAATAGCAGATTTTGGGGCATCAAGATTGGTGCCTATTGATCAAACACAGGTGACTACTCTGGTGCAGGGAACATTGGGCTATCTTGATCCTGAATATTTCCACACAAGCCAATTGACAGAGAAGAGCGACGTTTACAGCTTCGGTGTGGTCTTGGCAGAGCTTCTTACTGGGAAAAAACCACTTTCTCCTGAAAACGTTGAGGAAGAAAGAAACCTGTCTACTTACATTGTTTTAGCTGTGAAGGAAAATCGGTTGTTTCAAATAGTGCAACCGAGAGTTCTGCGGGAAGCAAGTACAGAACAGATTGAAGCAATTGGCAAGCTTGTTAAACGATGCCTTAAGTTAAATGGGGAAGAAAGACCAACCATGAAAGAAGTGTCAATGGAATTGGAAAGCTTGAGGAAGTACAAGTTGCATCACAAGGAACAGTTTGAAAGCCCTGTAGAGAACATGGGATTTACAGGGAAGCAAACTGATCTGTACCCTGTTTCACTGGACATCGGTTTCAACACTGGAGACTATTCTGGACAATATACTCTGGACAGCACAAAAATTTTGCCTGCAGTCAATACTCCTCGCTAATGGAACCACCTGAGTATATTTGTTAAGATTTCAATATATGTTGAAGTTTCTTGCACATTTGCTGTGTGATGTGCCTTATTTGAATGGTTTGGATGCTTATTATCATTGTTCTCTTAGTAATGTATCGTGTTTCGAGTTTGATTTGTTTTCGATAAAAACAATTGGAAGTGACTATCAGCTTAGAGTCTTTGCTGTATCATGTTACTCAAGTTAAATAGAAAAATTGTCTAATTGAATGTCGTTCATCCTGTTGAAATAATTTATAATCCAAGAACACTATTAAATTAATTACAGTAAACAGGGTGTTTTGTCTTGACTAGTTAAATTGATAACCTGGTTTACCCTCGCTTTTGAGAAATTTTAGTCCAATCTATCCGCGGTCCAAACACCACTTGAAAAATATTTGGCTAAATATTTAGTAAGGGCATAAACATGACTCTGAAAATTATTTTTAATTATAAAAGAAATTGTATTTTGTTGCAACTAAAAACGTGTAAGAGGATTTAATTGTAGGATCTTTTGAATGGTCCTTTGCTTCTATTTCCTTATTGTGAAAACCAATGTTTTTCCTAATTTTATTTGTTCATTCTAAACTATTTGTATTGTAATATTTCAGACTCAAATTTTATTCCTTATATACCATTTCCTTATTGTGAACAGCAATGCTTAATGCATGATTTTACGATAGATATAGCATTGACGTTATATACATGAAGATGGTAATATGTTACAAATTACATATATACATATAATTACTGCTATTATAATTACTATATATATTACGAAAGTGGAGATGTGTTAATATTACTGCACATAAATAATTGTTTTGTACCATAATTACTGCAATTTTGTAATCTGACTCAATAAGATTAATGAGTAGTAGGCAAGTGTGAAGATTACATAGCCAATCGCTCCTCTCACAACACAACAGCATCCATCCATCCATCCTTTCTGCAATAGAGAAAAGATATACAAGTAAAACATGTCTCGGTGGCTATGGCGAACAACAAGATTCTCTGGGTTCTTTTACTCTTTTGACAGGTATATATATACATACATGAAAAACAAGAATTAGTAATGATTTATGCTAGTGTGTATATGTGTATACATATACTGATCCATTCATTCAATTATATATATGTAACTAGCGATGGGGGCGAGCAAAAGCATTGTGGAAGTGAAGGGGCAGAAGAAGTGCACAGTGGTGCTGAACAACAAGGGATGCGTTGAGACGCTGTGTGAGGGGCAGTGCTCTAAGCAGTACAATGGCGGCAAGGGCTCCTCAAAAAGCTGAGGAAGAAAGAAACCTATCTACTTACATTGTTTTAGCTGTGAAGGAAAAACGGTTGTTTCAAATAGTGCAACCAAGAGTTCTCGGGAAGGGACTACAGAACAGATCAAAGCAATTGGCAAGCTTGTTAAACGATGCCTCAAGTTAAATGGGGAGAAAGGCGAACCATGTATATTAAAATTTATGTATTTTATTAGAAAAATATTATAATAAAATAATATTTTTAATATAATTATATTATTCGAAATTATTTTTTCATATGTATAGTTGATATATTATTATTATATTACCCTGATCATTGCCGAATCCCGGCCTAATACTCAAATAATTGGACTCAACTTCAAATAAATAGGTCGGGCTCAGTAGGGTCTCGAGTTTAAGCGAATCTATTGTCGTCCTATAAAATTATTGATATATTTTTAATTTATATTAATAATGAATTAGAGGTTTAATTTGTCAAAATAAATAAAATTTATAAGAGGACAATTATGTCATAGAATATAAAAAATTCAAATCCACAAAATATAAATCCCACCATATTTTACCAACCAAACATAATATGGGATTCCAAATCCTAAATATAATAAATCCCATCACATATAAATGCTATTGTAAAATCACAATCCCACCAAAAAAGTCCATGAACCAAACCGTCCATAAGTTTATTGAAGATGCTGGACAATATTGTCCAGGAGATTTTCCTGGACAATATTCTCTGGACAGCACACACTTCTTTCCGGAAATCAATACTCCTCGCTGAATGGAACTACCTGAGTACATTCAAATGTTGATAGATATGAAGATTTATTGATTTGATTTTTACATTTTTGTTCTCTTATATAGTGCCTGATAAAATTTGTGATGCACCAGATTTGAAGAGTTGTTGATGCTTATTTATCAGTGTTGTATATTTAGTGATGCATTGTGTTGGAGTGTTCTATTTGTAATAAAAATACTGAAAGTGACTATTGGATTACTTTTTGGAGTATTATGTTACCTAGATACACATCAAAGTTTTGTCTAATCAATAATAAGCACATCGAATCTGGGAACATTGGATTGTGTGGTGCAGCGAATAATTCTGTAAGAAAGGAGTACGGAACAGATTCGGGCAATGAGTTGTCAGCTCGTCATGAAATGCTTCAAGTTAAATGGAGAAAAATTTTCAACCATGAATGATGTGTTTGTTAAATTGAAAAGATTGGCGAAGTTATACCAGCTCTTGCTTCCATCATACTGCATAATTAGCTGTGCAAATATATATATATATATCTTTTTATGATGTGAGAACCGCAGCCGCTATTCTTCGAGCGCGCTCTGGTTAAACTCTGCAAACCTAATAGCCTACAAATATTTTACACAAATGGAGTTGTGCATGTGTGTAACATGCCTTACTAGTGCTTGAAGAGTTTATATGAGTGGTCAGATGATTCCTGTATATATATATATATATATATTTGCATTCCCTATATATACCTGTGTATGTCGTCACCATGCGGTTGTAAAAATTAAAGAAACTCAAGCCAGTGAATCTGTGCAAAGTCACTGAAACTCTTCATTAAATATTAAATATTAACAAAGTGAAATTGTGCTGCATCAGCTAACAACATGTCAATCAATCTGTACTTGATTCAGTCTAGCTTCCATCACATATGATAAAATTCTGTTTGACAGCTACACTTAGTTTGATTCAGTATTATATCCTCAATTTGCATGAGATCAAGGCTACTAATTTATATAAACTGAGATGAGCAATCAATTAAAAGTCAGCCATATAGATTGTTTTTGAGTTTCTGAATAAGCAAAGACTACGCTGCATTTGTATAATGTTGGGATAGTGTAACTACGACAATGACATTATAGACTTGAGAAATAAATAGGAATAAGGTTGGATTTATGGTTAATGAATGGAATTAAATTTTTATTCTGTAGGTCACTTGGCAATGTTATATTTTAATTCCTCTTTATATTCATCTTGTCTCATTGTGATTTCACATGAACCTGTCAAATTAAAAACATATATAACAAGTATGCTAAAATTCCAGCATATACAATGGTGAAAACAAGTTTGCAATACATTAGGGGAGCAAGAGATCTCGAATTTATTCATATATCCAATTCTCATGTACACTCTTTGATATCTGTTGTAGTATGACAGAACTGAGGGTAAAAAAAAAAAAAATTATTGCAAAAAATAAGTCTCCTTTCTACCAAGCTGAAACCATCTCCTAACTTAGATATGTAGTCCGTATATATTTGGCCTAGATGGACTTTATATATATATACATAGACTCAAGAAATAATAAATAAATAATTCTAAAACAAAAGTTCAAGTCATCAACCTTAGCAGCTGAAGTGAACTTGGTCCATCTTTCCTTAACATAAACCTTAATTAAGATTGCCCAACCTCATATCATAGTATGGCTCTTTATATACTTCAGCATATCTAATATTAATAAATTTACTGTGAACATACTCCCTTGTCAGCTAACAAAATGTCAATCGATAGGTACTCGATTCAGTCTGGCTTCCATGCATCTGATAAAATTTTGTTTGATAGCTACACTGTGAGTTGATTCAGTATTGTATCCTCAATTTGCATGAGATCATGGCTTTAACTAATTTATATAAACTGAAAGCTATTGATGAGAAATCAATTAAAAGTCAGCCATTTAATTTACTTTTAATTTCCTGAACACCAAATGACTATGCTGCATTTGCATGTAACAGTGAAAACAAGTTTGCAATTCTTTCTAGGGAGCAGGAGATCTTGAATTTATTCATATATCCAACTCCCAAATATCGTCGGAAAACATGCTTGCTATTTCCAACATATTACAATCGACTTGGAAACCAGATCGACGAAAATATACTATCTTATATCTTCAGTATGGCACTTCACTTCAGCATGACTTATAATAACTTTACGGTGAACAGACGCCCTAGATGCCAGGAAAGTAGAAAGGGTATATTAATTTAGTGCATCACGCTGGGTGTAACAGCTTGATAAATTAAGATAGCTAACAAACCTTTTCCATAGAAAAAAATTAACCCTTCAATTCAAACATCCAAGTTGTAAAGTTTTGACAATGTCTGAAGCCTGGATCAATTATTGTTTTAAATTGATAAGAGTGATGTAACAATGCAATTCATTGAATAGAACATCATAGATGTTGCTTTTGAGGGATTTATACATGATTTCTTTAGTTCCTGGTGGGATTGTTACAGCTGCAACTAATTTACAACTTGAAATTTAGGGTGACATGCAATTGCTGGTGCAGGAATAGCTAGAGCTTCTAAGTTCTGCCTATATATATCATGTTCCGGCGTTGAGAAGATTACCCTTGTGAATGCATCCTAGCTGAAGATAATTTAATTCCAAAGATGCTGAAAACATTTCTTCTGTATCTTCTTGTTCTCAATTTTGTCTGGTTTCACTGTTCACTGACCGATTGTAATAAAACCAACGCAGCCAGACCTCCAGCAACCATCACCCAGGGTGTCAACATAACTAAGCCTGGCTGCAAAAGCAAGTGTGGAAATTTGATCGTTCCATATCCATTTGGCATTGGCGTGGGCTCAGACTGTTCCATAGGTCCGAGCTTTGACATCAGCTGCAACACATCTTTCAACCCTCCAAAGCCATTTAAGGGAACATCCAATCTTGAAGTCATTGATATATCAGATACCCAGATACGGGCTAAGAACGTGGTGGCTTCGCAGTGTTACAATCTAAGTGGTAATGAGACCAGGTCCGTCGCAATGAGCATCACTTTGGTACAGCCGTTCAGCTTGTCTGAATCAAATAAGTTAACAGTAGTAGGATGTGACGATTTTGCAGTAGTGTCCGGGTGGGGTGGGAGTAACATCACAGTTGCGTGCTTTTCTAGTTGTGGAAAAAAAGAGGATATCTTCGAAGGTGATTGTAGGGGGATTGGATGTTGCCAGGTTTCGATACCACCAGGACTAACGGAAATTTATGGCTCGGCTTGGAGTTCTTATAATCACACGAATGTATCATCCTTCAACCCTTGCGGTTATGCCTTTCTTGCAGAGCAGGATAGTTTCGTATTCAGTTCAGCAGACCTTAATGACCCGGCGTTTGAAAATAGAATCGTTGAAAATGTCTCAATAGCCATCGACTGGGCGGTGGGGGAGCAAAATTGCTCTGAAGCTCAGAAATCCAAAGATTTTGCGTGTAGGATGAACAGTAACTGCATCAACTCTGACACCAGGCTAGGTGGGTATCGCTGCTTGTGCGCTGAAGGATACGAGGGCAATCCTTATCTTGATCCAGGCTGCAATGGTATGTTCATAACCTTTTTTATGTTCTCGCTCATGAGCATGGCATTTTTCTGTCATTATTTTTTATAAAGTGAGATGAGCTAATTACCGTGATGTGATTTCCTATTTTCCAGACGTTAATGAATGTGAAAAACATCCATGTGGCCGTAATGCTATATGCATCAACACTCCAGGTAGCTACAACTGTTCATGTCCTAATGGATTCTCCGGCAATGCAACTGAAGTTTGTGTCAAACCGCTTTCATCAATTACAGCTTTGAAGTTTTCATTAGGTACACTAACGTCCGCCAGCTTCAATATGGTTGACTTACATCTTTATGCTTAGCTCAAGACTTTTATCTGCAGGTTTTGGCTTTGGCTTGTTGGCGGTGATAATTGGCCTTACTTGGATATTCTTCATCTTCCAGAAGAGGAAACTAATTAAACTCAGACAAAAGTTCTTCCTGCAGAATGGAGGCTTGCTATTGAGACAGCAGTTGTCTTCTAATGAAGGAAGTATGGAATCAGCCAAAATCTTTTCTGCTGAAGAACTTGAGAGGGCCACCAACAATTACGCCGAAGAACACATCCTTGGAAGAGGGGGATATGGAACAGTTTACAAAGGAATTCTCAAAGATCAACGCGTGGTTGCAATCAAGAAATCCAGAATAATGGATGAGGCTCAAATAGAACTCTTCATCAATGAGGTTGTCATTCTGACTCAAATCAATCACAGAAATGTGGTCAAACTCTTGGGGTGTTGTTTAGAAACTGAAGTTCCTTTGCTCGTATATGAATATGTCTCAAATGGTACTCTATTTGACCATATCCACAATAGTGCGAACATGCCTTGGTTTACTTGGGAAATTCGGCTAAGGATTGCCGCGGAGGCAGCTGGCGCACTTGCCTATCTTCATTCTGCAACCGCAATGCCAGTTATTCACAGAGATGTCAAGTCGCCTAATATATTGCTTGATGAGTCTTACACAGCAAAAATAGCAGATTTTGGGGCATCAAGATTGGTGCCTATTGATCAAACACAGGTGACTACTCTGGTGCAGGGAACATTGGGCTATCTTGATCCTGAATATTTCCACACAAGCCAATTGACAGAGAAGAGCGACGTTTACAGCTTCGGTGTGGTCTTGGCAGAGCTTCTTACTGGGAAAAAACCACTTTCTCCTGAAAAAGTTGAGGAAGAAAGAAACCTGTCTACTTACATTGTTTTAGCTGTGAAGGAAAATCGGTTGTTTCAAATAGTGCAACCGAGAGTTCTGCGGGAAGCAAGTACAGAACAGATTGAAGCAATTGGCAAGCTTGTTAAACGATGCCTTAAGTTAAATGGGGAAGAAAGACCAACCATGAAAGAAGTGTCAATGGAATTGGAAAGCTTGAGGAAGTACAAGTTGCATCACAAGGAACAGTTTGAAAGCCCTGTAGAGAACATGGGATTTACAGGGAAGCAAACTGATCTGTACCCTGTTTCACTGGACATCGGTTTCAACACTGGAGACTATTCTGGACAATATACTCTGGACAGCACAAAGTTTTTGCCTGCAGTCAATACTCCTCGCTAATGGAACCACTTGAGTATATTTGTTAAGATTTCAATATATGTTGAAGTTTCTTGCACATTTGCTGTGTGATGTGCCTTATTTGAAGTGGTTTGGATGCTTGTTATCATTGTTCTCTTAGTAATGTATCGTGTTTCGAGTTTGATTTGTTTTTGATAAAAACAATTGGAAGTGACTATCAGCTTAGAGTCTTCGCTGTATCATGTTACTCAAGTAAAATAGAAAAATTTTCTAATTGAATGTCGTTCATCCTGTTGAAATAATTTATAATCCAAGAACACTATTAAATTAATTACAGTAGAAGGGTGTTTTGTCTTGACTAGTTAAATTGATAACCTGGTTTACCCTCGCTTTTGAGAAATTTTAGTCCAACCTATCCGCGGTCCAAACATCACTTGAAAAATATTTGGCTAAATATTTAGTAAGGGCATAAAAATGACTCTGAAAATTGTTTTTAATTATAAAAGAAATTGTATTTTTTTTTAAACTAAAAACGTGTAAGAGGATTTAATTGTAGGATCTTTTGAATGATCCTTTCCTTCTATTTTCTTATTGTTAAAAGCAATGTTTTTCCTAATTTTATTTGTTTATTCTAAACTACTATTTGTATTAATATTTCAGATTCAAATTTTATTCCTTATATACCATTTTCTTATTGTGAACAGCAATGCTTAATGCATGATTTTACGATAGATATAGCATTGATGTTATATACATGAAGATGGTAATATGTTACAAATTACATATATAAATATAATTACTGCAATTATAATTACTATATACATTACGAAAGTGGAGATGTGTTAATATTACTGCACATAAATGATTGTTTTGTACTATAATTACTGCAGTTTTGTAATCTGACTCAATAAGATTAATGAGTAGTAGGCATGTGTGAAGTATAAATAGCCAATCGCTCCTCTCACAACACAACAGCATCCATCCATCCATCCTTTCTGCAATAGAGAATAGATATACAAGTAAAAGATGTCTCGGTGGCTATGGCGAACAACAAGATTCTCTGGGTTCTTTTACTCTTTTGACAGGTATATATATACATGCATGAAGAACAATAATTAGTAATGATTTATGCTAGTGTGTATATATATACTGATTCATTCATTCAATTATATATATGTAACTAGTGATGGGGGCGAGCAAAAGCATTGTGGAAGTGAAGGGGCAGAAGAAGTGCACAGTGGTGCTGAACAACAAGGGATGCGTTGAGACGCTGTGTGAGGGGCACTGCTCTAAGCAGTACAATGGCGGCAAGGGCTCCTGCCTTCCCATCCCCAGCGGCGGCTCTTTCTGCTCCTGCACCTACGATTGTTAACCCTGCTACCTAATTCTTCATCGCATCTCATTATTATCATAGCTAGCTGCTGTGATAGGAAGCTCATGCACCTAGCCCCACAGATCACCGGCCCACAATATATTTTTACACATATATAATAATACCAGTGCACATTCACATTCAAACAACATATCTATTTATCCATGTTGCTGCTAATAATTACAATAGCTTTTTTATTTTGATCCAACATCCTATCATCCATCGTAAACATCATGTTGCATATGGTTGCTTGCCCTTGCATGCTTTATAACCAAACCTTAATTCATTCAATCAAACACACACATATATATATATATATACACACACAAGTTCCTTTTATCAAATGGTTGTTATGATAAATATAACAAACATGTTTCTAATAAAAACTCTTCTCATCCCATTAATGAGTTTTCTTGATGATAATATTTTAATCCATGTCCTTGTTCTTGTACTTCCCTCCTTTGCCGGTCTTGTCTGTCTTATTTTATTAACATTAATACATATAAAGTTGTGTTGTGTCAACTAACATGATGCGACCGTTCTTTGCTTGATTCAGTCTAGTTCCCATCACATAAAATTCAATTTGACAGCTAAACTATGAGTTGATTGATTATACTATCGTCACTTGTGTGTATGATCATAGCTTTAATTTAGGTAGTATATGTAAACTGAAAGCAAGTGATGGACCAATAAAGGTCTGCCATTTAATTTTCTATCAAGTTTCTAAATAAACAAAGACTAAGCTGCCTAACAATAAGTAGAGATAAGATGACAAAGTATTATTTTTAAAACACTCATTAGCTTGGACTAGTTCATATCCTAACTATCTGTTTCTGCCATGAGTGCAGTTAAGTATAGTCTATTTTTTGTACAGAAATTGGTAACTTGAATTATGCGGAGCAGAAGATTTTGAATCTATTCATTAATCTAACAGCCAAATAAGGGTGGGAATCCTTGCTTGCTTATATATGTTACAATCTACTTGGAATCCAGATCAATGAATACATGATATTTGTGCTGCCTGGCACCTCAATTCATCATTTCTATGAGTATAAGTTTACTGAAGATACTGCCTACATATCAGCATAGGGTAAAGGAATTGATGCATCATGTTGGACTATTTCATAATTTATAGAACTGATAACACCGTTGAATAATCCTTAAGAGAAAGTGAGAGCCAAACAGAAAATATAAAATAAAATTCGGATGACAACAGCTTGACAAGTTTAAAAAAAACATAAAAAGACCTAGATAGTTGACTAATCCTTTTCTAAACCATAGCCATTCAATCCAAACTGGTCAATTGTAAATTGTTTACAATATCTGGAGACAGGCGTATGTCATGTATCGCTTTCTAATTAAAAAGAATGATGTAACAATGCAATTCTTTGGACAGAGGATCATAGATGTCGCAGGTAGGCAATATATACGAGGTCTCTTTTATTCCAGGTGGGGTTGTAAAGTACTAAAGTTTCAAATAATTCACAACTTATTATTATGTTGGCATGCACTTGTTGTCGTACAAATAGATGGAATGCTGAATTCTGCTTTTATAAATCATATGTTGAGGCGTAAAGAGGATTACCCTTGTGACTGTATCTTAGCTGAAGACCGTTAGCTCCTGAAGATGCTGAAAATCTCTCTTCTGTATCCATTCTTGTTCCACTTTGTTATGTTTCACTCTACACTTACTGATTCTAATAAAACCAACACAACCAGACCTCCTTCAACCATCACCCAAGGTGTCAACATAACTAAGCCTGGCTGTCAAAGCACGTGTGGAAACTTAACTGTTCCATACCCATTTGGCATTGGCTTAGGCTCAGACTGTTCTATAGGTCCAGAGTTTGACATCATCTGCAACACCTCTTTCAACCCTCCAAAGCCATTTCATGGAATATCCAATCTTGAAGTTATTGATATATCAGACACCCAAATAAGGATTAAGAACATGGTGGGCTCACGCTGTTATGACCAACGTGGTAATGTAACGAGCGAGTACAATTTGCGAATCACTTTGACACCACAGTTCAGCCTGTCGAGTACAAATAAGTTGACAGTTGTAGGTTGTGATGATGGTGCCATAGTATCCGGATATGGGGCGCGCAATATCTCCATGGTGTGCAGTTCACTATGTGAAGAAAAAGAAGATATCCTTGAAGGTGATTGTGCGGGGATTGGGTGTTGCGAGTCTCCGTTACCAAATGGGCTAACAAAGATTAATGCCACAATGGGGAGTTATTATAATCATACGAATGTATCGTCCTTCAACCCTTGTGGTTATGCCTTTCTTGCTGAGCAGAACAGCTTCTTATTTAAATTAGCTGACCTCAATGACCCAGCATTTGCAAATAGAATCGCGGAAAATGTCTCAATAGCAGTTGATTGGGCGCTGGGGAATCAAAATTGCTCTGAAGCTCAGAAATCCAAAGACATTGCATGTAGGAAGAACAGTAACTGCATCAACTCTGGCATCAGACTAGGCGGGTATCGCTGCACCTGCTTTGAAGGGTATGAGGGCAATCCTTATCTTGATCCAGGCTGCAAAGGTCAGTAGTACATATATATTTTCTGATTGCAGGAGCATGAAACTTGTTAGGTTTGATGAGCTGACCATTCTGATGTAATACACTTTTAGACATTAATGAATGTGAGAGAAGTCCATGCAGTCGAAATGCTATATGCACCAACACTGCAGGTAGCTACAACTGCTCATGCCCTGATGGATTCACCGGCAACGGCAGTAAAGAAAGTTATTGTGTTAAGCCGGCTTCAATTCCAGTATTGAAGTTTTCTTTAGGTATTCACACTTCCAACAGCCTTAATATGGTTGGCCTACAGCTTGATGGCTAAGTCAGTAATTTGTTGTGTTTTTGGCAGGTTTAGGATTTGGCTTGTTGGCAGTGATAATTGCCATTACATGGATATACTTCAGCTTCCAGAAGAGGAAACTAGTCAAATTCAGACGCAAATTCTTCCTGCAGAATGGAGGTTTACTATTGAGACAGCAATTGTCTTCTAATGAAGGAAGTATGGAATCAACTAAAGTCTTTTCTGCCGAAGAACTTGATAGGGCCACCAACAATTATGCTGAAGAACATATCTTGGGAAGAGGGGGTTACGGAACAGTTTACAAAGGAATTCTCAAGGATCAGTGCGTGGTTGCAATCAAGAAGTCTAGAATAATGGATGAGACTCAAATAGAGCAATTCATCAATGAGGTTGTTATTTTGACTAAAATCAATCATAGAAATATTGTCAAGCTCTTGGGGTGTTGTTTGGAGACCGAAATTCCTTTGTTAGTATATGAGTACGTCCCAAATAAAACTCTATTTCACCATATTCACAACAGTGTGGACATGCCCTGGTTTTCTTGGGAAAATCAGCTCAGGATTGCTGCAGAGGCAGCCAGTGCACTTGCCTATCTTCATTCTGCAACAACAATGCCAGTTATTCACAGAGATATCAAGTCACCAAATATATTACTTGACGAGTCTTACAAAGCAAAAATAGCAGATTTTGGGGCATCAAGATTGGTGCCTATTGATCAAACACAAGTGACTACTCTTGTGCAGGGAACAATGGGCTATCTTGATCCTGAATATTTTCATACAAGTCAACTCACAGAGAAAAGTGACGTTTACAGCTTCGGTGTGGTCCTGGCGGAGCTTTTGACAGGGAGGAAACCACTTTCTCCCGAAAAAGGTGAGGAAGAAAGAAACCTGGCTAATTACATTGTTGCAGCTGTGAAGAAAAATCAGTTGTTTCAAATAGTGCAGCCAAGAATTTTGCGGGAAGGCAGTGCAGAACAGATTGATGCCTTCGGTAAGCTTGTTAGGAGATGCCTCAAATTAAATGGGGTAAAAAGACCAACCATGAAAGAAGTGTCAATAGAACTGGAAAGCTTGAGGAAGTACAAGCTGCATCACAGGAAACATATTGAAAGCCCCGGAGGGAACAAGGAATTTACAGGGCAGCAGGCTGTGCGATATCCTGTGTCAGGGGACCTAGGTTTCAACAATGAAGAGTATTCTGGACAATATTGTCTTGACAGCGCACAACTCTTGCCTGCAATCAACACTCCCCGCTAAATAGAACCATCTTAGTATATAGACATCCGCATATGTGAATACTTTTTATATTTCTTTTGCATTATCCTCTTAGTTTGTACCTGATACTTTGTGTGAGGCACCTGATTTAAAGAGTTATTGATCTTTATTTATCATCATTGTTCTCTTACTTTGTAATATGTTTTACTAAAACATATATTGATGCACTGATCAATGATAAGCACAGCACATCAGAGCAGGGAAAAATGGATTGCAGTTTAAGATCATAAAAGAGCCTATTGTCAAAATAATAATCTTTAAAACACTTGTTTCTCATCAAATTTTGACGGTGAGGACTTAAGCCAGCTTTAACACAACCTTTGGGCCAGAGCTATATATCCTTGCGTTCAAGACACGAGAATAGCCAGATCTAATCATGAAATCAAAGCATGATGCGGTAATACCTTGTTATTTTCAGGCACTTTGGCAGTTACAAAGAACACACCCGTACGAATCTTTGCAACAGAGCACCATGCAGCTCCTCAATCTTCAGCTTTGCATTTCTGTAACATAAGGATCAGTGGCTAGTTCCCAAAGCTATGACTAACAAGCCAAGGATAAGAACCGGTTGTGCGCTAGCCTGATATTCATGACAAGGAAGCTAAGCATAGCAACTTTACAAATAATTATCAGCTTTCAAATTTTATCAGACCTCATTGACCCATTGTTTGAAAATAGAACCGTGGAAAATGTCTCAATAGCCATGGACTTGGTTCCGGGCAATCAAAATTTCTCTGAAGCTCAGAAATCCAAACATTTTATGTGTAGGATGAACAGTAACAGCATCAACTCTGACATCAGGCTAGCTGAGTATCGCTGCTTCTATGTTAAACGATATGAGGGCAATCCTCATCTTGATCCAGGCTGCAATGGAGTTATAATCATTTTTCTTTTTTTCAGGAGCATGGTAATTTTTTAAGTTTGATGAGCTAACCATTAGGGTGTGATGTGATTTCCTAGGTTTCAGACACCAATGAATGTGAGAAAAACCCATGTTGTCATAATGCTATATGCACAAATACTCCAAGTAGCTACAAGTGTATGCCTAATGGATTCTCCCGAAATGAAGAAAGACCTTGTATTAAACAGCCTTCATCAATTACAACGTTGAAGTTTTCATAAGGTAAGCAAACTGCCCGCTAGCTTCAATATAGATATTGTACTTCCCTCCTTCGCCGGCCTTGCCTATCTTGTTTTTATTAACATTAATACAAGTAAATTTGTGTTGTGTCAACTAACATGATGGCAACTGATCTTTGCTTGATTCAGTCTAGCTTCCATATTTAAAATTATGTTTGACAGCTAAACTATGAGTTGATTGATTATAATATCCTCAATTGTGTGTGTATGAACGTGGCTTTGAGTAGTATATTTAAACTGAAACCAAGTGAAGGATCAATAAAGGTCTGCCATTTAATTTACTATCGAGTTTCTATGTAAACAAAGACTAAGCTGCCTAACAATAAGTAGAGATAAGATGACAAAGTAATCTTTTTGAAAAACGCATTAGTTTGGGCTCTTTCATGTCCTAATAATCTATTTATGCCATGAGTGTAGATAAGTATATAATATAGTTTATTTTTTGTACCGAAAGTGGCAACTTTGAATTATGGGGAGCTGAAGATTTTGACTCTATTAATATATCTAACAGCCAAATAAGGGTGGGGAAGCTTGCTTGCTTCAATATGTTACAATCAACTTGGAAACCAGATCAATGAATAAACTACTGATGTGTGCAGCTGGCACCTCACTTCATCATTTCTAATGCTAATAAGTTTACTGAAGATACTGCCTTCATATCAGGATAGGGGAAAGAAATCAATGCATCATATTGGACTATTTCATAAATTTATAGGAGAACTGATAACTCATAGTTGAATATTTCTTAAGAGAAAGAGAGAGCCCAACAGAAATATAAAATAAAGAAAGGATGACAACAGCTTCACAAGTTAAAAAAAAGGCCAAGATAGTTGACTAAGCTTTTTCCAAACCATATCCCTTCAATCCAAACTCATCAATTGTAACAATGCAATTCTTTGGACAGAGGATCATAGATGTTGCCTGTAGGCAATATATATGTGATCTCTTTTGTTCCAGGTGGGGTTGTAAAGTTTCAAACAATTCACAACTTAAAATATAGGTTGACATGCAATTGTTGTCGTGCAAATAGATGGTACCTTCTGAGTTCTGCAGATGTAAATCATATGCCAAGGAGTTAAGAGGATTACTCTTGTGACTGTGTCTTAGCTGAAGACCTTAGCTACTGAAGATGCTGAAAATCTCTCTTCTGTATCCATTTTTCTTCCACTTTGTATTGTTTCACTGTTCACTTGCTGATTCTAATAAAACCAACACAACCAGACCTCCTTCAACCATCATCACACAAGGTGTCAACATAACTAAGCCTGGCTGCAAAAGCAAGTGTGGAAATTTAACTGTTCCATATCCATTTGGCATTGGCTTAGGCTCAGGCTGTTCTATAGGTCCGGAGTTTGACATCATCTGCAACACCTCTTTCAACCCTCCAAAGCCATTCAAGGGAACATCCAATCTTGAAGTGATCGATATATCAGACAGTCAAATAAGGATTAAGAACGTGGTGGGTTCACACTGTTATGACCAAAGTGGTAATCTGACGAACGAGTACAATTGGGAAATCACTTTGACACCACATTTCAGCCTGTCGAATACAAATCGGTTTACAGTCGTAGGCTGCGATGATGGTGCCATGATAACCGGATTTGGTGCGCGTAATATCGCCTTGGAAAGCGTTTCAACTTGTGAAAAAACAGAAGATATCCTTGAAGGTGATTGTGCGGGGATTGGGTGTAGCGAGTTTCCGATACCAAATGGCCTAACGAAAATTAATTCCACAATGTACAGTTTCAATAATCACACGAATGTATCGTCCTTCAATCCTTGTGGTTATGCCTTTCTTGCTGAGCAGAATAGCTTCTTATTTAAATTAGCTGACCTCAATGACCCAGCATTTGCAAATAGAATCGCGGAAAATGTCTCAATAGCAGTCGATTGGGTGCTGGGGAATCAAAATCAAAATTGCTCTGAAGCTCAGAAATCCAAAGACATTGCATGTAGGAAGAACAGTAACTGCATCAACTCTGGCATCAGACTAGGCGGGTATCGCTGCACCTGCTTTGAAGGGTATGAGGGCAATCCTTATCTTGATCCAGGCTGCAAAGGTCAGTAGTACATACATATTTTCTGATTGCAGGAGCATGAAACTTGTTAGGTTTGATGAGCTGACCATTCTGATGTAATACAATGACTTTTAGACATTAATGAATGTGAGAGAAGCCCATGCGGTCGAAATGCTATATGCACCAATACTGCAGGTAGCTACAACTGCTCATGCCCTGATGGATTCACCGGCGATGGCACTAAAGAAAGTTATTGTGTTAAGCTGGCTTCGATTCCAGTGTTGAAGTTTTCCTTAGGTATGCACACTTCCACCAGCCTTAATATGGTTGGCCTACAGCTTGATGCCCGAGTCACTAATTTGTTATGTTTCTGCAGGTTTAGGATTTGGCTTCTTGGTACTCATAATTGCCATTACATGGATATACTTCAGCTTCCAGAAGAGGAAGCTAGTCAAACTCAGACGCAAATTCTTCCTGCAAAATGGAGGTTTACTATTGAGACAGCGGCTATCTTCTAATGAAGGGAGTATGGAATCAACGAAAGTATTTTCTGCTGAAGAACTTGAGAAGGCCACTGACAATTATGCTGAAGAACATATCTTGGGAAGAGGGGGTTATGGAACAGTTTACAAAGGGATTCTCAAGGATCAGCACGTGGTTGCAATCAAGAAGTCTAGAATAATGGATGAGACTCAAATAGAGCAATTCATCAATGAGGTTGTTATTTTGACTAAAATCAATCATAGAAATATTGTCAAGCTCTTGGGGTGTTGTTTGGAGACCGAAATTCCTTTGTTAGTATATGAGTACGTCCCAAATAAAACTCTATTTCACCATATTCACAACAGTGTGAACATGCCCTGGTTTTCTTGGGAAAATCAGCTCAGGATTGCTGCAGAGGCAGCCAGTGCACTTGCCTATCTTCATTCTGCAACAACAATGCCAGTTATTCACAGAGATGTCAAGTCACCAAATATATTACTTGACGAGTCTTACAAAGCAAAAATTGCAGATTTTGGGGCATCAAGATTGGTGCCTATTGATCAAACACAAGTGACTACTCTTGTGCAGGGAACATTGGGCTATCTTGATCCTGAATATTTTCATACAAGCCAACTGACAGAAAAGAGTGATGTTTACAGCTTCGGTGTGGTACTGGCGGAGCTTCTGACAGGGAGAAAACCACTTTCTCCTGAAAAAGGTGAGGAAGAAAGAAATCTGGCTAATTACATTGTTGCAGCTGTGAAAAAAAATCAGTTGTTTCAAATAGCACAGTCAAGAATTTTGCGAGAAAGCAGCACAGAACAGATTGATGCCTTTGGTAAGCTTGTTAAGAGATGCCTCAAGTTAAATGGGGGAAAAAGGCCAACCATGAAAGAAGTGTCGATGGAACTGGAAAGCTTGAGGAAGTACAAGTTGCATCACAGGAAGTATATTGAAAGCCCTGGAGAGAACATGGGTTTTACAGGGCAGCAGGCTGCACTGTATCCTGTTTCAGGGGACCTAGGTTACAGCAATGAAGAGTATTCTGGGCAATATTGTCTTGACAGCTTACAACTCTTGCCTGCAAACAGTACTTCTCGCTAAATAGAACCATTTTAGTTTATACAGGCTTCCATATATGTGAAAATTATCGTTCTTTGGCATTATTCTCTTGGTTTGTGCCTGATACTTTGTGTGAGGCACCTGATTTAACCAGTTATTGATGCTTATATATCATTATTGCTTAACTAAAGAATTTTTTGAATGATCCTTCTATTTCATTTACAAAAAGCAATATTTTTCCTACTTTTATTAGTATAGTCTAATTTGTATTGTAACATTTTATATTCAAAACTTATTCCATTTTCTGGCTGTGTGGTTGGGAAATTCGTATTGAATCATATTTAGATACATTTTCCAAAAATTATATTTCGACCCTATTGTCGGATATAATCAACTTTATAGAGATATATGTATGCTCTCTTTAATTTTGAAAAAGAGTAAAATTCAAATATTTTGATGTATAAGAAAAATACATACAAATAGAATAAATTCTGATTTTACAAACTCTCCAGGGAATATTAATTACCATGGAAACGAGTTAGTTTAAACTCGAGAATTGGCAATATTATGATTCCAAACTTTCAATCTGATTTTCATTTTAGATTTTCAATTTGATCTGATTTTTCACATAACTGATGCAATCTTTCAATAAGACGTGAATTTTCATAGAATTGATGCAATCCTCCAATCAGATTTCAATCATTGACGCAATTCTCATTTAATCTGTAATTAAATTTATCAAATTTAATTAATTTTTTGTTTTCACTGCAGAGAAATTAATGAAATTTATGTTTGTTCGGACATAATTCATTCAAATTAGATTGCACGAAAATTATCAACATGGTAAACAGCAAATGATTAATGCATGATTGTAAGATAGATATAGCATTAATCTAATATGCATCTATAATTTGCATGAAGCTGGTAATATGTTACAAATTACATAGATACACATACATATCAATGGTAACAGCACTAAAATATTACAAAAGTGGAGATCTGTTGAATATTACTAGCAGCAATAATTGTTTCACGTTTGAACAAATTACTGCAATTTGTAATCTGACAGAATAAGGTTAATGAGAAGTAGGTAAGTGTGAAGTATAAATAGCCGATCTCTCCTCCCACAACACAACAGCTTCCATCCATCCGTCCGTTCTGAAATATAGAATAGATATACAAGTAAAACATCATCTAGGTGGCTATGTCGAACAACAAGATTTTCTGGGTTCTTTTACTCATTTTGACAGGTATATATATACATGCATGAAAACCAATTATTTGTAATGGTTCTATGAATATATACAAACTTATTCATTTATCAATTTACATATATGTAATTAGTGATGGGGGCGAGCAATAGCATTGTGGAAGTGAATGGGCAGAGGAAGTGCACAGCGGTGCTGAGCAACAAGGGTTGCGTTGAGACACAGTGCGAGGGGCAGTGCTCTAAGCAGTACAGTGGCGGCAAGGGCTCCTGCCTCCCCATCCCCAGCGGCGGCTCTTTCTGCTCCTGCACTTACAATTGTTAATCCAGCTACCTAATTCTTCATTTGATCTCATCATGATCATAGCTAGCTGCTCTGATAAGAAGCTCATGTACCCACAATATATTCTTACTCAAATATAATGATAGTGTTGCTTTCACCTTCACATTCAAGCAACATATCTATCTATCTATGTTGCTGCTAATAATAATAGTAGTTTTATTATTTTGATCCAAGATCCTGCTATCCATCGAAAACTTCATGTTGCGTATGGTTTCTTGCACTTGCAATGCCTTATAACCAAACATGAATACATTCAATCAAATTATATAAAAGTTATATTTAGTAAATGGTTGTTAGTTGTTACAATAAATATAACAAGCCTGTTTTTAATAATAACTCTTCCATTCCCATTAATTTGATTTCTTGGTGATAATTTTTTAATCAATGTCCTTGTTCTTGTACTTCCCTCCTTCCCTGGCCTTGTCTGTCTTATTTCATTAATATTAACACAAGTTGTGTTGTGTCAACTAACATGATGACGACCAATCTTTGCTTGATTTAGTCTAGCTTCCATCACATAAAATTCTGTTTGACAGTTAAACTATGAGTTGATTAATGATTATACTATCCTTAATTGTGTGTATGATCATGGCTTTAAGTAGTATATGTAAACTGAAAGCAAGTGATGGACCAATAAAAGTCTTCCATTTAATTTACTATTGAGTTTCTAAATGAACAAAGACTAAGCTGCCTAACAATAAGTAGAGATAAGATGGCGAAGTAATCTTTTTAAAAGACGCTTAGTTTGGAATAGTTCATGTCCTAGTAATCAATTTCTGCCATGAGTGCAGATCAAGTATAGTTTATTTTTGTACAGAAATTTGCAGCGTGAATTATGGGGACCAGAAGATTTGAATCTATACATATATCTGTCGACATGAATCATATGTCGAGGTGTTATGAGGATTACGCTTGTAACTGTATCTTAGCTAAAGACCGCTAGCTCCTGGGTGCAAAAGAGTGGAAATTTAACCATCCCAATCCATTTGGCATTGGCATAGGCTCAGACTGTTCTATAGGTCCAGAGTTCGACATCATTTGCAACACATCCTTCAACCCTCCAAAGCCATATAAGGGAACAATCCGATCTTGAAGTTATTGATATATTAGACAAACCGAACTAGAAAGCTTTTCGGAGAAAATTTTGCAGAGTATCTTCGGAAGAGTTTTTGGAAGAGAAATTCGAGAGAGTGTTTTTGAGAATTATTCTCTTGGTTTGAATTATTCTCTTGGCTTGTGCCTGATACTTTGTGTGATGCTTATTTATCACTGTGATTTGATTGTTTACGTTTTATTAAAACATATGTTGATGCATTGATCAATGATAAGCAAAGCACATCAGAGCAGGGCATCAGATTGCATAGTGTTAGATCATAAAAGAGTCTATCGTCGAAATAATCATTTTTAAATCACTTATTTCTCATCAAAATTTGACAAGGAGGATTTAGCCAGCTTTTAACACAACCTTTGGGGCAGAGCTATATATCCTTGCATTCAAGACAGAAGAATAGCCAGAGATAACCACAGCATGTACCTTGTTATGTTCAAGCACTTTGGAAGTTACAGAGAAGGCACCCATACGAATCTTTGCACCATGTGTGGGCCATGCAGCTTCTCAATCTTCAGCTTTGCAGTTCTCTAACATAAGGATCAGTGGCTAGTTCCCAAAGCTGTGACTAACAAGCCAAGAATAAGAAACGGTTGTGCGCTAGCCTGAAATTCATGACAGGGCAGATGAGCATAGCGACTATACAAATAATTATCAGTATTCCAATTTTATTTTAAATTTTCAGCTGAGTAGAGTATTTTTGATGAATCCTGAGAGTGGCCGTGGCGAAGTACCTGATACTTGACATCATATTTCACTGGGTCTTTCAGGAAGTACTTGAACTACATCAAGGACAACAGTTAATAATATTCACAAATTTTGAGTCCCACATGATAACCATAGAAGGGAAACAAATATTCGTGGAAATGCCAGATGACTAGCTTTAATGCAGATAAAAGTTGATTTTTCAATAAATGTAACAGAGCTTTTATTAAGTCAGATAGACATGTGATCCTGCAGGCCAACTCTGGAGGGAGTTTTGAAGTTAACAAAGAATATATTTTGTTGCCAAGCATTTGCACAAAATTCCAAGATTTCACAAATGTTCTCATTGATGGTAAACTAAGCAAAATTCATCCTTAAGTGTTTACAAGTGAAGTGTAGCGTTTTTATTGAGGCTTAATTCGGTGATACAAGCTAAGTGTGACCATGAATGACCATCCTTATGCTGGAAATCTAAGGCAAAATAACATTCATTACCTGGAAAAATATTTGTGGGACAACTAAGCCAAGAAGTGCTAAAGCATAATAGGGTTTCCCAGACCCTAATAGATAACCTGCACCAATCACATAGAGCCATTATGAAACAACTTAGTCACAATACAAACCAATGTTAGCACTATTTAGTTTCGTCATTATCTTCCGGAGATTCATTGCAATTTAAATTGATATTACTATAGCAATGGTTGAATATACAAAAAAAAAACAAAAAGGAAGAAATAAATAAATTATAACTTGTAACTCTGCGATGTGCGCCCAAAATGTCATCTTCCACTACAGCAAATGCCATACAATTCTTGAATTAGTGAAAACTTACCTGCCACAGCTATCTGAGTTATGTCAATAGCTCCAACGCAAATCCATTTTGCAGTCTCAGCACCAAAAGCCACAGGAAGTGACTGTAAATGTCCACAATATAACAAAAGCCACTTCACAAATACAGTGCAAAGATATAATATAAATATATCAAATTTTATTTAGCACTAGAAGATACCTGTAATCCCATTTTTCGATCTCCTTCAATGCTCTTGAAGTCATTTACAATTGCTATACCCAGCTGATGCATAAAACAGGAAATGTAACTAAGACTTCATTTTATGCAGCACATACAAAGAGAAAGAGATGAAACAAGAGGTTGGCATACACCAGCTAAACTGTAGAGGAGTGTTAAAACAATTATGTCAGGAGTAAGAGTTCCAAACAAAGCTTGGCCAGCCCACCTGTTTCAAGAATTTTGGAGAAAATGTTAATTCATATATGGTCAGATTTGTGAACTCTAAGATGCATCACTGGCCAGGGAAATGCATCCTGATTTAGCTTGTGGCCACCATCAATTATATGTCCAGCTTTGTGATTAAGCGTCACTCACAATTAATGTTGAAATAACTTCAGAAATGGACAATTTGATCAACACAAATACATAATAATGAACTAAAAAAGGCATTTATGATGTGTTCCTCACTTGAGAGCCACTGAAAAGCTGTTTATGGTGTATGCCCTCACTTGAGAGCCCCTATCATATTGAATAATAATAACGTGAAAAATTTACCATGGCAAACCTATGTAACTTGCTCCTAGGGCAAAATTTCCAATCCATCCGTTTTGTTTGAGCTGCAATGTGATAAGAGAAATGAATTTGATGTATCTCACCCTTTCTGAAAGTTTGAAGTGAGCATTTATTTTTAATGTGAAACACAGATATATACCTTTAAAGGTGGGGCGGAATATATGTAAGACAACAAAGATCCACCGATTGCAAGATAGAATATCACTGGAGTACTATGCCCTGCCTATATCAAAAGAGATATTAGGGAATAATTTTAGGGCATTTTTGAGACATTTCTTTCGAAGACTTACCCACACATCTAATAGAGCAGCTAAGCCAATGCCTCCCAAGAGCAGCACCCATATTTGTGTAATCACCTGCTCATTTCTGTGATTAACATAGGTAAAGAAGTACATTATTCCAAACAAACACTTGAAGAATCACATACCTCCTCTTCAGATATTGCTCCTGAAGGAATTGGACGATATGGTTCATTAATGGCATCGATCTCTCTATCATACCAATCATTTATTGTCTACAAGTATAATACCCATACATTACATGAAAGGACTCTGAAGCAAATAGTCAAGTTGCAAGATAGCCAACATAAAGTGCATGCAAGAAATACCTGAGTGTACCCAGTTAAAAATGGTCCAGCCATAAGCATACAAACAATTGATTTTCCTACATCTTCTGGAGTCCAGTGGAAGTTTCCTGACAGAAAGAAGCAAATTGGCCAAAATAAGTTTCTTTAATTTAAGAAAATCATAAGACCACTATGATTGCACAGCATTTTAAACTTCTGCTCAGAAATCCATAATTCTTTTAGATGGTTGGCAATCAAATGCTGCAGGTTGACAGATCAAATGACAGGGATGAGTGAAAACTTACCTGATGCAGCAGCTCCACATACTACACCCCAAACAAGAGGAGGCCATGTAACAGGCTTGGTGAGCTGAACTCGAATTTTCCACTTATCCTGAAGAAATACATAATATAATAAACAAACATAGAATGCAAAGATTTAACATGGCTCATAATCCATAGTTACCACTAGAATATCCATCTTAGATCTCTTGTTTTAATGTATCTAAACAGCACCCTCATTCCTCACCCACGTTGATTAGTGGATTGACTTGGGGAACTAATGCTATATATACAGTAAATAAATTGTTAAAATCAGCATATATGCCATGCATTCAACATCACCATCCAATAAATGATAATGGAGACCGACACATTTGTACCAGTGTGACAAACTTCACCATAATCCAATCTCAACGCAATTTTGAGCTAGCAAATTTCTTCAATAATGTAAGCATTTGCCTTTGACTATCCTACTATACAGATGACATAAATGGCTGCCATCATTATCACCATCTATCAAGTACTTCCTTGAATGGGATGTTCCAAAATAAGGCTGCTTGGTGGACATGATTCAGGTGAAGTGGTTTTCATTGATGATTCAGATAATATAATCTCATAAAGCAGACAATATGGAAGCATATAAAGAATTTCAATTTGTTATCCCTGGCATGTACTTGAAGGAAGTCCTTGCACCGATTTATAGCCAATTTATATATTTCCATTGCACTGATAAATACACATGGTAGCAAGGAGAACAACCAACAATCATCAAATTTAACTACCAGTTATCTACTCTATAAGTTTCGTCAGTCACATGAATTTTGCTTTTGTCCTTGTTGTGCAATCTAATTATGAGCGCCAATTGTGAATATAAAATGCCAACAACAAGAAGCAAATCATCCATCTTTTTTATGTAAAGCACTACACTCCATTCTAGTAATGTGGAGGCGTGAGCGTACGGTGCCAATACTATTGAAGATGGACATGAAATAGTAGCTCACCGTTTCTTGCTTGGCTCCTTTGATTCCAAGAATCTGATTAATGCTCGAACCACCACTCTCTGCCGGTGCCTTATCTGGTGCCTTAGCTCCAACTGCCACATATTCACCAAACATCTCATAAGCCAGTTCAAACTCAAGTGACTATACAACTAACCTAATTGATCAACTCTCAAAACCTTCTTCCAGGTAACTAATTCATTCAACGTACAAGAACAAAGGGATAAAAGAATATTGTCCAAATATAAACGAAACGAAAAAAAAAATCCCCCTACCTTTGTCTGTATCAGTTTCAGTAGCTCTTACTACAAGCCTTCGACCTATGGAAATTGAATACACATAAATAAGAGCCAATTAGCGTACGAAAAATGAAAAACAAGTAATCAAGTTAGTACCTTTAACATTTCCCCGCGGCTTGGGAGCCACAAACTTACTGTTGAAACAAGTACAGTTTGGACTCGCAGCAAGACGCGAATTTCGACGTGAGTTGAATGCACCGGCGTTGGAGGACAACCTCGAAGTGTAGAAAGTGTTGACTAAAGAAGCCATTACCTTAAACGGTGAGAGCCTTTCCGATTCGGATGACTGTCTGGTGATTTCTCTGTGCTTTGTATCACTGCTACGTCCGGGATTAGGGTAGTATTCCGCTGCTTGCGGGTGCAGGCTTCATCGCAGAACCTCCTGTGACGTGGATACTCCAAAAATACTTTTTCAAGTGTCATTAATTAATCAATAACAGCTGTAAAGGTGCAAATTGCATTTTGCATAAACATTAGTAATTTCAGAATAAAAATTAGTAACAGAGGCCATTAGTAATTGCATTTTGCATAAACATTAGTAACAGAGGCCATTTGTTTGGCAGCAGTGTTAACTCTTTTAACCGAATCCACAATTAACTATTTTTTTAATTTGAAATATTTTTAAAAATTGCAAATGAAGTACGGATACGAAGGTATCAAATTTTAATTATTTTTTTTTCTAAAGGTGAAAATCGAAGCGGATATATTCTGCAAATTAAGTTACAAAATTATATGGAAAAAGATTATATAAATATCACTTATTTTAATTTATATATTTCAATTAGGTCCAACAAGACCATGTGACAAGAGATTATATAAATATCATGAAACCAGTTAAGCATTCGAACGAACACAAACAATTCTTGCAAATTTTCAACGACCTCTCCTATTGCCTTGGAAGGAGAGTGTGCCTTCATTATGTTTTCGGTTAGAACCATGAAAACAAGTTTCACCATCATTCTCGCAAGTGATATTCGTTTTGTTCCTTATTCGAATCGGAAATTCCTTATTGTGCAACCACACAATAACTTTATAATTAATCATCATACATAATTCAATTCGAAAAATATTATATTCAACTGTAAAAACAAGATATGAAAGACCGATCTCAACAATGATAGTAAGAAATATTTCTATATTGTAAAAATTTATTTTTCGAATATAATATTTTGATCATTTATTGTCAGATTAAAAAAAAAAAAAAAGGTTGTACCTAGATAATATTAAATTTAATTTCAACTTCAATATCAATATATAAAATCAAGAAAAGTAAAAGATACGAACGATGAAAGTACTGTTGTAAATATCCAATAAAAATTCTAAATATATTTTTAAGAATAATTATCATAAAGTATTTTGAAAAGACATTGTAAACGACAGTTTATCAATTTCAACTTTAAATTCAAATTAATATTAAACCGTAATTTCATTATTATGTTTAATTGTCATTTCAATGATGCAACAAGATATACTTAAATACATAAAACACGTATTGCGGTCGTAAAAGCGTTATCAACAAGCAACGAATCGGAAGTCCTTCCCTTTGACGACTTTAGAAAGCACTGGACAAAACCGGAGGTGGAGGGCAGTAGGAAAGAGGAATGCCACCACGCCTCTGTGCTTGATAATCGACGATAGGTTAGACGCCCACGCTCTGCACTGGAAAATGGCTGCTTTCACCGTTTCGTCTCCGTCGCCAGCTCCATTATCTCTCCCAAAATTCTCCAAGTTTGCCACTTCCAGTCATGCTTCAGCACTTTCCTTATATTCCGTTTCCAACTCCGCTTTTTTATTTTCATCCGAAACCCTTCGATACAGACCCTTACCTAAAAATCGGCGTCACAGCGCCGTTGTTTTTGCTCTGAAGAAGCTATCAGAGACTGAGTTGGTGGTCGTTTCGTTTGAATCTGAAGGATTAGTCCCCTCCGATTCCGGTGTTTACGCCATTTACGACGGGAACGGTGACCTTCAATATGTCGGCATAACACGGAATCTCTCCGCTAGTATTCTCGCGCATAAGAAGTCTGTTCCAGAGCTGTGTTCATCTGTCAAGGTATCATCTTGATGAACTTTCGATGCGATTTACTTCGCAGTTTTTATTGAATTTACAAGCACAAGTGCTGTTATAAATAATTGATCGAACAGGCCAAGATAGTCATGATTGTACTTATGGTAATTAATCGAATTTGGGAAGTTTTTACTTTGATTAGTTATACATCCGAATCCTCTAAACAAAGCACTGCAAGATTGAATGGCTTATTGTTTGAATTAAATGAATTTGTTTACACTGGCTGAGCCTGCTTAAACTTATAATCCGAAGTTCTTTTACTTACGTACTTGTTCATTTGATCGAAAGGGTATAATATGTTATCGATTCAGTATGGGGTGAACTTACAGGGAGTTAACGTAAATTACCCAATCTTAAAAACACTTGTCTGGGAGCATTTTCCATACAATGTTCTACTCTAATCATATCCTAGTGCTATTACTCAAGTGGTGAAAATGACCATGCGCACCAAAGTACAAGGGAGGTGAAATGCCTGGAAATATGTGAAAAAATGTTTGTGACAGAACTGCAAATTGGTTTAGTGGTTAAACTTTATTGAAATATGCTGTTGGTAATAAATTCTTAATCTTGTTCTTCATCCTCTTCACATATAAAAGCTTTAAGTGTAGCTATTGAATTGACCGAAACCCTGTGCATCTTGCTGTTGATTGCCTTTCTCACTAAGACAAATGATAAAGGTTAGTGGTAATGTGTATACCTAATGTCTGTTGAGAGGTTTAGTTGTTTTTATAGTTTCCTATCTATATATTTGCTTTAAACAATTTAATCAATAGCGTGGCTTATCATAGGTTGGAGTGGTAGAGGAGCCTGATAAAGATGCTTTAACTGAGGCATGGAAGACATGGTTACAAGAGCATATAGCAGCTACAGGCAAGATTCCACCAGGCAACGAATCAGGAAACACCACATGGGTAAAGAAGGCACCTAGTAAGAAATCCGACCTGAGGTTAACGCCAGGCCGCCATGTCCAATTAACAGTACCTCTGGAAGATCTCATTGATAGACTGGTGAAAGAAAACAAAGTGGTGGCATTCATCAAAGGATCGCGGAGTGCCCCGATGTGTGGATTCTCACAAAGGGTCGTGGCTATTCTTGAAAGCCAAGGGGTAGATTATGAGAGTGTGGATGTACTGGATGAAGAGTATAACAATGGGTTGAGAGAGACATTGAAGAAGTACAGCAACTGGCCTACATTTCCTCAAGTTTTCCTTAACGGTGAACTGGTCGGTGGCTGTGATATACTGACTTCAATGTATGAGAAGGGTGAGGTTGCTACCTTGTTTAAACAGTAGAGTTTTTTAGTTTACTAGTTTTGATCATATTGGGATGCATTCATGGGGGCTTTGTTTTATTGTTCTGGTTGCCTAGCCGTGCCACGGGTACTCATTATCGGTTGAAGAGGATTACAGGCTTAAAGTGAAATATATTGCTATTCTATTTTGATTGTCATTCTGATTTCTGTAATACCATGTAATGGATGGAGATCATGAACCAAGACAAGACAGCTAATGGAATTCTAGGTTGGACCGGATCGACGACGGTTCAAAAGGTGATAATATATACATATAATTAAAATTAAGTTTTAATTCTAGTAATGGTAAATTGATAGATAAATACCAGAAATAAATAGTGTCAAATGTAGAAAAAATTTGTTACGTAAATAAAGTTATGTATGCTTCTGGAAGTTAAGTTTTCAACGGTGTGTTTGTTCCTGAGGTTTTGGTTAAATTTTACTATTATTATTTTTTTCTTTAAATATCAAATCATATATTTATTTCTATTTATCATGTTATATCAAAACTTTTATATAAAAAACACACATTTTTATTAAAATAATAATATTTCTTTTTGTCATGTAATATTTTTATTTTACTAAGGTTGTGTTCTTTTTTGTGATTTTGACACAGATTTTTATTAAATAAATTTTATTTTTTTTCAAAAATATAGAATCAAACAATTATTTTTTTTATATTATTATATTACAAATTTGTTTTGCATTCAAATTACATCTTAATATTTATTTATATCACGTCAAACAACTATTCAAATTCCACTTTTAATTATTTATAAATCCGAACCCCAAACCCACAAACAAACACACCCTAAAATTTTTAAAATAAAAAATAATTAATTATATTTTATCTCATTATCTCACTCAAATATCTTTATTTTTATGATTATTTTATTAATCAATATATATATATATAAATATTAAATATTAATTTTGCCACCGGGCCAAAGTACGGAAAAATTAAGAGATATATTTGGAGGTCCAAGCATGATTTACACGACCTATTTAGAATGAGACAGGAGTTGTATTTTAAATACTTGATATTTAATTTCATATAAAAATACTATAATAATTTATTTGAAATTATCTTACTCAAATCCGGCTATATACTAAACATGGATCTTTAACTCTGTCCGTTGATTAGCATCAAATCCAACGGCAGATAATTATCCCCCAGAATCCAGTTGGCAGCATCCAAACATAGCCACTCGATCCGCACAATATGAATACTCATTGTGAACCGTCGATTAAGTTTTAACGGACGGCACACAATAACTCAATTAACTGAGCAAGGATTTGCTTCCTTAACCGTTGATGAACGTTTTCGAATCCCACGGCTAACATCATTCATTGAGAAAATTTCCCAATATATAAATACTCCCGTCGTGACCTGTACATCAGAGTAGCTCTTTGAAAATTCAAATTCCATCGGAAGCGAGTAGCTGCTAACACACGGCACAATGTCAGGACGAGGAAAGGGAGGTAAGGGATTGGGCAAGGGTGGCGCAAAGCGTCACCGTAAAGTTCTGAGGGATAACATCCAGGGTATTACGAAGCCGGCGATTCGGCGGTTGGCGCGCCGAGGTGGAGTGAAGCGCATTAGTGGTCTCATATACGAAGAGACGCGCGGCGTTCTCAAGATCTTCCTCGAGAATGTCATTCGTGATGCCGTTACCTACACCGAACACGCTCGCCGCAAAACTGTCACAGCGATGGATGTTGTCTATGCTCTGAAGAGGCAAGGCCGAACGCTCTATGGCTTCGGTGGTTAGGGTTCAGATTGTTAGGGTTTTACTATTTCCAGATCTGAGATTTCTCTAAAATCTCGATATCATTGTAATGTAAACTAATATTGTGATTTTGAATTTTTATTCGGATAAAATTTCTATTATTATTATTGCGATTATTAATATCCTATAATTATTTATTTGAGTTGTTGAAAGTTCTTTGACATAATTGAGACTTTTGGAATTCATTAAGAAACAATTATCTGTTTAATCATATTTAACATAGTAATCGTTAAAACCATATGGCAGATAAATTTACTGAGATTAATGTTTATTTTTTAAATAATTCATATCATTTTATTTTTATTTTTTATTTTTTGTTTAAAACAAGAATAAAATGTAGTACTAGAATATTGTAGGGCAAAAGAAAGGAAACGTAGAAAAGAGATTCATATGGAAATAGAAAAGCATTAACTGTATTAATTTCAGAGGACAGTTGTCCAACAGATCTTGGTTTTCCGGCGAGCCAGCGTTCGTAGATTTCAAATCATTGACTTGCAGCTGCAGGCAACGTTTGTGATCATATGTTTACTTCCTAAATTTGTAATTGAGCACTTTTGATTTTGCGCTTCCAAGGTAAAAGCGGGCAGGGGTTAATGGAAGCGGAAATCGAATCAGATTCGACGGCTACTTTCAGTTTATGGACCGAATTAGAATTGCAGGAATTCACTGAAAAATTCGTGATTAAAGCTGTGCAATCGCCGGATGATTCCTTCTCGATAAGCCGGATTGACGGGAGTATCGACAAGCTTCACAGTAAATTTTTATAATTTCGAGTTTTTTTAAGCTAGTTATGATTTGAAGTATGCCATTTGCTTGATTTTCCGCAAGCGGATACTAAATTCGATCCAAGAGATTTGTGTGTAGGGTTTTATAATGTTTAACCCCATTGGATCTTATGTCTAATTCATGATTTAAATTGAAGTTTGATGTGTGTGTTTGTGTTTGGTTTATACACATATTCAAGATTCTTCAAACATTTTTTATTGCATGTTGGTTCGATTGTATTGTTTGCTTCAACGGTAATGTGCTGTTGTTTGTTTATCAACGACTGTTTCTTCTTCTTCTTTTTTCTTATTAGTATTATTATTATTTGTTTTTTTTTAAAAAAAAAAACTCATGGAAATATCATATCCTAACCTGTTTGATTCCATTTTATCTTTTGTCACACATTTAATCCATTTTAGGTGATGCCCCTTCTGGAAGTCCTTCTAAAGTCTCCATTATTTATGGGGTTGCTGGAACAATTAAGTTGCTGGCAGGTGGTACTTTTTAACTTGGCATACAATTTTCTGTTATAACTGGTACTTTCTCTACAATCTGCATTTGCACTAGTGGTTATGAGAAGCAAAGTGTGACCTATTTCCTTGTTTCATATTACTGTCCTTCAATCCCTATTTGTAATGGGAACCAGAGGGCAAACGCTAAGAAACTGTAGTTACAGCCAAGCTTGGCTTAGTACTTTTCCTTCAGTTTCTTGTCATGGTTAAATGGCTGCTGTCAATTTTTCTTCTTCCGGCCTGTGAAATTCTTTGGTTTTGCTAATATCTTATTTACCTAAATCAATGTCAAACCTAAAGATAACAGTTTCTGGATTTTGTAGGTACATATTTACTAGTTATAACTTCTAGGATGGAAGTTGGAACATATCTTGGTTTTCCTATTTTCCGGGTTGTGTCAATGAAGTTTCTATCTTGCAATCAGGCATCAAAATTCCTGACTAACCAAGAAGTATGATTGTTCATTTCTGAATTAATTAATCTGCAATGCGTTGCAATCATTTTGCTTCCTGCAATTTTATTAAATTGAAAAACATATGCAATGCTTCCACAGAAAAGAGATGAAGATTACTTCATGACTCTCTTGAAGACAGTGGAATCAACTCCTGGGTTGTATTTTTCTTATGGAACAGATATAACTCTGAAGTAAGTTTTGATGCAGCTATCTCCTTCTTTCATGCAAATAAGGCATATGGAATTGATCTAAAAAAAGTTGATTGATTTACCAGCTTGCAGAGGAGATGCAAGCTAGCGAAAGGATGGAAGAGCAAACCAATTTGGAAACAGGTACATTGATGAAGTCACAATATTTATGTATTATCCGTAAAGTCTTTATTTTTATTGCAGTTTGACAGCAAAGTTGAATAGATGGAAAGTTTATCTGATATGCCTAATTCTATGGGGAGCAATTGAGTATATTGTATCAGTGATTTTTATCTTACAAATTGATTATCAAAGAGGGAAATGTAGTCTCAATTGCTCCATTGTATATAATTCTTGAGTGATCTGCAGGGTGATCCGCGGTTTGTATGGAATAGGAACTTGTTGGAGGATCTTATTGAGAATAAGGTAAGAAATACATGCCTCCTCACCACTCATTGTTGCTAACAGGGAATGTTTTCACTTGTATTCCATTTCAAACTTATGCACAATTCTGTCATTATTACTAAGCATTACTTTTTAATTTTGTGGTTTCATGCAGCTTGATGGGTTTATCATACCTTTACTACAAGGAAATATCCTTCTCTTTTTCTTTCTCCTTCCTTCTCCCATCTCCCTTCCCAACATGTTGTTTATGTTGTACTTGACTAAGGATAAGCTTCCAGACTGGAGATATGAAATTTTCAAATCCATCTGCTGCTATAAAAGTTCTTTCACGGAGGTGTACAAGGCGCCTAGGTAAGAAAAAAAAATATATTGTTCATTTTTGGTGCTCAAGGCATTAAGTTCTCTTCATACCTTTAAATTTTAGGGACTAGAATGTGGAGAAGGGGAGCCAATCTAGAAGGAGATACTGCTAATTTCATAGAAACTGAGCAGCTACTGGAATTTGAAGGTCATATTGCCTCTTTTCTACAGGTTTGCTTTGACTATGATCAATGTAACTGTTTGGTTAGATATTACTTTATATTTGTCATATGCAGTTTTCTTGTGCGTGAATTGTTTTTAGTCTTTATAGAATCTGGGTATAGCAGAAAGCTCCAAGATGTAACATTTGGAATTGATGATAATGTCAGTGTTTCATGCTGATGAGCTTACTGATACAAAGTATACCTTCCTATGCTGTTGCAATTGCAAGAATTTTGAAGTGCTGCCTTGTGTGCAACTTCTTTGAAATTTTCTCCTGTGAATGTTCTGATTTGGTTTAATTCATAATTTCATAACTATTTACATTTCTTTTCTCGTGATAGAGTAAAAACATAACCATAATGTAGTTATGTTAATGCTTGTACTTCTAGCTAGACTGCTAGAGTCAGTACTCGTAGTCCTTGTTGCAGACTAGGAAATGACATCAAATTGTCATGTTTATCATTGCTTGCAACCATGTTTTGAGTGGACATAATTTCGTTCTATTGAAAGTTGAGTTTACTTTTCTATTTAAGCTTGAGTTATATGAAGAGTCTTTCGTAAATTAGAACAATGGAATGGAAAGTAAAAAAAAGAACTGTGTTTCAGGTTCGGGGATCAATTCCACTTTTATGGGAACAAATTGTTGATTTAAGTTATAAACCACGACTCAATATCATCAATCATGAGCAGACAGTAAGTGTACCCCAGATTTAAATTTTTATTTCACTCTAGTTTATTTATGATTTTATTCATTTTCTGCCATAATTTCTTGTCTTTCCAGTCAAAAGTTGTGGAACGACATTTTAATGACTTGCTTCAAAGATATGGAGGGTGCATTGTGGTTGACCTAACAGATAAGGTTTCTTAAGCTGTTCTTGTTTAATGGCCTGTAGATATTAGAAGAGTGGAAAACATATTGGGTGTCTTAACCAAACAATTACTTCAGAGTATAGAAGAAGTATAACTTATTATTAAAAGTATAAACATTAAAGTAGTACAAAAATGTACAGTGCTATTCTATTACTTTCAGTATGTTTTGTGGCTGTGAAAATTCTAAACTGAAGTCATGGGTCTTGCCTTAATTGTTTTATTTGAAAACATTTCTTAAAGATGTAAGCTGATTTTTTCACTTGAAAAAAGGCCACAAAATTTCATGATTGCTAAATTTGGTTTGTAATCATCATTGTAATTGTTTCTATGGGTTGTTCCACTCATATTACCAGTGCCCTAAATTCATCTTCCTTGACACTTCCCTTGGCTTAGTGCTTTGTTTCTTCCTATCTTTCAGCATGGAGATGAAGGTCTGTTAAGTGCAGCTTATGCAGAAGCAATGCAAAGTCTTCCTAATGTGAGGTATTTCTTTTTCCTCATTTGATAAACATGTGATATTAGTCTCTTTGGATGTACAGTTAGGAAGGACATCAAGAAACTGAAACATCCCATTCCACTTTGAAAACTTATAAGTTGTTTGAGATGAAATAAGGCAGATGAAACAATAAATTGTGTATGATGTTCAATTCAGAATCAGGTTTGGTGAGCTTGTGTATTATATACACTTAACGTGGGCTAGCATTTTGCCTTATTTGGTCTCTTAAATTTTTGTAGCTTTTCCCTCCATTTCTCGTTGTCTCAAATGGTCGCTGAAGAAGTAATATGTTTGCTTAATGCTCTCTCTCTCTCTCTAGATATGTTTCATTCGATTTCCACCAATCTTGTGGAAATGGAAACCTCGACAATATAAAGCTCTTGTTTGACCAGATTTCAGAAGATTTTGAAACGCAGGGGTAATCATTGAACTCATTTGATATTCAATCTTTTTCCTGAATAAGTACAAGACTATGCTGGACCTATGCATTACTCTCTTAATATTCACTAATCCAGCCGAACAGATACTTCCTTTTAGATCCTGAAGGGAGGATTCTAGAAGAGCAGAGAGGAATTATTAGATCCAATTGCATTGACTGTCTAGACAGAACAAATGTTACACAGGTTTGAGGAAATATGTCCAAGTCTTCTCTATGATTAGTAGTGCTTTCTCATTCACAGATTTCAGTTATTATAACATTATTGGCAATGTATTTTTTATCATAAATAATGTTTCAAGTGCAGAGCTATCTAGCACAGAAGTCGCTAAATTCTCAACTGCAGAGAGTTGGTGCACTTTCTTCAACGGAATATATTTCATTGTTTAGTGAAGACTTAGAAACCTTCCGGACTGGTATGACACAAAAGCGGCTGTTAGATCATTAACTGTATCCCTAGAATGTGAGCAGCTTTATTCCTTTGCTTTGGCTGAATTCATGCTATTTACAACAGTATGGGTCGAGCATGGTGATGAGATAAGCCTTGAGTATTCTGGAACCCATGCATTGAAACGGGACCTAGTGAGGTAACCAAAGGAAAATATGCTCATTTTTAAAGATTAATACATTTGAATACAAGCTGCTAACTTTATTTGCATGATTCACTATGTCTAAGATATGGAAAACAAACTATGACTGGTATAATCCAAGATGGGATGAGTGCCATCTCAAGATACTACTTAAACAATTTTCAGGATGGTGTTCGGCAGGTAAGTTATCTTTTACATTATTTTTGAGGATGCTCTTTATTTGCATTCTGTCCTTTCTGATTGAACACAAAAACCTTAAAAAATTATTGTTTGTTTTGCACACTCTTTGATATCCTTACAGGATGCTATTGATCTTATCAGTGGTCGCTACACAGTAAATAAAAGTAGCCCATCCCGCTCCCTGTCCAGAGAATTTGACTCCCTCTCTGTAAGCAGTAATTTTTCCTTTGGTGACCATTATATTCAGATATTATAAAATGGGGATAACTAGGATGTTAATAACCACAGAGATCTTTCATTATGCTTTGCAATTCTTTTTGTCGACAAAGAATCTGAAAATCAGCTGTGCGGACCCAATTGGCAACTGAAACTAAACTATGTACTTAGGAGTTATCACCAGAGTGAAATTGAGCTGCTTCATATATCTTTTTGTAATCGCTACTCTGTCCTTCTGGATTTTAAGCAATTTTTCCTCCAGCTTTCCTATCTTGCATACTCCATACTGGATGTGCACCCAGTCCAGTTTTTTCCTGTTAACAGTCTATTTAAATCGAACCTGTTGAGTAGGATTGCATCCATTAATGTGAATTGCTTGGAAACCATGAATTTATGTGTCTCTTGATAGCCTTCTTTGTCATTAATTTCTCTTGGAGTTTGGCTATGCAATGACAATTTTCCTATCTTGTAAATGCCACTTTTCAGTATCTTCCAGTGGCATCAGTTTTGGTACTTGGAGGATTAACTGTGTCATCAATTACATTGAACCAAGGTATTGGCATATTCACCTCGATCAAATCTGTATTTCTAACATATCCAGGGAAAATAGTTATTGACGTCACATTGTGCCTTGGTAGTAGGGGTCGGACGAAGCACACAGAGCCTCCTATCTTCTGTAGTTTGTGCTGGGCTAACAGCTGGGGTTATGGCATTGATCAAAGCCAATGGAAGGCAGATATGTTCCCGGCCACGCTTGTGTGGTCTGCTGTAATTGTTTTATCACTAGTCAGGACACTAGCCACAATTAAGCTATGTAAAATGGGTGTGTTTCTTTTTCTTTTTTTTTTTTCTTTTCTTCGAAACAATAAATAAATAAATAAATAAAATAAAGGGTGTGTTTCTAGTATGCATCTTCACTTATATTTATTTGGATCTTATTTATTGTAAAACTAGCACTGCATCTTGCGGTAGTCCCGAGTCCGAAACAAATTGCTTGTTGCACTCTATACATCCATATTAATGTGATCCAATGGTATTGTACACATTTAGATAGTTTGATTGGAATTATAGGTTTAGTTGGTGAAAAATAAATGAGATATTATAGCATATTTACTAAATGACTAATTAAAAAGGTAGTGGGTAAATTAAAGAAAAGAAAAAAGAGAAGTGATAAATTGATTTATTATAGTAAGAGTAATAACATTTGTGAATGTATTTGTTTGGTGTTTGAATTTTGAATTTGAGTTTAAATGATAAAAATTTTAAATTATAATAGTTGTATAATTTAATATTTCTTCATGGTAGAAAGTATACATATTTTTATTTTGGACTATTAAATACTCTATGGAAGTAGTATAATTTATGTGATATTTTAAATATAAAAATATTTTTATGTATATAAATAAAAAAATAAATTTTTAGTTTTATATTTTTTTAAAAAATAATTTAATGAATATTAAAAATCTGTAAAAGCTATTATTTCAAAATTCGAATTTATCGCTATAATTAATTCGAACTATGGGGACCTCTCCTCATTACCAAAATTTATAATAAGATGGAGGATTAAATTCTAAATTCAGGAGTTATAAACAGTGCGCATACTTTGACTTAAAAGGGAAGGGGGCAGGGAAAATTTCTTTTGCGTCTTCTGCCAAGGTGCAATACACAATCGGCGGCCGCCGCGGGAGGTTTTCTTCTTCTATCTTTCACGCTCACAGCTTTTCATAGTTCTATTGCGTACCTATTTTACTTTGATTAGTTATTTTATGCAATTTCATCGGAATGGTTTCGCATCCGTATTTTCTGTTGAAATCTTACGAAGGAAACTCGAGATTGACATTCTTTTAATCGTCAGTACAGTGACTTAATGATAAGATTCTTGGGACAGTTAGGGCAACACATGGGCGATAGTCATGAGATGAAATTTTAGGGAAGGTGGTGGTGAGGATTGGAGAAAAGGATGATTCAGATAGTTACACCTCAGTTTCATCGGTTATATTTTGTTCTCTGCAACAACTATCTAGGATTTTGAAATTTTCGTCTGTACTTGTTATAAAGAAGGTCCTCTTAAATGCGAGCAAGATATAGATTGCTTCAATGTTTGGATTTTCTGTTCTAGGGTTTGTTCTACTCGGCCAAAATTTCCAGGAGTGTTGATTTGTCAAAGCGCGCAGATTATTTCTTTAACATTTTTACCACTTTATTAACTGTAATTTTCATGTTGTGTTACATGTTGATTCTGAAATCACTTGTTGTAAACATTGAATGTTTGCAGGACAGTTAGAAAGAGCATGGCTAAACATCATCCTGATTTGATAATGTGTCGGAAGCAACCGGGAATAGCCATAGGCAGGCTGTGTGAGAAAGATGATGGTAAATGCGTGATCTGCGATTCATATGTCCGCCCCTGCACTCTTGTGAGGATATGTGACGAATGCAACTACGGCTCATTTCAAGGCCGGTGTGTTATCTGCGGAGGTGTTGGGATCTCAGATGCTTACTATTGCAAAGAGTGTACTCAGCTGGAGAAAGACAGGGATGGCTGTCCAAAGATTGTCAATTTAGGCAGCGCTAAAACTGATCTCTTCTACGAGAGGAAGAAGTATGGCTTCAAGAAGAGATGATGATTGACAGCTACTGGGCCTGCAGCAGCATATGCGTTTTCCACTTGGTTGCAAATGCTTATGTGGTGTTGTAAAAGATAGTTGCTGTTATAATTTTCAGATGGAACATTAGTTAAGGATCTTGTGTTGAATGACATACACTCACTCTCATAATAATATCTATTTGCAATCTTGTGCTGATGATGGTAGTATCCTAAAAATCTACATTTATATGATGCCGGGCTACAGATGTTTTTGTTCTATTATAGATATTGATCAAGAAATGCATACATGAGTTGATTGAGGAAGGCGGCGTTGCAGAGATGTGTGGCTGAGTTTAGGGGTGAAAGGACAGGGTCTCAATTTACGTTTGTATCTACTAGACAAAACATGAGCCCATTGGGCCGAATGACAGGGTCTGGCCCAATCCAGACCATTTAACTGGATATGGCACTGACCTGGTCCACAGATGTAGTTAGTAAATTATCTGGGCCCCACTCTGCGTGTAAACCAAGAGATATATCCCTCTAGTCTAATTTTATTCAGAGCAACATTTTATTATATATTTGTAAATTGAAAACGTCGTACCCAGGGCCAGCAGCAGCAGGTGCTTCTTTGAAATCAAGAAAACACACCTAAACCAACTACTCTCCTCCAACGTTTCACCTTCCGGCCAAGAAGGAAGTTCTGCAGCGGAATGTTCGCGAAACGTCTCTTCCAGAAAGGCGGTCATCGTCATCTGGTACGTGCACAGTACTCTCAGGTTGACTTCAATCCAGTCTTCCACCACTTGACCCGATTTTGAATTTGTAAATCCTTTCTGCAATTTAGCATCAAGAAAAGGGTCTGCTGACTCCGGATGACTTCAATCTTCGGGTTAATGTACATTATGGAATCCCTTCTACGGCCTCGATACTTGCTTTTGATCCGATTCAGCGACTACTGGCAATCGGCACTTTGTAAGTGTATACTCATGTGTCTTCGTGATTATCTCGTCTATATGTTTTTTCATTGTGCGCATGCTCTCTCGCAGTACTTATTCAGACTTTTATGTAGGGATGGCAGGATAAAAGTAATTGGTGGCGATAATGTTGAAGGACTATTGATTTCACCAAAAGTGTCGCCTTTCAAGCACTTGGAGGTCTGTCTTTTAAATCAAAACTAATTATCAGTAACAACTATGTTATACTAACTAGCATCATGCCTGCATGAAATATCTTACACACATAAATAGCCATCTTTGATATTAGTTTTCCTGTGTAGAGAGAAATTTGTAATTTATATATTAAAAATATTAATGTGTTGGGAGTGCAAAGCATTTCGCTCAAGGTGTGTTGCTCAAAATTTCACATCAAAAGGTGATCAAGTACTTTAATTGATAGTCCATTAGTAAACTGTCATTAGCTAACATACATATCTTGCAAGGAATTTACAGTAGCCACTCTCTGATTAACTTGATAAAAAATTCTCTTCTCCAGTAAATCTGAATTTCTGTTTTCTTGATTGTAAGGGAGATGAGACTTCTATATTTAAGTTTCCCGACAAATAAAACCTTCTCATTAGTGCACTAAAATGCTGCTTCTGCATTTTGATGTTCGTACTTGGACATTTGACTTAGTAATAGCTTTCTTTGTTATTCATCAAAAGTGGTATTGTTTATTTGTAAGGAGTGTCACTGTACATCATGTTAAGGTGGAGGTTTTCATAGTTTTGAATACTGATCAAATGTCTTGTCATCTGAATGAAGCAATTAAATGCAGTTATAGAGACTAGAGAATTCACATTCTCTAAGATATCAAATTGCATGTTCTTTCTTCAGTGGTATTGTTAACTTAAGCTGCAAATCATGTTTCAGCTGATTGCGATCCCAGACTATAAAGCTTCTGATTTTTCTTGTTCTTCTGCTTGCAGTTTCTGCAAAATCAAGGCTTTTTAATTAGCATTACAAATGACAATGATATTCAGGTTTGCAGTATTCTCATGATCTTAACTTGCTTGTCAATGATGAACTGCTTTTGATTTCTGTATGGAATCTTAATCCAGTGATTTAACAACCATCAAGTTTTGAAGTAAAGTTCTATTTATCTACGCTATCTTTCTCTTAACAGGTTTGGAATCTGGAGAAGAGGTCAATAGATTGTAGTTTACAGTGGGAATCCAATGTAACCGCTTTCTCTGTAATCAGTGGCTCCTCATTTATGTATGATGTGAATCAAATATGATTTAATTCTATGATATAAAATACCAGCATGTATTGGTTAGTATGGTTTGTCCCGCATATCACTTATTACTCTTCTCTGCTCTAGGTATGTTGGTGATGAGTACGGAATGATGTCTGTTTTGAAATATGATCCTGAATGTGAAGAGCTTTTGCGATTGCAATACCAACTATCTTCAGATTCTCTTGCTGGTGAGTGCTCTGTGTTAGTTGGTATATATATATGTATCACTTCATCTCTGGATTGCAGTTATTATTCATGTGTCCATGCTTTATTAGAGTTATTAGCTAGTTTTGGTTTACCAAAAAATCCCGTTGTTATTGTGAAGACACTAATGAGGATCATAGAAAAAGCATGCTTCTACAGCTCCAAACTGAACACATTATCCTGCACAGATTCTATGTGCTTAAAAAAAATTTCAGTTCTTATCCATACGTGGAGTTTGTTGCATTGCTTCAAGATTTGTTTTCCGGGAATCAAAATTGTTATAAGCACTCTCAATGCAGATAACACTATGAAAGTTAAGATTCAAATTCTATTAATTGTTTATTAAATGTAATTTATATATTTTCATTTAAATGTCATCTATTTGCTATACATTTTATTTATTTTTTTATTTCACAGAATCAGTTGGATCCTCAATTTCTAATCGGCAACCCATAGTTGGAATTCTTCCTCAACCCTGTTCTTCCTGGAATAGGCAAGATTTGATGAGTTTATATATCCCTCCTTTAGTTTACTCTTATCCTATGTGCATTGCTTCACTTGCCAGCTGACCTTGTTTAATGTCATTCATATGTGTTTTACTTAGTTTGATCTTTCTCATTGATTGCATATGCCATTGAGAATTCCGTTTTTCTCAATACCAACGTGTGTCATAATCAAATATCTAATTCATTATATTTCCTAGTTTACTTCACATTGCTGGTGCTCTAACTATAACCGATAATTGTAATGCTGCAATATTTCCAGTTATCTTGTTCTTTTCTTCTTTTGTTGTTGTTGCTGTGTATCATCTTTGTTTTCTTGAATACTTTGATCGTGGTTACTGTGTACACCATCTTTGACATCACTATACTTCTCGTGAATTAAATTAGTCCTTGATGGTGGTTTTAATACACTAGTCTTTGAGGGCCTCATTGATAGTGTTCAGTTCTATGGATGAGCTAAAAACACATCTGCGTAACTTGTAGCAATTTATTTTCTCCTTCCTTCAATTGGCTGGATCAACATGCAAATATCCGACTATAATCTCTAGGTTATGGTAATCTATTTATGTTATAAATTTTGAGTTCCTTTTCAACATCAATGATGTTATTTTACATTGTTCAGGCTATTGATTACTTATGAGAGTGGTCTGGTTATTCTATGGGATGTGGTTGAAGCAAAAGTTATTGTTGTTCGAGGAAATAAAGACCTCCATTTGGAAAAGAGAGTTGTTCCTCCAAGTGATGCAGAGATGAATATCGTAAATGATGCTCCTTCCCGTGACGGGGAGAAAGAGATCAGTGCTCTTTGTTGGGTATCTAGTAATGGATCTGTTCTTGCTGTTGGGTATGTAGATGGAGATATTTTATTTTGGGATACATCACACAATTCTTCTAATGAAGATGAAGAAGATGCACTGTCACCAAATGTTGTCCAACTGCAGTTATCTTCTGCTGAAAAGAGGCTTCCTGTCATTGTTTTACACTGGTTGGACCAGTGTAAATACAGCAAACAGAAGAAAGGTCAACTAATATTATATGGTGGTGATGAGATAGGCTGTGATGAAGTTGTTACGGTGGGTTATCAACTTATTATTGGCAGATATTGCATGCAAACCTTATTTATTAACTCACATTTCATTATTGTTTTAACAATGAAAAATTGCTAGCTGTTTGTATCACATATCTTGTTAGATGGTACCTAGGAGAGGCCTTTTTAACATCAGTTGGATTTCTTTATGAAAGGCTTTGATGACAATTGACACATTATTTGGTCCTTTTACTAGGTCAGTGAAATGATATCCAAGGAGGAATTTTAAGGGAGATTAAGGGAAAATGAACTTTTCTTCAGATTGCACTGCAGTGATCTGCACAAGGATAGTTTATTTTTTATAAAAAAAAACTAAGACTTAATGTACCCAGATTTCCTCCTCTTCATGACCATTCTCTGCATAAACTTAATTCCTGCCAGCATTTTCAGAAACCAAATATTGCTTATATTAACCTTATTAGATTTTGAATTGACTTGTGTTGAGATACACACCTACAAATTTATATTAGGGTAAACTGTTTTTTTAGTTTTGTAACTGGACCTCTTTATCATTTTAGTCTCGTAAGCAAACTAGTTCCGCGTGGCTCTCCGGAAGCCACGTGTTCGCCAGGTGTCCCAACACCTGGCGGATACGTGGACTTTATTATTTTTATATATTTTTTAATTTTTTAATTCTTTTTTCAATTTGACCAAATAAAAAAAAAAGTAAAAAAGGCAAATAAAATTAAAAATAAATTTTTAAAAAAAATTAAAAAAATGAAAAAAAAATAATAAAATTCACGTGTCCGCCATGTAGCCTCCGGCGAACCACGCAGGGGGCTGGAGGACTAAAACTACGAAAATTTTTTACTTATGGACTAATTCGTGACAGGCTCTACTTGCCGGACTAAAATGATAAGGGGTCATGTTGCGGGACTTAAAAACAGTTTACCCTTTATATTATTATATTACAATTTGCTGTATTGTGAAAACAATGTTGCTAAAATGCTAGAAACTAATGATTTCAGATGTACTAAAAAAATTGATTTCAGATGTACTAAATAGTTTATTTTGGACAGGTTTTGACTCTTGAATGGTCAGCTGGAATGCAAACAATGAGATGCATAGATCGTGTGGACCTCAATCTTAGTGGTTCTTTTGCTGATATGATCTTAATTCCATCTGTTGGTGCAACAGGGAGTGATACAAATGCTTCCCTGTTTGTATTGTCAAGCCCTGGGCAAATACAGATTTATGACACAAACAGTTTTCCTTCCTCAAATTTGCAGTCAAGGAAGGTACTACCAGTCTCAGCCATTAACTTTCCAGCTAGTATCTCAACTGTTCATCCTTTGTTGACAGTTTCAGAGCTTTTTCTTGTGTATGATAGCATCGAGGCTTTAGGATCTGAGGTGATGTACATTTTCCTTTTCCTGTCTTCACCTAGATCATGCTCATAATTCCATATTGATCTGTACGTATGAACGAAGAATCGTGCTTCTGTATTATTAGACTGCTGTGGTAAATTCAACACCAACATTGCCTGGGAACAGAAAGTGGCCTGTTACGGGAGGAATAAGTAACCATGCAACTTTTGAGAAAGATGATAATGTCCACAAACTGTTTGTAGCAGGGTATCAGGATGGATCAGTCCGCATATGGAATGCCACTAATCCAGTTTTCCGGCTCCTTTGTGTTTTGACAAATGAGGTTTGCATTAATGAATTCATGTACTTTTGGGACTAAAAATAAAAGTCAAAACTTTTATTTTATTCAGTGAATGCTATCATGCATCTGTCAATACTGGATAATTTTTTCTTTCTGATAATGGCAGGTTAATGGCAAACGATTAGTTGATTCTGGTGCTTCGTTGACTACAATAGATTTGTGCTTCTCCACATTCACATTAGCTGTTGGCAGCGAATGCGGTCTGGTTAGAAATATTTGTTAAATATTTAAATGATGGGCATTGGACATCTTGTCCTCTATTTACTCATGTCTTGGCATGATGTCATCCAGGTTCTACTTTACCACCTTTGCAGCTCTGGTGATGGTAGCTTTCACTTTGTTACAGAGATCACGAGTGAAGGTTATTCAAACTATTACTTTTCTCATTTCTTACTCTAGTACTTCCAGTCCCATGTTTAAATATTTTAATCATAGAGGATTATATATGAAATGTTGGGGCATGAATGAATATTGTACTAGGCAAGACTCGTGCTAATGTAAAGCTTATTTAAAGTTCCAACACATGTTATGGCATATTAACTTATAGTTGTTTCTTGAGTTTTGGGATTGGTTCGATCAGTGGGCAAACCTGAATGATTTTTATTAGGAGTTTCAGAAAGGAATCTGTGGAACATAGAGTTATTCCTTCAAAATCTTCAAGGCACAGTGATGACTTGTGATTAAGTTTTCAAAATAGTTATTGTACTTGATGTAAATCAGCATTTGTTGCAGTTCATAATTCTGCTCCAGTCCAAGGACCTAGGTGCAGAGCTGCTTTCAAGCTTCAGAAATCTGGAGTTCGGACACTTAATTTTGTTCGTGATGGCTGCAGGCTGATTGTAGGATATGAATGTTCTCGAGTGAGTGTTATTGACTGGTTTACATATGATTGTTGATTTATCACTAGCCAGCTCCTGTGAGCCGCGCTCTTAGTGTGCATAGATTCCACTGAAGTTGCCATTTGATATCCCTTATGCGATATCAACTGGTATTCTGGCTTATGTACACTGTCTTGTTTTTCAGGTTGCAGTGCTAGATGCACGTTCATTATCCGTTGAATTTATAACAGATGCCATATCCAGCTCACCATTGATATCAGTAACATGGAAAGGATTCATATCTGGAATAGATAAAAGCTCAGATGAAACTGCATCAAAAACACCTGCTAATAGTACTGGAGAACTTATATTTGTAACAACCAAGGATGCTAGTGTATATGCCATTGATGGAAAGAGTGGTAGCATGATCAGCACAAAGCCCATGCAGTTGAAGAAGAATTCAACACCAATTTCACTCTATGTCATAGGCAAGTTTTTGTGTTAATGTAAGTTAAATCCACTTGCTCCAAATGCATGCACTGCTTACAGGGTTTCTGCACTGCAGAGAACTGGGAAACAGTTCATAGGTCTTTAGATGTACAACTTCCAAAGGATGGAACTCCAAGAAATGAGCTCTCACAAAATGATTCTCAAGGGAGTGATGAACATGAAACACAAGAGAGCCCAATCACCTCAACTCCCTCTGCACATAGTTTGAAGGAGCTACTAGTTGTGCTCTGTTCTACTGATGTTCTGCATATCTACTCTGCCAAGTCTGTGGTTCAAGTGAGTCTCCCAAATTTTATTTCCCTGTGTGATTTTGTGTGTATCTTTATAGCTAAAATGTATGATTTATCAGGGAGAAAGTAAATACATACATAAAGTTAAACTGCCCAAACCCTGCTGTTGGACTAGTCTTTTCAAAAAAGATACGGAAGTTTGTGGCCTGGTGTTGTTATATCAGACAGGGGATATGGAGATCAGGTAAACTTTATTCAAATATCTCTTGCTATAGAGTCTTCTGAAGTTCCTTTTTCAGAAACAATGAAAAAACCATCCAGCAGTTATTTTGTGGATTTTAGGCAGAAAAGTTGAAGTAGTCCAAATAAGTCATGAATAGCAGAAGTGACGAAAAGCTGTCATGTTACTTTATTTTAATATTTATTTATTTATTTTTCCTAATGCAGATCATTGCCTGATCTAGACTTGGTGAGAGATCTTTCTCCTTTATCGGAGTTAAGGTGGAATTTCAAGACAAACATGGATAGGATGACGAGCTCTACAGAAAATGGACATATAGTATTGGTAAAGCAGTAACAATTGTGGACTTTGAAATGAATAATTACTTATAGTTCCTTTTTTCGTCCTAAACACAATCTATTTGTTAGGTTAAAATTAAATGTGGCTTTTAAGTTTGATGGTATCCCAACTCAGATAAACAAAATAAAAATCTCCATTTATTCCCCCGTGTGTTAATCATACACTATAATGTGTAGTGTATTATTGCTGACACAGGTGAATGGTTCAGAAGTGGCAGTTATTTCTCTATTAGAGAGTGAAAATGATTTCAGGTATTCTCATGTTATTTATTACTCTACTTTATACTACCCTGTGCTTGCTTTGAGTATTAGAGGGTTTAGAATCTACTGAACAAAATGAATCTCATTGGCAGGATTCCAGAGTCCCTACCTCATCTTCATGATGAAGTGCTGGCTGCTGCAGCTAACGCTGCAATCAGTGTTTCTTCCTATCCCAAGAGAAAGGAGGTTTTAATGACGGATATTACTGGTTCCTATGTTTCTGCTTCACAGTTATCAGTTCTCTCAGTTTTCTTTAAACTGTTTGGTTTGGTGCTGCAGGGAAGCAATACTGGTCTCCTTGGAGGCATTGTGAAAGGATTTAAGGGATGGAAATCAAAGAGCAACCCTGCTTCCCCTTCAAAATCTAGTTTAAATAATCTGGACGACATTTTCAAGAAGAACCCATTTTCAGAGCCATCGACTGCCACCATAGATGAACATGAAGTCGAGCTTTCTATAGGTCTCTCTCTCTCTCTCTCTCACACACACACACACACATGCACAGAATATGCCCAGTTTTCAGGTGCTCACTTCTCTCTATTATGGTTACAAATGCTATTTGTGTATGTTATGTGGCTGGCATTTACAGATGACATTGAAATTGATGATCCTGAGCCTTTGCCATCGACGTCATCCCAAGAAGTCAATAACTCAGATAGAGGTATGAAATGACATTTTTATATCTAGTGCTGCAATTTTTATGGAAAGAATGTTTGGGTATTTAGAAAATTTTGGATTTATGCTGCAGATGAAAAAAGCCAACGAGAAAGATTGTTTGGTAATGATGACGATATTACACCCCGACTCAGAACACGAGAAGAGATCATTGCTAAATACAGAAAAGCTGCGGTAAATCAAGAGTAGTTCTTTGCAGCTTATCACATTTATAGTATGCTGGAAATGTCTAATGACACGTGTTTCTTATTCTACATTTTGAATTCCAGGATGCCTCTTCTGCAGCTGGCCAAGCAAGAGATAAGCTTCTGGAGCGCCAAGAAAAACTTGAGGTAATCATCTCTAACAGAATAAGACAAACTTCTTGGATTTTGCTTGTTCTGTTAATGGAAATGCCCTATTGGAAGACTAAAATCGAGTGTGAAACTTGCAAAATCCCGAAGAAGTTTAAAACGTGGGACAGATTTTTCTGCACTAGGTGTGGAATAGAAAGGAAAATTTTACTTTCCATATCTAGGCAGCTGTAGACATCTCGTTGTAGATTAAGAAAATGGGGAATAGATCACTTTTCACAACCATTGGGATTTAACACATGATCTTTGTAAAAGATTGTTTCATCTGTTTAAGTTTCTTGATCTACAAAATGATTTTGACATCATTTCTTTGTCGAGAGCTTTGAATGCTAATATCACCATCGTGCACATTTTTGTCCAGCGAATCAGTAGGCGCACAGAAGACCTGCGACATGGTGCAGAAGACTTTGCGTCACTGGCTAATGAGCTTGTCAAGGCAATGGAGAAAAGAAAGTGGTATCATATATAATATCAATCCTATGGACTAGATGCCCTCCCAAGTTGCCGCCAGATTACTTGCATTGTAATTTATTATTAGACGATGAAGGAAGGTTCGTAGATGTCTATATTAAGGCTGCACACAGGCTTGTAAGTCATCTCATTTTTGAATGAAGCCTAACTGCAGGAATGTCACTTTTAACTTATTCATAGCTAAGTACAGTTACGTGCCACCCCTTAGATTTTACATGAGAGTGACTACAATTAAAAATATAACAGATGCAACCTGCAATACCTGCAATTTTCATTGTATTTTGGTATGGTATCCATATGCCTAAAACACAAGCTGCACAGAAACATGAATTTCACCCATGAGGGGTGTAATGATATATAGCCTGGGCTGTAATAATACTCAAACAGATAGTAGATATATAATTGACAGGATATATATATATATATATGTGTGTGTATAAAAGGAATGGGTCAACTATACGTATCAGTGGCCTTATGAGAAAATAATTTACATGTCAAGAAAAAAAAAAAAAATGGTTCCCAATAACTAATACCGAAGTAAAGAGTTTTGCATACGTAGATCTGAAGGAAAATGAAACTCAGTATAACACAGTCTTGACTTTTGCAAGTCACAAAACAGTGGTTTTACTCTGAACTTTCTAAGCCCAATGCCCTCCAGAAAGGCCATCAATCACTTGTGAGTTAGAAATCCTTCGGCCAATAAGTTCTTTCAACTCTATCTCTCCAGGGAACCTACTCTCCTTTAGTTTAGAGAATACCTGAAATACAGAAATAAGACAACACATGATACACTTAGTGGAGAGCAATAGATCAAAACTTTCCAATAATTATCAGTGGGAGAAAAAGAAGAAGCAGAATAATGAGAATAATTTGTTCAATTATTATCAGTTGAACTGATACAGAAATGGTAGCAGAACACTGATAATGGCAAAGAAAATTACAGACAAATAATCACCCAAGCCTTAGAATGAAGGTACCCTTAAATAAGATCAAATTTTTTTTTTATTGCTATTCCTTCTAAACATATGTTAGGACTTTGAAATTCAATGAACACGAGTACTATGTTCAGATTCAGGAAGAGATCTTGGACCTCTTCGAGCACCACTTAAGGCAAGAAAAGCCACAATAACAACAGTTCTCCAGTGAAAGCAAATATATCCAGTTTCGAGACAAAAATTCTCAGGAAAAGAGTCCCATTTTCACAAACATTTTAACATCAAATACATACGAAATATAGAGGAACCTTACCAAGTCACCATTATAGTACACTTCAAAAGCACCCGAACTCTGCAGGAAAGATTGGAGAAAGTTCCCAAGTAGCCAAGTACTGGCCATACTCCCAAATCTGTTTGCACGCAAACTATAGTACCATTGGGGAGGTGCAGCAAACCCTAACCTTGGAAAAATTTGTTCACCACCCGCTATAATTGCAATCACACCAAATTGAACAACTGGCACCAGTTTACTGAGCATGCGCTTAGGTAGGGGAGGAGGATAATTGGCAAGAACAACATTGATCCCAGGAAATTGACTCTCCAACATATTTTTCATTGTGACTGCTGTACCTCTGCCAACATAGAAGTGGAATAACATCAACAACAACCTTAACAGAAGGATAGGTAATATCTATCTAATGCCACTTGTTTGATAGCATTTATCAAGTGAGTTACCACCACAATCAATGAGTACTACAAGTACAATATTCATGTAGTATTTACTTGGAAGTCCCTAACAGAATGCACTTGATGCTCTATATAGCGATCCACTAGGAGAATGACAACAAATGATAAAATAAGACAGCTCCCTTCGGTAACACATATACGTACGTACCTGTAAGAACATGAAGCACAGAAATCTATGCTAACAGTGTTCCCAAAACCAATTCCACTAGCCTTCTGCAAAAAACACATTATAATTAAAACAACAGGATTGTATGGATGGCCAACAACATCGACTACAAACAAGAAGCCGATACATAAACTATTCCTTGTAAGATGTTAGGTCAAACCTGAGTAGGAAACTCAAGAGATGGCTGCTGTTGTTTGATTAATGGCTGCGGATCGGACTGATGCCGGTGATGATGGTGGTGATGGTGAGCAGCGGGTTTCGACGGCGGCGCGGTGAAAAGGTGCAAAACGTCGGAACAGAACAGGAAAAGGGGTAAACCCACTAGTAGAAGCTGCGCTCGATCCATATTTCCCCCCACTGAGAATGCAATCCCTTCCTGCAAGGGTAATAGTCGTGATATTCGATTTGAAGTTTTGAAGCCTTGTGAATTGTGATACTGACTTTTATGATATAAGAAGTCGTGCTTCTCTGTTGAGTCTGAAATCGCGTTTTAGAATGAGCTTTCACTTTCAATAAATAATGTAATGGGGCTGTAGCTGTTGGGCTCCTTCAATCAGCCCACCATCTTTTAGCGGGCTTTCAATAAACCAATGGGCCCATATGGATAAAATTAAATCAGGTGTAAATTTGAATAATTCTATTTGTTCTTTTTTTTTTTTTTAATTAATTGATTGATTGGAATTAATATAATTTTTGAAAATAAGAATGGCTTCGATGTGTGTGTATATACATGCGTGTGTGAAAATACAGTAAAATCCATAGAGGCCATGTCTTGTTGCTTAGTGATCACTCAACAACATGCATGATTGCGTTTGCCCTAATTAATGTGAATGCATCCACCCCCACTACCACCTTATTTAGTGATATATATCCATACATACATACACATACACATGTATGAGTCTGCAGATAGTCTCAATCACATAATTAATCACATTCATTGATTAAGTTACAATTATTGTTTGGCTTGATAATTTGTCAAACCTATTTTGCTTGTGTTCATCAAAATCCTCACCACAGATGCAACGAGTTCATCTTAATTTCTATTTTCTCACCACCTTTCAAATATATATCATTATAATTACATTTGTTGCTAGTGTTGGCGTTAGTTTAATATTGTCAGTGTTTAGGTTATAACTTGAACTTTTCACGTTAATGATAGAACATTTTCAAACATAAAGTACAAGTGTCATTATTTGCAATACAATGGAACCAGATGTTAATGATACTCATTATAATATACAATATATATATATATTATATTTAAGAATTAAGGCAATGCATAATGTAAATTATTCTCGTTATTTCAGTGAATTGATTTCATCATCATCATTCACAGTTTATTCAATCAATTCCCTATCTTTATATTCCCTGTATGTATGCCTTTTTCATTTCCTACTTATATTAAAAATCTGTAGTTTTAATATAGTATACAATTTGCAAAAGTGACTTGTATATATTTGTATTGTGCATGAAGCACATTTGAAGAAAACAAATAAATAAATAAGCAAGCTAGCTAGCTAGGCCTGTATATAATGTCTTGAATTAGGTTAAGACCTAACAAGAAAAATGAAAGCTGCAGCAGCAATGGAGATGACAAATAATCAATTAATTAATGTTTGACTACTATAATTGATCTTGAGATTGAGAATCATAGATGATGTTCTTCTCTTGTAAGCTTATTGAGAAGGGCTGTAATGAGGGCATCCCTTCTCTGAGCCCTACCTTCTTCCCTAGCTTTCCTTTCTTCTTCCCTTTCCCTCCACTTCCTCTCCATCGTCATCCTCTCCTTCTCCACCACTTCCATGGCTGCCCTCCACTCTCTCTCCTTCTCTCTCCTCTCCTCCTCCCTCGCTTCGTATGTTCTCACCCACTGCATTTCCACCTCCATCTGCTGCCGCGTGAACTCCTCCAGCATCTCCCGTACGCCGTTTATAATTATCATGGCGCCATTGCTGCTGCTGCTGCTGCTACTGCTTGGATTAGCTGCTGCTGCTGCTGCTTTCCCTTTCCTTTTCTTCCTCGGTTTCTCGTTAACTTCGCTCTCTTCGTTTGATTGATGATCTTGATCTTCCATGTCGGATGAATATTGCAGCGCCGCCGCCGTCTTTCTCTTGGCGGCGCCGCCTTCAGCTTCCAACCACATCATTCTTTGCATCCTTGCAGTAAATATAGCCTGCAACTCGTTGTAGTGTGAAAACTGTTGCCTCATCCCTTCCGCCTCCGCAGTTTCACATACCTATATATATACATAATTAATAATGAAACGCGTTTTGGTCAAAAACATTTCTTCAAAATGGACATTGATGATGGATATATAATATTAATTGCATCCGAATCCAGATGACAGTGATGATGATTGCTCCTCCTCCACACACTTATTACACAAATTAAAAATCTAATCTGAAGCAATTATAATTGTTAAAGGTTTGTGATTGAATGGATCGATCACAATTCACAGACCTTGTATCGGGTGACGAGGTTTTTCCACTTGGATTTGCACTGATCTGCGCTTCTGCCATAACCCTTTTCCCTCATCCTCGTCGAGATCTCTTCCCACAGAATTTTATTGCGTTTCGTTTCCATGAAAGTCTGGTCGAGCTCAGCCCGGATCATCAGCAGTTCCCGAGTTTCCTGCACACTCCATTGAGGGAACCTGTCGGCACTGCTCCCCGCAGCAGCATCAACCGCCGCCGGATATGGCGGCGGCGGCGGATGGAGGTGATGAAGATGCCCCGGATCCATATATATATATATATGTATATGTATGTATGTATATTCCTTCTTTTAATTTGAAAGGAAAGAAGGAAGGAAGGGAATGACTGCGGAATTAAGGAGGATGGACAAGAAACAAAAAAAAAAAAAAAGGGGGGGGGTTTGGTGTTATGGTATGTACAGATAGATAAGGGTTTGGTTGGTAATGAGAGTCAAAGACAGACACTTGACGAATTAAATATGGCAATGGAAAAAACAAATCAGGATTTCTCTTTTTTTTTTTTTTTTTTTTTCTTTTCTTTTTGTATAATCCTTTTCTCGGTGCACGAAATCTGATTTTTTATTTAAAGAATACAATCCAAGGAATATGATTTATATAATATTAATTTCCTGGTATTTTGGGGGGTTTCGCATTTGTTCATACTAGCTAGGGTCACACTGACGTCTGCATGCGATATCACAAATTAAGAGCAAGAAATTGTTGGGAATGTTCTCGTGGTCCCCTCCCCTCCAGGCCATACATAAATTCAAAATGTCGTCTAAAACATACCCTGATTTTATTATCACTAATTAATTTACTTGTCGACGGAGAAACGCAACTTAATTATTTCTAGATTGATTTACCAAATTAAAGTAATTTTGAGTAAATAATTAATTAAACCTACATATTATCTGATACAAATCCTGTATTGTAATTTGTTATCTGATTCTAGCTAGAATTAATGTTGTAATTGTTCCTCGTAATCGCATGCCGTCATGGTCCAGTGCGGTTGCCTACCAGCCATCTTAGGATGACCATCTATCTATCTGACTTTCTTTCTCCCTTACTTACTAGGTAATTGCGATGACAATAATACTATAATAATTAACCTAGCTAATCCACCAGCATGTTTTCGAAATATTGTCTCTTATTATACAACCCAAATAAATAGGGAATTAACTAACTCTGGTGGATAATTATAATGCTGTGCTATCCAATTTTATTAGTATTACAGTTTCCTACTACGTCCAATACAATAGGCCAGGCCCAAACTAGTGGACTGTGAAGCAACCAAGCAACAGGCTGCAGGTGGTAAAAGCGTATATATATATATCCATAGAGAAAAAATCAATGCCCAGAAGGGAACAGTAGTTCAGCACTGTCCAGTTACAGTTACAGTTACAGTTACAGACAATATAATGAATGAACGAATGAATGAAGCTGCTGATGATCGATCAGTAACAAGTACAATATGACAATAACATACAACGTCCATCCAACCGTTGCTTTTCACGGCACACACTCCATCATGCATCTCTACCTTAATTCATCGAACCAAAGGGTGAATCCATTCATTCAACAACGAACGTAACATAATTGGATCACACACAGAGTTCATGATATAATATACTAGCTACTTATCCTAGCTAAAATTAAAGAACGTGAAATTATTCTTACATATCTCTAAATGTGAATTGAATCTGCAATTGTTAATTGAAGTGACTTATATATATATATATATATATATGTATATGTATATATATAGGGCGAGGGCGAGACGATTATTGTGGGTCACCCAACTGAAGAGAGAGAAAGAGTATGGTTCCTTTTTCTAGTTAAGTTTGAAAAAATTTGATTTAAATTTAATATTAAAATAATGTTTGATAAAATATTTTGTAAAAGAAAAAAAAATATTTTCTTTTTAAATAAAGAATTCAAAAAATAAAATTTAAAAAAATTTGTGCAAAGAAATATAACGAGAATTAATTACTTATTAATTAATTTAATATTTTAATTACTCTACTCTGCCTGACTGCCAACTCACCACCGTCTGCGACTCCGGCCAGACAAACTACTACTAAAACCAGAATTAATAAATAGTAGTAGCAGTAGTATTCGGAGAAATACTCCAATAAATATTCCTTCGATAGCGAGAGATTTTTTATTTTATTTTATTTTAATAATTCCCTGTATTAAAATTTAAAAATAAAAAAACAAACGGAAAGAATAATTCAAAAAGATCTTTTCCTTGAAAAAGCATCTGAACCGTTACCGTACCACCCACTTCTTCGGTTTTGCAGAGGAGTATCCCATCCCCACCCTCAACTCAACCCCTGCCCCAGGCCAGTACAGCCAAAGCCACAGCCACCCTCCCTCACTCTCAAAGCACCCCTTCTCCGAGACAAAATCGCCCACATTATCGTCCCTGAGCTCTGCTGTCCGCCGAGGACTCGGTTCCAAGTCCAATCATGTGAAAGCGGACCTCCTGCTGTTGCTACAATTAGGGTTAGGGTTTTGCTTGATTGGGAAAACCTGCCGCGTCCTGATTTGAATGGGGAACTGTTGTAGATCTCCGGCGGCCGTTGCCAGAGAAGATGTCAAGTCATCCAACTTTTCCGGTCATGATCACGGACGGAAAGACAAATCATCCGACAACATTAAGAAAACGGTTACTGTTTTGCCGGACGTCAAGAAGGAGAACATAGACGAGAAGTATTTAATCGATCGTGAGCTCGGGAGAGGGGAATTTGGGGTTACTTATTTGTGCATTGAGCGGGAAACCAGGGAGCTGTTGGCTTGCAAGTCCATATCGAAGCGGAAGCTGCGGACCGCTGTCGATGTGGAAGATGTGAGGAGGGAGGTTGCTATAATGAAGCATTTGCCAAAGAATCCAAGCATTGTGTGCTTGAAGGAGGCCTGTGAGGACGAGAATGCTGTGCATCTAGTGATGGAGTTATGCGAGGGTGGGGAGCTGTTTGACAGAATTGTGGCACGTGGGCATTACACAGAACGGGCTGCGGCTGCTGTAACAAGGACTATTATGGAGGTTGTGCAGCTATGCCACAAGCACGGGGTGATCCATAGAGACTTGAAGCCAGAGAACTTTCTATTTGCAAATAAGAAGGAAAATTCTCCGCTTAAAGCCATTGATTTTGGGTTGTCCATATTTTTCAAGCCAGGTTAGTGAATTTATAGCAGTTGCTTCAGAGTTGTATGTGATGAAAATTCTCCACTGAAAATTAGGAAGCTTTTGAGTTACGGGTTTTATTAATGGTTACCTGCCTATGAAAAGACACTATCTACGTAATTGTTTGGCTGTTCACAAATTTGATAGAGAAATATCTCCGTGGTATTGTTTGCCCCCATAATTTACTTATGCAAAAGATAATGAAAATATTTCAGTAGGGATCAATGCCACTATAATCAAACTGGTGAGATTGTTCACGTGCCTTACTATGGAGATGTGTTCATCTCTCACTTTTGTTCCATCGTTTTGTAATTTTTTATCCTAGGTGTAGTAGGGTGAGGTTCTTGAGAATATATACACAAGCACACTTGCACATGCCCATATGCATTAACAAGACAATGCTCTTCTACTGTATTAACTTGTCAATTAGCATATTCTAAAAGAATATATGATGTTTAGAGACTTGCTTTGACTCTTGGATTTTAGGTGAGAGGTTCTCGGAAATTGTTGGAAGCCCTTATTATATGGCACCAGAGGTGCTCAGGCGAAATTATGGACCTGAAATAGATATCTGGAGTGCTGGCGTGATTCTCTATATCTTGCTGTGTGGAGTTCCTCCTTTCTGGGCAGGTAATTAACCCTTCTCCCTCTCTTCCATACACAGAAATATCTGGCATAATCAACATATTATACTGTCCTTTTAACGTTCGTTTTCTCTGCAGTAGTAGTTTTAGATGATCACTTACAAACTTTCTGTTTTCAAAGTTCAGACTTGCTGGCGTTCAGTACCTAATTTTAATCTTGTGTTTATTATGCCTGACTATCAATTTTCAGGTGTTGTTTTCATGCTTCTTGGAAATAGAAATATGCTAAATGACTTAAAAGTTAAAAGTTTTTTTTTTTTTTTTGTCACAGAATCTGAGCAGGGAGTTGCTCAGGCCATAATACGTGGAAAAATAGACTTTGAGCGTGAACCATGGCCTAGTATATCGGAGAGTGCCAAGAGCCTCGTCAGGCAAATGCTGGAGCCAGATGTTAAGCTTCGGCTTACAGCAAAACAAGTTCTTGGTGTGTTAATCTAATGTTCCCTTGCTTCTTTTTTCTGATAAACCTTGATGTGCGCTTTACTATTATTGGTCTGACAAACTTTTCTGTTGAGTTGATCACTTTTGTCTAGAACATGCTTCTCACTTCTCACAGACAAGGTGTCTTCTGGAATTTCATGTTAAATATAAAGTGTTCTCATTTCTAAAAAATTTTGAAACTTATTTGTTAATAAATCATTTAATTCTCGGTGATTCATCATTATGAACTTTTGAAGTTTCATGATCAATCTCTTCTATTGGTATCAATGCACCCTTGTACGGTTTTGAGTGGCCTAGTTAGCCTATCGTTTAGGGCTATTAATCGTCTTTTCTCGTTGTGTTTAATTTAATATCTTGAGTTATAATTGTCTAAGGCAACAGTCTGAGAAAATGCATATATGTGTGCATGCACTTTTTGTTAGAGAACATTTGTGGTCCGACATTTAGTTACTCATTCTAATATGAATTTGAGATCAGTACATTTTCTGTGTCTATAGCATGCGCAAACTGTTTAGTGTTTGACTGGTATAATTTCTGAGTTCATGTTGTGGGCACAGTCTTTGCTGTGGCTGGAACATGCAGAAACTGTTTACTACTTGTTTGTTAGCATTTCTCAACCAAAACAGAGTCAATCATACTTTGTAAATTTACATTTGTATGCATTTTCAGTTGATTTGACTTGCACCTATCATTTTCAGTTTTTTACGATGTATTTATGGATGTTTGAGCATTTATAAATTTACCTGCTCTGTGAAAATATATTATGGTTTTTCTTTCTATTGATACTTGTACTTATCTTCTCTACCATTCACATAGTTGCAGTTAGCATTGTGTACATAACTGCATCTTTCCTCTGCACACTTAGAACCTATGTCGAACATATTGCACAAAGTTGTGCATTAAAATTTTGTAGGTCTTTTGTTATAAATGATGTGCGTTATTGGTGTGTGCATATGATTACCTGCTACTGCTTAAATTAAAAGGGAGGATTCTGAAATGGAAAATAAATCCCCTATCAAACTTGTTCATGCAGATTCACTTGCATTTTGAGGATAAATGCATTATATGTGCTTGGCATATATTATGTTTCTAAATAGAAGTTTTGTTTTCCACAGAACACCCATGGCTTCAAAATGCGAAAAAGGCTCCAAATGTTCCTCTTGGAGATGTTGTCAAGTCAAGATTGAAGCAGTTCTCGTTGATGAACAGATTCAAGAGGAAGGCTCTTAGGGTTGGTTGATTATTATACCTCATCAATGTTTATGTCATTGAAGTTTTAGTTAAATTTTTGTGGTTGTGCTCTTTTTGTTAGGTGATTGCTGATTTCTTATCTAATGAAGAAATTGAAGGCATCAAGGATGTGTTTGCTCAGATAGATACTGATAGTGATGGTATTGTTTCAACTGAAGAGCTAAAGGCTGGAATGCAAAAGTTCAATTCACAGCTGGGAGAATCTGAACTACAGATGCTCATTGAAGCCGTGAGTCTCCAATTAATGATCCAACGCGCACATTTTTTATTCTTAACCCATTTTATTTTTAAAAATAATTATATAGTCAGATAGATTTTCAACTATTGTTTTACCTTGTGAAGATTTTTATTTCATATATGTTATCGAGATCGGTAATAAAGTAAGGGACGAGCCAAAGTCTGCATTTGGTTGATTGAGGAGTGTATAGTGACTCCTCTTGGAAAGTCTGAACTTGCCTTCATGCGTGTAGCTTGTTTGCGAGCTTTAATTGCCTGATTTTCTAGTTTGATATCCTCTGGGAATAGTTGACTTGCAATAATCATATGCATGATGTCCATGCTATTATGCGCTTTCGTGTATGTGTGTGAGTGAGAGAGAGAGATGCTGATATCACTCCTGGATTATATGCGTTCTTTATTCATCCATTCATTTCTACAGGTGGATTCAAATTGTAAAGGAACATTGGATTATGGAGAGTTTCTTGCAATCTCACTCCATCTCCAGAAGATGGCAAATGATGAACATCTTCACAAGGCTTTCTCATATTTCGATAAAGATGGAAATGGTTACATTGAACCAGATGAGCTTAGGGATGGCTTGATGGAAGATGGAGCAGATGACAGTACGGATGTGGCAAATGACATTTTCCAGGAGGTTGATACAGACAAGGTAATAGTAAAACCTTCTGATATGTATGTGAAGCACCGTATGAACTGATTTTTTATTGCATTTTCACCATGAATCCAGGATGGACGCATCAGCTACGATGAATTTGTGGCGATGATGAAAACTGGGACAGACTGGAGAAAGGCTTCCAGACATTACTCAAGAGGGAGATTCAATAGTCTGAGCATAAAGCTGATGAAAGATGGTTCTATTAATTTGGGTGAGTGAATATGCACAATCTGATTCTCTCTCCATTTGTATGTGAGCAATTGCCTGTGTGTATTAAGCGTACTCTCTTTATCATTGTTGTGGCCTGTCCAAGTTAAATGGGGTTCAAATTGATTGTTGCCTTTATAAGGATTATGGACGAGGCAAGTACATTTTATTAGCCTTGTCAACATGTTGATTTGGTAGAGCACAAAATCTTGTAGTTCCCACTCATGTGCTGTTTGATTCTATTCTCTTACTCTTCACAATCACACATTATTTCTTCCTGATGGGTGAAATGACCTACGATGTACTAGTAAATATCTTTGTTAAAAGAACTAGATCTCAAATTTATGTTTTTGGGGCATGTACAGTTTCATAACCTGTTTTCACCAATTCATCAAAGAGACAGATTGGGGTTTTTAAAGAGTTAAAAGTCTATTATTTTGTTATTTTATTTATTGTCCTACAAAGTGGTATCTCTCTTCACAATAGTGGAAATTAACTATTTAGAGAGTAGGAAACAATCAAGCAACAGTGGCGATACATAATATGAGAATGCTGGCCAGGTTGTAGGAACACTGATGCAATTTCATAATGGTCTCTTTTGGAACTCCGAATATTCACTCCAGTTTTACTCATTTATGATCTCACTCAGGGAACTGCTTGCACTGTGGATTTTTATTTTATGTTCCATGCTTAATGATGGTTCGGGTTTTATTCAAATTCTGCTGTATCACTGATGCATTAACCCTGCCACTCAAAACATCCAAACCTTCATCATGTATGCATGTATCTGTTTTTGTTGTGCATTTTGAACCTCATTTGATTGCCTTTTTTTTTTTTTTTTTCATCTGGCTATTTGGTTGGAGTTGCTTACTTTCCTTTGTTTGTGTTCTCACTCCTCTATATGCATATACTATGGCCTGTTTCATTTCTTGGATGTCCTAATGATGCATTTCTGTAGGTGAGCCAGCTCATCGTTTGGAGATATTTTTGTATCTTTATGTGCTATAAACGTTTTGAGCTGTGTATAATTTGCAAAGCCAGGAAAAGGTGGCTTTCACTATGATGAAGTTATTATAGCTTTTGATGATTGGTTGATTTGAAGATGATAACTTGTTTTTTTGTTTGCCTTTTTACTGCCAACTTTTTGAGGCACATACCTACCATACTTATTCTTGCCTGTGAATTACCATTCTGATTGCGACACATGGACATTTATGTTGAATATGCATGTAATTAAGCATTGATACTTACAAGTGAACAATTATAATGTTACATTCCCCAGCCATTCCCTAAATTTTATTCAATCTATTTTACCAGAAATAGTTTGTGAACAGTATTTTGAAGGAGTATAAAATAGTTTGTGAACAGTATTTTGAAGGAGCATAAAGCGCAAACTCTCGTGCGGTTCAGTTTTTGTTTGAAACTACTTAGTACAGACAAATGAATTATTATTGTATGACAATGAATTTTAAAAGAATCATGTGCGTTAGTATTATTTTTGGAGTTGTAAAACAGGTATGGGAGGTGGGGCCTGGACGGACAGGCCTGGACCAGATGTAGTTATGTGTATGTGATGAGGAAAGTGACAAACAAAGAAAGTAGGGAAAGCTATGCGTAACATTAAAAGAATGTGCATTAATGAATTGATTCATGATTCTGTAAACCATTTGAAATTGAGTTTGACAAAGTCGGCATTGCAAATTTGCATCCATCAAAATTTGAGTTGATTGCCATAAATAAATCTTGAAAAAACAAAACACACAATTTCCAGATTTGATGGACAGAATTACGACGTACGTGTAATGTTTCAAATGTGTGCTTGGCACAAGTAGTCTAGTCCAATAGGCAACCTACCTAATTGTTGCTTTGGCACACCAAAAATATCTTACAAATACTACTATGTCGTAACAATTAAATTGTGGATACCTACATACATCTTAATTCAGTCAGAGTCAGACCTCACATAGAAGCCACTTTATGAACATGAAACCCAGCATGTTCCACGAATACACATAATACATACATGTCTGTGTTGTACGTGCATGTCCTTGTCTTGATGATGATGACTATTATTATTATTATTTCTACAGTACGTGAGAATCTATGTAGTAGCGTGGGTGATTTATGAATGTTGGGGTAAAAACTGAATTGAAATTAAAGTTGTAGCGTCATTGGAGGAAAGCTTGCATTTGCACATGGCAGGTTTTTTCTCATCTCTCTCTCTCTATATATATATATATATACATACATACATATATATGATTTATCTCGATACCTATATATGCATGCATATCGTGTATATATATATATGTGTGTATGTATGTATCATTGCCATTACCTTACGAGTATACATTGTTAAATTACAAACAAATTACATCCACCCATCCATCCATGTCTGCGTGTCCTGCCCTACCATGTGATTTTATTATTTATGATCGAGTAGTTGGTCAAACCAATGACCAAACACACTCAGATTGCACATACACACATCGACAAGGAGGAAATTAAGGAAATAAGGAATAGTGGGTGGATCACAATGATCTTTTAATTTGTTTTTTCAAACGAAAAGAAATGAATTAATTAATACGAATTATGCTTAATAATAATTATATATAGCTGCGCAGGTAGGAATGAATACCAAACGTACACGAAATCGACTTATAATGTTTGCCAATCACTACCTTCCACATACATGTTATATGGGAGGTTGATTACTTAAATCGCTGATTATTGAATCGGATAACTCTCACTGAAGTTAGTAGTAAAAGATAATATAAGTGATTAACAAAAAAAAAAAGAAAAATGTTGGGGAAGTGAAAGAGGACCAAATCTGGTTGTGGGTATTTAACGTTAATGATTAATAATAAGATAATGGACACGTGACTTAAATCCATACCAACTAAGTTTGATGTCGGCCAAACATTATCTTTTATTTGGACTTTTCTATCAACTTTCATTAAAATGTTAATGACACTTTTTGTCTGCCTCCCACCTCCATCTCCATAATTAATTATTAGGTAATCTGGAGTTTACTAGAGTTTTAATTTGATGATGATGTGCTAGGTACATTGGAGTTTTGAACTCTTATTATATTTAAAGGGTTACGAACTATCAAAATATAAACTACAGAAAATTAGAATTGATAAAGATGTAGTTTTTTTTAAGTTTCAATTGATCGAGTTCACTTTCTTTTGTTATTTGTATATTTACACAAAGTATGTGTTGTTTGAATAATACAGAGAAACTTTTCACCAACGGGAATGCGGAATAATTTGAATGTTTAATACAATAGAAGTAAAATAAAAATAGACAACACAATCAAATTGCATGGAAAGCTCAAAATGAAATAAATTAATAAAATTCTTCACTCTAGAGAAAATAAAATGGTTATAAACTACAAGAAATAAATAAATAAAAAAGCTCCATCACTCAATAAACCCAATATATGGCTTATATTTAGTTTTATTTGATCTTAATTTTAATTAAATAAAGAAACAAGATATATGGCATGCTTTCAAAAATCAAAGCATACCAAAACTAGATATACCAAAAATCAAAAATCATAATTAAGCCATATATGGTACGATAAGTCCGTATTTATTTGGTAAATTTCTCCATCCATGAGCATGAATATAGAGAGAATAATTGTGGATAGATTGTTTGGATCTGAATTTTGTAAAACTGAAATGATTACATTACATGTATATTAGAAAAGTCTACATAAGAATAATCTTCAATAAACCAACATACATACATTCTTAATTCTTTACACAGCACAAACACATCACTATTACTAGAAAAAAGATTGAAAATTGCGGAAATTTGTCGTAAATTTTAATCTGTGATAATTAAAAGTCACATGAAAATAATTTTATGACAAATTTATGTCACATCTTTTTGTTTTGACTATTCTGTAAGTAATATCTACAGAAAAAGCTACAAACAACTTTTCGTGACTATTTAAAGTAACGGCTTATGTAACGAAAATGTCAAAGATATTTCTATTCCGTATCTTTTGATTATTTCGTCACAAAAATTGTCACGAAATTTTTTTTTGACTATTTTAAGTTGCGGCAAAAATAACCAAAATATTTCCAACACTTTAAATTATTACAGATATTGTCATAGTATAATTTTTGTGACTTTTTAAAATAAAATGTTACAACATAATTAACGAAAATAATTATAATTTTTTCTTATTATTGTTTGTAGCTATTCAAAGTAATAAGAAAATAATAAAATCATCTTCAATATCTTTATTCAATATCGTTTGTAGCTATTCAATTTTTTGTTAAAAATTTATGATGATATATTAAATAAATATGTATATATTTTTAAAAGATAAATTTATAATCAATAATATTTATAGAGTTAAAATATAATAACAAACAAAAAGTAATACTTTAGAGTAGATAGCTAAGTTAGCATGACAGGTCGTGTAAGTTTTTAATAACTATAAGGTCACTAGTTAAGTGTGGTATGAAGTAATTCCGAAAAAAATAGTGTGGTTGCATTGAACAAAAATTATAATATAATTATATTTTTTTTTTCAAAAATATAAAATCACGGAATTATTACAGCTTTCGTTAATATAAAGTCACATAGATGTAATGGTATTATTTCGTAACTTATTGTCACGAAAATATCACAATTATAAAATATTCATGAAATTTTGTTGCAGTTTCTGTTGCTATATAAAGTCACGGAGATGTCATGGTATTATTTTATAACTTATTGCCACAGAAATGTCACAACTTAAAAAAAGTCACCAGCAAAATTCAACGGAAATGATTCCGTATATTTTTTCGTGACTTTTTACTAAAAAGTCACTAATTTCTACTAAAACCGTGACTTTTTTATCGCAATTATAGCCTAATTTTCTGTAGTGCGGATGTATATATCTATATATGGTACAACTATATTGGTTGTAGTGACAAAAGTAAAGTTTAAATAATTAAATAATTAATAAAGTCTAATTAAACAAAAGCTTATAAAAAAAATTCAAGGCAGCATTAATTAATGCAGGTCTGTGTTGATCAATGACTTAAATGGATAGTATATCATAATTTGGAAGTTGGGTTAGCCAACCTGCCTGCCTGCCTGCCCAGAGTTGTATTGTGTTATATAAATATGTTTATTGTACTAAAATTAATATTATTATGTTGTGCTATGTAAATTATATATAGCATATGGTGTCAAAATTATATACTCCACAGTGTGTAATTATAATAAAATAGTTATATATAATGTTTTTAGATAATTGTTTAATGTTTTATTACATTGAAGAAACAAAATATACAGAGAGATATTCTTGTTTGTTTGATATTCTTCTTAATTTCGTAAATAAATTCAATGCACTGAATTAGATATATATATCTCAAATTTAGAAGGGATTTGGTTTTCTTTTATCATATGAATAAAAGTAAATGGTAACCTCTGGCTAGCTTACGTTGAATTTAATTTGTTCGTTCATCACATGCATTAAATGCATATATATATATATATGAAGTGCGAATGCAAGTCGTTCACGGCGCCGGAAACTGCATGCCTATAATTCCATACACGATACACCCCCCACCCTATTAATTATATTATAAATGGATGTCTCTGTCCGTGTGTGTGTGTGTACACCACACCTTTCTATGTATAGAGACGTCCGTGGTCACTCCGCCCTACGCATCACATACTCTCACTCCGATCCATTATATATATATATATATGTATGTATGTTCATCAGTCTCACCATCACTTCCAGTGACATTCCTGTTCCTGTTCCTGTTCCTGTTCCTGTTCCTATATATATATACTTCATGATTTGTGGGGTATATCATGTATGTGTATAAATCCCCCAATAATCGTTTCAGTTTATAGCGAAACACCGCTTACTTCAAACCATCCAATCTGCTCAACTTCTTTCAGTATATAGAAATATTCATCACATGCACCACCTTCAATCCCAATCCCAATCACAAATAGTATATATACGTATATGCAATATTTATTAACTCATTCATTCACTACTCCACTCCGCTCCATTCCTCCTATATGTCAAATTTAATTTAAATTATTACTTGGATCGATCGAATATAATAGAATAGAATATCTATCTATCGTTCATCATAAACAGTAAATTAATTACAAATAGATATGATGATGAATTGCCTACAGAGCTGGCCGGAGCCAATTGTCCGCGTCCAACACCTATCCGACACCGCCGGGATTAAAAATGGCGTCATCCCCGACCGCTACGTCAAGAAACCCACCGACAGGCCCCATCCCGAAGGCGCCGACCACAACATCAACATTCCGGTGGTCGACATGGCGGGCCTGTACTCCGGCGAGGCGGCGACCCGAGAGAAGACGGCGGCGCTGATTGACGAGGCTTGCCGCGAGTGGGGGTTCTTCCAGGTGGTGAACCACGGGGTGAGCCACGCGCTGATGGGGCGCGTGCAGGAGGTGTGGCGGGAGTTCTTTAAGCTCCCCCTGGAGGAGAAGCAGAAATACGCCAACACGCCGGCCACCTACGAAGGCTACGGCAGCCGACTGGGGGTCGAGAAGGGGGCCTCCTTGGATTGGAGCGACTATTTCTTCCTCAACTATCTGCCCCTCTCGCTCCGGGACCCCTCCAAGTGGCCCTCTCACCCGCCTTCATGCAGGTATCATATACTACTATTAATTAATTAATTATTTAATTAAAGACGATGGATGGATTCGTACAGCTAGCTTCCGTACGCTCTACATCTATACTAATAATACATGCTCCCTCCGTCCCACATGTTGCTACAGACACGATATTTTAGTAAGAGCGTATATTTTAGTAAGAGTGTAATTAGTAAATAATTTAAAATATATTAATAAAACTAATTTCTTTTAATATAAATAATTATAAATTAAAATTAAGGTAATTAATTAATTTAATTAAAATTAAAAAAATATAAATGAGATTAAAGTGTGTAATCATTTTAAAAAAAAATAATATAAAATGTGTGGGATAAACATAAACGGCAACATGCACATAGTATGTGGGACGGAGAGAATACTGTGTGTGTATATATATATAGATATAATTTCTTGATTGGTAAGTTTTGACGACTGCTCCCCCTCCCCACCCCACAAAGATTCTTTATTATATATAGATACATAATAACATCACGTGATGAAATTAATTAATTAATTAATTATTGTGATCGATCATGGATAACTAATTTATACTAATCGGTTTGGTGCAGAGAATTGGTGGGTGAGTATGGAGAACAAGTGCACCAACTGTGCGGGAAATTGATGAAGATCATGTCGCAGAATCTAGGGCTGAGAGAGGACGACGATCTGGCGGAGGCCTTCGGAGGGGAGAGCGAGCTCGGCGCATGCCTCAGGATCAACTACTACCCAAAATGCCCTCAGCCCCACCTCGCCCTCGGCCTCTCCGCTCACTCCGATCCCGGCGGCATCACCATCCTCTTCCCCGACGAGGAGGTCGCCGGCCTGCAAGTCCGCCGCGGCGACCACTGGATCACCGTCAAGCCGATAGCGAAGGCGTTGGTGGTGAACCTGGGGGATCAGGTGGAGGTGGTGAGCAATGGCAGGTACAAGAGCGTGGAGCACAGGGTGATAGTGAACTCCCAGAAAGAGAGGGTGTCGCTGGCTTTCTTCTACAACCCCAGAGGCGACATGGTGATCAAGCCCGCCGACCACCTCGTGACGGAGGAGAGCCCGCCGCTCTACCCGCCCACCACCTACAACCAATACAGGCTCTACATGAGGATGAGAGGCCCACGTGGCAAATCCCAGGTTGATTCACTCAACTTAACCAACACCACCACCACCACCACCACGCCAGATCTCCATAACTACACATCATGATATTTTATCTTGCTTGCTTAATGAAATATGCTTTTATTCTCTCAATTATATTATACTATGTGTTTCTCATTCATCAAATCATCTATCCAGTGGCAATGTTGTCTAATTAATCCAAATACCTACTGTTGAATTAATATTTATATTTATTTTTATCTATGTTAATATTATTTGATTTGATGTTTTAAAAAAATTATAATAAAGTGCCAAAACTTCAAAAGAATTGTAAGCCTAATTTTGCGTGAACATGATGATTATGGTCAGAATCATCACTCGACAAAAACTAATATGTATATACACATATACTAATTAAGGTTTTCTTAACAAAGTAACTAATTATAGCTAAAATAAAATTTATTGCAATAAAAATAAATATTTTATGTAATCTTTTTTTTTTTTAAAGAAAAAAAGGAAATTGATAATATAGAGGGAAAAGGAAATTTGAAAACATAAGTAAAGAAAGCTTTTAGCTAGTTTTCTGAATATGATTATTAATCATATATAGAAATAGCACATAGATCTCTCATGGAAATTTAAAAATTATAAACATAAATATGGGTTGAAATTAATTAATTTAATTTCTATAAAATGGGTTGTAGCACATGTATTCAACCACACCAAATCTCATTAGGTGAGTATGAAATATTCTGTAACACTCACTAATTAATGTGTGCTTAATTGATAGTTGAAACCATGCAAGACTTCTCTATTTATGTATTACTTCAAAATATGGAAGATTATAGCATATATAAGTCGATCAAGAATACATCCGAAAATGAAAAATAATTATCCACCCAACTAGCTAGCAGTAAAACAAGTAGTAGTATAGAATGAAAAAGTCGCACACATGTTTGAATAGGTGACAACTAATTAATAACACTTGAAGGGTTGACTTAAAGTAGAAGTTGTATATTATACCACGTTTTAATATAATAATAATAATAATAATGGAGCCACTGCGAGTCGCAATCACCGACTCATTTTTTCTTCCCTATCCGCTCTGCTTCTACCCACCAAATTAAATAACTAATAAGTCAGTCTATCATCAACAAAACACAACAACATTTTTTTGTGTGTGTTTGTTTAATGTTTTTATTTTAACAAATTTTTTTGTGTTCATTTGAACGGATTTGAATGTGAAAAAGGTAATGGGATATGATCGAGACCTACCGCCAAAAAACAAAAAAAAGGTTTGTATTTTACATGTGTCTGACCAGAGCACTGGTGTCAAAATTGGTTTTCGTATTTATCCACAAGTCTTGACTGAATTTAAGGATTATATTTACACGTTCTTTTTATGTGAAACTTTTTCGTTGCAGGAAAAAATAAATGTCAAGAGTGCCAGAGCAGCATGTATATCTTCAAAGGAAATTAAATAGAAGTAGCAACTTAGGAGATTTTGTAATCAATTTTAAACACTTCATCATTGATTAATAGTTTCAACTTTTATTGTGTTCAATGTTATTGAATGGGTAAATTCTTGTACATAGAATTCTTATTCGATTATAAAATAATCAACAATCGCACCTTAAATATTGATTCAGTTTTCTTTATTAATTTGCTTTTTATTTTGCTTTATTAGCTATCAGCCAAATCAACGCACTCATTTTTTATTTTATCTTTTTTCACAAATTTTGAAAAAGACCATCTTATTAAAATTTACGGACTATATTAAGATCAATCCCCGGCATAATTTATGTTTTAGTAATGATCAATGCAAGAAGAGAGCTATTTGTATTGGTTGAACTTTCTTTTCATGTACTCCCTAAGTCTCAATATTATTAACATAACTCATCAGAACAAGAAAAGAAACACCATAACATTAACAAATTCGAGAGATCTAAGAGTAGAGTTATATAATCCTGGAGCTAACTAATCGTCAAATTAAACCAGGAAAAATCTGATCTTGACAGAACATGTAGACGGAAACACACACACAAAAGAAAAACTCCCTGTTTACACCCCAAAATCCCTTGGAGCTGTTTGGTTGTATACTTCTTTTTAAACAATGTAAATATGCAAAAGTGGATACATTTGGGGGAAAAAAAATTGCGCAATACAACAACAATCAGTGTCCTGCCATGTATGTTTGTATGTAAGTAGCTGTCTGTTTTGGGATCTAGATATCGAGCCACTGCCTTTGCCAGATAGAAATATGACCAGTCACATTTAGAGTGGTTTTGCCATCAGGGCCAACAGTGTAGCATGGCGAGTCCTCGGGAAATTCAGCCGGCATCGACAGCCAGTACAGGCTTGGCTCCCAATCAACTCTTTTCAACACCTTCAGTATCTCCTGAATAACTACTTTGCTCCCTTCAGCTGATAAATGAATTCCATCCCTACATAAGCAAAGATAACAAAGTACGATTCTCATTATTTGTGCGCATTACAAGCATTGGATAAGTGAGATCGCATATTGCGCGCACTTACATGAAGCAATCATTTGCCCAATTGTTTCTTTGCTGAATTGCAGTCCAGAGATTGATGGCTTCGACACCCAATTCTTTGCATAACTGGACTAAAGCTTCAGCGTATATGCGGCAGCCTTCATTTGTTCGGGCTTGATCAGCAAAGCCACTCCTGGTTTTTGACAAGAATGATGAGTAGGTATGTAAATGATTAGTAAATCTTCATTGAAGCTGTTGAAATGATTGATTTGAAGACACAGCCATACCCATAACATTCTGCAACTTGTTCTTCGTTCACTGGAGGAGAAGTGAGGCATATTATTCTTGTCTTGTCTGAAAGACTCTGCAATTTTATGACAAATACTGTCAGCATATACTTTCTTGTTGCTTTGCAAGAGAAAAGTATAATCTCGTGCAGCGTCACATTAGCATTTTGATACCAAATTATGAAGCAGCTCCTCTATGCTTAGGTTATGCCAGTAAACATTACGAATTTCTTTCAAGTATAGATTTTTTGAAACAAACCTTGATATGAAGAATTATCTTTCTCATGTTTTCCACAAATTCAGGAAGAGGAACATGGGCACCAAGGCCACTTGGGTGAGGGTTTGTGGCATCATTACCCCCAAAATACAATATAACCAGGGAAGGATGAATGGCTGCATCCTGTACTACATCAAAAAGTGGCTGTTTGTGAGAAGAAAAGCCCAAGAACATAAACATTGAATCAAACAAGAACGCAATATTATCCAAGAAACTTTCAATGGGCCAAGATATTAAATGAATGAATGAACCAACTAGCCAAGCTGCAGATGTGCACAGACCTGAGGAAAAACCTGCTCCAAGATTCCAAGAGCCATCCTTGTGTTCCAACCAGCGTATCCTCGCAGTACTACATCGGCCTTCAACAAACTCAAACTCAATAATACTAATACTACTTCCAACGGGGATATATATATATATAAAGCAAATACAAGAAGCTAGATAATTTAAGCCACGCGTCCCTAGAGAAATCCTTGACAATGGTGTTCTAATTCAATCAGCAAAGAATTCATTGATCGAAATTTCCCCCGCCATTGAATCAAAAGAAAGCATTCGTCATTATACTATCCCATGTCAATTCAAACATGTATATAAATTTCCAAAAAAAAAAACAAATCTGAGTATAAAGATTCATAGAAAACAGAACATGCAAGCCAAAGATCGATGAAAACAGAAATACCTTCCGAGCGTAAAGGTCGGCCAGAATTGCACCCCACCCTCCAACGTTGTAGCTCATCTGAACTATGGATGACCCAAACAGAACAAACTGAGGCCGACTCTTACCCGCCATTTTTCTTGTTTGTCCTCCTCCTCCTCCGCCCGTACAAACAAACGGTTATGAAGAGATTTTAGAAAGGTTGAAGTGCAGTTGGGTAGAGTAACGTCTAAGCCCCATGGATATGAATGGGTAGGTGTAATCAAAAGTAGTGGTAGCACTTTTCCTACAACTCTTCGGCCAGCTACCACCACCACATCCTTCCATTTCACACTTTCCCACTGTAGTTGATAGTTGACCTTTTCATATCCGACCACAGTCGTCAGCTTTGAATCTTGGCTGAGGAGAGGGAGATAGTTGCAAAAACCTAATTACACTGAAATATTTAAGCCCAATTCTTGGACAGACCAATATGTAGGATCAATATCTCTATAACAGTAAAGCCCAGTCCAGCTCCAGCCTCCATTGGCGATTGGTCCGGTCCGGTCCGTCTGTCTGACAGAAAACAGCTTCACAATCGAATCGCACGTAGCCTTGCAGACTCGCGGCAGGGCAGGCACTACGCTCCAAACGGTTGTAGTCGACGGTCATCGCTTATCACATTTTCAAATAAAATGTAGATTAGAATAGAATTCCCCCAGGTTTTTTACTTTTTTGGTTTTTCATCTTATCAACAATCCTTAATACCTATGCACAGCTAGAGGTAGCGACTGTACTCTCTTTTTTTTTTTTTTTGTGATCGGAGGGTAGCGACTGTACTCTTTAAACAAGCATTAAGCTGCCATTAATGAAGATTCAACTATAATTATTGTACTAAGGAAAATAATAATACTACTTCTTAAATGTCTGGCTACACTATATTAATAATAATTATTAAATTATTGATGTTGATAGGCTCATCAATTATAAGTGCAACTACTTTTCAATTATTAAAATTTTAAATCAGCTCCATGCATAATAGATTTGAGTGAAACTAAAAAAAAAAAAAAAAAAAACAAATTGCTGTATTCAAATATAACTGGCTGTACAGAAGAATTCGTTGTTAGAGATAATGAGTGGGCCGGGGGCGGGGGCGGGGGCGGGGGTCAACGAAAAAACAAAACATAATAAATTAGTTGAGCGAATATTATAACTCCTACGGTATAGATGGTCAAACTTGTAGTTATAACTCATAACCAACAGTGCAGTGCTACCCGCAACCGTTTCGCAGACAACACAACAATAATGTAATAAAGCCGAAAGCTGCAGCTTCGCGGAAGGTTCCTTTAGGCTGTACCTCCAATTTAAGTGCTTGTACAACGTTTCGTTGTATATATATGTACTTAATTATAATTATTCTTCAAAAAGACTAAGGGGCTAACATAAACACTAAAAAATCATGCCAGTAATAATTAATTTTAATTATGACAACAATAATATCTTGTTGGTACTTAAATATACCCACGCCATCGCCATGTATCGTGATTTTATAATAATATAAAGCTCCCACGCAGATAGTAGTCGGTCAGTCGGTCGGTCATACATATTCAGTCTACAGTAAGTAATTCCAACGGAAACAGTCAATGGCATCGCCGGAGGCGTGGCTTTTGCTGGAGGATGGGAATGATAGTAATAATATTACTAATGTTAAGCCGCTGAGCAAGGACATGAGGAATGGCGGCGTCCGGACAGTCCACAACCTGTCTTCCTCGTCCCTGCGCAAGAAATCCGATTTGGTGCTGCTTCCCAAGGTCCGGGCACCGATTTTCCGAAGATTTTTGGATCATTTTTCCGAGGTTTTTCTCGCGACGAAGCTTTCGGTATTGTTTGTGGCCATTCCCTTCGCCATTGTTGCTCAATGTCGCCATTTCGCAAGTGTGAGTGCTCCTGCATCTAATTAATAAATTGTATATATTCTTCTTCTTCCACTACTATCTGGTTGCTAATATTTTTGTTTGAATTTTTCTTTCTTCTCTAGAAATTAAATATATACGCAGCACTAGTGTTCTAATACGTATATGTTGTAATAAACAGCCATGGGTGTTCGCGTTAAGTTTCGTGGGACTCATCCCGCTCGCAGAACGAGTCAGTTTCCTCACCGAGTAAGAACAACAGTACAAAGTGATTATTTGCTTTTTCAGTTTATTTTTATTTATGAATCAGTAAAACTACCCAATAAAAAATTTTGCGATAGTCGTTGTCGCTTAATCGTGTATAAAAAGGGGGAGAAAAGTTATTGCCCATGAAGGCAGGGCAAGCTGGCACATTTCTACAGCTCAATAAGGAATCAAAATGAAAAACAATAGGATGATAGATATGACACTTTATGGATCATGTGAATATATTAATATCAGCATCAGATTTCCTATGTTATCATTGGGCATCCTATGCAGAGGCATCACGTGTCCCAGTCCTCACCAAACCCTACTCTTGTCCAAATCTAAAACATTCACGTGTCTCAGTCCCCACCAAACCCTATTCTTGTCCAAATCCAAAAACATGCATCTCTCCATCCATCTTGTCAGAACGTTAAGAGCCCATGTGAACTTCAAACCTGTCTTAATTCTACCTTGGATTGTTATTAACTGCCTCATATTGCCCTAAATCCTTTTCATCTTGTAAATGCAATGCAGGCAAATTGCTTTCTACACTGGCTCAACAGGTGCTCGATTAATTCAATATTAACTATCTAACCAATTAATTCCTCATATATCTCCAAATTTCCCAACTCCCTTACATAGCTTTTGCCAAACTGCCAATTAATAATGTGACTGACTATTGTGAGTTGAAATTGTTAAATCCAGTTGGGGGGCTAATGAACGCCACATGTGGGAATGCAACAGAGCTGATAATCGCCATATTTGCTTTGATTCAGAACAAAGTGGATGTTGTCAAGTTCTCACTGTTGGGGTCGATACTCTCCAACCTTCTTCTGGTCCTCGGCAGCTCTTTTTTCTGCGGCGGCATGGCCAACATGTTCAAGGAACAAAAGTTTGACAGAGTAAACGAATGAATCCAAGATCCATCCATATCCATGAATAAGGAAATTCTGTTTCTTGAAATTTAAAACTGATGCTAGTGTCTGCAGAAACAAACCGATGTCAACTTACTACTTCTGTTGCTGGGATTGTTGTGCCACGTGCTTCCTTTAATGTTCAAGTTTACCGGACAATCGCCCCAACTAGCAGCAGTCGCCGCGCTTGAATTGTCGCGGGCAAGTGCAATCATAATGCTGATTGCTTACATACTCTATCTGTTCTTCCAGTTGTGGACTCAGAAGCCGTTGTTTGACGCTCCGGAGGTGGCTTTTTTTTTTTTTTTTGTCCAATGTATTGTTTTATGTGACAATGTTGAGGTATTATTAATTGACTAATTCGGAGAATTTCAGGGAGATGAAGCGGCTGGCCTCCCCGAGCCAGAGGAGTCGCCGGTAATTGAGCTGTGGGCAGCCATTGTATGGTTAATTTTAATGACCCTGGCTGTGGCTCTTCTCTCCGAGTATATAGTGGACACCATTGAAGTAAGCAGCATTTCACCATTGATAAGAATTTATCTTGCACAGAACAGATTAACGTTATACTAAAAATTCATTTAGTAGTATAATGACTCTGTTATATTTTTTTATATGTGCATCAATAGGCTGCATCGAATACTTGGGGGATGTCGGTCGGATTCATCAGTGTAATTTTGCTACCTATAGTTGGAAATGCAGCTGAGCATGCAGCCGCCATTATTTTTGCGTTCAAGAACAAATTGGTCAGACACGAACAACTTCTTTAATTTTCTATCCTTGTTTATGATGCATTTGTTAATACATGACTTGTAAGATGCTATATAATTAGTAATAATCGAAAATTTGCGATGCAGGATATCTCTTTAGGCGTTGCGCTGGGATCAGCAACTCAAATTTCCATGTTTGTGGTAATGGCATCAGACATCCAATGTTGTTACCAATGCTAAATGCAAGAACGTGCCAGGGAGACATTAAATTTGGCTAATTGTGGAAATATTCAGGTCCCTTTAACTGTATTAGTTTCATGGATGCTTGGAGGCACAATGGATCTTGATCTCAATCTCCTTCAGACAAGTGCTCTTACTCTAGCAATAATAATCACGACATTCACATTGCAGGTATGTATGCAATTCATTTCAATTATACATAATACAAAACCACAGCTTGCATTTGGGATTCGTAGCTCAAAATCAAGAATTTTCTTCTAGGATGGAACGTCGAATTATATAAAGGGTTTGGTGCTAATGCTATCCTACCTCGTCATTGGGGCGTGCTTTTTTGTGTATAAGGCTCCACTCAGTACGTGACATTAATCTTTGCAGCTTAATTAGTACAATCTTGGACAACTAAATTTAGTTTGATTTATCTATTATTCCTTTTGTTTCAGATGCTAACATTGTCGAGACTTGGTGATGGGAGTCTCATATATATAGATATATGGTAAGCTTGCTGGAAGTACGATGATCATCATCAATATAATCTTTTTTTGTGTATACCGACCACATGGTAATGGTATGTCTAAAACTTATATTATATGCGAGTAGAATTGAGGCAACTAAATCTGCTGTTACACGAGAGGTACTCAATGCAGTGGATGCTCTATTCCATGATTCCATCAAGTACTGAAATAATGGCGACTGGAGCACGAGGGGTAGAAGTGTAAGTGCAGTGGGATCATTGGACATCTGTGTGGATATATGTATCCGGAGAGGACGATGTCCTAATAATAGATGGCTTGTTAGTTACAAGGTTGTTCTAAAACGGCAGGAGATCAAGAAGCGAGAATAAGAAGAACACAGATTATATCATGCTTGTGATGTTTCATTTTGTGCTTTATGATTATTTTGTTGCTTTTCTTTTTTTTCTGGGCCTTTCAGTTTGTCGGAAGGTATTGCGGAATGAAATGGGCGGTGGTCGTAGAACTTGTACATAATTTTCCTAAAATAAATTACAATGCTTTCCATATTCTTTGGTTGTTTTACATTCCTGTTCTACTAATGTATTTTTTGGTTCTTTTTTAGAGATAAAACTAAATAAACATTACTTTCAGGATGAAAATTATGTTTAATAAATCTATAATATCGCACTTTATTTTTCATTTGGCAGACAAAATTGCATAATTATATCAGCACTAGCAGGATGGATGGAGTATCATTTAAACATGCTTTCTTTTTAGTTGGTATTTCTTGTTTGTAATGGGCTGAGCATAACATCTAAGTGGTTGGACGCTAAACTTGGGCCATATATTTAAGTTATATGACCCAAATAAGCAAATATATGGCCCCAAATAAGCCAACCGAACAAAATATCCCAATGGAGTAAAATTTGATTAAAATTAGGTAATAAAATAAACTAATCGCGATTCCATCCGACGTTTATCGATCCGAGCGATGGATAATGTCGAATCAGTGGAAGAGGAATCTGATGTGAGATACAGCGTACAGAGTAGAAATGGAATGGTTTAACGAAGGCAAGACAGGCAGTAAATTGAATCGTCATGGCAGAAGCAAATTAGATATTCCAACATAAGTCCAAATTAAGCTTCTGCTAATCTGCCCTGCCCTTCTACCTACCTTTCTTCATTTCGTTCCCTCCCACTCCCAGTCCAGTCCCTGCCTCTGTTCTTCCAATCTCCACGCGTTACCTCGACGGAGTGAGCGGAAGGCAGAACCTTACCTAGGTTCAAACATGAAAAACACTTCTCGGGCTCAGTTAACCTGGCGGGAAATTCCGGGTCTGGACCAGAACAATTCTATCGAGCCCTCTCAATGCCGGAGTGGATGGCTCAGTGTCGGTGGTGACGGGAGAAGGTCCAATTTTGCGTGTATTTCGCTTGCAGAAAAGACAGATGAAAAAGAGTTCTGGCCTAAATCCGCCCAGCTTCTGAAGCATCCTTTGGCTATGGTCGCATTGGTCCCCAAAGATGCTGCGCTTTTCGCCGCCGGGGCCATTGCTGGCGCCGCCGCGAAAACCGTCACCGCGCCGCTGGACAGAATTAAACTCCTTATGCAGGTATTTCTTTGCCCTTTTTTTTTTTTTTTTTTTTTTCTATTGACGCGAAAATTCGATGTCAATTCGTCAAGTAGACTGACTGTCATTTCCTGAGATTCGATGAATACGTTCTTTCTTAAAAGTTTGGAACATGTTGAAGCTTCTTATCTGTCTTTATTTTGCGATTAAATAATTTAAGATCTCAGTCTTATGCTCGATTTTTCATGTCTTGAAAGGCAACTAGATTAAAATGGCTCTTTGGCATTACCAGGAAAATTTTAACCAAACCTAGGGCTTTATTGTCTTACTGTTTGTCTTTGTGATTCTATTTTTTTGTTCAAAACATCGTTTGTTGCATATGCCAACTACCATAGTTGCGTGTAATCTGGAAACACTCTTGTTGGTGATTGCTGAACTTTTGGACCATATAAATGATTTTTTATTCTACTAATGTACGGTGATATAGATGATTTTTTTTTTTTTGCTTTTCCTTTTGTCTTATTTTGTGCAGACGCATGGACTAAGAGCTGGACAAGAAGGTGCAAAGAAGGGGATAGGCTTCATTGAGGTGATTCAATGGGCATCATTCCTGATTATATGATCTTTTTTCTGTAGCTGGATTCAACATTTTCTTGTGGGCCTAGTAGAACACATTCAAGCACTGTAATCTCTTTACTTATAGCTAGGAATCGTGCGGTGAAAGCATTTTTGTAATTGTTTTTCAGAAATTAGCCTAAAATGGCATATTCAAGGCTGTTATTTGTTTTCCAATTCTATATGTATTGTGAAATTCCTATGATCATTAGGGCAGTGAGTGTAGGATATCTTTCTTTTGTGTATTTCCTTCATATGTGTGATATCTGAGTAACCTTTTGAACTTTTTGTATAGGCAATAACATTGATTGGAAAGGAAGAAGGAATAAAAGGATACTGGAAAGGGAACCTACCCCAGGTATGTTTTTCTGTCCCCCCACCCCACACGTTCTGGAAAAGGTTGTGTTTGGAGGAAGTCTTATATTGTATGAAGATGAAGATGTACTCTGCAACTTGATATTATTTTTCCTCTTTGTTGCTTCCCCAGGTGATACGGATCATACCTTACAGTGCAGTACAGCTTTTTGCCTATGAAACGTACAAGGTGATTGTGAAGTCTTTTTCTGCAACAAGCATTGTGTTTCATCATATATGCATCATCTTTGTTTTTCATTTTTCAGAAACTTTTTCGAGGGAAGGATGGAGAACTCTCTGTTCTTGGAAGATTAGCAGCCGGTGCTTGTGCTGGCATGACTTCAACCTTTGTAAGTTGAAAGATGTGGATCTCTCTCTCTCTCTTGCATATTTGGTTGTTTTCAATGCAAAGTTTACCAATGACCTGTAACTACCCAGGTTACCTACCCACTAGATGTCCTCAGGTTGAGGTTAGCCGTTGAACCTGGATACAAAACAATGTCACAGGTAAGCAATTTGATCTATGTTATGATTTACCAAGAAAGTGTTCATTGGATCTAATTAATGGCAATCTTTTCCTGTTGCAGGTTGCGTTGAACATGTTGAAAGAAGAAGGATTCGCATCATTTTATAATGGTCTAGGACCTTCTCTTATTGGGATTGCACCTTATATTGCAGTCAATTTTTGCGTGTTTGACTTGTGAGCTTACTAATTTCCATTTCTCCAATTTGTTGCCGTCCTGATTGAGTGGGCTTGAAGTTTATAGACCGAAACTTGAATGTAATCTAAATGTCAGGGTGAAGAAGGCTCTGCCGGAGAAATACCAGAAGAGGACGGAAACATCCCTGGTAACGGCACTGGTGTCTGCTACTGTTGCCACAGTCTTGTGTTACCCTTTGGACACAATCAGGCGGCAAATGCAGATGAGGGGTAGTCCTTATGCAACAGTTTTGGATGCCTTTCCAGGTAATAAGGGTAGCAACATTTGATGGTAAAGGTCTAAGTTAGCATACATAGTCTTATCCACGAGGGAAGGGATGAATGAATGAATGCTCTAATTTTGGTTGAAATCAATCCAATCACTTTGAATGATTTTGATCATGTAATTGGTACTATTGGTGTGATCAGCAGTGGTCTTAATCTTACGTCCCGTTTGAATCAGGAATTGTGGCGCGAGATGGTTGGCAGGGGCTTTACAGGGGTTTTGTGCCAAATGCATTAAAGACCTTGCCCAACAGCAGGTTTGTAAACCCATCTCCATCTCTGAATGATTCAAGATTCAACTAATGAATGAGTATTCCCCCAAGTGTTGATGAGTTCACATCATAATCCCTCTCCTCTTTCATCTTGCAGCATAAGGCTTACAACATTTGATGCAGTGAAGCGCCTGATTGCAGCAGCCGACACAGAATTTCAGCGCATAACAGAGGAAAATCGCAAGAAAAAGGATCTAAATACGAGTGACAATGGCAATGGCAGCAGCAACAACAATTAGCCTTTTGTTGTGGAAAGCATATTTTGGTGAAAACTAGAGATTCGAGATTATCATTATTATTATTATTATATGTGGCCACCCCACTCCACCCATTATTATTGCTCGGTTTTTTTTTGGTAATTTGGATACCCAAATGGATAGTGTGTAATCTCAATTGGCAGGGACCTTATAATTTGATGGTGAATTTTCAAGCTCCCTGCTTGCCTGGGTTTTGTTTATTGTTACTCGTCTACGAGACTCTTAATAATTAGTTGGGTCATGTATTAATGAATGTGAATGCATAGCTTGTGTGTAAATGAGGTGTGTGTCGCGGTGCGACGTCGTTTGCGGATTCAGCTGCTGCAGCCTTACACTTGCCTACCAGTTAGACACTTGACAGTTGAAAGAAGCTTATCCTTCTTCCTTCTCCCTCCATTTTCGATAAAAAAACCCTAACTTCATATGATAGGAATGGCGCTGCACCCTCTCAACCTCCGGCTCTCGTTTACTCCCTCGGTCTCCAAATTCGCAGACGTCCAGTGCCCAACACTTCATCTCGGCCATCGGTCTTCGCACGTCGTGCGCCGCCCTTTATCTTCTTCTGCTAATGGAATGCCATCGGTTCACTGTGATGAGGAAGAGTCGGTGGAGCTGCCTGCGGGGCTGCGGAGAGAGTTGATGCCGGGGCACGTAGCTGTAATCATGGATGGGAACAGGAGATGGGCCCGAACGAAGGATTTGCCGGTGCAGTTGGGGTACGAGGCGGGATTTCGAGCCTTTAGGAGGCTCGTGGAGCTGTGTTGCAGGTGGGGAATCAAGGTTCTGACTGTGTTTGCTTTCTCATCTGATAATTGGGTACGCCCTAAGGTAACAAGAGATTGAAGCTTTTGAAGTCACTTATTCATTGTTTCCTTCACCAGATTTCGGCTGAAGTTGAACTTGCTTGTTGATTCTATGATCCAAGTGCAGGTGGAGACGGATTTCTTGATGGCACTGTTTGAAAGAGGATTGAAAGATGAAGCACAACATCTAATGGGGTACTCATTAGCAGTTGAAGCTTCCTCCTAATATTTCTTGGTCTATACTTGAAAATATATCTTACAATGATAAATCAATGAAAAAAAAAGTTGCAATTTTGCTCGGATGTTTAACTTTTGTGTATGTAATTGTGATTTTAATGCGACTGAAAACATGGTTGCTTATTTTGATTGGTTTGGTTTGATCAGTGCCGGTGTTCGGATATCACTTATTGGGGATTCATCTAAGCTATTGAAGTCATTACAAAACATGACAGCGAATGCTACGGAAGCTTCTGTGAATAACCCAAAACTTCACCTGATTCTTGCAGTTGATTACAGTGGTCAGAGTGACATTGTGCAAGCTTGCCAAAAACTTGCTGTCAAAGTGAAGGATGGCCTTATCAAACCGGAGGATATCAACAAGCTTTCAGTAGAAAGGGAACTTGAAACAAATTGTACAGATATTCCATCCCCTGACTTGCTAATAAGGACTAGTGGAGAGCAAAGAATCAGCAACTTCTTATTATGGCAGCTTGCTTACTCAGAACTGCATTTTGCAAACTCACTTTGGCCTGATTTCGGCGAAAGTGACTTTCGAGAGGCGCTAATTTCCTTCCAACAAAGGCAGAGACGATATGGAGGAAGAAAGTTTTAACTTACCTTTGGGTGGGGATCTTATTTGGTGCACTCAATTCCTGTAGAAGCAGTTTGGCAGGGAACATTTTTGGTTTCATTTCAACATTGTTGCAAAAGAGAAGTTATTTCTTGGATAGCAGAAACACTGTCATGATCCCGACATTGATCATGGGCAAAGGCAGTCTCTTGCAGTGATAATGTAGAGAAGCAGAGGAGACTAAATTGAGCTTTTGAAGAACAATAGGCAGAAAATCTTTTGGCAGCCAAGGGAATCCAAGATGGGCATTGCTTGATAATAAAATGTGATACCCAGTGTGGAAACATGTTTTCGTGTAGGCATCAATATTGTCTGGTAACTTTTAAAGCAATACGAGTGATACTGCCTAGTTCCAATAACTTCTTGGTGCAGCAGACCAGCATAGCTTTTAGATACACATTAAGCAAAGATCAACTTACACAGAGATGCGGCCAGCATAACCAAATTCGGTGAGCTACCATATACATAACCTAAATTCCAATATTTTTAAAATTTAAACGTCCACTCCACATATAAGCCAAGAGAGTAATGGTGCACCCTTCAATCATCATCTTCTTCTTCGGTATCATCATTGTCATCACCATCATCTCCCTCCTCGTCAGCATCCTGTACAAGACAACATATCATGACAAGAAATTTTATTGAATTTGCAAGTTTACTGTAAGATTCAAATTTCAATATGATGTGCTTTAATGCTTAATCGCATGTCACCTTTTCATCTTCACGAACTTCAGATGTCGATTTCTCAGATCCTTCATCAATCTCATCACCTGAGCTTTCCTGTTAAATTACTAATAAGTGGAAATTCATTTCACCAAGGCAATTAAGAACACCCGAGGGGGGTGGAAGGACTATTCACCTGCTTCTTACTATAGGCATTCATCAGTTGTTCGTACTCAGATTTCTTCTTTGCAGCTTTAGCTTCATACGGAGCTTTCTCCTGTCAACCATATCATGCCATTAAACTAGCCAAAGCAAATTATAGTTTCTCAAGTATCAACCACCCCACATAAATCTGAAGTTTTAAAATAAATTTTGCACTGTATATGTAGCATGAGTCAAAGGTTCTTGAAGTGTGTAACACATCAACTACAATAGAGAGTATATGATCAACCCAACACTAAAGCAGATGCTTCGAGCACTTACAGCTTTTGTCATGGATTTCCACTTCACACCACCAGCCTTTCCAACCTACATATTAGTAGATATGGGAAACTCAACCATAACGCTCCAAAGCTATGAACTAGGATTAACTATTTGCAATAAGCCATGCATATGTTGCATACAGCTGAGACAGCTTTGATATTAGGATTTTCCTTTTTGAAAGTCTTCCTGAACTCCTCACTGCATTAAGAATACACAACTAAAACTAAGCCACAGCAATTACAAAGAGAAATTTTCCAAAGCCTCTAAATCATACAGGAACACGAAGAATGCACTGGGTGGTCTTTTGGGCTTGTTAGGGTCTTTCTTGGCCTTATGTTCCTTCTTCGCCTTTCCTTTATCTGCTGTGGGGGCAACCTTCCTTTTTCCAACTTTCCTATAGCACCAATTCGCATGAGTGAAGAATGATATCAATCAGAGCCCAATTCACAACAGAGCATTGAGTTATTGCAAGTCAATAAACCAATCCAACACATAATCAACTCATGTTAATACACCACTCAAGACTGGGGAGAGAAAGAATTACAATGTAAATAGACAAAGGCCTACCTATCATCCACAGGTTTCAACGCTTCTTTAGTTTCCTTTATTGTAGCTCTCTTACTCCTGGTGGCAGTCTTCATATCTACCAGACATAACATTAACATGCCAAAGTTACTCCTCAGAAACACACTCGATGACATCTGTATATTACAAGGACTATCGGCATGTGATAAATACATCTATCCTTGTAAATGCTAGAAATTTATGACGTGAGGAAATATATACATATAATTACTCAACATATCAATTGGATACAAAACATGAACGTGTGCGGATGTATAAATTACATGAGAAACCTTCAGTGAGGTAGATCCAAAATAGATTTAAAGAATGAAGTAAACACAAGATTTCTTCACCCGACCACCGAATCTACGCTCAAACACGCAATACAGACCATTGATAAAAGAGTAAAAACCAGCAAAGTGAAGGCAAAAATGATTCTTAAAAATAGAAAAAGCATATGTTAACAATAAATGTTGAAGCAGCGGCTTGTACCTGAAAACGCACGAAAAATCGGGAAAGGAAGGAGAAAAGACAAATTTACTCCAGAAAATTACAAAAATAAAAGTCAAATAGCAAGGCTTCAAGCAAAAGAAGAGACTTTTCCAACAAAAACAAAAAAGAATTTATCTTGCAAATTTGGCAAACGCATAAAGATCAGATGCAAGGAGACAAAACAACAAAAGAATCGAAGACGAAGAGAAAACATGAGCATGATTCCGAACAATAATTTTAAATATGTATATATACATATGTATCAATTGACTAAAATATCGAGCAACAAAGATGAATAAGCAAACCTGGAAAGATACACAAGCGATTTGAAGGGCGAAGAGGAAACGACAAGAGCACAGTACTCCCACAGGAATGAACGAGATATTATTCGCGCCGAGCCACTGAAGTCCTCCGCTTTCCTTAGAAAGCCGGCTGCAACTCAGTCTCAGGTTGGGCTGGAGGAGGTGGCACTGGCATGGCATCTACTCTGTTTTGGTGGTTTGGGCCTATTGGTATTGGATCGTTTGTCCTGCAAAATTTTTTTCCTCTCTTGACAACTAAGGCTGGCTAACCCCTTTCTTTCATAAACTTGCTTTTCTTTAATTAATCACAGTAAGAAAAGAAATAGATAAATTAGAAGAAGAAAATATCAGGACTGTGTATCAAGTATCAAGGTCATGATCACGATCCATAAAAATATCAGCTTTCAATTTTCATTAGGGCGGGTTACGAAGATTGGGTGCATCGACTGGTGCCCAGATATTCTGATATAGCCCCAATCTCAGACACTCATGCCAGCCACAGAAGCCCATCCGACGTGCCCTTCCACTGCATCTCAGATAAGATGCAGATAAGGCCGAGGCTCTCACGGCCCTCAGATAGATTCATTCCCTCAATCCAACGGCCACCATCGCTCCATCACCAAAAATCTCTATCCCCAGCCTCGCTCTATAAACCAACCAAACTTACCCCCATATTCACTACACAACCCCTTCCCCTTTCTTTAATTTTGATTTCAACTTTGAGTCGCCATGGCAGCCACCACAGCCACAGCCACAGCCGCGGCCGCTGCGTCCTCATTTATAGGCACCCGCCTCCCGGAGGTCCACCCCGGAGCGGGCCGCGTCCAGGCCAGGTTCGGGTTCGGGGTCAAGAAAGCCCCGAAGAAAGCGGCGAAAAAGAGCTTCTCTGCAGATAGGCCGCTGTGGTATCCAGGAGCCCAGGCGCCCGACTATCTGGACGGGTCCCTCGTGGGGGACTATGGTTTCGACCCATTTGGGTTGGGCAAGCCCGCTGAGTACCTGCAGTTTGAGCTGGACTCCCTGGACCAGAACCTGGCCAAGAATGAGTACGGCGACATCATCGGAACCAGGACTGAGGTCGGGGACGTGAAGTCCACCCCGTTCCAGCCCTACAGCGAGGTCTTTGGGCTCCAGAGGTTCAGGGAATGCGAGCTCATCCATGGCAGATGGGCTATGCTCGCCACACTCGGCGCCATCACTGTCGAGTGGCTCACTGGAGTCACCTGGCAAGATGCGGGCAAGGTATTGTACTATTGATTTATTCAATATGATTGTCAATTCATTTCATTTCATAGCAGCACAGCAAAGCATCATCATATAAATATTATAATATAATGATTTTTTTAAATTATTTATTTATTAATTAATTCCAGGTGGAGCTGATCGAAGGATCGTCATACCTGGGGCAAAAGCTGCCCTTCTCCATGACCACATTGATCTGGATCGAGGTGCTGGTGATTGGGTACATTGAGTTCCAGAGGAATGCAGAACTGGACCCAGAGAGGAGGCTGTATCCTGGTGGCCCCTACTTCGACCCCCTGGGTTTGGCCGCCGACCCAGACAACAAGGCTAGACTTCAGCTAGCTGAGATCAAGCATGCCCGCCTCGCCATGGTGGCTTTCTTGGGCTTTGCAGTGCAGGCTGCGGCCACCGGAAAAGGCCCGCTCAACAACTGGGTCACCCACTTGAGCGACCCGCTCCACACCACCATTTTGGACACCTTCGGCTTTTTCTCTTAAGCCCCTCCCCCTCTCGAGAACAGTATTAATTCATTATATAAGGCATACGTCCTGTCCTTCAATGTCATCCAACTCATCGGGAGTTCTCGTGGTCTTGTAAAAAAATGTAACACTGTCATTCCATATCGTTAATTAAGCAGAAGCATCAATCATCACATTCCTTAAAGAGTAGCAGACTAGAGTCTGGTAAACTGCTTAATCTTCTAAAGGCATGCATTCATATCATATGTCAAACACAGCCAAAACTACTAGGCTTCAGGAACCAACCGCGGGCATGCATAATAGAAAGGGATTGACATCATATAAAACAGAAAATACATCTTTATTCAAGCATATACACACATTAACACTGCTTGTTAACAACACTCAACTTCACTAACTAGTTTCACAAAAGCAACACATTGCAGCTAGTATTCATACCATCGATGCAGCAGCTTCACTTTACAACAACAACAACAACAGGCTTGGCAGCAGCAAGAGTTGTCTATTGAGGTTTAGCATCTTTTCCAGGCTCATGTGAAGCAGGCTGCATATGATCAGGTGGTTTGTGCTTGAGCTTTACAAGGATATTACGCATACGAGAAAGATCAGTGGGCTTTCCCGGTTTGGGGCCTTGAATCACCATGATGGAAGGCTGCTTTTCCTTCTTTCCCTTCGTTTCAATATGAGCAACTTCCTTTGGTATGAGCTCAGCAATTGCCTTCCAATATCTTTTATCCGCCTCTCCGTGGAATTTTTCTCTGCTTTCTAGAAACAACTGCAATACACAATGACAAAGCAAATGTAGCCAAGGGGGCAAAGCTAATTCTAGATTTAATTTTTATGTAGATCCATGAAAGCTCAACTGTCCAGGCCACCATAGAATCAAATTGAACAAATTTTCTCAAAAAGCAAACAAATGTCACCTTTTCTTTCTCTCTGTTCATCAATCTATTACTTTCGCACCTAATCTTCCATTTATTGGAGTACTCTGCTTTGTAGTCATCAGCTTTCTCAATTATTTCCTGTAGCATCTCCTTCTCCATCCTCTCTTTCTCCTCCAGTCGAACGGCATTCTGTCTGAAACATGGTCATAACAAGTTTTCTTATACTTGGGGGTTTTAAGCAATCAAGCTGCTTAACTGCTTCAATATGGGAGTGGATCAGGCTTGCGTTCATTTTTAGTTTCTAGCCTCCTACGACATTTTTTTGGTTACATTTCTACTTGATCTCGGTATTAGTTTCAGCACGTTCAAGCAGCATAAATATCTCGAATTCTCGATCATGTATGTGCAAGGAGTGCTCTCAATTCGATGACATCCTCTGTTATGGACTATATGTATTATGTAATCATACAAAAGTTGCAGAAATCAATTATGGTAAATCAGCACAGTACTGTGAGCTAGAAATTTGTTTGTAATCCTACTGCCACAGAGCTAATAAAATTCAAACCATTAACCTGTGTCGTCTAGCGGTTCAAACACAATCAGAACACATATACAAGTCTCCACAGTCCACACGCATGCAGTGATGTAAGGAAACGAGAGTTTCTCCAACTAACCTTCTCCACTCTTTTAGAGCGAAGCTTTCCTCCACCATCTCCGCATGAGACGCCAGTATAGGTTCGCCGCCATCGAACTCATCGCCTTCAGATATCACCTCCGTCGAATCGCCAGGAGGCGAGGTGTCCTCCAGACTTCCTTCACCCATCGAGTCGCTTCCAGCGTAGTTGGATCCCCCAAATTGAAGTCCAACGATACTATTCCCCCTCCCCTACCGACGACTGGATTGGAGTGTCAAATGGTTTTTGTTGAATTTTGAAGGAGAAGGAAATTTCGGCGGAAGCCAGCCCCGGCCGCGACACGACGGAGTTTATCTGTGCCAGTAACGTGGTGCTGTGTTATTGGCATTCTGAGAAGAATGGCCAATAATATACTGCCACGTATAATAGATAAGTTGCATCCGTTGCACATGAATACTTCTTCGTCTTTTAGTGTGACGTATACGATTAAAGCTTTAATAGTATTTAAATTTTAAATCAATTTATTGGGAGAATAGTTAATAAGAAACCTATCTTTGTTAACAACCAGATGATAATCAAACTTCCTAATGTTACAACAATTTGACAAGTTGCGGAGATTAAATGAATCTTATTAATTCATTTATAGTTGTTTATTTCATGGTGCAACTTTAAAATAAACCAATTCTTATGCTTGGATTAGATAGAGATTTTGATTTGTGTTTGTTCATTTGTTTTGAAATTGACAATTCTCATTTGTTTTGAAATAGTACTAGTTTAGTGTCCTATTTTCGAAAATGTGGGCTACATCCATCGCGATGTTTATTGCGTATTATTAATAATAATTATACTATGAATCTATGATAAGAATGACTATGGAGTATGTCCCACGTGCATTTTACAAATCATATTTGATACTACAACATTGCCCGAGTTTGTAGAAGCTAGCCGTGGCTAAAATCAAAGTTCAAAATATAGTGTCAATCGGAAAAAATTGGCATATGTTTAATTGAATCATGTATGTTCTTCTAGTCCTTCTAACGGTACTATCTACATAACATTACAAATACTTTTGCAACTTACAATATATTACACAAATGCCATTAATTTTATATCACACAATACTAATAAGGTTATTTTAGTAATTTTTACTTTATTTATATTAAATCCCAATATAATACTAATATTTCTAAACTCCTTGTAAAAAGCAAACGGACACCTAGTTATGGAACGGAGTATATAAAAAAAGTAATAAAATAATCTATACAATTTTTCCATTAATAAGATAAAAAAAATGTAATACATACATAAATTATGCAAAATATATAGTATGTATATTATATGAGAAAATTGCAGAAAATATTTGTATACTTATTATCATTTTTATCGTATATTTATTTTTTTGTCAAAATATATTTTATTTGTTTACAAAAATCGCTATTTATGTCATTTGGTTGTGCGTTACATTCACCTCACGTGCGGGCTAAATGACATAAATAGCGGTTTTTGCAAACATGTAAAATATATTTTGACAAAAAGATAAATATAGGATAAAAGTAATAATAGATATCCATTAGGATTTTTTTTTTTTTTTTTTTTTGCAAATTTCCCTATATTGTAGTATAAAGCCTAAGAAATTCATGTAAATAAGGATATGTTTGTTTTGAGTTTTGGGTTTGAGTTTGAATTCCCAATATTAAGGACGAGTTTCTTTTTTATTTCAAACAAAAAACTCAACTTGATTTATATTTCCTCCGTCAATTAAAAATAGTTCATTTGGTTCCTGCACAGATTTTAAGGAGATTTTTGAAATTTTAGTTATAAATAAAAGTAAATGAAAAGAAAGAATGTAATAGAGTTAGTAGTATTTGTTGTAAATAAATGTTGAATAAATTATAGACTTTACCAAAATTAGTAATGAGATAAATTTAATATGGGCATACTAAAAAGAAAAATGAAAATAAATTTGACTCAGCTAATATGATTTTTTATAAAAATATATTAATTTCCTTATTTCTAAATATACACAGAATGAAGGTCCTACCTCAACATATTACCTGTGAAGTTATAATATATATATATATAGTACTCATTCCCTCAACTTTTAACATTTAAATATTTTTATTTTTGTCTGTCAAATTTAAAAGTTCACATTTCTCTTTTTAGTAAATGTGCACCATATCACTAATTACTAATATATTTTTACACTTATGTATCACATTGTTCTAATTTTATTATATACTTATATCTAAAAGTAAAGACAATTTGCTCTTAAAAGCCTGTGAAAATTATAATACTCCTAGTTATGTGTGTGTTTGATTTGTATTTCAAATGTAAATAAATATTATCTATTTGTACAATTCTCAATAAAAATAAATAATTATTTTAACAACATATTATATTAAAATATTATTTTAAAAAAATCAAATTAAACATTTAATTTCTAATCAAAATAATATGATATGCTATTATTGCCTTGAGATTCATATTTACAAAATAAGAAAATTGTCATGAGAGAAAATATCTATTATTTGTGAACAAAGATATTAGATTTAATTAACTAAACAAATATATATATATATATGTATGAACAGTTAAACTAAGCAATGCAATGGTTGCAATTAAAAACATTATACTTGTGAAATTTGATTTCTAATTTTATTATTCTTTTAACTTTTTTTTTTCTTAAAAATATCAAATTAAACACTCTTTTTTTTTATTATTTTATTACACTAAAATATAATTTTACATTCAAAATATCACGTTAATACATTAAACAACTATTTCAATTTAAAATTTTAACCAAATTCCAAAATTAAAATTACACAAGTAAACACAATACGTGCAAAAGTCTTAGTTATATAATTACTGTAATCATAACTAGATGTAAAAAATACTTTAAATTATGAAAATTTATCAAGTGGTCCTACCGAAATGTAATTATGCAATTTTGAAATATTATGAGTTAATCTATCTTAATTAAGGACTATAGCAAAGGGGGAGCAAACGTACCATTATTGTGTGGATAAACTTTGGCCATACTGTGTAAGTCCTAAATTAGCCCTATTAATGGATTTAATATCATTTTACCCCTAAAATTTTACTTTATAAGGGAACAACTTTTAATTCTATTATTAAACGTGTCTGAAATTATTTTCCCGAACATTTATTTTAACGTGAAAATATTAGAATAAGTTATAGATGAAATGTACAATTTCTTGTTAGACTTGAATTCAAAATCTACGGTTAGATGCAGTTACACAGCACAAAATCCGACGGCCGGATAGCGCCCACGTGTACAAGAAAATCTATGCCCTTGCTCAAAGCGTGACCTCCCCACTTTACCCCCGAAAAACACCCGTACGGACAAAGAATGGCATATTTGTAATTTTAATGAAAACGAGGCGGATATACGTAACCGACCCCTCCCCTGCCCCTATATAAAGAGGTCACACCGCTGCTCTACGGACCCGCTGCAGGAGGAGGGGGTGAGAGAGTCACGACGGAGAGGGAAAAAATTATAGCGGTGGGAGGAGGTGAGTGCGAAGTCATGCAGTGTGGGAGTAGTTTTCCTGGCAATTAATTTCCGATAATTGTTGTTTGTCGTCCAGGGAATTGGAGTAATTTTTTCTTTTTCCTTATTTTGGGCAGATAATGAGCCGATTAGGGTTTAAATGCGCGGTTTATCATGGGGAGTTGCATTTGGGGGAACTGGAAATGGTTACGGTGAAGGATAGGAATTTTCAATTCCCGAACAATGAGATTCGAATTCACCACATCACGCCAAAAAGTGAGAGATGCTATCCTCTCTCTGTTCTCCATACAATTTCCTGCGCTTCTGCCACTTGCAAGCTTGAGCCTGCTTCTGACAGCGATCCAAGTTCCGATCCCGAACAGTCCCCCTTGATCAACCTCCACGCTAGTTGCTTCTACGAGCTTAAGGTTTTGCGTGCTGTGCCCTCATTTTGTAATTGTCTCTGTTACTGCCGTTGTGCATTCTATTTCTAATGTGTTCTGGTCATTTAAATTATATGTTTGCGTTGATTGTATTTGCTTCTGGACTGATATTCGAGACTAGAATATTATTTTTGTTTGCCCCCTGCTGATTAGTTTTGCATGCATTGTTGTTCCAATTTGTTTGAAATGTGAATGTTTATGTCAATGCTCCCAATGAAAGCTCATCAATGACACTAATATCATCTGAGATGTGTACATATTCATGTTTGTCACGCTTATATATAAATATCTTTCGTACTGACTGTTGCCACTTCTATCTACTTTTTGTAGACTGCAGTTGTGTTGCTTGGTAGTGAGGAAATTCATTTAGTGGCAATGCCTAGCATAAAAAAGAGATTTCCATGTTTTTGGTGCTACTCAGTGTCATGTGGTCTGTATGATATGTGCTTATGGATGTTCAACACACGCTGTTTGGCTATTGTGTTTGATCTTGATGAAACTCTCATTGTTGCCAACACAATGAAGTCATTTGAAGATAGAATTGAAACTTTGATGGGCTGGCTTGGACGTGAGACTGATCCTATTCGAGAATCTGGGATGACAGCAGAGATGAAAAGATATGTTGAGGATCGGGCATTGCTGAAGCAGTATTCAGAAACTGATTTTGTTTCAGATGGATCGAAAACATATCAGGTTCAGATGGAGGATGTTCCCTTGCTATCTGATGGGATCCATCAAGTTGTTAGGCCTGTAGTGAGATTGCCAGAGAAAAATATCATTCTCACACGGATTAATCCTGAGGTAGAAGCATCTTTTGTTGCTCTTTGTTGATAACTTGATTTTCTCCATGTTCTGTTGACCATGCAGATTTTCTAACTCATGGTTACCAAATGAAAATTGTAATGCCGTAAGTACCCCTGTGTAACTTCAATTGTGAACGAATATTAAATTAATCCAATCGAATCTCCCGAAGTTACTTGAAAACTGTCATGTTAGAGATTAATTATTTCTCTAAACACGTCTGTCCTGATTTCCTAATTTGATTGATTTACTTCCTTTCCTAGTTTGATTGATCTACTTCCTTTTTTGTTATTGTGAATGGTCCCTGCAACAGAATCGTGATACCAGTGTGTTGGTGAGGTTAAGACCTGCTTGGGAAGATTTAAAAAATTATTTAACTGCAAGAGGCAGGAAAAGATTTGAAGTTTTTGTTTGCACTATGGCTGAAAGAGACTATGCACTGGAAATGTGGAGGCTTCTTGATCCGGAAGCACATTTAATTAGTCCAAAGCAACTCCTGGACCGTGTTGTGTGCGTTAAACCTGGTAAGCTCCATTGTCCATTGGACTTAAATTTTCTCTATGATGATAATTTTTCTTTGATTTGGTGTTTATCATTACATGTTGGAAATGGAATTCACTGCACAATGGTTGCTGCTGAACTCTTATGCTCTTAAGTTGATTCTCTGGAGATACAGCATGATCCTTTTATGTTTTTGGACAAGCAGTTTCTAGGACTTTGTCTTTGCCACTTTTTCAGATGTTTCTTTGTGCTAGTCCTTTGTGTTTTCTGATAAATAACTTGGTCATTAGTTGGTCTTACTACTGCATTCGAGTAATCTGTTTAGATGAATTTTTCTTAGGTGCAAGGAAATCTTTGAACCATGTGTTCCAGAGTGGCAATTGTCATCCGAAAATGGCAATGGTAATAGATGATCGGCTAAAGGTATGGGATGACAAGGATCAGCCCCGTGTTCATGTGGTACCTGCATTCAGTCCATATTATGCACCACAAGCTGAGGTACTCCACTGTTTATTAGTATGTTCTTTTATTTATTTATTTATTTATTTATTTATTTATTTATTTATTTTTATAAATCATTCAGAATTAGACTGAATAATGATAATCGTGAGGAAAAATAAATTTTCTCAATCCAGATTGCAAGTGCTGTTCCAGTTCTCTGCGTAGCAAGAAATGTTGCATGCAACGTCAGGGGTGGTTTTTTCAAGTGAGTTGAATAATCAACATTCTGTTAAAGCTTTAAGTCATTACATAATTATAGTTTTCATTATTCATGAATCACTGGCAATTATTACTTTTATATCAGAGAGTTTGATGAAAACCTACTTCAAAAAGTTCCTGACATTTTCTATGAAGATGAAGTTTCTGGTGTACCTTGTCCACCAGACGTGAGCAACTATTTGATTTCTGAGGTATGGTGATGCGAAGCTTAATCCTGAATTTCTACTTAAAGTTCGCTATTAATGTCATACATGTTACTTTGTAGGATGCTAGTTTTATTCCAAATGGTATTCCAAATGTTCCAATTGCTGAAGGCATGCACGGACCCGAAGTCGCACAAAGATTGCAATCAATGGTATTATCTCGCTCCAGCTTCTTACACCCCATTGTTGTAATATACTGTTTCTTTATTTAATGGTTATGGTGAAACTTTTTGACCTCTCAGAACATGTCTTATCATTTTACTTGAACTTGTTGATAAAACTTGTCTTCCAGGAAGAGAAAAATGCCTTGAGTACTGTTTCTCATCCCATGGCTAATAACATAGAGCTAAAGCCTGCAAGCTCAAAGCTCCCTGTGACATCTGTAGTAAATGCAACTGGTCCACCATCTTCAGGATTGGTATTACCTTCTGAAAGTATGTAGCTGTTCTGTAAATCATGAATTATTGAGAACTAAACTTATGATGGCTAACATAATGCAATTCTGGTAATTGGAATGATTAAACAATTTGAAGTAATCTCTCTTCTTTTCTAATTTAACTGCAGAGCCCAGTCTTCTTGGTGATCCGCCTCGAAGGGAGATCCGATATACAGCATCAACTGAAAAACCTTTGTTATCTAAATTACCTCGGCACACTCTACAACAGAGAAGCTGGTTAGTGGATGAAAGTAGTAGAGGAATTATAAGCAGAACCCCAGGAATGATTTCAGAATTGGACCCATTGGATAGACACAAGGGACGCCAAAACTCACTCAATCATGCTCCATCAACTTCGGTTTCAACAGAATTTCATGAATCTCAAATGAAAAAGGAAGAGGTTGCAAACAGGCTTCAAAGTTTTTCTTAATAACATAGTGACACTATTTAAACATACTTCATAAGTTAATATTATCTTTATCAATTATGCAGGCCAAATCTGGATACGACATCCAGAAACAGATCCTGTTGCCTCCAAATCAAGGTGCAGGTATGCCAATTTTTTATCTCGGCATATTCTCGCTGCTTCCAATTAACTTAGGGTTGCTTATCGATTTTCAGATTCCTGTATTAGAGATGATATAAATTGCTTGGGTCATCCAAAATGAAATTATTTGAACTGAACTATGATCTCGATTGCCTGTTGTAAAAATCTGGAAAGGTGTCCTGCCGCAACATCTTAATAGCATAAGTGGTGGCAGCATGAAGGCCTACCCTAGCAAACTCTTTAATGTTTTAACAAACTGCACTTGCTAGTTCCTACAAATGGGTTAACTCCTGGTTCCATCTTAATGGTTATGCTTGATCATTCAAATAGTTGAATGCTCCTTTATTTTTTATTTTTTTTCTTATAGAGCAATAATATTTTCAAAATTTCTAGTGACATTAAGAAACCCCTGTACATTATAAGACTAACAATTTCTTTAAATAAACTATAGTATAGGCTATCTGAATCATAATGTGGAGCAGGCCGATGTCTGTTATTTTGATTCTGTGAAATTTGTCTCACATTGTGAATTTCTTATTTTCCTATGGTGCTTCTTTGTAAATCAAAATGGAAAGGTTCTCATTTTGCCTTGATTTATTTTTTCCTGTAATGCTGCTTGTTCATTATGATTTGTTTTTCGAAACTGTTTTTAAATCTTGTCTGATTTTTTTCGTGAGTAGTGGTAGAGTTAAGTATGGCCATACCCAACAACCACTCACTGTCTACCAACAAAGATTTAAAAATTGAAGCTGATAAAATGAATCAGTTGCCGTCTTTGTCCATTGGCGTTCTCCAAGAGATTGGGAGGAGATGCAAGTCGAAGGTATGCCTTGTTTTCAATGGAGGTTTATTCTGTCATCCTCTTGCTTTTCCCTCCTTGGCTCCTATAATATTATGGTTTGCTGTTCAGGTTGAATTTCGGTCAGTTGTAAGCACAAGTGATGATTTGCAATTCTCTGTTGAGGTTAGTACAGTTGAAATTTGTGTCAGAGAGTAGTTTTAAGAATGCAGTTGTGATTTATTTTTAGCATGATAATAGCAACTGGAAAAAATCATCACAGGAAATCATTGTGTTTCCCGAAGCATATTCAAGGTTTATTTTATTATAGTTGTGTGTGAGTTTTTGGATTGTTGAAATACATTTAGCTGAACCAATGTGTAGGTTTATTTTACTGGTGAAAAAATTGGTGTTGGGATGGGGAAGACAAGGAAAGATGCTCAGCAGCAGGCTGCAGAGAATGCCCTCCGTAGCTTGGCTGGTATGACCTATTTTAAGTCTGTGTTCTCTTTATTGTATAGCAACAGATCTGTAATGCATTGTGCATCAAATTTGATCTCATTAATCTCTTTATTTGCTACTTTGTTTCTATATTATTCATACCATTGTGTGGCTTTGAGCAGTGCAGCGACTGCCAAATTATGACTTATTCTTGTAAACATAAAAACCCAGACATCAAAGCTGAATCTGCTGAGGGTTCTTTGTTACCACTGTTAGAATGGTTGTTTTTATGTGTGGAAATGAAGTGGATTATTTGTTGCCCAAATTTGGTTTATTGGTAAAATAAGTGCCCATCAAATGAAAACTCAACAGTTCCCCTGTCTGTACTGGTTTGCTGCTTTATTCTTTCTTTGGCCATGTTAAGAATTGGCTATTGAGCCTCCTTAAGTTACTGAAGTTGCATAGGTGAACCTGTTGCTGGCAAGATGGTCAGTGTAAGAATACGTTTTCTCGACTATGCATATGTAAGAGTGGAAACTTGCTTGTGATTTTTGTTTGTGCTAGTAAGTTTAGTCTATTGTGTCAGTTCAGCATGTTTGTGTTTATCTGAATGTCACCTGGAGCATGAAACTCTTCTCTTCGACCTTTAGTTTGGAACCAATGTTGTAGACTAAAAATTTTCCATTTGTTATCCTGTATTTACAGATTGTTCTGCATATGTCTAACTCATGTTTTGGTTGTTGCAGATAGCTACATTGCATATGTTGAATCTTGTTCTACGATCACTGGCAATAATTTTGACAAACTTTTTTTGGAGAAGGAAAATGGGTTTCTATGGGATATTGAACAGCCTAAATCAGAAGAACCATTAGTTAGTAATGGGTTTCCAAAGAAAAATGCATCAGAAGTTGGCACTCCTGAAAATACTCCCCATGGTTGAGCTGATTTTGTTGCTGACAATGTTTGAAGTGGTTGGAAAGGGCTGTTTTGGATGCTTAAGATTTGGAGTAGTGTTTGTCTTGTTGCAAACCACTCCCTGGGATTTTTGCTTGCACCAGATTTGGGTGCAGAAAACAGGAAAATGCGAGTTGCTTCACTCTCAGATGTTCTGTATCTTCTTCAGAATTCCTGGTCTGAGGAGTTAAGGAATTTGGTGGACCAATCTCTAGTTCCTGCTGTTATCCTAGGGTACTATGTGAGTTCAGCTCTGATTAAGTGGTACTACCAATTCTATAGATGTTTTGGTTGCCCAAAGCTATTTGGTGGTTATATGCCTTATAATTTGAAAATTGCTTATAATTTGTAAATATATTTATTGATGATCAGTAGTTTCCGAAGGCAATAGTTTGTTTTTGTGGTTCTCATTTTGTCTGCTAGTTTTTTCTCTTCCTAATTGTGATTCATTCGCCTTTCAGTTTTGACTTGGATGGACTTGAGTGGTACTTAATTTTCTCCGAAATTATTTTACAGGATATTGAGCTACCAACTAGTGCTTTCTCCAATCAAGTGAAACATTGAAGCACAAAAGAATCATTGCTCCCACAGGTAGAAAACCTTGTTTCTCTCTCTCTATGTGTGTGTGTGTGTGTTGTTTTTACAAATTCTTTTTTTTTTTCTTTTTAAAAAAAGTGCATGTGCATCATGAGAAAGATCAATATAGACAGTTTTTGTTTATCTGGATAGTTTCTCTCATCCTTTTATGTGGTGTGTGTACTACTACTGAGCACAATTAAGTGGAACTAACCATCACATATGGATGAGCCAGTCCTGCGAGACTTGAGCTGGAGCAAGTCTTTGTATCTTAATTTAGTCTTTTGGGAGTTGTGGCACATGACTTCCGCTACAGTAATCTCCAGTTGTACGGAATAAATATGGCTGAGCGTACAGTTAATGAAATTGTTGAAGGATTGGCTGTTCATTATTAACAAGCGCCTCTCTCTTTGTTTCTCTAGGTACGAGAGAGGATGAGAATTTCTGAGGCTCTATTTAGGGGAACACAGCTCTGATCAGATAGGGATGAAGTGGCCGCATTACCTGTTAAGCAACAGATGCCCAGCATCACTCAAACCAATTTTGTATGGGTACAGTTTACTAGTAGATATGTACAGTTTTTACCTACTTTGATCGACCTCCTCCCTTTGTTCTTTCTATTTGATGTGTTTAACTTTTGGCTATAGTCTGTCTGGCTGTCTGACTAACATGCACTTTTTAAAAGATAGTTAATGTTGTACATTGTCTGATCAAATGGTTTGATCGGATAATTGAAAGGAACTCATATCAATTTTTAGGGAGACGGTCTTTTGTTTTTATTTTAATATGATGGTTTTTAATTTATTTTATTATTGTTTTTTTGGTGTAAACAGCCATAAGAGTAATTAACTAAAGAACATTTTGCTATATCGTGCTTGTATTTTGGAATAACGAGTGTGTAACCCCCAGATAGTGCTTTGTATTTTGGAACAATTCAGGCGGGAGGGAGGTTCCAACAGCAAGCAATATCCTGTTCTTTGAATCCGTATGAAGTAGCAAGTAGGTACTTAATGCTATTAACCAATATCATTAATTATTGATCACATATATATAGCTAGCTAGCTAATTAATTAATTGCATAGATTTCGGACAATACAGCATACCCAAATGTGTGTGTGGGTCCCCTTTGGCTTTGGAGGTGGTCCCCATGCTAATAAGAAAAGAAATCAATCACACACTCACTCAAGTTGCAAAAAAGTCTCATGTCAAGTCTCCTGTGGTAGGCAGGCAGGCAATCCAGTCATTATTCATGCAGCACGATACGATACGATGCTTGTAATGTAATGTATGCGATTATATTTATTGATTCCTTCCTGTACTAGAGTAGAAGATAAAATTGTCTTGGAAGACGACCTCCCCACTTCCCTGTCTGTCCTTTCCCCCCACTTGCCAAAGCATCAATCACACGCACAGTTAGTTAGCCAAATAATGTGATTCTCACTCGACCACTCCATCCCACCTTCATACTCTGTTATTGAGTTCCCCCATGGCAGCTTTTTGCATCCATCCCTCTTCACAAATTAAGCAGAGCATCAGCTGATGATGTTCGATTCATTTAGATTGAGCATCTTCTCAACCATCACTCTTGCGCTCATCATCTTGCTCGTAACTGTCATTTCCAATGCCTTTCTCCAATACCACCACAAACTGATCGAGGTATGGTTGAAAAATTCTATTCATCAACTCCATAAACGCAGCCGGGGCGTTAGTCAACCCAAAGGACATAACCGTGAATTCATAATGCCCGTATCTAGTCTGAAAAGCTGTCTTCGGAATGTCATGCTCTGCAATCCTTAGCTGATGATATCCAGATCTCAAGTCAATCTTTGAGAATATAGTTGCACCTCTCAGTTGATCAAATAGATCATCAATCCTCGGAAGAGGATATTTGTTCTTCACCGTGACTTTGTTCAGTCCACGGTAGTCAATACATAACCTCAAACTTCCATCCTTCTTTTTCACAAATAAAACTGGAGCTCCCCAAGGCGATGTACTAGGCCGAATGTAACCCTTATCTAGCAATTCCTGTAGTTGCAATTTAAGTTCAGCTAGTTCTAAAGGTGCCATCCGGTATGGAGCCCTTGATATTGGCTCAGCACCCGGCACAATATCAATAGTAAAATCCACCTCACGAGCTGGTGGCATACCCGGAATGTCATCAGGAAATACATCAGGAAAATTTCGGACTACAGGAATATCTTGCAATCGCTGCTCCCGTTGCGTCAAATCTCTTACCTCACACAGATATACTGGAAACCCCTTACGAATAAATGATTGAAATGATAGGGATGAAATTACCTTCATAGAAGGTTGTCTGGCAGATCCTGCATAATTCACCTGTTCGCCCATCGCTCCAACCAGCGAAATTGATCTTTTTCGACAATCAAATTGAGCTTGATATGCCACTAACCAATCCATCCCCAATATTACATCGAACTCGGATAGCTTGATGCCCAACAAGTTAGTAACAAAATCAACCCCTTCAATACTAACCGGAATCTGCATATAAAGCTCTCGGCATTCCAGCACTCCTCCTGATGGAAGTAAAACTTCCACTACCACTTCTACTGATGAATTCAGACCCAATCGTCTAACTAGACGCTTAGATATGAACGAGAACGTTGCACCCGAATCGAATAACACAAGAGCAGGAAAACCGCAAATCAGAAATCTACCCGTTAAAACCTCACCTGGATGATAATCAGCTTCTGCTTGGGTAAGAACATTCATTCGTCCACGCTGGTCAGGTCCTCTGCCTGGCTGCCTAGATGACGAACGTGACTGACTTCGTCCCCCTCACCAAGATGATCCTAATCCTCTCCCTTGTGACTGCGAAGACGGCGGCTGCCATGGCCTAAACCTCGGTTCTGGAAACTCCCTTGCAGTTACCACACTTGGACATAACCTGGCAATGTGACCACTACCACCACATTTAAAACATGTCAATGGAACTTTATCACAACGAGTACCTGGGTGGCTTGTTCCACAACGCCGACAAACAGCCCCCGATTGCTGAGACCTCTCCTGACTCGGTTCATTAATCGAAATCCCCTTATACGATGGCCCAGACCTGAACATTTGCCACCATTTCTTTTTACCCTTGGGCTCATCCTCCACTTTAGCTTTTCCCTTATCCCGAACCTGATGTTGATAACCTATTTCCTTCTCACTCTCCTTTTGTCTGACTTCCTACTTCTGATAAAATCGGGCAGCACGCTCGTAAGCCTCATACAATGAACTGATATCCAACACCGCTAAAGCTTCTTGAATTCTGTGTTGCAACCCGTCTACGAAATGGTCAATTCTGTCTCGCTCACAGGAAAAGTAGTCAGGAACATACATCTCCAACTCATTAAACTTCACAAAATAATCCTCAACTGACATCGAGCCCTGCTTTAAGTCCAGCAATTCTTGCCTCTTCGCTTTTCGAATATGCGACGGTATAAACCTAGCCTTTAACTTTGCTTTAAATTCATCCCAAGTCATATCCACTTGGTCTACACCTGCAGCTTCTTCACCTAACCACCACCGATTTGCTCGGCCTTCCAAGAAATAGGCTCCAATATTAACTCGTTGATCTGGCGGAACCTGAACAACACGAAATATCTTTTCCATCTTTTCAACCCAAAACTCAAGGACTCCTGGCTCCACTGAACCAGAATATGTTGGTGGGTTATGCCGCATCACAGCATCAATGAAACTCCTCTGTTGAGGCATCATCGCGGCCATAAACTGCCGAAAGAAATCCTGACTAGGTGCCTCTGTTGGTACATGCGCTGGCACAGGATACTGTGACTCATCAGACGAAGGATCAAACTTTGGGCCTTGAATAGCCCTACGTACACCACCACCTCGAGAATTCGACATACTGCCCCCAATTTTTCCTGATTCAATATCAATTCAGCACACAGCTAAACCAAGCATAACAATAAAAGATAGATCACATTAACATGAATGCACCCGCAAAACCCAAACCTCACCAAACCAATTCAATATCATTATTATTTTCAAAACCTTTTTAATTCAAAGAGCCAAAATCTATCAAACCTAGGCTCTGATACCAACTTGTAACACCCCCAGTTGGCTCATACTGGAAATGCTACCGCCACACTGCATCATGAGGTCGTCACCTCCTACTTCGGGCCCCACAACACAGTGTTAAGGCTAAAAGTAATTATATAAGCATTTTATTATTCCCAAAAAAAACAAGTTTATAAATATTTACAAAAACATACTCCCAAAACGGGAGGTTTTTCTAGTTAGAATTTACATATAATACATCAGATGCAGTTCACTCATTCAGCCCGTCTTTCTATCTCCCGAGACGTCCCCTGTCCCGGAGGTGCCATGCGTACCTGAATCAAATATTTTTCTTAAAAGCAGTCTAGAATTAAATCCATTTTAAGAACTAACATAAAATATGCCATGTCATGCTCGAAAATAGAGTTTAATTTCCGTCATTTGCAAAATAAATGCCATGCCATGCCCATACTGAAATAATGTAACAATAATGTCAAAATCGACAACTCATGCACATATGCCCATATACATATGTCAAAGTGAGCAGCCGGAATAACCTCGGCTCCATAATAACAGCTCACTAGACTATCATCAATAAATAGCCGGAAAATCCTCGGCTCAAGGAAGGACCTGGTAAACCCATAATAATATAACGGTCACCCGGTCACTCCCATATACCCACCATACGACTCCCGCAATCAATACATGGATAGTCGAACGTTGTCGCCATTAACCACAAGACACCCCATAGTCTGTGATAGCGAAGATAGGACCCTCCTGTCTAGCCCTACCCCGTGTAACGTAGTAGAATCCGTGCAACCTGGAATCACCCGAAGGAAACCCGGAAACTCTACTCCTCCTCGCACGCCCTAACGGGATCGCGTTTGGAGTTTGGCATCTGATCCTAAACTACCGGTAGACCTCACTAGTAGCTACTCCAATGAGTGGAACAACACCGAACCCGAATGATTAGACCAAATACGTCTCAACTGCAATGGGTCTAATCCCTGAATGACCGTGCGACTAAGTCACCCAGTTGTCCGACTACTATCGTCCACTATCGCCAAAGTGTTACGGTACATCGGGGTCGAATATCCTAACCCCAGATGATGCCTTCGCCTAGCACTACCGCACACGGCGACTAAACGATAGATCCATAAAACATATCCGATAAATCGTGCAATGTGTGCAGCATGTCAATAAGTGAATTTAATGAAAAGGGCTGGTGAGACGGCCCACCTATCCTCCTTTTTATAAATTCACCAACACGATCAAATACGTATATCACATATCGTAAAACGAAGTTTCACACATGCATATACACACATATATACATATATAGATGCACTGACCAAATGATTCCACATAATATCATATCAATATCAGAATCAGAATCACATGCAACATAAATACCTAATTTCTTAAAATTAGATTTAATTCCCTACTGCTTACCTCCTACCGATACTTTCTGGATTTTATAACTTCACCCAAATCTCCTCCAACGTACACCTGTCCCATTATTTACTCAAATCAGATGAGCTTTATGCTTATTCTCAGGAGCTACCTGCTTATTCAAAAGCTAATTTCTATAATTAACTCGTCGGGCTCCAAACTTTTATATCAATTTTGAATTTTTGAAGAATTTCTAATTTAATACTCCAATATCAAAATTCGTATTAAAATTTATAATCGGACTCTACGAATAGCAAGGAATACCATACCCAAGTCGGAATTAGAATCGGACGGCTAAATCTTTTTCTTTCTTTTTTTTTTTTCTTTCTTTCTCCTTCTTCTTCCTCCCTTCCTTCTCCTCCTTTGGTTCGTTGCTGCTGCTGCGTTGGATTCTTTCTTTCTTTTCATATTATATATATATATATTATATTATTATTATTATTAAACGTAATATATTATTATTATTAGTAAACATTATATATTATTATTATATTATTATTGTTATTAACGATGATGATAAGGTTCTTATCATCATCTACTATATTATTATTATATATATATAATATATTATATATTATATATTATATTTATATTTATATTTATTTTTAATTTTATCGATATTTATCCATTTAACAGTCTATTTAATTATAACTAATATACAAAATTGGAATATAATTTATCCCAAAATATTAGTTTCTTGATTCCATTACTATTGTCAAATATTTATTTGCTATAATAATATTATTTTATACATTCCGAAATCGGGGCATTACACAGATATTGTGTGAAGATAGTGAATTTTTTGAATTTGGGACATCCTCAATTAGTCCATGTAAGAGTTGCCAAAATCATTGATTATCTGAATGGGGTGTCCTGTGAGAATTAATGTCTGCATTGTGGCAGCTAATCATGTATGTATAATATATATATATATATATATGATGCATCAAGAAAAGAAAACTGCAGTTTGAAGATATATAATAGCAGGAGGCAGCATTGATGATGGATGGATCTTGGATCATAGGAACAGATTTTATGGATTTGGTTAATGCTTCTTACCATCATGTATTAGCCCACTAAGAATGAGCAAATGGGACACACAGGTTTTAAATCTTTGCCCCTAAATCATTACAATATCTGACCAAAAGTCAGGTTGGATTTAGAAAGCAACAAAAAATACACGCCAAGTAACTAACTATAAGGCGGCTATACACACACTGCTTTCTTTATGTTATTCCCATTATCATACGTATATCCATCCATTGGTGGAGTATTATCTTTTTTATATATAATGAAATTTTGGGCTATGAATCATGGGCCGGGCCCAATATCAATAAATGAGTGAATTATTGGGCTTATTATGATTTTAATAATGGGTGTATGGATGAGGCTAAATAGAGAGAGATGGAGATCTTTGAGTAGAAGCTACAGAAAAAAATGCAGTAATTGTCTAAACTCTAAAGACGGTGTGCAAGAAACAATAAGCAATCCAATTATTTTATTTTATATTTTATTCAGAAGTTAAATAAATAGGGTCGGTTTATTAATTGGTCTGACAATCATGCATACACATTGCACACCACTAGCCAATAGTTAATCAGTTGAACAGCATTGCAAATCTTTATACATTTGTAATAATGATACATGATGAGGAAGATCTATTACACACTTTGTCCAACGATATATATATATCATTAAACCCCGGAAGTGACATGATTCAGTAACATGCTCCTTTTTTGTTTGAATAAAAGTAATCCAGTTTTTACTCACTTTCCAACCCATGTGTGAGGTTTAAATTAAGTGCGTACACACTCACAGTCTAGAGTTAATTTACAGTTGGAAATTAAATCTGAAAGCTGAATTGAGCGATCACATGTATGAGTATGACGACGATGGAGGTTGTCAGCTTCGATATATATATATTTAGTCCACCAAACTAATTATTTCAAGATTTGGTGTTGATGAAGCAAAGGGTAACTAATTAAGCCTTCCCACACCCACATACAAATTGAATCAATTATAAATTGTGCCTTAGTTTGTTACACAAGTAATCTCCAAATCTTTTTACAATTAGTCACCAGCTAAGCTAGCACATGTAACACGATTATATATATATATATATATATCTATATAAATCTGTGAATTATGATCAACGCGGGTTTCCTTAAAATTTATTTTCAGTCAAATGCTTACAAACTTAATTCATACTCGACTGACTACTTAATAAATTAAAATCAATTTAAACATTTATATATACAAGAAATTCGTTACATAACTCAGAATCAGATCAAATTCATATTAGAGGTAGAGGGGCAGACAAGAGTTCAGGTTCAATGCATCTTCATCAGACCTGACGTATGTAATAAATGAGAGTGAGAGGGGTGACACGTGACAACCAGCGGCCCACACGTGCAGGGTCATGTGAGTGGGCCAGCCACATGACAGAATCTTTGGTCCAAATTAGCCATTAAATAATTTGGTTCACCACATACATTTAATTGCTCTATTATTTCAAATTAATATTCCTTCTCAAACAATCAATCACGCCAATATACAAATTCATTAAAAAAAAAGGGCAATAAAGATAAAAAGCATGATATGCTAACTTGCATTGATTGATTTCAATTAATTTAGCTCCATGCTTCAACAAGCAAAGGGAACCAACAACAAATCACATTCACAACTCTAATAATAATGCTCGCCTAACAATTTTTAAATTAAAAAAAAAAAAACCTCTTTTTTCTTTTTTTGGTCTTAAAAAAGAAAATATATATATATAATATATGAAAACCACACAATCGGAAGCAAACGCAAATAATGCAACTATTTTATATTACAAAAAAAAAAAATAGAAGGTAGAAAGATGAAGAGAAAAATAAAAAAAGCTATTATTAGTAAACTGATGTTGTTTCTGGCCTGTGATGAAAATAGTAACCACCCTCGTGGTCGTCGGATCAATGGTGAGGTGGCGGCGCAGCAGCCGTTGGATGCGTAGGAGGCGGCGGCTTGCATTGATAGCACTTGGCGAAGAGGCCAAAGGTGTCGACTTGCTTCACGAAATTGGTGAGGCTTGCCCACCCGCCAAACCCGAACCCGACTACAAAGATCCATATCACCACAAAGGCGTTCAGGACATACATCGCCGTCCAGCTCGGCATGAAGAATGGAGGCTTCTCTGCAGCATTCTGCCAGACATACATATGTATACATTAATAAAAATATTATTATTATTATTATTTACTCCTACGTTAATTTTATTACAGAATGGGAAACGAATACAAGTTGGATAATTAACTATATGGTCTATATTGACAGTGACTTTCCACCTATCTATCGCTGTCTTTATCTCGATTTTCAGAATCACTGCATGTGTATACTACCCTTCATTCCTTCCCTTTTTGGTTTTTAATATATAAATAAATAAATAAAAATGATGCTTTCCTTTCGTTCCAAAAAGTCAAAGCAATGCAGCAGTGGGGTTGAATTAGTTACTGAATTCTGACAAAGTAGTTTCATATAAAAAATGAATTTGCGCATTCATGTGGATATAGGGAGGGAGGGCATGTGACAAGATCCCATTTCTGAACATTTGCAATTAATGTGGGGGGACTAATTTTTTTGAACCCAATTGATGTGCTGCTACTAATATTGCCTTGCCGTATTCACTGAACTTGCATTATTGATGAATAATAGAAATAAAAATAAAAAAATGGAAAAGGTGGGTTTAATTTAATATACTGTAACTAATTAATTACCTGACGAGCAGAGGCTTTCCGGTAAGTGAGCATATGGGCCAAGGCGGGAATGATATAGACAGTGAAGCTGACGAGAAGGGCGCCGACGGCGGAATTGATGGGCCCGAAGAAGGGGAAGATAATGGCGAGGAACCATATGGGAATGACCACCGGCAGCCTCGCCAGTGCCCTCACGCATATGCTTCGAGTGTCGTGCATTCCGATCACTTTCTCCCACACAAAGTACAGCGGAGTGCATGCGAATCCAAATGTAATAAACTGCAAATCAAATTCTAGGTCAACTGCCTCCTCACTCACTTTTAATTAATTAATTAGATTTAATCATTACTGGAATGGATGAGAAATCGACGACGATGACGCACCTGGTGGATGAGCATGAGGATGACGGCGGCGTCGCGCCAGCCGGACTTGGGGAGGAGGGAGAAGGCGTTGGCGTGGTTGAGGAGCTGATCGCCGAACGCCCAGTAGACGGCGGTCGCCGACGGCAGGGTTAATGTGAAAACATACAGCGTGGCCAATAAGTATATATACTTGAACTTCTGTGGTTTCCACATGGCATGCATTATTTCCCTGTTCGTGTAAATTTCATTTGTTACCGCCAGTGAAACAAAATTAAAGAAACTTTTTTTTATCTCCAGATCACACAATTCGAAATTACGATGATACATACAGACATACATAAACATACACGATAAAGCAGCAGCATGATGGATGGAAGCATTTATTGACAAGAATCTAACTATTACGGTATTCCTTTCATTACATGTGGGGAAAGATATTGGGCAATTATTGGGTAGCCTGGCTGGCTGGCTGCCTTCTACTTTTTAGATGATGGGCAGTAGGCACCAAAATGTTCTTCAATTCAATGACATGAATACCCTTTGAAATAAATACTACAAATCACACATTCACCACACTACCTTTACTTTGTTATTTGGTAACAGATGATAGAGAGGAGTGAAAAAGAATGGACTTCACTGTTCTTTTCTACAGTTTTTTTTGTTTTTAATAATAATTTTATTCCCCAAATAGAGAAAAAGAAAGGCTATTTCTATCATTCTTAACTAGGCCGGCAAAAGCTGCAAATAGAAGCTTTAAAGAAGAAGAGGAAGAAGAAAGAAGAGACTGTATAAAAACTTAAAATTGGTTATTAACATACACTGTGACAGCATGTCCACCAAATGTGTAGAGAATATTGGTAGCGCCGGTGAAGTAGAGCACTAGCTTTTTTGGACCAGAGTGCTGCACACCTTCAACCTAAAAAACAAAACAAGAACAAGTTATGATCCCATCCAATATAGGGGGTGAGGAGGATTGTATGTATGATTATTATTGGTATTATGATTTGGAGAGGAACCGAACTGTACCTGGCCATGAGCAAGAGCAGCTATGGTCAAGTACCAGGCGGTGTAGGTGGTCATCCCGAGCCCCAAAAAGGACCAGATTCTGTAGTTGTGAAAGGAGGGGATGAACACAGTGGTGGCACAGCAAGCTCCAAATATGTACGTCCATGTCCTTTTGTCCAAGTGGTCATTTATGTAGTATATATTGCTGCAAGTAGGTAGGGTACGTGATGTTACGAATAGTTCCTTCTTGAAGAGTAAAAACGCAGCAGATATGTATGGAGAGGAATGAATTGCAGCAATCAATGATGGATGAATGGATGGATCACCTGGCACAGGCTATGAGTTGGATGACAGATCCAAATAGAAGGAATGTGCAGTTGAATGCCAGTCCTGCTGCTTTCCAGTATGGCCCAAGTAACCCGTCCAGCACTTCGAACCACTGCACCACAACACGAATTTGGATTTGAATTTGATCGATGACCTAATAATGTTTTAATCTTGTTGAGAGATCGATGATGAACTGACCTGAATGACGTGATTTTTGAAGCTGACGCCTTCTTTCTCCTTGCGACTTCGATACTCGACGTATAGAACACTGATAAGGTACGCTGTCCAGCTGCCGAGCAATCCGTAGAAAATTTGGAAGACGATTCCAGAGAGCATTCCAAGTTGTGAAAAAGAATAGGGAAGTGTCAGCAACACTTGCGCAACCTGCAGAGCGGAATTAAAATTAACACGTTAATGGCGACTAGTTGAAGGGATGAATTAAATGTATGGATGGGATCGTACTTGATTGGAGGAGCAGCTGAACCAGGCGTCCCAGGCGGAGCCGCCGTGCCAGAGGGCGTTTTTCAGGCTGAAAAAGGAGTGGTCCTCGGCGGCGACATCCTCCTCCTTGCCGCCGCTGTCGCGTTCGGTTTCATTGAAGTTGGAGACAATGGCTTCTTCTGCTTGCTTTTCACCCAACATTGTCTTCGATTTTCGCTACTCGAAGGAATTATGGCAGATCTGCCAACACCACAGTGAAAAAAAGATAAGAAAATAACCAACACAAAAGACAGCCAATGAGACAAAAACCAAGAAAAAGAATTCTCAGATCCAAAGCAAAAACTTCCAACCAGCACAAACAACAAAACAATCCCAAATTTCACTTTACGAAAATCTTGAATACCTTACTACGGTTTGATGAGTCCTTTTCTAAAACCCAGATCGATCCCAGATCACTAAACCACCCAGCAAGTTAATATTTAAGCAATCGCTTGCTTGATTGATCCAAGTCCGGGTATATGTGACCCACCCCCACTAAGACCAAGTATGGCTAGAAAAAGGCACCAGGGATTTGATTAATGGACAGTCGCAGCAGAGGTAGAGGTGGAGGTGGAGGTGGAGGTAGAGGTAAAGGTCAAGACAGAAACTAGTAGGAAGGAACCTGCAATTGAATTAAATGCTAGGCCACAAATCGTTATTGCATTGAGCAGAGCTATATAGTGAGTGTGTGGGAAAATCTCTCTGCAGCTGCGGCTGGAAGGCGGCGAGAGGGCCTAAAAAGCACCAAACTCTGGCCTGAAAAATGAAAGCAGAGCTCTTATAAAAGCGTTTTGCAGAGGCCAAAAATGAGAATAAAAAGGAGTTATTGCAAAAGTGGGGAAAAGGGGACTTTCTGCTGCCGTGAAAGGAGCTCATCCATGTGTGTGTGTATATATAGATATATATATATATAGATAGATATAGGCGCATACATATACCTACACCATTGATTAAAATACACTACTCCTCCTAAACTTGTTGAAGAGGAGTGTGGATGGTTATTAATTACTATTGTTTTTAATTTTAGATTTCTCAATATTACTATAATTATTATTTATTCCCTTGCTCCACCACTGGTTTGTTTTCGACCTATAATTCTTGATTTACAGAACGGGAATCGAGAGATTTTTGCGATCTCATTCCATCGGACTTGTTTCTTCTATAGAATTCTGTACTGTCCTGTTTCCAATGCTTCGCTGAGATGATGAACAAGAAAGCTCTTCAAACATAGTGCCATGGAAATAAAAATAAGTAAATAGAATTACACGTAAGGAATCTGGTAAAGATGGGATGGATGTTGGGAGTGGTCAAAGCTATCAACTGTTGATTAAGATTTAAGTGCGCGTTTCACTCACACTCACAGTGGTTCGACTAGAGATGCGGCTGCCTTGCCTTGGCCTATCAAGTTACGGTACTTGTCGTTTCATTGCAATTTCTTGTCGTTTTGTTCGACGGAATATTATTGTTACAATTTTGTCCCATCACTCACTCATATATATATATATATGTATGTATTCAAGATTTCTTTCACATGAAAACACATAGCAATACATGAAAAAGGGGATTTCGATTTCATGGGCTCATTATGTGCCCTAATTTTGTGATTTGCTGCATAAAACATGCGTGTCAAGAAAACAAACACATGATTTATGTAAAATTCCAAAGGGAGTGAAGGTGCTGGTGGTGGTGCGAGGCAAGGATGATGATGAGGCTAGAAAATGTTGTGTAAATGGAAATAAATATGGGCAGACGTGAAAGAAAGTAATAATCACGTGTAGGCCTCCCACCAGACCCATAAACATTATTTCCAATCCCATTATTTCATTTTTTAAGCCAGTAATTTCGCATCCTTTTTCAGCCTGCACATTTTATTTCTACGAAAACGCACCAACTCAAAATATCTTTATCATAAAGTTGGGGTAAGATTCAGCAAAATATGAGAAAGCAAATCATGTTTTCAAAATGAGAAATCTGTCATATTATTATTATTTTTATATAAATAAATAAAGTGCAAGAGCGGAAAAACGGGGTTTGGCCGCCGTCGAAGACCAATCACAGTGGCTGAGGCCCACCCGCCACACCACACGCCATTTCAGTAACGCCTCCGTTTAACGGCGTTAGAGACACTCACGGAATCACTCATCTCGCTCTCTCCTTAGTCCCCTGAGACCAGACCAGTGAGACCCTTTTTGTGAGTGTAATGTGTATGTATGGATGGATGATCCACTCGTACTCGACAAGAGGCAATGGATGGAAACCTGGTAATAATAATTAAGGAGGAAGTGAAAATGAGTGTCACATTCAAGTTCAACTCAAATATTGGGACATGGAAATGTCCAACTTCACACGACTAATATTCCCCCATTCATTTGTATGTATCATGTCATATAATGCATCACCAATAATTCAGTCCACTAAGCAGCCAACATCGATCAACATTAACATTAGCATTAGCATTAGCATTAGCATTATTAAGCTTGAGAGAGACGAGTGAGTGGTACTATAGACACACACATATATATGCTATCTTATGTACAGCCCCAGCCCCAGCCCCAGTAATTAAAAGCAAAAGCTTGCTCATCCTCAGTAATTAATTAATTATAATATTAATTAATTAGTAAGCAACTTTATTAATGTTCTTTCCTAGCCTGCATTCCTTTTTCATCAATATTTATTCATTTCTTTTTCTTTTCTTACCACGCTTGCATGCTCTCTCTCTCTCTCTCTCTCTCTCTCTCTCTCACTCACACTTAGAGACCTTAGCTTTAAGCAACCACCCACCATTTCCTGGCTTTATTAAAAGAGGCTAGAATTGTTTTTATTGACCATCCTAACATTCAAACTTCTTACCTATTTCTGAGTGGCTTGATAATTTAAAAATGTTAGAAAGATATAGATATAGACTTTCTGGCTATTTTTATTTATTTTATTAGTGTAGGGTGAACTGTGAAGTAGTAGATATGTATGTGAATTGTTGCTTTTCGCATCAACGTGCACAATTAGAACAAGGAATCTTTTTAATTTGCTTGTTTTTATTTAAATCTGTGTAATGGATACCTAAGAGTACTAGGTAGCTAGCTAGCGAGCAACTTAGGTTTAATCAATTGGGCATGAGATGAGATGAGATGAGATGAGATATATAGTAAGGGGGAAGAAATAATAATAATAATAATAATAATAATAATAATAATAATAATAATAATAATAATAATAAACGAATTGAAAGCTCAGTTCAATGGCGGAAAATGCCCTTTTTTGAGTACCTATAGTCAATACAATGTGTGTTTAGTTATTTATATATTTTGGAGATGACACTGTATGTTTGAATTCCAAATAGTGATCTTTACCTTTGTATTATTTTTACTTTTAACTCAAGGGGTGTTAATTATTAATGACTACTTTTCAATTTTTGGCTAGCCTACACACACACACACATATATATATATATATATATAATTACTAAATTGGATTTAGTAAGATACATATATATTCGTGAGATGATAAAAATTTAAAATCAAAGATGCATGATGCGACATATGATACCTGAAGAAATTAGAAAGCTTTACAATAATTAGCAGCATAAGATGCCATACACGAAACGCGACGGGAATTAATTTAATTAACGGACACCGTACCTTATTACCATTATATTCTTTCTCTTTCTCTTTCTTTCTTTATATGATATTAAATATAATATTCCACCACATCATTATATTATATGCATACATATCTATCTCATACGAGAGCTATAAAGAGATGTCAATTTTCTTTTATTGTAAGGGAAAAGGAATAATTTACATATAGATGAGCATTAAATCAATGATAATGAATTTGAGGTTACGTTAGAGAATGATTGGTGGCGAAAGCATAAATTTAAACTTGTTAGGGATTCAATTTAATTCAATTCAATGTTATGCTTATGAATCATGAGGTTTAGGGTGTGTTAGTATGTCGATTTTAGATTTTGGGTTTTAATTTTTTAATAGTAAAAAATTGAATTTGAATAGTTGCTTAATGTGATATTTTGAATGTAAAATAAATTTGTAATATAATATAAAAAAGTAAATGTAATTATTTGATGTGATATTTTTTTTTAGAGAAAAAAAGAATTTGAATAGTAAAAATATATGGTAAATTCGTCTGGGCTGAGTGGTTCGTGGCATCCGCACAATTGAATAAATTAACGTCTATGAGGATTGGACATAACTATAGGAGCTGTCCTAAACAATATCCTTTCGATCTAGCAGTGCAATATTTGGCAGTGGCCACACTGCTATCATATATGTTCCCCATGTACGTATTTTCTTTTAACAAATTAATGAGGCATGCCTCCATTCAATATAATCACAACGAGCTCACGAGACTATTGTTGTGTGTGTGTTCGATCATCATCCCATCAGCATGATGACAACACCAAAATAATGAAAACAAAGAATTGAATAATGAGAGAAAGTTAAAGAATTGAATTTGAAACGAATTATCATAAGGTGAGTTGCTTATCTTTTATTTGTTTGTTCGATCCTTTTATAGAAAAATATATTATGTATATATGCACATATGTATGATTGTATTTAGGGAACTTTTTCTTATGGGCACTCTTTAGAATCTTACTGATTGCTTGTCGGGTGGATAAAAAGAAAAGAAAAGAAAATTTGGGAAATTGCTTAAATATATATATATATATGTCTGTATGATTGAATATTGGCATGTCACACACACATATATCTATTCATCTTTATAAGAAATTAATACTAAACAAAGTAGACTAATTAATGATTACCTTTCATTTTATTAGCTAGCATATACACACATATGTCACTATAAATATGTAGCTATATGTACAGCCATACACACAATAAATATATATATATATATATACATACTCCATATAATTAATTTATTGTTGTTTAAATAATTAAAGTGGAAAATGATACCGTATAATAATCCACAGCCTGGACATGAAAACTATATATATAGTGTATATATGTACAGGGCAGTAGCGGCGGCAGCCATGTCTATAGTGTCCGAATTGACCGGCCAGTGAGCGGAGGTGCCGGTGGCCGACAGTGGCTGTTCGTTTCGGAATTCAGCAATAATATAATTAATTTCATTAAATTATAAGGTTAATTGAATTAAGTGAAATCCACTTGCGTAATCTTCTGATCGAGGGCCTGTAAATTAACTGATATATATTAATTCTGGTTACACTGATTTAATGTGTATAAATAATTAATTCCCAGCTAGCTATTGTGCAATATGTAGTAGTAGTATATTATAAGCCTTGTGGTTTGACTTTTTTTGCGAGTGTCTCGATATCTCTCTTAGTTATTTAATTAATTGCATGGATTATATTTGGTCGAGATCTTATTTGCTTTCCAGGTCCTGTCTGGGTATTCGTGCCTTTCAGGATCTTCCACAAATTATTAATTAAACAATTCACCACTCTTGGATGGATGGAGATCGAATTTCGTTGAATTGATGGTTCGAGCTCTACCATAAAATATATACATATATATATATATATTATTTATGTGTTTTTCCACTGAATCAATATATGAGTTTGATTATACGAGGGAGGAGCTAATGTGGTCCGCAACGGACAGCACATGACTTCATCATTCTTGACTTTGTTGCAACAAAAGTTTATTGGGAGGATTTTCAACACATAGAGATAGATAGATAGATAGATAGATAGATAGATAGATGGATCATGTAAGTAGAAGTAACACCAACACCAACACCAACAAACAAACAAAAAAAAAAAATAATAAATAAAAATTATACATATGTATAGCCAATTCATGCATAAATGCTTTTTTATTTTCTGCCATATATATATATATATAATCGTTGAAATTTAGGGGAACATGAATATGAATATGAATACGAATATGAATAAGATGCTTACTACTATTGAAACCAACAGGCACAATACAATAAATTCAGTGGACACTATACATCCCAATCTCTCCAAGAATATGCAATATAATGAATTTTTATATAAAATATGTTGAATAAAATACATACGCAAATTAAAATTTTAAAATATTTATAAGGTTATCTCTATGTATTCATTTCGTGCAATATATGAATACTTGTATATGAGATACTAATTAAAATAAATAAAATGTTGAATGATGTTATTATTCTTTTACTAAATTATTATTTAATTTATATGCTAACTATAACTATTAAAGCAATTGATTTAAGTGTAAAAATATTGAGTTTGACCACACTACTGTAGACTCTCTCTCATGAACTGCTGACTGCTGAGGGCATCTCTGATAGAATAACTTAAAAGTTGACTTTGTAAAGTTCCGCTGACTGAATAACTGCCATGGTAATAAATGCCTGTTCTTAACATTTCATTACTTTATAGAATTTGTCGATCGAGGCATGCAAAATTTGCACAAGAAGAAGAAGATGAAAGGAAAAAGATACTGTCAGATGCCCGACTTTGGGGGCACAATGTCATGTGAGATGCATATATATATATATAATATAATATAATATATTTATATATTTATGTGATTAATACATGATATGCATATATTGGTCCAACATATATAGTTTCTAATTGAAAATTCCAACTAATTCTGTACATATATATACGTGACACAAAAATAATTAAGCAGTGAAATTAATTACATAACATGCAATAATCACTAATATGATACGCAATTATAATCTTCACATGGGCATATATAGCCGTTGAGATATAAATCTTGTTTGTAAGCTGCACCATGTGTAAGATCAGTTATAACATGAGCAATTAATTATATTTAAACGGTTAATATCCATTTTTAATTATTGGTTAAAGCCATGCATATATCCTTCAATCATCGTATTATATATATATATATATATGGTGATGCGTTTTCAACTCGATCTCTAGTAGTGAAAATTTGAAAATAGGGTTTGTTATAGATCAATGATGAGACAGCTGCTAATTCATTATCTAAGCCTGTGCTGCTGCTCATCACTAAAAAAAGTCGCTTTAATTAGTGTATTAATTAATTAAAATAAATCACTCACATATTATTAGTATATTTAATTAATTAATTAATTAATTTCCACAGTTATTGTATCATCATTGCAGCCTGCACACTTAGCTTATTAAATAGACGAGTGATGAGTACCGATAGACAATGTCCCTAACAAGTAGCTATTAATTATTAATCCCTTATCTGGCTAGTCACTTGAATGAATTAATAATCAATAATAATAAAAATAACACTTACAATAATTATATATAATAATTCAGTCAGTCATATCATTCAGGCTTTTAAGTTAATTCAAAGAGTGGTACTATTGATACACATCACAACAATAATTTCTTGGCCAACATAACATTAATATATACTCCCCTCGTCTCAATCCAATATTCTTATTTATTATTTTTGTCGATCTCAAACAATAGTGTTATTTTCATAAATAATTATATTATCATAAAATTATCTCTATTTTTTTATTTTTATTACACAATTGCTACTAATTTTTACACTAATACACTTACAAGGACAAATTTTTTTTTATTTATACTTTTTACCAACTACCAATATAATATCAATATTTTTTAAATATCGTGTAAACCCAATATCTAATTATCCATATTAATTTGTATTAATATTACTGACTGAGTGACAGAAAGACAGCCCTCGCTGAAACATATATAGACAAACACCCCCACAAAAGTATTTCTCACATATATGTCTATCATTCAAACTGCTGCAATTATCTTAATATGTATGTATCTATGTGTGTTATGTCTTATTTATTTTTATTTGTATTTGTGGGATTCACAGCATCTGTTTGTGTTTCTGAACTAGTACTGTAGTTGTATTGTTGTAGTGTAGTGTGTGTGTTTCCTTCTCTGGACAGTAATGTCTGAAATGCAGTCAAACAGTGGCTATGTCTGTGGGCCCTATGAATATAATGGGCTGGAGCATATGTGGTAGGAAGTGATTTGGGCCCACATTGGATAAAGGAAATGGGGCCCATCACTAAATCGTATGGAACCCTACAGATTAGCCCAAAAGCGTGTTTCGGTTTCTCATTAGCTGTAATGGGCCAGCCCAATCTCTTGTCCGAGGGCCCATTTCACACTCTAGTCTTTTCTTGCATTGATTATCACAATTAGTACTAGGTTCAATTGAAAATAATTTTATGCAGGGAAAAATAAAAAGGCGGAAAATATTAATCAATTATTTTGTTTAAGCGATAAATAATTGGAGGAATTTTTATGGTGAGAATTGACGTGGTATTTAATGAAGATTGAGGAGTGAGTGGTGGCTATTGAGAGAAGACAGACAGACATCCCAGGAAGTGGCCCTCGTGCGTGTCACGTGCTCCAGTTTTTAAGACACAGAACAGCACACCCACCTTTGCAGTTGTAAGAATTAAGACTGAGAGGGCAGCTAACCTTTTACCATACATACAATGATGCAATAAAACTTGGTGCTTTGAACCATAACCCTTGTTTTTAAAAATAAATCTTTGGGGGGGGGGGGGTGTTTAGATAAGGACAAAAACTAAATAATGGCAAGGAAAAAGGGTATACCACTCGATAATCAACTGAAAATAATTTATAAATTAATCAACATATAATTTAGTGTTAAAAGAATATCGTGATATAGATGTTAATTGTAAGTATATAAGTTGTAATGAGGAGTGTGTGGGTGGAAGGAATATAAATGAGGATGTGTATTAATTTGGTTGGAGAGGAGTCAGATGTCATGTCAGTAGTCATAGCCACAATTGACAAAAGATTCTTGTCACTTATCTTGCAATAAGTTTCTGGGATTTGGTTTGATTTTTTGTGTCCCCCACACCACAAGAATAAACCAACCCACCCTCTTCCTATCCTATATATGAAAAAGTAGTATTTTTTGGAGGTCCATATTCCTTTCTTGGGCTAGCCCATTACAACACCGGCCCACATAAACGATTTCAAACAGCCCTCCAAATGCAGAATATCAATTATGTTTATTTTTATAAAACATAGAGTACAAACTATTTATTTATTTATATTTGAACTATCATATATGTTTTTTGAAATATCATATTAAATACAGATTTAAATATTTTTAAAAATTACTTTATTCTAAAAATGATTTAGAAGCCTTGAATCACGAGAAGAGACCCTAAAATATCGATAGCATGCATTATTATATTATATGAAAGTCGTGTGATGTATGTGAGGTGTGAGTTGAATTAGTTGTTGTGAATTGGGTGTGGAGTCCCAATCAGCAATAAATGCTGCTGCATTATATTACTAGTTTTTTGTCACAATACAATAAATATATATACAATTACGCAAATAGATTAATGTATTTTAATTAGCTACTTTGCATCACCTAAAAGCGTCACGCACAATCATATTTTAAAATATGTCACTATAAATAACTATAACTACAACTACTTAATTTCTTTCTTATGGTCTAACCAATTTTGAAGAATATCTGCACCACACATACATACATACATTCATTCATTCATACGTATACATAAATTAATAGCTTATATAACCTCAATTGCATTTATATAATAAATCCTCAATCTGTTTTTTTAATACTATATTATTATACCACTACTATACACCCTACCATTCTCACCAACACCCCTTTAATATTTTGACTCGGGGCGTTACGTTAATATAATTCTTCTTCATATAAATATTGTTTACGTTAAGAAACTAATTAATATGATCTTCAAATTAAGAAAAAGAAAAAGGAAAGAAAAAAGTGGAGAAAAAAATAAAATAATAAAGTAGTAAACTTTAATCACAAATTACACGAGAATTTTAGTTTTATTGCTTTCTACAAGTTAACTCTTCCTTGAAGATCAAGACAAGGGAAGGGGATTCACATATCTAACCCTTTGAAAGCTTACACCCACAAAGACACATAATTTACTTGGTTAATTAAATTAATACTTTTGGTATATTTTATATATATTATACTATTGACTTGAAATAGCAAAGGAATTAAAAAAAAAAAAAAAGAAATAATTAATCTAAGAATGGGCCTTTAATTTGTTGGCTGAGAATACGCTTATTTTATCTTGGCTATATATGTACTTAGCTAGATAGGCTTAGAAATTAAATCAGCCACCTTACATTATATAGTACACACAATTTAATTTCTTCCCCACCATTATAAGCTTACTTAAGTTATAAATAATTGGACGATTTATTGTTCTGATTATAATTAAAAATATCTCTCCCTCTCAATATCTATTGAAAGACTCTTGTAAAAGTTAAATGGCTAGCGTTGGACAAATATAGAACGGTGAAATACAGTTTTCTCCTTTTGCATGGAAACATGTTGGTGAAAAAGTAGCAAGAGTGAAGCTTTGTAATTAAGTTCCTAGTAATTATTTTATTAAACAATTGTCAGCAGCAGTTGAATTAATCAAAATTATAGTGCATAGATATATATATATATGTATGTGAGTGATTGAGTTAGCCTGATTAAGATTTAAGCCGAAGCCATAATGGCGCGGCTACGGCTACAGCTGCAGCTACGGCGGCGCCATCCAATAAACTAAAACTAAAACTAAAAAAGTAGGCTTATTATTGAATGTTATAACAAGCATGGACGGCATTCAACTACTGGGACCCACGCTTCAATGTGCATTTATTTCTCGCAAGCTCCCGGGACCTGCGTAACACCTGGCTAATCTAAGGCGTTGCTGCACTGATCTGGCACTACGGTCCTGGGTGGTTGCAAGAATAGTTGAAGCAATAATATTAATTAATTAATTTATTACCACATCTCCATCTCTGGACTCCACCTCTCTCTCTCTCCTCTGTTTCAACCACATAATCAATCGCATAAGATTTTCGTTGCCGATGGTTTCTTTTTATACCCCTCGACCTCTCTCTTCCATTTAAGCCCCCACCCGATCCCTTCTCAGATTGAAATTACATCTTAGGAGCCCAACAGAATGGCCGGCGGCCGGAGAAATAAGTTCGAGCCCATCGGAAAATGCAGCACGGAGGGGCGGTCGAAGCAGACTGTGGCGGCTGACCTCGACGGAACTCTGCTGGTCTCGAACAGCGCGTTTCCTTACTTCATGCTTGTCGCCTTGGAGGCAGGCAGCATTCTCCGAGCCTTGCTGCTTCTATCGTCAGTCCCATTCCTCTACATCTTCTACATACTCATCTCCGAGTCTCTGGCAATCAAAACCCTGATTTTCATCGCCTTCTCCGGCCTCAAAATCCGGGACATAGAGATCGTGGCCAGGTCGGTGCTGCCCAAATTCTACGCGGAGGACGTGCATCCAGATGCCTGGAAAGTGTTCAATTCCTTCGGGAAGAGGTACATCGTCACTGCCTGCCCTAGGATCATCGCCGAGCATTTTGCCCGGACGTATCTGGGGGCGGATAAGGTTCTGGGCACGGAGTTGGCGGTGACGGCGTCGGGCCGGGCCACGGGGTTCGTGAAGAAGCCCGGCGTGCTCATTGGCGAGAATAAGAGAAGGGCGATTGTGAACGAATTTGGGGGTGAGAATAATTACATGCCTCCTGATGTTGGGCTGGGCGATAGAGACACTGATCACGCCTTCATGTCGGTCTGTAAGGTACCATAATAACCATACATAACCCTAATACGTAATTAATTAATTCTCTAGCTAGCTAGTTATTATGTTTAGATATTTATATTATGATTTGGTGTTTTTAATTAATTAGGTTTTTAAGAGAGTGCATGATTTGGTTACGTACGTACGACCACTTAGAATAAATATATATTTATGTATATATAGGTGGTAGGTAGTTCTGATATTATCCTAGTTGCAAATTTCTCATGCTAGCTGGTGGTTGTGGAAATTTACCAGCAGAATGCTTTCTTCGTGATCTTCTCTGACTCGTTATATTTGGCCTTCTTTAATAAAAGTAACTGCATATAGATATTATAATGTGTGAATTTTGAAATGTGTGTGTGTGTGTGTGCATGATGATATATTTGAAGGTGCATGAATTGGAGTTGTCGATCTGTGGTGCCGGGGTAGGTAAATCGAGAATTTTCTTGATCAAGAAAGTCCCAAACCAGAAGCTAGCTAGCCACACACTATTTATTTTTGCATCCACATAAACTTAAATACAATGTGTGGGTGAGGTGAGGTCTACTCCAAATGGATCTACTGTCCACATGGTTGATAGGTGGCTGCGTTTATTATTCACAGTTAGGCAATTCTTGATTGCCTTAACTGAACGTAGTTCGGGATATATATTCATCTTATTTAATAATTTCCACTACCCCCATGTTCTTCTATTAATTCCCTAACCAACCTCAACCCCTTGCAATAAATAGGACACACGTTGGGTTGGGTGGGGTGGGGGGAATAAATTAAATCATTATCGATTAAATCGGCCATTAATCACTATCATCATTATCACATATAATCAAAACAGTAATTTAGCTTGGATCTAATTGATCAATATCTGATTATGGGTGCAGGAGGGATACATGGTGCCAAGATCAAGAAAAACAGAAGCCCTCCCAAGAAACAAGCTTCTATCCCCAATAATTTTCCACGAGGGGCGTCTGGTCCAAAGGCCCACTCCCATTGTTGCATTAGTGACATTCTTGTGGATGCCCATCGGCATCATTTTGTCAATAATCAGAGTGTATCTCAACATTCCATTGCCTGAAAGAATTGTACGTTACACCTACATGCTTCTCGGAATCAAACTCATCGTCAAGGGCAACCCTCCGCCGCCGCCCAAGGCCGGCAACGGAGGCGTCCTGTTCGTCTGCAACCACCGCACCGTGCTCGACCCCGTCGTCACGGCGGTGGCCCTAGGCCGGAAAATCAGCTGCGTGACGTACAGCATCAGTAAATTCTCCGAACTGATTTCGCCGATCAAGGCGGTGGCTCTGTCGAGGGAGAGGGAGAAAGACGCGGCGAACATAAAACGGCTGCTGGAAGAAGGCGACCTGGTGATATGCCCGGAAGGGACGACTTGCAGAGAGCCGTTCTTGCTGCGGTTCAGCGCGCTTTTTGCGGAGCTTAGCGACAGAATCGTGCCGGTGGCGATCAATACGAAACAAAGCGTGTTTTACGGGACGACGGCGCGAGGGCACAAGTTCTTGGACCCTTACTTCGTGTTCATGAACCCCCGGCCGACGTACGAGATCACGTTCTTGAATCAGCTGCCGCCGGAGTTCAGCGTGAGAGGGGGCAAATCGGCGATCGAGGTGGCCAATTATATACAGAGGGTGGTGGCGGGGACGCTAGGGTTTGAGTGCACCAACTTGACCAGAAAAGACAAGTACGCCATGATGGCCGGCACTGATGGCCGTGTCCGAGTGCTGCAGCCCAGGAAGCACCATGTCGGAGGAGGCGACTCCGATCAACAAAACAACTGAAACGATCGATTAAATCATTCCATTCATATACGTACTCAAATGGGAGGGATCGGAAATCGGATCGGAGGGGCTAGGGATATATATATATATATATGTGAAAGTGAATTTGTGACGACATATATATATTTATTATAATTATGATAATGATTAAGAATATTAATTAATGAATTAATTGGCCTAATTATCAACAATGGGAGGGAGGCCATTGCTAAGTATTTATTAATATTTAATTTTTCGATCATATATGTGGTGTTTCGTGGTAATAAAGAAATGGGGAGTGTACTCAGCTTGCCATTGGCATTGTGTTTTGTGGGTTCTATTTCAGGCCAATTTGAGAAGGTATTTATTAATGAGGGTTGGCAATATATATATAGACATTGCAATAATATCTAAAGGTGGAAGGAAGCATACGTACGATTGGGGTGTGGACTCCACTCCCACTCCCACATGAACGAAATCAATGAAATGCTTGTGGTGATGACAACTCACCAACGACTAGGATGGTCTATGTAAGTATCCACCACAATAATTCAATTCTTATATATATTATAGTTTTATTCAATTATTGATATAAAGATATATATATATATAGGTACAGTTTTTCTTTTCTTTGTTCTTTTTTAAGCCCTGATCCAGAAAATGGACTGTGTCCGCTCTGGATCGGGTCTTTTTCATGGTCCTACTCACTTGGATGGAAAGAAAAAAAAGGCAAAAAGTGGATAAACATTGTTTTTAATGAAAAAAAAATCACAATGATTATCCTTTAATTAGATGTAATAATTTTTAAACTATTTGTCAATCACAAAAAATCAGCCACAACTGCATATCATCATGACAGATTGACATAGGGCTTAATGGATGAAGGAAAACATAGTTGACCAATTGTGACTCAATCATTGAGAGGCCTTCAAATCGATTTTATTCAAATTGGATAATTAAATCGACCAATTTAGTTCAATCGACTTTGCAAACGGTTTTGGAAGATATTTCTTAACCTATGGCAAACGCCGCTAACTGTTGATTGGAAATTACTATTTTAATTTTTTGCACTTTTTTTTTTTTTTTTTTTCATTCTAATTCCAAATTATATACTCTTCTGTTATGCAAATGTGTGCTTATTTGATCATACACGAATTTTTATAAAAATTAATAATAATTGTTATTTTTTTATAGTAAAAAAAATACAAAAATATAATAATTTTTTACTTAAAAAACCGAGAATATTTTTCAATGACAACCCAAAAAGAAAGTAAATATAGATTTGAACGACCGAGGGGCTATAAGAATTAAGTCCGAATCATTGTTTGAGTTTTACTATTTTTTTGTTAATTTTTCACTATTAACAATATTTAAATTGATAGAATTTGATAATAAGTAATCATTAAAATATATTAACATGATGAACTTTTACCTTGTAAGAAAATAAAAATAAAAAGCATTTATAGTAAAAAAATAATTTTGGGTTCAATTTAGATAGAAATTTAAAAATTCTAAATTAAAAAGCATTTATATCATTTTATTTGTCTAAAAAAAATAAAATAAAATATACTACTATTTTTTGCTTATAATAAATATTTTTAGATACATTTTAATTTATATCTTTCAATCATTACATTTATTTACGAACATACCACGACTATTTATATATTCGATCTATTCAAAAAAAAAATAAAATTGTTTAAGTATATATATTTTTTGTAGACCTAAGGGGTAATATTTTTTTTTTTGATAATTAATATTTATTAATAATATTAAACTTATAAAGAGATGCATAAACCGAAAATAATGCTAAATCAAATTTAATGAACTATAATAATTGTTATTTATTTTTTAAAGTAAAAATTTAGTTCATTTATTATAAAAAAAAAATACACATACTTTCTTTATTTGGGCTTATTCGTACCCGGAACACATGTTTCGGTAGCTGAGATTGCGCAAAAATTCTATATTTTTATTTGTTTTATTTTAAAATATTGCAATTGACTATTTTACCCTCGTTTATTTCTTTATTTGGATTTTATTATTATTATTTATTTAATAATGGAGAGTTTTGCTTAAATATATTATGTGAGTTTTAAATAGAAACAAAAAGATATTGAAGTAGATGTTGAGGCTTGTCTGTAATGGAAATTTGGGAATTTTGTATGTATTTATATCTATAGATAGATAATACTTATAAAACTTTAGTTATATCTTTAAGATTTAGTGGAGGATTTCTTGAATTAGAAAATGAAGAATACTTTAAAATTAATTTTGAACGCAAAACAATTGGAGACTGATCTTGATTCTTCCGGGGCCAGGGACCTGCGTTTTTTCCTTTGCTTCTTTCCAATTGTATTAGTCCATCAATGGTCGTCGTATAAATTTTTTAATTTTTATTCTCCCAACTTGTCCAATACGATTATCTTCGGCAGTGTTCGTCGGAGGGCAGCGGCGAAGCCAGAAAAGAAGCGGAGGAGAGAGAAATGCGTTGGTTTCATTGAAGATGAATTTTAAATTAAAACTAAGTAATTATCCGATTAGGATTTGGGTGTTAAAAATAAATAAAATATATTTGTACTAATTTTAAAGACCTTTCTTGTTAGCGTTTGATCTATAAAAAGGTTGAAAATAATACAAACTTATGTCTAAACTAAATGAATTTATTTTTAACTGATTAAATATAAAAAGTAAGGTATTTTTTATGATAATTTTAAAAAATAAATATGATTTTTGAGGAAGGAGGAAAATTTTAATGAAAGATTTTATTAAATAGAATAAATATTATACTCTAAAGATTTTATTTATTTTTATATTTAATATAAAAAAATATCATATAATTTAATGGATGAAAATAGTACAATATATTTTTTAAAATTAGTATTAATAAATAATATTAAGATTTTCGCACATCTATATATATAAGGTTTAATAAGTTTTTCTTTTTCCTTATATCTATAAACATTGATATAGTAATATCGGAAGAAAAGTCCAAAAATGTTGGATGCACCGTCAAAATGTGTAATACCCTAATCGCAACACTGACACCCAGAAAAGAACGAGTCTTTCTCCAACTCCAAATCCATACAAAGCCGCCGCCGTGAATGGATGACCGGAATTCCTCCCCCACAACCACAGCCGGCGGCGGGGATAGCGGCGAACGGATTAAGCTCAACGTCGGAGGCAAGCTCTTCGAGACAACCGTCTCCACTCTCCGGTCGGGAGGTCCGGATTCCCTCTTGTTCGCCCTCTCAAACCGGCCGGCGCATGATGCCGTTTTCATCGACAGGGACCCGGAAATTTTCTCCATCCTCCTCTCCCTCCTCCGCTCCAATCGCCTCCCCTCCACCGCCAAAGGCTTCTCAAATCAAGAGCTGATCGACGAGGCCCTGTACTTCGGCATCGAGTCCCAACTCAAGGCAGCGCTCGCCCCAATTCCTTTCAATGGCATAGGCGCTTCTCTATTCACCACCGTTAAACCCTCCTCCGACGGCGTCGTTTCCGACTTCAACGCCATCGACTCGGATGGATCGTTGTGGATGGCCCACGGCGGGCAGATTTCCGTCTACGATTGGAACCTAACCCACACGGCAACAGTGCGTACGCATTTTGATTTCATCGATTCGGTGAAGAGAATCCGGCCGGAGATTGCTGCCGTCGGGTCCTCCAATGCATCGGGCTTACATATCTTTAACATGGCTGACGGGCGACGAATCCACTCGGTCGATTGGGTTGACCCCTCCGATGTGAGGATATACAAGGCCCGAGTTCACGCGATCGCTGACTCGGAGGATTCTGTATTCGCTTCCTACGATTGCCAACATGGGGAGAATTGCATTTTAATGATCGACAAATCGACAATGAAGATTTCGTCCGAGTTCGGGAGAATGTCCGGCAGTTCCACGAAACAGCAGGTCCCTTCGAAGCTCAAGTACATTTCAGACATTGGGCTTTTGTTTGGTAGTTCTGTGACTTCAGGACCGTTTGGGTGTTCAGGCTACATTCGGTTATGGGACCCGAGAACCCAAAATGTTGTCTGGGAAGCCAACGAGCCAGGCTCCGGGAGGAGCAGCCGATTTGGGGATTCCTTTGCGGCTGCAGATGTCGATTTGGACGAGTTGTTGCTCTTCAAGGTTTGCTCCACCTCAGGAGATGTGGGCATGGCGGATTTGCGGAAATTGAGCGACGATCCATGGATTTATTTGAAAGAAAAGAATCCAAGCATGAGGAGTGCAAGAGGGATTAGTATTGGCAGTTTCGTCTTGCATTGTTACCGAAAGCAAGTGTTGGTAGGGAGTGATGGCGAGCTGGAGGTGTGGTCGAGGGTGGAGGGCAATGGGAACTCGGAGGAGATTGCAGTTGAAGATTTATATAGGAGGAACTACGTGGATAAAGTGGAGGATTCGGAGAGAGGTGTCATCAAGAAAATAGAAGGAGGTTGGGATAGGCTTTTTGTGACTAGAGAAGATGTCGAGGGGATTGAGGTATGGCAAAGTTCTTGCAACTCTGGTGTGGTTTCCGTTCAATGATATTGGTTGGGCTTGAAATTCTCAATCTTGATCAGTACTGGATCTGCTGTGTGAAGTTATTAGCCACTGGGATCCTTATTGAGCAATGTGTTTTTACGTTTCGATAATTGTTGGTTTCTGTTAGTTAGTATCCACGAAATAGGTCGATTCTTGGACGCATCCATCACTAATCTTTCTGTTGATGTTAGAGATGTGTAACTTAAGCATTTCATAAAGATAACTACTCATCATTCTTGGACTCTGCATATTAACGCCCAAATATTTTATCTATCTATCGAAGACTTGAAGTCGTCGACGTCCCAACACCAACCATTGTATGAAGGCATGAGATTTTCTTCACAAGTACGTGCTCTCTACAATGAACCTTCAGCCCGTAGACTTTACCAAGAGTTCAACGATGATGTAAATACCCGTTGACAATTTGGAGATTGAATTATTAACGCGTGGTACGATACACTGCAGATCCTATTCAGCCTATTTCTTGAGTCTCTCTTCTACGCGCTCAGCTGCAAAAACTGAAAAATAAAGGGTTGACATTTTAGGGAAATTTCGTTTCCTGTATGTATGTATAAATGCACATCCTCGCCTGCATTAACTACCAGAAACCCAATTCTCAAAGCTGAGCTTTCTTTCTTTTGGTTGATATTTTTTTGCTGCCTGTGAGAAAATAACCTGCTATTAGTTGAGCTGGATTAATGGCTACGGTTGGGAGAGTAGTGGGTAAGCCATATATAAACCATTCTAATCAACGATTATAATCTCTATATATTGTCGTTTTCTTCCTTCTGATTTAATTGGTTTCCTTGCCTTGGCCTGCCTCTTCTTTGCAGTTCTTCTATGGGCGGACATACTGGCTGTCTATTCTCTGTACATAATGATGACCTACTTGACCGACGTTTGGGGGGTTGGGTTCACCCACGCTGCTGCCATTGTCAACATGTTCTGGGGTGTGGTCACAGTCTCCCCATTATTCGTCGGATATGTAACCGAGACGTTGCTGGGCAATTACTTGACGCTCTTGCTCTCCAGCATTGCTTACAGTGCTGTAAACCCCAATCCCTTTACCACTAATTTGTGTTCAAATGATATAATCACAAGTAAATCATGCTGCCTTTTATCTATTTAATTTCAGGGGTTGGGATTTTTAACCATGTCCACTCCACCAGTGTTGGCAGATTCCCTGGGAACCTGCAGTGATTACAAGGCTGACTGTATTGGCCATGGCCAGAAAGCTCTGTTCTACGCAGCATTGCCTTTAATAGCTTTCGGGATGGTTGGCCATTTGACTTCTATGAACCAATTCTTGGCCGAGCAGCTGAGTGATGAAGATCATGACAATCTCCACATAGGCATATTCTGGCGGTTCTTTTCTGGCATTCTAGCCGTGATCATTGTAACCTTTGTTGCAGTCTTCGCACTCCCCTATATAAAGCCATGGTCTCTCCGTTTCGGAATCCCTGCCATATGCTCTTTGGTTGCCACTCTCCTGTTCATAAGTGGCTCATGTTCTTACAACTATTTCAGACCAGCAGGTAGTCCTCTGACAATGTTTGTCCGAGTGTTTGCGGCTGCTGGTTCCAAGTTGTTCTATCGAACACCAAAAGACCCCAACGATCTATATGAGATCCAAAATCCTCAGCTTTACGTGGTTCCCCATACGAGGAGCCTCAGGTGCTTGGACAAGGCTGCAATTCTGATCCCTACAAAACCGCACGAGGAACAGGAAAATAACATATGGAGACTCTGCAGGGTTACAGAGGTCGAAGAGACGAAAACCATCTTGCGAATGATTCCTGTGTGGATGACTTTCATTTTATGCGGAGTTATCTCCTCCATAGGATTCACCTACTTCATTGAGCAGCTAAATCATATGAACCACAAAGTTGGGCGCCTCAAGGTCCCCATAGTTGTCTTCCTTTTGTTCTTTGAACAAGCTCAGAATGTATTCGCCACGCTCTATCTCAAGCTTGCAAACGTATTAAGCCAAAATGGATTTAAAAAGTTTGCCCCTCCAATAGGGATTTTGATATCAATGATCCTTGCAATTCTCTGCTGCATCACTGCAGCCAAAGTGGAGAACCGAAGGCTTGGCGTGGTGCAAAGGCACGGGCTTGTAGACAAGCCGGATGAAACAGTGCCGATGACAATGTTCTGGCTGCTTCCACAGTTTGTCCTCCTTGGTGGATTTCAGGGGGTGTTCACCTGCAGTGCAGTTTATTTTTTTGTGGATCAATCACCTAAGTCGGTGGAAGGATACTTGCCGCATTTCATCATCGGCGTGTCTGGCTTGGGGTTTCTTGGGGATGTGCTGTTGGTGTTCGTGGTGGGAAAGGTGAGCGAAAGAGGAGGGAAAAGGAACTGGTTCCAGCACAATTTGAATGGGAGCAGACTTGACAAGTATTTCTGGACATTGTCTTGGCTGATGGCTGTCAATCTCGTGATATTCGTCGTGGTTGCGATACTGTATCGGTACCAGGAATCTGAGCTGGAAGAGTTAGAGAGTCCTGAATTTGGTGGGATGGACGAGGGATACGATGATAATGCCAGGTGCTGCAGCGGTTTCTGCTGTTAGAATATGGATTGAATCTTGACCTGAAAACAATTAGTGCTTTTGTGAATTCGTTTCAAGTTTCTGCTATTGATTATTGAATGTATAGCCCAAATAAACTAATAAGTGCATTCTTTAATCTCCATATACAGACAATATTCTAAACATATTTTAATTGGCTCCACAACTAGTTACAGCTAATGGGCAATGTCTCATCCATCCTTTGCAGTGTGAGATGTATTTGGTATGAACATGCAATAGACAATGAAGAATATTGGAAATGAACACGTGATTGATTGATTATATTTGCATTTTTATTTTTTTTTTATCCCCAACTTGATGGAAAACCAGGTGTCAATAATATACAGAGGACAAATTCGAAGTTGGTTCAATTTAGCTTTCCTCGTTATTTCCAGTATATGCATTATTCTTTAAAGGTGTTACGTATTTATGTCTGTTTGCTGGTTGGGTTGGGTTGGTTGCTTCTCTCTATTGACATTATTGAACTGATCTGGACTATATTATTAATTATATCCAATTTGCACTTCAATATTTACTACCTACTTTATCAAATGAGGTATGTTAGAGCTATTATCTATTTGGACATTTATAATAAGAATAATTCCTCGATTGACAATCTATATAGTATTTTATATTTGATATTCCAAGCAATGAAATTAACTCTGGTATTGGAAGTACTCACTTTGTTTGTAGCTAATGTTTTCATCTTTTCATCACAATTTCATCAATGAATGGGAAAAGCTGAAAACACAAATGGGGAATGGTTATAAATTTAGAAGGCTGAACCAAACAACTACAAGATTTTTATGAAATGAATCAGCTACTTTTGGACAGTCAAACGACATGGCTACTTATGCTCTTCACTTTTGGCTCTACACTGTACTGTTCGTTCATATCTAAAGCTTTTTACCCTTTTTGCTGAATCTACACTACTTTACTTGAGTTGGCTAAAAGAAGAAATAAGACATATCCTCAAAATCATTTGACAAAAAAAAAAAAAAAAAAAAATTTAAAGAAAAAAAGAGAGTCCTTTTCCATAATATGGATTAGAGGAAACGGAGACATGTCTCGATTGAAATATCCGTCCTACTCTATTGTGTTCTATTATATTTCTTCTTATTATCTTTGGAAATTTTGGCAGGTCGATGTGAAGTCAAGGTCCACCAGTGTTTAATTATTCAACTGGCTGGTTGTTATGGTGTGAACAACGTTATTTCAAAATATAGTATAGTAGTTAACCTTTGTATAAATCCGGGGAAGGTGCGGTTTGGTGGTGAGGCCAGCAAGCTGTATTCTTTAGAATTTTTTAGTATGGTGTTTTACCCTGATCAAGAGCTAGACAAATCAATCCATAGGGTAGAATAGCAAAGTACCCCCTGCTATCATTCTTTCCAGACACCCTTTTTCTCTACCTCCCTATACTTGAGTTATTCTCAGTCACTGAGCAAGAGGAGAGAGGACAAGAAAAGAAGTAGAAGAACGTGTGGGCTTTATCCAATACAGTGCCAATGTATTGCTCACCATCCTCGATAGATGTTTTGCTATTTCTGATTTCTCTGTTTGATCCTTGAGTTGAAGAATAATCTTTGATTGAGCTTTTCAGATGTTTTTTTATCTGATTGTTTCTTGTGATTCGTTGACAGAAAGCTGAGGCCGTTGCATTAATTTAGTAATGGGGGAAAGCTTTATCAGGATTTCGGGTAAAAGATATACTTACCCTCTTCCTCTATGATGTGTTTTGTTTGCTCACATTTTATTGAGATTGAAGAGTGTTTATACTTTACATTGCAGTACTTCTGTGGGCCGACATACTAGTGGGATTCGCATTATTTGTGATGCAAAACTATCTTACTGATGTTTGGAAATTAAGCTTTACTCATGCTGCTGGAATATTGAATATTTGGAATGGAATTAATATGATCCTGCCTGTCTTCTTTCTGTTCTTGGTTGATGTGGTGCTGGGGAATTTCGGAATGCTCTTGATTTCTAGCATAGCCTACTCCCTAGTGAGTTGTTTCTGCAAGTTTCAATTCCTCCAATGGCGTGGCTCAATTGTGCACTGATTTTTATTACCACTTCTTTTATTGCATTCTTGTGTTTTAGGGCATTGGATTTGTTGCAATGTCAACGCCGCCGGTGCTTGCCAATTCCACAGGCACCTGCAAAGAATACGAACCCAAATGCATTGGCCATACGCAGAAGACTCTATTCTACACAGGCATGGCATTGATAGTTGTTGGAATGGCTGGTAATCTTGTCTCCGTGCGTCCTTTCCTCGAGGAACAGAAGAAACCGTCTGAGGATGGGGACCTCGACGAGCAAAATCCGCCGTCTGGGAATGGTGACATTGACGAGCAAAAGAAGCAGGCTGAGAGGGACCGTGCCAGGAAGGCTTCTTCTCCCCTAAGAGATTTCCTGAAATTACCCACTTTCACAGTGATGGTGATCATACCTATAGCTGGAGCCATTGCACTTCCATACATAAATCCATGGACCCTTCGGTTCGGAATCCCTGCAATCTGCACTGCTGTTGCAACGTTTCTTTTCTTGACTGGTTTATGTTGGCTCCCATACGAGAAAAGAGAACCGAGGGGAAGCCCTATCACTAATATATTCAGGGTGTTTGTGGCCTCTGTTTCCAAGATATGCCAGTCGTATCCACGAAATGCGAACCTATACTTGAAAGATGATCAGGGTCCTCAGAGCTTCAGACAAACTCGTTTTCTCAGGTATATTTTGTCTGTTATAATTCACTTGGTCGGAAACAAGGTAACGGAGTTAGTTTCTTGAATATATATAATTCAGGTGCCTGGAGAAGGCTGCCATCACAAAGGATGGCACGACCAAAGAAGAGCAACAACAAGCGAGGACTAGATGGAGACTGTGTTCAATATCAGAAGTTGAAGAGGCCAAAATAGCTGTTCGGATGATTCCCATGTGGCTGACCTTCATAATCTGCGGGATAGTGTCATCCTTCGGAAACACATACTTTGTGGAACAGGCAAATCACCTGGACCGCCATATCGGAAAGTGGAATGTTCCTATTCAAGCACTTCTTTTGTTCTCCCAGTGGTCGAAATCTTTACTTTCAACAGCAGCATCCTGTTTGGTTAAGAAACATACAACATATGGGCCGGCATTTGGGATTGGAACAGCAATGGTGTTCTCAATTCTATGTTGCATAACTGCTGCAAGAACCGAACAGCGCAGGCTGCATACTATCGGAAAGCACAACTTATGGGACAAGCCTGAGGATGACATTCCAATGAGTATATACTGGCTGCTCTTCCAGTTCTTCCTTCTGGCTGGCCTGGATTCTTACTTTGAAAAGAGTGTTAAAGCCTTCTACGACTATCAGTCTCCTGACTCAATGAAGCCTTACTTGATGTATTTGAGCAAGGCAGTGTTTGGTCTGGGATTTATTTTCAATGTTCTGTCGGTTTACGTGGTTGGAAAGATAAGTGAGAAGGGAGGGAAACGCAACTGGTTTCAGTTCAGCCTGAACAACAGTCGCCTGGATCGGTATTACTGGGTGCTGGCTACTCTAAGTGCTGTGAATCTGTTGGTTTTTGCTGTGGTGGCTTGTTGCTACAGATACAAGAACTTGGAAGCTGGGAGTGATGAAGGGGGAGACGTAGAGATAGATGCTGTCCCCAGTGGAGAGGCCGAGGAAAAACAGTATTGTTCATTCTGTTGTTGAAAATTTTTCTGTTGAAGTCTTTGCTTCTGTGTTTGGGCATAGCATAGGCCAGGTTTTGTTGGAGTATCTTGTGTGAATGTATGTCCATCTATGCTATTGCTGTTAGCATAATATGAATAACTGAGGTTGCAGTAGCCATCTTTGAAGACCATATGAATTATCCTCTCCTCTGTTATTTGTAATTATAGTTTTTATATTAGAAAGAAAACAACTTGTCTATGTCTATCCTTTTTGCTACAAGAAAACTGTAAATTTAATAAGAAGCAAGTGCCTAACACCACCAAAGGTCAGAAAATAGCAATGCAAGCAACACTTGATGAGTACTAATCACTTTATTTGCATATGTATGTATTATATTGGATGCTTAAAAAATGAACTAATTAGGTTCCAGTCAGACAATGTTTAAAGCACATGACATGATCAGCCATGATTTGTGATCCTACTTGTTGCCCATCTGCAACTTGTGTCCGAAATCATTATCATTTTTCACTGGGCAATAAGAAAATCCCAGATTTCATGATATCGACGCTCCCATCATTGAATTATGTATATTATCTTTTGCTATTGAAAAATTAAAATTAAATAATAGATCTTACAAGTTACAAGCCCATTTTTGGAAAAGATTAAAAATAGGAATTTGGTGTGTACGAAAAAGTAAAGAGTGCGTGCGTAAGTAGAATTCGTTCTTATCAAGTCATTGCATTTAGTTGCTTAAAAACTCTAATGTATGTATAAATAATAAAAGAAATCAGCCACGATTTAAATACTGATTTAGAAACAGGTGGTATTAGTTGTAGTTTTCGTAAATTGCCCAAAGTCTTGAATACATATTTTAATGGGGTCAGAAAAAACCAAGTTAGGCTTTATTATATTATCAAAGACCCCACCCACGAAAGAAAGGAAAATGAAAACAGAGCCCCTTTCCACCATTAATTGGAGGCAGACTGGCAGAGCATATGCTTTTCATCTTCGACTTATTCCCTAACACCTGCGAATATCCATCCGGATGAGCCCTCTACGGCCCCGCAGATTCCTCCCTCTTTCTTAATTCGAACGGTAATCTCTCTAAGGAATCAAAGGAACCCAAAGTCCCCTCTCCAACCCGAAAGCCCTCCATTCCAAGTCACCGTTCAAATAATAGCGCTACTATTTAACATCGTCAGAACCATAACCAATCATGTCCACTTCCTCTCTCTCTATAAATCTTGCTCTCGCCCATCCTTGCGTTTCAGCGTCCACTTCTTCTTGTTCGTACAAGTTTACTCCTGCGGCCTTCGTTTCCGGCGTCTGTATATCCGGAATTCGTAAACCCATTGGCCCAATTCGTTTAAAGACACAATCTTTGCAGTGCAGGGGATCGAAGAGGAGGAAAGAGTTGAAATTCTTCAAGGTTGGATCTTTTAGGGAAACGTCCTTTGTTGCAGCTTGCTCCGACAACGACATGACTATCAGAGAGTTCAGAGAAGAAGAGGAGGAAGAGGATAATCCTCCCCCTTTGCTTGAGTCTGAGATGAATTCAACTCCTAGACGCATTGCACTCTTTGTTGAGCCATCTCCCTTTGCGTGAGCATTTAATTCTGTCAATTTGTTTCTGCTTCACAGTGCTTCACGTTACACAATCTTGTTGGTTCTTTTTTTTTTTTGACTGAATAATGTTCATGTGACAAATTATGTAACTACATTGATTTTGTATTCTCTGCGGTCCACATTACCTTTTGGGTGTAGAGTCCATATGTTGACCACATATTTATGATTTATTAACTGAATGCGCGTAGTTTAGTTTGCCAATGAACAATTTGAGCTCATTTGATTCCCTAACCTTCTGCACGACTAATGTTTGAAGTGCAGAACATATGCTATTTGTTGTTGATTATCTAAATCTTGCTTGAGCCATCAAGCTAACTACATCTGGATGGCTTCTGTTTATATCAACATATCTAAGTACCCTATACCTGTTCTTATTCTTATTCCTACATAGTACTCTTTTTTTTTTTTTTTTTTTTTAATACTTTAGTGCTGTCCCTTATTTATGTTGAATTCAAATTTCCTTTGAGATCCACTTTTCAGCATGTTATATTCTGTTTTCTGTTACTTTTCTCTACATGAACCTTTTTTCTTTTTTTTACTAAAGATATTTGTTGATAAATTTAGATCATAATCAAATGTCTTAATTGACTAGGCTGTTTTAAGGAAAATTTTAGATTCCCTTTCCTGTAGTTGTAGGTCTTTGTCGCCTTATTAATCTTATGTAAAAAAACCTCAATGCATATTCCATTAGTAGCTAATAACACTATTTGTTGTCTGTCTGTTTCTTGATGTCAATATGATTTTCATAATATTTTAATTGAGTCATATTTTTACATTTTCTATATTCTTGCCTTTTCTTTCAAGTCCTGAAAATGTTTTAGGTGACAATATTTTTTCTGAACTCGATGCAGTTATGTATCCGGATATAAAAACAGGTTCCAGAATTTCATTAAATATCTACGTGAAATGGGTGATGAGGTATGTTCTTGTTTATTCATATAGAATTTCAAAACATTTTTTTTTTTCGATAAAGGGAACAAGGCATTTGTTTCTCTTGCATGTTAACTTTCACATTGCTTAAAAATGGCTTTGGGATCACAGGTCAAAATTTCATGAAATCAATTATGTTTTCAGGTCATGGTCGTGACAACTCATGAAGGGGTGCCACAGGAATTTTACGGCGCTCATCTAATTGGTTCAAGAAGGTTTGTCTCATGAAGGATGAAGTCAGATTATGCTTTGATTGCATCAAGATGATTGATGTATTAATTGCAGTTGCTTTTCTGTGGATGATGTTTTGTTTCTATGCATAATTTCTTTTAATTCAAAATGCAGTTTTCCTTGCCCGTGGTACCAAAAAGTTCCCTTATCACTAGCACTTAGCCCCAGAATAATATCAGCAGTGGCTCAATTCAAACCTGATATTATACACGCATCATCTCCCGGCATTATGGTATAACCTAAGAATTGCTTCTTCCATCATTTTATAGCTTAATTGTATAAGAGTTCATTTTCATTGCTGCTTTGTTGATGATATTTTACATCTGTTGTAGGTATTTGGGGCACTGATCATTGCAAAATTATTAAGTGTTCCTATTGTGATGTCATATCACACCCATGTTCCTGTGTATGCTCGATCAAGCTCTTTTCTTCTGTGTTCTACATTGATATTTACCCTAATTTCATTCCTTGTAAAATTTTGTGTGGTTCTGTCAAATAACACTTGCCATTTTTTCTGATTACAATACTATATTTTGCAGATATATACCCAGATATACCTTTAGTTGGTTGGTTAAACCCATGTGGTTAATTATAAGTATGTCAACTTTCTCCCAGCTCGATTTGAGGTTGGGTTTACAGCTACGGAATCACTCATATTTGTTAATTTTTTTCCAGAATTTCTACATAGAGCAGCTGATCTTACACTGGTGCCTTCAGCTGCTATTGCGAAAGATCTTGAAGCTGCTAGAGTAACAGCAGGTGAAAGAAAATTAACAATCTTGATATTCTTCAAACAGAAATATAAACACTGCAAGTAAAATTGTTTTCAGCCTTGATCCTTTCAAACTAGTCAATATCTTTGCCCTTCAATGTAAACAAATTTTTTATACATTGCATACTACACATCATTTTTTTTCTTTTTATATTGACTAATCAGCGTTGAAGTTAGAATCTTACATTTTCCTTCAATTTGCAGCTAACCGAATACGCCTCTGGAACAAGGGAGTTGACTCTGAGAGCTTCCACCCGCGATTTTTCTCTCATGAAATGAGAGTAAAATTAAGGTAAGAACCTTTCGCGATCATCATGATTTTAATCCACATTCAAGTCCAATTTGCTGATAAATTTGTTAAATTAGCAATGGAGAACCAGACAAGCCATTGATAGTTCATGTTGGACGTCTTGGAGTGGAGAAGAGTTTGGATTTCCTCAAAAGGTATACAGCGGCTCTAATTTTCCAGGAAAAGCATATAAGAAAGATTCCTCATTGACTTTTTAGATTTCCCCATTATTACATTGTAACTTATCACTAAGATCTCATTTGGCTGACACAGGGTCATGGATGAGCTCCCCGAGGCTCGAATAGCTTTTGTTGGTGATGGTCCCTATAGGTGAGACACAACACTATTTGCTTTCCCAAAGAGCCTTATTGTCATCGTCTTATATTAATTAGTGTTTCCTTTCTGTTTAGAGAGGAGCTGGAGCAGATGTTCACAGGAATGCCTGCAGTATTTACCGGCATGTTACAAGGAGAAGAGCTTTCTCAAGCATACGCCAGTGGAGATGTTTTTGTGATGCCTTCAGAATCTGAGACCCTTGGTCTTGTTGTCTTGGAGGCAATGTCATCGGGGCTCCCTGTAGTTGCTGCTCGAGCGGGTGGTATTCCTGACATCATCCCTGATGATCAGCAGGGGAAAACTGGCTACCTGTTCAATCCTGGAGATCTCGACGACTGCTTGAACAAACTGAAACCTCTTTTGCAGGATAAAGAACTGAGAGAAACTATAGGCAAGGCTGCGCGAGTGGAAATGGAGAAGTATGATTGGCGGGCAGCAACTAGGAAGATACGCAACGAACAATACAATGCTGCCATATGGTTCTGGAGAAAGAAACGAGCACAGTTCTTGCGACCGTTCCAGTGGCTGTTCCGCCGGGTTTTCCATGCCCCCGCAATTTGAATGTTCTCTACGGTGGGAAATGAAATTAATAGGGTGGCTGTGATGATCTCTGGAAAATCTCCCAAGGTATTTGCATTGCCAATCTGTGTGTGATCTGCAATTCCCAATGTGTGGTTGGATTGGATTATAGAGTGATGTAATATCGATTCCTTGAGTTTGTTGGCTTAGGTTTGATGTCTGTGTCTTATAAACCCAGAAAGGGAACAACAATTTAAATGTGTAGGGTGGATTGTGTTATTTTTTCTATGCAGATTAGGGTGGATTTATTTATCTTGTGTATCTATCTTCAATGGAAATGTTGATAATTGAAGTGTCAGCGTTGGATATATTAGGTGGGCCAACTTTGATTGATATTTCTTGCACTAGTGGACAATTGAAGATTGATTATGAGCAAAATCAAACGCTGTAGTTGCGCATAAATGAACATAGCACACCATAACTGATGGTTACTCGTCGTCTAAAATCGAAGTATCCCACCCAACTTGTACATTGTGAGTGCCATCTGTGTTTTGACTTTAAACCAGCTTGTTGAACTCGAAACAAAATCATGACATGACCCATTACCATTATAAATGAATCAATACTATATTCTCAAGTGAAGTAAAGACAAATGAGTGCCACGTGAGCAACAATCCAATCCAATCCAAAATGGTGGCAAGTACAATGCACAAATTCCAAGTGGACAGAATGGGTACGAAGCAAACGTCGCACATAAATCCTGTTGTGTTCTGAACTGTTCAGTTCAGTTCAGCTCAGCTAGCTGCTAATTCAGAAGAGAAGCAGAGCTGTAGTCCGACGTGTGACTGACAGTGACACTGACTGACTGACCCGTTACAAAACAACAAAAGAGTTGGATACACCGGATATTGCTGCCCACTCCAATTTGGACATTCAACTGCCACCTTATCTTGTCCATCACCCACTACTGCTCTACTACTACTACTCGTTACATTACATTGCATTGCATTACATTACATTACATGTGTTCTATTTTCTCTCTCTCAGCCCGCCTTGTCTTTATCCTTGCTTTGTCTTGTCCATCAATTTCATTGCCTGCAACTCAATCCTAACCGTGTTGTTGCTGTTGTTATTTATACAGTACTAACCAGGGATTATACTCTACTCCACATTCCGGGCATGAACGAACGAACGTTTGTGTAAATCAAAATGACAACTTCATTTGTACTGACTGCCCCACAATCATCATCATCATCATCATCATCATCATCATCTTCATATTAATAACATTACGGTGAATCACGCAACACAAGAGTAGAAGCTAATTTGATTAATTAATTAATTACTGTTTCTCCAGAGACATACTGCATGAATTCTGAATCATTCTCCAGACCCGCCATCGTTTCGGGCGCGAGAACCACTTCTAGATCCACGCTCCCATTTCCGGCGGCGCCCGGGAACGCTGAGATCTTGCCGTCGAATTTGTTGGCCCGGCCGCTCCTCACCGCCAAGGGACGGCCCCACCCGAAGTCATTATCGTACATTGGAAACCTTGGGGAGCTTCCCATGGTGATCATGGCTCCATCGAAGTTCCCAAGCGGGAACAGTCTTGGATTGTTTTCCCAGTCTTTGACGCCGCGTCGAACTGTGGCGTCGTCGTGCGCCACCACGTTGTGGTGCAGAAGATCGGCTCCCCAGCTCAGGTCGTTCGTTAAGAGCTCTCCGGCCTTGGCCGCCGTCGGAATGCTTTGGATTGCGTTCCCGAAGTAGAGTGGCTTCAGGCGGGGCTCCAGCCGGTGCCTGCAGTTCACGGCCATTCTAAACGTCGTCGTCTTGTCGGGGCTTAGATTCCTGGCACGTGTCACCGCTCGCCACAAATGCGCGCAGAGTGATTGGAATGAAGAGATTTCAGCCGTTGGATCTTTCTTCGACACGATGTCCCCGAAAACGGACGTTATGGTTCCGTTAGTTTTGCAGTTAGCACCCCAACTGTCGTTCCTCTGCTTTCCCACTGCTTCCCCTGAAATTTCGGGCTTGAGGGCCGGGCTATTTGCCCGGAATTTCAGTTTCAGAATTGCCTCTCTGCTGAAATGGAATATCTTCTCGCGCAAAGGCTCGTCGCCTGAGAAAGTCGCGGCCGGACCGCCGTCGGGAACTGGGAGCACCGCCGGAGAGTCAAAAACAGTGTCGCGAGTGAAGTCCGGGGATTTGGAGATCTTCTTGGCTCCTCGCGCAAATTCCGCCAAGGTATTAAAGAAATTCCAAAATGAGGTCCCGTCCACGACGGCGTGATTCATTGTGCACCCGACGAAAACGGCGTCGTTAAGCTCAGTGACCTGTACGGCCACGAGCGGCTTAGTGTGGCCAGCATAGCTAAGGGTGTTATCATATTGGAAGAAGCGGCGGTAGACCGGAGGGATGTCGCAGCCCGGCGGCGGAAGCAATGCGGTGGATGTGAGGTGGGGGGCCTTGGCGTGGAAAAACTCGACACCGTGGTCGTTGCAAAGGATGCTGACGTGGCCGGCGTGGTTGGTTTGGAGTCGGCCGGCGAGAGCGGGGAAGTGAGAGAGGGTTCTTGAGAGAGAGAGCTTGAGGAGGTGGAGGAGGTCCGGCGAGGAAAGCGGCGGGGAGGGGAGGAGAACGCCCTTTTGAATGTAGTGGCATGCGAGCATGGGAAGATCGGAGACGGAGAGCCTTAGGGAACGGATGGTGGAGTTGTGGTCCGGGTGTATGGTGCATTTAGAGACGACGACGACTGAAGAAGACGGCATCGTTAATTTCGTTATTGTTATTATTTATTTGTATATATGATAATATGATGATTTAAATGAGAAAGAAAGAGAGTGAGTGAGCAGTAGGAGTGGTGAGTGTTTGTGGGGAATGAAGGAGAGGCTGGTCGTTATGTATATATAGGTGAAGAGTGATGTGGACGGGAGGGTGGGTTCATGCACATGGACATGGTCAATATAGAACATACTAGCTAGCTAGTATATGTTATGTTTGTTGGACAACGGGCACGGGCAGGGGCACGCCACATACATTAGCTGAACTCCGACGTTGCCCCATATCACACACACACTCACACTCACACTCACAGAGAGTTTGGGTGGGGACACTTGTCGACGCGCAGTGCCCTCTTCTTCTATATCCTCAAATTCAATCGCCAACTCCCTCCCCTTCTCAAACTCCAATTCCAAAATGTTTTAGGGATCTATAAATAAATGAAAATTAATATATATATATATATTTATAAATTAAAAGAAAATTGAACTTTTTTGCCTAAATATGTATAACATGACCATACTTTTTGTGTATAATAAACTAAAATGGTACAAGTTGGAGGAAGCTAAGTATTACCTAAATGAGGGTTTCTACGGCGCGAGCCAGGTGGTTAAATATGGTCTCTAGGCCCTATATTAATTAAATTAATTGATTAAGCGAATCCCATGGGAGAGGGAGGGGGCCTTGCATTTCTTGGAACTGTGCATGAATGATTTATTATCAACAAAATTTTGACGAAACCAGCTATAGCTAGAGGGAGATCAATTGATTAGGTAAACCGGTCGATCATATTCATATTCATTAGGCAAGTCGACCTATGATTGTGATTAAGTTATATGATTCTAATTCAGATTCAGATTCAGATTCAAATAATTAGACAGACGGTGGCCCATGCATGTAACCTTCCTTCACCGTCCAACAAGGAAATACAATACAATACAATACAATACAATTACCCTTAACATGCAAACCACGTGCAGCAGACTAACTAAATTTACCCCAAAACACCCATACACGCCATGTGGAAAACAAGCCTAGCCTAACCATCACCTTTTATTTTATTTGGCACTTCCCCTTTCACATAGTAAAAAAAAGTAAAGAAAATAAATCAATAAAAAATAGTGGGTAGTCGCATATCCATAGACGACCATATATAGGGAGGGGAGAATTAATGCGGCAATGAGTTTCCCATGATTTAATTTTTATTATATATTTATTTCCACGTAAGGCCCACGAAGGGGAAAGTGCTGACTATAATGGCTTGCCCCTCTTTTCTCTTTCCAATTGGTTAAATTAAACGTGATCATTTTGCCTGATATGATTAACTTTGGTTCAAAAGCAATCATTTATTTCTTCTCTCTATAATAAAATCCAGAGTGGCGACTACTAATACTATGGTCAAAGAGTACATCTTCATGGTTCATGCACCTTCAATTTTAAAACCTCACTCACTGACGACTTTTAAAATCGTTGATTGCACCAACAGTTAGTTGGACCACTTTCTTGATTAATCATGATCCTAACTACCTACCTAGCTAGCTAGCTATTCAATTCGGTTTACATATAATTCATTATCAATTAAATGATTTTATTCAAATTCCGTGAATGATCATTGATCCTATATAATAGTAATATATAATAATTAAATGGAGGTTGTAATGATTGTTAGTTAGTGGATTGCAACATCAGTAGCATCTGGAGTTGGCTACTCTTTGATATAAGGCAAACCGATTGAATGTAAAAACACTCCAATTTAAATAATGGATCGTGACAAAATACATATAAGGCTGCAGGGCCAGGTAGGTCAGGATGGAATGATAGCCAATTAAATAAAAATTTACTTAAAATTTTTTTAAAGAAATAATAATTATAGTGGAATCAAAATAGCTAGGCTTGTAATGATGTGTGGGCATGTGCCAATTTCCACCTGTCTGTCTAGCCTGCAGACCATAACAGCTAGCTCACGATCATCATTTCCTTGCCTTGCCTTGCCTTGCCTTACCTGTAATAATAATGGACTAATTATATTATACTAGTATATATGTATCTATTTATATATATATATATGTACACTTCTTTTTTAAAAAAAAAAAAAAAAAAAATTAAATTAACCCTAATGTATTTTGATTAGGTGTAAATGAGCTGCATCCATGCGTGTGCAAGTAAATTAAATTAAATTAAATTAAAGATGGAAAAGAAAGTAGAATGATCAGATGTCCTTTTATTACAACATTTGAGGCCTAGCAAATTAAAGCAATAAGCCTGTCATACATTTGCAACCATTTAATTCATAATTAGGTGTTTGCAACATCATCATATACATACACATAATTAATTAAATTAATAGCAAGGCCGGGAGGGCAAGTTGCAGGTTCCGACAAATCCAGGTGTATAACAGACATGGATTGAGCCAAGTAAGTATAAATGATTGCAATCTAATGTGTTCCATTAATTAATATGTTGTGGTTGGTGAAGAACACTATATATATTAGACAAGTTTCTGGATAAGGCAGGCTTAATTGCCTTGCCTGTCTGACTACTCAACTCCTCCCTCCCATTCAAATTTCCATTAGGTAACAGGTCAATGAATGAATGAATGAATGCATGCATGCATGCTTAAGCACCCACACACACGTTTATATATATATATATATATATTCTTTGTCTTTTTTTCTTTGTCTTTATTTTTTAATTTTTTATGATGAGTATATACTTATACAAATACAATGAATGCAGTTAAGTTCTTTCTGCCAAGTTCAACTGGTTGTCAGGATGTATAGTTCTTTAACTATTCTTTTTCTATTATATATGCATGCCTAGCTATACAGTCAACCAAGTGTCATCTCCTCACGTCCCTATATAATTTTATTTTATTTATTTGGGCTTATTAATTAACTAGTACATTGCATGAGTTAGCATAGCAGCCAGAGATGACTCATGAGTTTACCTTACCTCAAATGTATATATATATTTTTGAATTTGACTTATTATGCCTCTTAGTTTGTTTGTATACGGATCATTTTCAAACTCTAGCTAGAATGCAACAGTTGCTATCTGCAATTCCACTTTTTAGATTAACTCGTGCACATTATCACTGTCTTAATTATGTCAGTTGTACGTCTTGTCATCAACATTAGTGCCCTTAGCCTAGCCTTTTTTATTTAAATAAATAAATTCAAAAAAACAAAGAAAGATATTCTTCTGCCTTATCTGGAAGACTGAGGTTTGGATAGAGTAGAGTTACAGAAGCTGGCTCCAGAGGTCCAAGATACAAGTAATATACATATATCCAATCCAATCCATGTACTAGGGTTGGCTAATATATATTTAATTAATTTTAAAATATTAAACGGGCCGGGCTGTAGACAGGTCAGGTCAAGTCCATGATCCAAGACAAGCTTTGTCTTGTCAGTAGTCCCAATTAACCTATATATGCTAGTCTGATATCAACCAGACCAGATGGCTTCAAATCAAAGTACCTACCTGTCTCTGTCTCAATTGTGGTGTGCATGTTCATCTTGTTACTGCTGCAGCAAATTCAAATACCATGAATCTTGTTATCATCGTCGTTTTACACCATCACATGTGTCCAATTGCCAGCCTCTTAATTAGATCAGCTCATAATAAATGAATCTGCACTGCACTCGATATTTCTTTAATGGATATGCATGCATTACAGTGAGAAATTTAAGAAATTATAGGCACGGCACACTCTACCAGAAATGTTTCTTTTATATAATCTCTCAAAAACACCCAACAAACTCTTGCAATGCTTCACTTCATCGAACAAGATCATGTATTCATGTAACAAAGTTTAAAACAACTCCAAGATTTTTGCACATAAAATTATTGCAAAGGACGCCTTTTTCTTGGTTTCAATGCTTTATAATTAATTAATTACGTCGATAGATATATTCGAATTGAAAATCAGTAAGTGAATATATAAAGCAATAAGCATGGCAGATTTGGCCATTGACAATCTAAAATTATTATAATGTGCTGTGGAGAACGAAATGAGATAAACATACACTTAATTAAAAGCAGTGATTTTGCTCATTGGTGATTTCTTCCATTAATTTTCGTGTATCAAAAGCTCCCACCATATGTATTTGTTCTTGCGCATCTTCCCACAAAGACAGTCGACCCATTATTACTTTAATGCCAGAAGGGATCTAGTCAGCTCTGAAGTAAGTCTCCTCGCCTTTTGCAGATACAGTAGTCGTCCCAGCTTGCATGATCAATATTAACATCATTATGGAGAAAGTTGTCAGAATCTAATGAGAGAGAACAAGAATAAAGAAACCCATGCATGCATGCATGCATGTACATATATATATATATATGTATATATTGATTGTTTCTTGGGGATATGATATTAGAGGTATATGGTCTAAATATACCTGAGGCTGAGGGAGGGAATATCACATCAGAATAAAGTAGCAAAGCTTGTTTAGTGGTGCAAGTTGCAAAAAAGTTGCACCCTTTGGAAAAAGAAAAGAGTGGGGTTGGTTTGTCATTTACCCAAGTTTCTGTGGAATTAAAATGGTGATGTTTGCTATGCTATTGCTACCTCTTGCTGCTGCCCTTAAAAAATTCTGTTGCTAGTGCTTTGTGGGACCTCAACCAATTTGCAAGAAGTGGCCGATGCGTGCTGGTGGACAGTAGGGTGGGTTCTCATCAAGATTCAGTTTTTTGGGGTGGAAAAATAGCAATACCAAGACAAGCTGGTGCAAAAGGAAAGTTGAAAACTAAGCAACAATAGTAGTATAATGCAAGGCATTATTATTTGATATATATATATATATAGAGAGAGCAGGCTGTGTTGTTTAATTTGTTGTTATATATATATGGGGCTAACTTGGGAGAATATTTCTCAAGCACTATTGGAGCGTTTGCAATTTTAGTAACTGGTTCAGAATGAAGGCACAATGCAATGCAATCCCTAGAGTTGACAATTGGCAAGGTGAATTTGTGAAACAAGTGGTTCCAACACAAGCAAGCATCTACGAATCTTTTCATTTTCATTATGAGATTGAGATTGAGAGTGAGCCTTAAATAAATTCCCTATTCCACTTGATAAGGTGAAGATATATAGTTCATTTTAGCTTCACATGCTCTATATATATGATGGGGTAGAGGTTAGATATATTATTTCTAAGCCACTCAATGAACACGGAGAATCTGAGCAACTGTTGAGAGACCTTAAAATCGAAAGCTTTCTGTTCATCGAGGAAGATAAGGGGGTTAGCTAGCTAGAATCTGTTAAATATGTTGGAATTGGTATATTGCTGTGGGATGCTTGAGAATTTGTATATTATGATATGATGCTTTCTTGATAAGCAGACAACCAAGGATGCGATAACATTAGAATATGGCCAAAGTCATCCGCAGATCAGCTTCAGAATAGATGTTATTCAGAAGGGCTAGATTTAAAAGTTGGGAATTCAGATTTCATGCCAACCGAAAGGTCTCCAACAAGCATCATTCATATTCAACTTACAGAACCTAAGGATAAAATAGGATCAGGCCCTAGATATGCTTTAACTGATTTTAGTGGTCGACTGCGTAATCGTGAAGTCATGTAATCCAGATCAGTTACAAACTGAACATGAACGGTGAACGGATAAATAGGAAAGTGACCATAAATGGAAGATAATACATATACATACATACAAATATGCATTGCTAGGAAAAACCATACTATTATTGATACATATGAATTACAATCAGGACAACCGGCAGTTTCACATGTTTTAATTCCTTTCTGTAAATTGTGAAATGATAATGATATCTACACAGCATTCCTGAGTCCTGTTCAATTACCTTGTGAGCTTGGAAGCAAGTCATTCGATTGGCGAAGCTACTTCGGCAAGCTCGTGCTTTTTTCTTTATCATTTAAAAATGGTATCGAAGAGCACGATCTTCATCTGCAAAATGCCATCCCGATGCCCCCAACAAACTGTAGCAGTTAACATTTCCGATTCAACAACTTATGGAATATGCAGCTACAACATACTAGCCAGCCATTGTTAACCATAGCCACGGAATGCAGGGGCTTGGGGATTAACTATGCCGAGTGGCAGGATGCATCTGAAAAATTGTGCCCGGATGTCCTGACCATAGCCCACGTTGATCCACACCCTGCACGTGATGATGCTCGTTCAGATTCACTCCAAATGAAGAAGCTCCTTGAAGACCAGTGATCATTAAGCTGCCTTCCTGCGGGGAGAACCCCACGACAGCTCCTGGATTGGTCAGGTTAGAATCGTAGGTTGCACGCACCACAACATTGCCGCCCAAATTTGGGTGGTGCGGCTGCAGAATCATATTCGATTTCTGCGGTGGCGATTGCGGCCGGTCCTTACCGGGTGAGGGAGACTTGATTGTTTCGTCGAGATTAACGGTGGTGATGTCGTGTATGCTTGATCTTCTCTTGTCTTTACCTCCGGAAAGCTGTCTGATGAAATACTTTTGAGCATGGCTAGCGACCTGGGTCGGAGTCCTGGTGGTCACGAAATTGCGGGAGATATTTCGCCAGTCTCCCTTTCCGTACTTCTTTAGTCCCAACAGAAATTGTCTGAGATGAGATGAGAATGGATTAAATTAGAACAACATCGACAGTTCAAGAAAATAAGGAAGGGAAAGAACAATTTTTTTGTTTTTGTACCTGTGCTCTTCCTCCGTCCAGGGCACACCCTTTTTCCGCTCATGGTCGGAGCACCGAGTCCGTTTCCCTCCCGGACAATAAATCTGTTTGAAGCCGTCATAGCCATGGTTGCTCACCCACTCCAACGTGAATGAATTATTGGCGTAGCCCGGAATCGGGATCAAGCCTGCTTCTATATCACTGACATCTTCAACCAGTTCCCGGTACTGTTTGATTACATCGGTGACGGTCTTCCCTGGAATCATGGAAGCCACATTGTGCCACCGGTCGGGGGTGTCTTTATCGAATAATGCGAGAGCATTTTCAAACCTTTTGTTCTCCTCAGGCGTCCATTTGGCGACGGTACTCCCTTCGAACAGCCAGTTGTTTGAATTGGTGAGATAGGAGGCAGGGTTCATTGGGATGAACAAGGCAAGGCAGAAACTGAGGGTGGGGGAGGCAGAAATATAGGGAAAGCGAGGGAGGGGAGGAGAGGATTTGATATGATCAGGTGAGCATTAAGACATTTGGGGGGGCGAATCTGAATACTTTTTGACACATGGTGAGGTGAGATGAGGTGAGGTGAAGTGAGGAATCTCAGAAAGGCTCCCCAACTTTCCTAACCCTAAGGAAAATTCAACGAACTGATAGAGAGGATGAAGAAAGGGAAGGGAAGAGAAGGGCAGATCTCGGCTGAGGTTGGGAATGAATGATTAGTAAGTATTCCATTCCATATTCTTCTTGTGCAACTGCTGAACACAGTAATTCCCAAAGGCATCAGCCAAACCCAAGAAAGATCACTGCTTCCTCTCTTTCATTCTGAACCAGACACAAAAGCATCAGCTCGCCTGCCTGCCTCCCCCTCCTTTCCCAAACCAATCTATCTATCTCTCTTTGTATCTCTTCAACAGACCGACTTGTGCTTGGAGCGAAAACTAGTGCAAGCACAGGCACAAGCACAAGCAGATCAGATCAGAGGTGTTTCTGAATGATTGGTTGGGAGGTCTCTGTGGGGGCTTCAGCTGACTGCTGCAACCATTTTTTTGTATTTGTTTTTGGTTTTTCCAACAGAGGGAGAGGGACCGATTATGAGCCAGTGATCGAAAGGTGTTCGACGAAATGCGGAAAACATTAATAATTTTAAAATATTATTATTAATTAATAAAAATAAAAAATAAAAAGGGGACAATCTGTCACACCACACCACACCACCCCCCGTCGGCAAATATTATGTACACTGTAGCGTAATTTCCCATACATACGTTGATGCCCTCAATCAAATCAAATTAGAAATTACCCTCCCGCACTCACCTAGCCATATAATCATATTATTATTATTATTATTATTATTATTATAATGGTTGTAACTATTTTTCTTTTCGATTCTACTGATGAATAACAAGAATATTTTTTTTCTATTATAAATAAATATGTAATTATCATGATATTAGAGAATTATTAAAGTTAAGTGTAAAGCAGAAGGTAAGAATGGCAGTTTGACTGGTGGGATAGGGACACGTGTCGAATTGAATTAGTCTGGTCTTAATATCTGAAAAAGTCCATTATAATGACATTTTTGTGTTGTGTTGTGATGTTTCTCCAAAGAACAAGAAACAGAGCCATCTATGTATGTATGTATGTATGTATATGTATCTATCTCATGATTGAGAAGGAAGCCTATTGGTGGCACTCTGATGATCTGCATTTAAATATTACTAGTATTTAGTTATTATTTATTTATTGATACATACAGGTCACGATTAAAGGGTAAATCCAGTAATAAATTTGGGAGAGATTAGGTATGTCTGAAAGAAAAATTAATCAAAGTATGAAAGGTTCAATGTACTTTAAAGTGTACGTACAACAAACAAGTTATCAGAAGAGCACGTACATAAAAGTAAATTGCTGGCCTTGAGTTTGTGTGTGTATATTTGATCGTCACATGCTGCTCCATTAAATTAATTAATTAATTAATATTTGTCTGTCTGTGTGCACATCAACATTATTGGCCAAAGAAAATGCTTCCTCGCTTTCAATTATTGGATGGAAGTGTTTTGTGATTAATAAAATAAATGGTTGTACAGTTATGTCAGTCAGGCCTATTTCAAATTTTATTATTTTTAATTTTTGGGGGACCATAAGTATAGTATAGGTTGGTCCTTGTTTCTTTTTTATTACTATTGTTCCATGTTAAGCATATTTGAATTTGATTGTGTGAGTGAGTAATTGGAATTGCAAGGTCATAATCATGCCTTGTCAGGAAACATTACTCGCATGAACAGAAATAATGAACTTTAATGACTTATATAAATTAAGTTAACATACATAAATAATCAAAATAAATGACCATGTATGATTAAAATTATTATGGGTGTTGCCTGTCTGTGTCTTCCTGTATGGGCATGAAATTTGTGGCAACATGACACGTGCACCCAATTTTCTCTTGTTCTTGATTTAGTAGCACATAGTCAGGAGTGACCAATAGTTTTGAAACTTTTTTCCCAACAAGAAATGGAGGAGGAAACAGGACAGATAAAACCCTTTTGCTCATGCTTAAGTAAAGATTAGAAAAAAAGAGAGAGTGAAAGGTAAAATGAAAAAGATAATTAGAGTTTCTATAAGTGGAAAGATTCTTGGTTTATTGATGAGTTGGTGAGCAAATGCATATGTGGGGTCTTGTACAGGTTGAATTTTAATGCTTTCCTTTCTTTGATTAATGTAATTAATATATGTATATACATATAAATAGTCAGTAGTCACAGGCAAGGTGTCTGCACATAGTCATGGGGATGGGCTATGGTCCCATTTCTTGCTCCAACCACCCAAGCCAAGAACACCCCTTTATTAAACTATTGCATAAACTTTTATTTGTTAGTGCCCTGCATTTACTAGCTGCATCCACTATTGGGTTTCATTTTAAAGAATGCTCACCATGTGAAGTCAAGCTATATTGCCCTATTGGTTTATTATGACAAATTTGAGTTTTTCTTACTGCATGACTAGACTTGACTTAGTTTCCCTTTGATGTGAGACAGAACTTGCTGTAAATGGGGTCTTGCAAGGATGAAATGATCTAGTCTAGCTCTTTAGTGCCTCCAGAAAAAAGGAATTTGGAATATGCTCTCTGCTTACAATTTGGGGAGGGATTTCATTATTTATGTGAATTGCCTGGACCAATCCCAACCCATCCCATCCCATCCCATCCCATGTACAGATATTATTGACTTAACTCCATACATACGAAACAGGACTGCTTGCTTTCAAGACCATTCCATTCCCTGAGTAGTAAAATTTTTTCATTTTATTGAACTGGTAATGGGAAACATGAGGAGTTGGGGTGGGGACAATATGTGGAGTTGAGCAAATTAGAAAAAGATAACTGATTCTGAGACTACATTGACAGAGACGAGAATGAAAGAAAGTTCTTCAAGAACTTGAGAGGTTAACTTCATAATATAGACCAATAAACTATGATCATTTTGATGCATTGGCCATGGCTGCAAGTCGAGATCATTACACATGGACGGCCGAGGTGTGCAACAAAAAAATGGGCTTGGCTGCTGCGGAATCTACGTTATTATGTATACATATCAGTTCAAAATGCAAGGCTGGCTACTTGTTCAATAAGACCTAAAACCAAATCACCATGAATATAATCAAGTAGAAAGAGGGAGATCAATGCTAATGAATCTGTGGCTGTGGCTCACATAAACTCCTCCATCCATTCGCGATTTATTATTTATTGGGCTTGATCTTCCCTAGCCTAGCTCCCTTCTTCTCCGGCTGATCCTTGTTAGCAAAACATTCTTTTTCTGAGTAGAGTCCATGTCTTTTTCTCCAACTAAAACTTCGGCCTGGCAGAAACCATCTGCAATGGTAGTAGGCAAAACCTTCGAATTGAAGCCAATCTTTCGATCATCAATCTCAGCAGCAACCACAGAGGCCCCAGTCCCATTCTTGTTAATCTTATTACATCTCCTCCTCAAAGAAGAGCCGAGATAGTAATCCTTCGTCTGCCTCGATCCTCCGGGCATGCTGACGTCCTCATCCATGCATCCTGCTGCAGGAATCTGTGCACAAGATCCTGATTCTGATGCATGAACATATTGGGAATCCTTCAATGCCGCCATTCTTGAAATACTCCTTCCTTTCCCAGTCCCAATTATATATCCATCCCAAGAAGCTCGAGGCTCCTCAAATGAATATTCTGGAATATCTAAGCTACTGCTTCTCCCAGCATCAACTGAAAATCTGGGGTTAGTATCAAATTCACAGGACCTCCTCCCAAACCCATAATCACCAACCTCCGGTTGAGTCTCCCTAAATTGATTAGACAATGAAGCTAAATTTTCAGCATCACGCTGCTTCTTGTTCTTATGCTTTCCCCGCCAGTTGCGCCATTTCTTGCTGAAAATTTCCCAGAAAGCTCCCCCCAAAATCTTCCTACCCGGAGTACCAATATCGAAGCGATCCTTAGGCTTCAATGGAAATGAAACGGGGTCTGAAGATTTCGGAGGTTGTAATGGCAGCGGCAAGTTGTTTTCTTCAAACGTAGACGAACAGGCGAATTTAACGGCGGCGGAGGGACAGGATTTGACGGTGGTGAGGCGCTCGCTAAGACAAGAGGGACAGAAGCCGGTGTAATGACCGTTGGGGTGGCGGACACAGATAAAGGAAGGGCGCCGTGGCGGCGGCGGCGGCGCTGTTGGGTCCGAAAAGGTGGTACTCATAACCATTCTACTTAACGCAAGCACGTGCAGAATTAGAACTTCGAGTACCTATAATATTTGTAACTTCGAGTATATTACCACCTACCAGTCCAGAACTAGAACTCGTGTGGTGAAGGTGAAGGAAGGCCGAAAATGAAGAGGCAATGAAGAATTAGGGCCGGCTTTTGGCCTCCAACCTATACATCGGGAAGAGAAGATGATGAATTGATGATTTTCTTGACTTTCTTTAATTATGTCTTTAAATGTTTTACCATGATGGGTTAGAACGTGTAGGAATAGGGAGGGAGGATTAATTACAGTCCTATATATAATATGCAAGAAGAAGAGGACGAAAGGCTCCATTTTTAGTATTTTGATATCACTTTCTTTACGGATCCCATCTCTTTATGAATTTATGATGGTAAAGAAGTAAGATTAGAACACTTAGAAAGAAATGAAGGGTTTTCTTTTCTAGGTAAAAAATTTGTTGTAAAAAAGAATGGAGAGGATGGTCAATATGCTTTGAGAGCCTTAGGATACAAATGTCAAACGTGAAATATGTATGAGCTGGAAGAAAGGAAAAGATGCTTGGGATTGGTCATCGGACGTCAGGCATGTCCTGTCTGAATGAATCCAGAATGGCTTTCCTGATGAGTGGAAGATATTTCCCTGTCCATGGCTACAGTGCATTTTGCTCCTTTAACACTACAGACAAAAGATGATATATGTATATGAATCCCACACATATTCCCCCATGTGAAATAAATTAATTCTGCCACCGCCAAAATGGTCTTGTTTGTTCATCCCCTTTATTATTCATCAAAATTAAGGTTTAACATGCCGCAAACGATGATGCCTAGAATCCTTTATATGCATCTACTAGATCATATTAATTTGACAATTTATTTGAAATTCTTACAATCTATGCCTGTCTGGTTGAAGCAATCTAGTTATTGCCTGAATCTTCTTTTCTATCAAAGGAAGCCTTGTAGCTGCTTCAGCCATACTTGATTTATCTTCTACAGTAATATTTACGGCAGCTAATTTGTGGAATGACTGCAGTGCATTCTCAGCTGCCGCTTCCAGATTACAAAGTGCTTCTTCCCATGATCCAGCGTCTTCCACCTCATGAATTTTATCATTGTCGATTTTCTGAAGTGGAATTTGTGGTGGTTTTTGAGCATCCTGTGGACATAAATATCATTTAACATATTAATAAAAGTTATGCATGTGGATGCAGCAGTCGTGGTGTGTTTGATGCCAAGGATCTTCACATTTTCATTCTATCATCTTTTGTTGGATAGGCATATAATTAGGAATGCTTACTATGATGTTTGAGAATAGAATAAACTTTAAGTTTCATTTAGCATTTATTCATCTGCTTACTTCTGTGAATGCTCTTCCCACAGGCAATGCCATTGATGGTTTGATGGACAAAACTTTAGAATTGCTACTTTTGATCTCTCCCAAGGATCCATAGATTGAATCTTCAGCAGCAAGCATGGGTGAAGATCTCTTTTCAACTCCCAGGAGATGCCTTTGCAGAGGAAATTGAGACGAGTTGCCTGTCTTTGTTGGTAACTCCCCTTTCTCGTCCTGAAAACAGCAAGATCATTTGGCATTTATTTATTAATTGCAACTAGCCAATTTGGAGCAAGCAACTCTTACATGCAGTGTAATTTACAAACGGTAAAAAAGTGAAAAAAGTCTTTTGTTTCCAAACCTTCAATTGCACTGACAAGCTGCGCAAATGTGCTTCACCATATTCATTTTCTTGAGATCCCTTCCTGGATGCATCGGTATCTTTGGCTGTACCTTGTGAAAAGCTAGAATGCTCTGTTTCATGAGAGAAAGAACACAATTATATGACTTTGTGCTGAATATTTATAGATATGTATGCATAGAACTTAAAAAGCTCACTATGTTGTTTGAAGGAGGATTCTTCAGGAGGATTCGCAATGCCGGAAACAGGGTACATGAGCTTAATGCGCTTGTTAGGATGAATCGTCTCCATAGCTTGGCTCTGGGCTACTGCAGAAAAGATTTAACTAAATCAAAACATACGGTTGCCAATTGACCAGTTTTTCTATGTGAAAATATAGAAGAATTACTGATATCTGGCAACCTTATCAAGTGCCAGGGTGCCAACAATTAACAATATTATAAGATAAAGATGGAAGTCAATTTGATGGAGAAACCTTCTGAAAGTTTTGGAAGACACGTACAGGTATACTACTTGAAATAATAATATTTAGTGTTTTCAATCATCAGGGTGCTTAGGAAAGACAGATACAGTAATGGAGCAAGCTTATGAATATCTTTCTCGCAATATGAATTAGTTGATCAAGCCTGTTCCTTTAATGCATTATCTGTTGCTTTTTCCAAAATTTTATCAAGCCCCTCATCTGATTCTTTAATATATCAGACCTTATATATGTATAATTCAGAAATGTCCTAGGTCAAAGTGATGTTAGAAGTAGCAGCCTTAGATATGCTTTCTGTTGCAGCTATGTGCTCATTCGTACCTGAGTCCCAACTTTCAGGGGAATCAAGCAGATCCATACAAACTGTATGAATAGTTAGCCAGCGATTTTCTGATGGCCTGCTGATTAACCACAATAAAACTAACTGTAAGAACTAAAAAGTGAGAACAACTTCATTGCAAAACTAAAACTACAATCACCTAAAAGTTTGTGAAGTTGGAGATGCTCCGCAGCTCTCTGTCTGCGGAAGGTGTCCGGACAAGGTCCCAGAGAACTGTTGGCCACTTTCCAGAGCATCTCTTGATGATTCAAGAGGCTCATTATTATTTTGTAAATCAACCTGATGAGACAAGTCATGGAGGCCAAAAAGAGCTTTTATGTAAATAATAGATTCTATATTAAAGATATATCTTTCCAGAATATTCCTAACTGCGGCTTTTGACAAGTTATTAGCTGTACCTTAGACGAACTAGACTCTATATCTGGATGTAGGGAATTGTTATTGAATTTACACTGTGCCCATTTTGGAAGTCGGGATATGCTGAACTTAAATCCCTTGCTTTCCGGACTGTTTAGTTCTTGGAGAGGCATTTCCTCACAAATAGGCTTCAGATTTCCATTTAAGGATGCTACTCTGCGATCTTTCCATTTATGGTCATCAATTAGATAGGACTTGATATGATTACACATTATAGGCTGATTTATGCTTTCTGGCAGATCATTAACTGGCGTTTCCTTAGTTCTGAGAAGCATCCTTGAAGACATATGAGTAGGGAGACTCCACACAAAGATGCAGCCATCAGCACCAACCTGAAGTAAACATCACATGCATTACCATCTAGGTGCGTAAATCAGCAATAGGCAAGGATACTAGAATGATCCATACTCAGACAGAATGAAAGATTGGTTACTCTGCATGAAAACTTTGAACTGACAGATGATGAAAACAACAAATAAATCTAACTGTATCATACATCAGCATACAATTGTATATTAATAGAGTCGGGAAATTTCCAGCCGCAAGGAAAGAGCACAAGATAAAATGGACCTTGAGAAGAAAGAAAATAAACACAAGCTATTCTACTTACCGAAACAAGATGTTTGCAGTCAGGTGAAAAGATAATGCCTGTTACAAACTTGCCATGTCCTGCTGCTTGAGCAACAACCTTCCCACTAACACAGTCATAAATGTTGATATATCTATTAGAGTAGGAGCAAGCAACATAACTGCAGCTTCCATCCACAGTTACCTGAAATAACAATTAAGAGGACATGGATGAATAATGAAATCTAACCTCCCTAATCCCAAAGTGACTCTGTCATACCTTCACTGGATTCCCAGTATCTCCATTCCCATCATGATTGAACCTTTTAATTTGTTTTCCAGATTGAATATCATATACATTTATCTTCTTATCCTGTAAGAATGTCATAGTAGAAGTTATGGTAAAGACGCTCATAACCACAATGATAATAATAAATGCAAATGGTAGTCAACAGCCACATAAAGATGGACACGGTTTTCTCACTCACTCATACCTCACCTACAGTACATGCAACATTCATCCGATGATCTACATCCATGTCATAAATTATTCCACTAGTTGCAATTCTTTTAAGGCAAGAAAATTTACATCCTGTGGAGTGCACATCTATACTGTGAAGAGTAAGGTACCTACAAGGGGAAAACAAACTGTCAGTCGAAGACATGGTGACAGGGATATCCACCAGATCAATCACTATGCAGCCTTAACACTCAGAGAATCATACCAATGCATTACTATTAACAAGTTTATATGTTACAGACTCTGTAAGCTAAAAGCGTTCAATAAGTAGCTGGCATCCAGATGTCTATGGACATGTTTAACCCTATGGAGAATAAGAGCTTTAGTGTATTATTAATATATCAAACAGGAAGTATCAGCATGTTCCTCAAAATTCTCAGGGGGACAAAATTAAATAAAAATGATTCAAGGAGAACCCACCTATCAGCACAGCTAAGAATCTGATGGCCATTTGATGAAACCTTTACTGAAGTGACAACAGATGAGTGGTGGTTAAGTGTCCCAAAGAGAATAAAATTCCTGAATTTATAGTGAAACAACATGATATTGAGAATGTCCAAAAAATATAAATTAACATGTGAAACACTTCCAAATCAAACCTGTCAGCATCATAAAGATGGATTGTCCCACTCTTCCTCCCTGCTGAGGCTAGAAATAGATGACTTCCCCAAGATTCCATGAAAGAAGTTTTATTTTTATCTGCCAAGTTAAAACTTAAAGAACAGATTTCTGAATCATGAGCATCCTACAAGAAGGCCAACACATATAAGATGCATGCTGGCTCAGAAAAATTCAGTTATGAATTTGGAAAATTATTAAAATAAAATACAATTTCAATTGATTATTCTACCTTAATAAAAATATAATCAGAAGTGTACAAATCAAATATGTGAATATCTCCCCGGAAATCACCAGCTGCAAGATACTTCCCATCTGAACTAATTGCCATAGAACGAAAACCTGTGGAGGATAAACCTTCTGCAACAGAATCACGTTCAAAGATTCCAGCATTGACTGAAGAATAGGACAGATATAAGCAATCCTTATTAACAAAACAAACTTAGTTCATTTCAAATGAAAGTATCAAGAATATACAAAATACCCAAATGTGTATCTCCATTAGAGCTGCCATCCCCACAATGTGTAAATCCATTTTCTGATATTTCAGATTGCGGTGCGAAATCCCATAACCTAATATTACCATCAACCGAACATGTAGCGAAAGATAATCCACCAGAACAACCTTTAGCAACACAAGAGAGAGATGGATCATGCATATTTTCACATGGAACATTTTTAATGCCCCATATGCACCCACCATGTGAAACAAGGACACAGCACCTGGTAGCCTGGATAAGACATATTCTGTTACTGCAATAAATCATAATTACTAGCATAAGTTCAAAATACTGACATAGTAACGCGAATAATATAGATGGATTAACATGTTGTGCAGAAGGCTGAAAAAAACAAAAATTTTATTAGTACCTGATCTATGCTATGAACATCCCATATGTAGAGGCTGTGATCTTCATAAATCACCACTGCAGGTAAAACAAATATTAGAAAAATGCATTGCAAATCCCACATGCAAAAAACTTTTTGATACTTGCCAAGCTTTTCATGTGTTGAAAATTGACATGCAACTGCATCTGGAAATGTAGGCTCGTTTTGAAGTTCAAATTGCTTCATATCCATTTTGTAGTCCACCATAGTTGATTTTTTGCATCTGTTGCCTTCAGCATATAGCAGTCGCCCAGCATATTCAAGAGATTTGGTGCCAAACAACTTTACAAGGCCATTGTTGCAAGCACAAGCAACCAAACTTGTCGATGTAGCTAGTGCGAAGCATTTAGTGACCTGAGATTTGACCACAAGAAAGAATACACCATGAATAGAACTAGAATCTCGTGCTGATTGTCACAGCTAACCACAAAAAAAATGACTGTATGAACTAGTACATATATTATATTATGAAACCTTCACCACCTTCAGCAAATGAAGTTTTCCAAATAACAGAGAAATTGTCATCATTACAACAGAAGAGGAGCACTCTTCATAATTAAAATAACACAATTAGGTCAATTTATTCATTTATTGTGCCTGATTACAGCTTATAAAATATGTACATATATTGTTAATGAACCATCTCACCTAAAAGCTTAGCCACACGAACCTTGCATGTGGACAATTTTTTTTTACTGAGGAAAAACACAGGACTTCCATCATTTACATATTATATAGTTTTCCAACATATATACTATCTTTTAATATTCATTTCAACAAAATAGATTTTGTATCCGATGTTAAAGGATGGCAACTTCACCATTTGAATAATTAACTATTTGGACTTATATAAACTTGAACAGCCAAAGGCATGAGAAACAGAAACATATACCTCTAAATCCACTGAGTTAATGACTGGTGAATTAGGATGCACCATGCATAGCATTCCTGCAAACAAAAAAATGTGGAATATTATTAATCAATGGAATTTATTGAATACATGATGTGTACGTGTGTTCAATTTATTTATTTGCCTTGCCTTTCTCTGTTACTGCATAGAAAGGTGCCTGTTCACTAGCATGAATGTGATTCACAGAAGAACAATCCATAGAGCTCATAGATGAAACAGCTACAAATGTAGAATCTTTGTGACGGCCAAGATCAACTTTCTTGTGCATGGTCACTGATGGAGGCCTAGGATTTGAACAAAATCCTTTTGGCCATCTAACTTTCCAGACCTTTAACTGATTCTTATCAGCACTTAAAATATATTTACTGTCTGATGAGAACACAATAGAAGCAGTAGGACAAGAAACTGATGATATTTTAATCCTTGCAGTTAGAATCTTATTTTTCCAATCCCAAAAACAAATACAACCATCACGAGGAAATCCAATCGACACCAAATATTTGCCTGCAAGCACAATAAGGATTGTAGAACCAGTGTGGTAAGTTTCAGACTCTTTTATCAGTTTTATAATTGTCAAAAGTGAAGCATAACTAACCATCAGGTGACAAAGCCATGCATTCTACGCCATATTGATGGCCTTTTAGCTCACATAAAAATGCAAGGGTATTGCTATTCCATACCAACACTCCAGGTTGGTACCCTGACTGGAAGACAAGTTAAATTTTAATGCTTATAGAAAAATATACTCTGAGCTTCAGTATCCATATATTTAAATATAATAATAAATAAATAAATAAAAGAGAGCAAGACATGCATTGAACGGGGGAGTTTCTTCATCATAAGTCATATGCAATCCAAATTTCCAAATGCAACAGGAAAATGTGAAGTATACATGTACATATTAAGGCAGCTTAATATGTTTGTTATAAGAAAAAACATATCTTCTTCCCAGTTGATGATTGGTCCAAAAAGAAGGGAAGGTTGGTTGAGCTCTGTAACACTAAATAAGTGCATAGAAAACACTATATGCTTTAGGCTCCTTCATGAGGCTGAATCCCTACTCCAATAAATCCAGTTTATGTTAAACTCACTGCCATTCAATTTGCACATGAAAGCTTTTTCCACCCATAAGTCACTGATATATTCAACACGCATAAAAATGTGTATGCCTACGTACTTGCCTAATACATGCAATCAATTCGAAGTTAACCCCTCTGTTTAGTGGAATAGCATAAGCTTGTTGCAAACTTGTGAATTGTGATCGAGAATGTACAAACCTATCTCTCTGTATCATACTAAGAAGGCATGCTTGATGGTTGGGCTAGTACGGAACCCCAAAACCACATGGATAATAAAATATTTTAACAATGTAGGAATACAAATTAATATTTATCACTTAAGTTTTGTAGATTGTAGCAGCCCAGAAACACCACCCATTATCATATGTAGTTTACATGGTTGGTTATTCTAGGATATGTAGAGAAATTTTTATTTATTGTATTTGAAGTGCTTTAAATGCCATCTTCTTGAATAGATTTTGGCACAAGAACTAAGACCCACTGGTAATTTAGTGGACTGACTGAATAGGGAATCTCATAAAGAGAGATGTGGCAAAGATGGAAATCCCCAGATTTCCTCTATATCTTCTATTACACTTTTCGTTCTGCTTCACCCCCATTTCCTATCAATGTCTGAACTCCAATCCTCTGATCCATTTCTTAATTATTCGTCACTTGTCTATGGGCTCAAGCCTCATATTTATCGTAGTTTGTACAAGCGGCAGTTAATATAAGCTCTAAATATCCAAAAAGAAAGATAATGGGGAGAGATCGACGAGTGTAAACGGTTTATGACAACAGGCATCAAAACACATTTCACGCGAGTACTAGAGGATTTTCGAACAGCTATTTTTCAGTTGAAACTTTCCACACAGTGTGTCGGACGGGATGTTCTCAAAATAACTATACCTGTCCTGCGGCAACAATACTAGCATCAGGCGATAAAGTGACACAGCTCAATGGTTTAAGAACCCGATTCGGTGCCATGAGATGCGATCGAATGCCCGAACAAACATTGTGTAGTACCACCACACAACCTGCAATATAAGCGAACTTGGAGCTCGAAGCATTCGATGCCAATCCATTCCCGTTTCTGGTAGTCAACCCAACTACTTCCTCTAAAATCAGCTGCAAGAACGTCAAAAATCAAAAACAAACACACCAATTTTTTAGGGGAGAACAAGAGGTAGGGTTATTCTACTTGCACGGACATTACTCGGCGCCGGAGGCTTGTTGGGGTTTTGACTTCGCTTCATCTCCTCTATCTGATTCAACTCAAAACCCTAACCAGCATCGCATTTGCACGAATCTGTGGAAATAAGTGAAGCGGGAGGAGAGGCGTCTTAAAAGAATGGTAAAATGGCCGTTACGCATCTTTCAAAATGCTCTCCCTCCTACGGTTCCTTTCTATGCAATTAGTGCGGTGCCAACTAAAATCGTTTGTTAACACCCCTCGTTGACTTTCAGAACGTAGCCAGGTGCGGTATTTATTCTCACCTTCTTGTCTATCCGTACAGAGTTATGGCAGTGGTGCGGTATTTATATATGATATTAAAAATATTATTATATTTATATTATAAAAAATTAATAAACTGGTTTTTTTTTTCTTCATTTGTATTAAATATTGACATATTAATTAATATTTAAAAATTAATATATAAAAAAATAATAGTTAAAAATAAAAATAAATAAGATCAAATTTTAAATTTATTGTATAAAAATAAAATAGTGTGGTTTTAATTTAACTAAAACAAATAATAATAGTTTTTTTTAATGATATGGAAATCCGATCGAATCTAATAAAACACAAACTAAAAGAAACTAGATTCGACCACACATGATAGACAAGATTTGAACCCATCAAAAAATTTAAACTCGTGACACTAAAGTAAATAGTTCACTTTTATCCTTTACTAAAATAATTGAGTTGATATTATAAAAAAATTTATTAACTATGATAGTGACATCTCTAAATTTTATACAAATACTCTAATTTCTTATTATAATAAATAAAAATGCAATAAATGCTCTAATTTCTTATTTGTGTTAATTTTTAAAAAAAAAAACTATTATTTTCAAAACTTTTATCAATTTAAATCAAAAATAGAAAAGTACGCAATAGAAAGCTCGTTAGTCAGAATAATAGTTTATTGCAATAATCAATTAATGGAAAATGATTGATATGCGTGGATCAGTATATATAAAACAAATTAGATTAATATATATATATATGTATATATATTTGATTGTTGTCCATTAGCGAGTGTAGAATAATATAATTCCCGACTTATTCAATGAATCTATGTGTAGCGGTTGGCTGCGTCGTACTTGTTTAAGCTAAGCAACCTGCCTGGATGTCCGAAACTAGCAGCATTTTTGTCCTACTTTCACCACCGTTCCCCATGCCGACGATCCCCAACTACCACGCCACGCCATCCATCGTAGCTAGCACCAATCCTTTTCTCACCAAACCTCTAAATCATAAATTCAACGTAGATGCATTTATAATACGCACTAGCTAGAGAGAGAGAGAGAGAGAGAAGGAGAGAGGAGAGAGAGTACAGACAGGGCCGGCTGAAATACATTTCCCGTTTTCTCATGGCACGCGTCGCGCCGTTTGAGCTGAATCTTGGCTCCAATGCACCGAAACCCTCGCGCCATTACACGCTTCATTCGAGGCCGATTATTTTAGGAAACCCTCGTTTCTTGTCCGAATCGCGAATTCAAAAGAAATGCCGGTTAAGCCTTTCGCTGGCGGGAGGGTTTCTAAAACTGCATGCAAGGAGCGCGATTCCATTTTTGGAGGATGAGAAGGGAAAGGGAAAGGGGCGGGGATACAGTGCGGTGAGGTGCAGGGCGGGGGCGGAGGGGTTGGATACGTCGCTCTTTGTGGACGGCGGAGAAGGCGGCGGTCTCATGGCGGCGGAGAGGTACAAAGTGGTGGCGCTGGTGGCCGCCGTCATGTGCCTCTGTAACGCCGACAGAGTTGTGATGTCTGTCGCCGTAGTTCCTCTTGCTGCCAAACATGGATGGAGCACTTCTTTCCTCGGCATTGTCCAGGTAATTTGATTCATTCATTAATTAATTTTCTTGGATTCAAATTGAGTAGGTGTGGTGATAAAATTAGCGTTGGTTGTGATTAGTTGCGACTCTGTCTGAAAATCATTTTGTTGTTGTTGAGAACGGGTAGAAGATCCTGTGAGGGAATGAATAAATGAAAAATGCATCATGTTAGGAAAGTGAATTTGCAGAGTTATTGGATATTATGATTGTAATATAGCTTCCCTAACACAGCAAGAAACAAAAAAATTGGTGAGATTGCGACAGTTGTAGTAGGTTTATAAGGCCATGATGTGTTTGGTGCAGCTGTGAGATGAGATCAAGCTTGTTAGTCTGTGAAGTGCAATATAGGCCATATTCAATTAATATATTAAGTAATGAATTAGACAGTGTTTAGTTCATGCCGTGACAGCAGAAATATGTGTCTTAACTTCCCCGGAAAAGCTGGCAGGGGAGACTTGGCAGTCCTACTTGCCCTGCCCTTCATGAGATTTGTGTGAGCTTAATAATGTCTTGATGAAGATTGAAGGGCAGGGCAAGAAATAAAAGGAGCCTGCTGATATGTTATTCAGATTTAGTATTCATTACTCAAAAATTTCGACAATCAAAATTCAATTTAAATAGTGCTTTAGCAACTCAGTGTTACCCATGAAAGTGACAAAATCCATAATCGTAAACTACATGAATATCTATACTTTGCTGATCACTTGTTGGGTTTAATTCCAGCACAGTCATCTTTCCTATGGGGATATGTGTTTTCGTCAGTTGTTGGGGGAGCTTTGGTAGACCGATACGGTGGTAAAAAAGTTATTGCATGGGGTGCAGCTCTATGGTCGTTGGCAACTCTCCTAACTCCATGGGCCGCAAATCATTCCACAACCAGCCTTTTGGCTGTTCGAGCTTTCTTTGGACTCGCTGAAGGTGTAGCTCTACCTTCAATGAATAACCTGTTGTCGAGGTAACACCTATTTCTTGTGAGCCAATACTTTTTCATCAAGGTGCACCTGTATATCATATTGATTTTGTTGTGTGTGTGTGTGTCTTACCAGGTGGTTTCCGAACCATGAAAGAGCTACTGCTGTTGGAATATCCATGGGAGGATTTCAGCTCGGTAATGTGATGGGATTGGTCATTACTCCCATGGTGATGGCGTCACTCGGGATTTCTGGTCCTTTCATCCTCTTCACTTCACTGGGGCTTCTCTGGTTAATTACATTTACTTTTCGGGTCGCTAACGACCCCCAAGAATGTGGATATATAAGTAAATCAGAATTGCGCCTAATCCAATTTGGGAAATCCGATACTAATGCGATCAAAAGCAAGTTCCCACCTCTAAGACTGCTCTTGTCAAAATTGCCATCTTGGGCAATAATCTTGGCCAATATCACGAATAACTGGGTAAAATTTCCTTTATCTTGAAGCCATATTGTTCTTTCAAGTAATATCTTAGTAAGACATTAGAATGCTCTTTATTGCAGGGCTACTTTGTTCTTCTAACATGGATGCCTGTTTATTTTAAGACCGTAAGTATCATCACTCGACTTTTTATTATCCTTGAGTTTATCTCCAATGATGCAATATACATAAGGCTATGGTGTTTTAGGTGTTTGATGTGAACCTGAAGCAAGCCGCCTGGTTCAGCGCAGTTCCGTGGGGAACAATGGCAATATCCGGATATGTTGCCGGGGCAGCATCGGATCACTTGATCAAACTGGGCTACTCCATAACATCGACGAGGAAAATCATGCAGGTAATGTCCTCACTCTTGTAGAGCAAAAGTTTTTTGTTTTGTTTTTAATCCCAGTTAACACTACTCATACATGCCCTTTTCAACAGTCCATTGGTTTCATCGGACCTGGGGTTGCGCTACTTTGCTTAAACTATGTCAAGACGCCAACCGTAGCAGCCGTATTTTTAACTATAGCCCTGAGTTTGAGCTCCTTCAGCCAGGCAGGATTTTTACTGAACATGCAAGTAAGTAATCTTCACAATTCGAAAGATGTTCTTTCCTCGACAATAGACACTTAAATAAGATTGATTCTTTTTACGGTTTGATCAGGATATTGCACCACAATATGCAGGATTTCTCCATGGTACACACTTAGAATCCCCCTTCTTTCTTGCTCATGCAGGCCTTGTCTGCAATTTCACAATAGTAACATTTGAATCGTAAATTTTGTGGAGCAGGGATTTCCAACTCGGCCGGAACAGTGGCAGCGATAGTAAGCACAATCGGAACAGGGTTCTTCGTGCAATGGCTAGGATCCTTCCAGGCATTCCTAACTCTCACAGCATACCTCTATTTTGCAACGGCCATATTTTGGAACTTGTATGCTACTGGAGAAACAATCTTTTAGCTTTAGGTTATATATGAAATTTGACAAGGCACAAATCAAACGGTTTTTCCGCTTCTCCAGAGTTGTATTTTTCTGTAGGGATGGATTAGCTGCAACAATATATGTCCTTATTCCATTTCGTCTTTTGGCACTCTTTTTCAAATGGAAAAAGTTTGTGTAACATCGTCATCTTCGTAATAATAATCTATATATTATGTATTTGAGCTCAGTCTCTATTCTTCAATTTGAGATTTTTTTGATTTTGTGATTTTTACTTTTATTTTTTTTACAGTTTTGTATGATATAATAGTAGGGTATTTACGGTTTTTAAAATCTATATAATTTTGATAGTATCTTTGATATATATACACTTCTTAAAGTTTATAAAAAAAAATTTCTAATTTACTTTTTATTTGGTTGAAACTCATCTTCTCATCTCTTTTTCATATTCCTCAATAAATTTAATTTTATATTTATTTTGATTTAAGAAAAAAAAAAGATAAAGATGCAGAACGTGATAGGTTTATAATTTAGATTTTTTTCAAGTTTAAAAAAAAAATCATTAATTATATATATTACTCCCTCCTATCCAAACACCGTGCAACATTTGTGTTTGGCACTGGAATTTAAGTGGGGAGTATTAAGTATGATAATTTGAGATAATTTGGATATTAAGTGTTGGAGAGAGAAATGATTATTTGTTTTTATTTGAATGATGTGATGGGATAAAGTGAAGTGTATATTAATATATGTAGATAAGTATTATCAATTATTTCTAAATTTGGAAATGTTGCCGTGAGTTTGGAACAAACAAAAAATTGAAATGTTGCAGGGTGTTTGAGACGGAGGGAGTATTTTTATAATTATTTTTATTTGATCTGTATATTTTTTTGGTGTCAAATCCTGAAGCATTCAAATCATATTATATCATTATTATATGATTTTTTTTTCAATTAGTTTCATCATTTTTATATAAAAAAAATTTCTTTTTTTTACTTTACTATTTTGAAGAAGATACCTAATCACTGTATTTATTTTTATACTTTTTTATAGTGTATAAATAATTTAATATGATATTTATTTATACTTTGCAAGATCTTATTTATTTTACAGTTTTTTTTATAAACTTAATAATATTTTTAATTGATAATTTTTATATTATTTAAATTTTATTTTCTATTCTTATATTAACTTTTTTTTTTATAATTTTTTTTTTTTTATCTTTATCGTTTTCCAAAAGATATTGAATTCGATAAGTATTAAAATATACTCAATTCGTTCCGACAAAGATGAAATATTTTGTTTGGGCACGAAAATTTATGTAATATAAATTAGTTATTTAAATAGTGAATATTATTATTAATACAAATAAAAAAAAATTATTTTTATTTTAGAATAAATAAATAAAATATAATAAATTTATTTTAGAGAATACATTTAGTTATTTAAGTAATACATAAATTTATATTTTATAATACATTTAGTTATTTAAATAACACATTTTATAATACATAAATAAGACATTTTAAAATAATTATTTATAAATAACTAAAATAAAATATATAAATAACTAAAATAATACATTTAAATAACTATATAAAATAACTAATTTATGTATTATAATAAATGTATTATGAAATATAAATTTATGTATTATTTAAATAAATACTGAATAAATTTTAGAATAAATGTATTATTAATAAAAAAAAGTATTATATTTTAGAGAATACATTTTATTAATACAAATAAAAAAATTTATTTATTTATTTATCATTAACCTAAATTAGTTTTGTAAAAAAATTGAGAGTTTTAAAAGTAAATAAAATATTTGTTAATTCAGGAGACAGAAATAAAGGGTTTTAAGTGGGTCATATGTATAAAATATTAGAAATTTAATTAAATTTATTTATATTTGCTAAATGTATTTAAAATTTGATAAATTTATTAAAAATAGAAAAATGTCATATTTTCTGGATGGACAAAAAAACGAAAATGAATCATCTGTGGCAGGACCAATGAAATATTATTTTATTGATTTGTATTTAATATATAAATTTATTGTTAATTCTTATATATCATGTATATCATATTCAATTAATATATATTTGAATAATGTTAGTCAATTTTTTAAATTTTAAATAATTTTTTTAATATAATATTTTTATTTATAAGTTAATGTCTAATCTTATTTTAAAAAATAAGTATGAATAATTGTAGTTGATATTTCAGTGATACTATTTATTGAATTAAATTACTTTTTGCTTATTTATTAAATTCGCAATACAAAATTAAGATAAATAATTATCCACAAATTGAAAAAAAAATACTAAAAATAAGTTTTTAAAACAAATTCTCTATTTTATTTAAATAGTTATTATGATGTGTATAAATAATTTAATTATGTCATATATAATAATTATATTAAAAATTGTTACATAATTATCCTACAGTATATACTTACTTTATAATTATTTTTTTCATCTTATAATTATAACTTTTTTATTTTTTATATGAATATTAAATTTTTCACCATATTTATGTTCAAAATATATGAAGTGAAACTAATATTACAAAAGATTGTATGTTATTGTTATATAATTATAGCACAACATATAGTTACTTTATAATTAATTTTTTTCAATTTAAAATTTTAATTTTTAATTTTTATATGAATATTAAGTTTTCCGTATTATTGGACAAATGAACCATATTAATGTCCAAAATATCTGAAGTAAAACTAATTTTATAAAACTTGTATATTTATATAACTACAAATACATCGCAATTTTTTATTTATATTTTATATAAAAAAAATTAATGTAAGTATGATGCTAAGTTGACAATAAAAGAGATACAATAAGTATGAATTTACAATTGTCACACAAATAATCTTAATTTATCTTTCGATGTCAACTATTTTATTTTAAAAATTTACAAAATCAGACATATTTTACACGTATAAATATATAATTGACACATTTATAAATTTGTTTACATATATATAGTATTAACTATATCTTTATGAACATAATAAAACAAATTGCACATAGTAAACTTACTATTAATTGTTGATTAATTTTAAAAATATTTGTATCTTTCTACACAAATTTTAAATATAATTAATTATTTTTTTAATATTACTCTAACAATTTATAGTAAGGGTGTGTTCGTTTGAGAGATTTGGACAAAATCTCACTATTCATCCAAAATTTTCTCTCCAAAAACGTCAAATATCTATTTTTTATTTTTTATATTATACTAAAAATCAATTTTACATTTAAAACATCACATCATCACCTATTTATATCACATCATACAACTATTCAAATTTAAAATTTTTACTATTCAAATCTCATCTCAAAATCCAAACCCCAGACAAACACACCCTAAATGTGCAACACACTTGTGCCAACACTAGAAGTAATAATAATAATAATAATAGATCTTTCATCTTCTTTAAAGTTTAGCCGGCACACAAATACAGTAGTATAGGGCCTTAAAGCATTCATAGTGATGGAAATTCCAGAGTGAAAAAAATTGTTAAATATTTAATGCCGTATGGAACGGGACACGAATGGTAAGCTGTCAATGATATAGTGACAATTACAAAGAAATTAGGCAAAGATCCCAAGTATGCATCCGGCGGAGAAAACGATTATTTTTGGCAAGTGTTTCTTCTGTTGATTGGTGCGCTTCATCACTAATCTTTGTTTTCTTCTCCGACACACCTGCATCGGCGGCCAGGTCAGCTTCCTTAACTTGCTAATTCCGAATACTTTGCTACTGACTGTGAGTTGCCTTTCAAGTTAATCATCTGATTTGATATCTGTCTCGGGTGATAATTTAGGTTTAGGGCTTTCTTTCGGATTGAAATATCCATCTCGATTGTCGCCAAGGTTGCTAATTCCATCACGATCTTTATCATAGATAGAGGGGTCATCAGTTGAGGTTGTTGGTGCGTTTGAAAGCATGAATTTCAGGAACATGGAAGAGTTCTGGGCGTTTTACATAAGCCAGCACTCGAAACGAGGGACAAGGCGTTGGCATTTTGCAGGGACATTTTGCAGTATTATGGTGACGGTATATTCAGTGGTGTCCTGTAATTGGTGGTGTTTGATGTTGGTGCCCCTGATTGGGTATGGCATGGCTTGGTATAGCCACTTCTTTATTGAAGGGAATGTTCCTGCAACTTTCGGACACCCCATCTGGTCTCTCTTGTGTGATTACAAAATGTTTGGATTGATGCTTGCTGGGCGAATGGATGCAGAAATCAAGAGGCTTGCTGTTCTTGCTGGTAAACTCACCATCAATCGTATCATCTTTTCATATCATGATGATGATGATGATGCTTTACTCTAATTTTGACCCAATAAAGAAGTTTCAGGTGACACAAAATCAAGCTAGTTGAAATGAGAAAAGACAGTGACTGGCCCTTTGATCTGATTGCTGTCAAATAAGCTGCTGCTGGTGGTGGTGGTAGCATTAGGTTTCTAAAGTGATTGTATCAATGATTGTGCTTAGAATAATCAGATACTATCTTTCCAATCAGTCTTGTGTTGAAGTTGTTAATGGGATTAAAGAATGCATCACAACTCACACTGTTGCAGTTGAAATCATTAGTATAAATGTGAAAAGATCCCTAAAATAAGTATATTTATCAGAAGGATTAGTTAGTCTTCACCAAAATATAAAAAATAAAAAATAAAAATTGTTGAACAAAACAATTCATACACACACAATAAATAATCATATAATACAGTTTCACATTTGTCAAATGCAAAAACAAATCAAGCCAGATCAGAGTGAGTCGTGAGATCTAGGAAGCAAGCGATGGTGTTTTCCGACGAAGGAGCGTTCAATTTCTGCGTCCTGGCCATCTACCTGATCACGCCGCCGACCGTCGTGTCCCTCCTCTTCCTCACCGCCCCGTACGGAAAGCACAACCGTCCCGGATGGGGCCCCGCCATTACGCCGCCGCTGGCCTGGTTCCTCATGGAGAGCCCCACCTTATGGCTCACTTTCCTCCTCTTCCCCCATGGCAGAAACTACCACAATCCTCGGGCGCTGATTCTCATGTCGCCGTTCCTCATCCATTACACCCACCGGACGATCGTCTACCCTTTCCGGCTCTTCCTAGGGCCAAATAAATCAGGCTTTCCGGTGAGCGTGGCCGTGATGGCGTTTGGGTTTAATTTGTTGAACGGTTATTTGCAGGCGAGGTGGGTGTCGGAATATGCCGATCTGGAGGGCGATGAGTGGTTCTGGTGGCGATTGGGTGTAGGGGCGGCGATCTTCGGCTGCGGGATGGCGGCGAATGTGTGGTCGGACAATTTATTGATAGGCCTTAAAGCTCTCGGCGGCGGGTATAAAATACCCAGAGGTGGGCTTTTTGAATGGGTCACCTGCCCAAATTATTTAGGGGAGATTTTGGAGTGGTTGGGCTGGGCCGTCATGACTTGGTCTTGGGCCGGAATCGGGTTCTTCGTGTACACGTGCGCCAATCTGGTGCCGCGTGCTGGGGCCAGCCACAAGTGGTATTTGGATAAGTTCGGAGAGGATTATCCAAAAAGCAGAAAAGCCGTCATCCCATTTCTCTACTGAACATCTTCATCTCATTTTATAAATTATGTGCTCTGCTCTGCATGTAGTAACAGTTCCAATCAAATCAATCTTTCTGGGCTGCATGCAATAAACTGCAATTTGTCACTTGCACGTTGATATAAATAAACAATGGTAATCAAAATAAATAAACTTGCAACTGGTACTAAGATAGATATACTCTACTGAAAATTGATTGAGGACAGCAGACATGTAAATGGATTTGGTTCGAACGCTAATACAAATTATTCAATGTTTTCAAGGACTCCAAATTCAAAACCGGACTGAATCCACTTCAGAAAGAAACATTGAAGCCATATAAATTACCAATCCTTAGCCAAAGAAAAAAAAAAAAAAACAGAGAGAAAAAAATGGACAAGGAAATCCTCATATATTTTGCATGAATTAAATTCCATTCTCTATGGTCTTCACAAAGGTTGAAGATCTTTCCTCTAGCTTTCAATAGACAATGAGGTTCTCCCCCATTTACAGCAACCACCAACCATTTCACCTGTGAATAGAATTATATCAGCATCAGCATCAGATCGACTAACAACTAAAAAAAGAAAATGTGCACTTACATCAGGCACTTCCGCGGCTAGCTTCTGCAGTGACAGTTACTTGAGCCTCGTCGGATTTAGACTGTTCATCTCCAGTACTTTCTTTAGAAGATTTTGTACTCTCTAAGACCTCAGCTGTTAGTTTTTCATGCTTCTCCTTTAATTCTGGGGTGTTTAGAGCTTCTTTAATTGCTTGCTTGATCTCTGACTCCAATGCCTCAATCTTACTCTTTGCATCTCCATCCGGGGTTAAACCAGCTTTCGCCACCTCTGCCTTCAGTAGCTCGATCTTATCTTTCAAATCTGAAGAACTGACAACATCATCTATTATCATATGAACTTCTTCGTTGAAGGTGGATAGTTTTCCCATTGTTTCAGGGGTGGGATGGACCACTTGCAGATCCATAGATTTAAGTACAGCATCAAATTCTGAATGTAATTCACTCCGCAGCTGCAGCAGTTTCTCTTTCAGCTCCGGATTTGAACCAATATCTGTCACCCCTGAGTTGGCCATTTCAGCCTTAAGCGACTCAATCTTTTGTTTCACCTCTGGCCGATTTGTGACTGCATTGAGCCTCTTTTTTATCTCGAGTTTTAATTCATCTTTTTTGCTACTCTTCTCGGAGAGATTCAAATTTTTGGATAAATCTTCCAGCAAATCAAGCTTGCCTTTCAGGCTGGAGTAATTAGGTGCTGCAGGTAGTTTTTTGTCAAACTCATCCCTCACCTGCTCAATCTTTACCCTTAGAGCAGGGTTCGCAGCCTCATCACTCCCACTCCTTGATTTGGCAATTTCTTCACGCAACATTGAAATTTTGTCCTCCATGCCAAGAGCTCTTGCAGCTTCAGCATATTCATAATCAATTTCTGTCTGTAATTTCTCAATCATGTCCTTTAATCCTGTCCTTGGGAGCCCTCCAGTTGATTTAGCGCCATCTAGAATTTGTTGTTTCAGTTTTTCGACTTCTTCTGCCAACTCTGCCTCTGAAGTTCTGGTTATCGGAACTATGGGATCTTCTTTCTTTTTCATGTTGACCTTCCTTTTGGGATCAACGGGAATTCCTTCTTGGAATCCACCAAGTTTCCGGAACTTTTGAGCTCTGTGTTTTAGTAGTGTCTCAGTGTCCATCTTTACAAGCTCCTGAGATGAAAGTCATGTCATTTAGTTGCCTAAGTTCATATCTATGTCAGTTATGAATGCCCCTACATAGGAAACGGAAGGCTGGCCTACTCACATCCATTGATTCAATGATTGCAGTTTTTATCTGTTGAGAGGTCCAATAAGGGTCTGCATGTGCGCCACCAAGAGGTTCCTGGAAAAAAACCACAATTTGTAGATGGTAAATTAGATGGTGAGATCAGAAATCAGAAGAGCATCGACTAATTATAGCTGAAGAAACACAGCCACACAGGTAATCAGCTGAGGAAATATCCCCACATAGGAAGCAACCATAAATCCAGAAAAAGTTGCAAAAATATCGTTTCAATGACATACTTGATGAATATTTAAGAGTTATGCTATAGTGAAACACATAACAATCATAATAGTGTTACAAGGACAAAAAGTTGGATGCCCGCGAATAATCAATGTAAAAGGTCAATGAATATTACTGGGATGACACCATCCGAAATTTGTAACTTGGTTAGCTCTGTTGCTGTAATCCTCAGCTTCTCAGCAGCCTGGGGAAAATGAGTGCATTAAGATACAATTATAAAAACTACCCTTGACATGCATACCAGATCTGCATGCTTAAACTACCTTTGGAGAAGCTTTCGCAGTCTTCCACAAGATTGCAGCACACGCTTCAGGGCTGTCATCAGATAGAAGTTGAGATGAACAAATGAAAAAGGAACCGCATTTTACATGCAGAAGGGAATAAAATGTTGTGCGGGAAGAATAAAGCAGGGGAAGTAAGAGATATATAATCAAACACTATTTTAAAACAATGTCTCGTGTATGATATGCTCATTGCACAAAGGAAAAAAGAAAACAAGGAGTTGATTTGTGTGCTCGACCTATTGCAATGAATTTATAATGATGAAAGTAGTTCGTAGAATTTTCAGTCTAAAGATTTTATTAATACAAAGAAATGGAAGTAGGAGAAATACATCAATATGACACAACAAACACAGAAGATGCAATAGTATTTTAATCTAAAGGCATCAGCATATCAAATAAGAACCTGGCAACATAGAAAACTGCATTTTCAAGCATTAACAGCTTGTTCCCACAGCCAATAGCAAGGGCACCACCAGAGCCACCTTCACCCATAACAATTGAAATAATAGGCACCTTCAAACCAAACATAGTTCTCAAATTATGAGCTATCGCCTCGCCCTACATGTACAAGGAAGGAAAAACCAACACTTAGAGTGTGTATATATAATTGATTAATTATGCCTGTATTACAAAAATATAGTTAAGTACTTGGCCGAGTTCCTCAGACTTAACATCAGCATAAGCCCCAGGAGTGTCAATGAAGGTGATAATCGGGAATCCATGGTGATCAGCATAGTACATCATGCGAAGTGCCTTCCTGTAACTGTTGAAAACAGTATCTTAAAATTAGCACTAGTTATAAAGATTTTTTCTTATTTTATGTGTAGAGGTTTTTGGAAGGTAGAACTTCAGAAGTAACTGAAATTTTACATTATTCTTACTTAGAAACTTGGACATGAAGGATTGGTCTCTCATCCACATTCACACAAGAACAATAAGGCGGGAATTAATAATGTGCATGCTTACCCGTGAGGAGTAGGCATCCCAAAGTTCCTCTGAATATTCTCTTTTGTATTTCGTCCTTTCTGATGACCAATGAACATGTATCTTTTCCCATCTATAGTACCAAGACCAGTTACTATAGCTGGATCATCGTATCCAGCTCGATCACCATGAAGCTCTACAAACTGACCAATGAAAATAAAGATTAGCTCTACCATATTTCTTAAAATTTACCTCCTCCCATCCCTTTCCCGAAAATATATATATCACCCAGTTAAAGAAAACTATCTTTGAAAGAATTTAAATACAAATTTAGTAAAGGATGTTCCACTAACCTTCTCAGTAATATTGAAGACATGATCGAGAAATGTTGGCCTATTAGGATGCCGTGCGATGTTCACACGTTGTATGGGTGTTAGATGAGTATAAAGATCCTTCAAAGCCTGTAGCAAACAGGGAAGATCAGATTGAAAATATAGCAAACATCAATATTAGACAAAAACGTAAGTTGCTGCTTAAAAAGCAAAATATACTTCCTGAAAACATGGTATAAAAGTAAAGGCAGCATACATTTGGATCATGCTTGAATAGTGAAAGTTCACTTTAGATTATTGTTTCATAAGTGAACACAAAGGAATGTACTGACTTAACCTGTTGATATTTATTCTCTAGTGATATAATTTGATCACTGAAATCCAGACCAGTTTCGTTTGCCATCTTTTGCACCTGCATCAAGTAGGCAAAAAGGACAACCCATCAATACCATATTTCATATGAGGAATTTACCTTGATATGTACACCCAACAAAATTTCTGTGTCATACATCGATGATTTTTTTCTGCAGGTCCATAAGAGGTTTCTCAAAATCCAATGTAACTGGCTTAGGCTTCTCTTTCAAAGGCTTGAAAGGTGAAAGGTGGCTAAGGACTCCGCCTTTCACATTTGGATCGGGATCTTCAGGCCATGGATACTCATGTTTTTTCACTTTCCTAACTTTTGCAGATATAGTGAAGTTTCTCTGTTTTGCTCCTAATTGGGCTCTTCCAAGGGTTCTTAGGGGTACACCACAAGCCCCATTACTTGAGCTCCGAAGATGATCTGAGGCATTGGACTTGGAGGTCAAGTTTCCAGTAAATGATACTGGAGACTGGGTGATGGAGGCCATTTATCCACCTGTGCAACCAGAGTAATCAGGACTAAGGAACCTACAGATATAACAAAAAATAAGACCTATAAGAAAAACAACAGAATAGCAATCAATCATAAACAATTTGCAGAATCAATTCAGAAATCGGGGACTGAACTTTCACAAGATAAATTCATGGAAATCTCATGATATTTATACACCCAAACATAATCCGCTCCGGAAAAGGAAAATTAAATGTTACAGATAAACACTAATGACAATTAATCAACTTCGTTAATCTAAGCAAGCTAAGAATGCAAATTATTTAAGTATATAAAAACCCAAACAATGTGTAAGAGGAAATCAATACATATAAAGCGCATTAAATTCTTAATTCAATAAAGTGTCCATTTTGAAGATTTGTGAAGGTTGAAAGGTATTGTCCTCCATGGAAACTACCATTGCCTGGATAAAGATAATTAGAAATGCAACTACTAGGAGGAAAATGGAAACATTTCAAAAGGGAAAAGTTACAATAAGAAAGGAAGTCAAACCAGAAATCAATCGACACCAGCTTCCAAGAAATTAGGAATCAGAAAATAAGAAAAATAGCGCAATTTCAAGGGTTAAAAAAATCGCAGCTTCACATCCAGCACATTTTCATGTCACATCACATTTGCGTACCAATAATTACACAACTATATTCAGCTGAATCCACAAAAATCACAAAACCATTCTTGAAGCTCAAATCACGACGGAAAATCAAAACTCCTAAGCTGCAAAAAATCCGGTAAAAGATAAAAAATGCAGATTCCATTAAACGAAACATCAGAATCCATGCATCCAGCGCAAAAGCTGTGCGAAGACTCACAATACAGAAAAGCGTTGTCATTATTTCAAAAGGAAAAATGCAAACCTACGAAGTCGAAAGGCAGGGAATTGGAAAGAAGCGCGCAGAGAGACGGAGATGGATCGGGCGAAATTGATGCGGCCGAAGGTAGATTAATATGCGAAATGAGACATGGGAAACACCGTCAGATTGAGGTCTGGTTTGTGCTGATTCGCAATCACGGAACAGAGAGAGAAGAGTAGTATAGATTTATGGAGTGTAATTTTCGATGATTTCTATGCTATGCTATTGTGCCAATTCTTTTTAAATAAAATAAAATAAAATGTGACAACGAAATAAAAGTCAATAAAAAACTACCAGTGTGTGTTGGCTCAATTAATATTAGTATTATTAATGGCACCGTTTTTCGCTTTGGTTGTTAACTTAAAATCAGCAATAAATCCACCTAATTACTGATCAGATCAAACAACCAACTCTAAATTGGTTTTTAATCGCCCACATAATTTGATTAAATAAAAATTTTTCTATCTACGTAATCCTAAATTGATGGTTCAAAAAAATTATGAGCGACTCTTTTTCCTGTGTCTCCAAATTTGCAGCAACAACAACTCCACTCAACACTGTCACAACAATGTTAACATAGCAAATATAAGGAAATTGCAATGCACTTGTGAAATAAGGCCGATAAAACAATGTAATTCAGTGTTCAACACTCGGAACAAAAGGATCTCTCCAACACCATCGCTCGTCAGGCAACTCAAAGAAGAGCCTAATCTTGGGCACCTCCATAGCTATCTCCATCTCGGCTGTCGGACTGCCATCCAAAGCCTGGTGGTGGTTCATGACTCCCATCACCAAAGTATGGCCTGCCACCCCGCTGAATTTGAGGCAAGTGAGAAGGGCCTAGGGGAGGGGGAGGAAGATGGCTGGGTCGGGATGACAATAACCCCTTTGCAGCAGCATCTACAAAGTTTCCCCCTTGCCTTTGTTCTGCTGCAGCATTATTTGAAGGCATGGTTCCCACATTCTGTCCATAATTACCTTGGAAGAATCCTCTTCCTTGAGGATCAAGCTTGGTAAACCCATCTGAAGTGCCCTTGGGTACCATAGGAGGTTCCAAAGGCACAGAACCTGGTACCATGTTCCATGGCTGAGGATAATTTTGTGAATAATTCATGGATCCAGTAGGGCCAGGCTGGAAACCCAACACCGAACCCTGTCCCTGTCCCTTTCCTGGTCCAGCTTCAGGAGTAGGATCTTGTCTTCCAATCTCATATGGAGCACCAAAATACTGTTGTGTCCCATCAGATGCATAAGGACCATAACCAAATTGCGGAGCAATGACTGAATTTGTATGAACTGGTAACAAAAAGTGAAAAGATTAATTGAAATCCATGGCCGAAGAGAAGAAGGGTAGTATGTAATATTTACTCGTCCAGAAACTGACCTGAATCCTGTCGTAGGTCACTCGAGCCACGAGGGGGATCAAAATTTTGATGGGGAAACTGGATTTGGAGAGCAGCTCTATCGTAGATATGAGGTTGATTCCCATCAGGATGTTGCTCTGATGGATAACTAGGGCCAGAATAAGGAGGCATAGGCATTGGCATTGGCCTTGACTGTATGACAGGCCTCGTGGGCGGTGGGTCCCTTGACAGGGGACGCTGCATTTTGTCTTCACGATCATGAACCTGAGTATTCGGATTAGGAGAAAAAACTTGTCGTGGGGGTGCAAGAACCGTAGAATCAGATATTGAAGATTTCCTGATACTGATTGCTTCTGTTTCATTTCCTTCTTTTTCCTTGCCAGGATGAAGAAGGTCAGCATGTATCTCATTAATATGAGACTCAAATTCAGTTCTCTTCAAGAAGGATTTGAGACAATGAGGAGCAGCACATATATAGATTCCTTCCATCATTTTGATAGTTTGTATCTTTTGGATGCGTTCATCACAACTGTGTACCAAAATAAATAATAGACAACAATGCAAACCACTTAATTGGTGAAGATAAAACCTCAACACAATATGCAGATTTTCCTTATCATTAATATATTCATGCACATTTTCATTTATCCAACAAGATTATTCAGTCGTTCATTCACTTCTTCTCATTACCAACTTCTAAAAATCTTACACAAGAGATTGCAGCGTTGGCATTTATGTCTTCCATCGGGTTTTAGAAATTCCCTATTTATACCACAATCACTACCTCTTGATGCAGACATATCATAGTCACTTTTGACATAGGTAAAATTTTGATTAGTTGAATGCTGGATAATGCATTGTAGATGAAGAGAACCTGTGACTGCCTTTTTTGTTTCATTACCCAAGCAAATCAACTGTGTTTCTTATTACATCAAATTTTCGTTATCTTATCTACAATATTAAACTATGAATGACAACTGACCTATGAGGAACTACCCACAAACCAACTGAACACTGACAAACTCACTCTCATTCTCTTCGAAGTTAAAAGGTGCAACAATTTAAAGTTACAAAGATATGCCTTACAGGTAGCAGAGAGAGTCACTCCGAGCACAATCCAAGCAGAAGGCATGCTCGCAGGGGCTCTGCAATATAAACAATGGTTAATTCAGCAAAGTAAAATCATATTTGATTTGGTGTTCATATTTTTGTGAATTGATGGTGCTAGAGTTCAAAATGGCTTGCACCAGAGATATGGTAACTGCCCTGCTTACCAGTCGCCCATAGATAGCAATAGGGAAATCACATCTGACACAAAAATGAACTCGCTCGCCAAGCTGGCGACGAGACCTACGTCCAACAATCTTGACAGTAGCATTTGCACTTGCTGACCCTAGGCTCTTGGCTACAGGAAGATCGGCAAGGACAAGGTGATCGGGGCATGCAACTGTGACAGAATCTGCGGGTGCATGCTTTATGCTTGCACCAACTTCACTGGATGGTTTGCTAAGGCGAATTTGCATCTTTCAGGATATTTCAATAAGAAACGGATAACTATACTTCACCACAAACTGGAAACAGTAAATCTTAACACTTCTGCAGAAAAAATGCAACTATCATCAAATGCAAAAACTTGAGAAACATTAAAGAAAACATTTATCAAGATATCAGATTTTGATAGTGAAATAGTAAAAGTAATCAAAATTTGTCTCATACTTCATCTTCATGCCAACAGTGTAAAGCAACAGTTAATAAAAATGCTTTGTTAATTTTAAACATCAAAAGCAAGGTGGGAAAATAAAAAAATTATATATACATATATATGCCATAACAAAATTAATGAGAAAAAGGTTTCAACTAGAATTTATCAATTGAGATTAATTAGATTTAGCAAGAAAAATCAACAGGTCTGAGAATAAAATATTTGGAGGTTGTGTCAAAAATTTTGAACCCTAGAGCTAAATATCTACAAGAAATCCCAGGACTTCATGCATATCTTGATATGCCATATACAAGATCCCCTCGGAGTGAAATAATGAATCCTCAGCAAAGAAGTGAAAGGCATAAACACCTTCATATCTAGACATAAGCTTTCTCTATCAACCTTCTCTAGAACATAAAAGATTCAATTTGGATAAAAAGTGAGTCTCGTTACATCAATCAAAATATGTACATTGACACCAACTGTCCAGCTGCACAAGGGGAAACCTAAGAGGGTGTTCAGTATAAGTATGCTTCCCGAAAATTAGGTGTATCAGGGATATTGAAGTGCGATGAATTACACTAGGAAAAATCACTTACAGCACCCAGGAACTTAGCTCAACAGAAAGTATGCAAATCTAAAAGGCACATTAGATAAAAACAAAAACAAAACAAATAAATGAAGTAGCTCCACCGCTAAACCTTGAAAAGAAACAGAGAAAAAAAAAACACTCCAGTAATCAATCTTCGTAAAATAACAAAACTCAAGCCCCATAAATTCCAACCCACCAAGAAATTGAAGTGATTCAGAATCAGAAACATCAAGAGAAACGTTACCAGACACGAATTTTCACGAAGAAAAGGAGGTTTCCTTTAAACCCTAGCAGCGAGATTGGGAAATTTCGTCTGAGCGATAAGACGGTTAATCTCGCGATTAGATGATCCTGCCACGCTCGGCCCCTTGTATAATACCTATGAAAATTAAACAAGTAAATTACTCCGCTTACGGATTATCGTCCAGACACCACACCAGAGAGTTGCTCGACCAGTTTCGAACCGCCGGTTTCTAACGGACGGTTAATCCACGATTAGATTATTAAAAATAGATTATTTATGGGCCCCGTAATTGGGCCTAGCTATGTTTAAACAATCCAGTACGAAGATAAGACCAATACACTAGACAACGTAGACTAGTTTAAAGCCCAAATATCTTTCAGCCGTACGGTGGCATCTAATAAATAATAACAATATCCTCAACGGCCCATTGACTTTATTCATTCGTTTTAAGAATTGCAAACCAGGGATGGCCCGATATATATCAAGAATGTCGAATATATTGTTACTTCATTGAATTTTTTAATATGTTAAAAAATATATATCAATATTACAACAAATATTCGAACCGAATTAAAAATAGTAATTTTGATATTAATATATCAATCGATATATATAACAATATGCCATTATTTTATATTATATACCAAAAACATCAAAATAATATAATATTATAGTAAAGAACATTTTCAATATAGTATCATATAATACCCAAAATTTTGAAATTACCAAAATGTTTATTTTTTTAGGGTTTAGGGTTTAGTATTTGTTTTTATAATATGGAGGATGTGATTTGCAGCTCTTATTTACCAGCAAAGCTAAAGCGTGAAAATAAATTGCAAGAGTAGCAGATAAGTAAGCCCAAGAACAAAAACTCCACCACATCATCCACGTCCATAAATAAAGGGAAAAACGGCTAGTTTAATAACTACTAATACAAAAGTTTCTTTATGAACGAACTCAGTCTCAATCCTTGACAATCGAGCCACTTCACCTCGCATCTCTCAATCAGCTGCAAATATGTAAAAAAAGAATCAACAGCTTCAGAATGGATGGTGACAAAATGGAGAGAGAGCATTCAAAGTGTATCATCATTGTAAAGAGATAGTCATATGTAAGATGGTCTTCTGTTAGTAGGAAATCGATCCTCTGTTTCTATTCTAGCAACTTGTCTAGAAAGAGCAACTTTTGTTCTCTTACATACAGAAGCACATAAGTATTAAGGTGTGTTTCGTTGAGATTTCATTTCAAATTCAAATTTTTACTATCAAAATATCACACATGCCATTATTGAAACAAAACATTCAAAACTCCGGAGTCAAACCCAAAACCAATCTGAATCTCAAGGAAATCACTCATAGTTCCACCCTTGAAAAACAACCATGACTTGCCCAATGCACGCATCAAATACAAATTGATTGCATGCATCAAGAGAATACTATCATACGATCCAAGTAGAAGCATTCTTTGTCATGTTGGGTCTCCAATTTTTTCAGTTGATAGTATTAGAAACTGACTGACACAATTTGAGAATAAGAATCAGAGTTATCACCTCAGATGTTGCTTGGATACATGAAAACCCGGACTCTATTTCCCTGCATACAGAAAAACGTGAAAGATTCAGAATACATTATCTCAACAACAGTGAATCTTCTAAAACCTACTTAAATCTTACAACCCAAACAATCCTGGGAACTCTTTATCAATATTTTGCCAAAAAAATGAAAAGCTTCATCATACCATAACATACCATACTCGCATCAAGCATTATATTATATAGAATATGCCTATGAATTTTGATTTTATTTCATCTTTCTGTTTATTTAGTTCTTTGAAGATGTGGATTTTAAGGAAATCAGTAATGGGAAGCTCCAAACGAAAATACACTTCACAGTGCAAAAGTTTGAGAGTCTATGAACTTGCCTAAAGAAGATCTCGAGGGAAACCCTAGATAAATTCTATTTGACTATATTGAAAAGTTCTCCCTAACACCTAACTACTCCGAACTCGGGATTTCGCATAATGGCTTATTCATAAACCCTATTCAAATGAAACTAAAAATTTCATACGCCAGGATTGCAAGCATGTCATACAACTATCAACACGAAAAAATCACAAAAATTTAAAGGCTTAAAACTAAACACCAGGCTCAGCCAGAGAAAAAAATACCATGGACTTTGGAGGAAGGTTAGATTTGAACTTGGCACGAACCACGCCACTGTTTCCGTGGGGACGAGTCACTTTTCCCCAGATGCAACGATAGTGGGAGCCGTTCTTCTTAACCTTGGCCTTGTAAACGTACGCCATTCGCTTCCCCCGGTACCACGCCACTTCCTCCTGCGTGTTCACTCCCTCGATCTGTATCAACGACGTATTCGGATATTGATTCGACTTCGACCTAACATCATCAATTACACGATCAATTCAATCCAACCCACCAATTTCCACTACAACACAAAAACATCGAAAAAAAAAACCCAATCCTCCCGCCTACCTTTTGTATCCAAGAATAGTACCACGAACGTAAAGCCTGACTCGCTCACCTTGCCGACCCTTCACCATTGCTCCGATACGCAATCGTCAGCTCTCCGAGACGCAAAGGCAAGATGAACAGCAGAAACCCTAGATCGCGTGTAAAACGACTATATATATAGATACGAAATTTTGGTCTTCATCTAAGCCCAAATAGAACTAAAAAAGCCCAGATTGTAAATTGGGCTAGCCATAATAGAATTACCGCACCCATATTAACCGAAAATGGGCTTCTGGTACAAGCCCATTTTTAAAAAAAATCAGCAATTTCTTCTTTTTTTTTTTGAAAAAATACTATTTCGAGAGATAGGTAGAATATCGGAAGCAATAAATATATTATTATTTTATTTGGCGTGCATGTAAGTGGTCCTCCAATTGCATATTTTAACTAACAGTCCCAAAAGTGGTAAAGGGTTTGTTGTTGACACTTATTTTATATTACTATTTGTAATATAAAAATATAATTGCAGTTTGCACCACATTATTATTATTATTATTATTATTATTATTATTATTAGATGTATATGGCCTCACCGTTGGTGGCGGCAGCTGCACGCTAATCTATGTACGTATTTAATCATAACTTGCTCATGCTATTTTCAAATACAGCCCTTGAATAATTAAATAAATAATGTAAATAAAATTCATCATATATATGTGTATGTGATTGATATATATCTCTACAAAGCCAGTTATAATTGGGAGTTACAAATAAATCAACACGTAAAAGGAAAAAAGCATGATTTGCTACGACAAGCTAAGTATGAAAAAAAATATATTATATTTTGAATATATTAGATAAATATGGATTGTTGTTATTTCATTAGACAATATTGGGATTATCTGTTGCGTTTAGATAAACAGATTTATGGGCATCAGATTTGAGTCTCATGCAATTTTATTACATCATGCATTTATTTTTAGTAAATTTTAATTGGCCATCCAAAACATTGACCAACAATCTGGTGCATAGCCTTTTCATTAATATGATTATATGATTTCAGCTGATGCAGACACAGTCCCAGTCTCGTAAAATTTCTTTATTCCAAATATAGGAAACTGAATTTAGGGGGAAAAAATATTGAAGAGTTACTGAATAACCAATAGAGTCACTGTTTGTTGTGTATATTAATCAAAAACCCCATTACCATCTAATTACTCTGAGGAAATGTAACAGATTCCACCATCAATAAAAAGATTTTAATAAATACAAAGGCAAGAAAAAAGTGAATGCCAATAACTAAAAGGAACTAACAATTCTCATATTTATTGCAATTTTTGGTTTAAGGGCAGTTTCGTACCTGCACTATTGATTTATTTTTTTATATTTCAGATCTGGTCACAAAGTCGCAATAATCAGATCATATTTGTAAGATTTGAGTTTATACGTATTTAAGATAGAGTTTATATAATAATTTGTGTAAATGACGGAATAAATACCAAAATCTTATGCTAATGTGAATTAATTCAATTATCAAAGTCAACAAAATGGAGAATTTAACAAACTCGAGATTATATTCATTCATTGTAAGTCAAGAATGTTTACATTACATAATTTAATTAATTAATTATGGTATGAGTTGTCCCTTGGATTACGGCTTGAGAGAAAAGAGACATAAAAACGACATCGTACAATACGAGATAGATATAAATATATAATAGATACAGGCAGTGGCCGGGCATGAAATCAGTACGTACAAGAAAACAAAGGGGTCACGTTCATGGCCGCTATTCCTCTCTACATTCTCTCCCTCTCTTTCTGTCTGAGTCTGAGTCTGACGATGCCGACGCTGTAATCCGCTATTCAATCGTGTTTTCCAATCAATGTCAAGCGGCGGAGCCACCACCAATTCGCCCAAAGCCACCGCGCAAATCCACGGCGCTCACCACCGTCGCCGGACCGCCGATCCGACTACCGACCAGGAGAAGGAGAAGCCCGCGGATCACGTGCAAATCGGATTGGATTGTTGCAGAAGCGACGGGGATAGAGAGGTTTTCGTCAACAATTATAGCATCCACAACCACAACCACAGCCACAGCCACGGCGCCGCGAATCACCGGATCGTGTTGCCGCGAAAACGTTTTCCGGAGTTTCTGGTTTTCTTCTTTGAGGAATGCCTGTTGAGTGCCTGGGGAGCCTTCAATTATTTGACCTCGAGGAAGAACATGGTGCGTTCCATTTTTATGCTCCTCCTAATGATGGTGGTTGTCTCCGCGTTTTTTAAATTCTCCTTCCTAATGGGCGGCGCCGGCGGCGGTGGGACAGGCGACAAGGATTTTTTGCGCATTCAGAAGTTTAAGAATGCTCTGTTGTCTAGCGCTCATATGGCAGTTTTTGACAGAGAGTCGTCCTCTTCCGGCGCTGCTTTGCAGAAACGGATAATGAAAGAAAATCCGGTGAGTTATTACTGTCTTCTCGTTAACACTCGATTTCGGAGGTTGATTCATTTGTACTTCTGGATTTTCCCAGGATTGGCAGTTTTGCTTTCACACGTTTCTACAATTTTTGATTGAAATTCATACAGTCCCAGTTGTGTTATTTTAAATCATTTTAAATCCAAATTGTTCGATTGAGAAAAGCTTTTGTTGATGGCGACGGTTGATTGAAGTTTGAATAATAGTCACGAGTTTATTTGACCGTTGGGCTGCTGCACTCTGCAAAATCACTTTCGTCGTCTTCCTTATTTCCAGTTTTATTGCTGAGGCAGTTCTGTGACAGGTTCCAGAGATATGGACGAATCCCAACAGCAATGGCTTGCAGCAATGCGTTGCCCGACAAAGGGATCGGTTCATAAGTATGGTTGAATTCCTCGATCCTCTCAGATTTTTGCGACTGAGTTCCACTGCAAACCATATGCAATTCTACTGATATCATTGTCCTGTAATTGGTTCAGGAACATCGACAGCCACGAATGGTTACATTCTAGTCCACGCCAATGGAGGATTGAATCAAATGAGAACAGGAGTAAGGCCAAGTTAATTCTTCACACCCATTTATTACTACATTACAACATCAGATTCTAACTATGATCACAGATCTGCGACATGGTTGCCGTGGCAAAGATCATGAACGCCACTCTCGTGCTTCCCACCCTCGACCATGAGAGCTTCTGGACAGATCCTAGGTGTGGTTTCTGCAATAAACTCAATCTTGTAATAACTCCTGCAAGCAAGTTTTCCTAATAGTTCTTCCATCTGCAGTGGTTTTAAGGACATATTCAACTGGAGGCATTTCATATCAGCCTTGAAGAATGACATCGAAATAGTTGAAGAGTTACCATCCGAGTTTGCAGCAATGGATCCACTGATCAAAGCTCCAATCTCATGGTCGAAGCCAAGTTACTACAGGCGAGAAATTCTTCCATTGCTGAAGCAGCATAAGGTGATCTTGTTCACCCACACAGATTCGAGGCTTGCCAATAACAACATGCCGCAGTCTATCCAGAAACTGCGGTGCCGAGCAAATTACATTGCTCTACGCTACACGCAGGAGATAGAAAATCTCGGAAGCAAATTGGTTGCGAGATTGAGGAAACACGGTGAACCCTACATTGCCCTGCACTTGAGGTGTAGCACATCTCATCCTGTCTGTTAATTTACACAATTCTAACGACATGTCACCCGACCTAACCGCCTGATGTTGATCAGATACGAGAAGGACATGCTGGCATTTACAGGATGCAACCATAATCTGACACCGTCGGAAGCAGAGGATCTTCGCATCATGAGGTACAGCGTTAAGCATTGGAAGGAGAAGGAGATCGACAGCGAAGAAAGGAGGCTGCAAGGAGGCTGCCCGCTGTCTCCAAGGGAAGCGGCATTATTACTCAAGGCATTAGGCTATCCGGCCTCGACAAGAATATACATCGTGGCAGGGGAAATATTCGGCGAACAAAGCATGGACGCGCTTCTTGCAGAGTACCCCAACATTTTCACTCACTCGAAGCTTGCATCGCTAGAGGAGCTTGCGCCATTCCGAAGATATCAGAATCGCCTTGCGGCCTTGGACTACATAATAGCCTTGGAGAGTGATGTGTTTGTGTACACATTCGACGGGAATATGGCGAAGGCAGTGCAAGGACACCGGAGATTTGAAGGTTTCAGGAGGACTATAAATCCCGACAGGTGTGTGTGTGCGCGCGCGCCTCTTCTTACTTACTTGTCCATGAATGAACTTAAAAAGGCATTTTCTCTGTTTTCTTGGTGGTGTTCCAGGTTTAGTTTTGTTAGGCTAATTGATTCTCTGGATGGGGGCTCCATTTCTTGGGAGGAATTCACATCAGAGGTCAAGAAATTGCACAGAAACAGAATAGGTGCACCATACTTGAGGCAGCCCGGAGAAATCCCAAGACTTGAGGAGAATTTCTACGCCAATCCTTACCCAGATTGCATATGTAACAGAACAGAGGAAACCATTGACACATCGTGGCTGGAGAGCTGAAGACTAGGAAAAGATTGAAATGGGCATCCATCCCAGAAACAGGGCAAGATTTGTATAGCCGTTTCTTTTTCTATGTTGAGGAAGAGATCTGCCCCAAAGAGATGAGATGATATTCTTGTGTACAAAAAACCGGGGGGGGGGGGGGGGGGGGTAATACACATTGATACATACACACACTTGAATACAAACGAGTTTGATGAATTAGTTTATTGCATAGAACTACAAGTATTAATTTTTGCAAAGAAGATGGGGTCCCAACTCCCAATTCCCAAAGGCCAAAACTCACTCCACCGGAATCATGACGTCATTTGTCCGCAGCGGCGGCAGAGTCCACGGAGGGTTGTACCTGGCAAGCAAGAAATCGCCGGCGATCTTGTACCCATCTCTCTCCAGGCACTTGCTCAATTTCTCCACCTTCTCCGCCACCACGTCGTCACGCGCCACCCCGCTGAATCGAGTCACGCCGTATTTCTTTTCCCCTTCCTCCCTAATCACCACCCTCTCGTCCACCGGCTTCGGCGCGTCCTCAGCTTTGGCGTACTTTGATGGCAGAATGAAGGCCATCGTCACCATCTCTCCTCCGCCTTCATTCTTGGTCACCACCGGCGCGGTCATGGCGATCTTCTCCGACGCCGTTTTGGTTATCACCGGAGCCGTCATCGCGATCTTCTCTGGCTTTGCGTTCTTCGGCTCGCCGATGGCGCCGATGTAGCTGGCGAGGATGGTAAAGCCGCCGTCTTTGCCGGATTTGAAATCGGCGGCGCTGTAGGTCACTTCCGCGATCACCGACGGTGGGTACTTTCGAATTTCGTAGTCGTCGGTGACGGCAATAGCTTCGTATTTCGGCGTCTCGACGGTGATTTTCCCAAGTATGAGACCCATCTTAATCCGATAGTAGTCACGATTGATTAATCAAATGGATGTATATATTTTATAGATATAAGACAATGGAAAGTACGATGATGATGATTAAATGAAAAATCAACTCATAGCCACGAAGAATCCTGATCAATTGTGGCATCGGCAATGACACGTTTTCACCCACGTAACCACGATTTTATATGAAATTTGCGATTTACAAAATTGTGTACATGACTATCAGAGACAAAAAGCTTCCAACGTCAAAACAGGTAATGGTAGAAAGAAGAAAAGTGAAAATATTATTAGGGTCGAAACATCACAAATGACATGGCCATGTATTGGGCTCATTAAATGTATTGCCCCAGGCCCATACTCAAAAACCTGACTTTGCTGGGAATTACTAATAAAAAATCAAACAAAATTAATACAAGTAAATAAATTATTAAATACACTTTGATGACCGCACAACGGTTAAAATTCTAAAATAATATAATTACTATAATTATATGTAGTGGACTACATACATATATCTTTTTTATAAATTTAAAAAGTATAGACATATTATTCCATAAGGAAATGGAAGCTGTCAAAGAAAATGGAAACTTTATTAAACCTAATTTGATTTTATAGTTAATATCATTAATTAGTTATTATCTATTTATAATAATCCCCGATTATCTGAAGGAGGGAAAACAGATTAGAATATATAGAACTAATCAATTTCACTTTTATTTTACTTTTGCTGCAAATCTTACCTCCAAAAATTTGAACTGCTCCCGCCTTCTCTCCCTGGGTTTCCAGTCTTCAATCTTCCCTTCCCTCCTATACTAAGTACAGTATATTATTCTCCTTCTACTCTTCCTGTTCCAGATCCCGCACCTGTGGTTTCTTCGAGAATTTGAATCGACGGCGTGATTATGGGGAAACAGAGCAAGTCGAAGAAGACGGAAATAGTAGGTAAGGGGAAGGTAACGCCAGTTCAGATCGCCTTCATTGTCGATCGCTACCTTTCTGACAACGGCTTTGCTAAAACGCGAACCACTTTCCGCTCCGAAGCGGCCAATCTGATTTCCAAGTCGCCCGTCGAAGAAGTAATCTTTTAATATATGTCTATGGTTGCTTTGATTATATTTATTTTTTCAATCTGAAGTTTCACGGTAGCTTATTTATTTGTATGTAAATAATTTTAGGCTCCGAAGAGCTTGTTGAGTTTGGGGGCGATTTTGGACGAGTACATAACGTTGAAGGAGCATAAAGTTTGGGTGGAGCAAGAACGATGCCGTTTAGAACAGGAGAAGCTGCGGGTACAGAATTTGCTTAGCGGATTGCAGGATGCAATGAATTCTTACAATGCCAGCGGGAACAACGTTGTTACTCCTCCCCCACCACTGCCTCCACCTGTTGCTCCGTCCGGATCTACGGTTTCTCAGGCTGAGCGTGTTGCTCTGACACCCGCAGGTATAAGCTTCTCCTTAATTCTTGTCGGATTTAAGTTTGCTTCAGTGGTACGTAGTTGATCTTATGTAATTATCTTTACTATTTGTTGTTTGTGAAATTTCGTAAAACGCCATAGATGCTTAGACCTTTAGCTCAATTAACATTTTAAGTTGCCTGATTTATGCCACTTTGGCTCCATTTTTACATTAGTCAACAATGTTATTACTGAACTAAATTCGTGATCTACGGGTTGCTATATGGTAAAACAAATGATGTTTTTGAGTGGACGTTTATTTTTCTTCTCAAGAAAAATAATTCAGTTGAGTTCATGGCTGCTGGAGATTTGCATATGGATATGGTAGTTGGATTAAATCATTCTGTCCATTGATGTAAACAATTATGTTCTCAGGCTCCTATGCTATGCACACGAGTCCTGCAATCATGTCTACATCGAAGCCCTTGAACACAAATAGGGATCCTACTGTTTTTTCGACTCCAATTATGTATAATACAACCACCAAAAGAAAAGGCACTAGAGATGCCTCAAACGCTCCTGTTAATTCTAAGAGATCTCGAAGGAGTATACAACCCAAAGGTATATCTACATAGAGCATGCCCTGCCTAATGCATCTATTGTTACTAATGTGTTGCCTTACATTGCAGATGCCAACCTAGTTGCACAAACAAGTAATTCAGGGATGAATCAAGAAAAGTTTCAGATGAGTTCTGATGTCCAAATTATTGCCTATAGTAATGCCTCTGCCGGGGCACAGGTCCATGGTTCTAATGTTGTTAAGCGTCTGTTCAATAAAGAAACTGATTCTCCTTCTCCGACAACTAATACCTCTGTCCCTAAAACACCTCCGCTGGCATCTTCACAAACTGAAAAGTCCAGTTCTCCAATTGACATTTGTTCGGCTGGAACTTCCAATAATGGCGTGCCTCAACAGATTGTGTCTGCTAACCGTACAATAATCTCTTCTGAGACAATCAGAGTTAGTCCTACTAAGCAAGTTTCATACTATACGATCGAGAAAAGCAGCATTTCAGCATGCTCGCCTCTAAAAAAATGCTCACCACTTAAGAGGTCTAATGTGAAGGATCATGTTAAAGGCAGGCTGGATTTTGGTACCTGTGAAATGCCGGCGATCACAGAGAACCAAATGTCTGACTATAACACATCTGAATCTGAAAAGGAAGGGAACATTCTTGACCTGGGTTTTGGAGATTTGGATACTTTTGATTTGGACTTCAACTTCTCAGAGTTTCTAGAAAATTTTGATCTTGGAACTGATGGGATGTGCTTGTCTTCGGAGCAAGGTCTAGCTTCTTCACCAGATTCTATCTCAGGGTAATTACTGTGATTCCCAATGGTTTCTGTTCCTTGTTAGTTGGTTCTTCTTGGTGTATAATATCTCTACCATGTTCATATCAGGTCACCATCTACAACAGGAAATCCTGAAATGAATACTACACCATTCTCCTCAAACATGACAGGAATGTATGCAGATGAAGGCATAAATTTTGCAGGTAAGAATCTGAAGCTCTTGTGCATGGTTTGATGTTGCTCTATGCTTTCTTCTATCAAATAGTGAAATTGGCTTAGTTTTTCAGTTGCAGGGCCAGAGTCAATTGAAGCTTTCCAGTCTGTCACAAAATGCATAAGAATTGTTAGTCCTGGTAATGCTTCTCATCCTCTTCAGGTTCTTTAGTTCATCACCAGACATTTCTCCTTCGTTGACACCAATTTATATGCAATTTCATCTGCAGTTAAAAGCAAGAGGTGCAATTTGGATCAGTGAACCATGGCCTGATAGCAAGTTAGCAATTGACTAGGGATACTTCAAATGACCCTTTTAGCTGAAGAAATACACAAACATTGGCAACCAACATTATATACTCAATTATTTCATTTCTTCCAGGCCCAGAATTGCTAGTACTAATGTATTTTTTAGTGTATTTTGTAAAATAAATTAATTTAAATTTATCTCCTTGTTATATAGGTTGTAACTTGTAACCATAGTTGGGGTTTGTTATACAAGAGTATGTAGGAAAGGAAACCAATGTTTTGCTGACTAATGATTAATGAATGTGATTCTGAATTACTATTTTTATTTTAAACAAGAATTGCTCATTATTCCCATCTCATCCGCTAAATTAGGACAATGCCACACGTCTTACGGATCTTGATTTTTATTCAGGTTAAGTTCTATTTCAGACATATGGCCAATATTACTTCACGCACACATTGCCCTCTGTTTCGTGCATCATTTTGCTCTTGTATGTATATGATTTTGCCTCTCGACGATTCTCTAGCTTCCCAATATTGTTTCCCAATTCGCAGTATCAAACTCATATTCAATAAATAAGATCCTCAATGAGAACGGAAATGGCTTACACAGAGTCGGCGTTGCTCCTCTTTTTCGCTTGTTTTCTGTTGATCCGCGGACATTCAGGTGATTGTAACGTCTGATTGTTGTGATTGTGACTCGTTTGATCGAAGGATTTTAATGTTGATTTTTTTGTCTGATTTAACAGCTGCGGTGATCTGTGAAAAGTTACCGACCAATGTGTGCACCTTCGCCGTTTCGTCGGCCGGAAAGAGGTGTGTGTTGGAGAATTACAGCGCCGACGACGGTAGCGTTGGCTACATTTGCAAGACGTCGGAGATTACGGTGGAGAGAGTGTACGGACACATCGAAACCAATCAGTGCGTGAAGGCATGCGGTGTAGACCGTGGATTCGTCGGAATCTCCTCCGATCCATTCCTGTCACCTGAATTCGCCTTCAGAATCTGCTCTAACGCCTGCTACCGGAACTGCCCCAACCTTGTTGATTTATACATCAATCTCGCCGCCGGAGAAGGTAATGGAGCTCGGACATAGTGATCAGTCTGTCTCTCTATGAATCGCTAATCTCATCTCGGCTAATTGAGGTATTATTCAATTTTCTGTAGGGATATCTTTGCCAGGATTTTGTGAAAAGCTGAGGAGCTCCGGTTGGACCACAATGTCTATCTTGAGCAATGGAGGCGGTGGCGCCGCCGCTCCGGAAGGTTCGCCGGTTCCCGCTCCTTCCCCTGCACTCTATTGATGCGGTGTGATATATATTTCGTAGTTTCTTATTAACCCTACTTTTCTAGGAATGATCCGATCCATCTGTTTAGTCGTAGGTTTAATTAGAATGGTAGAATAGTCTCCTCTCTATTATCTCTGTCATCAAATTTTATGGATTATTCAAATACTTCCGAGAGAAGTTTCAAACAATAAGATAAAACTTACCCATTCAAACATGGCAATAAGATGTATTGTATTTTTGAAGAATGATTTTGTTATATGAGTGAAGCAAAGTATGAGCATTCGACATAGGCAATAAAATGAACAGGTGAGATTATATCTGATCAACATGTTGGAAGATCTGGCGGCGGCGGAGGCAGCCTTGTTGACGGCGTGGGTCCATTTTCCACCTCGAAGGCCATCGACATGCCCCAATCTACGTGTACATCTAAATGGCAATGCATCAACCAAACTCCTGAAATAAATCATAAATCATATGAACATTATAATTAATACCCAAAGTGAGTGAGTGGGAAGAGGGTTAACCTAGTTATATAGCTTGTAATAATTTAATTACCAGGATTGTTTGCTCTAAATCTGATAACAGACCACCCCCCAATCGGAACAGCAATTGTGTTACGTTCTTGCGGGTTTTCAAAGTTGAATTTCTTCGAGTCGACCTGGCGATTAAAGTTCCCAAATCCCTGTGCCAAGACGTGGAAATTGAACCCATGCAAGTGGATGGGGTGATTCTCAGCTGCGATGAGAGCTGTGTTCTGTATCACAAGCTCGACAGTTGAATTGAACCTCAGCTTCTTGGCTTTAGTCGATTTTGTGGTCATCAGCAGGGCTGGATCGAAGCTGAGGTTGGTGTTGGTGTAGTCGAAAACCAGTGGCGGAGTGGCCGGAAAATCGGTGGTGTATATCCCACTCACGTTTTTAAAGAACGCCTCAAGCATCGACAGTTTTGTCGGTAATTGAAACGACTCGTTGTTCATACTGGCTGCAATCTTCTGCCCGAACAGGCTCCGGCACGACAAGTTCCCGGGGAGGTCGCACGGCGACAGCCCCAGCCCCATGGCGACGAACAAGTGCTCGTCCACGTCGACGGGAACGGGCGTCCAGAACGGGCTTCTTACCAGGCCTGTCAGATTGGTGTAGAACCGGTGAGCTGTCGGGGTGTCGTTGAAGGCAGGGAGGATCGGCATGATGAGGGTCGACGGCTCGCTGCCTTCGTACTCGATGATTCCGGTGGTCGTCGTGTTGTCGAATATAATTCCGGCGGCGGCGGCGCTGACGTAAGGATGTGCTGCCATGTAATACTGGCCGAGACTCTGGTCGGCGGTGAGCAGGACGTCGGTGGTCTGCCCTGGAGCTATGACGACGACGTTGGTGACGTAGGGGTCGGTGTAGGAGGCGTCGACGGCGACAACTGTCATCCTGTGATTGGCTATTTTGTAAAACAGATGGTTATTGAGTGCAGCGTTGATTATTCGGAGCAGGTACGTCTTCCCCGGCCGGACTCTCAGTCTGAATGTCTCTGCTGCACGGACAAGTAAATTAAATTAAATTAAATTAAAATCCATTCCAGGTTGTTAAGGAAACAAAGTATATATATATAAATCGTCTGCAACTCACGTTCCCAAGAGCAAGGATAGAGGTCTCCTGGTCGGCCATTAATGGTGTAAGCGTCGGACACGTTTGGAACACCGCCTGTCGGCAGTGGCTCTCTCTGTACTTCAACAACATCTGCATTCCACCATTCCCCTACAAAATTTCACAGAAAATTCGAGTTGATTAAATATGAAGATACAGTGCAGAATCAAATGCTGAATTATTGATAATTAAGACGATGAACATACGCACGCACCGAGAGTAATTAGGGCTTCTCCGGCGGGCTTTGGAAATGGATATGGACGGCCGGATCTGGGTCGGATAATTAGGGCTCCGTAGACGGTTGCCCGTATCCACGAGGCGTGTGCGTGCCACCAGAGGGTACCCTCCTGCCGGGTAATAGTGAACTTGTATGTGTAGCTCTCTCCGGGTCGGATCGGGCATTGGGTTACGTATTCGGGTCCATCCGACCACGCGGTCAGTAATTGCAAAATTCCATGCCTGTGCAGTCAGTCGCATGTCGAGAGAGATTAATTAATTTTTAATTTAATAATTTAATATGAATGAGATCATATATACCATAAAATATTACTACTAATAAAAAAATAAATCCTCTCTTAGGATATATACTTTATGAATGACTCGTCACTACAATATAAATAATAAGTCTTATGGCAACCACACGAATTTGAGAAACATATTCAATTTTGACTTTTAATTAGTCAGACGACTTTGATCCTGTTTTAAACATTTTAAAAAATAATAACAAAAGTAATCCCAATTTGATTCGTGATCATGGTATTAAGTATAGGCCAAAATACCAAACTTTTGTGATTTTGAATACTTTTACATGCAATATATTTTATAAATTGAATCATGTATCAACTATGTTTACTTTGAAATTTCTAAAATACTTACATGTAGAACGAAATATCTCAATCGGAACCAAAAATTTGGAAATATCTACAACTTTCAAATTTTTGTAGTAATTTCCATGATTTTTTATATAATATATTTTTTTAAAAAAGAAAATTTGAACAGAAATTTCAAATACCTTCAAAATGAAATTTCAGTGAATTTATATGTCCAAAATCAACTCTAAAACTGAAAATTTAATACTTAATGTAAATCAAATTAGTTATTAGTACCAGTGGATGGTTAGGTTGTGTGGAGACTTATTGAAGACATGGACAATGAGAGTGTCACCCTCGTTCACATGAATTGTTGGCCCTGGCAGCATTCCATTTACAGCAGATATAACTTGCCTTTTACACAGCATATTTACTGTCAGATTTTGCACCTGCAAAGAATTAACCACACATATATATTAGTATAATTAAATTAATCACCATGAGATGATGAGAGACACGTACACTAACTAACGTCGAAACGTCGCCATGCATGCGAAATTATTATTAATTGTAAATAAATAAATATAATTAAGAAACCAAAATGAAAATAGCTTATTACATTGAAGGTGTGCTCAACAACAGCTGCAGAAGAGGAAGAAGAAGAAGAAGAAAAAGCCACAAAGCATGCAAGGAAAAAAAATACAAAGGCACGTGCCATTGTTATGATTTTAGTTTAATTACACAACAGAGAATGAAACTTAGTCCTGATACTTATAGATAGATGGGTTTTGGTCAACTGTGCAATGGAATTCTTCAATTCGTTATTGTTTATGTTTAATTAATGGATCCTACTTGACATTGATTAAAATTGTTTGTGTTGAAGGGAAACAGTCTTAGAATTATCTTTTGTGAATTGCGTGGAAGAAATGCCCTAAATTTGTAATCTGGAAATTCACTTTTGATTAACCAAAATTAATTTTTTTTTCCATGTAAATATATTCTTCAATTTGGGGTGCTACATATTCAACTGGTAGGATGTTGTGACTGTTTCAATTGCGTCCAAAGTAGGATCCATTAATTAACTAATAATATATACATACATATATATATATATATATATGCAATTGAGATAATTATGATAATGAATTAATATCATAACATTATTAATTAACTATGTATTGTTGAATGGAGTTATTCTAATTGAAGACATATATATAAACCTTAATTCCACGTTTGAAACTTGACGAATTATCCTAATAAAATGAATCAAACTATACACACAAATTAATACTTTATGGCTGCTTAAAAACTGCCCACTGATTATTATTATTATTAGTATTAGTTTTTGAATAAAAAAATTACAAGTAACTCTACGACTACCAGATATATATGATACATGCAATATTTGAATACATACATAGGTTGCCTGAAAATTTGATTTGGTATTTATAATTAAATTAATGTGGTATAAGGTAAGGCGCCGAAAATGCCTACTAATATTAGATTTTGTTGCCTAATCACTAAATCATACTCACCCTCGTGTTTTGAATTTGAATAAAAAGAAATTTTGATAAGTAATAAAACTTTTATAAACAAACACACACAACTGTATTTTATTTATTAATTTATTTTACAGTAGATTAATTTTTTTTTTCTTAAATTAAAACATTACATTGTGATACACATTTTTCATTAAAAATATTTATGCAAAAAAAATCATACTTAACATTTTCATTTAAAAGTTTACATATAAACTAATTTTTAATAATAACAATAACAATAATAACAGTAGTAGTAATAATAATGATACAAATTTCAATTATCACCTATATATACATAATCAGACCTCTCAATTTTGTGTGTTCCATTTTGTATTTTTTAATAAATATATTTTCATGTGAAATTATATTATGATAATTGTGTATAAATTATATTTTTTTTGATAATATTTGTTGAGAATCTTATAAAATTTAAATTTTTTTTGAAAATATGAAAATTCCTAATCTTATAAAATTTTTAAAAAAAAGAAGAGAAAATATTAACCGGAAATATAAAAATTTCAAAATATGATTCGTAACTAGGCTATATTTTTATCCAAAAATATTAGAATAGATTATCTAAAAATGCAAATAAACAGCATATATAGCTGCATAGATACCTTAAATGCTACAATAATTAAAAAAAAAAAAAGTTTATTTATTATGTCATTCTATATCATAATTCATATCATTTATTGATAGAATTTAAATTTTTTTTTTTTTAAAAAAAAATGTACTTTTGATATAAAGTCGCATCTACTGTAGGTCTATGAAAATCGCATTTTGGGGCATAACGTTTTAGGGGCAGCGGGCCTATTCACTCTCACTCACGGTCGAAGACGAAGACGGGTTCAGTCAAACGATATTTACTACTCCACTCTGCTCTCGTCTGCGCGGGTTTTGGGCCCGCAATAAAGCCGAGTTATTTATGGAAATCAGCACTCAAATGGCGGTGGAGGAGCACGCCGTCGGCGGGATGAGCAACGCTGCAATGGTTGGAACCGGCGGTAGAGTGAGCAAAAGAATGGTGGACCGAATTAAAGGTCCGTGGTGTCCCGACGAGGACGCGATGTTGAGTCGACTTGTTGGTAACTTCGGGGCTAGAAACTGGAGTCTAATAGCCCGAGGAATTCCCGGCCGATCGGGAAAATCGTGCCGCCTCCGTTGGTGCAATCAGCTAGATCCTGCCGTTAAACGCAAACCTTTTACTGGTAAACGGCCTTCACTTTGTAATTATGAACGCACTTTTGTTTTGTCTGTTGTATTTATGTTTGATATTTTTAGCATAGCCAATGTCTGCACTTTCTGGACTAGTGTGCTTTCTGTATGGGTATTTTCCTGATTTCCTTCATTGAAAGGGGGTGGAGTTTTGATAGATCAGACGCAGCTAAATGGAGTAATATTTTGGATGGAAATGATTTAGCCCTGTGAATTGGAATTGGGGATACTTCCAATTTCAATTTGAACAACATTTTCAGCAGTTGCTTTGAGTAACTGCACAAAAGATTTCTTTGAACTGAGAACATTTTGCTGATGCTTTGCCCCAAGGTGATACCAGTAAAAAGTTTGGAACCACCAAGCCTGTTTCTTGATCATTTTATGTTCTGTCAATGGATATGATACACACTTGCACTTTTAATGGCTTTATGGTGGACTGCTGCTAATTGTTACAGATGAAGAAGATCGTATCATACTTCAAGCTCATGCTATCCATGGAAATAAGTGGGCAGCAATAGCAAGGCTATTGCCTGGGAGAACTGACAATGCTATAAAAAATCACTGGAACTCGACATTAAGGCGTCATTGCATGGAGCTTGGGAAGTATAATTTGGAATCTATTAACGTGGTTGAAAATACAAGCGTCGAAAATTCAAAGGCTTCATCTGAAGAAACGCCATCTTGTGGCGATGAAAACTCTTTGAAGTCCAGTGAAGGCAGAGATGTCAGCTCTTTGGAATGGATGGATAATTCCCAATATGACGATAGGGTTCAATCCCAAATTCAAATCAAAGAGACATCTATGGATCCGCCTACTCTATTCCGTCCTGTTGCCCGGATTAGTGCATTTAGGGCATACAATGCTGCAGATGGAAGAGACAAAACATGTTCATCTCCGAGTTTGGCTCCACCCAAGATGTCCTTCACCCAAGCCTCAAACTTAGATATAGGAAAATTGCTTGAAGGAGCCTATGGTGAGCTGTCAGTGCCGCACCATTGTGGCCATGGTTGCTGCCAAACGTCCGGTGATGTAGCACCTGCGACTTCATTGCTGGGACCTGAATTTATTGAGTATACAGACTCTCCTTCCTTCACTAGCCATGAATTGGCCGCATTGGCAGCAGATATAAGCAATGTTGCTTGGTCCAAGAATGGTGTAGATAGCAGCAGCATTCAAGCAATGGATAATACAGGTACACCCTCCGAGTTATTGTCCATCAACAATAACCAACATATTAGACACCCTGAAGATACTCTGGTGAATGGAAACCCGAGGATTAACTGTCCGAAAAAGGGTGATGTAGTAGACAATACAGGCAACCTTTACTAACCCAAAATCTAGTAGGGACTAAATAGATCATAGGTTAGTTCAAATTTGTACACCTCCTGCTGTAATCAAAATTATAATGTTTAATGTAGCCAGCATCTCTCTCTTATCTTGTAACAGCCAAATTGAGGAATTTTGTGAGAACTTAGCATTGCTAATTGGTTATTCTTCGTTGCTCACCATAAATACAAGATTGTGGTTGATTGATGATCATCCTTTTCAAGTTTCATTCTTGATGATATCCAATATGAACATTCTAATCATTACTCGTGTCTCTCCCAGTTCATTGCAGGCGAAACACAATGATGGATAACAATCAAACCATAAATGTTTGCCTGGAAATAAAAAATAAAAAATGCTCATAACTAAATGATGCACCTTAGGGTGAGCATGATGATATGGTTCCCATAATTCCATAGTCCTTACCCACCCCATTCCACCCAAAAACAGTAATGATGATAACTCCATTCACGCAAGAAGAAAAAAAAGTATGTATACAGTTTTATGTAACTTCGTTCTTACCAAGTGTCACATCCAAAATTTAGAAATGGCGTATAGCGACAGAGAGAAAAACCCCATTATGAATACAAGATCATGTTATCCTACTGCTGGGACTCTTTTTCATACGGCCCCACTTGTATTTTTCCCATCGTCGTTTCCAATCTGACACCACATGTGAAGCCTAACTGCACAAGGAGGAGATTCTGGCAACACATATTTATATTTATGTATATACTGTAAAACCAATGATCATTTAAATAAATAAAAAATAAAAAAGCTGTGGCCATTATTAACATTTCATGTAATCTTTCTTGCTAGCAATTTGGTCGGAATAGACAAGCATCTATTCCTCCTAATGTAATTCCAAGTGAAGAAACAATGCGAGAGTATCTTCTTTGCAAATGCTTAATGACTTTGGATCAACTTTTGACGTGTAAATTAGATGTGGGTTTGTTCCAAGACCACGTTTTGGGTGTTCACTTTGTGGTCTTGGACCAAAAAAAATACCATTGTGGAGTAGTTTGATACTTTGATTAGGATTGGAATCCTCCTTCCTTCACATATAAACTTTCTTTAATTAATAGAATGGAAAAGTGTAAAATAAAAATTTGATTCTGGATATTTCTGTCGATGGCTTCACGCTGAATATATGAATGAAATAATTTTAATATGTCCTTCTTCTCTGCTTCTTTCCTATGTATGTACGAAAAGAGATGGGTGACACGTGGGCAGGGAAAGACGTGGGGTGGGGCAGCCGGGCAGGTGCATCCAGTGTCGGGTCTACAACTACAACTACAACAGATCAGTTTCACGCCCACGTTTACTCAGTGTGTCAAGAATGCAGAGTGACATTGATAGCCGAGAGAGAGCTTGAGATTGATGCAGTGAGTGTATTTTGTCGTAATAACTTTTTACTACATACTACAATTAATTACTTGATGGTTTTAGTTGAAGAATCAAAGGAAATGTCGTCATTTCCCAAGGTCACTGTAAGTATGTACTACTGTGGTCTGTAAACCCATACCTTTGCCATGGACCAGACCAGGACCAGAAATATCTCACCATCGTCATCATCCTCATCCAGATTCACATGTGATGTGCCTGCTATGCTGTGCTTTCTCCCTCAATAATTACCCAATGTATGATAAAGGAAAATTAAAATTAAGAGAGATAGACATGGAATATCAGACGATATTTGATTGAATTTAATGGTTGTGACACAAATTACACGTTGCCGTGAGAGGTGCGCAAAACAAAGGTCACAATTGTATTTGTATGGATTTAAAATGACTAATGTAGTCTAATCGAAATTAAAGCAGGTCTGGTAGAGTGGGGAAGGATAAAAAAGATTAAAAGACAAAGGTGGAACTTTGAAGCATCCAACGTCAGGATAAATTTATATTAATCAATAAAATCTCTCTTTTTTGAAAACTTGTCTTTCAGACACTCATTTCTGTGAAAATTACAATAATGTTAGAAGTTTTAATTAAGTGTCCATGTAGCGTTGGACTGTTGTGTGTTATTTAACCAAATCAGGTCTCCATTGTCTTTTCTCTCACTAGTCTACTGTATTTCGGGTTTCCGAGGCAAATCCTTACCTACGCATTTTTCTGTATTTACTGTGAAGATTTTTGTTCTTTTCCTGGTTTTATTCTTCTTATTTCTCATCACTTCCACTGGCACCTGCAACACACCACATTTTCTTTTCTGTTGCAGAACAACAACAACAACTATGGGGGGAGTTGAGGGGAGGGGATCACCTAATCCAACCCTCGATTCCTACACTCATTCTATTCTGGGTTCTTAAATATATGTATATCTATATCTATAGAGAAGTAAGTCACATTCTTGGAATTGCTGATATTAACAATTGTGTCTTTCAAGATTCATTCTCGCGAGCCTTAATCCCCATTTTTTCTGCCTAAAAACTGGTGCTTTTTTTTTCATTTTTTCTCTTCTTAGAAACCATTCACGCACAGAAGCAGGAAACTTATCTTCTCAAATAAACGAATGGCTGGTTCTTCAAAGATTTTGTTTTGAGAGCTTCTATGCTCCGTTTGGGTCCCAAACATTTAATTCTGCATCTGGGTCTTCTTAAAAATGTCCGCTTTAGAACTGCCCCACTTAGATTTAGAATGCGGCTGCCGGAGTACTGGCGGCGGCGCCACCAGCGAGGAGGAGGAGGAGGAGGAGGAGGACAGCGTCTGCTTCTCCGACGCCGATGAAGGTTCTTGCAACTCCAATTTCTATTCGACTGCTGATGGCGATGGTTCTTACGATGATTACAACTTCGCCTGTGGGTCTGAGATTCTGGAGGAATCTGTCAGAGCTTCATCGGCCGCTGATCCTCGTAACTCTGTGGACTTGGAAAGGGGAGTGATTGTCGAGAAGAATCCCAATTTGGGAACCCTAGAGAGGGATTGCCGGATTTGCCATTTGAGTCTGGTGAGCAGCAGCCCAGGCGCCGGAATTGCCATCGAGCTGGGCTGCTCTTGCAAAGACGACTTGGCTGCTGCCCACAAGCAATGTGCAGACACTTGGTTTAAAATCAAAGGAAACAAGTGAGTTCTATAATTCTTTCAAACCATTGATCTAATTTTATTCAGCTGTAATGTAATCGCCACTGTGGGTCTTCTTGTTCTTGTCCTTGTCCTTGTCCTTCTTGTTGTATCCCCACCAGAATTATGGTTGAAGAAAATATCTGATTTTGTGTAATTGGGTATGCTGGAAAAGACCTCTGCTGTTAATTTGATAGTTTTGGGGTGTCACTAAAAGATAGTAAAAGATTTGTGTTAATCAGCAGAATGTACAATGGCAAAAGGTAAAGCATTTGGACAGCATCTGCTTTAATTTCTCATACCTAGGGAGGATTCCTTCCTTACCTTCATCATCATGTCTGCTCAAAATTCCCCTTCTTTATCAAATTATATTCTGTTTATGATATTGCTAGTCTTTCACTGTGTAAAATTCCTACATTTGTTTGGAGGATTGTGCCATAAACCATGTTTTGTGTCCGAACTGCTGCTGCTGTTGTAGTCTCTGTCAATTTCTAGTTATCCAAACTGAAGTGTTGTTGCTCTTTATTTTCAGGACATGTGAAATCTGCAATTCAGTGGCGCGCAACGTTGTTGGTCCTAACGACATCGAGGCTGCTCAGCAAGGCGGCGAGGGAGTTGGTGCTACGGCGACTGCAACCTCTGCCGCGGTGGCATCTGCTGCAGAAACAAGAACCTGCTTAAACGGCCACCGCTTCTTGAACTTCCTCCTGGCTTGCATGGTATTCGCCTTCGTCATATCTTGGCTCTTCCACTTCAACATCCCCTCGTAAAAGCGGATTGTGGAAGACAAGACGAAGATGAAGGCATTAAGGTCCAGTGAAAATGGATGGTATGGTACTATCATCTGTATCGAATGGATTGACCTCCAATGGAGTCACAGCACAGCACAGCAACTTATTATATTTCTCCGATGATGTGCATGCATGAGTTGTGTCCAGTTTTCCTTCTTTGACTGAAGCTCGATCAATTTATAATATACATATACTGCTTGCAGTATTATTTATTTGTGAGCTCTTATGTTTGATGATATCGACCTCAGCTAAGATCCTTACACGCTTCAATATTCAACCCAAACAATACAATATAATATAGTTAATAGAAAATAACATATCGTATATTTATTTTTTTCTATAAAATATAATACTAGACTAGTAGAAGCAAATCGAAGCCTCGACCAAAACATTGAGATCTTGACCATTGGACTACTTTGTGGTTCCCAAATCAAATACAAACCTTATAAAACCAGTCCCATTTTGTTTTCTTAAATAAATAATCCGAATTATATTGAGCGTCGATTTCGTATAGCGTGGACGGTTAGGATCTATCAGGTTCACCATATAAATATCTCCTAGTAGGGTAGGGCTGTATTTGTTTGTTGACTTTATTTCGCTTCCATTTAGGGTTTTGCAGCAGCAGCGCATAAACCCTTTATACGGTACGCCTGCTTATAGATCGTAATTGCATAATTGTAGACTTGGAACTCCTCAATTACTGCGTTTGTTTAGTTACATTGGTTCTCTCGGCTTCAGATCTAATGGCTCCGAGCAACGGCCCGTCTGCCGCTGAGAGAGATCAGGTTTTCTTCTATGCTTTCTGGCGAGACACGCTGATTCAGGATTTGGGATGAATGTACTTATCTTATATGTGGGATTGTAACTCGTAATGTTTTGTTTTTGGCACTCTGCAGCTTATTGGGATGATGGAGAAGGAGATGGAGTATAGGGTTGAAATGTTTAACAAGTGGGTAGTCGTTCTTTGTGTTTGGATACTAGGTTGTGTTGATGTGATACTGTTTATGCAATGCGATTCAGATGACGTTAAGGTTTTTTCAATCGTTGAAAAGGGAATGGCTTGCCCTCGGGAATTTACCTAGCCCCGTGCTCGATTCTTCTTCTGTTTAGTTTTCCGTGGTTAATTTCAGTGCGTGTTGGTTTTATTCGTCGGTGTTAGTATTAAATGAATCCTAAAATCATCAATCTGCCTTTTCTATTTATTATTGCCTGTTCGAGAACCCGGAATTGTTGTCTCCGACTGTATGAGTTACTGCTACTACCTAGTTGTACATTGAGAATTAAAATGCTTCAGGAGTTTCATGTGTTAATTTGATTGTACCTCTGTTCTGATACAGGCTTACTCACACATGTTTCAACAAATGCATTGAGAACAAGTACGTACTGCAGATCCAACTGGTTGACTGGATCATAAGAAACCCAACAGCATGGATCTCTCATACACACACACACACACACACCCGTATATTATCCTATGAGGATTATCTAAAATATGCTTTTCATGATTTTGAATCTCTCATGTTATTAGGTATAAGGACTCAGAGTTAAACATGGGTGAAAACAGTTGCATTGACCGCTGCGTAGCAAAATATTGGCAGGTGAGTAGTTCATATTGTCGCACACAATGCACCAATATTTTCATTGATCAGTGGTTCTTTTTCATAACAAGCTTCTGAGGTCATAAATGGTACAATTAGAGCCAGCAGATTATTAGAAATAACCATTCATGTGGGATAGCATTTTAAATTTAATTTGGGTCCTAGCTAACATGAAAATGTTTTGGTCAAATTTGATACTCCCTTACAACATAAGCTCTTGGGTTGTAGGATCTCTGCTTTTCAATCAGATTTCCCTTAATCACTCAGTATGAGCAGGGATGACTGATGATTATCCCAGAAACCAAATTAAACCTGTATAAAGCTGCATTTATCATATAGCCTTTGGAATGCCACAAGAGCAACATGTATTATTAATAATCTTTGTATCATGCTATCTCTGAAATTTGTTTTCACTTCATAGAAATGTTTGGTTGGATAGGTTCTTCAACATATGTGGCAGCTAGTTTCTTCTGTTTACTTCTCTGTATGGCCTTTCTTGACTGGTTTATTTATTTATTCAGGTGACTAATTTAGTTGGGCAGCTACTAGGAAACAATCGACCTCCAATGTAGAAACACTGACATTCTTTTTCCCCTATTTTAAGTTGATTATGTTGGCCAAGCATAACGAGGTCAGAGTTTTATTTTGGACACTAGTAAGTTGTGTTCAATGATATTTTTTATATACAGCAGTCATTCATAGTATTATAATTCTGCTTTGAAATATGAAAATTTATTCAAAGACTGAATCAGACTGTTGGCTGGGGTCTACTTTATTATGTATTTGCCCCCGCATAAATCTTATACACTTGTGCCTGAGTTCATCCAGTGGGAATAAGTTTATTTTGGGCACTTGCATAATTAGTGTTTTGAGTTTTATTCTGGAATCCAGGTTAGGCAGAGTTTTTATTGAGAAGTGTTACAAATCTGATGACTTTTCATTTAACATCGAATAAAACTTAAGAACAGAAGTTGAAGCTCACAAAATTAGCAATCCATTTCAAATGAATACTCTAATTTAAAGAGAGGGTAGGGAAAAAAAAAGGATTCAAAGGCTAAACACCAGTAAAAAGCACATATCTACACATTCTTATTTTTTGCTTCTTTTGCCTTCCAGTTTTGTAGCCTCTTTAAGTGATTGTTGGGCATCATTTTCCATTCCAAGCTTAAGTAGTGAAGCTGCTTGAAGATGAAAAGCAGTTGGCCAGTCTGGTGAGACAACCATTGCTTGCATAGCATCCCCTAGAGCTTGATTAGGCATCTCACTCATCAAATAACATAGACACCGCCGAGCATACACTGTAGGCGACACCATCGTCCCTCCATCAATAAACTGTGCCATAGCAAGAATTACCTCATCAGATTAAGATCCGGGTTAGGATAAGTCATAGGCTTAACTACCTGTGTGTAGCAATCAATGGCCGTTGTGAAATCCTTTTCCCGGAACGCCCCATCCCCTTGCTTCTTTAGATTCAAGGTCTCCTGCATTTGATTTGTCCACATCTGGAAAGATAGCTGTGTGGCATGAATATATCAATGCCTCGTCAATGAGAAATGGGACAAGGTTGATGCCCATACATCCCAAGTCCCGTCGAAATGGAATATAGTCATTAGATCACATCAGGAGAGATGGTGATCCAAACCTCATTAGCAATTCCTTCATCATCTTTGTACCCAGCCTTATCCAATATTTCATGAATGGCAGTGAGGTCCATTCTTAAGCAGGCTTCTCCCATGGGTGTCAGCAGCAATGGCTGGCTACTATTGGTATTTGCTTTGGCAACTCCCAACAAAACATGAGAAGAAACCTGGTTCATAAGAGAAAATGTAACTCTCAGTTCAAAACTAGATTGGCTGTTCCATTCTAGCACAACAACAACTATCTGGATAAGAAAGTGCAAAAACCTCAGTTTCTTTCTGAAGAGACCTGAGAGAAGTGACCAGAGACTTAAAATTAGGCCTCTCTCGCCCCTCGTACTGCAAACACCGGGTGGCCAGCTTCACCAATTCAGTTCCGGCATCATTCGAAAAATGACTCTCCAAGCAGGAGTCCATCAATATCAGAAAATTCTCTCCACGGATGAGATCGAGCGCCTACAAGAATAGAATGGCATCCAATGAATTTACTAGGAAATGGAAACTTATAATCGACAACATACATACATGGCTTGGAGGTATATGCTTGCCACTTAAAAGGTCGAGCAGCATCGTTCCAAAGCTGTAAACTACACTTTCTGGAGTTACTCTCCCTGCCCAGGAGCATCACCAAATGTATGTATTACGTTTGACTTAAATACATGACAAAATCCAAACTCAAGAACCCCACCCCACCCCACCCCCCCTGTTTTTCTGATGTTTTCTTTACCTGTTCTCAAGTACTCTGGAGGAGTGAAAGCTAGATTTGTGCTGTAACTTTTGCCATCTCTGCTATTCTTCATGAGGCCAAAGCAGGACAGCCTCGGGTTGCAATCCTACATATGACCAAAATATCAATCCCATTACACAACTGCTTAAAATTAAAATTTCAAGGCAAATCCTCTCAGGAAACAATGCATATCTCACCATGTCAAACAAGACTCTGTAAGCATTAAGGTCGTGATACAATGCCCGGCCTCGGCTGCTGCAGTAGTCGAGAGCTTGAGCCAAGTACAAGGCCACCCTCAGCCTCATCGCCCATTTCATCGGTTGATTCTCCCCTGTGTCGATTATCCAACCACCGCCGTGCATATACATCAAAACACAAGTTATAAAAAACATGCATGATCGTCGAGTTAGAAATGATGGCTCACAATGAAATAAATGTTTGGCCAGAGTCTCATGCGGCATGAACTCTGCCACGAGCAGCCGCTCCTCCCCCTCGAAGCAACAACCGATCAGATTCGCCAACCGATCACTTCTTAGACTCCCCACAACTTTAGCCTCATCCTAATTAAGCAAAAAAAAATGCCATCCATAACAACACTATTCTGGAAATGGTGATCACAGACAAACTACTTGACCAGGCTAGGCATGCACATTGCTTAATAAAATAAAAAATTACATATCAGATCTTTATGCAAGGAATGGATGGAAGGAACGATAAGTCACTGACTATAAACTGGCGAGAATCAGGCCAGGCAAATTTGTTGAAGCGCTTAACAGCAATCCAGCCTTCATTCTCAAGAAACCCTTTGTAGACAACATTAGGAGCTTTCTCTCCATGCTCGGAGACAATGTTGTCCGAACAGAACCCATTTGTTGCAGCTTTCAGCTCCTCCCACCTAAACTCTTTGAAGCCTGGAAAACTTTCTTTCTCCTCATTCTCTGAAAAAAAAAAAAAAAACACTAAGTCAGAAAATTCACTGCAAGGAAACTAACCAGGATTGCTGGATGCATAAATATTACAAACCCAAATCGGAGGATTGAAGAGCTGTAGGCTTGAGGTGATGAGAATGCCACCAGCAGAAGCTAAACTTGGAGCACTTTGCACCCATTTAGAGGAGAGAGAAATTTTGCAGTCTTGAGAGACTGGAAATGGGATATTTTCTGGTGTCTAGACAGATAGATAATCGATCTCAGCACTTAAATTAGTACTAGGAATACCTACCTACATTCGAAAGATGGGATCTTTATGTTTTTGTGGATCCAAGAATGGCAATGCGTGCAATGGTTAGCTTTCACCTTATCTAGAGGGTGCAATTATAATTTATATGTATGTATGTATATTCAAAGCATGGGGTTAGAGATATTTATGGCATGGTGCTATGATATCATTCTCTTGTGCTCTACTTTGGTGAGCAGTAGTACACTCATGACATGCGTTGTTGCTGTGTCTGTAAAAGTAAGGTCCTTTTTGCATATATTTTGTTTTGCTTTATGGAGCCTTTCAATTTGTAATCATTCTTCTTTTTTTGCCTAATCCTCCCTCTTAGTTGGCCTTCTTTTGAAACAGAAATATGAAGAATCTGAGATTGTAAGAATGTTATATTTCGGTTCCTGAGCTTCAAAATTATCACCTAACTGAAGAATTAGACACGATGATGCTCTATGATATGTCCTTAGCAGTATAGAAATCCTGGGTACAGGTCAAAGTCATCGAGAGATCCATGGTCAATGTCACTGTATTTTTTCTTTCTTTCTTTTTTTTTTTATGTCTGCATCATGAAGATAAAATCCTGTATTCTTGATTCTAACATCCAGCTATGTCCTTGACATTCAAAAATTGTACCAAAAGCACTGGCAAAACGTTTCCTCCAATTCCCCTGTAGGTGCTTGCAGAACTCACAGCAGTCTTTTCTTGATACAGTGTCGTAGTCAAGTCCAAGAATCTGTCTTGCCCAATAGAAATTTGAAATGGAAACAGCACTGAGCTGATGAGCCAGAGGCCGAGGTAGCTAGCTGGAAATGGTCCCTGTGGTAAACAAACCAAAATTGGAGGGAGAAACGAAAGGCAAGGCAAGATGGGATCAGCAGATCAGACACAAACCAATTAATGATCGATCTTGCACAAGGCCAAGGGGATGATGAGGGCAGGGCCCCCTTCCAGCCCCATCATACAGCCAGGGTGTAATTATGATTTTACTACAAAACCACACTGCATCATTGAGAAATATTAAGTCAATTGGACTGTACTTAATTGACTGATGCTTAAATTGCGCCAACATAAGCCTTCTTCACCCTACCCTCCCTAATCATGCATCACATGGCATGGCTACCAAGAGGGTTTGACAGATTCATATGGGATCGATTGCTTTGCTTTCAAACACTCGACCAAATCCTAACTATATATTGTCTGTTAGTCTTTGTCAGTGTCCTTCCAGATTTCGAATGAGGACAGGACACAATGTTCAAAATCTCATCTGCTGTCTCTTTGTCGTTCTAGATCCGGCTGCACACACACAGAGCAAGTGATACTGAGATCCAGTTTCGATCTTTTTTTTTTTACTGAAACAGCATATAAACATAAATTGTGGCGATTAAAATTATGGATTGACTCAACATGGCACTGTTGATGCCACTCGTCGATACATTTCAAAATCCGTAGCCTGAAGAAGATTACAAGTGTATGGATTTAGGACTCGTGGTAGCGGCACTGGCTGTTTCAGCAGAGGCAAATTCTGCGTTTTCATCTACACTCCAACACCATTGATACCTGTATCAACAACCTGCACAAGATTTCCTTCTTGCATGATCTTGCCATTCATTGGAGTTCTTGAACTCTGGAAAGACAGCAATTATGTATATGAAAACACTCGCAAACAACTATTGCAGCTCGGAATGTAAGTACATATGGGAAACAAAGTAAGTCCTGAGATACCCAATCCGTCGAAGAATCCGCAGAATTCCCATTGAGCTGTACGTGATTGTTTAGTTTGGTCCTGTTAATGTTATCCTTGGCCATGGGAAGGAATGGAGCTGTTTTAGAACGGTCCGGAAGTTCTGCAGACAAAATCCAATCCAAGTCAAGCTCATTCTTGAAACAATGGGAAGGAAATATCAGTGTAACATTTTATATACAGCAGATCAGAAGTTCCAACCTGGCAACTTCTTATCAACAAAGAACACAACCAGATTGACAGTATACCTGCAACAAAAAATGTCGAATATAAACAATTTTCTTCAATTTAAGAGCTGCTCAAATCAGAGGGTCAGCTTAGAACCACAAACTACCATGCCACGATGATATCAACCGTGTAATGCTTACGGGATGCCACAATCAACAAGCTCTGAATCACAACAGTTAACCACGCAAAGTACTTCATAAAACTGCAATAATAAGCCACAAAGTTACATGACCAATCCAAAATAGATCCAACATGAGAGAGCTAGCTAGCTCATGGTTTTACTTTTGCGTGCCGTATTTGTGATATGTTCTCACAAAGACTAGAGAGAATATCATGTGCGATGAAAATATCAAGTCGCCACAACCATAAAGCACACCCCGGGGAACTGCAAGAGCCAAAAACAAATAACTAAATTGAGCAAAGAAATACAATAAGTACACATAATTAATGTTTGCCAAAGTAAAACAGGACTAGAATAATGAAGCAACACCTACAGTTAATCAAGAGAACTTCTATAGCACTGTCCGGGCGAGGAAGTCTTGCAAGCTTTGAACCCTACATAATTTAGGATCAACAATTTTTCAGTCTAGGGAGCATAATCCATTAGCAGATTCTAAAGAAGATTGACAATATATCAATATATTCTTCAGGTAGATTACCTCCCGACAGTGATAATTTGGACCTGGCAGCTGGGTAGAATAGAAAGTTATTATACGAAGAATTTGACAAGCCTGCAGCAAAATTTATTACAAATACGTGACAGTGAGTACATTAATTAAAGTTTTTCCAGTATATTCCGGAAGTGCTTGCATAACTACAAGCTTTCTACAAATCAAAATGCTCGCTACAACACATATGCATAGTTGACATCTAAAAAAGTGATATTCAGCAATCCTAACTGAATAAGGGAAAATCACTTACGACTAAGAAAGCCAAGACCCGGCACCATATTAGTACTGTATAGATCTTCTTGCTCTTCAGTACAAAAGGATGGAAAGTCCACTGCAGGCAACGTTCATATATATTCAGAACATAAACTTAATTGACATTTTGGGTATCTCAACAGATTGAGAACTCACCAAGACGAAAGACAGAAAAATTATGGTAAAAACAGATTCACTAATGTAAGCTTTGTCCTGCCCGAGCTCCTACAGCACAAAAAGGTTAAAATGATTCATCTATATCCCTTGAGCAACCACATGTTACTAATAGTGAGAAACACAATTGCAAATATAATTTGCTGTTACCGGAAGAAGAAAGAAGCCAGCATCCTGAAGCATCGGTCCAGGCCGGTGTAGATAATGAACTCCTCGAGCCGCTAGCCCGTGTATGTACTAATGAAAAATGAGACCAAAACACATTTATCTTAGAATCCATAAAACAATACAAAGACAGAATGTTCATGTTATCAGAAGTACCCAAATAGTTCATCTACTGCAGAGATGGCTCCATCATAGGAATATAAAGAATGCTAGAAAACTTCTAACAGTTACAAAACATCCTCCAGAGTACAAGAGCAAATGGGTGCATTTTCAATTTGAACTTTTTTGAATGGGAAATAAACTTTGGATGTGATGTGCTTTTAGCCGAAAACATATTTTACAGTAGGTGTAAGAATGGGAGCAAAAATACATGTCTCTGTATTGCTTGTCATGCAGTAAAACTTTAAAAGGTTGGGGGGAAAATTTCTCTCTTTTACCAAATGATTTACCCTTATCGATGACTTGAGGAAAAGACTCAACTTGATCAACAAACAGTGAAGACTGAAGAGCACAGTTATAAATAAATAAATCAATGATTTTCAAGCACTAAGTTCACAATTCAAAGTTCTTGATTCTGCAAGAAGATTGTCTTTTACTTTACCAGACATTGCAGACTAGCAGCAGCTATAATCGTAAGCATAAGCGTATGTCCAAACCTGGCAAATTAGACCCCCCAAAATATACTTCCAGTATTTTGCAAGAAGGTCGATTTCTGCTGTGATCTCCGCACAAAATCTCTTCCATAACTTCAAGTCATTAAAGAAGAAGAAACGTATCACTAAAATGATTTCAATGAAAAGCTCACTAGTTGGAATCAATTTAACAACAAAGCTAAGAATAAAAATCTTTGATAATTTCTTTCAAGAATATAAATAAAGAAAAAAAAAAAAAAAAAAAGAGTGGAGGAGCAAAGAGGCGAACCTTTGAAGCCTCGCGACCAATGTAAAGCGACATCTTGTATGTGTGCAACAGCCAGCAACAGTGCCATATTACATCACAAGTAGAATCCTTGGGCGAAAAGCATCCTTCATTCTTAAAAAAGAATCCCTCTGGTTTCAAATTTCAATCAAGAATTAGCCTTTGTTCAAGAATTCCACTCCAAGATCCAGAACCCAAATACCCAGATGGATGCCAAATATAAGATACTGAAGAGTGAGGATAGTGATCGACTTTAGCAGGGGTAGTCCCAGAATTAATTTCAAACGATTGAATTGAAAATATGAAGAGAACCTTTTTCCTCTCTGTGTAAAAAGTAGGGCACAAGTAAATTCCCCCTCTCTCCCTCTCCTCTCTCACGACAACTTACATGAGCAGTTTTGATTTGATTTGTTTTCTCCCATGTCCGCTAAAACACGAGGCGAACACGGAGTCAGTTGTGGACGCCACGGGGAAAACTGCATAGCAAGAAAAGAAAAGAAAAAATAATTTTGAAGAATTGGAGGAAATGTGCGTACGTATATATATAACTTTCTTTTTTTTTTTCAAAGTAAGAAACATATCTGTTTTCATGCCCATCACTTTCTTTTAAGCTAATCACTTTTGAAAATCCAACCCAAACCTGATCAGGAGAACAATAGTCAGAATTCCAGCCTACTTAAATTTGGTAATTTGTTTCCACCCTAGTTAAATCCACATGTCAATTTGGACCATCGTGCTGCCTAAGGAAATATTGTAAGTTTAAGGTGGAAATAATTTAACCACTAAAAGTAACTGTTGGGTTTGGTAATTGTAGGTTCAATTTAGGTTGGGTATTAAAGTAAGTGTCTTCCTTTATTTTTTTCATTACAGTTTTATCAAAATAATTTCAAACCAAAACATATTAGTATTCCAAACATACTAGATTAGACAATAGTGTGCTGCAAATCAAACAGACACACACACACACAGAATTCAAAACTAAGAACCCATGGAATATCTGGATCAGACAAAAGGTTTTGAAATGCACAGTTCCCTAATCAGAATTTGAAAATGCCACGAGTACTCAGACAAAATTACAAGATATGGCCGTTGATTTAAACAGGCATGCAGGCATGGCGGGGTGGAAATTGAAATTCAATCTTGAATTCATTCTTGATATATGGTAATGGTGTGCAGTCCACTTGTAAATTTGTCTTTACTTTGATGGTTTTGGTGGGAACCAAATTGAAATTATGAAGACAGACAAACTAAACCCAGTTTGATGCCTAACCAAGTGACGACACTACGTGGTCATTCCCATACCTCTCCCTCTAATTAAATAAGAACTAAGAAATACTAGTAATTTAATTTAATGCAATTTACGTGAAGAATGCGACACCGACGCCTCCTTCCAATTCTGATCTTGCATTGCATGGCATACATGCATCTCTCTACGTTTTTGCACACAAACTACTACTACCATATATTATATTCCAAAACACCCTTTTATGGAACTTGCCTGAGCCAAATAAATATTAACAATAAGAAAAAAAATAAAAAATAAAACAAGTTGACACACTTACTATTTTTTCTCATTTTTGAAATGTTTGAGTTAAAAGGGTGTTTGCTTGTGTGTTTGTTAAGGTAGGAGGATAGCCGCCTTGTCCTAAATTTGTTCTTTTGTCTTGATTCGACTAAACAAGTCACATGAGAGACCATGGTATCATTGTCGATTGACTTAGATATGTGGAGTACATTATAACAATAATTGATGATGATCGTTACCCATCAATTAATTTGCAGATGTTGCAAATTGCAATGCGAAGGAGACATAAATAAAAACTTTGATATATAAACAAAAAGGAAAGAAATATTATTCTCACTCTCAACAAGCCGGACGGAGAAGAGGAAAAAGGAAAAATACTATTCTTTCACAATGAAAAGAGAAGTCTGTATAAAGGGATAACTAAACTGAATAGTGCATCCCACCCAAAAGGGTCCCCACATTCAGAAACAAATATAGCAAATTGGGATAATAAATGGAACATTCCATCATTATTATTAGTATACATATGGCCTGGACTGGTATGGTCTGGATTCGCAACAACAAAGAACAAAGGCTATTCACAGCAAGTAAATACCACCGAATTTACAGATTAAGATGACCACACACTTTCTGGGAGACAAGATTTATGAAACCAGTGCAGTATGAATTGAATGAATATCGAAAATATCATATCATCGCCCACAACATAGACTGACTTGACTTTCTAAGTGCTGAGGCAAGGCGGCGTCTAAACTTTATATCCTTCCAGCTGGGGACAAGGGCGGGCATTGGTGTGGCGCCATGTTCTGTTGTTCTTGTAATTTGGTTGGCGTTCTTCTCTCATGGATGTCAGCATTGTCTTCTGGAACGTTATGTGCGTCTGATCCCCCTCTAATGTCTGTGAATTCAGGAAGTTTTCGGCAGGTAATATATGCTACGCATGTAGCAAATGCCTCCGTCAATGAAATTGATCTGTCAAATTCAACAGAATAAAGTCCGTTGCTCAGAGGTTCCAAGCTGAGCGCATGCTTGCTATTATGCTCTCCACCCTGCAAAAATACATACATAGTCGAGTAATCAATTTCCAATTCCCAAAGACTATGATGAACACACACTTGGGAAAGGGTTTTGCTAATAGTGTAACCTGTGGAGAAAGATGAAGGCTATCAACATTAGAGCCAAATGTCGATGATGAATGATGACCGTTGCTGCTTTTCTTATGGTCAGCAAGTACCCGCAGCTTGCAGCCGACATCCCACCCTCCACAGTCACATAATCCACCAGATCTCCACCGGCTGATTAAAGATGACGGTGTGCCTTTAACAGGTACACCATGAACACCCCCTGGTAAGATAACTGTGGTGCCGCTGGTCATCTTACTTGCATCCGAATCAAGCACCTCTGCTGATCCAAAAAGTGTTTCAACTATTTTAGTTGAGCTTTCCACAATAATGGCAGCAATCTCTGTGCCAGGTGCAAATTCAAGTGATTGTTTATCACCCTGCCCTGGATTGATACCATGAAGTACACATTCTGTTGCCTCGCATTCAACAGAGCCACCAGCACTCTCCCTCAGATGGTAAAAGTTTGAAATCTTCATTTGGCCGATAATGTCATAGCCAAGGCTACAATTCTTACTCTTCACTCCTTGAGTTATCCAGTTCATGGCCTTTTTCCTTATCTCACGAACAGAGTAGAATGTATAAACCATGCAAGGATCGTTCTTTCCAGATGCTGGCAAACTTTTCAAACCAGCAGCAAGCATGTCTTCAGTATTGTCCACAACAAGTTTGAAGCAAGGGCGACCATTCTTAAAAGTGAGCTGCAAAAGAGCCTGCAAAACTGATGCTCCCGGATTCTTATCTTGAGATGGACCCTTGGTGGTTGTGGTTCTTACGGTCATGGAATATGAACTCCTGCCTGTTGGTCGATTTGTCTCAGAAGATCCTGTTCCTTTCTGCTTCAGTAATGGGTCCAGCAATCTTCTCAAGGGGCTCGACCTTGCTCTGCCGCTAGGAGTTTCCTTGACTGCTGCAATGTTATCCACACTTGAGTGAGCTCCATGCCTCACTTTATTAGGTGTGACAGAAATGTCCGCTGAATTCAATTGTGAGTTATCCTTAAAGCTAAATGTTCGGCCAACCCTACCGAGGTCAAAGCTGAATCGATGTGCTGGAGAGGAGGCTCTCCTTTTGACAACAGGTTTTTCAGCAACGCAGGGTGATGCTATGTGAGAAGCCTCTGTTGAAGATGATGGAGCAGAAGTTTCCTTGTGCATCATCGAGTCATTACCTGAAGTAGCACTTTGAGACGAAGTACCATTGTCATGTTGCTCAATAACTGATTGGGTGGGAATTGTGGGCACAGAAGGCAGTGGACAAGAGTGTGATGCATCAAAAGAGAATCCTCCATAATCAAAATCACGGGTAGGACAGAAACCAGAAAATCTGTTCCTTGCCACTTCAGAAAATCGGTCATTAACTGAGGTCCTGGATTCCATAAAGTCAATGGTCTCCGCACAAATCTTGTCTTCAAAATGATTACGTTCTGAGATCACAATAACTTGTGGTTCTCCATTATCGGATTGTATTTCATTTCTCTTCTCCAGAGATTTGATTTTGTTAACTGTAGGCACAAAAGATATATGCTTGCCCAGCTCTGGTGACCGAACTTGTTTCCCTAAGATCACCTCCTCCTTCAGATCATTCTTCTTGACTTTCTCCCTATTCATCTCAGAACTTCTGTTATCAGACTTAAGCCTCTGTTTACAATGATCCGGACGCCTACCAATGATGCCACTTTGAGCAGCATGAAATTCTTGGTTACAAGTTTCTTTTCCTTTCGAAGTGAATGGACCAACAAACTTGCCATCCTTGTGATGAGTAGCGTCTCTCTTTTCCTTTGTTGGGTTGAGATGTGGTCCGTCACATGAAAGTGGCCGTCTCGGAGGCGAACTAAAAAGAGTACCACGCTGCAAGGACTGTTTTCCAGGATACAATGAAGTCGGATGACGCCCTTGTGAAATAGAATGATGTCTGAAGTTTGGACTAATTTTATGTTGCCCACTTGTTGGGATGGAATTACTGCTTGCTGAAGTTTTCTTGGGAGAAATTTTAGGCATGCGTTCAGTGTACTTCCATTTCTCCAAGCGGTTCCATTCAAGAACACCAAAATTTAAAGCCTTCTCTTGGACAGAGTTTTCCTTCTCCACTCGTTGGAGAAAGCCAGGTAGATTTGACATGTGCTTGACAAGCTCATCGTAATCACCATTAAATGACGATCTCCTATCCCATGGCGCCTCAGGAACATTCTTGGAAGGTTTGTTGCGACCCAGTTGTCCCATGATTTCAGTCTGTCTGTATTCACTCTCAGGTGATAGGTATGGCCGGTCAATCGACAATCCAGACGTGTAATTGTGCTGACTCCGGTCAATCCGACAGCGCTCACTTGTGCCCTGCCCTAAAACATCGCCCATGTTGATAGAAGTATTCAAATTTTGTGATCACACTTCAATCCATATTCATCTTTACACATCTTCTCAGTAGTGGGACTTTCAAGAGTGCTGGCAACTGCATGAGAATGCTGGTTTTGCTCCTGAGTATAGAAAACAACACTTAATTTATTAAATCAGATATCAACAATCAAGTTCTCCCCTGAAAAGGGAAGAAGTGTTACAACTGAAAAACAAATGGAGATCAAAGGTCATACACAGAGGAATGACTAGCAATAGGGCATCTTGGCATTGCATTCTAACTATCTAAAACTATACATTATCCATGACCAAAATAGAAGGGGTAAATAGCTAAAGGCTCCAATAACAAAAAGTAAAATAAAACCCACTATAATGGAGAAGAAAAAACAACAGTAATTAAAACAAATAATCCAAACCAGGAAGAGAAATCCGCCTAACAATGAATTTTTACTTTGAAAGAAATAGCACCATCATTGTAATACAAAGGCACAAGAAGAAAAGACATCTCAATTAGAAAAAAATGGCAATCCCTAGATTTTTATCCTGCAATGAAAACTCCACGGAACAAATTGCCTGCAATAATGAGAAACGCATGGTACAACAAGAATGAGCCTGTCACTGTGTATTTAAAATTGGCAAGATGTCGGCAGAGTCAATGAAATTCCAGAATGTTTCTTTGAACAGAATATACCATATAGCCGAAAATCAACAACCCTCCTATTAGAAAGGGAAGCACATATCCAAACAACAAGAGGCTAAATCAAAACAAAGAATAATCACAATTATTACTGTCATCATTAACAGGCCCCAACGATAGGCACCAAGAAAATCAAGAATCGGCACCCAAACCAGCTCCAAGAATCACAAGAAAGGGAGAAAGAAAACAAACGAGAAACACTTTCAAGAAATGCAAGCCCACGGTAGAGATTTAGCAAACCCATATTCTATTTCGAGTAAAAAGGGCAATTGTCAGAACAAAAAAGATGAACTCACATGAACGCCAAGAAAAGAATTGCAGCGGGGAACAGGGTCTGGAAAAGCAAGAAATCTTCTTCGTATTGACGGAAGCGTAATCCTCGATGCCGGAGAAAACGTAAAGCGGCACACCTACTGATTAGAAAAAAAAAAAAAAAAAAACAAACAAACAAAATGTATATAGATACAGTGCAGAGTGCATACATACATACACGTATAAAAAGATATAGAGAATACCCGCGAAGAAACTGTGCAACCTGCAGACTGCAGTGACTGAAACCGACTGGGCGAGGGAGGAGAGAGAGAGAGAGTCCTAATGATGAGAGAGAGAAACGAGCGTTTCACGACAATTTAATGAATGGACTTTTCGGATACCAAAATAATAAATAAATATAAAGAAAGAGGATCGGATGGGTTAAAATAATTCATTTCTGTGGGCCCACACGAGATGGTGAATTCCATAGTTGGCCCAATGGGCCCTATCTGAAACACGTAGAAGCTCCATGGATCCATTCAAGAAATGGATCAGAACCATACAACTCAATTGTGAATGGAATCGAATCCAACTGGTGTTGAGGTCCCCGGACCCCTCGATTCTGAATAGAAGAACAGCAGAACGGGATCACGGTTCAATTATTAATATTAAAATGTTGTGTGTGTGTGTGTGTGTGTGTGGAAGGAAATCACATAGATAGGATAGGATTATTATTAAGGGAATGTGAATTAATGGCGCGGAAATATAAAATGGTAGCTGTGGGATTAATTTATTTTGCTGATAGTGTAATAAAATTGGAATTTTAATGATTTATTATTGATTTGAGTATAATTGAATTAGTACCTTTTTGACAAAGCAGTGGCAGTTTTCCCATTCATAAATTCTTTTCCATCTCTGGCCTCCTCTCTTGTTGGACTTTACTCAGCCTGCATCCAATTGATACTCATCATTTTTATTTTTAATTTTTATCTTTTTAAGTAAAAATAAATAAATAAATACTATAATGGGATGGACCATCTATCTATCTGGAGTTAGGGAATTATGTATGACCGTGGAGTGGGGGTAATGATTAGAGAATTGAAAACATTAATTGATTAAAGTTATTATTGTACGTGTGGGTGCTATATAATATAGCGTTAAGGTTGATGGGGATAATTATTATTACCATTCATAGATACAATAGTACTACTTGCTAATAACATACATACACGACTTACTTTTATTCTTGTTGTAACTCAATCAATTGGTCCAAATATGAAATATCAATGTCGAAAGAAATTTCTGTGGGCTCAAATAATGGGCCTACTAAGAATCCATCCATAATAATAAGATTTGGGTCGTTACATCAGCCCAATTATTGGCCCACGAAAAAACCCACTTGACCCATCAACAAACTATTTACAATTCAGTAGCTTTTTTTATAAAGTTCAATCTTTTAGGACCACCCCAACCACATCCAAGTTCACTCCTGCTTCAATCTATCTTCTTCAGTAATCATTCAAATTAGGGAAGAACATCATTAAAGAAATTCAAAATAGTTTCAATTTTATTTATTGGATTTGATAAAAAAAATAAAAAAAGAAAAAAAAAGACAAGCTACTGGTATAAAAGACAATAGTTTGGTGTACCAAAAACTAAAGATAAAAATAAATTATATCCAAGTTTGAAAATATAGGGTATGGTATGGTATGGGTGAGTTGTCATATTACATGGTAATAGTAAGAGCAGCAGCAGAAGGCAAGCATGTTGGTGTCCGTATTGCCAGTTGACATTTATGTATCACCTATTATCATCTGTTTGGATTCTGATTTTATTTTATTTTTAGTTGGTGAACAACTGTTGAATTTTTGAACTTGCTACTTTATTACTATTACAATTATTTGGTACAGCTTCCATCTCCTAGTCCTAGATTTTAGTAAGAATATGGCAATGGCATGGGGCTTGTCTTTTTCCAGGATCATAATACAAATTTTACAATCAGTGTGTGTTATGTCCCATCAATAATTTATCTTAACTAAACCACCCCACTAAAATAGATAAATCAATTACTATATTTTATTTAAACTTGTACTCTATAATCCAAATATATAACAAATGCCACTACCATCTTACCTAAACTGTTGAGATTTACACATATTTTTGGCACAGAAAAAACACGTCAAAATTTTTCATACCTCATAAAGTGCAGTAAATAATCATTTTTCAATTAATTAATTAACTAATTAAAATTTTCGTTATGTGTGTTTGATGAGTGCACGTCGACGTTACAATTGGTTGTATTTAATTGTCAAGAAACAGTAGGGAATATTAGAAATCGCTTAGATTAGATTGTCTGAGTGGGTAGTGTCATATATAACGGATTTCAAATCATAATAATTATTGCCATAATTATGCATGACTAGTGTTGGGGAATATTGGACCATACTAAAATAAAATTAAATAAGCAGACGCCGACATTATCATTTAAAAAAAATAATAGTAATAAAATAAAAATTCTATTGTTATTATTATTATTATTATTGTTAATACATTTTTTATATCAACTAGTTTTATTTCATAAATTTGTATTCTTTATAAAATTGAAAACACTGTGAGAACAGTTGATAATACAAGCTTTTATTAATTCAATTCTTACAAGTTGAGATGGGATGAGGTCTGACGCTATAATGGGAATAGGAGGGCAGAAGCTTTGTGGTTAAGAGTCAACGACAAACGAAGACGAACACCAACTTCAATAAATAAATATTTATAAAAGTAGAAAAGATACTCGTCCTACACTAGACAGTAGACACTACTGTGTGAACAAGATCCTCCTCCTACTACTACTATTATTTCATTAGACTTGCACACACAAATGCAATTTATCCAATCTTAATTACTTTTAATTCCCCTTTTAAGACTCTATAGACAACCATTTGAAAAAATATATATATTGCTATGTTAATAATTGTTTGGTGAATAATATTTTATTAAATAGCAATTCTATATAATAATGGAGTATGTTTTTGCGCATCAAATGGCAATGGGCAACAACTACTAAACCTCACCGCAGGAACACACCACAATGCATGTCCATGTGCATCAAAGTGCAAAAGCATTATTCATCTGTGCTTTGTAACTGCAGCTTTTGCTTCTTTCTATGCTTTGACCACTAAAATATGTTTTCTTTTTCTTTTTTATTTCTCAATAAATAAACAACACAAATATTATAATATTACAATTTTGGATAACAGTGGGTAAAATGCAAAAATGAGAAGGGGCTGAATCGAAGGCACTTCTTTTATTATTATTATTATTAACTTAAAAGGCATTTCAGTACAAAACAAAATCAACCCATTCTTACAATACACAACAAAAGGAAGATAAAATTAGTTTAAGTAAAACAGAGCAGGAGCATCAACCAAAACGAGACTCCAACTCAAGGACCCGTTTGAGGGTGAAAATAGTAACCAATCAACCTATGAAAGTAATAATGATAATAATAATAATAATTAAGACACTTCTTCCTTCTTTATTTCTTCCTCGTTACTGCTGATGATTCGTCTTCCAAACCCCACACGGAACAGGAAACGAGAATTTTGTCTACTTGTACTTCGAGCCAAACGAAATAATCACTCACTTCGGCCATAGACACTTGTTCTTAACTCTTATTCCCCCCACAACAAAACCTCGTCCAAAATATATAAAAAAATCATTTTCTTGCTGCTAACATTCCCTCTTCAATTCATCGTCGTCTACCTACATAATTACTTGCTACTTCCCCACTGCTGTTCTACACTACAATTGCTAATGACGTGTCGTCTGCAAAATATACTAATACTATCATCCTTTTTCTAGTAAAACCGGCCTTATACGAAACTTCCATAGCTTCTGTAATCTTCATTTAAATGCAAATTGATATCTATTCTTTAAGAAGAAGGCAATCCAGCTAGTAAGTCCATTCCTGAGGTAACCGGAGCTCAGGATGCATCAATGGCTGCTGTAAAAGGTTTCTCTGTTCAGCCATCAAGACATTGCTTCTACGATTCAAACCAGGATCTGAAATTTTTTTATACTCACATTTAGCAACCCCACAAATTATATAATATGTTCCAAGACAAACAAGAAGCTTTCAATATCAACATCATACCATATTCTGGGGTGAAATTTCCATGGCTTCTAACATTGGTTTGGGGATAATTCGACTCCAGATTCAAATTCAGGGCTTGAACAACCCGCTCCGGCAGCAAAACCGTAGAGCACCCTGGTAATACAGTAAAGCAAATTCACACAAATTAGCCCATACAAACAGCGGCAGCCATAGCCAGTGCATTGTCTAAGCAAAAAAAGTAAAACCAACAGAAAAGAACAGACAGATCAGATATCGCATCAAGTTAAATCGAAACAGTGGACAAGAACATCAGAACATGCCGCATGTGACCACCAGCCAAGCACTAAAAAAAAAGAAAAAAAACTAGTTACAATATTCAATTACCTGTTTTCTTGCGGGTTTCGGGAGGGTTCGTTCCAACTCTCCTCGGGAGAAAAACGCCGGTCCCAGTCCGTTCCTTCCTCGTTGCTGCTCCTCCCAGAAAAACTGCCCTCATCCCTGAGCCAGTTTGATGCTGTTGCTGCTGCTGATGGGATTGCTGTAAAGTAGGCCAGGCGGCCATTGATGGACCTTGAGTCCTTCCTGCACCGACAGGCCCTCCGTTGCCAAACTGATAATCCATTCGGCCTTGCCCCCAAACCCCACTTCTCAGCATTTGCTGCTGCTTCAGGCGCTAAAACAAAAACGACAAATGAGTAAAGTGAATCTCCGTACAAAATATCACAACCTAAAAGGGCGTAGAAACACTTACTTGAGATGCCTGCAACTGCAGGTAAGCATGGTAAGACTGATTTTGGGTCTGAGATCGGTATATCCCGCCACTGGCTGTGTGTGATTTCTCAACTTGTATCGATACAGGGTTAGGGTTTGGCTTTGGCGGAGGGAAGTGCTGTTTGGCTGAATGAAACGCTGTCGTTTCTTCAATCATTCGCATCCTGGCAACTTCCCCTGCAGCTGCATAAAGCAAATCCCACCCAACATCCTTGCCGTCGGGTGGTGAAGATACACGGGAGACGCTGTTGGGGCTTCCCCTGCTAGAACCTGCTTTGCAGCCGCACAGAGTCGACTGTGGCGATCCAGATAGCTTCCAACCCTACATAGAAATCGAAACACAAATTTATACACGAAAATAAACGAGACGACAGTCAGAAGGGAGTAATAGTAGTAGAAAATACCTTGGACATGTTGTCGGAAGTGAAACCAGTGTCCTGTAAAGATGAACGAGCCATCTTCCAATTTAACCCAGTGATGAAATCATCCTCATCGCTCTCGGTTTCCGTTGAGCCCATAACTGACTCACCGGGTGAACTCAGATCCGAATTAAACCCAAACGAGTTTCCAAATCCATGAGTGAAATCAGGGTTCCCCTTGGATTGCAAACGGTCAGCTTTAAAGTCCGTCAGAAGGTCGTCGTCCGTCAGAAACTCCGACGGCAGCCAGAACTCACCATCGTCCAAGTCTTGCGCCATACGGACAGACTAGATATGCAAAAACCCACACAAACTCTTGCTCGTATATATACAGCGAAGGAGAAGGAAAAAACCAAAGGATATATGCAAATCTGTTACAATCAAAAGGCGGGTATTTTGAAAGCTGGGATGAGATTATGGGACGTTGCTGCTTCTTGAAGGTTTAATTATAGAGGCACCACTTAAATGGAGGAAAAAATCTCAAGGGCCCATCAAAGATATAGAGAAAAAATAAAGGTGAAAAGAAAATCGATTGAGGGGAGGGGTGGGAGAGTGGAGCGAGATTGAGGGCGGGGAGAGGGAGAGAAAGAGGGTGTCGACGCGCCGTGTCGGAGAGTGTGTATACGCGCGGCAGAAAAGATGGGGAAAAACAGTTGGAAAGAGTTGGCGACAGATAAGCGGGGGGTGGTGGTGGTGGTGGGCCCGTGTCTGACACCGCTCACTCGGTTCGCATGTGAGTTCTTAACTCGGTCGACCCCATTGGGAAACGCTCAAGTGCCCTAAACCGGCCTGGCCTGGCCTGCCTTTTTCAGCAATTTGTATATTTATTTGATATTTGAATGCTAACACTATTAAGATATGGTTCATAATTAATTTATTGCAATTGCTCTGGCTATTTAATAATATGTAACTAATCCGGAGTTAATTGGCTTGTCATTCAATTTTGGTCGTTATTATTAATTTGGGAAGAAAATGATGGTGGCGTGGTGACAACGTGTTTGAGCCTTTCGGATTGGTTAAGTTAGTGGCGACAGAATGAAGGGACGGACATTCATCGCCACGCCCCCATCTCTATTGCCACGTGGCAGACATGCGACGTGCGGTGGCGTCGGTTTTTGCTTGTTTAGGGCTTTCTTTCTTTTCCTACTTGATTGACAATTTTGCCCTTGGGATGTTGTTTGTAATGCCGAATATACCCTCACTTGGGTTTCTTATGATTTTAAAGTGTTAAATCAAAATTATTTTTATAATGTTCAGATCAGACGACTTTGAGAGCAGACAGATATTTCTCTCTCTGCATCATCCAGACAGAGACACGGAAATGGAAACCCTATGTTTCAAAGTAGTCTGTCGAATCTTTGACCGAGGAGATCAGACACCTATCTGGCTTACCTTACCGACATGCCGCCGCTGCTGCTGCTGTTCCTTTCCCTAAATTTTTACACAAAGACAAATCCAAATCTTACGAGGAATTATATATATGTAAAATTTCATTGTTCGTGATTGTAATTAAGTGTCTCGTCGGCCGGCTGTTAACCGTCGATTGAGTCCAAATATAATCCGACCATGCTGGATTTTCTATCATCATCTTCTTCAATTTCTTTTCCCCTGTTTTGACGGATATTCCACACATCACTATCTTTTTTAGTCTATACCTTAGTGTACTTTATTATCTTGTTATTTTGTCTCCGAACTTGGAATAAAGAAAAAGTAATTTGGTCTTTTTGTCGTATGATTGTTATCTGAGCCAAATGAACCTAAACTTGATCATACGATTACATGGTACAGTCACTGTAAGAATAATATATATATATATATATTCAATTATACATATGATTGAGTATGGTGCAGGTGTGGAAGAGGAGGGGGAAGACGGGAGTGATTTCAGTAGTCACAAGTGGATGTTGTGATAGTCAAACCGCTTTACCGTCGCTGTCTGTGGCGCCGTTCCCGCCTTTTTCTCGCGGACGCCACCAACCGCTCTTAATTGGATTTAATGAAATTTATTGCGCCCACGATTTTGTATTTTTGAGCGCCATCTCCATTCCTCGATTCCACTTCAAACCTAGCTAGCCACATGCTCTTGGCTACACCCGGGACCCCAAGTCCCTGTCCAAGGCCCGGAGTGCATTGATATAAGTGTCCTTTTAGCGCAAGCATAGAAGAAGCAAGCATACAAGAATAATCTATTGAGGTATAAATCGAGCAAAAAGTGCTGTTGAACTCTTAGCTCTATCAACGGATGAACAAATTTAAATTTTGATACTCTCAGTTGAGCCCTACGGATGAAATGCATAAATCTATGGAATGACCCTAATGAATCCTAACCATTTGTCTGTCATAGTCAAGATTCTTACCACATGGGATTAACAGTTAGGCTTTGACTTATAACACAAGCATCACAATTCATTAATACGCCTAAATATCTATAACACAGGCCTGTGAATCATCATCTATTCCATGTTCAATATATTGAAAAAAAAAAAAGAAAGTGGGGGTAGCATTGAAAAGAAAAAAGGAAAAGGGAGAGTGGTCTCCACTTGGACAAAATTAATTATGATAATGATAAGGGGATTGCTTCTTAGTTCTGCAAGACCAATCACCAAGGTTAGCGCCGAAAGATTGTGCAGATAATTAATAGTAGATAATTTATTAATTATTTACCTAGGAAGGTCGTTTTCATTTTAATTAGTCACGGACATGAACACACCATGACCATGACCATGTCATGTCTGCATAAATTAATTCTGCTTCATGAGGTTTGTGCAGTATACCAAATAGCAGGGGCAGCAGAGCAAGTCCCAACTGGATGGCCCCACTTGCAGGTAATACTTGAGCTGGGCTACATTATCTATCTTTTGACATCATATACTTTATTTTCTCAGAATTTGGGTGGAATCCCCAGAATTACGACTTTTGCTTCGTGCACTCGACACAACTTGATAAGAATTTCATATTCTTTGGATGGGTTGTTGGATGTTGCACTAACACATCTGCACAACATTAAATACCACAATTTAATTGCATATGGAATTGAACCAAGACAAGAAACAAAGCATTATATAATTGAAATGGAATCCTGTCTATAGTGGGTTAATTATTTTTTTTCAAGAAAAAAAACAGAAGAAATAATCCTGATTCTAAGCGTGGAAGACAAATCTGAGCAAAATGATCAAAAACCCACAATTTGCTCAATGATTATGGAACCACTTTTTATTTATCGAGATGCCATGCTTTTGACTGACACAGACAAGAGTCCAGTAAATCATTTACTGCCTTTAATGTTGTCCCTCTAATATAGGTTTGCAGTTGAAGGGAAATCTTGGTGGCAACCACTTATGAATAATTAATGAGAATAAGTGCCCATCATGTTAATAGCAAGAAGCAATGAAATAAGGTCATAAATCAAACTGGGATTGATATATTCCAAATTTCCAACCATAATAATAAATAAATTGATGCTGGGGTATCTATGCCATGCCAGCCACGCCCATTATCTATCTAGCCTGCCTCACTCATTTAAATCTCCCTTTGATGAAAGCACTGTCCCACACATACATTAATGTTTCTGTTTATCTAATTAATTATATATCTCAAAAAAGATAATTATGGAATCTAAATCAACACAGTGTGCTCCTCTCTCAGCCATTATCTTATCATGGTAGATATTGTTCTATTGTCCCTGATGTGATCACTCCAACTTCTCTATTATACCTAAAAGCATCATTTCGGTGGGACCATTATCATATCTCTCACATGCCCCGTATTTAAATTAATAAAGCAACCAACGAAACTAAGCCTGATCAATGTCTATCATCGGAACAGTGGAATAATTATGGGAATATTTATAAATAGTACATGATATATATTACCTTTACCTGCCATGCTGGGTTGTAACTGTAATGCACATCGAACATGCACTTAGTCCATTCCAAATTATATATGTATAAAAACTAGTGCTGGAAAAATGTTAACAGGAGAAATGTCGTGTAGTGGTTATGGGACCTCTAGGGAAGACGTGCACATGGAATTTCTATAAAAAAGGTTAGCCTAGATCTCGAGTTTTTTAATTGTGATATGAAATGTTTCTGCCTTGGGAGCATGCATTCACGTATAACAGTGTTATGTTATTCTATGCCTTCATAATTCTTTATGTGATGTAATAACATGATCAGAACAATTAGGCATCATCAAGAACAATAGTAACACTAATCATAATATACAATCTCTTCTCAGGTAATTGAAATTCCATTGTTAATTTTCCCAACCGGACTACTATGAGACTTAAGAATTGCGAATTTCATTTGATTTTAGCATACTAACATCAGTGTAAATATTATGAACAAAGGGAGAAAGTACCTTATTAGCCAGGGAAGAACAGAGGATCGGGGATTTCCATATGGAGCTTTTAGTACCCTGTCGAGAATCTAACCTTCAAATGAAGATAGAGGAAGAGCATTAAACACGCCGCGCCAGAAAAGCTGAGAAAACAGGGAAGAAGAATGACCGAAGACCGGAGAATTGGAGTAGATATGAATTTGTTCGGGAGCAGCAAGGCAGCGCTGGAATGTTCCATTGAAAATTTGGCGAGGGTATGCATTCTGAATTCTACGTATCAGGATTCGGTGACAATCTGCAGGATTTTGGTTTCATGATAAAAACTAGCTTTGATTCCACACAATTCGTGAGAAAGCTCGCCGTTCAGATTGTTGTCGAAGTTTTAGATGTTATCTGTCGCCTGTGCAATTGATCGCACGTTAATGCAATTGAACCAGATAAATGTGGGAACGGAATTGCATCGTGATGGCGCACCACGCTTCCAATCCACAGTTATTTCCTTCAGTTCTCTCCGATAAACACTCTTTCCATAGATCGATTTATCCACTCACCATTCAATATCTGAGGCATAATCCTGAGAACCGCGGGGCACGATTCAGTCGCATATGCTGCGTGTCCGGTGATGGTAGTCAAGTATCCCGCCGACTAACACGATTCGATTGCCACTGTACGCATTGTGATTTTGGAATTTGGATAGCACGCAAGAAGTTTATGTTCAGTGTTCACCAAGTCTGACCAATTCAATCCCACAGAATTTGTGTAGCCCAATGGCCATTAAAGTTGACAGTGTCGGCCCAGTACTGGAAGGCCCAAAAGCCCATTACAGTTGACAGCAGATAAGCTCGTTTACTATTTAATTGTGAAATGCATTAAGCTGGTATAATACTATGCAGATTCAAGAATCAACCCAATATTCAGGCACAGCTGTAGATATATAATTTTTTTTTTTTTAGCGGGATGAAAAATTAGGTCCATTCAATTATTTAAAACTAATGGCACCAACTTTTTAGGCCCTCGGCCTGTCAAGTTTAATAATGTCTTGGGCTTAATTATTGCATTGGCTCATCTTTTCTCTATAATAGGTCAATTAAATTTTAGCCTTAGGCCCTAAATGCTGCTGACTCAATGTTTTGCTAAGATTTCTTTTGCTCGTTTCATTTTGTTGGTTCGTATGGTTTTTTCCGATTCGGTTAGAGCTACCAGCACTGTTTATGACTTGTAACTTACATTCCTTGCTGTCTTACAAAGAAAGAAAACACAGTAGGACTAATACACTCTTTCTTGTGACATTTCAGATTAATTTTTAAGCATGGCCCCTTAATTATTGCATGACATTATTATTATTATTAGATGTCCCACTTAGTGTTCACAAGAAGAGGAAAGAATCTTGATTAAAAATAAAGTAGGTTTCATCGGCATCTTCTTGGGCTGCTGCTGTGTTTGACCTCGGAGAGTTCATCACGGGAAAATGGATACTGGAGGTTCCGAACAATTTAAATAATCGATGGTCATCGATATTTGTGCTTGCATTGATGCATTAACTAGACATTTATAATAATAGTAATAATATACGTTATGTTGCCTATCTACAAGGGTAGATCAGGCCGTCTTTAATGGCAAGAACCACTGAACATGAATTTTGTCATTGTGTAGTGATGGAGGTGTTTCGAACCCATATCCTTCCATGATCCATGTGAATCCAACGAACTTGTTAGTACATTGCTTTTATTTGTTACAGTGGAGGAGGGCATTATTAGTGAAGCTTCATGGGGCCATTCAGGACTACGACTCATCATATTAGAGATTCATCAAAGAAAGTAAGGACAAAAGAGCAAGGAAGAAATATCCTTTTGTTCGAATCAAGCCCATGTAATAATTGCAGGAGAGAGCCTTTGTTGAAGCAAAGTAACATTGTGGCACTTTGAATGCGCCTGCGCCTAAGCAAAAAGGCCTCAGCATTGTATTGTTGGTGGATGCCCTCACTGCAATTCATCTTCTCACTCTTTGTTGGTGCTCTAATTATCATTCTCCATCTCTCTCCCTTCTTCTCCCACACACGCTCTAACATTTAGTCATCATTCTTCATCTTCAGTGCTTGAGCAACTATTGTCCTCACAATTATTACGGGTTTTCTTGTCTTTATTGTTTTTAACTTTGTCCTTACAGAAGCAAACATGGTTGAAGCAGAAGTTGCAACATCATGGATAGAGCTCTCCCGGAAAGTGATGACCAGTCAAAGCTCAAGCCGTTCTTTCCTGTGAAGCGGCCTGGGGTTCCGATCAATTCAAACCCCTCTAGAGCATTCTCATTGTGGGTCTCGAAATCAGTCAAGTTCTTGAGAAATAAAGCCAGAGTGCCGGATAGGGTTTGCAGCAAAAGGTTTCGATTTGATGGGATAATGGTAGTGAATAACTCTCTGTATTGTGTTACTCCTAACTATATCGAGGCTAAAATGGAGGCACTGGTGAATGACAATGGGGTTCTAGACAAGGAAAAACGAAAATGCCCAAATGTTAGGGATTTGATTGAAGAAGAAAGTGAAGAAAGCAGTTCCAGTTCTGAGTTTTTGGCGTCCGAGGTTACTTTGAATTATGACATTAGTAGCTCTGATTCATCATCATCTCCTTCGATGTTCTGGCCTCTGCACAACAGTAAAATTCCAAGGTGCGAAAGCTACTTAGTTTCGGAAGAAATTGAGAAGCCCCATTCAGACAGGAGAAAATTAGAGAAACAAGGATCATATCATTCAGGTACAATGCTCATACTTCATATTTATAGTCCTCTCTGTTCATTGCCATTTGGGCTCTGATCGATCTTGGTGATTATAGAAACTGAGACATTAAAGGAAAGATTTTCAAAACTGCTACTTGGTGAGGACATGTCTGGCTGTGGGAATGGGGTTTGTTCTGCCTTGGCTATATCAAATGCTATCACCAATCTCTATGGTGAGCTATTCAACATACTCAATACTTGCAGATCAATAACGTTCAACTAGCTCTATTGGATACCATGATCGATCTAAGCATTTTTTTTTTTCTCAATACCATAGCTACATTGTTTGGACAAGTTTGGAGATTAGAGCCTCTACAGTCCGAGAAGAAGTTCAAGTGGAGAAGAGAAATGCACTGCCTTCTCTGCGTTAGCGATCACATTGTTGAGCTGATCCCTTCGTGGCAGACATTCCCCGATGGAAGCAAACTTGAGGTGAATCTATTTCATCAAAACTATCCAGCCGTTAATCCTAACTTTTTTGACTTATCCTCTGTTCCTTGATTCAGGTCATGATTTCCAGGCCTCGGTCGGATCTGTACATCAACCTTCCTGCATTGCGAAAATTAGACAACATGCTACTTGTAAGAATTAAATTCTAAAAGTCCAGTGTCTGGACCTTTCTTTAATTTATGCACTGAACTGAGCTATGGTCTTTTACAGGAAATATTAGACAGCTTCGAGAATTCAGAATTCTGGTATGTCGACCAAGGGATATTAGCCCCAGAAGGCGATGGATCATCCTCCTTCCGGAAGCACCTTCCTGGTCAAGAAGACAAATGGTGGCTTCCAGTCCCTCGAGTCCCACCTGGTGGGCTCAGTGAAGATGCTAGAAGGATGTTGCAACACAGGCGTGATTCCACAAACCAAATTCTTAAAGCTGCAAAGGCTATCAATAATGCCTCTTTAGCAGAGATGGAGATTCCTGATTCATATTTAGAATCTCTTCCAAAGGTATGGATTGAAAGAATGCTTCTTTATGTGATTAGAATTGGATAGGCTAGGTAGGCTGTCGATTTTTACTGTCTTGATATCATGTCCTATTCTTTACTTTCAGAATGGAAAAGCATGTCTGGGAGATCTTATCCATCGATACATTAATTCTGAACAATTTTTGCCCGACTGTTTACTCGACTGCCTTGACCTGTCTTCGGAGCATCATGCTTTAGAGATTGCTAACCGAGTGGAGGCCGCTACTTATGTGTGGCGCCGAAGAACGAGTTCAAAATCTCTGCGTAGAATGCACAGATCCAGCTCCAAGTCATCGTGGGATTTAGTTAAAGATTTGGTTAGTGATGCAGATAAACGAGAAGTTCTTGCGGACAGGGCCGAGAGCCTTTTGCTTTGCTTGAAGCAACGCTTTCCAGGCCTACCTCAGACAACCTTAGACACAAGCAAAATCCAATACAACAAGGTCCATTTACACTAATCATTTCACTGCTAATTCCAAACTCTATTGTTGAATTGAAACAAAATTCGATACTGATGCACTGTTGTTGAAATTTTAGGATGTGGGGAAGTCCATTTTAGAGAGTTATTCGAGAGTTCTCGAGAGCCTGGCATTCAACATCGTAGCAAGGATCGATGAGCTGCTTTATGTGGATGACTTGTCCATCCATTCGGATCAGCCTTTGTCGATTTCCAAAGCCGGGATTGTAAAGCAAGAGAGCACTGGAATTACGGCATTCTCCAGCACCCCGTATAAGACAGCTTTTACGACTCCGAGCTTCTCACCTCTACAGCTGATCAGTCCTGCTAAGGTAGAGAGGTCACCATACATGGAAAGCTGCAGTTATTCCCTTGCGGCGAAAAGGGTATTAATGGATCAACTGAAAACCGACGGTGATGACGGGAAAGGGAAGGAGACCGTTAGTAGTATGTGGAGATCAGATTCATTGGCGCGAGAGATATCATTCTCTCCATCACGCGAATCTTCGAGACGTTTGAAATAGGTCATCAGTTTGCAGTCAGTTGAGGAAAATAAACTGAAGGGATCAGTTGCAGTTGCTGTTGTATTAATATTGTTAAGATTGTTAATATACAAGAAATATCATCGGTGTCACATGTACATGTGATGTCTGCAGGGAATAGCATTAGTTGATTTGAGAGCTAGCCACCATGTATGGATGGATGGATTTATTCTTTGCGTAATGTGCTTAATTGGGATCGTGCCCAAATTTTGGAGATCATATCAATATGGATGTATTATTTATTAAAAATAAAAAAAAAATGAAAATAAACAACAAAATTTGAGGGGCCAACAAATATTACCAGATTGATTCCGAAATGGTTTGAATGTCAACCACCGAAGGCTGACACAGACAAAGTAGGAGGAAATAAATATCTTACCGTCAAAAGAAGCAAGCAAACATCCTATGCTATGCTATGCTATGCTAGTGGTCCTCATTAGTCTGTCTGGTCAAAGTCTGTCTTTGTGATTGATTTTTTATACGTTACATACGATACATACTAGGAATCTTGACTTTCTTTTTTTCTTTTTTCTCCAAGATGGATAGATACCTCGAATTTCTTTCATCTTTGTGGTGTGTAGGATGGGATAGGGGTTCTGTTTGTAGAGGATCAGTGCAGCAGCAGCAGGAGGATATCAGATTCTGCCTGAAACAGACATCTTTTCATACACACCAAACATTGCAAAAGCCAGAAGCATTACAGTCATCATTATCCTTTACAATGCATGACTACCAAGCAAATAAGTAACTACTACTATTATAATAGCAACAGAACTATAACGATAAGACGACGACGCTGCCATGCCACAGGAAAACAGCAAAAGCCACTCTCCCTGTCACCCTCGCCCTACTACATACATACATACAGACATACATAATTTATTCATAACTATATATACATATACATATACATATACAATATATATATATCTGAGAGGAGGAGCAAGATTCACATCTCTTATTAGTAGTAAAGGGATCCTGCCAGAAATTAAACAATTCGTCAGTCAACGTAAAACAAGCGCGTTTAAGTCGAAAGAATGGATAGCGTATATATATATAACAGCATACCCTGCCACCAGTTCCCTCTGGAAGCCCCACCCGAATCGTCTTCTCCACCATCTTTATTGAACTGTTATTAATTAAAACACACACACCAGACATGACATGGGTAAATTAATTAATTAATTGAAGATGCAAAGAGAATCTTGTATGTCGTTAAATTTTAGGTTTTTACTGACAGTGGTGAAGAAAGTGTTCTGCGGATCCTGGGGTCGAGAGTAGACATCTTGACCGCCGTAATATATCGATGAACTGTAATTTAACGGCAGCAGTCGCTCCTCCTGATTATAATATGAACTGCTGTTGTTCATCTGCCCTTCACTGGCATTGTTCTTGTCTGAAAAGGAGCACAGGGCAATATTCAGACATTCAACCATTGTTGTCTCTCTGACCAGAATTCCATGTCAACAGAGCAAGATATGAAGGCACTGGGAATCCTAGCCACAGAAAAAAAATTACAGAACTAAAATAGTAAAATACCTGCTGCAATTTCGGTCTTTGCACTCCAAGCAGGATCATATTTGTTCTTGTCTGTTTTTGGCGAATGTAATGACTCCATCCCCGAAACCTGGAACAAAGAAAAGATCAACAGATTGGAGTTGCATTTGAGAAAGTGATTATATATATAAATAGTTGTTTGTCATATATATATATATACCTTACGAGGAGGGGCAAAAATTGAACCAAATAATCCAGAAGATGCGGAAGCAGATGGGGAAGAATCCTTAGCCCCAAAAAGATCAGAAGCGAGTGAAGAACCAGACTGCTTTCCCCCTTCCATGGATTATTGTTGTTTCTTGCGAATGGCAGAGAGAGAGAGAGAGAGAGAGAGAGAGGAAGAGAGAGGAGAGAGAGAGAGAGAGAGTATCTGTGTCTAAAGTCTTAACTTAAGAAGGTTGTTAGTGGGTGTTGTGGTGTGGCGTGGCGTATATATACAACGCCCACCGTCAAGAAAACGTAACCGCCGAGAATCCTTCCCCAAAAACAAACAGAGGAAGAGAAAGCGAAAGCGAAATCGGATGCAGGATGGGATAAAAACAAAACTGCGAAAAGCTATGGAAGAAAAAAGAACAGAGCACGACACGTGAATGACCTCTGATGCATATGCCTACCCTCGCTCTCTATCTCTCTATGCATGTATACATATCTCTATCTCTATCTCTATCTCTATATTATATACGTATGCTCTCTCTCTCTCTCTTAAGTCTTATGTATACATACATACAAGATTGATACTAAGGTATGAAATCATGATCATGCGAGAAAGACAACAGGAATCAAGGGATTAAATCAAATAGAAATATTAATGAAAGGGAAAGAAGCAGCCGATGGAGGTGGTCTGGTCAGGTCTGGTCTGGTCTGGTCTCTATATAATGAATGAATGAATGAACGAATGGTATAAAAAGGAAATTCTTATCATGCCAATTGCCATGTCTATCTATCTATCTATCTAAACATGGCTGATTAGCTAAGTCTCTCTCTCTCTCTCTCTCTCGTATAAATATCTATATATATATATATCTCACATCATCACATCGCATCATAAAGAAACAATAATTAATAAACTTTTGTGTTTCCGATGGTTCTTGTTCCTACTGGTTTTGGTTTTTCGGTTTCGGTTAGTCGGCGTTATCCGCTGAAAAGAGTCCCCACCTGTCTCAAATCACACACAGATGACACGTTGCGCCGGTACACATACATGGACTAATTCATCAATTTTAATTTATTAATTCCCACCCCCCCTCCCTTTTAATTCATTTTACTGCTACCCCCCGTCGACCCCACCCCACCCCCCTGCAGAGTGCAGCCTGACTGAATGGATAATAACAATTCCTACCCACTTTACTGCACACCACCCACCCAGTTTTTATCCTTTTCACTTTTTTCCCTGCTGTCGCTTTGTCAAACCCTAATTTCTCACTTCGGTAGTTAGGGTTTCCAAACTACTGGATCCATGGCAGGGCAGGGCAGTCTTCTCTTACACCACGTAGTTATTATTATTCAGTAATTATAGATAGATAGATAGATAGATGGATCTTGGGAAAAAGGATGGTTCGAAAGAAACAAGTATAGTATAGCATAGTACAGAGAGATGGATGGATGGAGAAGCATTAATAATTATGTGTATGTATGGTGTGTACCTTTTAGCTTTTGAAAGGAATTGAAGGGTCAAGGTTCGTACAGAGACCTTATCTTGTCGGACAAAACAAACGGCAGCTTCTGTCTGGTCGGTTCGTCCATTTCACTCATTTCAGAACACTCTTTAGTCTGAAACTACATATATATGTTTGTATCTCTCCATGCATGCATCCATAAAGACTACTACTACTACTACAACAACTACTACTACTACACTGCATATTATATACATACACATATATATATATATTCAACTCTTGTTTGGTTGGTACATCCATCCAATTGAATTGATGATCCAACTCTTACTTGGCAACTTCCAAGCTTGTGGTAACTATACTGTGGGCGTGGGACATCACATTACATACATACGTACAAACACATCCAATTAAATCATGTATATATGCTTGTCAAGATCATCATTCTCTTGATGGTTCTTATTCACTCGTTCAATTATTCAACTGTATTCTTATCCCAATCATATTCTTTCTATACATATAATCACCAGAACTCATCTGCTAATTGGTGGAAACTGTATAAATCCAAAAAAGGAGGGTTTTCAGAGGAAAAAAAAAAGAAAAAGAAAAGGTCAATGTTTATGTGAAGTTTGAATGGAAACTGTATGGATCTGCAAGAAAAGAGAAATTTTTAAAAAATAAAAAAAGAAGAGGTTTTTACCAACCAACATAATCAATAAATAGACAGATATATATATATATATATTATCTTTATTCTTCTCTTTTGCCCCTTAGCTATTTATAGTGCTCGCAAACGGATCAGGTCGGGTCGGGTTCAGGTTTGGATCAGCGCAAACGAGTCTTGAACTTGACCCATTTAATTAAATGAGTTGATATTTGCATCCTTAACTTAACCGGATCTTTTATTACTCGGGTCAATCTGAATTTGACTCATATAACCTGTTTAAATTTAAAATATTTTAATTTTAATCCAAAATTACAATTTAGACTAACAAAATTTGTAAATGTATAATATATATACATATTAAAGCAAAAAATTATTTATTCATGTCATAAAACATATATTCAAGAATTGAATTAACAAACACTATATAATAATACACAATACAATCCTTTATTTTTAATTGTTTATTTTTTTTAAATTGGCCATAAATATCGAATTGTACTGATAAAATTTAAAAAATATATTTAAATTTAAAATAATATTAATTAAACAGGTTATACTGGTTATTTTCAGGTAAAAAATATAGACCTTAACCTTACCCATTTAATTGGTTAAACGGGTTTGACCTAATTATTAATTGGATCAAAAATCTCAACCCAAATCCAACTATTTCAGATCGGGTTCGGGTCGTGTTAATTTTTGTCAACCGTGGCTAATTAGCTTGCGTTTCATCAAGAAACACCAGTATTTTCATTGCACTTAATCACTGATGAAGAAATATGTTAGTTACTATTACACAAGATATAAAAATATAGGTGGGGACGTATCATAGAAAAATCCAAGTAGGAGGAATTTGGGTTTGGACATCAAGCAATAAATTTAGGTATTGCTTCATAGACCAAAAGTCTCAAACTTTAATCAACACAAATTGACTTTATTCCATTGATATTAATTATTAAATTAGAGAAATCAACTAAGCACCCAATTAAGATATTCTTTCCTAAACGATACTATACTTGTCAAGAGGCACCTTTTAAACAGACTATAATCTTATTAAGCTCCAACAAATTCGATATATATATATATATATATATATAGCTGCAGCAGCAAGCATCATGCTGGAACGATAACCATAAAGGGGACACAATATATATATCAAACCAGTGGATGAATTCATGATTGAGAAGGGGATAATGTAATCAACAAAACCAAATCTTCTCTAAAGAAAATATAAAATAAGTGATAAAGTTAAGAAAAATGATGCAGATGGATAGATAGATATGCGTGATTGTAATTACAATTGTGGGTTGTTGGCTGTGGGGGTCATGATGAGGCCATAATTAATGATCATTGTTATTGGAAACAACTGATAATTAGATGTATATGTGGGGAAGATAACAATCAAAAGCATTGTTTGAATTTTAGGTTCTGTTTAAATATGTATTTGGAGGATATTTGGAATTTTTTGAAATTTTTTAGGGAATAATAAAATGTTAATGCTCTATAAGAAAAATGATTATCTGGTGTGGTATTTTTTAAATCTTAGGAGCATTATAGTAATACTATTGGCAGAACTTAAAATTTGATTTAAGTGTGCCTGCTGGACTAATTTTCCTTGTCCAAAGTCCATATTATTTTAATGGGCTTCTGATCCGGCCCATAAAGTAAAGCCCAGACTAGATTCTGTAGATGCTGATCCGAAATATGACGTAAACTAGAAAGTCATAGCCCTAATATTTACACTATTCTCGGACCTTCATTTCACCGTCGTCTTCCTCTGGGCTCTGGTATACGCCAGATTTTCATGTTTATGTGAATCTGTAATTGACTGATTTGTAGAGTGCTTAGGCTACTGTAGATTCAAGTCTGCGGATGTCTCTCGCGATTCAAGCAGTTCCTCAATTTCTTCCCTCAGGCAGCACAATGCCCGCTCAATGGTTATCTCTAACCCAAAATTTTTCCAAATTTTCCCTCAATTATCCAACGTCAGTCCCCTTTCGGACGATTCCGATATGGATGGGCTGTCCCCGGATCAGTCCAGGAGGGCCCACGAAAAGGAAATGGAGGACAATGCAGGCCAAGAAGGCAAAGCAGCTGCATAAGGCTGGATTGGCCAGAGAACGCGAAATATACAAGTTGAGGAAACAGGCTGAACTCAGAGCCGCTACTGTCGAACTCGAACGCCCATGGGAGAGGGCTGCGCCGCCGAAAAATGCGTTGGATGCTGGTGTCGAGGAGCGTTTGGATGATTGGTTTCAGAAGCCCGATGGCCTTCATTTGTTATCTGATAGGGACAGCCATGGCAATATATTGCTGTCGTCTTCTGGCTTTTCACCTGAAGGGGTTGGTCATAGGGTTTATGGGAATACGGGGGAAATGATTCCTGCGTCTGAGGATATTTGCTTCCCCCCTTTGGAAGAGGACTTCTACACTCAGCCAAACAATGTAAATGTGAGGAAATCAAGTCAGCAAAAAACGTGGCCTTGCAAGAATTCTAGAAGCCGAAGGAGTGCTTCATATAAAGGAGAAAGCGGGAAGAATGGCAGAAAAAGTTGGAAGTGAGGAAGGAGAGAGTTCTAGCAACATTTACTTTATTAACTGGAAAGGAAGAAGTTCTGTAGATGCAGGATTTCCTAGTAGGGGTGACAATCATGGGAGAAGCAGAGGGTAGATGGGAATTTGATTAAAGAACGAAGGATGTTAATGGTTCTCCTACGAGTGCAGATGGAGTAGTGGATTTCACTTTTATTTGATACCAAAGTTCATAGCTTTTCTATCGAAAATTTGGGTCTAATGCCATTCGTCAGCTATATCTATTGATTGGAGCAACAGAATGAAGGCTGAAGATTGTGAACACAGGTCAGGTACCAGTGTTCATTTTCTTATGCCCGTAAATGCTATATGCATGTGTACGTCTAGCTGTATATTGCAATCAGAGATTGTGCGAAGGATCTTTAATTAAGCATCGATCATTCTGCTATCCATTTGTGCTTGAGAAAAGAAAGATGTCATTTCCTATTACACTGATATTGCGGTCTTAATTTAATTGAAATTCAATGTATGGATATAGTGTACTTCAATCTTAAATTGCTTGCATACACATATAAATGATTAGATTTCTAAGCACGACGAACTGTAGAAAATATTTATATATCCTTTTTTTGTTTCAAATATATCCTTGTGGAAATGGTTGGGTAGCTTTATCTTATGGTCCAAATTTGTGCAAAACATTATCTTTCTTTTTAACATGTAGCCAAGCATGATTACTGTATTGTCGTCAATTTTGCAACTATTTCTTAGTGAAGGTAATCAGTTTAGCTGTCTAACTATGCTTTGGCTTTGCACTGAAAATGTTGGACAAGAATTTCTTATACCAAATGTTATGCACCATACATTGATGTAAGATATGTAATCCCTTATTAGATCTTTAAATATTCATTTACACATAGATCTGTCTTTAGGATAGTGCTTTTTCATTACTCTAATTCTTCATGGTCAGACCACGTTCTGCAATGCACTGAATGTAAGGTGATTTCCTTATGATCCTGTGTGACTTCATCTACGCGGTGTAAGCTAAAACAAAAACCACACATGCTTATTAATCCTTCTCTAACTGTCTTAAGGGGGACATGATTTTCGAAGTGCTGTCCTTTCTTTTTGTTCTACCTTTATGTGTGCCATCTTTTTGTTTTTTGTATAATTTATTTCTCTTTTTTCAAAACCACTAATAGGGAAACAAAACTGGGGCCTAGGATGACTGAACATTCCATTTTTGAAGGAGACTAAAAAAGCATATGTTTTTAGCTGCCATATCATGTTCTAAAACTGGTGCAAGAAGAGATGAATAATTCATGTGAATTATTACAGACTGCTAAAGCTTTAAAGTTTCCACTTAATAACCTTAGTGCTTTTCATTTTGAGATAAAAAAATTGACGTTTTTAGGTTAAAAATCAGCTGATGGGAAAGAGGAAATAGGAAAAGGATCAGTGCTTTCCATCAATCAATTCTTCGGCAAATAATTCATATGGCCATGAAAATCGATGCCACATTCCGTTTGAGTGTGTGTACTGAGCTTTGGTGAAGAACATATTCCTGTCAAGCTGTCTGAAGCATCCATATGCATTTATGCAGGTTTACCGTTCTGTCTCTGTTACTGAAGAATTTCTTGTTGCCTCTGTGATTGAACGAAGATGGGAATTTTCTCAAAAAACGTCTATTTGATCTCTCCTATGAGTTTGACCACTTCCCACGTGGTAAAATCTTAGTGGGGCAGCTGGATATGGATTCGGTATCTTTTTCTCCAAATTTCAATCACATCCCATTGAAGTTTTTCAAGAAATTGATCTATTTACTTAGTGGCTCTTAGTGCTAATAGGGATCTGAGAAATCAAGTATTTTACAGATCATATGAAAGAGCTGAGTACCTTAAATGCCAGCATGAGAATCACATTGCTAATTGGACACCCAAAGTCCATCTTCTTACTTAAAAAAAGATTTGATGTTTGTATATGAACACCTCTCCCTTTTCAGTGTGTTGGTGGTGTCTAAGGAATAAACAAATGGATGAAACCAAATTAAAATTGCCATCATCATCGAGTAGTGGCACTATTTGATATCGTTGTTGATTTTAACACATGATAATTGACGAGAAAAACATGCATATATTAACAAATAATTTACTTTAGAAACTAAGATAGGACAAGTGATGGATTTGTGAGACAAGATCATCCTCCTATCCTAGTCGGAATACACTGAACAACGCTTGAATGGACATTACTGCGAAAACAACATACTGCAGAAGGTTGGGGAAGTTGCAAAGTTTTATTACACACGTGTTTCACAGATTCACATTTTACTTCAATAGATAGTCAAGAACCCTAAAATCATAGTCCTAAATCCACCCCAATCTTGTAATCTGACAACATAGAGAAGGATATACATGCAACTTGGTAATGATAATTCCATCTCATTAGCCCATCAAGAGATGCCCTGTTTATGATTATTTACAAGAATTTCTCAAGCAGAGACAGAACTTGTTCAAATACTTGCATGTGGGACTAAAAAGCAACTGTCTTTTCCATTGCAGGATTGAGGAATTCTGAAACAACCCTTTAGAATTTGTAGTAATTAGAAGCTATCTCATCTCGAGTACACAAAGAACCACATGCAAAGGTTTAGAGCAAAGCATATTTTACCAAGAATGCTGACAGGCAGCGGCGGATCTATTAAGGAAGGAGCAAGGGTGGGCTCCACTTCAACTCCACTTTTATTTTATTTTATTAAATTTTTTTTTATTTTTAAAAGAATAATATATATACAATCTATATAAAATATTTAAAATAAATAAAAAAATAATAAAAACATCAAAGTGTTCGATTTTTTTTTTAATAAAAAATTGCGTTAGTTTTTGTTTTCTTCAAAATATAATATATCAATATTTACTAATAAAAAAAATTGTTTTTTTATTTGGATTATATTTGATGTAATAATTAATATTTAATATTAGTATGCAAAAAGTAAATATAAACTTATTAAGTGGACGATAGTAGTATTATTTTACAAATTAAAAATTTATTTTGTATAAAAATTTTGCTCCCCTCTGTTAATATTTTAGTTCTGTTAACAGGGGACCCTCAACACCAAACCGCTTTATTCTCTTTAAACAGATGAAACTCACATTTTTAACTGGGGAATGAATGCTATTCCGATCCGCAGTTACGATCAAAAGGGACAGGTTATATTAAGTGGGAGGAATCAAAATATTTTCTCCAATCACAATCATTGACAAGAGTAGTACTGTTTACCCTCCGCATCAATGTGCTTTTTGTGGGGATAATTTTAATGGTGATTAGAGAGGTTAAGAGACCAAGATTCTGGTCTCTATATATACAAGTTAAGATCCCTGCAGACTTGCATCCACCAAGAGTCCTGAAAATTATATTATATGTCCTGAAAGACTCTATTGAACTGTACTGATTTTGGTTAGTATCTTAGAGATATTAAATTGTTTAGGATTACTTAGAACTTGACAGGAATGGAGATGAAGCATATGAGAAAACATGATGGCGCAGATGGAACAACGGACAAGGAGAAATGGGTTTATGATTCTTCGTTAGATCATAGGGGGCGAATCCCTCTTCGAGCTTCCACTGGGGCATGGAAGGCTTCCTTCTTCATTATAGGTAGTGGATTTTATGAACCAGATAATGTAGACAACTTTGTTCCAGTTTCTTTTTGTGTTCTCTTGGATTATATTTGAAACAAAATTAGCTGAATCCTTGACCATGGTTTAGCATTCATGATTGCCCTCTTTTCAATAAAATTGCTTTTCAACACTTGTGATCATTTGTTTTTTGTTAGGACAAGGTTTAAAATTGTTACAAGATGCTTAGTTAATGTTTGGGAAGCTTAATTAAGAGATACCGACAACTGTACATTCATCTTCTAGTTTTCATGTATTGTGTGGGCAGGAATTGAGTTCAGTGAGAGGTTGAGTTACTTTGGAATAGCAACAAGTTTGATCATATACCTGACCAAGGTGATCCAGCAGGACCTGAAAACAGCAGCCAAGAGTGTCAACTATTGGGCTGGCGTCACCACAATGATGCCCCTTCTCGGAGGATTTCTAGCCGACGCCTATCTTGGCCGATTCTCTGCTGTTCTTGCATCCTCTATCATTTATCTCATGGTGACAAACTTGCACTTCATTTACCATATCATCACTAACAACATATACATATATATACAGTCGATATGTGATCCATTGAATTCTTGTACAGGGCTTGCTTCTCCTGACAATGTCCAGAGTTGTCCCGGGCTTGAAACCTTGCGACAGCACAATTTGCCAAGCACCGCGAAAGATCCATGAGAGCATCTTCTTTGTCGCTATGTACTTAATCTCCATAGGGACAGGCGGGCACAAGCCTTCCTTGGAGAGTTTTGGAGCTGATCAGTTTGACGACGATCATCCTCAAGAGAGGAGAAAAAAGATGTCCTTTTTCAACTGGTGGAACCTCGGCCTATGCGGTGGCCTGGTGCTTGGCGTCACTGTAATAGTTTACATCCAAGATCGCATCGGCTGGGCTGCTGCAGACATCATTCTTACTGCAGTGATGGCTCTCACCATACTTATATATTTCCTAGGAAGGCCTGTTTATCGCTTTAGGAAGCCGTCGGGTAGCCCCTTCACTCCGCTGATGCAAGTGCTTGTAGCTGCCATTTCCAACAGGAACCGGCCTCATCCATCTAATCCCAATCAGCTTTACGAGGATCCTAAATCGGACAGCGCCCATGGACGGCCCCTTCTGCACACTGACAGGCTTAAGTGAGGCATTTGATCAAATAATTACATTTACAGTTTAAAAATTACTACAAGCAACAAGAGTTCTGTCTGCCAGGTTTTTCGACAAGGCTGCAATAATCGGAGAGGGACAGAGCTCCTTAACAGAGAGACAGAATCCATGGAGATTGGCAACTGTAACAAAAGTGGAGGAGATGAAGCTGGTCGTAAGCGTGATTCCAATCTGGATAACTACACTCCCGTTCGGCGTCTGCGTGGCTCAGGCGGCGACGTTCTTCATCAAACAGGGCACGACGCTTGACCGGAGAATCACCGACACTTTCGAACTCCCACCGGCGTCGATCTACGCCCTGGCTGCAGTGGGGATGATAATCTCCGTCGTGATCTACGACCGAGGGCTAGTGCCGTTGCTGAGAAGGGTGAGGAACAACGAGAGAGGCATCACCATTCTACAGAGAATCGGGCTGGGGATGATCTTCTCGGTGGCGACCATGGTGGTGGCGGCATTGGTGGAGGGGAAACGGCTGGCGGCGGTGGCGAGGGATCCGGTGAAGGGTTCGAGTTCGATGAGCGTGTTCTGGCTGGCGCCGCAGTTTCTGATAATCGGAATGGGAGACGGGTTCGCGCTGGTGGGGCTGCAGGAGTATTTCTACGATCAGGTGCCTGATTCGATGAGAAGCTTAGGGATTGCGCTGTATCTGAGCGTGCTTGGTGCGGCCAGCTTCATCAGCAGCCTTCTGATAACGGTGGTGGATCGTGCGACGGAGAGGGGCGGGAAGAGTTGGATCGGGAAGGATTTGAACAGCAGCAGGCTTGATTGTTTTTACTGGCTGTTGGCGGGGATTACAGCTGCCAACATTGCTGTTTATGCATTCATTGCAAGCAGGTATTCTTACAAGAATGTCGTCAGGGACACCTCCGGCGGCGACGCCGCCGCCAATTGTGCTGCTTGAATAATTAGATTGTTTGTTGTGTGTATGTGTGTTTGGATGTGTGAGAATCATGAATCTATCTGTATATTGCAATTTATTAAGAGGGTTTTTAAGGTCGTGTTTCTAATTTTCGTATTGGATTCTGATCCGATTGGTTTGTGGATAGCAAATTCAATGTTGATAGAAATCGTTGGCCCAATACATTGTGAGCCCAGAGTTTGGTTGGATTTGGGCTAAATAATAAAAACTAAATATTATTCAATTTAAGTGGGCCCAGATGAAATTAAAGTTTTTTTTTGTAGTATTTTTATTTTTTGGTTAGAAATGGACAGGCCTATTCTATCATGTCTAACCAATAGAACCACGCTATTTATTATTACAATCAACACTTCAATAATTAAAGCCATGTCTCTGTGGTGGACGGTGGTAGGGGTCAAATGGGGATAACGATTTGTTTCATAGTTAATATTAATTAATCTAATTGATGGTAATGACGTAACGGCGTCTATGTTTATCATAACCAAGAACAATAATACCGTATAAGAATTATCAATAGGCCCACAAAACTATCGAATTTTGTCTCTCCATTATCCTCCAATTATTTCATTTATCACTTATTTTATAATATTGAATAAAAATAAATTGCCCCGTACGAAAACGTAAAATTCCATAGTGACTGCACAAAAATACATAGTTTTGTTGCTCCTGCCATAACAAAGCAATCTCAACCCTTCATCATATAAATGAACGGCTGCTGCTGCTTCCCACTTTGGTATCATAATTATTCTTGCGGACAAGTGACTATGACTTTTACAGGGGATTCCATGATCAAACTGTGTAAGTAATCAAGGGCTTGGTTCTGCAGTAAAACTAAGCAACAATTTCGTTACAAACGTTGAAGAGAAAGGGGGAATTGCGATGATATTTGAACCGATTTGATCTTCTTCTTGTTCTCATATCCATTACCTGACATCATATGTGATTGCAAGAGGAAGACCGATTCTTGAATTGTTTGTTTTCTATGGCTGAGTTTGGGCATATCTTCCCACGTCATTCTTTGCAGTTTAAGGGGACATCAGCGGCCATTCTTTCTGACACAAGTCTCTGAACACACGATCCTTTCTGTCTTCTTCCTTCTTCCGATTCCCATGACCACCGCTCAATTCATCCTGCTGCTACTCTGTTTCTTAAATGCCGCACGCGCTGACCTCCCCGGCGCGTGGGAACTCCTCGTCGCCGACGCCGGCATCGCCTCAATGCACACAGCGGTCACGCGTTTCAACACGGTCGTCCTCCTCGATCGGACCAACATAGGCCCCTCCAGAAAACTCCTCCCCCCAAACCACTGCATTGTCAGCCCCACAAATCCTCGCCGGAAAGACTGCACCGCCCACTCGGTCCTCCTCGATTTACGAACTAACGGCATCCGCCCCTTGACAATTCTCACCGACACGTGGTGCTCATCCGGCCAATTCCTCCCCGACGGCAGCCTGGTCCAAACCGGCGGCGATTTGGCCGGGTTTAAGAAGATCCGCAAGTTCATCCCCTGCGAACCGGGTTCTCTCTGCGATTGGGAAGAACTGCAGGATGTTCAGCTGCACCAGGGAAGATGGTACGCCACTAACCAAATTCTACCCGATGGTTCCATAATTATAATCGGCGGAAGAACAGCCAACAGTGTGGAGTTTTACCCACCGAAATCAGAGATCGGTGCTGTAAATTTGCCCTTCCTGAGCGAAGCCGAAGACAATCAAATGGACAATCTATATCCCTACGTTCATTTACTCCCCACCGGAGAGCTCTTCATCTTTGCCAACAACAAAGCCGTATTGTACGATTATTCTACCAACAAAGTGGTCAAAACTTACCCAATTCTTGAGGGCGGGCCGAGGAATTACCCATCGGCGGGATCGTCGGTGATGCTTGCTTTGACCGGAGACTACTCGGCGGCGACGGTTGTCATCTGCGGCGGAGCAGAGTATGGTGCGTATTTGCAGAGGATGGCGGATAGTCCGGCCCACGGTAGTTGCGGGCGGATCGAGGCAACCCGACCCGATCCGGTTTGGGAAATGGAGGACATGCCGTTTGGGAGGATCATGGGGGATATGGTAATGCTACCCACCGGTGATGTTTTGATTATTAATGGAGCTCAGGCCGGGACCCAGGGTTTCGAGCGAGCTTCGGAACCGTGCCTGTTTCCGGTTCTGTACAGACCGGATCAACCCGCCGGACTCCGGTTCATGACCCTGAAGCCCGGCTCGGTTCCGAGGATGTACCATTCGACGGCGAATTTGTTGCCGGACGGAAGAATTTTGATCGCAGGGAGCAATCCGCATTACTTTTACAAATTCAATGCCGAGTTCCCCACGGAGCTGAGGATAGAAGCGTTTTCGCCGGAGTATCTGTCGCCGGAAAAGGCCAATATTCGTGCGGAGTTGCTTGATTTGCCGGAGAAGGTAGGCTACGGGGAAGTGTTCGAGGCCGCAGTGACGGTGGAGCTGCCGGTGGTGGGGATGATGGAGGTAAATTTCGCGAGTGCTCCATTCGCCACTCACTCGTTCTCGCAGGGACAGAGGCTAGTGAAGCTGTTGGTGGAAACTCCGGCCGTGGACGGCGGTGGCAAATACAGAATTAAATGCACCTCTCCGGCGAATGCGCGGGTGGCGCCACCGGGGTATTACATGGTGTTCGCAGTTTACCAAGGAGTGCCAAGTGTGGCCAAGTGGGTCCAATTGGTGCCATAATTTCATAAAATTATTAATACATTTAATTTGTTTCAAAAACAAAAAATTGAAAATATGGTCTTAGATGTCGGTTGAATTAATGCTCAATTTCTTGTAGCCAATAATTAATTTCTGAAAATGAATTATATAACAAATAAGGTAATTTTCAATTTCCAAAATTAACAATTCTTTTTATTCCCAACGGCTAGTTCATAGTGGAAAGTTTCCCCATATTGAATCCCAAGTAACAATTATTATTATTATTATTATTGTGGTGGTTAAAATCACCCCAATATAATAATAATCGCAACCACAGTGGGTACCAGAACAGTGGCAAATTATAATTGGTTTATATATATATATATAAATCTTGACAGTGTACTTTCTCTGGTAGCTAACGGCAATACTATTATTATAATGACAAAAGAGGACAATTATAATGACAATTAGAGTAGTAGGTGGCCTTAGTTATTCTTCCCAAGTGGAAAGGACAGTGATTGTTCCGTAAGCAGAAAGGCTAACCACCACTAGTTTATTAATAAAATATTCGAATTAAATGATTTGTCTGTTCGCAAGGACAATTTTTAGGGTTGATGTATTACCATATTACTGCACATTCATCAAATCCAAATCATGATGAATTCATAACAAAAAGTCGATCTTGTTACTGCAAACTACCAACTCCAAAACCAAAACGAACCCTGTCTAAATTATTTTATTTTAAATTTAATTATCTCCAATCTCAAGCACTTGTAGGAATATAATATTGAGCTGGGCCTAACTCCTAAGTAGTAGTATTTGTCGGGATTTATTTGCACGTTTGTTTAAAGTGAAGTTCCTCAAATTAAAGGTGCTTTTACAAGCAACTTTATTCCATTGTTGGAATAATTACCTTTGCATTTTCAGCTTCTATATTTGTCGAGGGACAGACAGTGCAATCTTATAGAGGCAGAGGGGGGTAGTAGGTTTCAGCCATTTCCAAGTATATTGGCAACATGCACTATATATGTTATGTTTGCACATGTACTCTTTCAGTTTTCGGATCAAGAAATTAAAGGGCAATGGCCTTTATATGTGTTTCAATCACCATAGCTATTTTCACACAACATACAGATACAGTTGAAAATTCATCTTCTTGAGCAATGGCCTTCATTCATGGTCGTATGACGTACAATTCAATTATTAGAGGCATGATGCCAATTACAATTCTACTAGAAATTCAAATGGTTTGTGACCCATTTCGTTGGATGTTCTTGAAGCCTCTACGATACTATACCTTTGCTCAATCACCATCTCCATAATACAGATACATAGATATAGATAAAGATATAGATACAAATATTGTCTGTTCAGCCGACGAATTCATGCACGAGATGTCCGCCAATATGGTCCGATCTTCCAAACTGTTGGTTCTCAGCAGCGAATCCGCCGATCATGAACCCCTCGCCGCTCTGCGAATCCAGGCCGAATCTACGAGCTGCATTTATCGGGTAGGCGTCGGGAATTCCCATACTGTTCTGATGGAGGCCAAGAGTCAACGATACATTGCCACTGCTTGTGGGATTGCTGAAAGCCATCCCGCCGCCGCCACCGCCGCCGCCCAAGTGCTGGTTGTGCAGCCAATTGTCGTGCGACGGCAACTTCATTTGCCCTCCCTCATTTCCTCTAGGAGCTTCATTATCAGCCTCATGGCTTCTTTTCAAAGGGAAGTCTCCGATCCTCTGGACAGAAGTCGAAGCGTTTTCAGCCTCTATCGAGCAGCTCGTCAGCAAGTGATCTGTATTAAGCCTATCCGGAGGGTTTTCGCCTCTTTGCGACAATTTCTGAGTCTCGCGCATTTCAAGCATGTGTATCTCCTCAACCATAGGCTTCCAAAGCCTCACTCTTGCATTGATAAACCAGTTCGAAACCTAGGCCACATCGACACAAGTTAATGAAATGTAGATCCCATCTAAGACACAATGTAAGAGTTTTCTATCAACCTGGTTCCTCGAGAGGCCGGTTTGCTTGGCCAGCATTAGTTTGTCAGTGTCTGTAGGATAACTGTGGAAGACAAGGTATCAGTAAAACATATGTTACGAGGCTCATATTATGTGCCAGGGACAACGTAATCCATGCTTACGGGTGTAGAAAGTGCTCGAACAACCACGCCCGAAGAACAGCAACGGCGCGCTCAGGGAGTCCTCTTTGTGGACGCCAAACCGGTTGATCATTAAATCCTGTAGTGTGAAATGGTCTCTGGCTGTAAGTTCCTCTTCCCGAATTCTCCAATCGAAGAGCTTCATCTCTCTCCGAAGTTGTCTTGCCATGAGATTTGGTTATGCACCGGAGCTGATCAGTTATGGCATTCTTTAAGCATGTGAAATGTTTCGACATGGCCTTTAAAGCTAAATTGGCAAACGGAGCTGCGCCACTCAATCCAGCAACCGACTCGAATGCAGCCACAGCCGCCTGCATCTGTTGGTAATACTGCTTGTACCTCTTGTAAACCTTGAAAAAAAAAAAAACAAAAAAAATCCATCAATCATCCGGTTACTCCCTTGCTCGAAACTGTGTTCTACAATGGCTTCAGCATATATCATTGAAACCTAAATTGACTTTAGTTTTCTCAACAAGGATCTTAACGATCAATATCACAAATTAAGTCCATTTCTTGAGCTCGTATCTTACAGATTTCACCTCTTAAATTCATATAAAGAATCTTATATAACAAGAAAGTTAGATGTTATGCTATTTTTCTGTGATATTATGACGAAAGAAAAAAGAATTCATTGATGAAACTGATGCTCTAATGAACTTGAACTTCTAGAGTACATATTACGAACTGATGTCTGCTAGAGACTTAAGAGTGTCTGATTTCTACATGTTCTTTTTGGGGATAAGAAAGTATACTGAACTGATATAACAAATTGTAATTAACCTAGTGACAACAGAAAGAATCAAATTCTCCCACTTGAATTAAAGATTAATAGAGTGAATATATAGGAACAACGCTCATTAGGGATAGCCCCTTTCTTAAATTGAACTGTACGCATGATTTGGAGAATCAATCTTTTGAATTGATTCTGTTAAATATCTTTATACAATATGCAAACTGAACACAGTATAAAAAAAAAATATCAGAAACCAGAACTCAACACACTTTCTATGGCTCCAGTTGTACTTGTGCATATATTCCAACAGTAATACTACTCTTTAAAAGTGTAAAGTTAAAAAAAAAAAAAAAAAAGAAAAAATAAAAAAAGAAAGGACAAATAAAAATGCAATCTTGACATGACACTCTAATGCCTATCATACGAGAATATCTAGATCATATTAAACTTAGCTGGTGGAAAGTGAAAAATACAATGTCTATATAAAGATCCATTTATGTCGAACATTATCAGAGCTAAGTGCCTTTAGTGGCACAAAATCATGCAGCATATAACCTCAGTTTGCCTCTACCAGCAATAATTAATGATCAGCAAAGCAAGCCCTGTAAAGAATCTATCTTCATGGTTTTTTTAAATTAGGTTAAGAATCTGGCACTGTGTCTGAGGTCAATACTTGAATACTAAATAAATACTGGTTAGGTATGGATTCAGACCAGAGAACTGCTCCTAAATATTCACTGACAATAGATAGATATGAAAAATGGTGAATTTAATTCTAAATTCTTGTCCTGGCAAGTAAGCAATAGTCTTACAGTTACAGGTGTCATTAAATTAATTACTTACCTCATCAAGCATTGAGAGCAGCCTGGATTTCTTCCTAGTCTGGTCACTATTCCCATCAGTGCAATTCATTGAAGCGTCTTCACTCAAAGGTGGTTCTGGTTCTGGTTCGAGAGGTGAAGGATCCAATAAAGACGATGAAGACGATGATGAGTCAGCGGCAGTTTTGTCTCCATAAAATCCCCTTATCCCCATGCCGCAAAGTTCCTCCAGCAGCTGCTGAGCAGGTTTCAGAAACCTGGAACCCTTCAAGACGGAAGCGTAGCCTGTGAATGGACCCAATGGCACTGAGCTCACCTTGTGATTGCTGAACATGGAGGAGGAGGCGGAGGAGGAGTTGTATCTCTGCAGATTCAGCTCCAAAGGAAGACTGCTGTGGTGCGAGGATAAAGACAAGGACAGGCTTTGACCGGTCGTCGCTGCTGCGCTGCAGCTGCTACTGTTGGCCGCCTCTTGATGTGCAGCTATCGACTGTTGATGATGATGATGATGATGATGATCGTCGACTAGTCTATAGCAGTGCGCCGCCGCCGTGGGGTAGACGCCGCTGATCTCTTGGATAGGGCTAGGGTTTAACTGTACGGACAATTGTGGATCCACATACATATGGTTGGATGAGTTGATTCCTCCCCCAAAATTCATCAAATTCATGCCCTCCTCCTTGACGCTGGCGGTCGTATTGAAACTTTGGGGCCGGAGATTGGCGGCGGCGGCGGCGTAATTGATCAAATCCGACGAGACGAGCGACGGATCGTAGAGAGGGACTAGAGCTGCGCAGGCCTGGAGGTGTTGATTATCGGCGGTGGCGTTCACTCTCAGTTTATCTCTTCTGCTTTGCTGGGGGACATGATACGGTTCAAATCCATCCGCCATGAGCGATGCTATTACTATGCTCGACAAGGAATCTGCCTATATATATATAAAAAAATATTTATGCAGTGTGTTGTGTGTGTGTGGGGAAAGGAAGATGGGAGAGAAAAAAAGATGATGGAGCTTAAAGGGAAGAAAAAGAGAGCAACAGTGAAAAAGATAGGTCGATGATGATGATGATGAAATGAGAGATTACCGCATGATATATATTTATACAAGATTTTATATATATATATATATAGATAACTGTGTGTATAATTTGTATTTTCCCTTTTCTGTACAGTAAACAGGAAATTTGGGAAGATGATAAGAGTTAGTTCTGTTTCTTTCTCCTCCTGGTGATGGTGGAGAGAGGGAAAGGGTAAATAGCAGCCAAAAATCCATACACAGTTCCCACCCGACGCTCATCAACAGTGAAAGTACTGTGTGTGAGTGTGTGTTCGATACAGAGACACAGACACACATACAGTCGTTCGTATTTATTACGTACCTACGTAGAGGAAGGAATACGACAGAGGCTAATTCTTATGAGATCCTGGGATTCTTGCACCAACCGGATACTTGAAGGGTTGGGAACTTGAGTCCTGGGACCTCCTCTGGATTTCGACACAGAACTTGGTTTTAATAAACGGTACATTTTTCTTTCACATAAAAAAGCACTCGAAATAATTACGTATAAGGTCATTCAATGCAGTAGCTGTGTTAATTTGTCCGATATTCTTAGCAGGTGCAACCATTTATTTATCTATTTATTTTTATTACATTTAATTTTGTTAGGCATTTTTGACGCATAAACAGGCATTAATTATTATACCTTTGATTAAATGGTTTCCGTGACAGCCAGTAGCGTGGAGACGCGTGGCGTGCACACGTGATGACAGGCGCAAAACTGACTGACTGACTGACTGACTGATTGTAATATTATATTTATAGACAGTTTATATTACCACACGATAATAATAATAATAATAATAATAATAAATAAATTATACGTTAGGGCATCTCCACACTCTATCCGCCAAACAGTTGCTTTTTATTGTATGTATACATACATGTTCATTAAAAAATTATTATTTCGAAAAAGAGGATGATATGATTGATGGAAATAAATAAATCTTCTTTCGATATTATATTAATATTTTATTGTTGCCCTCCTTTTTCCTACTATTATTAACACATTTATTTTATTTGACTTCTATACACCCTGCTACTACTACTACTATTATTATTATTATTATTACAAACAAATAATCGTCTTTAAACCACACAATCCAAAAGTGAAGACAAATCTAGGGACTTATTTTTTAAATATTTTGGATCCATCCATCTAATATTATTACATGCTTTCATTGCTCCAATTTTTTAATAATAATAATTGAAATGAAGGAAAAGGAGTGCAATGTTAAGATGGGACGTATTTCCTTGTAAGGGACCCACAGGTTTTCACAATCTGATACAGACACTTGATTGAATTTCCAAAACAGAAGAGTATAGAGATACCCTCACTCCACCCTGCAGAATATAATATAGGATGGATATTACTAATACTCTACTTACTAGTATTTGCATGCATCAATTATTAATTTCCACAAATTTGAATTTAAAAAAAAACATGTATCATTAGCAGCATTAAATTAAGCGTGTATATACATATATATATATACACATATGGACATATACATACATATATTTTTACTGAGATTAAGAAACAGACGTCAGCAAGATCTTTTGCTTTATGAGCAGAGAGAGAGAAGATTAATAATAAATCCCCCGATTTTTACGAGGCTCTTTCTTACTTTCTTTCTTTCACTTGTCTGTCTGTCTGTCTGTCTATTTGTCTGTGTCTGCCTGCGTTCTCCATTGATTAATTTCCACCGCTGCACTTCAATTCTGAATAAATTTTGACGTATAGTAAAATAGGAATCGGGGGGAGGTAGCAATTATTACTGTACCGTACCACCGGGCGTATTTTATTTGTATTTGTATTGATGAATGGGAGCCGCGAGTCGCCGGCTGTTTGGACGGAGGAGATCCTCCCTCGAAATTCGTGAAGGTCATCAAAGTTGGGGGGTCCCACCCCTGTCAATAAAGAAGGCTGGCTGGCTGAGTTAGTAGCTAGACGTTGAGTAGAGTAGAGTAGTAGGCACTAGGCAGCCTTATTAGCTACCAGCTGCTTATCGCTTTCCAGAGAGCTGCAGCATTGCCATGGCCATTGCAGTCATCAGTACAGCACAGCAGTGCAGTCCTGTACACAAACTTATCTTGGCCGGGCTCGCCTCGGCTCTTCTCTTACCGTCGTAATACAATACAAACAACGAAACAAGGCATTTCATTCATGCCCTCCTCCATTAATACCTAATCTACCTCTCTACAGTTGATTTCATGGGCCTTTGTTCTTGTTCAAATCAAGTCAGATCAGATCAAATCAGGGGATGATGAGGCCGGGCCTTGAAATAAATGGATGGATTGGGCCTCCTGTCCTTTTGAGTCTTTGACTCTGACTACCAGTTCGATTTCCTTGCAGGCAAGAAACCGTTGGTTGCGTCGAAGGACGCGCCACAGCTACTTCTTGGGTCTACGACTCGTCCCTCGCTCTCGCTAGGGTTTTGCGTGAGAAATTTTGCCACGCCATTTACCTAAATTGAAGTGGAGTTCTGCGGCCCTTAGTTGGTTCCAAGGGACCTGCGTGGGTTTGTTGTTGTCAATTGGAGAGACGGAGAAATTTGGGGTTGGTTTTTGTAGGGCTTCATGGAGGCTGGAGTTGCTGCTGTCGGCGGCGACTCCACCACGAAAAAGTTTCGTCATCATCACCAGCAATCATGGCCTCCGCAGCCGCAAATTTCTCAGATTGGTACGGTGAATCAGCTCTTGGCCGGCGGTATCGCCGGAGCTTTCAGCAAGACCTGTACTGCTCCTCTTGCACGTCTCACCATTCTCTTTCAGGTTTTACTTTTAATGGTTTCACCATATCTTTTCTATGCCCGCTAATTTCATCTCTTAGTTATTAACATTTTACTCGAGACAACTTTTGATACTTTGATCGTAGGATTAATGGAAACAAAATTAAGGAAATTGGGACAAATATGAAATGCTTGGCCACAAGTTAAAGAATTTGTTTCAATGAATTTTGGGTATTAAATTGGTTATGTTGCATATGTAAATGGTGTGATTTCAATCTTCAACACCTTGACATTACTGGAATCTCACCAGTTTGGCACATGTTTAAAATGAGTCTGTATGGGTGTCATACTCTTTTTTATCCCATTTGATGTTTTCAAACTATAGACACTGTCATGAACTCTTATTGGCACACCAATATGTAATACATTTATTCTGTTCGATTTTTCTTACTTGATTTAAAATTTTCATGTTTTTAAATCCCCTAATAGGTGCAAGGCATGCATTCAGATGCTGCAATGATGAGTAAGACTAGTATATGGCGTGAGGCATTGCGAATTGTCAATGAAGAAGGTTTTAGGGCTTTCTGGAAAGGAAATTTGGTCACTATTGTTCATAGGCTCCCTTATTCTTCGGTCAACTTCTATGCATATGAACAGTACAAGAAAGTGAGGATTGATTAGATATGCACTGCATTTTAATACAGTTGAAGATTCTTATACACAGTTTATTGTGGTTTGTATTCCTTCACTCATACTCCAGGTTTTTTGCAGATTTTGAAATCAATTCCTGTCATACATGGGCTTGGGGAAAATAGGCATGGAGATTCTTTTGTGCATTTTGTTGGTGGTGGCTTGGCAGGAATCACTGCTGCTTCTGCTACATATCCGCTGGATCTTGTCAGGACACGGCTTGCAGCTCAGGTATATATGTAATCTAGGGAGTGCATCTAACTAGTTCATATTCTGTCATGTCCTATGGCTGAATCAGTTTTCTAGTTGTGGAAGCAATATGCCTCATTCAATTTCATTTTGATTACCTGAATACACTTTTTTTTTATTAACCTATTATGTCACAGAGGAGTGCAATATACTACCAAGGTATAAGGCATGCACTGCATACCATATGCAGAGATGAGGGCTTTCTTGGTCTATACAAAGGGCTGGGAGCAACACTATTGGTATATCTTATCACATTCCATATATCCAGTTCCGCAAGTTAATCTCTCAGTTTTCTAATGGCTTTGAGTTTGTTTGTTTTTTGTTGATGCAGGGTGTTGGACCCAGTATCGCAATAAGTTTTTCAGTTTATGAGGGTTTGAAATCTTATTGGTATTCTCAAAGGTGTAAAGAAACTCTGTAGCTTAAAATAAATAATATTCTTCATTCGCCTCTTGCTGATGCAATATTGTTTTCACTAGGCCTAATGATTCTACAGTAGTGGTCAGCCTGGGTTGCGGCAGTGTTTCTGGTATTGCATCTTCAACAGGTTGGTTGGTTACAGGCCCTGTTTGTTTAGTTTCAAAGTAGTTTCTTGATTTACTGTCACTGGGAGTGAAGATCTCATGTCACAAAAACTGGGATTGAAGGATGACAAACTTAATCTGTCCTAGTGACCCCCTTTCTCTACTTCGTTGCACTGCTATATAGCCTACGAAAAATTGGTCTGGTTTCGCACTTAATACCACTTAATACCTTTTTATATCTCCTGCCACTACCCGATAGAGTTATATTACAATGTGCAGTTGACACATGCACCCATGCCTGAACTTCTTCACACTGATCAGTTTTGTGATGTTCTAAATATGACTCTGTCAATTGGTATTGGTTGTTTCGTGTTTAGTTTGACCTTACGTTCTTATTGAATGCAGCAACATTCCCTTTGGACCTTGTTAGGCGAAGAATGCAGTTGGAAGGTGCTGCTGGTCGAGCCCGGGTCTATAAGACTGGGTTGCTTGGAACGTTCAAACATATAATTCATACGGAAGGGTTGCACGGCTTATATAGAGGGATTTTGCCTGAATACTGCAAGGTTGTTCCAAGCGTAGGGATTATTTTCATGACATATGAAACATTGAAGAAGCTACTGTCACATGGACCTTTCGTGTAGTCTGCAAGTAATGCCGTAGCTCTCTCTTGATTCCATTTGTGTATAATAACAACAAACATTAAAGTCTTCCATGGTACATAACAAACTTCCATGGAGAAAAATTTTGTGTTGCAGAGAATGTATAGACTATTGAAGGCTTGATGTATTTACATTTGGTTATTGTTCCTTTGTAGTTTAGGTAGGGTTAATAGGTATATATTGCATTGATAATTGTAGATGGGCAACATGAAGAATTTTTATGTTGAGCTCGTCATGTCAATAAAAATACATTGTTATGTTGAATATCAAAAAACATGTGTTGGTCACATGATGGATTTTGGGTGCATTTTTAGCTCATTGTGATGTGAAATGTGTGAATTGAGAGGCAAATTCTAATCTCTTCTGCATGCCAAGTGTTGCATCAGATTCTGCTTACAAATGAAAGCATTGGCTATGTATTTTGAATCAATCCTCGTACAAGTGTAGAATTTATGATAGCTTAGTATTTGGGATTGTGATTGAGATTGGGATAGGGAAAACCAAAGTAGTGTGCAATAATAAGATCCCCACAGTTACACTTCTCAATGTTCTTTCAATCATTGGATCAGCAATTCTATAGGCATTTGTGGAGCATCTGAACACTTGGATAAAACCAAAACTTATACCAAACAGGAAAGCTTTTAACTTTCTTTGGAGCATAAATAAAGGCAGAGATGTTACATAGGAGCACACACTAAAATCAGATGTGATATTGCTCATTCCTGATTCTTAGACCTAATTCCCACAATAATACACCTAACAAATTGCTTGCAACATTGCCTTTTATTTCATGTGTCCTTTTAGGATCAAGCAAAGTGTAAAAACAACTGCAAGAAAAGTAACCACATGCTGCTCTTACAAACAGCAAGGTTCATAACAAGCAAAGGAACAATAGTGTTTACCATATTGATCTGTCAGTGTAGGATAAATAGCTGGAGAATCCACAGGTACAGGAACTTGATAAGCTTCTTTTTGAATACTGGTGTCACTTGCAGTCTTCATTAAACAATTTGAAGGAACAATCATGTGTTGGTATGTGGTTCTTGCCTACATCTCCAGCTGGGCTTATTTTCAAGAAAGCGGTCAAGGATCAAATTTCGTTCTCTCATACAAGGAAAGCTAAGGTTCCCTCTTATCACTGGCTAAAAGGGAACCAAATCGATGATGATTAATGTGAGAACCTTATCATTACTTATTATATTCTATATTTTTCGCACCACCGAAAGGAATTTGATATTGGTGCTCTCTGAGGCTATATATATCTCCATCTCACCATGCTTAAGGTTCATCAACCCTTTTGCATGAAAAACTTGTCTAGTTTATTTTCACCTCAGTAAATATAATTTCTTGAGCAACAAAATAAACATGGGGCGAGGATCAGGTAATCTGCATCCTGAGGTTTAAAGGCTTTGTACAGCTAGTCATGAATCTTAATCCTTGGGCTGCAGATTACCCCATCCTCACATCCAACACAAACACTGAACCATCAGATCAACTCCTGTGGTAACATGTATTTTTTGCCAACATATTTCTGGATTGCTTTCTTAGCATGTTGTGATAATTTTACTAAACAGATACAACTCTTTCTGATTGCCAAGTCATAAACATCAGGACAAGCTTTTTCTGCAGCAAGCTGAAATAATCTCCAGAAGTTGTATATTTGATGCTTTCAAGCAAAACTACCATTTTGAACACTAACAAGACAGCTTAATCTGTAAATGATTGAAAGCCTTTTCTAACCATGCAGATCAGCATGCTGAACTATAAGTTTCTTCAATAGTCTTTCCATATACAAAAAGCCAACCAGAGGCTGCTTCCAAAGTGCTGTAATATCTAAATCTGGCAATAACTCTCTACAAGCTTTTCGCCAATAGATTTTCATGACAATGAAAAGTAAAATCATATTGCTTTAGTATCAAGTTCATGCATTTCACTTGGCTGTATCAAGCCATCTCACTGTGGCGGATTAAACGATAAGATTTCAACTAGTTATTACATCTAGGTAACTGGCAAGCTATTTTGTGTGCTATTTGAGGAAACATATATATCAGTTGAGTGGTTCCTGGTGTGTCAATGTAAAAATATAAACTCTTCAGCATAAAATATAAACATCACCAACAGAAAAAATGTGTAAAGATACATAGAGAGATAGGTAGAGAGATAGATCTTTTAGACTAAATTCCGATGCTACTGATTGCTATGATCCGATAGAACCTCGATGCCAAAAGTAACGAGAATATGTGAATTTCCCTAAAGAGAAAGAATGATCCTTTACTGGGAATGGGGCAGAAGCACATGAAGCTAAACTAAATTTTCTTAAAAGCAAAACCATGGCAACTTGTTCTTTTTAAAATGCTGATTCTCAGAAGCTTCTTCATTAGCTTTTTGAACATTAGTGTCTACTTACAAGCAGTATGACTATACCCTCGTATTGATTATAGTTACATGGCTTGGCAAAGGTATATTGGTAATCATTAAAAATAAAAAAACAAGAAACAATAAAAAAACAAGAAAACAAAAAAATAGAGAAAAAAGTAGGCATCGTTAACCTTGATCAAAGGGGCACAAAATTCATTTGTTGCAAAAAGGGTTGCCTGCTGTTAATGGCGTGTGGATTATCCATTCATTCATTAGCCAATGAAGTGCTCTAATGGGCCATTTCTTTTACATATACTTCATGTAAAAAACTAATCAAATCAGCCTAAAGCAGGAATGTGTCATTAGGAATCTTGAAGTGTTTGGAGCAGTTAAGAACATATTCTAGTAGAAATTACATACAGAATCATGCTTTCAATCAAATCAATATATTCATCAGCACTGTGTGCTTAACACACTCCACATAAACAAGACAGATAAACAGAACTCAGTGCAGGTTAAGTTTGGATGAGAAATCCATCCATTGTTGCTTGATTGCCAAAAGAGTGAATCTGTAATTGTCGAAAATACAAGCCTAACGATGTAAAAAGAGAACCAGAAGGTTAGTTGTCTTTCCTTTCTAACTAAAAATATCTATGAGGAAGGAACATGCCTTCCTCTCCAATTACAAGATGTTAGCCACACTACATTTTTTTCTCGTCGGATAAATTAATTAACCTGAGAATACATTCGAAGGCTTTTTTCTTCCCACAAAAAAAGACTTATTGTTAGGAAGAAAGCCACGGAAGTGCACTTCTCTCAGAAAATACCTGAAATCAGAAAACCTCAGATTTTCTGAGCCACAGCTTTTCATCCATTCCTTGTTTTTGCATTCGCATCCCTCTTGAAACCACAACGATTTTTACTGTAACCAAATATACGTCAATGACAATCATTTTGACCTCATGAGGAAGACACTGAGTTCTTGACTCGGTCCCTCTTCCAGGTTGATCAAATGGAAACACTCGGAATCGGCACTTCCTATGACACACTCGTAATTGGCCCGCATGTAGAGAATCTCGTTTTGGGCCGACCCGGATCCGAACCCTGACCCGCAGGGAAAGACGCCCGCCCCGACTGTAATATTCTGCATGGTCTTCAGCATGTCTTTGTTCTGCGGCGTTGCCTTTCGTCTAACCGCGAACCCATGCTTTCTCCCGTTGCAGTAAAGTGTCCAAAGGGGGACTGAGTGGAGAGGGCAGTTCTCCAGCGATGTCTCGCGGGCGTTGAACTCCAGGGCTATGCGCACCAGCCCGCACTGCATTTCGTGGATGAGGGCCGCCATGGGGATCGAGAGTTCCAGAAGGAGCGCCGGCTTCGAGCTCAGCCGATTTGGCTGCACGCAGAACCACACGTGGCGGCCTCCCCGGTGGCCGAAGATGGTTCCGATCACCATTGTCCGGGAGGAACGCCGCGGCGCTGATATGGTGGGGGAGGAAGAAGAGGACGAGGTTTCTTGGTTGTCCTGAGAATTCTTAGGATTATTGTTGCCGTCGACGTCGTCGGAACCGCCGCCGCGGAGAGAGGCGCTGAGGCGTTTCTTGGTTTTGGCCGTGGCCGGAGGAGCCATTGAGTCGGTGGCGTTGTGGAGGCAGGGGAGAAGAAACCGACGAAGGGCTTCGAATTTTGTCATGATGGTCACCCCTCCAATACAAGGTCGATTTCAAGAAGGATGGACACTTCTTGATGGAAAGAAAAACCAGAGGGAGGGAGGGAGGGAAGGAAAGGGGGGTAGAAGAGCGGCGGCAAGGCATAAAGTAGCCGTTAAAAAGAAGCTGTACGGACTATTACCGAATGAATGAATGCAAACTGAAAAGCTCTTCGATTTTTGAGTGACTTGTGGGCAACCAACTTCATTAACTGCATTCCGCTCTACTGTTTCTTCTTCAGACTGAAGATTCGAATCTTTGACCGTTGACCGCTGTGACTTGAGGGAGGGTCTCTGGCTTTTTATACGTATTTTAAGCTCATGGATGCAATTTTGCTGAAAGCAATCTAAAGCCAATCGTTCCAAATCGATCATTAGCTCTGGCCAGGGCCATGGAAGGTTTATTAAATTAGTTTTCAGGATTAGGAGGAGATCTAAAGCTGGAAGGATCCTCAGATAGTTTAAATAAGATTTTAGGTTTCTTCTTTCCGTCTATTGCACACCAGTCATCCTAGCCCAATCCACAAACTGCATGCCGCCGTACACGTTGTTTGCAAACCGCACACCAACTGTGAAAGCCATAGCAACAGGTGGAGTTCTCTTTGCCACTGGAGATGCTTCAACCAAGCGTTCCAGCCCGTTGATGATCTGGTACCGGGTGTTGGATGACACAGCCAAGAAAAATCCTGCAAAATCAACCCCATTGATGATCCATATTCAGAATTAGGAACTAAGTTGAAATTCTGGAAATATTGACAACATTAATTATGCAGGGATGCATTATAGGTTAGGTTCACGACTTGATAAAATAATAAGGTTTCCAGTGAAGGTGCTGCATCTTGTAGAGCTCAAGAATTTACATGCAGTCTTGTAAAACAGTGTAAATTTAGGGAGAACTTCAGTAGATTCACTGGTGTAGCATAAATCAGTGGAGTTGATAGTTTTAGAGTAAAGGCACTAATCAGTAATTTATTTTCTAGAGTTGGCATATTCTTTAGTGACAAAACCCCATTAAAACAAGGACCGATGATGTGAGGCATACCCCAAAGAGCTGCGCTCTTAAACAGTGGTGGTATTGGAATGTCATCCTCGGACTTTTTAATGTTCCTGAGAAAGAGAAGACACTTGTATAATTAACATTGAATTTTAAAAAAACACAGGGGAGAGGAGGAAGATTAGTTTTAAGTTCTGGTTTGGTGAATCTTCACATAAAAAATGAGATCCTACTGAAATTTAAATACAAACAAAACTTAAGTAGGAGATGTTGGTGATCCGAACATTGGTAATGCCCCTCTCACAAAACATTCATCAATAATGTATAAATGTGCAAGCTTTCAATAACCACTTGACAGAACATACCGTTTGGCTGTCATTATTAGGTTTGCGATTCCTTGTCCAATAATACCACATCCAAACCCAACCAATCCATACAGAATTCCCTGAAGAAAAGCCCATATAGAATAATCCAGTATATATAACAAAATATGGTTAAAGTAGGAGCAAGCTAAAAAAAGAGTAATTGCATGAACTGGAAGATTACAGCAGATGTATACACTACCTTGTAAAAATATGTAGCAATCCTTTGATTTACAGAAAATCTAGACCCTGGCCTCTCTGCTTCAAAAACACTGCATCAAAGCATGTTGAAATTAGGCTGATCATATGGAATACAAAAGTTCAAACTATGAATAACAGGCATGACAGTAAGCACTTAGCCCGCCTGCTGGCCAGACAAATTGAAGTTTAGAGTTTAGTGCAAAAGGGCAACTTTTTTCAAGTTAACTGATGAAGCCATAGGTATCAAGTATAAACCTGCTGGGAAGTGCTGCATAGGCTCTCATCATACGACCGAACATGCCTTGAGATGCTGATGGCTGTCCGATTCGAGCATATGGAGCTAGCATGCCAACTAGAGCAATATTAACAACTGTTCCCACTATAAGATCAGCAGCATACAGTTCAAATTCTGCCCAAAAGTCCTTCCCTCTCTTTTTTACTTCGGCAAATGTTGCACAACAGGAATCAATTACTATCTACAAAGTAAAAACAAATTCCAATCACATAAATCAAGCATATAATGAAAATGCCTAAATGTTAAGTCTCCCATTTGCCCAGCATCTATCTAAGCTTTGCAGCCAGGCTTGCTACTTGTTACAAGCACCTACCACAATGCTTCTATTTACACAGGAATTTCATATATAAACATGTTCTAAAGATGGATTCCCCAAGCTGAAAAACAAGCTTCACATACCTCCGTTCCAATCTTGAAAAGGAATGATGGATCAGCCAACATTCTGTTCCTGAGCATGGCACACGACCTCATTAAAAATCCAAGTGGCCACGTTGATCCCTACAATCTCAAATCAAACAAAATTATTGAACCAATGGCCTGATTTTTAGCAGCTGCTCAAGCAACAATTGTTAATGGCGATGGTTACCTGCAAATCCAAATATCTTTGCAATAGTACTTTCCGAAGCCCCATGGTCTTTGCAGCTTCCAACATATCAGCTGGAAGACTAGCCCCTCTTGATTCGGTCTCTCTAATCACCTCGTCAAACTTCAGCAGTGGACCAAACTCCTTCTCTTCATAATCATCACTACTGTTGTCCCAATTATCGCCACCACCCCCGCCTCCCCCTCCACCGCCAGAAAATTTACCATTTCCACCACTTCCATCAGTAATATCATTACCACCCATACCCCCATTAGCATCATCATTCTGATTTTCAGGTACGTAAGCATAACCTTTTCCCAAAACGTTAGCATCCATTTCCATATAATCTCTGTCCCCTTCCTTATTAACAGTAGGCACTGATATACTCGACTGTTGCTCAAGCTCGGGATTCATTTGATTAACCACCATAGCGCTCAACTTTTTCCATTTACACAGCAAATGACCGTCGGTTTTAGTCACTCTAATTCTGGAATAACGACGAGTAAGCATCAAATTCTTGGCGCTAAAGCAATTAGACGAAAGGTCTTCGCTTCGTAAAATCTTGCTATGCGCCATTTTGATACATGATGAAGCCGCCGCCATTGATGATAAATCAGTCACTTTACCAATTTAGATCCAGGTGCAATTTCGACAGATTATAGAAAAATCTCGCCACAACTCTCCTTACTCCGAGTAGCGGAAATCTGCAAATAAATTAATTAAACAATTAAATACGAAACTAAGCAAGAACATTATTGAAATTGTTGCAACCTTCAGAAGCTTGAACCAAAAAGTTCACCTGGAGAACCTTGAATGATGCCGGGCGGGCGAGGTCGACGGCAGCCGCACTCAAGTATTCTTGCTCAATAAATGCATGGATGGTTTGGTGTGACGACAGGCACGACTCACAAGGGTAGCAAAACGACGCCGTGTCACCGGGGGTGATGACGCTGACCGAAGTGTAATTGAAGGAAGAAGTGGCGGCTCGTCTCTACAGCGTGCTGCGCACGTGAGAGATAGTATTTAGGGTTTCATCATCGATTATTTTGGTAATTGCTATATAGTAAAATTATTTTCTTCTGTAGCATATAATTAATTATGTATATATTTTGAATATTTGATGTAAACATTGTACAATAAAATACTCTACATGAATAAAAGATTACAACCTGTCCAATAATTGTACCCTGACTGTCGCGTCCCTTTGAATTGAATTATTTCGCTCAACTTGCGTTATATATATTGTTGGCCAATGGCCAATATAGTCACATGTGATAAATCTTCTGTAGAATCTTGAAGAAACTAAAGATGGGACAACAAATAAAAACACAATCATAAAACTGGACATATCGATCGATCAAAGTTGGGTTTCATCTTCACATTCGAGCAGAGTTTGCACGACGGCAGCCATGGTTGGCCTTTTGTTTCTGTCTTCCTCCACGCAGGAAATGCCTGTCTGAATTAAAGTTGCCGCCTGGTTCCTGCTGAACTTCCCCTCCAGTCTCGGATCAACCAAGCTGTCCGCCCACGACAGGCTTCCCGCATTCTGCACCATCCTTTCTTTCGTGTTCCGGACAAACTTTGTCAGGGCTGCCTCATCATCATCACCATTATCATCATCTTCTCCCACAGCCCAATTGTAAACTCTTACACCCCTCACCATTTCCAGGATCACCACTCCATATCCAAAAACATCGACCTTTGCCGTGACAGGATGGTTCAATGTCCACTCGGGTGCCATGTAGCCTTTCGTCCCGCGAATTTGGGTGAATTCAGAACCAGTGCTTTCCCGTTGCAGCAGCTTTGCAAGGCCAAAATCTGCAATCTTGGGCTGGAATTCAGTGTCAAGAAGAATGTTTTCAGGCTTCACGTCACAATGGATGACCCATTCGAGGCACTCGTGGTGCAGATAGGCCAAACCTTTAGCCGTGCCTAATGCCACTGCATACCGTTGCTTCCACGACAGGAAACTGGACCCGAAAAGATGCCTGTCGAGGGACAAGTTGTCGACGTATTCGTAGACCAGGAGACGATGTCTCCTTTCCGAACAAAACCCCCAAATCCTTACAAGATTCATGTGATTGATCTTCCCAAGTGTGGTGATCTCAGCAAGATACTCATCTTGTGATTGGAAAGCATCCCCAAGTCTCTTGACAGCCACGACCCTGTCGTCGGACAAAACGCCTTTGTACACTGTGCTGGAGCCTCCCCTGCCCAGCTCTTGTCTGAAATCATTGGTTGCTTTCTTCAATTCGGAATAACTATACCGCCGGAACTGACTCGAAATCATCCGATACCCCGCCTCGACAGACGCCGGAATGTTGTGCTTTCTGAACAGGAACCACCACCCGATAGCCACAAAGATCAGCTCAATTCCACCCAATATCCCTGCAAAGGAGTAGACGTACACCCATCTCACTTTCTTGTAGTTGAAATCATACATGGAAGGAGACCCCACGACGACACTCATCTTGCTCGATCCGCATGCCAAGCTCGAGGAAGAACCGAATACATTAGGCCTGGATACCTCCACACTGTCAGGCAATTTGATGTATATACTTCCAGGGAAGTCTGGGGAGGCATAGCCATTTAAGAGTGCACTCTTTACATAACATTGTCCTTGTCCTAAAAGCCTGTAGCTGAACGCCAAGCACCGGAAATCCTCCAGACACATATCCCTGCAACTTTCGAGCGTGGTAGGATTCGTCGCATTAAGATCAAACCCGTAGTAATCAGCATGAGGGATCTCCAAGAACTTCACCTTTCTTGATTTGAGGAGGCTTCTATTGAACATGGCCTTGCAGCCGGCGTTCCAATCGGTTGGATCGTTAGCCTCAAATCCAGGCGGACATGTGCATTTAGGCTCCGGCGCGTACACGCAGAGTGCGCTTCGTCCACACACACCTTTTACATCACAGGACTTTGCAAGAGCTTGCCAGGTTATGTCCCAAAGCCTAGTCGAATTATTCAAGCTATAAACTCTGAGGTTCCCATCATAGTCCATGGTCATCCTCCTTTTCACTCCATATCCTAAATCTGATACATTGAATTTCAGCTGATCGCTTGACTCGAACCTTCCCATTTCATCCAACACTGCTATCCTGCTACTGTTGTAATTTGTCCTGCCATTTTTGTAAATATCTTGGTCGGGATTTGGCCAGTAAGTCGTCGAAGTGTCAGGCTTATCCGATATCAGCCTCAAAACGTTGTCGCTTCCGAAGTATAGGTTGAAGTAGCCTGATTCGAAGGTCCCTTTTCTCAACCCAGATTTCAGCCTCGTGTTCTTTGTGAATGCCTGAGAAGGCAAAAGGGTATCTGTAGGAGAATCGAAGCTTTGCCAGAGAATATCGCCTCGTGGGTTCTTGAGAACGAGGTTACCTGTGTTGAGCAGCTCAGCTGCAGCCACGTCAATGGTGGAGGTATTAGTCTGCCACACAATCGTCCCGTCAATGTCTGTCAGGACCATCGCTCCGTCCCGCCTGAGGCTTAATTTCGAGCCTTTTCTGTAGACAGGCCTATCGCGGTTAGCCGTCCAGACAACGGTTTTGTCCTGAGAATGGGTGAACCATATAGCGAACCAGTAGGCATTGGTTCCCAAACTGTAGAAGCCACAGGTGAAAGAACCATCAGGGGAGAAGATAAATTTGGATTCTTTTCCGACGGGTATAGAATCACCTCTTCTTAGGTGAAACTTAGAACTTGAAGCTGCAGAAGACACAAACGTAAGAACCCAAAAAATACAGATGGCGTTTCTCATTCTGGAAGAAAATTCAGATTGTGCCTCTGCTCATTCGTTGAAGATATAGTTAGAGAAACGTAATGGAATAATTGGCTCTCTATCGATATAGGCCGGCTCCATTATTCGCGTGCAGATTTCTATTCTAATGGCAATTGGTGTGTGGACAAGACAACGACGGGCAAGTTTTCTGAATAATGGTCCAGACAACGTCATTGTATCTGTGAAACCTAGTGTGACAGGCTAAAAGAAAACAGCACAAATGGGCATGACTTCCAGGACATCTACAAAGAGTTGACTTTGATCGCACAGAATTTATATGACGCATTAATTAATAATAACTGACCTTCAAGATGGGGTTGATTGCCAGAATTGGAATTGTTTATCTCTTCTCCAAGGATTCTAGAAGGTCTTTGAATTTTCCCAATTCTCATTCCTGCCCTCATCCATGGGGTAGCTTGTTATAGTGGTTTAGTCAGATGACTGTAGTTGGGACAGCAACATTCATGATCCCTTTCTTTCTTTGATGCAATGGTGATTCTTGACTTTACGATGCTATTTATTGTATGGTTAGGTTTGCCCTTAGTTGGAGGTTAGTTGCTTTTAATACTAAGCATTATTAAACAGCCATCATTCAAGATTCAAAAATAAGCAAATGCATACAAGAATTTTCACTACTACAAGAACTGGAAATCCTACAATCTTACATTACACTGTGGTTTTGGACACCTTCCGGACAAGAATAGCCCAAGAAAGCAGTCGATACAGTAAAAAAAATATCAGCATAACCCCTACATTTATCCACCTGGTGTCTTGATTCAGCCCCCTGCCTTCCAACACATCTCTCCCAGTAAGCAAACACTTGGACACATTATCCCCAACCTGTTTAGAAAAGCATTTGTTTTTCTCACTGCGGTATTCATTTATAAGGAGACAATCCAACGGGTACCTATAAAGTGAAATATAATACATGAAGAGCCAATACTTTGGTATGAAGTCCTTGGGAATGAAGTAGCCGGAGAAGAGAAAGAATGCTCCAAGAACGGTGCTGATCAGCGAATTCCCGGAGATGAAATCAGGAGATATGACACTGAGGAACAGCACCAGGGAACTGGCCATCAGGACTATAAGCCAAACTACTAATGTGAAAAAGGCAAAAGCGTGCGCCGATGGATTCAATCCCACGATCCAATACAATGGAGCAGAAAAGAGAATTGCGACTATGAATAGAAACGGAAAGAAGATTATGGTGTTGGCAATTAAGTATGAAGAAATCCTGTACGCTCCTCTCGAAGCTTCTTTCATCAATACGTGACGTTCTTGAAGATAAATGGGGAGAGCTTCGACTGTCGAAGAAAGAAGAAAGCTGAGACTAAATGCGAAGAGGCCTAATCGCTCCGCGACTCCACCTTCATCCTTTCTTGTTTTCACATAAACACTAGCTAAACCAAATCCACCTACAAGAGCTTGCATTGTCCGGGCAAGCAATAGTTGTTTTGTTCTGTAGATGATCTTCCAGAATCTATGGCAGAGCACTGTTATTTCCATTAGTTGTGACAGAATCGAATGTGCAGAAGCTTCTCTGTTGGGTAATTCCACCTGTAACATTGAATAAGAGGGATGCGGATGTTCTCTGTTTACTTCAGATTGAAGATTTTTGGGCTTCTCGAGGGTGGAGATGACTTCCATGGCAAATTCCAGGGGGTTCAGCTGAGGCGGGATTCGGAATCCCTGCCTGGTAATTGCAAGTACCAGAGATTCCAGGGAACCATTGTGCACGACAGAACCATGAGACAAGATCAAGAAATTGGAGATGTATTTAAGGATTCTATAACTTGGCTGGTGAATGGACAGGACAATGGTTCTCTGCTTAGCTCTGGCCATGGACGAAAGAAGCTCAATCACTTGCAGTGCTGAGCTGCTGTCCAGTCCAGAAGTTGGCTCGTCGAGAAGAAGAATGGGTGGATCATGGATCATATCCACTCCAATGGATACCCTTTTCCTCTCCCCACCTGAAACCCCACGATTCTCCTCGTCTCCAACGAAACTATCGGCTACGTGCATCAGGCCGAGCTCCATGATCAGGCCATCGACTCGATCCTCTCTGTCAGGGCCACTCATATCTCTGAGCCTAAACCTGGCGCTGAACATCAATGTTTCCTTCACTGTAAGAAGAGGGAATAGATTATCCTCCTGAGCTACAAATCCACATATCTTCCTCAGCTGAGCCTGGCTTGCTATCACACTGTCATTGAGACGAATACTTCCGGGATCAAACTCCCTGTCTCTAACCCTCCCGGAAACAATTCTCAACATCGTCGACTTACCAGTGCCGCTTGCGCCGACAACTGCAAGTATCTCGGAGCTTCTCGCCGTGAACGAGACTGACCTCAGGACATTGATTGGCTTCCTCTTCTTCATGTTGCCGAAAACGAGGCCGGAAAGTGGTGTGGTTGGATGAATTGTGTAGGATAGATTGGTTACAGTTAGCTTGTATGGCGTGTGGTTCTGATCATGGTGCTGTGAAGGGGAATGGTTGCTGGAGGAAGACTGACTGGCGGACTCCTCCGTGGAGAAGAGCACCACCGAGTCATCTTCTGAGCTCGGCATTGCCATTGGTATTGATGTCTGGAAGCACGTCGCCATTTCAAGGAGATGATCAGACGTTGAGGTAGATGGATGGCAGGAATCTGGAAGGAATCGCCATTAAAGATTTAAAGAGATGAAGGGTTTGGAAGAGGTTGGACCAACCAGGGATAATTGAAGCAAAAGCTTCTTGATTGTGTGAAGAAAGGTAAGCCATTTGCAGTGTTAGGTGATCTTATAAAGTTTGACTAACTTGCATTGCATGATTCATTGCAGTGTCTGCATTTCTTGTCGTAGGAATCCTCGACCTGTAGCTGTAACAGAGCAACTTGTAGGGTTATGGGCTTAGGCCCATTATTTGGGCTTGGATAAAGCCCATTTATTTGGTTGTGAGACGGTAATGATCCGGCGGCTTCCGGTTCGGACCCGGCTCAGGCACTGAAGCTGCCTTGTTGGTTCCGTCGTCTTTCATCTCATCTGCCGAACCTACAAAACAACTACGAAATTGCATTACGGAACCCTAGAAGGGGATTCCAACTTCCACAATCTCTTTGATTTCCCACTTTTTGCAATTGATTGTTTGCGTTTTGGTGGAATTTACTCTGCAGTTTAGGGTTTCTCTGGATTTGAAATATATGGATTGGAGTAACGTGACGGCTGAGGATCTGATCGAGGCGTTGCGAGAAGTGGATTGGTCGTCCCCTCCGCGTCCTCTCTCGGAATTCTTCTCCCGATTTACCTTGCCGCGTTCTTATTCCAAATGGAACAGTCGCTTGAAATGCAATCTCTATTAGTACGAATTTTATTATTATTATTATTATTTTTTTAAGTCTCTCTATCATGTTTTTAAGAAGAATTATCATTATACTTTATATCTTGTACTTTGTGATTGATCATGGGGCTATTGTATTACTAGATTTAAAAGTTAATGTTGTTTCTAGTTCTGGTTGATTAGAAGAGCAGAAAAGAGACAAGATAAAACCTTAGATGAAGGGGAACCGAAAAAAAAAAACCCTTAGATGGAGGGGGGTTTGAATTTGGCTGCAGCTCTCTTATTACTATTTATGCATGATGTTTTAGTACTTGAAATCAGCTTCTGAATTGTATTCTACGCGAGCATTATAATGTTATTGGAGTTCAACTTCATAATTAGGTTCGTTTTCATTTAATCTATTTCTATTATTGTTTTTGCAGTTATAGGACCAATTATTTCATCATGATGATTTTGATTCTTGGTAAGTGTGCCAACCGGAGTGGTTAATATGCTTATAATCGCGTATTGGATGTTCTAGTATGTCTTTTTTTGCCATGATCTCTAATTAAGGCACTATTGCCTGGTGACTTTCAGGGTTGGGGTTCCTTAGGAGGCCGCTAGCGATTGTTGCTGCTCTAACAACAGCTCTGAGCCTTGCCTTTCTAAATGATAGGTAGGTATGAAATCTTCTAGTGTACCATGGGTTTTATCATTTCAGCAGATTTTCCACTGCTGCAGTAGATTCTTATAAAGTTATGATGGTTGATTGATCATCAACCTGATTATAGTATAGAATGTTTAAATGTTATGATGGAAAGTGGAAACAAGAGAAAACATAAACTAAAGGATATGAGTAAGAATAGAGTTGAATTAATTGCATTGATATTATTGATTACATGACGGAAATGGTCAATTAACTACCTTACCCTGCCTTCCATAAGACTTCAAAATGCCCTTGGTATTTTGAGTCAATATTTTTTTTCCTTTTTGACTGTCACAGGGATTTTTATTTTTTATTTTTTTGGTGACATGGGAATCCGTAACGGCTACTCGTCGAGTGCGATTTGTGTATTATTATTGTTATGTTTAGGAGCTTCAACTGAGAAAATTTCATGTTACACTATATTTAAAGTGTATGGCTGTGCCAAATTTTTTTGTTGGAATGTAGAATGGTGAGAAGAGTATATTGCGACCTTTTAATGTTTCCTTCAGTTTTCTTTTCATTTAATCTATAACTTATACAATTGTTACATCAGAGTACCTGATTGTTCTTTGTTTTTTCTTTCTTTTGCTGCCAATATCTTTATTTAGCTTTGCAGGTACTTTCAGTGAGAAAGTCACAAGAACTGTCAGACAGTTCTCTCCACATCTAGCTGCCAAAATGAGGCCTCCTCTCACGTAAGTCTATTTTAGCACTGAAGTTATTAAGTGTTTGATTCTGCTCCTTACTTGGATTTATCATTATCCAGGCCTGTTATTCGGGGGCGCCCATCTGCAAGACGAGTAATACATATATGTGGACGACCTCGATGGGTATTTGTCTTGGTATTTTCTTTAGGTAAGAAATTTATAACCTCTTCTTTATCATTAACTGTTTATTTTGGATTTATAATTGAAATGTTGACTGGACACTTATATTTACTGCAGCAAGTTTTGTCCTGTGGTTTGTCTCTTGTGGTATTATCACTGTCTCGTTGGCAGCTGCTATTGGCCTTCTTGGTAACTTAGTACTTCATTTAAGATACTTTTCTTGTTTGCATTTACTTTACTTTCTCTAAGACCTCTCTCTCTCCCTTTCTCTCCCAAAGCCACTGTCATTCATGCAAGCTTTAGGACACCAAACCTAAAAGCTCGTCTGAACACATTCCGCGAGGAATTCCGTGCTGTGTGGCGCAATTACAGTGAGCTGTAGCTTTGGAACAGCAAGTTCATGTCAGGTTGCCTCTTCACTTCCTTTATATTCATTATCCGTATTCAATATATTGACACTTGTCTATGTACCCTGTTTCCTCTATCTGCTATGGATTCTCGATCATCTACCCTTTTGAAATGTGTTCTCCCCTGAGGATACCTCCATTATTCGTGCAAGTTACTATAAAAGATGTGAGGATTGTTACTACTGAATTGACCACAACCAACTTATGTAATCTGAGTGCCTTATGTAAATGCTTCAGACATTTTTGTCTTCTATGCTACATTTTTTTCCTTATGTCTGTCTTCCATAATATCTAACGATATTAATGGTTTGTAATGCGCGTCTACATGTGGTGTGCAAGGAGGGATTTACTTTGTTGCTAGATCATTTTATGTGTTGACTGAATTATTTCCCTTAATTTCTATGTGTTCATGATTCTCCATGCTCAAACAACATTTACTCCGCTAATGCATTTCCATCCTTCTAGATACTCTACTGTTTTGCTTCTATCCAAAATGTAACATTTTTTTAAAAATTGTGTACTGACAGCTAGTTCTTGGACAACTTTGTTTCAATGTAGGGGGAGTTATGCTTTCACGCTCATTTCTTTGCTCCACCAGTTTAGTTTATCAAGAATCATGGGCTAAGATTTGCTGATCAGTTTCGGACTGTAAATCTCTTGAATTCTTTTCACGTAAATGCACTTACCTTTTATAATATGACCGTGGGAAACTTTATGGTTTTATATTAAAGGTTTCTCTAAATGATGTAAAGTGGTCAGTGACTGTGAAGTGATTGTATTGCAGGCTTAAGCCTAGTGTTGATGTTAGTAAACGAACTGTAATCTGTACATTATACATTTGAATTTTCTATGAATGAACAACTATGTTGATTTATATCAAATGATTGGAAAAAGTGTCTATATGTGCATTTTTTGAAAATTTTGTATTAGTAAGTATTCATGATTGGCTGATGGGAACGCCAGTAATATGAGACAGGCCTTGCTGCCGTAGATACTGCCTGGTATGTGTTTTAATTATTTTACAGCCAAATATGAATACCCTACAAACTCGGTGGAGAATCCCATCAAAGAATTGATTCAAAAGCTATGTTAACTTTTCAGCTTGGCAACCATTATAATCAAAAGCTATTTTAACCTTTCCCGGGCTGTTGTCCCATCCATACTATCTACCTCCCTGCAAGCCCATACGTATAAATACCATCTCGGTATAAGTGCCAAAATCTATTTGCCACTCGAATAGGTGTTTCTGAGGAAGTTAGAAAGGAGTCAACTCCTACCTAGGTGAGTCCATGACAGGGAAAGAAACTGAATGTTACCGGCGCCGGTGGGCTCAAGCTTTGGCAACGGCATGTGGCATCATGGTTTTGATGGGCTTGGTCTGCTGTTGCCTTAGCAGCAAACCACGGCACCAAGGAGACAGCAGCAGTAGCACCGGTGCAAGTGGCTGTGATGCCGGTTATTTTGGTATCTAAAACTCTACCGGTTGGTTAGTTGCTTGTTTGCGGATGGATCACTCAGGTAAAAGGCCTGCATGTACAGTTCCTCCTCTATGACTTCAGATTCTCGCCGGATTGTATGGAAATTTTCAGGGTCTTTTCTATTACATAAAGAGGATATATTTATTTTGAGTGCTGTGAAAAATAGAAAAAATTTTAGGTCAGGGTTATTGTAGATGGAAAGATTCTAACAAGCATGGCTTCTTCCTTGCTTCATCTTTTTTACTTTTTTGTAGATTCTTTATTGTCCACAGGTGCACATTGTTTAAGTATTCAAGAGCTGGCTTTCCTTCGTTGGGAAGCAAAATTTATTTTAAGACTTCAATTCACATGTGGGGAAGAGAGCAATTTGATCAAAGATGCAAAGATGATTTCGACTCACATATTTGGAGCATAACTACAAATTAGTTGCCATGCCAGCTAAACTCAATCTTTTGACTCTTATACATTTATACTTATCTTTATCGTGTAACTAAAATGATTACCATACAATTGAATCCAAACAATTACTTAAATATAACTTAAGGTCAAGGCTCGTCAATTGATATCTACCTCATTGGTTCTATTTCACCTGGATTAGTGTAAAATTTGTTTAACTCGTTGCAGCCCTACTGTCATGACATTTACATCTATGTTTTGGGTGCTTAGATAAGGCAAGAAGATTAAACTGATAATGTATGTTAATAAGTTGAAGACAACAATGCTATGGCTTATTTCAACAAAATAATTTAGAATCATATGAATGAGTTACTGCGGATCTTACAATGTGTCTTTGTAATGAATAATTTTGATGTTCCTACAAAGATAAAACTAGGGTTGCCATTCAACTGAGTTTTTATTTCATACCTTTAGATGTCAAAATTGGTGAAATGAAGACAGGAATAGATTATGCCAGAGTATTGTACTGCTAGATTTATGTACCAAAGCTACGGTCCCCGGCATCCCCAAGTCCTGGAATTATGAACCTGAAAAAGGGCAAGTCGATGAATGGCTTGTCAACTTAATGGATTTCTACAACAACCAATTAAGCAGCTTTCTGTTATGATCTTACCCTCTCTCATCAACTGTAGGGTCAATGATCCCTGAATAGACATGAAGCCTGACAAGAATGTAGATCATGGTAAACTGATGATGAGTAAAAATACATGGTATCAAGATAATCCCACTTTTATGTGTGTGATTCTTACCCAGGGAACTTCTCACTCAGCTTTTGAAGAGCTGGAGGAGCAGCAACAGCAGATATCTAAACCAAACATATCATACAATTAGGTAGAGTAAAACACAACTTTGATGTTCCCTTTGTAATGAAAGAAATCAGTTGAAGAAAATGACTGACTTCAATAAGGTATAACAAAAATCCCTTCTGGGCCAAAATATATGTTCAGAACAAAAGCAAGAAAGCACAAGAAGCCAACAGGATAAATAAAATTAAAAAATAAATAAATAAAACCAACCACTTTCATGTTTTTGGTATCAACCCCTCGGGCCTTTATCAGTTCAATAGCTGCAACCACTGTCCCACCTATGAGATTAGATGCAGATATATCAATTACCATCCCCTTTGTTTCTATCTACTAGATAAGAAAGGATGAATATGAAAAACTTAAATCAACACTCCTGATATATGGAAACAATTATATTAATGATGCTTGTTCTAGAATCTAAAAACAACACACTTAGCCTGGCCTCTGGAAAATGACAAATAGATTGACACAACCCAAAATCGCTAAGCTCACATCACCTAACTCACTTTTTTAAAATAATGACATCAAAATAATTTATTGAGCAAGATCATATGCAGTTTAACCTGAAATCGAACCAAAGAGGTATCTATATACACATATATACCTGTTGCAAGCATGGGGTCTATAATAAATACTCGAGAACGCTCAGGGAACTTATCAGGCAGCCTGCAGTGGTAAGAAATCAATTGTAACTTATATAACTATTGAACTATACACCAATGTCCAACATAACAGTTAAGAGGTTAAAATAACGGTAATAAAGTGATGATATACCCTGGTTTTTACATACTTGTTCAAATATACAGTTGGCTGAAGTGTTTCTTCATTTCTGCTGATCCCTGGCACAAACAAGGAAAACTTGAATAAACAATCAACAGGCCCACATCATGCAGGATATAAATAATATTTCCAGAAATGTGATTATAATCTAAATACGTAGAATGCTGTTTTCACAATAATAAAATTATTTTCATTTACATGCAAACATTTTCTATCCCAATTAGAATATGCAACAATTTGAAGACTTTGTAGATGATTGCATTTAGTATTTGTCCTCAGAGGCAAGATGTGAAGTGAGTCTGAGAAACAGCAGTGCTAATGGAAAGGCGATCAAATGAACATGTTTTATATACAACCAATAAACAAAATATAATGAAGAATCTGCATAAATGTAGATGCCTATGTGTGTGTGCTTGTGTGTTCTCCAAGTAGATATGGAAAGCAAAGATCCATGTACCTAGATGATATGTTTTTGTAGCCGGCAAAACTGATGGTGCATGCTCTGCCAAAGCAAGGCCAGCTCTCAATATGGGAACAATCTATAGAACAAGACAATTGATTCAAGTCTTAGCTACTTTAAAAAGTATATACAGTACATGAAATGAAGGACAGAGAAACTATCGCATAACATATCATGGAATTTAGAAGGGTAACAGCCACACACCACAGTGTAAGAAAAAAATGACCTTCAGTTTCAGTTAACAGACACATTTGGTAGTCTTTGCTGAAAGTATAGTTTGAAAAAATATATATATAATCACTGTACAATAATATAATACAAGCGTTATGTTTGGTTAAATGAAGAGGGGCTATTCCCTAAATATTAAGCTTAGGAAATCTGTCAACCATTAGTCAAACAAAGCGCATGAAGAAAATGAACTTGAGAGAGAGAGATTAACTGCAATGGGTTCCCTTGGATCAATAAATTCCACTGTGACAGGAGCCATTGGCGATTGAATTTCTCCCGAGATAGTTGGCTGGCAGCAATCAGAAGTGCATACATAAGAATAAGCAGAAGATTCCATTAGCAACATTATCCCTTATACATTATACTTTTCCCTTGAAGAAGTTCAATATATATATATATATATATTTTCGTGCAGACAAAATAACATTATCAGATAGGCCAGTCACTTTGATGTTTAAATTTAACATTGTTCTTCTACAAAATGGGCTATCCAAGTATACTCAAAGACATGCCTAACCCATATAGCAGACATGAAACAAGACTTTCAAAATGCAGCTAATCAAAGCTCACCAGCCAGTCTCTTGATGCCTCGTACACTAGCAATCTTCCAAGCTCACCCATAGCATTCCCTTAATATATATAAAAGAAGGCATTCCCTTAACACAAATCTCCTTAGCGACACTGTGTTGATTAAAATAAGTGAGATTGTTTTTACACAACAAAAAGTGGACTCACTGAAGATTGGCGAAGGAGTTTGGTCATTCCGAAGTACTGAAACCCAGTGCTTAATTAAAGGATGCGGCGGCACAAACACCTGAAAAAAATAAAGCAGCCACTAATCCAATTAAAAATTCAATTTCCTTGCACAAAACCAACAAATAAGATAACGAATTCCAAAACTCGCACGGCAAAACAACTCAAACTAAAAAAGCACGGCAGAAACCGACCAGCATCCTATCCCCAAAGGCGGGTTTCTTCTCAGTTGTCGTCTGGCCATTCATTGCGACGGCGCGTCGTCTACGACGATTCAAACGCAAAACCTATCACAATAATTAAAAAACAAAAGCAATAAAAGGAAAATCACATTAATATCTTTCTAACTCGATGAATCAATCTGCAAATCGAGAATGGCGTGCCTTAGGGTCTAAAACATCAGGGGAGGCGGGATTGAGACCTGAACTTGAAAGGCGTTGAGATTGAGGAAGAGAGGGCAGCGGAGAATCGCAAGGGAATCGGAAAAAATGGGCAGTATTAATGGCGAAAGCCATTTTAAAACTAAAATAGAAAAGAAACCCCTAAAGGGCTATAAATTGGGGAATTGCTAAAGCCTATAGCCGTTGTATGGTTTTGGCTCAATACACAATACTAGATATTATCCCATTTTATTTGATTATCCCTTGATTTATTTCATCCTCCGTTTTAACACCCCTTCCCCGGTCCTAGGGTTGGTTAAGATATTGATTTTTTTATTATTATTTTTTTTTAGGCTTTTAAAAATTTGAAAGTTTAGAAAAAATAAAAAATAGTATTTAATTTAATATTTTATGAAAAAAAAAAATTGATATAATATTTAAAAAAAAAATAAATAGTATCTTGAAAGTTTACTGTGTAAACATAATCCCGCCAGTTCCATTAAATAATTTTTCATTTGTGTTAAGTTCAAACTCAACTCTTTTGTTTTTTAATTATTTTATTTAAATTTAAATGCAATTAATAATAATTATGATTATGATTATTTGTTAATATATTTGTCTAAAACTTAGAATTAAGTATTATATTATATGGATTAAATATAAATATATATATATATATTTATATCGCGAAACACGCTAATAATAGATTTATTCATTAATCATTTTTTAGATTGGTTCATAAGTTGCAGTAGTGAAGTGAAATAAACAACAAGAGCGCAGGCGTAAGAGTACGAGGCAGAGTAATAATAATAGTACATAAAAGCAGCAAAAAGCGCATTTTAGGAAACACGCGTAATGAAATCGCGTGTTTAGATCTCGCCATCCCACAATTCTTCAAGAGACTTGTATTGGCTGAGCGTCTCGTGCACTGCCCAATCACACACCAACAGCCTTTCCTGCATGTTCATTTCATTAACAACCATTAGATTTTCACAAGCTGCTGCATTTCCAAATTATCAAAGAAATTCCCAACAAGGGATCAATCAATCGGCAACATATTCCATAAAAATAATAAACTTGCCTGCTTGATCTCGGAGAATTTGGCGAGCAAGTCATCTGGAATGGACCAGTCAAAAACATCAAAGTTTTCCTTGATCCTGGATGGATTTGTGCTTTTTGGAAGAACGCTGTTGCCCATCTGCAGTCCCCATCGAAGGGCGACCTGCCCAGGAGTTTTACCAAGTTTTTCTGCAATGGAAACTAAGACAGGGTGCTTGAGGACTTCGGTTTGGACCCCAGCCGTGCCCGGAGAACCCATTGGTGCAAATGCCTGTAGAGGCCAGAATTATGAGGAAATGGAACACAGATAAACCAAATTGAAAATCTTTTGAAATGTGATGACTTACAGATAGGTGAACTCCATTGGCATTGCAAAATTCCCTAAGTTTTGGTTGCTGCCAAACTGGATGCAATTCAACCTGGTTGACTGCAGGTACAACACGGGCTGTTTCTAACAGATCTCCTAGTTTCTTTACTGTGAAGTTGCTGACCCCTATAGCTCGGGCCTTGCCGGAGTCATACAGTGCTTCCATGGCTTTCCATGTGGCAGGTATGTCTGTGGGAAGGAAGTTATGGGGATCGAAGCCAATATAGCCTTTCTTCATCTTCAATGGCCAGTGAATCTGGGGAAAATAAATATAAACATGAAAGAGTTGTGTTAATGTGCATAGTGCAAAGCATCAAAGTGCACACAATTAATTCAGATGTTTCTTAAGTACATACAAGGTATAAGTCTACATAGTCGAGTTGCAAGCCTTCCAGCACCCTCTCCAATGCCACAGGGACATCTTCAGGATCATGATCACAGCACCTGCATTCCAGATTTAAGAGACAATAAACCAATATAGACAATAAACAACGATAGGGCACGATTGACATATATAAATCATCTACGTACCAGAGTTTATTTGTAATGAACAATTCTTCCCTCTTGACAACTCCCTCATCAAACAGCTTCTTCAGAGTATCAGCAATCTGAAAAGGGAAATGGATTTTGTAGGCAGAAGCCATATAGCCAGAAAGAAAATGGACTTTTGCAGTAGCTTCAACTTAATCTTACTGATTTCAATTCGTAACCTCACATACAGATCAACTGTAGCAGATACCATAACTGATCTTAAACTTATGTTACTGACAGATCTTTCCACTAAGATGATTATGTACACAAATTGACATTGATTAGAGAGAGAGAGAGAGAGAGAGATCTGTGCACCTCCTTCTCATTCCCATAACCTGGGGAACAGTCGATATGGCGGTATCCAATCTGCAGTGAGGAATTGCCAGAAACCGATTAATCCTACTAGTCATATACACAGATTTTAGGCACTAGACTTACAATGGCATTTCATCGTATAAAAATAGAAAGGATGCATAAAGGATCAACAAGTCAAACGGAACAGAATCTAACGTGATTAACCTAAGGCCTAAGCAGTCTTCTGAATATTTCAATAATTAGCCAAATACTATCGTAGCCTACCAATCGCCTATATCAACTATGATACACAAACGCCCAATAGTTGGCGGGCGAAAAATCAAATGAATATAGATCAAGGACAAGTTCACGAAAAGCAGATGGTATAGATAGAAACAGGAGGCGGAGACCTTGATGGCGGTTTCGAGAGCCTGGCTGACGACACCTGGGGCCGCCTGCCAAGTTCCGAGCCCGACGGAAGGAATTTTGGCACCAGTGTTCAACTGGAAGTAGCGGAGATCCTGCGCCATTTTTGAACTTATCTTCCGTGAGAAGGACACCTTACGGGAGGAGATGAATGGTAACAACGGAGTGACTGTTGTCGTCGTCGATCTGAAGCAACAAAGCGGAGATGAGAGAGCTTTTGACTCAAGCAAAAACATATAACAACGCAATGCAAATTTCTTAACTGAAGAACTCTCACAAATGCGAAATGCCACATCACCATAAAATATAGTTTTAAAAAGATAGGACAGCTTCTCTCTCCTTCATTATGTAGGAAAGAGAATATATATTAATACTATTTCCACTGTGCACTTAGCGTGTTTATTGTTTTTCGCTCTCTCTCCACTTTTTTCTTTCTTAAAGAATTATGTACTTTAATATTATTTAAATTTTTTTATTTTATAATTCTTTTAATTTCAATTATAATATTTAATCATTTTAATTTTAATTTTAAAATTATTTTTATTATATAATTTACTAATATATTATTAATTATACTCATCATAATTAATTTAATTTATTTCATCCTTCGATATAATTTATCTCTATTTTTCAAAAACTTTTTTGAAATTATAACTATATATTTTAAAATTATAATTTTTTTAATTTTAATTAAAATATTTAATTATTTTAATTTTAATTTATAATTATTTTTATAAAAAAATTATTAAATAAAAATACTCATGGCTTTGTTCTTTAAATATTTTTCCTCGACACAATTTTAGGATATATATTTTGTTCTCTGACATAAGTTAACAATCACCATAAATATTATTTTTTATATCACTTTCACAATTCTCTATATTTTATATCAAATATAAAATTTCGAATCAAAATACTAAACAAACAAATTAATACTCCCTCCATCCAACATTTTATGTCACTTTTTAAAAAATGATTACACAATTTAATCTCATTCTAAACTTTTTAATTTATTTTTTTTAATTTTAATTAAACTAATTAGTTATCTTAATTTTAATTTATAATTATTTATATTATACGAATAATTATTTTTACTAATACATTCTTAATTATCTACTAATTACACTCCTCCTAAAATACCGTAGTATGAGACGAAGGGATTATTGTATTGTTATCCGATAGAAACTAATACTCCCTCCGTCCCACATAATTTGTCCTTATTTTTTATTTTCGTTCGTCCAACATAACTTGTCCTTTATATTTTCGTAAATATAATTATGTACTTTAATCATATTTTAAATTTTAAATTTTATAATTTTGTTAATTTTAATAAATTATTTACTTATCTTGATCTTAATCTATAACTATTTTTAGTAAATAATAATTATTTTTACTAATATAATTTTTAATTATTTACTAATTAAACTTTACCTAAATTCAGTGGACGGATGGAGTAGGATATTATTATCTCATCTATTGAAGTACAAAATTATTCATTTCAAATCAATTTTTTTATTACGTAGGATTTTACCATCTAATTATATTTTACCATCTATTACTCAATTATCTATGTAATAAATAATATATAATTAGTACGATAATTAGTATTTTATTTTAAGAAAAGACAAAAGAAAAAGAAAAAGTAATGGGTCGGTTCACAATAAATTATGAGTATAAATTTGATTCGATAAGATTTGATTATCTATCTTTAATGGATATAACATATTATTTTAATTTAAAGGTTAATTAAATAGTGATTGTTTGTGTTGAAATAAAGAGAATATATCGAGGTCAAATAAACACGGCGGGGCGTTGATGATCTGACAATCACCAACACACACTCCGTATATATGCACTTTTGTATAAGATACATAATTTGCCTAGCCTAGTGTAATTGGTTTATTTTATTGAATTTGGTCGAAAAATAAACGATTACGAATCACGTTTAGAAAGCAGAAAAAATAGTAATAAACATCGAATTGGTCAAAAGTTGATGTACTGTAGTCCCATCCCTCGGGTGAATAAATTATTAGCATAACATGGGATGGGATGTGGCACCCTACACGTGAGCTCCTACCATCAACTATAACATCCCATTCCTATTCCTATGCGGGTTGGGTTGGGTTGGTGTACCTAATCGATCATTATGTAATAAATATATTCTTCTGAGAACATGCTAATGATGCACTGCACTGCACTGCACTGCACTTACTTCATCATTCATCACATAAGACCTGGATTGGATTGGTTCATAATTTACAATAGCATCCTAAAAACATAGGTTTATTTATTTATTTTTGCGATTTTATTAAGTTGTTTACTTTATTTTCTTATAACAAGAAAATAAAAACAACGGAGCAGGGTGTCAAAAGCAAGAGTGTAGGTAGCAGGCACAACAGTAGTAATACATAGAAGCCGCAAAAGCGCATTTTAGGAATAACGCACGCGTACTGAAATCGCGTTTTTAGATCTCGCCATCCCACACTTGTTCAAGAGACTTGTACTGGCTGAGCGTCTCGTGCACTGCAAACTCGCCTGGCAAGAGTCTTTCCTGCATGTTTATGTTCATTTCATATAAACCACCATTAGATATCAGAAGCTACTGCATTTCAATTCATCAAATTAATTGCCAACAATATAAGATATTCCATAAAAATAATAAACTTGCCTGCTTGATCTCGGAGAATTTGGCCAGCAAGTCATCCGGAATGGACCAGTCAAAAACATCAAAGTTTTCCTTGATCCTCGATGGATTCGTGCTTTTTGGAAGCACGCTGTGGCCCATCTGTAGTCCCCATCGAAGGGCAACCTGCCCAGGAGTTTTACCCAGTTTTTCTGCAGTGGAGACTAAGACAGGGTGCTCGAGGACATCATATTTGATCCATGTTGTGCCGCGAGAACCGAATGGTGAGTATCCCTGTAAATGCCAGAATTATGTGCAACAGGGACACAGATGAAAACAAATGGGAAATCTTTTGAGAGGTGACTACTTACAGATAGGTGAATTCCCTTGGCATTGCAAAACTCCCTAAGTTTTGGTTGCTGCCAAACTGGGTGCAATTCTACCTGGTTGACAGCAGGTACAACACGGGCTGTTTCTAACAGATCTCCAAGTTTCTTTACTGTGAAGTTGCTGACCCCAATAGCTCGGGCCTTGCCAGAATCATAGAGTGGTTCCATGGCTTTCCATGTGGCAGACAAGTCTGTGGGAAGGAAGTTATGGGGATCAAAGCTGACAGAGCCTTTCTTCATCTTCAATGGCCAGTGAATCTGGATAAGAACAGAAAAGAAAAAAAAGTATAAACTCATGTGTATGGTGCAAAGCATCAAATTGCACACAAGCATTACAAAACTAACAGATGTTTGGCACATTAATTTATATGTGGAACTACTTCGCTGTTTCTTAAATTTAAAAAATGTACATACAAGATATAAGTCAACATAGTCAAGTTGCAAGTCTTCCAGAGTCTTGTCCAATGCCCCAGGCACATCTTCAGGATCTTGGTCACTGCACCTGCAGTCCAGATTGAAAGAAACAATGAACCAATATAGATAGAAATGAAATTTGCAGAAGTATGAAGCAAAGAATGACTCAATTTGCTTAAAAACAACCAACAGGTAATAACATTTCAGACGATAAAGTGCAAGGAAGATCAACATAAATTTTCCTTACTGTGATTTGCTTGTTCAAACTAATTTATGCCAAACTTCTACAAATATATATAGTACCAGAGTTTAGATGTAATAAACAAATCTTCACGCTTGACAACTCCATCAGCAAACAGCTTTTTGAGAGTATCACCAATCTGAAAAGGGACAGCCAGAAAGAAATAGACATTGTAGTACAAGTAGCAGCAACTTAATCTCACTAAATATATACTCCAAAACAACCTCACATACAGTCATACAGATCAACTATAGCATATAACTCAACTGATATTAAACCTATGCTACTAACATATCATTCCACCATTGATGAGGGAGAGTGAGAGAGATTTGTACCTCCTTTTCATTCTCATAAGCCCGGGCACAGTCGATATGGCGGTATCCAATCTGCAGTGAGAAATTGCCAGAAACCGATTACTAGTATAGTACTAGTCGTATACACAGATCTTAGAACACTAGACTTCCAATGGCGCTTCATTGTATAAAAATCGAAAGAATGCATAAAGGATCAACAAGTCAAACGGAACAAAATCTACCATGATTAAAAAGAAGAAAAGTTGAAACTAGGGTCTAATTATTCTTCTGGATATTTGAATAATCAACCAAATATGTTGTAGCCTACAAATCGCCTACATCGACGGTGATACACAAACTCCCAATAATTGATACGCACAAATCATCTCAAGATAGATTAAGCATAAGTTTACGGAAAACAGATTGTAGAGATACAAACAGGACGCGGAGACCTTGATTGCGGTTTCAACAGCTTGGCCAACGACACCTGGGTCCGCCTGCCAAGTTCCGAGCCCGACGGAAGGGATTTTCGCACCAGTGTTCAACTCGAAGTAGCGGATCTCCGGCGCCATATTTGAACCTAATCTTCCGTGAGGTTAGACACCTTGCGAGAGGAGAGGAACGGCAACAAGGAAGCGAGTATTAGGGAAAGTATCGGTGTTTCGTATTCATCAACTTTTTCTCTTTAAAACGTATTGGGGAAAAAAATAGAAAAATCGCCCCGCAGGCCCAGAACAATCCATTTTGTTCCATTTTAAAAATTTTAGTTATTTTTTTAGTCGCAACAAATACGACGTGTCATTTTATTAGAACTAACACGTCATGTTTCAAAACAACACGGACGCATTAAATAATATTTTAATATAATTTTTTATTAAAAATAATAATATTAATATTATATTGATAGGTGAATAGAAATGAATAATTAAAATAATTTTATTATTGTTATTGTGTAATTTAAAAAATAATGTTACGTATGTAAATTTTATTAAGTTGTAAGTATATTTATTATTTTTTTACATGTTATTTTTTATATTTTCGTCTGTGTTATATAATTTATTTATTTTTTAAAATATAATTATAAATTTTAATTATATTTTAAGATTTATAATTTATAATTTTTTTAGTTAAATTAAATTATTTAATTATTTTAATTTTATTCTATAATTATTTTTATTAATATATTTTTTAATTATTTACTAATTATTATACCTAAAATTTCGTAGTTAAGCTAAAGAAATAAATTAGTTGAACCAAAAGAAATATAATATTAAATAGATAATACAAAAAATAAATATTTTATTACGAAATAGAAAAATTATGATTGTGTTTCTTTTGATGAATTTGAAAATAAATTGATTTGAGATTAGTACGAAAATAATATTTGAGGAAATATTCTATGAGAAAAATTTTTTCAAAAAATATAGAATCTAAATAGTAAAATCCGAAAAAGTCGGTACAGAAACGTAGATGTTAAGGAATGAAAAATATATTTTTATTAAAAATTATACTATAAATTTAACATAAAACCAAACACAGCCATATAATGCACTGTAATTATTTTATTTATTTATATACTCTTTTGAGAAATAAAACAAATTTGCGCTGGATTGAAAAATAAAATAAAACAAAATTGAGCTGGATTGGTCATAATTTGGAACACTAATAAATAACAAGAGTAATTGGTAAGAACCAAGAGGAACAGTAATAGTGGCAATTCATAAAAGCCATTATAAGCGCATTTTAAGAATGACGCGTAGTGAAAACGCGTTTTTAAATCTCGCCATCCCACAATTCTTCAAGAGTCTTGTATTGGCTGAGCGTCTCATGCACTGCAAAACTAGCTTTCAACATTCTTTCCTGCATTGCTCATTTCATAAACAAATCATCAAATAAAATTTCCAACAAAGGGATCGATCAATGAACACTGAACTTCCATGAAAATAACAATCTTGCCTGCTTCATATCGAAGAATTTGGCGAACAAGTCATCAGGAATGGACCAGCCAAAAACATCCAAGTTTTCCTTGATCCTCGATGGATTTGTGCTTTTCGGTAGAACACTGTGCCCCATCTGCAGTCCCCATCGAAGCGCGACCTGCCCTGGAGTTTTACCAAGTTTTTCTGCAGTGGAGACTACGACCGGGTGCTGGAGGACTTCGCTTTTTAGCCATGTCGTGCCCGGAGAACCGAGTGGTGAGTATCCCTGCAAAAGCCAGAAGAATTATCTGCAACTGGAACACAGGTAAAAACAATTTGAAAATCTTTTGAAGCATGGCTACTTACAGTTAGGTGAACTCCTTTGGCCTTGCAAAACTCCCTAAGTTTTGGCTGCTGCCACGACGGATGCAATTCGACCTGGTTGACAGCAGGTGCCACGCGGGCTACGTCTAAGAGATCTCCTAATTTCTTTACTGTGAAGTTGCTGACTCCAATAGCTCGGGCCTTGCCGGAATCATACAGTGCTTCCATGGCTTTCCATGTGGCAGGTATGTCTGTGGGAAGGAGGTTTTGGGGAACAAAGCCAACAGAGTCTTTCTTCATCTTCACTGGCCAATGAATCTGGAAAACACAAAAGTCATATATTCATGCGTATGCTGCAAAGCATCAAAGTGTATGGATAAGCATTATAAAAATGCACACAGACAAAGGTTTGGCAAATGAATGTATATGTTTATTAAATTTGGAAAGAGTACATACGAGGTATAAGTCTACATAGTCGAGTTGCAATTCTTCCAGCGTCTTGTCCAATCCTCCAGGGACATCTTCAGGAGCGTGGTCGCAACACCTTCATTCCAGATTTTAACAAACAATGAACCAATTATGTAGATAGATAGATAGATATGGAATTAACAAAAGTGTAAAGCAAACAAAGAACCAATCCAAGTAATCATCTACGTACCAAAGTTTAGATGTAATGAACAAATCTTCTCGCTTGACAACTCCCTCATCAAAGAGCTTTTTCAGAGCATCACCAATCTGAAAAGGGAAATGGATTTTGTTGGCAGAAGCCATACAGCCAGAAAGAAATAAAATTCGCAGTAGCTTCAAATTAATCTCACTAATTTTCAATTCTTAACCTCAGATACAGATCATATGTAGTATATACCACAATTGATCTAAAATTATGCAAGTGTGAGAGAGCTTTGTACCTCCTTCTCATTTCCATAAGCCCGGGCACAGTCGATATGGCGGTATCCAATCTACATTGAGAAATTGCCAGAAACCGATTACTTGAGCTAGTCATAGTGTCATACACAGAAATTGCCAGTAGCTAATAAGCACAAGTTTAGGGAAAATCATCTGAAGATAGATTAAGCAGAATCTGAGGAAAAATTGGTGGTAGAGATAGAAACAGGATGCGAAGACCTTGACGGCTGCTTCAACAGCTTGGCCGACTACACCTGGAGGCGCCTGCCAAGTTCCAAGCCCGACGGAAGGAATTTTCGCACCAGTGTTCAAGTCGAAGTAGCGGATCTCCTGCGCCATTGTTGAGCCCTTCCCTTCCCCGAGACTGAGAGCGGATACCGTACGAGAGGAGAGGAGTACGGGAGTGGCTGGCAAAGTGAATATTGTCGTCGCTCTCAACCAACCAAGCGGAGAATAGAAGGGAGCAAATTATAGAACTAGAAGAAATTATTATTGGATTTCAATTTTTTATTTTCCATGTTCAATTCAATAATAAGGAAAGAAATATAATATAGTAGGAGCAGTACAAATCTGCCTATATTAAACTAATTTTTATTTTTTTTTGAATCTCCGGCATTAATTAAATGAAGATTGATTGCTACTACCAAATTATATATCAGGATTTTTTTAGGATTTTTATTTTTATTTTAAAGGCAAGATTTTTTATTACTATTATTATTATTTGTTTTGTGCTCATTGGAAAAGCTGAATCAAAGGGCATGTTCTAGAAGCCAAATGAATATGGCCGGCCGTGCCGTTATCTGCAAACGTCTCCCCACCGTTGATTATTTTGATATCGGGCGGTGAGAGTGAGACTCGCAATAGAGTGAGACTCGCAATAGACAATAGACAAAGACTCGTAATATAATACTTCCTTTTGTACACTTCTAATTTGTCAATATTTTTTTATTTTTAATTAAATTATTTATTTATTTAATTTTAATTTATAATTATTTTTATTAAATAATAATTATTTTATTAATATATTTATTGCTAATTATATTTTCCGTATCTATAGTAATATATCCATATTACATGCAGGGAGTAGGATTACTATGTTTTGGACTGATCTTGACGTTGATAGCTTAGGCCCACCTACTCTTAATTACTATAGCACGTGATATTACTTCCTCTTTTTATTAATTTCTAAAAATAGTTTGAAGTAGTCTTAGCTGCATCATTTATTTAAAAAGAAAATTGAAAATATACTCGATTTTTCTTCCTCCTCCTTTCTTTTTTTTTTTTTTTTTTCTCTAATAGGACAACTGAAACACACAACCTTGGGCTTAAATCAATTATTCGATAATAGGGGACAGACTTGTTCAAATTTCCCCATCCCAAAGCTCTTCAAAATCTTTGTATTGGCCCAATGTGGGGTGGATAAATGCATTCCCCTTGAACAATCGTTCCTGCAATTCACAAACATGGAAGAATGGGGGTTTAGACAAATGGGATTTATTGATTAATTGAAATCACTCTAACACAGTTTGGGACAGAATAAATAAAATGAAAGAGAGAGAGAGAGAGAGGGAGCAAGAACTTGCCTGTTGAATATCTGAGAAGTTAACAAAGGAGTCTTGTGGTATGTTCCAGCCAAAGACATCCAAATTCTCCTTGATTCGTGATTCATTTGTGCTCTTTGGAAGCACACTATTGCCCATTTGCAATCCCCACCTAAGTGCCGCTTGTGCTGGAGTCTTACCCAACTTCCTCGCAATAGCAACTACCACAGGATGATTTAGGACTTCGTTTTTCATCCCAGAACAGCCAGGTGATCCCAATGGCGAATAACCCTGTTCAAAATGCATGGATGAGTTATACAACACCTATATGATGACAGCTTAGAAGAAATTCGAATATACTTAAGTTATCAACGGTTGAATCATGTAACTAAGACCAATACATTAAGTGAAGGATCTAGTACCGAAAACAAAGATAATCTGGAGACATTGAGAAGAAATAATGTATACTCAAAATATATAAGCAATGAATAAAGATGCCAAGAACTTACAGATAGGTGAACTCCTTTGGATATACAGAATTCTCGTAGTCGAGTCTGTTGCCATACAGGATGGCATTCGACTTGGTCGACAGCAGGAGGTATGCGGGCTATATTCAACAGATCACCGAGCTTTTTAGCAGAAAAATTACTAACCCCTATAGCCAGGGCCTTACCAGAATCATAGAGTGATTCCATGGCCTTCCATGTCGCAGGTATATCAGCTGTTTCGAGGTTTTCAGGCTTAAAGCCAATGGATCCCTTCTTTAACCGCACTGGCCAATGAATCTACAGTATCATGTACTTCTGTCAATAACCAATTGATATGTACAGCTCAGGTTTAGCAAATCCACAGGACAGTATCAATGGGATTAAAATTTGAACTTTGTCATTGAAGTATTTGCTGCTTATTTGCTTATCATCAATGTTCTGTTATCAATCATGTAACTTGGCTCCATTATTTGCCACTTTTACATTGTTATGTTTTAAGCCGCACTGATTTGCATTGAATGCAGAAGTTAGAACACAAACTAAAACTCTCAGATCAAAGATCATGTAACGATGCATACAAGGAATAAATCAACATAATCGAGCTGCAAATCTTGAAGTGTTTGACATAATGCCACAGGCACATCTTCAGGTGCTTGCTCAGTACACCTGCAGAATTGAGGAGGCTATTTCAAAACAATAAGGAAAACGACGAATACGAGGTTGTGAGCAACAATTCAATTCTTGACTAAACAGCTCCCATAATGTAAATAATACACAGAAGCATGGAACCATTGACAAAGAGAAGTTATCACAAAATCATTGTACGTCATAACAATCAACTTACTACACAGATTTGCAATAATATAAATACCAGAGTTTTGAAGTGATGAACAAGTCCTCTCTCTTCACAACTCCATCATCAAAAAGCCTTTTCAAAACTAAGCCAATCTGAAAAGAATAAACAATGCCCAAGTCACATAAGACACTAATAAACATCTTAATATAAGCAAGCATGTGTGCAAAATAATTTGTCTTTTTTTTTTGGGTTTTTTGTTTTTCTTCCAAAACTACAGCATGCAATGTATGATTCATCTCTTTAGAAATGCAGTGACAAAATAAAGCATGGTGAAGCACATTTAGGAACTTCTTCTTTGAATTTATGCTCATACAATGGTTGTCAAAAGAACAGAAAAACTGCTATAGTAAAGTACTAATATCGCTCTTGCCATTTCTTAAATTCTGAAGCACAAACGGTGATATAGTTGAATAAGCTCATCAACTACATACCTCCTTCTCATTTCCATACCTCTGAGCACAGTCAATGTGGCGGTATCCACTCTGTCATACCAAGTACATGAAGTAGGTCAAAATGTCTCTTTTATAATTGCTTGCGATTAAATCATATGATAACCATTAAAATATTGTCAAGTGATGCAGAATAAATATACGATCATACATTCATGTTTCCTGGTTTTGAACAATGCAACCATACAAAGAAATTCGCAGTCCGTCGTTCAGCAGAATACAGGTTTTAACTTATCCCCAATCCATAGCCACGAGAAAATGCATAGAGCGCAAAACACAGAAATTTACACTGTACATAATCGATCGACTGGAGAACCCCATAAACAATTCAGGCCGGTCACAAAAGAATCACAAGCATAAAACAAACAAATCATAAAAATGATAAATTTCAGACCTCTAATTGAGCAAATGTATATGCATACATAGCGATTTCAGATGAGCCAGCCAAAACCGTACCTTGATTGCAGCTTCAACCGCATGACCAACGACGCCAGGCTTCGCCTGCCACGTACCGAGTCCAACAGAAGGGATCTTCGCGCCGGTGTTCAATTCAAAGTACTTAATATCATCGACCATCTTCAAACTACGGAATAGCAAATAAACTAGTGACAGGAATGCGGCGCTGCGGCGGCAGGGCAGGGCAGTTTCACTTTATAAAATAAAATTTTAATATAATATTAAAAAATGTACATATTTAATTTAATATTCTTTAATAAATAATAAATAATTATATATATATATAATTTTTTTTTTTTTTTTAAAAAAACATGGTTAATTACTTTCACTGCTTTCTGGGAGACTCCGAACAGTTGAATTGTAAACATAAATATTTTAAGTTTTTTTGTCTGTAAATTTGCTTTAATTGGTCTTGATTTGCAGCAAAACAATTTTGTGCATATTTGGCCAATTGGCCTCCAAATTAATTGAAATCCTAACGTGGAAAAGAACATATGTTACAAATTTACCTAATAATTTTGTGGCTTTGAATCACAAAAATATGGACTGAAATTAAGTAACATAATCCAGTAAAATCATGAATGCAGCACCATATAGTTTTAGTGTAAAAATATGATAGTGCGAAACCTTTGGCATTACAGAGCACAAACCCAGTCCAATGCGCTCTAGGCAATAATTACTACCAGATAACTGCTCTGTTATTTTCACATGTATTCGAATTGCCAACCGAAGGTTGATTATTGAGTGTCTTAGATCTCTCCATCCCAAAGCTCTTGAAGTGTTTTGTACTGACCCATCGTCTCATGGACAAATGCAGTGCCCTTTATCAATCTTTCCTGCTGAAAAAAACATAAATAACACAGCCGTTACAATCACTTAGAACAACATAATATCACATCATAGTTGAAAGTGAAGTGATGGGATTGACAATCATCTGCCAATGTACAGATATATACGGAAACAGGGAGTCCCGTATTGAAGTGATGGATTCGACATGCTTAACTACATTGCTGATTATGTAAGGACATGTTCCCTCCATTCCTATGCATATATTAGATTAAAAAATTTTAAACAAGGATAAAATTATAACTTGCCTGCTGAATCTCAGAGAATTTAACGAGCAAGTCATCTGGTATGCTCCATCCGAAAACATCAAAGTTTTCTTTGACCCGTGATTCCTTGGTGCTCTTTGGAAGTACACTGTGGCCCATTTGCAATCCCCACCTTAGTGCCACCTGTGCGGGAGTTTTGCCTAATTTTTCTGCAATATCAATCACAACAGGATGCTTGAGGACTTCGCCTTTCATCCCCGATGAACCAGGAGAGCCCAAAGGTGAATAACCCTGAGGATATTACAGTTGTAGTTATCTATAAGTAACAAACACAAATAAAATTTAGAGTGACAAAAAAAGCACTAAGTTTGGTAATCCTGATATCTACTGCAGACTTACAGATAGGTGAACTCCCTTGGATTTACAGAATTCCCGCAGTTTAGCCTGCTGCCATACGGGATGGCATTCAACCTGGTTGACGGCCGGAGGAATGCGAGCTACATTCAGCAAATCACCAAGCTTTTTCACTGAGAAATTGCTAACGCCTATGGCTCGTGCCTTGCCAGAGTCTTTGAGTGCTTCCATGGCCTTCCATGTTCCAGGTATATCAGTTGTCGCAAGGTTTTCTGGTTTAAAGCCCACAGATCCCTTTTTCATACGCACAGGCCAATGTATCTGCATTAAATGACCAATTACTATCAACTTGCTCTGAAGCCTAAACCCAGAATGGGTAGGGTTTTGAAAAAAATGATTGTGTAACGGAACGTACGAGGTACAAATCAACATATTCAAGCTGCAGATCTTGGAGTGTGTGGCTTGAGGCCACAGGTACATCTTCAGGTGCTTGGTCTGTGCACCTGCACAAGTTAGGCAGCCACTTATCTTATGTGGTTTTAAGAAATAACCAATGCACTAGAATCACATATATTGATTTAAATATACTTACCAGAGTTTTGATGTTATAAACAATTCCTCTCTCTTCACAACTCCTCCATCGAGCAGGTTCTTTAAAACTACACCAATCTAACAAAGAAGAAACCCACAGGAGAAGTCTGATTGTTAATGTAGACATACAAGGACCCATGTAGGTGACGTGCTATTCTTCTGAATGTGTATTATAAAGGAAAGAAAGAAAAGAGAGAACTAGTGGCACCGATTTAATGCATATTGAGAACTAGAAAACCTCCACATTCTCGGCCTGATTTTAGATAAATTGCTCTACTGGAGAGTCAAAGTAAAACAAAAAAACTGATCTTTCCATATAAATATCATTTTATATACAGAATTAATATGTACTGAAGATGATGAAAAGCAATGGCAGTATGTACCTCCTTCTCATTTCCATATATCCGAGCACAATCGATGTGGCGATATCCACTCTACAATGGGAAGAGTACAGCATTGGTCAGTTGCCTGTAAATCCTTATGATCGAATCGTTTAAAAACTGTATCCCATCATTGACAGTGGAAAAGATGCAATTTGATATTTTATGTTTCTAGTATGTATCTAATACGTTGTCTTAATCCTAAAAACCTTGCGTTTAGTTCATTTAATTGGCGAAGGGGGTGGGAAAGGTTCCTAGTTCCGATCCTGCTCTCGGTCTCATTCCAAATGTTTATATAAAAACTTGCGTCAACAATATATTTTTATTATTTTATAGTAAAGTTTCGCCTGTCATTAAATAAGATATATATTTTGATATTGTCGGTGTCTAAATATTAATGTAAATGTGACCAACTATGTATAATAGATAGTTTTATATTTAAATGTATTTAACTCAATACTACAAAATACTAATAACAAAAAATACTCATAAATTACCATTAAAATACAAAAAAATATATACAAAAAAAATTTATTAAGCAATCATTATGATTTAATAAACTATTCTAATACAAGTACAAATTAGGAGCCTAAATTACAAGTATAAGATTAGTTTTCTAAGGTTTCAATACAAATACACATAGTATATAATAAATATTATGTGCAGCTATCAATCTGACCCAAACTAAAATGAAACTGATATACATTCACTCTCTTCTGACAAACTGTACGTCTGAACTTTATAATCAATGCAACAGCAACAACAGAACGGTCCGGAATAATTTGATTTGGTTTCCGTCGCATGCTCAAACATACAATATTGATGGATTTATAAAAACTACCCTATATGATCCAAACCCAAATAAAATGAATAGATTAATCAACACACGTGTAGGTCTCGTTTATAACATGAAGCATGCACTGTGCGTACCCGATCAATTGACTAACGTCATAAACATTGCAGATCGGCCACAAACAAATGGAAACAATGAACATTGAATAAAAAAAAAAAAATAGATGTTAGATCTCTTGACGATCAGATTTACATACCTTAATGGCTGCTTCAACCGCGTGTCCGACGACGCCAGGCTCTGCCTGCCACGTACCGAGCCCAACAGAAGGAATTTTAGCACCGGTGTTTAACTCAAAATATGAAATATCCTTCGCCATTTTCAATATGCACAGAGGACGAGAGAAGAATCGGACGGCGATAGGATTCGCGAACAATCTCAGTAAGCGCATGAAAATGGAGAGCGAGTTACAAACTGTATAGAAGGCGGTTAGGGTCTCCGCTAAAGAACGTGTCCACGTGAGTAGCCATGGTATTGAATGAGTCTAGAACATTCTAGAAATTGATCCGATGGGCCGTCAATTCGAGTTTCGGGCTGATCCATCATCTGATAGTGGATATTCATATTGTTATTGGGCTATTTCATATTGCCTATTAACCATTCTTTATATATGAATTTGTTTGTTTGGGATTTCAGAGAAATTTCTTCCCAAAAATCATCAATTCAAAAAATCTCTTTTCTATTTTCTTTATCACAAACATCAAAATTCTATTTTCAAATGATTATTATTAAAAAAGCGTACAAACACACCCTATATGTCACACAGTGAATTTATTTATTGAAATAAATAAAAGTGTCTCATTCGTCCACAAGTAAAATTGGAAATGAATCAGAGTGCAAATAATGCAGCATTTTGCTACAAATAATAAGCCAAGATTGAGTTCCTACTCAGAGTTCATCGTCCCAGAGCTCTTGCTCGGTTCTGTAGGAGCCCAATGTCTCGTGCACAAACATACTTCCTGAAACTAGCCTCACCTGCACAGTCATCTCAATAATTATCAATCTGATGCTATTACAATTCTGATGCAAATAATCTCTTTTATGAACTCCGAAAATTTGTAATAAAGTATCAAGCTTCAAAGAGTATTCAATTCAATACCTGTTCAATTTGAGAAAATTGGGCAAACAAATCTTCTGGAATGGACCAATCAAACACATCAAAATTTTCTTTGATCCTCTTCTCATTGCTGCTCTTTGGGATCAAGCTATGGCCCATCTGCAACCCCCATCGCAAGGCAATTTGTGCTGGAGACTTGCCCAGTTTTTCAGCAATTGAAATCAGAACTGGATGTTTAAGCACTTCAGTTTTCAGACCAGCTTTGCCAGGGGAGCCGAGGGGGCGATGTCCCTTAACATACATGTTCACAGTTATCAGTGGGATTGATGAAGAATATTCAATTTTAACATCTAAATTGAAACGGGAATATAGATGGTGCTTTACTGGAGATAGATGACTTACTGATAGGTGAACCCCTCGGGATTTACAGAGTGAATGTAGCTGTGGTTGCTGCCATGAAGGGTGACACTCCACCTGGTTGACAGCAGGAGGAATGCGAGCCACATCCAACAAATCAATCAGCTTCTTGCAAGAGAAATTGCTAACGCCAATAGCTCGGGCCTTTCCAACATCATAAAGTGCTTCCATTGCTTTCCATGTGCTAGGTATATCAACTTTAGTAAGGTTCTCTGGTCTTACTCCCACAGAACCTTTCTTCAAACTGGCTGGCCAGTGAATCTTGAAATTTAAAACAGATATGGATCAACAATGTATTATGAAATGATATTTCCTTTTGTCAACCAAAAAGAAGTTAGTGGATAGACAATCTCATATATAATGGCATGTAGCTAGATTATCCTAAGCCACCAATGTGGGATGATTTGTGCATATTAGCTATACCAGATAAAGATCAACATAGTCAAGCTGCAAATCATTCAAAGTTCTGCTCAAAGCCAATGGCACATCATCTGGAGCATGGTCCGAACACCTGAAGAACTCTGCTTTAATTTGATTCAGAATAATCTCGAATAGTCTATAATCCAACAGCTACTGATAAATAAAAGAGAAGGATAAAATCTCACGGACCAGAGTTTAGAAGTAATCCATAACTCCTCACGCCTCACCACACCGCTTCCAAATAGCTTCTTTAAGGTATCACCAATCTGGAACAATCTTGTTTTTAAATCATAAGAAATCATGGAATAATTATGCTCTCATCAGAGATAATTAGAGCATCCAAAAGTTACGGTATCAAGCAATATAAGAAACCACTCCGGCGAAAAGAATACCTCCTTCTCGTTGCCATATAACGGGGAGCAATCAATATGCCGGTATCCTGCCTGCATTCAAGATGTTACATTAAAAATGAAAAAAAAAAAAAAAAAACAAGCAAAGTAGAAACCGTATCAATCCGATGAATATGACCTTAATCGCCGCGGTGATGGCCTCACCAACCTCTCCGGGAGCAGCCTGGTAGGTTCCGAGCCCAACCGACGGTATTCTGGCGCCGGTGTTAAGCTTGAAAAAACGAATCGATTCCTCCATTCAAAATTCACAGTGATTACTCCGCACAAATCGTCTGTTTTCTCCGCACAGTGATACGCCACGAATGAAAGCCCTAGATCATATATATGTCCCACTTTCCTAAAATGAAAATATGCCCTTTTTTTTAAAGGCTAAATTGACACAAGAGAATTTTGTAGTTGTGAAAAGAATTTGACAATAGTAAAATATTGTAATATTTTATGATAAAAAATATATATTTAATATTATAAAATTAGGAATAGTGTCAAAAGTAAAATGCTTGTGTATTCATATTCTAATTTAATTTTTATTTTAGTATAAAAGTAAAGAACTTCTAATGTGTTTACAATCTATATATTATAAAAATATATATGGCTAGTTACTTGTGTTTATCTTATAAATATAATATTTATATTAGACTTAGAAAATTTGTCTTAATAATATAAAATATAATATTTTTGTGTTAAATTAAATTTTTTGTAAATAAATATAATATATATATTATATTTTTTAGAATACTTATGAAGAACAGTCTTAATAAATAATTATTGGGCGAACACCGGTTTTCTTAATACAAAAAATATCATATTATATCAATATATATTAACACAATATACTATATTGATGCTATTTCGATACAACATATGTCTTATGGAAAATTTTTATATGCATAATTCTACATCAATATTAGATCTAAATTTTTAGTACAGCAATTATATAATATATTAAAATTTTTTGATTAAAGTGATACATTTGTGTTCAATGTTTATAATTTATGAACATGAGAACGGGCTTGAGCCATGGTCGTGGGGCTTAGTGTTTGATAATTGTTTGGCGATATATAGTTTCAAAAAAAGTGAAGTTCCATCTAATTAATAATTGTAACATTGTTATATTCCCTCGTTCTCATTGAAAGGTTACCATTTTTCATTTTTGTCGTAAAAAAATAAAATTATCATTTTCTAATTTAGTAATTATACTACCTACTTAACATAATAAATACATTTTCAACTTATAATATATTACACAAATGCTATTATTTTTATATTACACCATACTAACAGGGTATTTTTGTATTTTTTATTACAATCTAATATAATACTAATATTAAAAAATCTACGTGTAAAAAGCAAACGCCACCCTTCCAACGGGACGGAGGGAGTATTTGTTTTGGATAAAAAGAAATTTTTCTTAATTGCCTTTTATCAATTTTTTCTTTTTGTTTTTTGTTTTCTCGCGGTTTATTGTGTACACTTACAATTTCCTCCACGGAAGGACTATTAATTAAGAGTGTGTTTGTTTGGGGGTTTGAATTTTGAGTTGAGATTTGAATAGTAAAAATTTTGAATTTGAATAGTTGTATGATGTAATATAAATAGGTGTTGATGTGACGTTTTGAATGTAAAATTGATTTTTAATATAATATAAAAAATGAAAAATAGGTGTTTGATTTGATGTTTTGAGGGGAGAAAATTGGATGAATAATGGGATTAAAATCCAATCGCACAAACAAACACACCCTTAAGTGAGTGTGAGTGATTGGCAGTGAGATTCAATCTATCTAATTTTGTTACCAAATTTCAATGTGACCGTTGACCAGCTCTTAGCTTGTTAGGACAGCACAAACCATCGTTCAATCCTGTGTGAGTTAATCATCCATTTTATTACATATAGGGTGTGTTTGTTCGAGGGATTGAACTTTTTTTTCATTATTTATTTAATTTTTTTTCCCAAAAATATCAAATCAAACATTTATTTTTTATATTATATTAAAAATCAATTTTACATTCAAAACATCACATCAACGTCTATTTATATCACATTATACAACACTATTGAAATTCAAATTTTTTACTATTCAAATTTCAACTCAAAATTCATTGCCCCAAACAAACACACCCTATATAGTGTATTTAAATTATATTTAATGATTATTTTAATTGATTTTTTTTTATTACTTTCTCTCGTCGCGAACCAATGTTCTACTTTTCTATTTACGACGTTCAACAACTATTGTCCTATTTTTTTTTTTTAAACACAAATTTTATATTTTAATCCTCCGTTCATTTATTAATTTTAATATCTACCATACGATTAAGGACAAATTTATCAATTCATAACAAAAAAACAATCACCTAAAAAACCGTACAAATATACTTTAGGACAATAGAAATTGGACGGAGGTAGTATTATTTTACAACAATAAAATAAATAAAAAATACAAACAATCTATATCGTTTCAATAGGAAACAAGTCAAATGAAACAAGACGAATATATTTTATATTTCAATTAAATTTTAGGATAAGATGCAGATCTACAAAGGGATGTTCCATTAATAATCTCAATTTTATACCTAATAATATTGACTACACTATCTTAAATATATATATAATTGTGTTGGAACACCCAACACATATTCAACAATAACAATTCCTTGTCGGGATGATCAGGTGGCATGAGGATAAATTTTACCAATTCAAATCCAGACACACATATAGATGAAAATAATAACAATAGTAATTGTAATTGAGACTAAATGAACATATTATTGACAAAAATAAAATAAAATAAAATGAAGTACTAAACCAGCGGCCCAATTTTCTCTAGATGCATGGTATGGGGATTATATATTACCCATAGTATATCTATAACTACTATGGGCGTCATCGAAATTGCAAATAATAATGAGTGCAAAGTGCCAACTTGCCTTAGCGTTGAAAATTATTGCCACCCACCTGCAAGTACTTACTATTATTATTGCAGTACCATGTCGAATTTTAAAAAAAAGGACAAACCCAGTGTCCTTTTCAAGACATCATACGATGGACTTGTTCATACACATTTATCGATCATTTAATGATATATAGTCAATATCTGCTTTATTACAGATGAACACTGCGAAGCTTGCATGGTTTACACTTTTAATTTTATCCACACCACATGAATTTAAATTTCATTGATCTTCTTCAAACATTATTCACAATTTCAGGCCTTGATCGATCACACAAATATACATAATGATATCGAATGTGGACCCTGTGTTGCATGGTTTTCCACAACGATTCATGGTTCTTACACAAACCAAATTAAACACTAGAAATCATGATACACATATATAAAGGAGACTTTATTCTTACAACAATTCAACGACGTAATTAACCACCTGGTTTGGGTCGAAATCGCCCTTTGCCCTTCGCCCTAATTACGTACTTCTTGCAACGAATTCATATATATATATATATCTGCTCCGAAACGACGTCGTTTCGATGCGGCAATTCTCACTTGACAGCTCGACACGAAGTCAGGAGATGCCGATGCCCTCCGGGAGACTGAACACCGCCGGCCGACCGACTCGGCGAGCACGCGGCGGCGAAGCTATAATCCGGCCGCCGGCGGAGCTGAACGTCGGAAGCTGAAAACCGCCCGGAGTCGCCGGGAAGTCTGACGTACGAAGCCGACGGCGAATCGTTCAGCCACGCCGCCGGCCCTATGATCCCCGCCGCCTCCCCTCCATTTTTGTACTGCATAATTGCTCTGTACACGTATGGAATCAATCCCTCCATGTCTGTCGCTCTTCCCCTACCTCGTCACTCTGCGTGTTCGAATTTTTCGAATAGGGTCAGTCGATTAAAAAGGGATGGGGGTTTGATGACGTGGCGTAATGAACCGGGTTGGAGCTTAGCTGTTTACGCTAAGATAGCTGACATTAAGCATCCGATCCACACCGTTGTGTCAAATGGGCCCCGTTAAAATCAACGGCTGGGATCATATCCAGTGGCGTAACGGGAGTGGTGGGAAAATTACAGTAGCGCACGAACCATTGAAAACAAATCCTTGAAAATTCTGTCTTAACTACATTCCATTTAATTATTACATCCCTTACCAAACCTCATTAAAATATTTGATTTAAATTACTTGATTAAGCTCTGTCCCAGGTGGATTTAATCCTTGTTATTAATCATTTATACTTTTGTTGGTTTTACAATGCTGCCAAGACAAGACCCTTCTGGTGTGCATCACTTTCTTTAACAAAATAATAATAATCCCATCATAATTTGATTATAATAATTAACACTACAGTTTCTTCTTACATTAGGTCATTACCTTCAACTTTTCTTATCTTATCCATAATATTTAATCAAGATTAGAATGGGTTAGATGGTGTGTAGGTTTTCTTCACAAAGACTCACATATGTGATGCTGAAATTTATTTTATTATTATTATTATTATTATTACGGACATGTATGCACGCATCACTTTAAAATTAAAAATTTCCTACAGCGTGATTTTTCTGGTCAGCCAGCTTACTGATTAATAGCTGAACTGTAGCTTTTGTAATAGGGATTTTATTATTTATATTGATTTTTTTTATAGATGACAAGTCATGAATTGGAATAATGATTATGAATAAGAATTGGGTGGTGTTCGTCTCCAACAAGAAAGTTTTAGGACAATGAGTTTTTACCTAAAGATTGATAATATCATTATTGAAACTTGTATTAATTTGCCTTGCTTGGAAATATAATACGTTTATTGTTTGATGAAACGAAAAGGCGTATTTGGAAAGTGATGTCTTCTTACAAATTGCATGGGTGACTGACTGGCTAACAGTTAACAGTTTGGGTATTGAAATTATGAAAGAGGATCAAATGCTCAAGAAAATTGTTTCAGAAATTAATTATCTTAATTTATATAATTAAATATATAATTAAATTTTAGTTATTCAGCATCGTGCTTAAATTACTTTTTTAGCACCGGATTCATGCTGTTGAATTATATACTTTCGTATTTTATCGACACTATGTTATATATATGGACAATATATCGTTTATGATATCATAAAAATTAATAATACAGGACAATAGTTCAATTATCATTGTTTGTTTTTTTTTTTAAAAAAAATTTCAATATATTTTTTTCAAAAACATTAATATACTATACACATTATTATATTTATATTATATTGTCTACACAATTCTTTGTACCCACTTTAAATATTTTTCATTTTCAAACCAAAACACAAACAAACACACCCTGCATGTCTCGAGAAATAATTAAAATCAGACATCCTAAATTCAGCTATGTTTATAGATATATATTCTCAAAATATTTTTGATAAGATTTATTGATAGTAACTTTTATTATTTTTTCATATGTATAATATTTAACATCTATTTATATCATTTCAAATATATATCTATTATTTATTTATTTATTTTTCAAAACAATTAGAACTCCAAAGCATTTTCAATTTATATCTTAAACACAGCTGTAGGTTTTATAAATTACAATAAGGATTACTTAATTCACAAAAATGAACACACATTACTCATAGTGGTCAATGCTTATCCAATAAATTAAGACAAGGTAAAATAAAATAATTAATAATAACACGAATTTATGGCTAATGAAATTTCAATATAGGAATATATATATATATATATATATTTTTTATTATTTTTATAAAGAAAATAGAAGTGTTTCTTTCGAAGACAAGTTTCTCCTATAAATATTATTTTGTAAGATAGCATTAAAAATATGAGGAATTCGAGCATAATATATATATGTTTCGTAAGTAAACTTTGTTACTGTAATTATTGAATCATCTTTTAAAAACTAATTTCAGTCACGCTCAACAATATTAGTTAATTCTGGTGGCTTCAATTGTGGCAGAGAAATAAAATACAATGGGATGTTGTATGAAAATCGGATTAAATTAAGATTAAATAAAATACAATATTAATTCCAATTTTAATTAATTATTTTTCTGAGAGACTAATTTCATTTCATGATATTCATAAATCATACCTACAGCAGCTTCAATTAATTAATAGTACATAAATATATATACTACCTTTGAGAGCACCCACTCCATTAGAGATTGATTTGTTCAAAGCAATGAAGTCACGCCTTCCATCACTTGTCGTATATATCTGTATCTTAATCGCCACGTAGTTGATCACATTTATTTTATTTTTATTATATATAAAAAAAATTAATCCCAACGCGCTTCTCATTCAGAAGTAAATAAAAAACCTCATCAGCCTATAGGTCTGATTCTTACTTATTCTTAAATTGAAATATTTCTCTCTCAACCAAAGACAAGTACTCTTATTGGGCTGTCTGAGGGAACTCTCTGTTATAAATACTTATAATACAGTAACCTTTTAATTATAACTAAATAATAATAATAATAATTAATTAATTTTGTGTATCTTGACAAACCACTTGGCGTCCTATTGAGTATTTGAGTCGATTCCGACCTGGACCTCCATGGGGGTAACATCGTAAACTCCGAAAGCTAACAAGAAGAGTACTATATGAGATATATTGCATGGCTGCATGCATGGCAGCAACTGGGCATTTTCTTAATCCATGGAAAGATATGTTTTGTCTCCTACAGCCAGACATCAATCTTGTTACTATCCTATGTATGGATTAAGGATTCATCTTTTCAATGCTCCCAATTGGCATCAGTTACTCAATCAAAACATGAACATCACCAAAATGCAATAAGGAGACAACAATTTTGGATCAAACATTTCATTAAGTACTAATCAATACTTCCTTCCTGCTAGAGCCCCCCTGCTGTAAATCCTCCATCCACATAAATAACCTGCCCTGTTACATAAGAAGCCGCCGGCATGCAAATAAACGCAACCATCGATGAAATCTCCTCTGGCTCAGCTATTCGCCCCAACGGATTACGCGTCATTAGTGGAGCAAACATTTCCATAATTGCCGGATCGATATCCTCCTAAACACAGTTCAGATACATTACATTACTAATAATTGTAAATTAAGAAGGTGGATCATATATATGTTATTTATCACATGTACAGGCTTCACTAAGGTTGTTCTAACGCCAGCTGGAGCCACCGTATTTACGCGAATATTGTCCTTTGCCCATTCACATGCCAAATTCTTTGTTAGCTGGTTGATTGCTCCTGAAAATTACTCGAGAAAATGCATCAAACTAACTGCATACAAATAGGAATCTAATCAAGCACATTGATCATAAAACTAAGTTTGATTTTGGTCACAGGATGTAAGAATGACCTTTAGAAGCAGCATAAGCAGAAAGAGCAGGCAGAGCAATTCCACCAGCAATAGAAGATATGAAGACAATATTCGCGGTTTCAGACGCTTTGAGCAAAGGATAAGCAAGCTGGCAGATATGATACGGCGCCTCCAAGTTCGTCTCCATTATCTGCGAATACTCTTTCACCGTGTAATCGCACGCCTGTCTCAATATACTTATTCCAGCATTGTTCACCTGAAGATTGTTGTAAGAATATACAATGTGTAATTAATAACGCAATTTTCGATTTAACTTTTAAATGAAATGATCATTTAACATAGAATTAGAGTATGATGTTCAAGTTCCACAGAGTGAGTGAGGCCATGGAGAAGACAACAAGATAGTGATCATCATCAAGCCACCAGAATTTTATGTCTTGAAAAAAATTTGGATGCAGTTTTTCACAAGTTTGTTACACTTGCCTCCAAATTTTATTCAGTTTTTTTTTTGTGGTCCCCAATAATTCCGACTTTCAGACAAACATATACTATAGTTACACCTATCAATGGAGATAAGGGAAAACAGACAATGAAGTAAAGTGTAATGAATGAATTGGGAGCTACGACTTACGAGGATGTTAAGCTTTCCATCGAAGGCTATGGAGACACGGCGGATTAGGTCTTCCCTCTGTTCTCTAGAGGACAAGTCGCAGGCCGAACCTTTAACCTTAAATCCTTTCTCTTCCCATTCCTTGAGTCGTTCGCTGAGCTCCGCCGCGTTCCGCGAGCACGTGTACACCGTCGCGCCGAATACCGCAAGCTCTTCTACTATGGCGAATCTGGTTTCGATTGTTGTCCAAAAACAGACAAATAAATTAACACTATACACTATACAGCACTGTAATAATCAACAGACAATTTTCAAATTAGCCGTAATATATATAGATACCCTATGCCTTTGGTGCCGCCGGTGACGAGAGCTGTGGTTCCCTGGAGACTCCATCTTTGCAGCTTGCTCTGCTGAGCTTCTTTCGCCATTGTCCTGAATCTGCAACAACCTCGTAAATATGTATGTGTAAGGAAACTAGGGGGTGCTCTATATATAGAGACATGAAGAAATGATGGATGATTTCATTCGTAGATAAGGTGTCTGATGATCCAATCCATGGCCTGCCCACTCAGACGGACGTACGCCTGCCAATTTTTAGACATATTGTAATAGACAATTCCCACGTATCTTGTAATTATGGTCAATTTAAATGTATGGAGGGATCATATGCCTATATAATTATTAGGGTGGCTCGTATATATATATATATATATATATTCTCTATTTGAATGGCGAAAAACATGTGACGACACTTCTGCTAATATTCTACGTTACGGCGGAATTATATTTCTATATTTATTTTATTTTATTAATAGCATACATACGTCTCGAATCTTTCTTGCCTATGTAATAGATATCTGGTGGGATTAGGCTCCCTTTATATATACATGCATATATTTTTTATATCCATGCAATATATAGTATTTTTCCATTAAAAAAAATAATAATAATAACTGGGAATTATTAATTTGACCCAGTCTGGAATATAAATATTTTTCTGGGTTTGAAAGATAATTGGGCCATTACTTTATGAAAATATGAACCTAAAATTAGTGGGCTAAATAAGAGCCGTATTAGGCCCACAATAATAATAATAATAATAATACCAATTATTTTTAACCTTGACGTAATATTATTATCCATTTCACCTAAATTTGTCGTGTTTCAGTCTCATTACACATTGTTTGCAGAAATAATATAATATACATAACCAACAGAATAATCATTATTCCACTTACGTTAACTATTTACCGACAAATAGCTCCCGATCCTTTAAAATCTTTTGAGCTGACGTAGGATACAATAAATAATAATAATAATTGTAGTATTTAATTTTAATAAACTCTAATAAGGGCTGATTTTCAATACACGACTGCTAAAATCAACCGCCAGTGTCACCTCATATAATTTATATATAATATAATATAGTATATCCAAAATTATTGAAATCTTGTCCGATCCCATGCCAAAACTTCCATAATAAATGTACGTCGTCTTGGTTGTTTGTACATTGATTAATACAAAAATCAATTAATTGCTTGCTGATTGAGACTCACACTATCTTTTCATAAAATAAGCTTTTTTCTACTGTCTTTTTGTCTCAACTTTCTACGCCAATTGCCAATGCCTTGTGAAAACAAGAAACACAAGCTTGATTCAGGGCATTTGTGGGGCCCAACCTTACATTCTTAATTTCATCAATTAATCTAATTGCATTATTAAAACAATTATATACTACTAAATCATATGAATGAATCAAGAATGGGAAGAATTATTCAAAATATTTAATGGGATATTTAAAATTAGCTGCCGACTGCACAAAACATGGATGAGGGCAATAATTGTTCCTCCACGAACATAATAACACTGCTAAAAACAATGCTGCTCAATATAAGTATTTATTAATGAACTAATTAATTACATACCCTCTGCAGTGATAATAGTTATATTAATTTAATGTTATTGCAAAGACTTGTTTGACTTTGACCCAATGACCAGACAGGCAGGTCACACAACTCGTAATCCAAATTAAGCTAATTGTCAGTCCTTGAAAACTAATTTTTTTTTTTTTTTACGAGTGTGTGTGTGTGTGTGAATTGAATAATTCTTAATTGAGTATATTAAAATTCCAATAGAAGACCATTCAAGAATTCCAGATGCATTTTCCCCAAATATATGCTTAAGTTACGCAGTGATGGAATTTCTAAGGAACCACAAGAGTCTCCCCTTGGCCCACTCACCAAATATATATATATATATATATATATACATACAATATTAATATAATGGTGTCCTGAGGAGTGACTGTCCGTAGAGAAACCCTTAACTAAAAAACAAACATTGGCTGCATGAAAAAATTGAAACAACAAATATACGGCTATGGCCACACTCCATCAACCATTATACCACTTGGAATAATACCTCTTCCATTTTCACAATCTGACCAATATTCAATATTATTGAAATTAATCAAGATTGCCGTATAGTCAAACCCCTGGATTGCTAATTTAGTCAGCTTCTTTGAATGGATCAAGCAAGAAGATATCGTGCACGGTCTCCCAGGATGATCAACCCTCCTCATGTTCTTACATCCTCAGCTGCCGCCGCCGCCATGAATCGGCCGTACAGTGATTCTTCGTGGGAAGAACGAGCTTTTGCAGAAGATGCTGCACGAACTGCTCAAGGATGCGTATGGCCTCCCAGATCTTATACTTGCACTTTCTGCAAAAGGGAATTCAGGTCTGCTCAGGCTTTGGGAGGCCATATGAATGTCCACCGGAGAGATCGAGCTAGGCTCAAACAATTCCCAATCTCCGACGATCAATTTCCATGGAATACCACTAACCCTAAACTTTCCGACGATTCTGAGTCGTGGGTTTCTCTTTCACCCCCATCTAACCTAACTAGGGTTTCTACTTCTCCACCAGTTGTCCGGAAATTTGTCGAGGACAAGAAAGGAGATTGTCCGAGGAACGAGGATGTGGGAAGTTGCAAAAGGAGAAGAATTAATGAAGCAAAGAACTTTAGTTTCCTCCCAGGATTGAGTGCAGTTGATGATGATGATCAGACATGTTGTCTTCCCCAATCCGAGGTGCTGAAAAAGTGCTTTGCTTCGACTGAGGAACTGCAGCTGGATCTTGAGCTAAGGCTTGGATATGCTTCATAGGTATATAACCATTTCTCATATGTTAATTTACTTTAGCTAATTAAGTGTGTGTTTCGATCTGTTCGATTATCGATCGATCTAGTTAATCGTAACTCGAATTGATCATCACATGTTATGGAAGTAAGTGTAAGCATGGAGACTAAATTAAATCTTACATATTTTGTCTGGTTTTGAAAATTGAAAACATGGACTGTAGAAGAATGTGAAGAGTGAGAAAAACAATCAAGCAGAATTAATGTTCATATAATTATGAATTACTATTAATCATGTCTAATGTATGCCTTTTGTTTGTCGAATATAAGATGACAATTAATCAAGAAACCAAACATTTTTTTAACTTGCCCTAATGGTTTTTTTTTTTTTTTTCTCTCCATTAAATATAATTCTAGCTAGCTTGATCATTAATCGTCCCTTCCATTTAATTATCAAATTATATGTTATTGCTTACATGCTCGAATCATAATAATCTGCTCAAGAGATATTATACATATATATATATATATATGTGTTGTCAGGAATGACAAACAAATTAATAATTCTGTATTAATTCTTCAGTAACAGATATGCAGGGAATTACTATATTATTCTGCATGTGCACAGGTCCTTCAAATTCTGTGATTAAACATCTTTGCACTTTATCAGAAATTCGTGTAGTTTACTGAACAAGAAGACAAACCATGCATATGGAAATATCAAGTCATCTTACACCCATTTTTAACTAATTAATTAATTTTCCATATCTCCACATGTCTTCTTCTTCTTCTTCTTCAAATTAAATTAAAGAGAAGCTAGTTGTTGCTGCCCATATTGTATATTCCATTCCATATGTCAAGCTAGCCAAATGGCTTCGATGAACCCTAGAGCAATTAATTCCCTCTAGTTTACTACACCAGCATTATTTATTAGGCAATTAAAATACATATCTCTCTCGGTTCTCTCATTGAATCAGAATCTTAGGGAAAATAGATGTGTGGAATATATATATATATATATATAGGTATATAATTTTGTAATTCTGCAGGCAGAGAGTTGGTGGCTGTTTTGGAAGGATTGAGAAAAGTGAAAGAGGCTACACAGACACACTCTACATAGACTACACAAATTAAACACCAAAAAGCATGATGGAGCAACAGTCACAGGCTGACTTAAAGGGAATCTATGTTGTGTTGTATTTGACTTATCTTGTGTTCTTGGGAATTGAGATTTACAAAGAGACACAAAGCTAAATGACAAATCTTCTAATATTAATTGGGCTGAAGCTCTCAACAGATACATGCACACACACATATATATATATATATATAACACTTTCTATATGCATCCAAAAGCCCATTTTCTTGTGACAACTTATTTTCATTGTAAGAGGCGAATTCTTGTGATCTGAACTTTAGGGGTTTATATAAAAGAAATAATCTTTGGAAAGACAAAAAAAAAAAAAAAAAAAGAAAAAAAAAAGAGAGGTTAATTAACAGAATTTTCAAAAGTAGAAAGGGATTAAAAATAAAAAGTGGGTATAAATTAATTAATTAATGTGGTTAGGAAAGAAAATTAAAGAAGCAATTGATAAGTAGTCCTGAATTGAACTCACTTACTCACATGCCACATGATGTCATCTAAAACTACCACCCAACGCACGTTTCATCTTTATAATATATATGACGAATATTTATAAATATATATATATATAGTATAATTAATATATCTGTGTATTCATTTATAATAACAATAATACTTCCAAGGGCTTTTATTTCATGTACAAGGAGTAAAGTTGTAAGACTCTGTTTATATTTTTTTATAAAATATTCAATTATTTTACTATTTTTAAAATTCTTGTTTAAATAAATCCTAATGTATGACTTACTATATAATAAGAAAATTTAATTTGGAAAGTTATTATATATTTTATATTTGACATATATACAACAACATTTAAAAAAAAAAAAAAAAAGTAAATGGAGCACGTCGCAACATGAGGTTGCCTTTGCTTCTCATTCGTACACGGTGCTGCCTTTGTGACACAGCCTTTCACTCTCAGAGGTTTTCATAATTTTATATATGCAATACACATATGTTATTTAATGTCGTCTTAATTAAAACTATTTAATTATTATGCATACGTGTATTTATATATATATATATATATACATGAAATTAATTAAAATGAGTGTCTGATTCGTTTGATAAAAGCTAGCATTTGTGCCAACTTCGTTATATTGCTATAGTTGTTTTGAATTCAAAGTTTGTCTCCCGAAAAGGATGCTACTGAACAAAGTCAAATATGACCCTAGCCTTAACCTTTTCTTTTCTTTGATGGATGTATTTAAATTTCTGTAGTTTGGTGATCATAATTAGGTAAGCACGACAATGATGTACAACTACATTAAATACAAGGTTGACCTAATTTGTATGGTATAGTTATCCATGCGTGCATTTCAATGTGTACATATATGTATGAACTCTATCTAAAGTTTAACAAAATAAAAAATTATATGAACAACTGTTTGATTACTTTGATTGTTATCCTTCCCTTTGTCAATTAATTTATTATATATATATATATTATGATTAATTTTCTATCTGAGGTCTAATTAATTTATTATCTAGCTTAATATTATTATCGTTTCAATGTTCTTGGACAGGTTCCCAGGCAATGATATATATATATATATGTATATATACACTAGTTGTGATGATGAACAGGAGCAGAATATATATAAATTAGAATACCCTTTAGGGCCTTCCGAAGTGTATTTTTATAATGATCTTGGGCACGACATCCCGACACCAATCACACCTTTGACATTATATTACTTTAATTATTATAATAATTTCATTATATACTATTAATCTGTTGCTGTAACTCATACCACGCTTGAGTTATATATTTATGTCAACCGACCATTTGACTGACTTTACCATATATTTGTTATTGCTGCATATGATCTTCAATTAATTAGCTACCTAGCTCCAAGATCAAACCTAGATTACAATTTAAGACAGTCTGTGTAATATCCATACATACATACATACATACATACATACATATCATGAATGAGTATCACGCAGGTTCAGGTGAGGAAATGATGATCGTGTGGGGCGAGGAGAGTTCACCGCCGCCGGCGTCCAAGAGTACTTTCCGGTGCAGTTTCTGCAAACGAGGGTTTTCGAACGCGCAGGCATTGGGAGGTCACATGAATATCCATCGCAAGGACAGGGCAAAGCTCAAGGAATTTAATTTGGATGTTAATGGTGAAGAAGATGACAACAGCGATCCTCCATCCAAACAAAAACCACTCACTTCGAATCCCCAAATCCAAATTAAGGATGGTGAGGAAAATAACCCCATCGATTGGTTGCCCTTGCAGCTGGCTGATTCATATGCAGCAGTTGAAGGAGACCGCCATCATCATAAGGTGCAGCAGGATGAAGAAGAAGAAGAAGAAAAAGAAACAGTAGAAGACAAGAGAAAGGAGACGATGAGGTACGCCGAATTAGACCTTGAACTTCGATTAGGGCCTGAGCCTCCTCCTCACGATGCAAAGTCAAACTCCTGAGAGCTGATTGATCAGCACCCATCGATATTGCATCATATATATATATATATATAAATTATATATAGAACACACACACACACATGTGTGTGTGTTTGTAAGAAACAAAGAACCTTACTACAGATTTAATCAGCTCTACATATGTTGTCTGGATCTATACAGCAATTACAATACTTGTGCTGATTTTCTTCTTCAACGTCGGCATTTATTATTTATATGAAACCATGGATATTACTGCAGAACTTTTAATCCAATCTTGTTTGTTTGGTTGTTTATTTTATGCATGGATTCCATGTGGATCTTCTAAATATTTGATCTTCTTCCATAATTTTTCGAGTTTTTCAACTCTTCAAATTCTGGGGTTTTTAGATTGAAAGTGTCGAGAATTAACTGCTAAAACCATACTGTTAATGGTTAGGCTAAATTAAAAAAGTAAAGCATGCATGGATGAGCATATTCATTGCCATCTCAGGAAGCACTCATTCTTTCAATTAAATCAGCAGAACAATTTAATCATTAGTTTCTGCATCGCATTGATTTCTTAATTGATCATACAACATGGTCTTGTGGCATAAATTGTTCTTTAGTTTGTAAATATGTACTCATAAATTATTACAAGCAAACTATATTTGAGACCCTGTTTTAGGAGATTTTGATAAAAATATCTTTTAGGTTTTTATGTTTCATAAGCTCTTTTATAACTGTGTGATATATTTTTTAACGAAAAACTTAAAAAGATAAAAAGTTATATTTAATGTCATCGAAAAAAAAAATAATAATAAATTTAATATGTTATTTTTTGAAAAAAAATTAAATAGTATCAAAATTTTGAAATATTGTGTAACAAAAAAAAAAAAAAAAAGCCTAATATTAGTACTTATAATAAAACAGCAAAGAGACCAAATGTTCAATTGAGTTATTTATTTTCAAAATATAAAGATTTGGGGTAAACATTCTCAATATACTTTATACCCCACCCATTGTATATTTTTATTCAAAATTTTTAATATTTTTAAAACATCCAAATGTATAAACAAAATGAATTAATATTAAAAAAATAAATTAATATCAACTAACAATGACACACATGGTTCGCCTAGTCCGATTTTTCCCTCAAGCCTGACTTGTAGGATATTAAGTGCGACTGCAGATTCTCGTATCATCAAAATAATGCAACTAATTATAGCTTCTAAAATGTGGAGCAATGAATTCACAAATTGCCTTTTTATTACATTTTAATTCTATCTGTTTTCTATTCTTTCTGAATCAATGAAATCAATCCACATTAGTAAAATTTAATTTTGTCATAAATTTTCAAGACAGTTGTTTTGTTATATTATGTTTAATTATTTTTAAGTTTTAATACTATTTATTTACGATAATTTTTCAAAAAAGAAATTATATTAAATATTTATTTTATTTAAAATTTATTTTTAATACAAAATATTATAATTATTACTTATTTATATAATATCAAATATTTATTTTTTTAAAAATAAAATTTCCAAGCCTAATGTATTTTCGTACATATAATTTGTTAAGCGATGAATCAACTGAGTCAGAGTTGGTACGGACGCGTGCATCGGTTTGAACCAAAGTCGTCAGTATGTGACACTTAAAAATGAAAGCACGCTTTTATTTTGCACCTTCGAATCGCGTTATTGTCGAAAGGTAGGACTTTATTTATTTTTATTTTTACTTTTTCCTTTTTAATATTTGGTTTGCAGGGGTTACTTAAATCGTCATTTCGATCGAGCAACGGAGGTGAAAATGCCGGTGAGAGTGGTGGAAGCGTCGTCTCCATCCGAAGTTCCAGGTATTAGGTTTGCTTTCCGATACTTGGCTGTATTCCTGCAGTGCTTGCTTGTATTTTCTTCTAGTTCTGTTTGGCCGTGGCCTTTTCGTTGGGAATGGAAACCGTGCGTGTGCCAATCTTCCTTTACGGTTGCAGAAATTATTTTTGGAAGCTGTTTGGGCAATTGCGATCCTTATTATTATTTTTTTTTATCAAAACATATTGTGCGTGGAATCCTGGGGATTGAAGTTGCCTTAGGGTGTAAAAGTTGAATGAAATTCAGAATCTTAATGGAGTAGATTGCCACTAGAGCAGTTATTAAGTTCTTTCTTATTGCTTATTGAAAGTTTAAAGATGAGGCTGTGTTATTTAAGGCTGTCAAGTTATTGTCTTACAGAATTGTTGCTTTCTGAACTGTTGAAGGTACAATTCCGGAAAACACTCTACCTCAGCCTTGTACACTGTTAAGTGTGGGTCAGGTGATTTCCTACCCTCGTCGTTGTACCTTATGTAACTTGTCTACATTGAATTTAGCAATGGTAACTTTGATTATTGATCTTTTCTCCTTTGGTAATTTTCCTAACTGTGAAACTTTCTGTTGGTAATCATTATAGAATTTCCAGCCAAAACATTTGCACCTTTGAGGTCTGGACTACTTTGATTATATGTTGTGATATGGGAAGTTTTCAAAATTATATTGGTAAATTCGAAAGTATCGGTGCTAAAACATTGATCCATATAATATCAAAAGTCACAGTAAAAAATTAATGTTTTCAGGCATATGTTGGTACCCAAAATCAGTAAGCAAGTTGTGACTAGTGAGCCTGATCCAGTATCTAGAAGAAAACTATAAATTGTTTCACTCTTACTCCATATAGATAAGCTAGAAAAGACAAATTTCAATACTGTGTTGTTAGTTGAAAATAAAGTTCTATTTCATGCATTATGAAGATAATACTTTCAAGTTTCAACCAAGCATAAACTAATAGTTAGGATCACTTACCTTCACAAGTGTCAGCTTGAGGGAGTGTAGTTGTAAGCTCCAAATTTACCTTGTTTAAGGGTTATTCATGCCAAAGAAGTGTCATGCATCGTGTGCTCTGAGAAAGTTTCTCTACAGGCTTTCTCTGGGACTCAAAATGTATCGAGTTTGCAAAAAGATGAAGCATGGAGAGTAAACGTGCGCATCCAAGGTTGCGATCTTGCTCATGGATACTTGTGTGGCACAATGGAGGCCCTGAATGTTCCTATGGCAGATACACCTGTAAGAACTCCGTTATCTGATAATGGACCTTTTTGTTTGTGAAGAATATTTTTCTTTTTCTCTTTATATGGGAATAATATTGACAAACTCATCATTAAGTAGCCATCTTGGTAAAGTTGATCAATATCTGCTCTGCAATTGGTTACATAGCTACTACTTTTTGCATATTATCCTTGTTTCAGGTTGTTACTTTCTGGGAAGGGGAAATTGTCGACACCAAGAACTATACTTTCTTCACTGGGAAGTGGGGAGCAACGTATGCTTGACTAAGTCTTCTCACTTATAGCAGAAACAGAATCCCTCACATAAATTGTAAAATTTGTTTTCCCAAGTGTAATGTATTTGAAATTTACACAGCGCGGAGGATGACATTAAACACTGGACAAAGTTCCCGTCCTTTTCACCATTACAGGTATTTACTATTATCATTCTGTACTTAGGTCTCTACATATGCCAACTCTACATTCTGTTCTTACTTCTTACCAGAGCCAAGTGGAAGCAGATGGTGGGAAATCATTGGACTTGAGTAACTACCCTTACATATTTATGGTGATAACCTGAATCTTACTATTCCCTGATCTACTCTAAGTTCGTACACAGGGTATATGATTCTTGTCTTCCATTAATCTCACAGAGGTGGAAAGAGCAGTATTTTGTGAATGTCGGAACAGACTGTGGGCTCACAATTGCTGGATTTTATTATGTTTGCTTCTCCTGTAATGATGGTTCCATCAATGGCTTCTACTATGATCCTAACAGCAGGTATACTCTTTTTGCTTGAAAATTCCGTATATTCTAAATATTTATTCTCCATTGCATTGTCTTTAGTTTGTGTTTGTGTTCGTTCATTCACAAGAACTGATCTTGATATGTGAAAATTCTTGCAGCCCCTTCCAAAAACTGGAATTAAAGTCCACTGATGATGGAAGATCTGGATTCAGTTTCTCCACTTATGAGTTGCAATAATTTGATATCAGCCATGCCCAAGCAGCTTGGTTCACATTTTTTTAATATCAACAACTTATTGGCTTAATTTGAGAGACATGGGAGGCTTATCAAATCCCCAAATGTACCTTGAGTCTTTTAAGTTTGCAGCACTGTTTTTTTTTTATTAATTTGTTGTTGTTGATGTGAATATATATATATTCCAGTTATCCAATTAATCTAGGCTTGGTTTAGATATAAAGTAAGAAAATTTTGAGGAATAATAAAATATTGGATATTTGATGAAAAATTCACTTTGCTACAAACTGAACACATGCATATATCAACCGTTGTATTTATGATTGGATTGAAAATTGATATTGTTTTTTTGATGATTTTGAATTAGTAACAATTTATGTTCTATAAATTGGATTTTGATATAGCGAGTTTATGCAAATGAATCCACAGCCGCAGACTAAATGCCAAAAATATCACAATTTTGACCATGTTCAGATCAAAACCCATTCATTGTATATACGTAAATTTACAATATAATTTTCTTGGAGTTATAAGTTATTTCAATACAAGTTTTCATATCACTGTAATGTTTTACTAAGACAATTTTTTTTTTTTTAATATTTGTTAAAATATGTGAAATAAAGGTTTGTTTATTTTGAATCTGTACTTTACTTTTCAGGTGAAATAATAGTTTAGATGTGAGTTTTTATTTTTTATTTTGTACTGAAAATTGTTCTATTTTTATATGAAATCATTTAAAAAAGGACTTCTTTTAAGTTCATAAATTTGAAGATTTTTTATACAAATATAATTTTAAAAAAACAATCATAAAATATTTTCCATACTTTAAAATGTAATATTAAATAGATGTTCAGAATTATTATATATAAAAAAAAGAAGTAAAAAAGAACATTATAATTGTAATATTTAGAGAATGATTAAAATATGTTACAACCATTTGATAAAATTTTATACACATCATCAAATATCTAAAATATTAAAAATTTTATAAAAGAAAAGTTTAGACTAGTAAATTAAAATAGTTATACAGTTTTATATGATATATTACAATAATTATAAATTTATCTCAGAGCTCACAGTTAGTTTCATTAGTAAATTGTTGTAGAGGAATTTTCACAGTTGCTTGAACTATTTAACATATTTCATTGCATTTTTTTGGCTGGGGAGGAATCCAATAACCTGCCATGGAAATTATTACACCAAGTTTCACTCGTCGTTGGATTGATGTTAAGGGGAGGAACTACTTAATTATTTACTACAGGTGATGACATTCATCCAGAGATGGATCAGATTTCAGCAATGGTTGATCTGTTAGCCTATGGCATATCTAAGCAGTATGCAACGCCGGAGGGGCTTCCCATTGCTCGGAATGTAACACACTATGGTTGGGAGAGCTAGTTCTATTGTAATATAAATTCAAAAAAATAAATCAGTTAAATATAAAAATAATTATAAAAATATTATGTATAATAAAACAGTTAATAATAAAAGTAATAAATGAAATAAATAATAAACTGTAAACTGTAATTAAAAAAAATAATAATCTTAAAATTCTAAGATAGCAGAAATTCACAAAAAGTGAGGTTCATATTAAAGTTTTATATATATATATATATATATGATATGATATGATATCAATTTTATTAGTAATTTATAAAACAAATAATAACAATATACTCTAAAAGCAATTTTGTTTTTTTCTTTTTTTTTTTTTTTTTTACTTTTTATCAAAATTATAACTAATTTATATATATAATTAATAACAAAAATATTAAAATCTCTTACACTTCCAATCAATAAAATATTATTCATTTTTAAGTATTTTTGAAATGGGAAAGGGGATATAATAAACAATAAAAACTAAAAAAATAAAAATAAAAATATATTATCTAAAGAAAATACTATTATAACAATAAAATTATCTAAAATCATTTTATACAAAATTGTAAAAAGCTACAAAATGGAGAGTATTCCGGTACCATTCTTAAGTTTTGATAATGTTTTGTCCCATTTAAAATTATAGGTTCAAACTTTCGACTTTTTCAAATATTGTTCACATAGGTTGCCTAGTAATTAAGCTAGGCCGAAAATTTATTAGATTCAATCAATTAAATAAAATTTAAATAACTATGTTATTATATACCTTAATATAATTTTATCAAATTGGATAATTAGGAATACAAAGAAAAAAAAAGAAGAGTAACCAGAGTTTTGTTGAGATTTTTATCGTATATTAATTGATTTAAAAATTTTATTCTATTTGAAAAATCTTTGAAGGACTTTCACACACAATATTTAAAATAATTAACAAAAAAATAACTTTTATTTAATATTTCAAAAATAATATTAATTTTAAAAGTAATTAAACTTAATTTCAAATTATATATATAATTCAATATATAAATTTATTTACTGATATTATATAAAAATATTTTATAAAACAATAATATTGTATAACATATATTTAAATTTATTAAAGAAATAAAATAAGTCTATTATATAATTGGGCCCACAAAGATGACATTTCTCGTGCAGATCACGCAATCGGTTACTGCAGTGAAAAAATAGAAACAAAACAAACCACAATTGTGAAGTTGGGCTGAAGACAAAATATCTTCTCCATTCCCATCACAGCATTTACCCCTCTTCATGAGGGACGTGTCTCCTTTTTTATGTCTCATGATCTATCTAACGTCTCCACCCCTCAACTCCCTCAACCCACCCACGCACCCATCCAATCACCAACTACATATATTCATCTCCCATGCACACTGTATACTCACAAATTCACCAATCATTGTTTCATCATTCCCAATACAGCAGTACTTTGCTGTAATATAGAATTTTTTTGCAGTACTGTGCCGAAGATGGAAAGCCTATTGTGCAACGAAGTCTGGCTAATGAGCCCTAACGCCATGGGAGAAAGTGACGAATTAGGAGAGGAAGTTCCCGTTTCAGTGTTTGCTTCCGAACAAGAATGTGAACAAGTTGTGAGAAATATTTTAGATAAAGAGACAAAGTACACGCCGGAATCGGGATACTTGGAGAGTCTTCTCACGAATGATTTGATGCGCAGTTGCAGGTTCAAAGCAGTTAATTGGCTTGTTGAGGTAGAATCAACCATTAATTTTAATAATCAATCTGCAGGTTTTGTTGGTTACTTTAGTTTATTTAATTTTACGTTCATGATTTATGCAGTCTAGGAAGAGATTGGATCTTTCGCTTGGAACTGTTTTTATCGCCGTGAATTGTCTGGACAGATTCGCCTCACTTCCTCGATGCAAAGTAAGAATCTAGGTTGGCACTGAAAAAATTAATATTTGCGTGTGCTTCAAATTCAAGAACAGTTACACTAATTATTCAACAATGTCAGGGATGGAAAGATTGGATGTTTGAATTGCTGTCGATTGCCTGTTTATCTGTGGCGTCGAAATTCAATGAAACTGATGTTCTCTCGTTGCGAGAATTCCAGGTGAGTGACGCCTAAGATTGTTATTTAGGTTTTTAATTTGTTGCCTTGAAATTGGGGTTTCTTGTGACTGTGTGCGGATTTTTAACCCTATAAACGATTTTATTGATTGATGATTTATTTTGATCGGGATTTTTCTTTGTTATTTTAATTGCACAGGGAAATGGTTTGCTTCACTCCTTTGCTCCCAGTCTGATTCAGCGAATGGAGTTGACACTCTTGAAGGGTTTAGGGTGGAGGCTGGCATCAACAACCTCATTTTCTTACTTGGAGTTACTGATTAATGATGATTTGAATAAAACCCTTGTGATGGATTCAAGATATGGAAGAGTTACTGAACTCCTAATCAATGTGTTGTTAGGTATGCATCACATTGTTTATGCATTTAGTATTATTGTGTGTGTGTGTCTATATATATATATATATATATCTGTGTAACTGATCATAACTTGAAAATGCAGACCCTAAATTCTTAGAATTCCGTCCACACTTTATTGCCATATCTGCAGTCAAATGCGTGTTTGGAGATGTGCTTCATCCAACATTTGATACTTCAGTCTTTGCATTTCTAAACAATCTTGTGTCTCAAAACCAGGTGAGTTAATAATTTTATGAATTGTCTGCCTGATCAAGCTTTGATTCCTAATAAACAAACCCTATATATTGTCCCCAGGATGATTTCTGCAAGTGCCAAAGGGCCATGGAGAAGCTGCAGGATCAAAACATCTTAGCTCCTGGGAATTCTTGGAACGATCCATCAAGTCCGGTCACAGTATTGTTGGAGGAGGAGTGGTTCAATATCTGCTCGACTGACTCCAGATCAAGTAAAAAGAGAGAGAGAAGAACAATAATATGTGATTTGAATTAAGATTCTTTACATTGAATATGCCAATTGTGTTGCTGTGGTATTGTAGGAATAAGATTCATTAACTGTGTTTTGTTGTTGTTGGAATCCAACCACATAATCAATTATCACCATTTGTGGCTGAAAACCAGGCTGGATTAACATTTCTATGAGTATATATAAATATTTGACAAATTGGAAAAACATGGTTCTTTTGATAGGTTCAATTAATGATTCTATTCTGCTACTGATACAAGGAAAATATCAAAACTGACCATCATATGGATGGGTAAATTATTACAAACATGGCATAAGCTTATGATCTTAACTAAGTACACCAGTATATTGTACACGAAACTAGACAACCCGGCAAATTCGAGTGTCTATAACAGGCAACCTTGGGGATGACTCCGACAGTTCCAGAGCTTCTCCAAGTGACATCCATTGGTCTCCCCAAGCTGTTTCTGCCCACTTTTTCAATTTTTCGCCTTCGCCTTTTCTATTTTGTTGCACCAGTAGTGTTTCAGCATACCCACCTTAATAAAAACTTTAATGTATTAGCCCGCGCAAGAATGTTGTTGTGTCATAAAAGCCAAAGGGTCAGATGGCCAGGCAGGATGAAGTCGCCTGTCTTTAACAGCTAACACATCATAAATAAGGAAACTAATGAGCTGATGTTTGAAATTTACCTCTTGCCAAGGCAATTATATCTTTTCTGTAACCGTATTCACTCTTACCTAACAGTAAGAAAAAAAAATAAAAAAATGAGACAAATATGCCGACAATTCGAAAACATAAGAAATAGAAACATTACATGTTATTTCTTACCATCTATCTCCAAGACAGGGGCCTTGAGCAGTTCAAGTGCCTTTCTAAAAAGACCCTGTAATCGAGAAGCCATAAGGAACATTAGTGACAATTTTCAGAGCACTGTAAATAGAATGAGGTTCCATCTTCGATGAGAAAGTGACTTGAGCTTCTATACAGTATATTACATGAAATTTGGCTGTTGTTATATGTATGATTATGACTAATTCTTTACATGAGGGAGGAAATTAGACGATTTTTAGACAGGTTAGATGTTCTGTATTGGTTGCTGAAAGTAAGATGTTTCTACCTCTTGAATTAAAAGGGAACTCGAATGCTCCACCATTGCTTTCTGACGATACATAAGAGCAATGCAGGTTAAAATGATACCTATCTTGGGATGATGATGGCCTGCATACATCAGCAAACACGCCATAATGACCGTGTAATTCATCAATATTCATACTCTAGTCCGAGAGAAACTAACAAGAAAGTTGCATACCAAAGCATTCTTCAGCTTTGTTTAATGTCGCAGTCAATATCTCCTCCGCATCACTAAAATTCCTATAGAAAGATAAAATAAGAAGCGAGGATCGAGATTGAAGAAGATACTAATGAAAGCTACAATCATATTCAGATTACCCCATATGCACCTCGAGCTGTCCTAAACCACAGGAAGCAGCAACTGCAACTTCATCGGAAGTCATGTTGCAAGCTCCAAGATTGTTTGGACTGCAAAAATCTTTGATTTCGGACGTAGTCTTAATAACTTCCTGGTACAGCTCCTTTGCAGCTGAAAAGTTTCTTATGCCGTGAAGAAATTCACTGCAAGACAGTGAAGCAGTGCCTGCATATAAAGATAACAAAACATAATAACAAATTGAATGACAGTGTTATACATGATTTTATCAATTGTCTTCGAATAAAACCTTACCAGCTAAAACACCTTGCCCTTGAACTCCCTCAAATATTTTTTTCGCTGCACGAGAAGGACTAAACTTCAAACAAAGAGATTCATAGAAAACCCCAAAATCTTACAACAGAGCTTATCCAATACCGATCCACAAAGGCAGAGCATACCTGAGTCAAGGTTACCAGAAGTGAGTTCAATTAAGCCCTTCATTGCTTTGGCACGTGCCTCCAGAATCTCAAAGCCGCTTCCATTACCAATTTCTTGTTGGATTGTTTCAAGCAATTTCAATGTCAGATTTGCAGCCACTGATGCAGCATCCTCCTGCAGAAACCAACAATAAGACATTGTATGCTAATCGATCAACAACCTTAGATTAAAATACCGAAAGCTCAATACGGTTCACACAACATTGATGCTTACTTGTGAACATTCGAGATATATCCCTGCTACAGCTTCAGAAGCAGCAACTGTAGAAGCCCAAATAGCACAAAATTACTTAAAAACTTATAGAGGATTGCTAACTGAGATGCTGTTGTGTGGGAAGAGAGAAAGCTAATCCCATAAAAAAATATTTTTACCTTTAACCCCAATAGACGACACGCTTAACTCTTGAATTTTCTCAAGTCTTTCAATAGCTGCTTCATGTGATCCTCTGAATCAAGTTATAAAAACCAATCACTAAACTTAGTGTTCTTGGAGTACCATAGAAAGATATGGATAAATATACCCGAATTCAATGAAAAATAATATCTATGCCTATTCATTTGATCATTAAGGATGCTTATTGAATCCAGTATTGTCATCTTCTCAATTGTTTTTCACTACCAACAAGCAGCAAATAAAACCACAAAATTAGAATTTTGGTTCAAAAAACAAAGAAACAGAGGATGGAACCTTTCAAACAATAAGGTAGAACGAGCAAGTTCAACTAAGCCCTTTGAATTATCATCTGACTGGGTGGACTCGCACTGTTCCAATACCAACAATCCTCGCGAGTATGATTCTTCTGAAATTAAGAATTCGCGGCAAAACATTCAGTCATATTTCCATCACAATAAAAAATTTCACATTAAAAGACCCAATGTAGAAACCCTAAATCAGAAAAGTCGAGTCTTTGAGAGCATAAGAAAATCACTGCAGAAAAAGAATTTATGCACGGCGGCACCTGTTTTATGCTCGCGAGCAAGAGAGGTGGCGTATTTGATCATTTCAACAGCAACCGGATTGAACGTGAAAGTGCTGCGGTTGGCAGAAAACCGCCTGGTGGTCGGCGGCGCCGCCACCGCTTTGGGTGGTTGAACAAGTGCACAGCTGCCTATTGCATTCTTCATATCCCTCGAAACCTTAGCTGCCAGCCGCATCATATTGCTTGATTAACCCGATCCCCTGGCTTCTCTTCTCCCTATGCTTCGATCAAGATTCGAGAAGCAAACTAATTGCAGGAGGAGGGGGGAATCTTTATTTTGCCCCTTGTCAGTTGTCCCGATGCTTTTCAAATTTTGGGACTTGGATTCTGACCAAATTGGGCCAAGAATTTCCGAAATACATGGGTTGCAAATTGCAATAGATCTGACCTGAGGGAGAGGTATGAATAGAGCCACCAGTCACCGATCTTTATATTACTTGAAGGCCCACAAGAAGCATCCTCCTCTTCGTTATATGAGATGCAACTGATTCTGGAAAATCTCTTTTTCGAAAAGATCATTCCTGAAACACAGGGCAGGGTAATCAATTGTGTAATTTCCGGGCTCAAACGATCTGCAATAATCACGAGTTTGATTATGGTGCTGAATGATGAATCCGATGATTATAATGTGATCCTTCCTACATGAGATCGATCATTTCCATACATACCTTACCTCGTTTAATTCCTATAGAAAGACATCAAACATGCTCACATCATATCCATCCATCAGTGACGAGGGCCGAGGCCAACATTTGCATCAATTAATCATGTGCACTGCAAGGATAGGCACTATACTTTTGATTGAATTTCAGTAATCCATCACGTGAATCATCAGATAGTTAAGAACAGTAGCGAATCCAAACACAATCAATCAGAGAAGGTATTTGACATCATAACATGCTACTGTCAGTTTGTATAACATCCAAGCCGAAGTCAGTCACGAGACTCGCGACTGTTGGAGAGGTCAAAGGAAACAGAGTGGTGGGGGTGATGCAGATCGAATCTAACATCGCGACATCATTGCAAACCTACAAAAACCACATATGATTGATTATTTTGTTTGGACAAGTCTACTTTTTAATGTTTGAATAATGATTTACTTTCGACAACTGAGTACAAGGATAGGCCACCATCGCCATAAGGTGATGGGTCCCGCCAACAGCTTCTTTGTCCATTCTGCATTAAACAAAGCATGTGCTCACACGTGTACCTGTAAAAGGTTCTCGTAAAAAAATATACAATTCACTCTCAGTCAGAAGCATACCTTCTGGGAGTTCGTTTTTCCACCATTTTCAGATTAAGAATCCTGTATTACATCTAATCTCATCAATGGCCGGTGACCTTCATTCAAGGCCTCTATTAGTATTATCTATCAAAAAAAAAACTAACTAAATTGTGATGCAAGAACTGGATATCTTCAATTTCAATAAACATTCATTTAATGCTTTCTCATGCCCATCCAATCCAGGCCATGAGTTTTCACTACCTAACTCATAAAAGCCTGCCCCGTGGGAGACAAGAGAATATCTCTCTACCCTATGGCATCGCAAATTCTCAATTAATTTGAAATTTTAAAACACATTTGTTGTACTAACTCTACTACTAACTGTCCTGAAACTGAAGATTCGCTCCCAAACCAGGAAATCTCATCTCCTTCTCGTAGATCTTCTCCTCTGCTTCTTGTTATACACACACACACACACTAGTGCACTTACTAATTGCTTTGCTCCCTGTTGGAACCATGAAGATTCACATTCAATTCAGCACTCTGTCTGCCTTCATTCTAAGAATCCTGTTTTCCTCTGCAGAGCCATTGTCCAGATCGAGTGCAGCGAAAGCTGTTGTCTTGCCATTGGAAACCCAAGAAATCAAGTCCCCTCCACCTCCAAGCAAGCTCCCCTTCACCCACAACGTAACCCTCACAGTCTCATTGGCCGTCGGCAGCCCGCCGCAGAACGTCACGATGGTCCTCGACACGGGCAGTGAGCTCCCATGGCTACAATGCAACACGACCCGGAAGGATCGGCCCGTATTCGACCCGAACAGATCATTGTCTTACACTCCCATTCCCTGCACTTCCTCCACTTGCACTTCCCAGACCCGGGATCTCTCCATACCCGCCTCCTGCGACTCCAAGAATCTCTGCCACGCCGTCCTCTCCTACGCCGATGCGTCGTCTTCCGAAGGGAACTTGGCTACCGATTATTTCGCCATTGGAGGGTCGAGGTTTAACGGCACCATATTCGGGTGCATGGATTCGGGTTTCAGCAACAATCTGGATGAGGACTCGAAGACAACTGGATTAATGGGCATGAACCGCGGCTCTCTTTCCTTCGTCTCCCAAATGGGGTTGAAGAAGTTCTCCTACTGCATATCCGGGTCGGACTTTTCAGGTATTCTTCTGTTCGGCGATTCGAATTTCACGTGGCTGCTGCCCTTGAATTACACCCCTTTGATCCAAATTTCGACTCCTTTGCCCTACTTTGATCGGGCAGCCTACACCGTCCAGCTCGAGGGCATTAAGGTCTCGGAAACCTTGCTCCAATTACCCAAGTCCGTATTTGAACCGGACCACACCGGGGCGGGTCAAACCATGGTCGATTCGGGCACCCAGTTCACCTTCCTTCTCGGCCCGGCGTACACTGCACTGAAAAACGAGTTCATAAATCAAACGGCTAGAATCTTGAGGGTTCTGGAGGACCCGGACTTCGTGTTCCAAGGAGCGTTCGATCTGTGCTTCCGGGTGCCGTTAAACTCAACGGCGTTCCCCAAACCCCTGCCGTCGGTGAGTCTGGTTTTTAACGGTGCGGAGATAACGGTGTCCGGCGACCGGCTGCTTTACCGCGCGCCCGGCGAGGTGAGGGGGAATGATTCCGTGCATTGTTTCACATTTGGAAACTCCGATCTTCTGGGGATCGAGGCGTATATCATCGGCCATCATCATCAGCAGAACGTGTGGATGGAATTCGATCTGGAGAAATCCAGGATCGGAGTCGCGCAGGTGCGATGCGATCTGGCGGGGCAAAGATTAATCGCTAAATGATTTCATGATTTCTTTCCTGTTTTGGAACTATGATGTGTTCTTGTTTGTACTTAAAACCAGTAATTATTAAATTGCATTTATTCCATCGGCCAAGATTGTCCGCTGTGAGATTTCAGAACATTACACTGAAGAAAGAAAATGACCTCTTTTGACAATAGAATTATGAACCGACCAAATGGAGGAGAAGCATGAGATTACATACAGTTAAAAACGATGTTTGGATTTGCAACAATAGACATACAACAAGTATTGTATTTGTATGTATTTCCTTGCTTGGGAGGAAAGTGCAAACAGTGCTTAATAATTACTTCAATATATGGAAAGTTCTTGACACCTAAAGACTGATAACTCCATGGCCACCAAATTGAGCTTCTCATTCGTCCCTCCCCTACCCTTAAGGAGTGTGTGTGTGTGTGTGTGTGTGTGTGTGTTGCCTGCATTTGTATATAATTTCTTGTGTCTTGTAAACACCTGCTTCATGGGCACTTTATGATATCTGCTTTTTAATTTAATGAAACATGGAGAAGAAGGGAATGAAAGATTTCGACAGGAGTCAAACCAGAACATGATTGTCTTTGACAGCACTCTAAAGTTACGTTGTTTTCCCACAACTAATGTCTGTCCAACAAATTAAAATTATCCTATTATTCTTCCTGTTCTTGCTCTTTCTGGAGATATTCCCATTTTCCATCTCTTTTAAACTATAATATTTCATCATTACCTAATCAACCAAACACCCCCTTCCACACCCTCTATAAATACCTCATGGCTTCGTTCCAACAGCATCAACCTCCCCAAGCAGAAACAAATCTAATCAGCAGAGCTTTGATCGCCACCAGACATGGCCTCTTTCCAATTTCTGTCGGGGGTTTCCATGAGGATACTTTTTGTGGCGATGTCTGTTCTTCTTTGGAAAGCAAATGCCATAACCAGGCATTACCAGTTTAATGTACACTTACTGTTACATCGAACTAACTACATTTGTGTTAGCTTATCCATTTTGCTTGTCTCAAGAATCGAGCACAACCTCTCTCGTTAATGCAGGTCGAAATGAAGAATGTTACACGATTATGCCACACGAAGAGCATAGTCACTGTCAACGGCCAGTTTCCAGGGCCTCGTGTCATTGCAAACGAGGGCGATCGTTTGGTCATAAGAGTCACAAACCATGTCTCCCACAATATCACCATCCACTGGTACACATACAGTCATATATGAACCTTACTTTACATTGTTATCCTTTTCGTCGACAGATGATTGATTCCTTCAACAGGCATGGAATTCGACAGCTTCGTAGTGGATGGGCAGACGGGCCGGCTTATGTAACTCAGTGTCCTATACAAACTGGCCAAAGCTACGTGTACAATTACACGGTGGTCGGGCAGCGAGGAACCTTCTTCTGGCACGCGCATATTTCGTGGCTCAGGGCAACTCTTTACGGCCCTCTGATCATCCTCCCGAAGAACAACACGCCTTATCCATTCGAAAAACCATACAAGGAAGTTCCCATTGTATTCGGTATGTCTTATTCTTACACTCCTGTTCTTCCAAGATATGTCTAAGAAGATTTGCTGGTATGATAAATCCATGATTTTGCAGGAGAATGGTTCAATACTGATACTGAAGCTATAATCAACCAAGCTATGAAGACAGGTGGAGGTCCAAATGTCTCTGATGCATATACCATCAATGGACTTCCAGGGCCACTCTACAACTGCTCTGCAAAAGGTATATTCTTATTTCTTATGGCTAATTGTTTCGCAATTAATTAACCAAATGTTGACATTTTTCCCTTGATAGATACATTCAAGCTGAAGGTGAAGCCCGGAAAGACTTACCTCCTACGATTCATCAACGCTGCCCTCAACGACGAGCTGTTCTTCAGCATTGCGAACCACAGCCTGAGAGTCGTCGATGCCGATGCCATTTATGTTAAACCATTCGACACCGAGACAATCCTCATCACCCCTGGACAGACCACGAACGTGCTTCTCAAGACCAAACCAAACTTCCCCGGAGCCACTTTTCTCATGGCTGCCAGGCCTTATGCCACAGGCTCAGGCACCTTCGACAACACCACTGTCGCCGGAATCTTGGAATACGAATCCCCGGCTCTCCATTCCGTCATCTCTGCCAAAAAGCTCCCCCTGCACAAACCAAGCCTCCCGGCACTAAACGACACCTCATTTGCCGCAAGTTTCACCAACAAGCTTCGCAGCTTAGCCTCCCCTCAGTTCCCTGCCAATGTTCCACAAAATGTAGATAAACATTTCTTCTTCACAGTAGGTCTGGGGACGAATCCGTGCGATCAAAACCAGGCCTGTCAGGGGCCAAACGGCACGAAATTTGCAGCTTCCATTAGCAACATATCCTTCGTGCAGCCGACGACAGCTCTCCTTCAGGCGCACTTCACCGGAAAGTCTGGAGGCGTTTACAGCCCTGACTTCCCGATCAACCCGTTCCACTGGTTCAACTACACCGGAACCCCTCCGAACAACACCATGGTCCAAAATGAGACGAAGCTCATGGTCCTGCCATACAACACCAGCGTGGAATTAGTGATGCAGGATACCTCCATTCTTGGGGCCGAGAGCCACCCCCTCCATCTCCACGGATTCAACTTCTTCGTGGTAGGGCAAGGGTTCGGAAACTATGACCCTAAAAACGACCCCAAAAAATTCAATCTTGTCGACCCCATTGAGAGGAACACTGTCGGCGTGCCCTCCGGCGGCTGGGTTGCCATTCGGTTCCTGGCAGATAATCCAGGTTCGATCGATTACCCTGTTTCCTCATCCTGATCCTGATCACCATTTTTTAAGAGTTATTTCATCTGAATTTGCATTGATATATTATAATATTACAGGCGTTTGGTTTATGCACTGTCACCTGGAAGTGCACACGAGCTGGGGTTTGAAGATGGCGTGGCTTGTGCTGGACGGGAAGCTGCCCAATCAAAAGCTGCTTCCTCCGCCGGCCGATCTTCCCAAATGCTGATGACGCGGACACAGGCCTTTAATTTTATCCTTGTAGAGGTTTTCCTGTTTGTGATTTAAAGGGCCTCTCCCTCTCCCTCTCCCACTTTTGAAGCACCGCCGTTTCATTGTTTTTTCAGCATTCATGATTTTTTCATTTTTGTCAAATTATATCAATAAATGTGAGTTTCTGATTCATTATGATCGATTTATGAAAATAGTTGTCTTGGACTAATTCTCCTAACTGGGCCATAGCCCATTAATTACTTACAGAAATAAATAAGTATCACCAATGAAAAAGCCCAATGCATCGCTTGCTCAGTAAAATTAATAGTTGGGCAAACTCACAATTTACCGTAACTTGCGATTTGTTTATTTATTGTTTTAAATTGTCATTTTTTTTTTTTTTTTTTTCTATACATCAATACTCCATCAGTCCCACGTACAGTGTCAGCTACTGTAGACAGACGCGGTATTTTAAGAGGGATGTAATCATTTTTCAAAAAAGAAAAGTGACATGGTACGTGGGATGTAATTATTTTCCAAAAAAAAAAGTGACATTGTACGTGGGACAAACAGAAACGGCAACGTAGACATGGTATCTGGGACGGAGGGAGTAATATATATTTTATGGATCAAACCAATAGTTCTATTATGTAATTATAAAATCTCTAAATTGTAGGAAAATAATTTTAAAAAGTATTACTTACATAATATTTTATGGATCAAGCCAATAGTAATATATCATTACTTGTGAAAACTAAAGAGTAAATCACATATTTTAATACCAGGTTGTTAAAGAAAAATGATGGATGTTATTATTGGATATGAAGTATTAGTACTTCTTTGAGATTTAGGTTCAATATTTTTTTTCTACTCACATTAAATATATATATCTTATAAAATATAATATCAAATATTATTTAATTAAAAAAAATCAATTATTTGAATCGAATCTAAACCTAAAAAATTTTATTTCAATTTTTTATAAAAATATGTTATTTAATTCCAAAAAACATTATATACAATTACTATTTAAATCAAAAGTAAAATAAATAAATAAATAATAAACACAAAGTTCAAAATATATCAAAACAAATACGTAGTTTTTTTTTATATAGGGTAGGGGTGCGTTCACTTTAAATACTATTCTTTTAACTTTTAAATTTAATTTTAAAGGTATTTTTTTTTATATGAATTTGTATCTAAATTATATTTCTATTAAAAAATTATATAAATTAAATAGTACAAAAATTTAAAAAGAAACACTCATATATCACTTTTGAAAATTAATGATATTCAAATTGAACAGAATACCTATAATCCGATCACCATTATAGTTGGGTATACAAATTTATTACTCAAAAGGTAAGTAATATCAAGAATATAAATGGACTTCTTGAAAGTAAGGCATCTAAAAATGGATCTTCTTGAACCAATGATATCTCCCCCTACCCCTACCCTACCCTACCCTACCCTACCCCCAATACATAATAATGAGAAATGATCTAGACGAAAGAGACAAATGATCAGAACAGATGGTAAGGCCATATGGTTACAATGATCCTGCAATTCTTATTAATTAATTAATTTTCTGTTGAGAATGGTTGGATTGAACCCAACTGAACTGAACATAGCATTTAAGCTTGATGATTACTGAAAAGGACACATCCATCAAACATTTGCTTTGTCTCGAACAAGAAAATCTCTCTCACTATTTTTACAATTTTGTTTTAATCACCCCAAAAATTTCCACATCCGACAGCCAACAAAATGTGGGTTAACCCTATTCCATTTATGTTTCTTGATTACCAGGTTTACAAATCCGCAATTGAACTTTGAAGCTTACCCCTCAACAAATATTCTTCTTGCACAGTTTAATGTTTATTGTCATTTTTTCCAGAGCTAATGATTCAATTGTTTGGCATGAAAAACTGGCTTCGACATCACTCCAACTTAGAGCTATCTCACTGTCTGTGCCAGCAGGCAACAGCCTACTTAGGTCAACATGATTCAATTTCAATCTGTTATCAGTTTCCATGTTTCATTACAATCAATATCTGTCCAAAACACAACACTATATATAATGTACATTCTTTGATGTCTGTTTCAATCATCCAATCGATCTTCAAAACATCACTTACTCAGAAACAAACCGACTACAACGATGATGTCTCACAAGCTTTTGCTCTTTACCGTTATGTGCATTTCATTCCGGGTCGCATTCTCCAAACATCCCACGGCGACGAGGCATTACAAGTTCAACGTACGTGTCTTAATCGCGATCATTTTTCAATTTGTATTATTACTACACATCGAGAGAGCTTAATTACTTGTGTGTTCTTGCAATTGCCAACATGAACAGATCAAAATGCAGAATGTCACGAGGCTGTGCCAATCAAAGAGCATAGTGACAGTTAACGGCCAATTCCCGGGGCCTGCGATCACTGCCCGGGAAGGCGACAGGGTTGTAGTAAAAGTCGTTAACCACGTTCAGTACAACCTAACAATTCACTGGTAAGAGAAATGCATCCACTCATTTCACGACAAACTTTCATCTTACCCACAGATAAGAACATTACATCATGCGACAGGCATGGTATCCGGCAGCTGAGAAGCGGCTGGGCTGACGGGCCGGCGTACATTACCCAATGTCCAATTCAGACAGGGCAGAGCTATGTCTACAACTTCACCATTAAAGGCCAAAGAGGAACACTCTTCTGGCACGCCCACATCTCCTGGCTCCGCGTCACTCTCTATGGCCCGATTATAATCCTTCCCAAACGAGGAGTCCCTTATCCATTCCCGAAGCCACACAAAGAAGTCCCCTTACTTTTTGGTATGATAGCGTATTAGACTCTAGACAAGAAGATGTTTTTCTTACATATACCGAGTTAATTCGATTCCTGTCGACATGGATTTTCTTCCACAGGTGAATGGTGGAAGGCAGACACAGAAAAAATCATAAATCAGGCAATGCAGACAGGGTCAGCTCCAAACATTTCTGATGCCTACACCATCAATGGCTTCCCGGGGCCTTCCTACAACACATGTTCAGCCAAAGGTAAGATTTTTCCATAGCCACTGTAAAAAATTAAAAGCAACCAATCTACTAACTTGTCTGCATTGCAGATACATTCAAATTGAAGGTGGAGCCAGGGAAGACTTACCTGCTGAGGCTGATCAACGCCGCGCTCAACGACGAACTTTTCTTCAGCGTCGCGGACCATAATCTGACGGTCGTCGAAGCTGACGCTGTCTACGTGAAGCCATTCAAAACCAAGATAGTTCTCATCACACCCGGACAGACAACGAATGTCCTCCTCAAGACAAAAAACCATCACCCAAACACAACATTCCTAATGGCAGCCAAGGCTTACGCCACCGGCCCTGCTGCCTTCGACAACACTACTGCCTCGGCAATTTTGCAGTACCATCACCGTCATCACAACTCCACCATGAAATTAAACAAACTTCCCCTTCTGCAACCGTCGCTTCCCATTTTCAACGACACCACATTCGCGTTTAAGTTCAACGACAAGATCCGCAGCCTGGGTAGCTCGAAATTCCCATCGGCGAGGGTCCCACAAAAGGTCGACAGACGATTTTTCTTCACAGTCGGGCTCGGCCTGATTCCTTGCCCGAATGGCGGGAACCAAACCTGCCAGGGTCCCAACAATACAATGGTTGCAGCTTCCGTCAACAACGTGTCGTTCGTGATGCCAAACACAGCCCTTCTCCAGGCTCACTTCTTCAACCAGTCGAAAGGAGTCTACACGACAGATTTTCCGGCAAACCCACCTTTTAAATACAACTACACCGGGAATCCCCCGAGCAACATTATGATGAAAACCGGGACCAAAGTGGTGGCGCTGCCATTCAATACAACAGTAGAACTTGTTCTTCAGGACACCAGTATAATCGGAGCAGAGAGCCACCCATTGCATCTCCATGGCTTCAACTTCTTTGTCCTGGCACAGGGAAATGGGAATTTTGATCCCAGCAAGGATCCCGCCAGGTTCAATTTGGCCGATCCGGCGGAGAGGAACACCGTCGGGGTCCCATCCGGTGGCTGGGTCGCAATCCGTTTCCTAGCAGATAATCCAGGTAAGAATTAATCATCCAGGCTAATTAATTAGTCCTATGTATGTGAATTGATTTTTTATTGCTATGATTAAACAGGAGTGTGGTTCATGCACTGTCATTTGGAAGTCCATACAAGCTGGGGGTTGAAAATGGCTTGGGTTGTGATGGACGGAAACCGCCGCAATCAGAAGCTCCCGCCGCCGCCGGCCGATCTGCCCAAATGTTAAAATTCCTTCTCATTTGCGTTTTTAGCATGCAGTATGTAACACACTATAAATTGAGCAAATGATACTTCAATTTGAGACCTTCCAACAAAAGCCCACTTAGGTCAATATTTTATTTCGAACAACAGAAACGGAAAGGAACCTTCCAACAAAGCAGCTTAGTAATAATTAATTACAAAACCTCAAAAGAAGCAAAGAGAAAATAAAAGAACAAGGGGAGACAAAGCTAACAGCCTAACAATAGCAGAGACAGTCGTCCTATTTGCAAGGCATTATTTTTAAATTAAAAAAACCAATACCTTTGCCGCATCTTCTACTGTAAAGTAAAGCCCCTCCACCGCCGGAGACGCCGCCGCAGTCCATTGTTACACCGGCGCCTCCGGATCTCATCGAAATGAAAAGGGGCTGCAAGTTCTCGTTTCACGTCGGTGCCGTGATAGCCGCCATCATTTACATATATTTCTCGACCGTGTTTGTCTTCATTGACCGGTGTTTCGCACTCGGGTCCTCACCTGGGACGCTACACGCAGCCGCCTTCACTTTTTTGGCGGTCATGTGCGTTTCCAGTTACCGCCTCGCCATTTACACCGATCCCGGTCGGGTACCCTCGGATTTCATGCCGGATATTGAGAATTCCGATAACCCGATCCACGAAATCAAACGCAAGGTCGGTTATTTCCTTTTAGGTTTTTTAGTGTGATTAAAATTTCTTAAGCTGTTCTCTGCATTTTCTCGATTTCGTCATTTCAGGTGAATGGTACTTACTGGTATTCTTTGACAAATGTTGAAAAAATTGGAGTGCTGTAAGAATCTAAGATTGAGACCGGAATCTTGATTACTGTTGCATTCCAAGTTTTGGGTTCTCGAATGCTCTAATTAAGCACTTATTCTAAAGTAAGGTTCATCTGGTTAGCAAATAATCTATGGCTTTGTGATTTATGATTCCTTACTGAAATTGGGATGAACTACAGAATCAAGTGGCTGTACTGTTCATGTCCTGCCCAATGTGAAAGGATGAAAAAGTAAAGAAAGTAAATCAATGGTTTGTTCGGTGTCATTAGATCCATGGTGGCAATGCTTTCCACTCATTTCTGTCTTCACATTGTAAGATTGTGTTTAATGGAAGCCTAATTATGATATGAATCGTGCTTTCTTCTTTAAAGTTTGGATTTTAGTGTTGCCTAACAGAACAGGATGCCTTTAGTTCTTACTTAGCAGCCGAATCCAATTTAAAACCCCTGTTTTTGTTCAAATTGCGACTTGCGATGATATGCTTATGATAATGTTTTCATTTATAGAAATGCTCTTATGTGCTTGATTACCGGAGGATAGAAAATAAGAAAATAATGTTGTCCTGGCCTCGCTTTCATTTTATTTTGTCACTTCACCTTCGCAGTTCCTTGTTCGCGATGAGCGGCGTGGACAGACAAGTTGCTTAGATAAGTAACCCTCGAGTTTTTGGGAATTTTTCTGTAGGGTGGTGATTTGAGATACTGCCAAAAATGCTCCCACTATAAACCTCCTCGAGCCCATCATTGCCGTGTGTGCAACCAATGTGTTTTACGAATGGTATCCCTAGTTCGTGTTTATGTTCATTCTTTCATTTTTTACATACCCCTTGATAACGTAATTTAAAGCTATTGTCTAATGATGCAAGGATCACCATTGCATTTGGCTGAACAATTGTGTGGGACATGGAAACTATAAGTTCTTCTTTGTTTTTGTAGTTTTTGCTGCCATCGCCTGCATATACTCCCTGGTAAAGTTCTTTCTTTGTTACATACAATTTGTTATATAATATCTAATGTACCGTGTTCTATATATTTCAGGCGTTGCTCATGGGCAGTATGACGATTGATTTTCAGAACATTGCTGAGGGTTCTTATCGAACGATACATGTGTTAATCATTACTCAACTGTTTTTGATTATATATGTTTGTTACTCGACTGTTTCTGATTATGGTTCTTGGATTTCATTCATGTCCAGGTCGTTTCCGGATTGCTCTTGTTTCCTTTAAGTTTGGCGCTGGGATTCTTTGTTGGCTGGCACATTTACCTGATTCTACACAACATGACTACAATCGAGGTTTTTATAACATTGCTATTCGTTTCTCTTACATTGCAATGAAATGAATTAATATTTGATGTCGCCTTTCAATGGCAGTACCATGAAGGTGTGAGGGCCATGGTGCTCGCAGAAAAAGGCGGCTATCTGTATTCGCATCCGTACGATATCAGCGCATACGAGAATTTGACAGCAGTGAGCATTTCTGTTCTCTTATTTGAGATTTGTGTGTCCTAATAAAAAGGAGCCATTTGTTCTACGATACTTCAGATTATTGACTTCAATTTCGAATTGCAACAGATTCTAGGGCCTAACATGCTGTGCTGGATTTGCCCCAGTTCAGGACACATTGATTCTGGTCTTCGTTTTCGAACAAAGTATGATGAACTGATGATTGGATCACCCTGTAGTAATCTTTTGTGATCCTTTAAATCTGTTGAGTCTGTTCTGTTAGTTAATGAAGGTGGGATCTTTTAGGGCATCATACATACCCATCTTGATTCTCTTACATGCCCGTTATATAGTAAAGTGTTGTTGGGCATCATATACAAGTTGTACTGAACCAAGAAAATTAGGAAACCCTGATTGATTAAGGCGAGGTAAAACTAAATTGTGTGTAATGTAATCATGTGACACCGACAGCAAAATGTGTTCTCACCAATGAATGATTGGCACGATACCTTCTCGTAGAGAGATACGTGTATTACATTGATAAATTTGTGGACTGTCGTATATTATTAGGATGTCACGAATGGGTTTAGTCAATCTATATATAGCAACCGCGCATCAGAGCATATACAAAAGATAACTTTTAGAAATCCATCAATTTTTTTAAGAAGTTTTTTTTTAAAAAAAAAAATTATTCCAATTAAAAGAATTGCACAATGGGATGCTTTTAGAAGTAAAATAAAGATGATGTCTGTGTTATTGTGCATCAAAACATATAAATCAAAATGTGTTTGAATATATAAGGTGACACCTCATCCATGCAAGCAAATTTTTTTAACCACCATTGTATATGCTCTCATGCACGAGGAACTCGATAATTTATATTTGAATGATTTTTAGGATGGAATTTTTATTTTTTTTTATTTTTATTATTCAAAACTGACACTTTAATTTATTTAATTCGAGCACCTGTGACTATATATATATATATATGGGGCGCCGTACGTCAAAAAAGTCATTTTCCTCCCTCCATTACCAGAAGATGATAACACTCTTATGATGAGCAACGACGAAACAAACAGGTTTTATTTTTGTTATGGTTTTTACGGTTTTCAGTTCTTGTTTCGGATTTGCTTTGATGTTTTTATATGTCGTCTGTGTTATATATTTTATTTTTTCTGTTTGCAGTCCGTAGTTTCTTGATTAGAACCTCTGATTTAATTTGTATCTATTCTTTGTGGATTGATTGTCTGAATTTATGACACCAGAATGACGGCTTCCTCGAACAAGAAAAGAAAATTTCAAGCTGAGCTGCTGAGAATGAATTTGCAGAAGAAGAAAGAAAATCAACTACCCCACCATAAGTGTTCTTCATCGGACTTAATAATGAACAGACATGGCGAATCAGAGCCGAGAAGGAGATCAATTTGTAGGAGTTTGGCTTTCGCATCCCGACGCGACCACGACGACACTAAAAGCTGTATCTTGCATTCTAAGACGACGACTGTGGAGCCAGGTTCAACGACATCTGCTGGTTGCAGTAGATTCTTTTTGAAAATGGATAAGGATTATCCTCTCGCCGCCGAATCGAGTTTCAGTAGATCAGAACTGTTGCTTGATTACGGCTGCTCGGAATGCCGAAAGGACAACCTTGACCGTTGTAGTAATAAAGAGCTTGAGGATCTTCTTTACTCGAATGAAGCAGCCACCACTAATTTTGTCCTTTCATCTGGGAGGTGGTCTGTCACACCAGGTAAAAGATTTTATATATATATATATATATATATTATATTCGTTTTTTGGAGGTTAAAATTTTCGATTAATGTGTTACTGATTTCTTTCTTGCAGGTAATTTAGGTGATGATCATGCTCGGCCAGGCACGGCTAAAATGACGACGATAGACAAGGAGTTTGAACAGTACTTTGGCATGCTTATGTAATAAATGTTTTCGACGTTCTGTACAAGAGAATTTATATATATATATATTTCTGGCAACGTTTTTGGAAGATCCGGCGGGGGCGGTGGTGCCGGTGCAACCGTAGAAGTGGCAATCAGTCCTGTTCGAAATGGACATGATAGCTACCTGCCAATGGTGTCTGTACTGTAATTCCTGGAATTCAGCACATTCACCTTAATTAATAAATTAATTAGAATCCCAAGGTACATAAAGACTTACATGATCTGCCCTCCTACTGATACATAATACATTTCCATCCTATTTCTCACTTACACAAATCTCGATCGAATTGATCTATCCTAATGAGACAAATTAAAGACATGTAAATGATCATATCTAAGATGTCCTAAGATTAAGCAGCCAGACAAGATCTAGAAATTAAATTTAAAGTAAAACATAATGTTAATCAACGGAGACTAATTAAGACAAGGGTGGTCTCGCCGGGGAAGGTACATTGTTGAAGAAAATGTCGATCTCCGGCGACTGAAAGTAGCCATTCTTGGGCGGCGCCTCCCTCTTCTTTCTTCTTTCCGTCGTCGTCTTCTTCCTCGGCGGTGGAGGGCACACCACCGCCGCTGGTATCTGACATTCCTGGTTCTTCGGTGTCGTGCACTCCCGATCGCCCTCCTCCATTGATTTATGATTTCTCAAACTTAATTGCTACGTAGTATATTCTTTCCAAATCGTGTCTTTGAGGTGTGGACACTAGATAGATAGATAGATACCTCACTCTATGCACCATGCACTAATTTTCTTTCGAGTAATGAAAAACCTAGAGGAGTGCTAATTAAGATGTAAGAATCAAGGAAGATATGTGGATTTGAGGAAGAAATTAAATTACAGTTTTGAGTTATGTAGACTTGAGAGAGCGGTGGCTACATCGGATGAACAGTTTGACAGTTAAGAATGGGGTGGCAACGACGTGATATGCTGACACGTGGCTGTGGCCCGGCCAATCAATAGGACGGCGCCGGAAAAAGAAAAGCATTCTAGCTAGAGTAGGGCGGCCCAGTCGGAATCTCCGCCGCAGACTTCATTTCATTACACTCTAATATATATATATGTTTTAATTTCTGTGAGGGAATTAATAATTCCTGAATAATTAATAGAAGGGAGAATGTTTTCTTGATTAATCGTTGTCGTCAGTGCAATGGTGCATTAATTAGTGATCTGAAGCCTGAACCTATTTCTTATCTTCATTTATGTACAATATAGGATCAAGACCTTAGGGGTCCTCCTAGTCCTAGACCTAGACCTAGAGTGTGTGCAATAATAATAATTCAATCTATTTTTATGTATAGACTCTGTCTAATAATCATTTTCTCGTCCCGCCGCCTATGCTACCTTAATTTGTCAATGACCAGCCTAACTCTTTTTGGTAAACTGAATTTTAAGCAATACTCAATCTTTTTGGCTATTATGTATTTCATTTTTTTCGTTGTTCCTTGTAAATGTAAAAGCCCTTTCCAATGTCACCTTCGGACATATGAATGAAGTGCTATACATAAATATATTATCTTGAAATTCTTTGGCATAATATACGATTTACGAGGTGCAAGTGCAGCCACGATAGGACAATTTATGGTGCACAGATGACGCCAAAAAATTAAGTCAACTTGTGTTGGATATGCATCTGCACATGAGTGCTTAATTTGCTTTAATTTTTGCTTAGCTTTTTTGCATCGCAATATTCATTACAACACTACTACCAATTTAATTTTCAGGCATATATATATTATTTTTCTGCCATCCAACTTAATTACATCTAACGGATAATGACAATACGTGTCTTTCCTTGGATGGAGTGGTTGTGTGTGTGTACATGAAATACATATTGCCACATAAAATAACGTTTAACTCATGCTTTATTGTGGTTGTAAAACCCTGAAAGTTGGGGATTCATTTCCATCACTTATTTAAAAATCATAAATAAATTAATTAATTATATATAATTAAGTTTGACGGATCGATCATATTGACAAGATGCACATGATATCTGTAATGCATGCATCTGGTCCTTCGTTCGATCACTTCCCACCTGTATTCCTTTGTTTCTACCTATCTACTCAATCATATATATATATATATATATATAGTTTCTTGTCTGCATTCGCTTGTAATTTAGAATTTTGCAAGTGATTTTGTCGTACAAGAATATTGTATGAACTCCTGCCTAATTACGCCATTGATCATTGAGATTAATTCCCCTTTGAAGAATTAATAAGCAAATTTCGAAATGACAAGTTTTATTGAATGCCTTTAATTTGAATAATTTTTTTGGAGAAAATTCAATTATACAAGTTTCTACTACTATATATTATTATTATTATTATTATTAGTGTATTTCCTGTTATTGTCTTTTATGTGTTTTGATACAAGTCTTTGTAACTAACTATTCTTCACGTCTTAGTGAAAAAACCTCAGCTTCAGTCGCTATAAAATTTCAAAATATGGATTTCTTTTGATTTTCCAAATTAAAATTTTACATATATATATATATATATATATTTTTTTTTTTTAGTGTGGAAGAACATATGCATGGTGGCAGGAAATTGTGATTGCAAATTACAGACATATTATGGATAAGCTTTTGTGATGTGCGATGGAGAATGAAGTTGTAGAAAGACTAGACATATTTGTTCCAATCCAAACATTGATTGAAAGTGCTTGAAAGATAAATTAATGAAGAAGACTAAACAGAGGTCTTGTCCTAATCCCCCTTTATTAAGAAATAATTTTATGGACTGCTCTTTCGGTATAATTACTTCTACTTATTTTAATTGAATATAAGTAAGACCATGGATCCAATTATTTGTCCTAAACATTAAAGAAATATAATAGTACTGTCCAAATATGTATACAAAGTGGTCCTTTTCTTATTTTCAAGATTATTAACTAAGGGTAGAGACTATTTCCAAGGAAATTGCTTGTGGTTTACACACACAACCACCCTTAAGAAAAACATACATAAATAAATTGCACATATATGTTTATTTATATGCATTGATTTGACTTATTAATTGATCAGGTAATTAATAAATCCCCCCCAAAAATAGGCAACCCTTATTTTAATCACTGATTAGGTGCTCATTCGTTAATTATTCCTTCTTGCAGACACTTTCATTGCCCATTAAACTAAACCCTTCTAAAATTAATAAATTATTGGAGATTTTTCTTGTCCATATATATATACACACACTAATTATTACAATACAATTTTCAGAATATAATGTGCAGGGCAGAATTGGAAAGTCACAAATTACTTTATTTTATCAATTTTGTGGAAGGTTTTGCAAATGCTGGACTCATATTTCTTCTATTTAAGGAGACACAGAGGCTACCATTTTTCTTCCCTCCTCCTCTCCTGTTGTTTGAGCAATCTCTCTTTGTTGTAAGGAATTGGTCATCTGATCTTCTTTCTGCATCCTCAGATTCTGGTATTTCTCCTTCTTTCCACTCTTTGCCATTGCTATGGCTTCCATGCAAAGAAATATACATATACATATACACATACAGAGATTCAGATTCTTGATGGATTTCATTTGTTTTCATATGACTTTCTACGTCAATCTTGATTCATCTAATTTAAGACTTTCTACTGAAGCTGTAGGAGATTAAGATGGAGTATGGACAGGTTCAGCATCAAAAGTACGAATGCCTTTTATTCGGTAAGATAATTCACTTTCTAACAACTTATTCTCACTAGGCTATTTCTAAATAAAATCCAACCAAGTTCTGCCTTTGTTATCGTGTATTTAGATCTCGATGATACACTCTACCCTGTAAGTTCTGGTTTAGCAGCATCAGTTCTTAAGAACATCCAAGGTATTGACCTTTTAACTTTCTGTTACACATTTTTCTTAACATGGGTAAAATATCTCTGATGCAATGTATTTATACATGTTTTCCAATCAGCATACATGGTCGAAAAGTTGGATATCGAAGAAAGTAAAATTCAAGATTTGTCTAATCTACTGTACAAACACTATGGCACCACAATGGCAGGTCTTAGAGTAAGCCCTTCTACTCCCTTCTGATTTTGTATTAAACTTTGATTACGTCGTCAAAAGATTATCAGTCATCACATTTTCTATTTTCAGGCAATTGGATACGACTTTGACTATGACGAGTACCATAGGTATGTTCATAATCCGTAGACGGATCCTAGTATAATTGGATTCTATGGTTTGTATGGATTGGATAAATAATTAAATCATGAGTTTATTTATGATCTTTCAGTTTTGTCCATGGAAGATTACCTTATGAGAACCTAAAACCAGACCCTGTTTTGAGAAGCCTTCTGCTAAGTTTGCCTATAAGAAAAGTTGTAAGTCTCTTTGTTTTCCAAGAATTTCGATGTCAGGTTTAACATATATATAATACACACATTTTATATCTCCGTATCAACAGATCTTCACAAATGCTGATAAAGTCCATGCCATCAAAGCTCTTAGAAGACTAGGTTTGGAAGACTGTTTTGAAGGGATCATATGTTTTGAAACTCTTAATTCTATTCACAACCCCGCCACATCAGACAACGAGGATGATATCGCGTTTCTAGGATCAACACAACCATCCCTAGCTTCAAACAGAAGCCCTGAAATTTTCGACATCATAGGACATTTCTCAAAGCCTGATGCAGCAGCAACCAGTCTGCCTAAGACTCCAGTTGTCTGCAAACCTTCAGAATCCGCCATAGAAAAGGCACTTAAAATTGCCAACATCGACCCTAATAGAACAGTAAGTTTATAAACATCGACATCAAAGTGACACATCACATCTATTTCATTTGCCTAGGTGGTTTGTTACAATTTTCACATGGCCTATGCAGTTGTTCTTTGAGGATAGTGTCCGTAACATTCAATCTGGAAAACGTGTAGGACTTCATACAGTATTGGTGAGTAACCAATCAAAAATAGGAACATTATTTAAAAATTTAAAATATGGCCAAATGACAAAGGTAAATTTTGGACACAGATTGGTAAATCACAGAGAGTGAAAGGAGCTGATTATGCAATTGAAAGCATTCATAACCTCCGGGAAGCCATACCCGAGCTCTGGGAAGGTAACAAACAAGCTGAGGTCAACTACTCATCCTCAGGGATTACAGTGGAGACTTCTGTAACTGCTTAATCACCTTAAGGTTATTATAACAGAAAGGAGAAGGCCATGTTTGATGGTTATTCTTCTCTCTGGTTCACACCTGATCAGTTGATCAAGGCATGTTTGTAAATGTTCTGTCATTATTAAATCAAATAAATAACATATACTAATATTTTCCTTGCAGTAATATTGGCATTTCTTCTTCAGTTGATGTGACATATATCCTTTCTTTAGTATATAAGCCTTCTGCTTATGTCATTGAAGCCATAATTGAACTCAATAATTAGAGGTTTCTAGGTCTGCTACTTGATTAGCTGCCACAAATTTATTTTAGTTGCTGAAAGTGATGTATTTGGACAGATATATCAAGTATTTGGGATTGATCAAAATGGCCAAGATTATTGATGTGTTTGATTACATTTATGGGAGCTATAGGACAAGGTTGAAAATTTTCACTTAGATTCATAATCGGGGAGGACAATGATTTTTGTTTAAAATGATGTAACTTGATATTATATGGTTTAATTACTTTATAGCTGGGCCTCTTTTTCTCTTCCTTTTGTCGTAGAACGGTAGTTTTGAATTCAGTCTTTCACATCTATACCACTGTTGTTGTTTTTAACTATAATGATTTAAGCATGCCATATTTTCAATTTGTCACCGTCAGCAATAACAAATACTTGTTTTTCTAATGAAAAGAATGTTATAAGTGGCAGATTCTAATATGAAGAGTGAGTTTTTCACTGAATAGGTTCATACAATGCCTACCAGTTCTTTGTCTTAACATGACCATAATAAATAAACAAGGACTTAAAAGATCAAATAAACATCAGTTTTCATTTACATAGACACTTTTAAAAGTATGATACTATTCATCAATATAGCGTCAAATTTTGGGAGTGAAGGGAGAATGAAGAAGAAGATTACAAAAAAAAATAAAAATTAATCCAGAAGCAAGAAAGAACCAAGAGAAGGGAAGGGGCATAGATGGTAATTAATATTTTTTAAAAAAATAATAATGGATAAAAAATCATTAAAATGTGTGTAAAATAAAATATTTTAATTTAAATTAAAATAAAGAACACTTGTCTGCCGTTTAATTGGTGGGGTGAGAGGGGTCGGATTACACTAGAGACTAACGATCTCATCCCATAACTTTTTTTCAAAAATATCACATTAAATACCAAAATACCAAATGCATATTCTCTCTGTACAACATCACGTTAAATACTAATTTCTTTTTACTATTTTCAATTCTTTTGAAAACCCCAAAAGTCGTTGCGTAATAAGCGGTTGAAACTATACTCAAATGTCAGACCTAAACAAGAACAATTCAGGGAAAGGGTGATGAACTTAGTTCAGAAATAAACAAGTGGAATTTCAAGGATTTCTGAAATCCTTTTGAATAATTCACTGTATATATGTACTTCACAATCCTAAAGAACTTCACTAATCCTTACAACGTTAGTTTGATTTTCTGTCTCATCCATGCTGAATATGAATCTCAATTAACAAGTTCCACATGCATATACAAAGGCTACATTTAGCTGTTAACTTCAAAACTAAGAAGTAAGAACTTATCTTGTATGGTATCATAATTGCATAAATTTATTGCTCGGGTGGTGCTGGCTCGTCAAACCACCGCGGTGGATCAAAGCCTGACCCTCCTGCCATGGGACAAAGCAAATACATGATTATAAATCTCTATGTTCCTATTTAGCCATGAATTTACAATAGTTCTCAGAATCAGCCAATGATTATAACAATAAAATTACCAAGAGGGTTGCAGCGGCAGAGGCGCCAGGCAGTCAATATTGTGCCCTTTACAACTCCATAGTTCTTGTAAGCAATCATCGAGTACTCGCTGCATGTTGGGACGTATCGACAACTATTTGGCAACAATGGTGAAATCTCCCCTGTTACAACCAACATCACAGCACCCCAAAACTAAACACTTCAATTCCCAGCCTTCTAAGACATTACAATGTATAAAACCTAGTCCTTAAAAAACGAGGTGCACACAAAAATTTACCCACTCCTTCAGTCCTAATTTGCAGCTAAATCAAGAACTGAAGAACATTTCAATCCAAGAAAATAGCAATGAGTGAGAGAGGACCTCACGTTTGTAGAATCTTAACATGGACAGTGCAGTCTTGACACCTAAATTATCAACTCCAGCTTCTGAAATTTACCAAAAGTCTCAAGAGTTATATCCAAGCCCCAAATTTCACGAAGATAATTGAAATTTAATCACCGAAAACAAAATTTACCCTCTGAGCTGCTCTGCGCGGTATCTTCTCTTTGATTGCTACAAACCACGAGCCGGCGTCGAAGCATACATTCCTGCACATGGAAAATATAGTCTATTATATTTATATTTGCCGAATGGTGGGTAGAAGAGAAATAGTAAGTATCAGAGTTACGAAATACAGTGACGGTGGAAGAGGTGGATGAATAACGGCCCTTGGGGAATCGTACGGAGTGCCGTGAGTTGTTGAATTTGAAATTAGGGTTTGCGGGAGAAAAGGGATAATCAATAATTATTGGTTGTGTTGAAAGAGTTGGTGCCATTGGAGTAAGGGATTGAAACTTGCGGGGTTGAGTGCAATACAATTTGGAAGAATTGCGTCCACAGACAGGAAAAAATAGCAGCTTTCGCAATTCAACAAATGAGTGGAGGTCGAAGACCGTTTGATATGGTTCTTCCGACCTTTCAAAACAGTAATAAATATGGGTAATGTTTAGATCCGCCATTGCTGTTGGTCAAAAGTGAATGCAAACAAGCAACACAAGCCACTCCCCAGTGATGATAGCCTTCCAATTCGATCCACTCCAGTTTGTCCCGTACCTGTTCTTCAATGGGAATCGTCGCTCCGAACTGTAGCCTAATTTCATTTTATTTATATATGGAAAGATAGTGTAAAGTTTGAGGTTATTAAGTGAAAATTGGGTAAAAGGTAAGGTTTTTTTTTTTTTTTTAGATTTGATTTTTGGATTAAATTTATGAATAGTAAAAAATTATATTTTAAATATAAAATTATTTTTGTAATATAAGATATTATTTTATAATATTTATAACAATATATTATATTAAAAAATATAAAGTAAACAAACTATAAATTTATTTAAAATTATAAATACTAAAAAGATAAAACAAAATATGATGAATTTTGAAACAAAAGTGTGTGCTTCGACATATTTTGAATACAATTATTTAAATATAAATTATGACTACAGATGGCCTAATAACAACAACCTCTTGCAAAGATGATTGAATTATTTCAATAAATTATTCTCTTTACCAAACCTGACGATATAAATTTGTCTTTACCTTTACCGTCGCGAACTGCTTCGTGTCTACATCGGTGATTGGACCACGTCCGCTTCGGCTACTGCACAGCACTGTCCCATCCCATCCATTCCCATTTCTTTTTCTTCCTTCCTTTATAATAATTGGCTAAATACGACTGGAAATCTTTTTAATACTAGTAGTATTTAATACCACACAGTTAAGACTTGGGCCTTCTCTTCGCTTCCTCTTCTTCTCTGCCTGGCGTCAGAATTGTTGTCTGCAACCGCAATCAACCGGACAAGTGGGAAAGTGACGAAAGGGGGAAAGGTCACCAGCGAAGAAAAGAAATGGGTTTGCTTTGCTTTGTCGTTGAGGCGTCGGCATTGCCAAAAAAGTAAAACCCCAAATTCCATCAACAACTCTCCTCCCCTGTTCATTCATTCCTTCGTTCGCTGTTCTCTGCCAACTGTTGGAATAGTTGACCTAACCCCTCCACAAGGCATCCCTCCTCCGCCCTCCTCCACCGCTCACCCACCCTACCTACCCCACCTCCACCTCGGAGAGATTCTTGCCTTTTTTATTGCCTCGTGTTTCCGATGGCTTCGGCACCGGATTCCTCACAGATTCGAGCCCACTCACGGCGGGCGGGCAACATGATTCACCCTGTTTCGCTGGAGTCTCCGTCCCCGGCGCCGGCCTCGTCCGCCGCCGCCGGCAGTCCCGACAACGTTGCTTACAGGGAAGTCAAGCATTTCAAGAAATGGTTCCCTTGGTTGATTCCTTTCTTTGTGGTTGCGAATATTGTGATGTTCATCATCACCATGTACGTGAATAACTGCCCCAAGAATTCTGTTTCTTGCGTTGCTGGATTTCTGGGGAGGTTTTCCTTTCAGCCATTTAAGGAAAACCCTCTTCTTGGGCCTTCATCTTCAGCGTATGATGCTCTTCTTCTCTCCCTCAAGTTTCGCTTCATTCTTGAAATTTCATCTTTAATTCTGTAGTATCTACTTTTTTAAAAAATAAAAATAAAAATGTGATGAATGATGTTTGGGTAAAACACACTACCTTTAGTCCCAAGAATTGTCTGAATTCGTTTTCTATCTGCCTTAAAACTTGTGTGGTGAATTCAAAGATACACAAGTTTAAAGATATGAAAGGATGATGTTCATGTTGCATCTGTATGGTTTCATTGACAATTTTGAGAATGATCAAGTAGGAGATGAATGACGATTACAGCACTACTTTCTACATCGAAATAGCAACTCGATTCTAAGAGATTATGTTTAATACAAGATTTTGTATAGGTTGGAGAAGATGGGTGCTTTAGATGTGAACAAAGTTGTCCATCATCATCAAGGCTGGCGCCTCATAACCTGCATGTGGTTGCACGGTGGAGTTTTTCACGTGCTCGCCAACATGTTAAGTTTGTTGGTTATCGGCCTTCGGCTAGAACAGGAGTTCGGATTCGGTAATCCTATCCGTCAATAGTCATTAATTTGATCAATGTCGATTCATATTTTGAACCACCTAATTTCCCGTTGCAGTGCGGATTGGTTTGCTCTATCTGATATCGGGTTTTGGCGGGAGTTTGTTTTCTGCTCTTTTTCTTAAAACAAACATATCTGTCGGCGCTTCCGGTGCCCTTTTTGGACTATTGGGAGGAATGCTGTCGGAGCTTATAACTAATTGGACAATATATGCTAACAAGGTATCCATTTAGCACTGAACTTTCGCACGGCATCCATGTCTAGGCCTAAACATTCGATCGTTCCATTTTGACAGGTGGCAGCTTTGTTGACACTCGTGATAATCATCGTTATCAACTTAGCCGTGGGAATCCTTCCGCACGTGGACAACTTCGCACACATAGGGGGGTTCTTGTCAGGATTTCTTCTCGGTTTCGTATTCCTGATACGTCCACAGTTTGGTTGGGTTAACCAGAGATACACCCCGATCGGTTATTCAGCATCGTCCTCAAGCCCCAAATTCAAGCCATACCAATGCGTGCTTTGGGTCCTCTCCTTAATCCTTCTCATTATCGGGTACGTGGTCGACATACGATTTCGAGCTTTCTTTTCTTGCTATAAGCGTTGATATCGTTTATGTCCCGACAATGCCTGGCACAGGTTTACCGTCGGATTGGTTATGCTGCTCCGAGGAGTGGATTTGAACGATCACTGCTCGTGGTGCCATTACCTCAGCTGCGTCCCGACTTCGAGATGGAGTTGCAACACGCAGCCCGTCTCGTGCCAGGCCGAGCACACCGGGAACCAGTACACGTTGACGTGCTCGAACGGCGGTAAGAGCAGATCGTACTTGCTCATGAATCCATCGGATACACAGATTCAGGGACTCTGTGCCCAGCTTTGTACATAGCCTCCATTTTCAGGGATGATCCATGATTTCAGTATATGTTCGATTTGTTAAATTCATTGCGTAGATGAAGACAATATGTAGTTGTGGGAGTTGTTGGCTTGCCCACATAGTTCAATTCTCTGTAGTATATTCATCGGAACTTGCTTTTATGTAATGAATGTTCTTTTTATTTTGAAGGCTTCTGGTCAAACTAAGTAAATATTTTTCTTAGTTAATATAAATATGGGCTGAAAATTATGTATTGGGCCTTCTGGTTGTGGCCCAATCTGGGCGGCTAGTTATGAAATGGTCGAATAGGGAAATAAATATCTTGCGGGTAATGTATCCGGGAGCGGTGTCGTGAGATTTTTCCGTCCGGGGTGGAATTCATGGAGTTTAATTGTTGATTAGATTAGAGGATATGGCGGTTCGCGTTGTGAATGGCGCGACAATCCTGCGCTGCTGCGCTGTGTCTCCGTCGCTTGCCACTGTCAGATGCTGCGTGCAGCTTTCCCGGACTGGTCCATTTTATTCCTCCACTCGTTGCTCGATTTCACGGCAACTTTGCTGTCGAGTGATTTCTTTTGGCTTTGGAAGCGTTGCTACTCGAAGGTACTCAGCGCAGAGTCTAGTGGATGTGGTCCTCGAAGAGCTGGAGTCACTGCGGAAGCGTGGCAAGGTTCGCGCCTCAAACAAGTACGGATACGTTTTTCATTTGTTGATGCATTCTGCCAAATTGATTCTCTTTCGCGATTATAGCTATATTACTCGTCTCATATCTGGTGCTGATAGTTTTAAGCCTTTGAAATATGGTTGCAAGAGAATGTTTCTAACAATTCATGAAATCCAGTAGGATTTCATTTATTATGGTTTGGAATCACGTGGAGAAATCATGATGTTGGACCTGTTACAAGAGGAGGGCTTAAATTTTTAAAAAGTTTTCTTAATTTTTCTTCTTATATGACCTCTAGGTCCTGTTCTATACCTTACTGCACGTGAGCATAATTTGTCTAAATTTCATTTTTGATACATCGTGGATGGTACAGAAAATTCTAAGAATTATGTTTAGGTCGTTGAGTCTGGTAAAAAATTTTAGACACAAAAATTCTACCTTCAGCAGACTAATAATAGATCATTCCCATACGCATTTGTATACCTATCTTAAGTTTGTATACCTATTTTTTACATGAAAATTTGTTTTGCAGATTAGAGCTGAAAGGCAGCGAAGAGCTTCTTGAAAAAAGGTTAGAGAGGCGGGTACTTCAGAAAGGATTGCTACTGGAATTTCAAAAAGATGCAGAACGGGTATTATTAGCAGTTGCACAGAAGGCAGATGGCAAAAAAAACTGGATAGTAGCAGATCAGGTGTTAAGACAATTATTGAAATAATCATGGTTATGTTACTTGGTTGTTGGTTTCTTTTTTACTTGGCACTCTATTGTGCCATTATTAATTGTATCTTTTTGATTGCTTGTTAAGCAGAATGGTGTGATGGCATCTATTAAGCCTCAACAGATCACCTTTATTGTGCCTGGTATCAACAACTTTGATCACACAGAGATAGCAAATTTTCTTCAGAAAGCTCACGAAAATTTGGTTTGTTATTCTTACACTAGTTGAATGGAAGCTCACTTAGTAACAGTTAACAATATCTAGAAGAACTGATATTTTGTTATCAGGACCCTGCATTGCTTGAGTTTGCATGGATGGAGCTTCTTGAAAAGAATAAATCTTGTACAGTGGAAGAACTTGCAGAAGTATGATTTTAAACTATGACATTTACACATTATTTCCTCTAATGACCCAAGTTTGTTCTAACAGATGATTTATGGTAGTGCGGAACCTCTTGAGAGCTATTCTGCTCATCTTTTGCTTTCAAAGGATGATATATATTTCACTACTTTGGAGACTAAAGGTTCACACTCTGTCTATGGGCCAAGGCCTGCTGTTCAGGTTCGCTCAACTTCGGAGGACATTTAGTGTTGTCTGCGAATAAAGTTATCCTGATTTTTCATTGAAATTTTATCTACAGTATTATGCTTCTCCACAATTGTATATACTGGGTAGGGTTAGGGATTATTGATTGCCTTATTCATGGGATATAACAGAAATTGTATTACTTTTTGGCAATTTAGTTAAAAGTTGAGACTTGATGAACATGATTTCTTAGGTTGAAGAACTTATGCGAAGGAAGCTTGTCAAGGAGGCTGCAGAAAGGGAACTTGAAGAGTTTGTTGAATTGTTGAAATCTGCCAAAAACACGCCTCTGCATTCAAAGCCTCCAAGATCTATGTGGAAATGTGAAGAGAAAAACCGAAGGAAAATTGAGTGTCTTGAAGCATATGCAATTGATGAGTATATGAATGAAGATGAAAGAAAAACAGCTGGAATGGTAATTTGTTTGAGCATTATCCTTACTATATGTCATTTGTTGATAATTAGACCAATTTTTAAATAATCTAATTGCTATCTTTGCTCACAATTAATTCAGATTCTATCTTCCGCTGCTTCTAATACAGGCTCAATCTAATGAACATGTTTATCACACACTACCATTTAAACACAAGTATAATGAAGGGATTCATTAACACATTACTTCTAGCAGATTTTGAAGGCCATGGGGCTCTCTAAAACAGCACCAGCGGCAGTTAGTCTCCTCATCGATATTGGGTATTTCCCAGTGCATGTAAACCTTGAATTGTTGAAGTTAAGCATTCGTACTGATTATCCAGAAGAGATTCTCACCGCTGCTGAAAGGCTCTTGTTTGAGTCACCTGACCTGGATGAGGTATGCTTGTTTGGTATTTTTTTAGTAGTTTAGATGAACTCAACAAAAATTAGAATAAAACAAGGATCTAAAATTTAACTGAAAACTTGATAACTCAATGTATCAATTTCAGTGGCTTCATGCTATGTTCTACACTCTATATTGGCTGCACTCACAATGGGTGAAAGTGATGCTCAATGGAAAGGATCACTTTCCTTGTGTTTTTCATTTTGACATCAGGACAGATTTTTTTCATACAATTTGAATTTCTATAGACATATCCAGTGGAGTTTGTGTATAGCAGAATCTCAAAACAGTTTCAGATTAGATGCAGTAGATCTGCAAGAAGTATGCAGCCGTAGATGCAGCCGTAGAATGTGCTGTTTGAATAATGGTGCGATCTGTGTTTCCTAGTGCATGCTTGCTGGGTACTTATATTGAACCACACACAATAGATCTAGGGCATTTAAGAATACGAAGCAAAAGTTCAAAATTTGGACTTACTCATGTTGCGACTTTATTAAGCAATGTCAAAACAACATGGTAGAATAATTCCATTTTCATGGTAGAAATATGGAAACAATGTGATCAACAACAGTAGAAGGTTATCTTTTATGTTAAAGAGAGCTTTTTTAATTAATTATTACCATATCTGTGCTGTCTTTGCTGTTTGTTGTTTGCTCTCATAGAAGATCTTGCAAAAGTCAAAGTCAATGTGAGACAAGTATATTTCATTCATTTAGAGAAAATCTGGTGTGTGATCACTTTATCATGCTAACTGTGTTATTATACCATACAAAAGGCTCAGTGATCTGATGAAAACTATTATGTCTGTTTGTATCCTCCAGACCCAGTCTGTTTATATAGAGAGTTATTGTTATTTTGTGCAAGTGTTTTGTCCATGTGAGAATCCTAGAACAAAATTGCACAGAAAAGAAATTGCATGTATTTTTTACACATGTTTCAACAATGTAGAGCTGGCCTTTGTTGCAGGTTGACAGAAGAGATATGACTGGCATGAAAGTTTATGCCATTGATGTTGACGAAGCTGATGAGGTACACATATTTTGTCCCTTATGATTTCTTGGTGTAATTTGATTCATGGGGTAAGAGTTAGAGATCTATATTCTTATGCTTAAGAAGGTATTTGCACATTGCTAATAATCAGGCGTGTGCAGCTCGATGACGCGTTGAGTGCAACTAAGCTTCAGGATGGCCGAATAAAAGTGTGGATCCATGTTGCTGATCCAACTAGCTTAGTTCTTCCAGGGAGCAATATAGACAAGTATAGAGTGCATTCTTCTAAATCCATGATTCAAAAAGTCTCAGACATTTTCTAATATAAATCTTGATTTTAGAGAGGCTATGAAGAGGGGAACTTCTGTGTTTTTACCAACTGCTACCTACCCAATGTTCCCTGAGAAATTAGCAATGGAAGGCATGAGTTTGAAGCAAGGGGAGCACTGCAGGGCCATCACAGTTTCTGTTGTGTTGCATTCTGATGGAAGGTAAGTGGGTATGGCATGGAAGTTGGCTGAAACTAATTATATAGGACATTCTTTTACCACTCTATCTGATGACTGGATATGTTGAAACTTTGGAAGAGTGCATCCTTTGTTCTTTGATAATTAGATGTGTTTCTTCTTAGTCCATCTGCAAGTTGATATCTGTTGAGCCCATGGGAGCAAATTAATAGTGTCCTCTTTCACCCATGATTTGGCTGGAACACACCCCTTCATCTCTTAGAAGCCTAGCACTTGTTATCCCTGCTTTTCCGAAACAAAACAAGGACATGTTTTTTTTAGTAACCTGCTTGCAGCATAATGTTCATGTTTCTTATTTTTGCAAATAAAAATATGACTACTTTAATTCCCTTTGGAATTTATGGGTGATAATAACTCTTGTTGAGTCGTAAAATCTAATTCTAGGGACTTACATATATTCACTTTATTGTGCCACACATACAAGCATTTCTTTGCCCAAAGCATTTACATTCTGGCATACCGTGCAGTGAATGTTCTCCTATGCTATGTATAAATCTAGAAAGTGATCTTACTCCAATATGTTTATAGCATTGCAGAATACTCGGTGGAAAACACTATCATAAAGCCAACATACATGCTTACATATGAGAGTGCAACAGAACTTCTCAACCTGAACCTCGAAGAGGAATCTGAACTCGGACTTCTTTCAGATGCTGCTGCAATTCGTTTCCAATGGCGTCAAAAACAGGTTGGTATTACTCCGTCAAGAAGTCCAACATTGATGTATCCCTATTTGGTGACTCGCGATTATTTGATTACCTTTATAAGAGTTTTCGATTCGGGTAAGAATATGAGAAGTAGATATAGCTTTCTGGCCTTGAATTCTGAATCATTTTCTTTGGCTTATTAGCGGAAACATTATCATGAGTTTTTGTTCATTCACTTGCTTGGAATCCATTAACCAGACTATTTTTCTTACCTTTCTTCTAGTACATGTACAGTCCATGTGTAAGGTATATATCTTTTGTAAGTAATGGTTTAAATTTTCAAGTTACTCTTATTTACTTCTATGTGCTTACTTGAAGGGCTATGTGAAAAACTTCATGAGTCCTCATCAACTATAAGAAGCCATGACCTCCTTCTCTAGGTCATGAGAGCTTGCTGTAGATCATTCTTCATAATATCTTATAATAAGTTATATTTGTAACTATGGCTGCTATGCTTTTTAACCTAACTTATATTTTTTAGGGTGCAATAGATACATCTACATTAGAAACTCGAATCAAAGTAAGTAATCCAGATGATCCAGAGCCTTCGATCAAGCTGTATGTGGAAAATCAGGCAGATCCTGCAATGCGCATTGTATCCGAGATGATGATACTTTGCGGCGAAGTTATAGCTACTCTTGGTTCTTCAAACAATATTGTTTTACCTTATCGTGGGCAACCTCAGTCAAACATTGATGTCACTGCGTTTACCCATCTTCCTGAAGGCCCTGTGAGGAGCTCTGCTATGGTTAGAATCATGCGAGCTGCTGAAATCGATTTCAGGAAGCCTATCCGCCATGGTGTTTTAGGACTTCCTGGATATGTTCAATTCACATCTCCCATCCGCAGATACATGGATTTACTGGCTCACTATCAGGTATTTTATGATTCTTGGACAGCAACGAATCAACAGGCGCTTTAATATGGTCCATTTGTATTCTGAACAAATCCTTGACTCCTTATTTCTTAAGTTCACCCAATGGTTTGTTAGACAACACCTCCATAACTACCATCTCTTCCACTTCTGTTGATAACCTGGGCATAGATAATATGTAGACAGATAATTGTACATATTTGAGTGTGTTGCGTGTTTAGCAAGTGCTTATGTATCTCTGCGCACTCTTTTAATACCATCAATGAATTAGTGGCCAGATTCATAGGTGGAATATCATCTAAGAACAAATTACTGTTAATTGACAAACCATAACAGCTTAGTTATAGGATTTCCTGCGTTGTAGATCTACTAGAAAGTGTTGCATTGTAACATGGCTTGATAATTGGTAATGCTGACTGGTTCCAAATTATAGGTGAAAGCTTTTCTTCGGGGAGATTCTCCTCCTTTCTCTGCTGGACAGCTAGAAGGTATTGGATCTATGGTAAACATTAACATGAAGGTGGCAAAGAGGCTGAGCTCCAGCAGCCTACGATATTGGATAATAGAATACTTGAGGCGGCAACCTAAAGGAAAAAAGTTTTCTGCTTTGATCCTCCGCTTCATCAAAGATAGAGTTGCATCCATATTCTTGGTGGAGGTAATGAAAATGTATTGCTTGAATTTGCTAACAGTGAGGCAATAAAAGTACATTGAAAATCTTCATAGGAAATATTGAATTGCTTTCTCCACTCTCCTGAACTTATGGTTGAGTTTCTCTGTGCCTCTTAATACTCTGGATTGTGTCATTCTTTGTTGTAACAACAAATTAAATTACTAAAAGTACACCTTTTGTAGGTTGGAATATATGCGTCTCTCTGGGTATCTGTTGGCATGCACATCGGTGATGAAGTAAAAGTTCAGGTGGAAGCAGCACATCCACGTGATGATGTTCTTACTCTCAAGGAGGTTCCAGATATATGAAAGTCTGGTTTTTGCATCAATGAAATCCAGAATTTTGTCATCTTCGATGTCTGAAGATGCAGAAGCCATCATTTTCCTTGAAATGATGAGCATTTTTGCTAGTGCAACATGTCGTGGTGTTACTACGTGCATGAGTGGGCAAAGAATGATAGGGTTGCCCTTCTCTTATGAAGATATCTGATAAAGGACAATATGAGTCCTGATTGGTTACCAATTCCGGAACAGGCTGCCCAATCTCATCACAAGGTAAAGATATTTATTTAGTATGTATGTATGTATGTATGTAGTGAAAGTTTAACCAGGCCGCCTGGATGTAATATGATAACATACATATTCTCACCATTTTTCTAAGGAAGGCAATCTCGGGAGAGTGCAACCTTCCTTTTGTTGGAGGATCAGGTCAAGGAAAAGTTATTCTCACAAAATGGTTATGATTCATGCCCCCCGCTTCATTTCAACCATGTATGTACAAAATTCTCAATGTATTTTATTTTCAATAGTATGATATTTTGTGGGACAATATTTAGAAGGACAATTCTTACTCGCTTTGCTATCCTTCATCGTCCATTGAACAGGTAAACAGGATGGATCTCTGTAATTATTATTATTATATAGTATAAATTTTGTTTGCAGAATGACTGTGATGTTTCTAAATGAGCTTCATTTTCTCAATATATGGCTTGCATGTATGTTCCTAAAGACATATGTTAGGGTATCATTGGCTAAGAAAGAATCCATGGCTCGCTGCAAACCCTGCCCTTTGCAAGTTCTGTTAAATTCCTCAAATTAATTAGTAGTAATCATTATTATTATATGATGGATTTATTAATTTAATAAAAAATTTATTTTGCTCCTTCGCTTTTGTATGATCCACTGCACTGCGGATTGGACATTGCACAGTAATCTTACTTCCCTCCATAAATACCACTCGCCCATCTATTCCCTCCTACAAACCACATAGGCAAGGCAACAGACCCTGTTTTTTAGATGGCTGCTACAGTTAACTTCCTGATGGCTGTCACCAATCTCCTCTGCTTTCTGATCGCCGCTGTGGCCAAAATCCCCGGCGCCTACACCGTAGGTCCCTGGAATACAGCTCACGCCACTTTCTACGGCGGCAGCGACGCCTCCGGCACCATGGGTACGTACCCTAACACACACACACATATATATATATATTACCTTTCTTGATTCGTATATCTTGTATGTCTTGTATATATGTATGTATGTGGTGTTTGTTTTCACTTTTCAGGCGGTGCTTGTGGGTACGGGAACTTGTACAGCCAAGGCTACGGCGTGAATACGGCGGCACTGAGCACGGCGCTGTTCAACAATGGGCTGAGCTGTGGAGCCTGTTTCCAAATCAAGTGCGACGCCGCCATGTGGTGCAATCCGGGCAGTCCCTCCATCCTCGTCACGGCCACTAACTTCTGCCCGCCCAATTTCGCGCTGCCCAATGACGACGGTGGGTGGTGCAATCCCCCCCGCCCGCATTTCGACCTCTCTATGCCAGTCTTCCTTAAAATTGCACAGTACCGCTCCGGCATCGTCCCCGTCGCCTTCCGCAGGCAGGCAACCACTATATATATATATATATATATATATCCCTGTTTTCTCAGTTTCTTCGAGAAGCTACTCAATCGGATTCGTTACTTTTCTAATGACAGGATCCCATGCAGAAAACAGGGAGGAATTCGATTCAAGATCAATGGCTTCCGTTACTTCAACCTGGTTCTGGTCACCAACGTAGCGGGCGCCGGAGCTATAGTCCGCGTGAGCGTGAAAGGCACGCGCACTCAGTGGTTGGCGATGAGCCGCAACTGGGGGCAGAACTGGCAATCGAACGCCGTCCTCGTCGGCCAGGCCCTGTCCTTCAGAGTCACCGCCGGTGATCGTCGCACCTCGACTTCCTGGAACGTGGCCCCCGCAAATTGGCACTTTGGACAGACCTTTACCGGCAAAAATTTCAGGGTATAACTATAACATAACTCCCCCTGCAGCTTCAAATAATCTTCTCCATTTTTCCCCGAGAAGAATTTGAAGCATCGCCATAGGAGCTTAATTAGTTACCTACCCCGCTTGATGTAATAGAAAATTTTGTGTGCACGATTATCGCTTTCCTCTTTTCCTTTTTTAACTACTTTTGGAGTTTTGGCGTGTGTAGTAATGTTATGATTTATGTGGTGAGATTTTGCATGAAGATTAATGATGTGTCATCTTCTTGATCTCATTGTGTAGCCTTCATATGATCGAAAGAAGAGCCATTATTCTATTAAATCAGAATCACGGAAGAGGGGTTTTCTGGTTGGTTGGTTGATTGTTGCCCATTATGGTCAAGAAATAATAAAAGTATATATATTCTCAAATTCTTTTCATAGCCCGAACATGAAACTGGAAAGTGTCAGAATGCATGATGATGCATTACTATAATGTTGACTTGGAAGCAGAAGCAGAGGCAGAGGCAGCAGCCATAAATAATTATTACTACAATGTCAAACATCACATGCATGTTGGATGTGTTATCTTATTGCTTGCTCCTCCTCGTATTTCTGTTTTGAAATGTTCCATCATAAAGTGAAGAGTTGACTGGATTTTGTGGCTGCCTGCATTATACTACTACTACTACTACTACTAAACTTGATGAACACACAGCTCCTTCAAGGAGCAGAGCTATGTTGATCATCGATTCGTTACAAGGACGGGCACAGAAAGAGAATATAATATAATAGGATTTGTACCTTATATATCATGATAACAAAAGTCCTTGAGGTCCATCCACTGCTTTCTTATCTATCAATATCATATCTGTTGTGCATTCATTCCAAAGGTATTTATTTATTAATTAATAATAATATCTCACACCATGACCAAAACCAACAATGAATATGATTCTTCTCTACCCTTAATAGGTAGTAAGTAGGTAAGGTACCCTTTGAAATTTTTGATTGATATGATTCCCTGCTGCCCTCCACAATTAAAAATAAATAATCTAGTACTCATAGTGCATTTATTTATTTTGCATTTAGACGACCGTTTGTACAACTGCTTTCAACCTTTACTAGGTCGGTGGGTTCTCAGGCATTTCACCATTGAAATTTAGTATAGATTCCAGATAATTTGTTAAACAGAAGAAGAAGTAACATATATTCTAGTCAACAAAAACAGTGATGTAAAATGTGGCTCAAAATTACAGCTCACTTTTAAGCAAGGATCTTATTCTCTCTCACCTTTATAGCAAATAGAACAACGATGAAAATCATTATATATTTGGTTGGGCCGTAACCCGAACCTTATTATTTAGGCCCAACGATCAGTATATATTAGGCCCCAATCTATATGAATAAATACTCTGGGCCGCCACAAATAAGAAGCCCGGGGTTATCAATTATGATAAAAAAACAAAGTAATAATAAGCGCGGCGCCGTCTGTGGGAATCGAACCCACGACCACATGGTTAAAAGCCATGCGCTCTACCGGCTGAGCTAAGACGGCCTTGTATTTATTTAGTTAATTATTATTATAAAGTAGGTGTTATTGTTAGTTATTTAGTAGTAATTCATAGACCCAGTCCGACATTCTTTGAAACAAACTTGCAAAACAATTTCAATGAAATAAAGCACAATGTTGACTTGTACGATACGCAAATATATATATTTTTTGACTAGGCTCAGGAAGGCCCCAAATGATATCACAAGTCAAATTTGGCTGACTAATAAAAGTCAATACAACGACAGCTATCTGCTCTATCCAACTCCCACCACTTTAATTACCCATTCCCATATTTCACGTCAGAAATTCATTATTTTCTACATCCAAATGAATGAATGATATAACCTAAAACACCATACATTTCTTTCCCTTCTTCAAACATACATTAGAGAATGTCTTTATCCAAAATTAATTACATCTCCCGAATAAGTAAGAAAACAGAGAGAGTTCAAAGATCTTACAACACATTCCCTTTCGTGGCATCTTCAAAATTAAATCATCACTACAAACCACTTCTTCTTCTTCTACATAAAACTCTACTACAGTCTACAAAAGCATCCATCGCCATAAACCCAAAATCAAACAAACTGTACAAGCTTCAAAATAACAGATACTCCTCGTACTCCCAACAACATTAACCGTATCGAACCGAAGCAGACGGCCGCGGATAAGCCACACGCGGCGCCGTGCGCGTTTCTTCAGAACTGCTCTTGCACGGCCTCAGCCCGCCGCCGTTCGATCCCTGACGATGATCCCTTCCATCGGTTTTCGACAAGTCCTTCAAGTCCTGGAGCTGCTCTAAAGCTGCCACCACTCCTACCATATTCGGCCTCGTCCGAGCGTCAACGCACAGGCACTGCATCGCAAGATTAGCCACCTTTGCAGCTTGGCTCAACGAATACTGCCCTTCGAGCCGCGCATCCAAAACATGAAAGATCCTTCGTTTGTTCGTCAGGTAAGGTTTCGCCCACTCAACTAGATTGTGCTCCCCTCTCGGCCGGTTCTTGTCGATTGCTTTCTTACCCGTTAATATCTCGAGAAGCACGACCCCAAAGCTATATACGTCGCTCTTGGAAGTTAAATGACCTTACCATTGAAACATGCGCGGAAAAAACAAATTAGATTAGATATGACAACCTCGTACCACAATGTAATACATTTTTACCTGTGGATAAATACTCGGGAGCTGCATAGCCGTAAGTGCCCATGACCCGCGTCGAGACATGGCTCTTATCTCCAGTAGGCCCGTCTCTAGCCATCCCAAAATCGGAAAGCTTGGCATTGTAGCTCTATTTATTACAATCAGAACAACGGATTAGTCGAATTATAATGGGTCCGAACACGAGCAGTATCTGTTTGCAAGAATACTAACTGAATCAAGAAGGATGTTAGAAGTCTTGAAGTCCCTGTATATCACTTGGGTCTCGGCATTGTGAAGAAAGGCGAGACCTTTAGCAGCACCAAGAGCAATTTTCATCCTTAGACTCCACGAAAGGGGTTGGAAATATGATCCTCCTAGTTTCGCCAACAATTAAATCGGTTAATCGATACTCGTTTCGATAAAAATATTTGTACTGCTGCGGAGTCGATTTTTTGCGAAACTCACTTCTGAAAAGATGATTTTCCATGCTGCCCTTTGGCATGAATTCATATACCAAGAGTCTGTGATCGTCCTCCAAACAATAGCCGATTAATTTCACAAGATTCGGGTGTCGCAGCTGGCCTAAATAGATGATTTCAGCCTGTACATTAATCAAATTAGTTACAGTTTTCGTCGACAAAACAGACGATCAAGCTGCAAAAATGGAGGAAATTGTCGAAGTTACCAGCCACTCTTTGTGTCCCTGCCAACCCTCTTGGTTAAGCCTTTTAACAGCAACAACCATGCTCGAACCGGGCCTCGATGCTGCGAGTGAATGCTCGTCGATCCATCCTTTGAAGACAGAACCAAAACCTCCTTCTCCTAAGACACTGTCGGGGCGAAAGTTTCTGGTTGCTGATTTGAGTTCACTGAACGTGAAGCTTTTCAAATTGGATGACTGCAAGATTTCGCCTTCACTTCGAGGAGCTGCAGGTGTCGAAGCTGAAGATGCCTTGTTGCTGGAATTACTAAATTCCGACCCCTCTCCACTCGCCATTTTACCCGAAGTCACACCTGTTCAAATTAGCCGGTAAGAATTTTGATTGCAGAGGACAACATATGGAATTTTAGGTTAGAACAAATCATGGTAAGATCCAAATCAAAACAAGAAGGATTCACTCCCAGTTATAGTCAAGTGAAGAACAGAAGGAAACGACAAGGCAAGATCTTGAAAAGAAGAGTTCATATATATATATATATATATATTTTTTTTTTTTTAAAAAAAAGACTGTAAGAAATAAAGAAAGACGATGTCTCCAAACAGACATACCTGTACCAGTAATCGAAGGGCTTTCAGCCTTAATCTGGTTACTCAAGCAGATCCCCATTTCAATTCCAGAAAAAAAAAAAAAAAACTCCAAGAATAAACACAAACGTCTGTCTACTGTATTACAGCGAGCAGCCCACAAGCTAAACTCCAAAAATCCCTCAAGATTTCATTTTTTCTTTTTTTTTTTTTTTAATTTTTCTTCTTGTTCTTACAAACAACTAAGAACTCGAGCAACTCCCAAGGGCCACGACGAAACGAATCAATCTTTGTTGCCAGAGCCAGATCTACTGTGAATACTTCACTGCTATTATAGCCCCCACTCTGACCTCTCAGGTGCTTCCAAATAAAAAAGCGAGCAGAAGACAGAAAAAAAAAAAAGATGAGATCTTCGATGGGAAAAGATCTCAAAAGGGTAGCAATATTTGATGATTTGATTCACAGGAAGGCTTTTAACTTTGCTGTATGGAAAATCGAAATTCGAGAGTTGGTTGGTTTTACTTGGCCAAGTCTTCGTCTGTTGTTGCTTAAAAGTAGACCTCTGTAAAGTATTTCGATGACCTATGCAGTATTTGACTCGCTCTCTCTCTCTCTCTCTCTCTCTCTCTTGCTCTTGTCTTTTCTACAGGAGACATTTTTTGTGGTCGGGATTTTATTAACCTTAGAATGATGATGTTATGGATCGAATTAAGGTTCAAATGTGCTCAGCTTTGGATTGTTCCTCGAGATTACAATTATAATAAGTTTCCTCCCAGCAGTGTAATAGATTAAATCGTCGTTAAATAATTAATCTATTTGAGGTTCAATTTGTTTATTTGGTTCAGAATGTCTTAGAAATCTACATTGAGGGTACCTTGGAATCTCTCGAGGAAGATGAATTAGCTCAAATAATTTTGGAGTATAAAAGAAGTAAAAATAAAATAAAAGACATTAATCTTTAGCCCATACGGAATGTGTTTATCCCACTGGATTACAGAAGGGTCTGACAGGTAATCTCAATTAAAAAATTAGAAAGTGGTTGAAAGTTTTTGACTTGGACACAGAAGTGGATCAGTGAGGGAGCTAGGGCATGGATAGCATGCCTATTAATTAATAAAATTGTAATTAGTATTAATATGAACAGTCCAATAAATGCCCTCTTAATAAATGCTGTCTGGAATACAACTAATTATACAACTGAATAGATACTGACTTTTTTAATATTTGCTGCCACAATTATTTGCCTATTGATGGGCAGATCTTTGCTGCAGCACTGCCCCAGAACAAGAACCAGATTGATTGAGGTCCCATTAAAATTCACGTTTCTGTCTGATCAGAAACCATAAACATAATTAATTAATTGATCTATATTTAGTTGTAAAATAGGGATAAAGATTTGGGGGGTCGTTTTAAGATTACCATTAATGGCCAGTTCGAGTTCATACTGGAATACAGAACGCACTGAGTTGTGTTGTATTTTCAATCTGGCAAAATTGTTATGAGCGTTGAAATAATTAACAAGATGACAAGTAAGGGTAATCAATTATTAAGGTCGACCGACGAGTCATAATGACAAAAGTCTTATCCAAACCCCAACTGCACGTACATATTTATAATCCAGTTAGGTCTGCTCTGCAACATGGGCTCCTATTTCTACTTAATTGGGCCTTATACTACAGCCCAATTTATATTGTATATTTGATATGGATTGCGCTGTTTTGTATATGTGGGCTTTATTTAAGAATTGAGTATTTCTTTTGCCAACATAAAACATTGCAAATTTTAGGCTTGTCATCGCTTATCGGTTCAAATATAGTTAGAAGTTCGGTCAAATTTTTTTTATTTAATTAATTTTTAATTTATAATTTAATATATATATAGTTTAAAAAAATAATTTAATATGTATATGATATTTGAAAGTTTATATTTCAACCAAATTATATTATAAATAATACTTCCTCAGTCCAGGGACATGTAAGTGGGAGGAGTATTATTTATTTATTTTAATTTTTTTAAACAAACACATTAAATATATATAGTTTTTTAAAAAACATTAATTCCTATGTGAAGGGAGCCTTAAGATACTGGAACATATATTCTGTTTGTGCATATTTATAAAATGTACTATATGAATACATTTCGGGTGTGTTTGTTTGGAGGTTTGGATTTTGAGTTGGGATTTGAATAGTAAAAATTTTAAATTTGAATAGTTGTATGATGTGATATAAATAGGATTTGATGTGATGTTTTGAATGTAAAATTAATTTTTAGTATAATATAAAAAATAAAAAATAGATGTTTGATTTGATGTTTTTGGGAAAAAAAAATTAAATGAATAGTGAAAATTCACCAAAATCCTTCAAACAAACACACCCACATGTACTTTGATTGATTTAAGAGAATAGGTAAGGTGTAAAAATTTTAAGTCACCAATTTAATAATTGAACGTTGTAGTAGATTCATTAGCATGACAAGTCACTGTCAAGTATCTTATCTCTTTGCATACAATAATGAAGGCTGATGCCAAATTACTCTCAAAAGTCGAGTCATCCTTATCCTATAAGCAAAAACTGTATGGGCCATGAGGATTAATTAAACAGTACGACTAAAAGTTACCATCAATCAAGGGTTTGTTTTGTTTATAATTTCAAATCAAACAAGAATCGTTCGAGCAGCAAAAAGAAATGCAAAAATAACATCCTTAATTTATAACAACATATATAATCCCAAGCAGCAAAGCAATAGATCATCAGATCATGTCAACAAACAGTCAAGTATATATATATATATATATATCACACACTAATCACATTACAAGTGAACAACAGAACACACCGAAACCGAACGCCAGTTCGAGGCCATACATAGATCAAAATTTATTACAAACCACTGCATCGATCACTACTAACATCCGACTCACTACAACATAACACTAAATGACACGATCCAACCTGTTTTCTTCCATCACTGCTTGATACACAAACAGTTAGGCAGGAGGCAGGGCAATTCACTTGCAGGTGCACGGATTGCAGGAGCAGTTAGGTCCACACTTGCACCCATTCTCCACAGCGCCTCCAACAGTTTCTGATTCCTCAAAGTGTCTGCACAAAAACGAGATACCTAATTTCAATATTCCAAATAAAACCTAAAATTGGCAGTCGAACAAACGGAATTGAAATTGGCGTACGTCTTCTGAGGAGCAACGCCAAGGATGACGGTCTGAGCGGCGCCAGAGGCCTCCGTGTAGCTCATATCTGGGTACATCTTGCACCTGCACAAATCATCATCATCATCATCATAAGAGACGACGCTACGATCGCAAATCGCGATGAAATAACAAAACATTTTTCAGATCGAGCAATCAATCGAACATGAAAAACCTAAATTAAAAATTAAAAAATTACCCTCCACAGCCGTTGCCGCACTTGCAGGCAGCACCACAACCGCAGTTTCCTCCGCAGCACGACATATTCCTTGATTCAGAACAACGAAGAGAAAGATAGATATTGCGGTTTCAGGAAATGAGAATACTCGCTCAATTGAATCGCGGAAAACACTTCTTTCCATTTATAAGAGGAGCAATGAGAGACTGGTGGACATCAGCCGTACACGTGGCGTGATCTGGTGCCGACCGCCGAGTGAGTGGTCCTCCCTTTATTTCTATTTTGGAGAAAAAAAAGGCTAATAACGTTAGCATTATTTACTCCATTGCGTAGAAAACGGGATAATCGGAGGGCGGTGACGGTGAACTTTCTAGAAATGCGCGGATCCGTTTGTTATAATTTAGAGAAAATTAAATTTATATTATTGGATGTGACACACGAATTTGCCAGATCCACACGTACGAAATCACACAACCACATAATAAAAAATGCTCATAAAATAATATGGAAATAAAATTATTTTTTAATATTAAAAAAATAGAGAACATAAAAATTAACGCCCACCGTGGGGCTCGAACCCACGACCACAAGGTTAAGAGCCTTGCGCTCTACCGACTGAGCTAGACGGGCTTTTGTTTGTTTTCGGTTAATTAATGTTTATTACCATAATTTATTGTATAAATGGGCTTCTAATGGGCCCAAGGCTATTTTGTATTATTAATAGACTCTATCTCTTAAATGGGCCGGATGTAAATATTTGTAGTAACTGTTTTAAAGATTTCTTTCGATATTAGAAATGTTTAATGTCGGTTATTTATTTATTCATTATTATTAGAAAGTATATTTGATAACTTAATTATATATATTCTTTTTAAAGTATAAAACTCTAAACATTAATGTTGATAAGGATATATAATGAAATATCTATAAGAAATCTCATCTTAAGTGGATTTGCTGGTTTGGACTTCTTCATTTCTTTTCTTCAATGGATACTTTTGGGAAACATTTTTGAAATACATAAAAGGGTATAGTTTTATTTTATTTTATTTTATTTATTTACCAATGGATACTTATACTCTCCAACATTTTAATTGTCATGCATGGGCTGCAATAAAATTGGATTGGTGTGTTGAAAATTTTGGTCAAGTCCATGGAAACCAATCTTTTGATTTGAATAAACCAGACTCAATTTTAATTATATTTTATAATAATTAGAATTTGATCTGCCCAAAAAATTAATCTAACCTTCCAAATTTTAGATTTTTTTTTTTTTTTTTAATAAAAGAAGCTCTTACGAAATGATAATAATAATGGTTTTTATTGTACATATATATTGTATCTTTAATTAACAAACTTAACTTACTAATTAATTAGCAAATTGATTAGAATTTATTATTATTATTTTTATTTTTTGGGAAATTTTATCGGTTTTCATACCTATATATAAATGGTGTAGAAAATATCAATCCTAACAGTAGCTGTCCTAAACTCTGGTTTGGTGCAATTTTGGCACACTGACTTTCAGCAAGTCAATTTGTCAACAGTTTGAACGTAAGCTGGCATTATATAAATATAAGTTGGCATTATTTATATACAGTTGGTCAACCCACAATTATTATTTTCCTGCCAATCACAATTAGCCCCTTAACAATTGTACTGTGAAATAAAATATATCATAATGAACACATTGAAATTTTTACATAAAAATGTATATGTTGGAATTGACTGTTGGAAGGGCAGAGCGAAAACCTATTCAAACCTGGGAAAAATAATTAATATATATTTTTATTTTTATTTTATGAGGAATATATTTATTTATTTATTTATAAAAATAAATCTGATTACCATAGAAATGAATAAAAATGTATTGGCTGTGAAATGCACAGTATTGATTGCCCGGAAAATAGCAGGTACACTTCTATTTATGGCCTTGTAACGATCTTCACGTCACCTCTGAAAATTACGTTACAGTTGAACACCAAAATAATAATAATAATGATAATAAATATTATTGCTGCCTCTGCCTTTAGTTACCACACATTTATTGTGAGTCGTGACGCCACAATTAACTAAACAAATCTCTTCAAAAATAAATAAATAAATAAAAATTAAAAAATATCATAAGAAGTCAAACTGCACAAAACTCTACAATTGCTATTTCTTACAAATTAATTCGAAGCCTTCTCAAAGTCAATTTTTTTTTTTTTTTTTTATTTATTCAACCTTAGCTGGCAAATCCTGAATATTAGTAGTATTTTTATTTTTCGTTTTAACAAAAATGGGATTTAGAAGATCTGCCTTTGTCGGAATTTTCACTCTTCTTTTTCTTTTTTCTATATATATAGAGTCCAATATGCAAATTAATATATATCATCAATAAAAAAGGAAGAAATAAAAATCTACAGTTGGTATAAATAAATAGATTTTGGTTATTTTACTAAGCATATTATTTGTCCCATGCCCTAACTTTATTCTAAGCTTCAGTGGGATACACATAATATAATTGACTTTGACAAGTTTTGATTATTATTATTTTTTTTTTTTTTCAAGTTCCCTTAGCTTACGTAAGGTCAAGACAAATACCCATTCAATATTAATAAAAGATAAGTATATATATTTTTTATATAAATAATTTCATGCATCGAGCCTTAGTTTTTTTTTTTTTACCAGTTTGAATTAAAGTCGTTTTAAGAAGGTTGAAAGCAGAGTTGCTTGCCCTAAGATGTAATAATAAAATTTTACTATGAATATAGATAGAGCAATAAGAGACGTGTGTAGTGTATCATTGTCATCAAGATACCAACTAGTAATAATTTATTTAATTAATTATTAGAAATGATGATGATGATGAAGATGTGCATTGTAGTGTAGAAGGGTTTTCAAGTATTGGGAGCTGTGCTCCTGATGGATCCGCGGGGTGAATCCGGGGGTGCTGAGGTCCAAGCAGGTGGCGAATGAACCCTGAGCATGATGGCATCTGCATCAGCATTCCACTTTGGCAGACAGACATCAAGTGGAGCCTTTTGACTTTTCATGCCCATTAGCCAACCTCTCAAACAAGTTTTCTCCACTCTCTCCTCTCTTCCTCTAAAAAAAAAAATTAATAATAATAATAAAAAAAATAATCACAATTGTTTGTTTGTTGGAAGATTTTTTTGAATTTTTCAAATTTTCTCTCATAATATATCAACGAAACAATAAAGATGATATTATTCCTGAACCACTGCTGTACACCAATCCTTTATATTTATTACATTATTATTAACAAACAAATAACCATCACCTGTAATGTAATGCAATTCATAGTCAACGCCCTACCCCCATCCCCCTCCCACCCCACCCCACCCCACCAAAACCAAAAAAGCATCCGAATATTAAACAAGCCCGAGTTTCAAATCAGAAATGTCAACTCTCTCTCTCATTTTTTTCCCTTCTTCTTCTTCTTCTTCTCTCTCTCTCTCTCTCTTAGTTCCAACACCAAAACTATTCTCTCTCAAATCCACAACCCACCCTTCAATCTCCTTCTCTGTTTCTCTTCAGCTCTCTGCCCACCCTGAATGAATTGAAAAAAACACAAACAAGAAGAGGGCAAAGATTCTACTAATGGGAAACGGAATAGGGAAGCTTAGCTTCTGCTTCGCCGGGGACGCCGGAGAAATTTCCCGGCGAAGAAACGACGTCGCCGTTTGCGCATCGGATCCCCTGGACGAGGGCCTGGGCCACTCTTTCTGCTACATACCGCCCGACCCGGCCCGGAAATCCCAATCCGTCGATGAAGCTTCGGCCGCGCCACCGACGGCGGCTTTCCGCACCATCTCCGGCGCCGCCATCTCCGCCAACACCTCCACCCCTCTCTCCACCGATGCTTTCGCCTACAGCAGCTCCACCTCACTGGACAAGGCTTCAGCTTTCGAAAGCTCGAATTTTTTCTCCTCTATCCCCCTGCAACCAATTCCCCGATACTCCATCGACACCGTTAAATCCGGGCCCATTCTCAGGAACCCGGTTCCGGGATCCGGCCCGATCGAGCGAGGATTCTTGTCCGGACCGATCGAACGGAGCTTCATATCCGGTCCGTTAGACAATCAGATGGATCAATTGCAGAGGTACAAGCCTAAATCCAAGAAACGAGCTTTTGTCAAGAATTTCAAAAAAGCAATTTACAGATCATTTTGGAGTTTCTCTAAGGAGATGAACAGAGACGAAAAACAGCATCATCACCACCACAGCAATAACAACAATATTGTTAATGTTGCTGTGAGTGGTAGCAACAGTGGGTATAGCAGCACAATCACTAGCAACAACTTAAGCAGCGAAATGAGCCTCGACGAGAACGATGATGTCGGAAACGAGTCTTTCGGCAGCCAAAACCTGCAGTGGGCACAGGGGAAAGCTGGGGAGGACAGAGTGCACATAGTGATCTCCGAGGAACACGGATGGGTTTTTGTCGGTATCTACGATGGATTCAACGGTCCTGATGCTACCGATTTTCTACTCAACAATCTCTATTCAAACGTGGCCAAGGAGCTCAAGGGACTTCTATGGTGTGACAAGGCTGAGTCCTGCGAAACTACAATCAACACTTGTTCCAAGAGCCTGGACAGTAAGGAAAGGGTGGATCTTGACAAGAAGTTACGGGAGAAATTGGGCAATTTAGGACCCGACACCATGACTGTCAATCATTTGGGGGTTTTGAAAGCTTTGTCTGAAGCATTGAGGAAGACAGAAGCATCATATCTGGATATAGCAGATATGATGCTAATGGAGAATCCGGAATTGGCTTTGATGGGGTCTTGTGTCCTGGTTATGGTGATGAAGGGCGACGATGTTTATCTAATGAACGTCGGGGATAGTCGGGCAGTTTTAGCTCAAAAGGCTGAGAATGATTTGCAAGCTGGAAAGATGAGGAAGGACATGGAAGAATCCCTATACGGCTACGAATATGACTACGAGCATAATTTAACTTCCTGTCAGCTCACAATGGATCATAGTACATCTATTAGAGAGGTAAAAACTATATATGGTTAGATCTTGCTGAACACCTAATCTTATAGCCTATCTCCAGTTAATGCTTATATGCTAATAATGTAATCTCATAATCTCAGGAAGTAAGAAGGATAAGAAATGCTCATCCAGATGATGCCTTCGCTGTTATTAATGATAGAGTGAAAGGTTCCCTGAAAGTTACCCGGGCTTTCGGAGCTGGCTTTCTCAAACAGGTAAACCTCCGTTTTATGCTGTCCTCTCCAAGCTCCATTTGCTGCAGAATTGCCCTGTGTAAAAGGAAATGTATTAGAATTGAAATGTGATCATGATTTAATTTTAGGAACTCAACTCATTGTAATCTATACTTGCTTTACAGCCAAAATGGAACAATGCACTGCTGGAGATGTTCAGAATCGATTACATTGGAATTTCCCCATACATTTCATGCTCGCCATCTCTTTGCCACCACAGATTAGAGCCCAAGGACAAGTTCTTGATCTTGTCTTCTGATGGGCTCTATCAGTACTTCACGAATGAGGAAGCTGTCTCCGAAGTTGAAATGTTCATATCAACATTTCCTGAGGGTGATCCAGCTCAACATCTGGTTGAAGAAGTACTATTTCGGGCTGCCAAGAAAGCTGGTATGGATTTCCATGAATTGCTGGCCATCCCACAGGGAGACCGAAGAAGGTACCATGATGATGTATCGATCATCATCATTTCCTTTGAAGGACGGATATGGCGCTCATCAGGGTAAACATGCGATAAGATCATAGATTCAAATGGAGGGGAACACAGAAAATCTATTACGAGGATTTTAAAAGGTTGTTCATACTTGTAGCATAAAACTAGGTTACAATATCAAGAGTTGAATCATCATATAATAGACAAAACTGTGTGATCTACCAGTTTGTTGGGGATTGTAAATTGCTGATAATCCCAACATTTTCCCCCGTTCTTGGAATGCAATACAACCTAAATTTTTTTGTATCTTCTGGTACAACTTGAGGTTCCCTTATTCTTCAAGAAGCACCCCTTGAAAGTTCATGGATTTCAATAGACAGGCAAACTGGTCTCATTCTTTTGTTAAATTTCATTATCCAGTCTTCTTACTTTATTTTTCATGTTTTCTTATAGGAATGTATTTTAACTAGAATCAGAAGCTCCTATCAATGGAGATAATGAGCATGTTTCTCAATACAATGATTTCAATAATAAAAAGCTCTTGCTAAGATTTGGCATGAAGAAGAAGAAGGGCTTATTAAAAGTCACAGCATTATCTAAGCATATTTTATATCAAACTTTAAAAGTTGAAAGTCTGAATGAAACGCACTTAAATTCTGGACAAAGTCAACATGAACTCAATTAATCACGCGTTTTATATAATTAAATAAAAGTAACCCACTTCTAACTCTATTAATAATTAGCCAGTAGAGTAGACCTTCTAGACATTAAGCATGAAAGTCAGATGTAGACTTGAAATGCAATTTTCAAAGTATAAACTGTAACAAGATGCATGAATCAAATACTTAGTTTTTATTTTAGTAATATGCCTATTGTTCTCAAGCGGCTTACATGGTTCATCAATAATAAAATAATGTCTTATTATTTCAGTCAGTCCTAACATTATTGACTTGATTAAAACCAAACCTGTTAACTTGGTTTTTCTGTAGGGTGTTAACTGTCAATTTCTTGCATGAGTTTTAGAAGTATCTGAAAAGGATGTTTTAGTGGTGTGGTTATCATTTTACCAACTACTCTGTATATATTTAAGGCAAAGAAAACATGAATGACATATACACATGGCTATATAAGATGGCAGGAAAGTTGACCAACAGAAAGCAGAACAAAGAAAGGTGGAGGCGGGGCAGTTAGTTACCTCAGGGATAATATTGAATCCATGATTTGTTGGGGGATGATGCACATAAAAACTGAAGTAGGTTTCTAATTAATGCAATGGTTGTCCAATAAATTATAAGATACATGAACAGCTACAAAGAAGTATGGATACTTAGACATGCATGAGTAAACTCCCTTTTTGTAGTAATAACAACTTTAATTAATAGTATTGAGAAGGGATAAAGACAATTGCTTGTGGTTTTGGTATCTGTGATGTGGGTGTGCATCTCGTGATCTATGATATGCCATAACAAAATTGAATATTTTTGTTTTTTAATAGTTGGATTCTAAGCATGTACGGTTGGAACAAGTAAAAATGATGTGACTAGGAAATTGAAGGGCCTCTGGATACATCGGAAGCATTCTGTATTTTTAGACTGACTTACAGTTTGGGCAAAGAAGAAGATGACCTCTTACGGCCAATCCATGTGAAATAGTAGAAACAGACAAATTCAATGTTCAAATTTCAGTCATGATCACAATTTTCTCCCTACGAACCTGACCATTTAGGTTCAGTTTTACTTATTCAATAAGTCGTTATCTTTCTGCCAATTATTGAAAACATGGACTAACAAACTCCTTGAACTCTACTCAAGGTTCCTTCAATTTGGCTGAAGCAAAGAACAGTTATCATAAAATAATTAGATATTCTCTTTTGGACCCATCAACACTCAAATATGAAAAAATGTAATTTCAAGAAGAATGGATGAACGGCCCTTCACAAAAAAAATGAATGTCAGGTATTCAATCAATATTAGTAAACTGTAAAAGTACACTGAGAAATAGATAGAAGGTTACTGCATCATTTAGAGGGGGAAAAGGAATTCTATCATGAATGGTGTATCAATAACATGAAACAGCAAGATAATATAAATACAAGTTGACATTTATCAGGATAAAATAGGTACATATAACCCAATCCAAAGAAATGTTACTATACTGCACGACGGAGGAGAGAGAAGAGTGTAGAGATGTGCGTGCCTGTGGAGGTCTGTCTGGACTAAGGTGATTTCCATTGTCCACACCCTAGTGTTGAAGCTGGGGTTAATGCAGTTATCTGATCTAGGAAAAAATTGGCAGTTAATTTATCGCATCACTGTGTTTCACCAAATGAATCTTTGTGTTCCAGCTTGATGCTTCCAAGAAAAAGGTCGAAACAAGAACATGAACATTGTGAAGCAATTGATAGAGAGATACATGATTCCCAAGAGAAGTAAACTCTTGTCAGTGATATTGCAATGGAGGACCAAGAAGAAGAATGGAACCGTAAAGTATCTGAACTCTATCAGTGGAGCAGGAACAAGAGTTGCAGCACATGCAAAAACATATGCCAACACCCAGAGCTTCTTTTGATTTTTTGCTGCAAACAGCAAAAAAGTAAGCACGATAAATAAAACATATGAGAAACCAAACAAAACCAGAATATGTACCAACCTAAGTTACTGATGATGGAAAACCACGAGTAGAAATAAAGTGGCACCATAAGGTACTTAGCTGACCAACAGTAATTGATGAGTTTTCGCCAGAGATAGAAGGTATAATGCCGGTTGTCAGCAAGAAGATATGGGTGGGCTATGCTGCAGTAGCAAAGAATATATTATGCAGGAGAATTCACATACATTACAATAATTTTCAACTATATTTGGAAACTTGAAAATTCAGCTGTAACTTTTAAATAAACTCATCTATGTTTAAAAGGCTTGTTACCAGAAATTTTGCACCCACGAGTAAATACAAACAAAAACACTATCCAAGATGCATCATAAATGTTGGAAAGTAAATCCAATTTGAGGATTGAAATAAATTATTCTTGAGTGTGCTGAAAATCCAACCTGAAAAATTTCACAGAAAATAATCCAATGGTTAATGCCAAGAGCCACTGAAAGATACTTAGCAGTTTATTCTTGCAGAGCTGGCGGAAAAATTCAGTAGCTTGAGCTAAAGAGAAGTTAACAGGAAACATAAACAAAGCAGAAACCAAGCCAAAATACAGCATTTGAGCAACATGAGGAGAAACTGCATGCGCATCTTTAGCACCTGAAAAGCAAGAGAATACCATCATTTATTTCGAAGAAAAGCAATATAAACAAGAATATTTTTATATTTTTATTTCCAAAACAGGGAATAGGTTTACCAAGAACGATGCTGCCATTCCAGAAAACAAAAGCAATGAAACCACCAAACACCACAATGAAAGGGCTAAATACTAACAATAGCTCCCAGAAATGATTCCATGAAATAATTATAAGGCCTTGAATCTCATCAAGCAACCCTGGAATATTGGAGATACATCAGCAACATCAAAGACAGGAAGAATTAACATAAAAAAATTGGCAACAAGTAGATGCTTATCAGCACCAGTTAAATAGATTTGAAAATATCTCATTCTTTTACATAACTCTGCACTATCTTTATTCTATTACTGATCTATTCTAACATTCATTGTTAAACTGTATTAAGAAGACAATTAACATGCCAAGCGCAATTTCAAAATATAATTTACTCAAGACATATTTTCATGCATGATCAAATTAAAAGAATTAGAACTAACCTGTTGAATATTCCATGGGAACAGATCGGGAAGTAACTTTGATCTGACTCTTTGCACCATAACTGCCCTTTCGTTGTCGCAAATTAGAAGTCCTCAATGCACCTTCAACATTAGACGTGCCCTTTCCCTTTGACATGCTGAGGACATCTACTTCCGCTATAGCTTTCTGATGAGACTGAATAAATTCTAGGACACCAGTGCATGCAACAAAAAATACCCATATAATATTGGTTTGGCGCGTGAACACAGACAATGCTCCCAGCTACAAGAAATAAACACAATCAATTGTGGTGGGCAGAAAATCAATGAGCCAGAAAAAAGTGTGCCAAAGTTAAAACTAAAACGCTAATAATAAAATCCTGGTGCAACAAAGAAAAGCCATTCGTTTTTCGCATGGTGTTCTACCCCAACATTTGTAATCAAGATGTATAAGAAAAACTCTTGAAATATCTCCATGGGTTTGATAACTTGATTTCAATGGTAAAAACCATCTGTATGACAATTCAATCAAGGCTCTAGAATGAAGATACTAAATTTACTTCGAAATGTTAAGGGGGAACACAGTCCTTTTTATTAGTTAACGACAAGACAGTGGTAGAAGATCAATACTCATCACTATTAACAGGCTTAAATGATTGAAGTTTCAGAATTTCTTACCAACGAACTGAACAGGTACCTCTTCTTTAAAGTTAAAAGATACATGGCGAGTACTGATGTTAGTGACGCCCCATCCGTATAATAGAGATAAGTAAAGAACCAGTGGATTGGATACAATGACAAGACCACAGAAAGAAGTGTTGCTCGCTTGTCATCCATAGCTGGTTTCAAATGGGTGATTATTTCATAAACTATAATGCTACATAATACTGCCAGAATGCCATTGGTCAGACGCAGAATTGAGGTAGAGCATGAGTCTGAAAAGGATGATACTGCTTGCAGGCAGAACAGTCCTGGAAACAAAGAAGCAACACAGGCAAGTGAAAGAAAGTACCTGCAAAATTTTTAAATGGTATAAATCAACTTCTTTAGTTTGGAAATTTCTATAACATTGAATCTTCTAAAGTAGGCCCTCTAAAGTTGCTTTCAAAATCTGCAGTCAGCCAATCTCAAAGCCATCCAGCAAATACCCAAAGGACTAGTGAACTAGAGAACTACTATGCAATGACTATTTGATCAATTCTACACCGATATCAAATCCCAAATAATTACTCAAAACACATCTCAAATATCACCGAACGAATCACAAAATCTACTAAAATTGGCGACAGGAGTAAGCAAATAAATGAATAGGAAGGTAGAACTCACAGCCCAGGAGGAGTGGTGATCATGGGATCCCAACTTCTGAAATTCCCTCGACAGTACTGTTGAGCTTGCGGCACGTGGAATATCTCATCCTGCATTTCCACCACAAAATAGATCATTTACTTGCACAAGAGCAGTAAATCCTCCATAATTCCCCACAGTAGGAAACCGGTGCAACTGCTCACCATGTAAGGGTAGGGCACAACGCGATTGACAAGAATAGAAACGGGTATCAACCATAGAGTCACGACTGAGACAACTGCAATTCTACCCATGTCAGATTACGTCTTCCGTTATAGATAATTGGCCGGCGCACACTTGGGATGTCTTCAGCTTACAGAAGATTCAGCCAATTTGGGGCTTTAGGTTAATTTTAATTCATGTCAACGTGAAAGGCGATTTATGTAAAACGCGTGTTTTATTTAGACAGTAGCAACAAGCTACCCAGGGAGTAGACAGACACAGACTTGGCCCAATCGGTTTCGAACCGGCGAACCGCGAGTTCCGGTTCATGGACTCGAAACTGAAACCGGTTCTTACTCGCTTCGGTTTCGGTTCCTGTATTCTCTGAACCGTAAACCGCCGCCGGCGTCACCTGCTCACCATCACCGCCGCGCGGAGGCTTTGAAGCAGCAGAGTGAAGAAGAAAAGAAGAAGGAAGAAAGGGAAGAATGAGGAGAAGAGGAAGAAACAGACAGAGAATGGTGCGGCTGCGGCTATGGAGTAGATCGGGTGTTTTGATTAGGACAAAAGATTTTAATGGTTTATTTTCTAAAAATAATAATAATATATTTATAATTAAAACTATTCTATATTATATATATATATTTATAAAAAAATATAATTAATATTAATAAAAAAAAATAGAATGTTATTAATTATTCTACAAAAATATTACTTTCATAAAAAAATTTGAATAAACATAAACAGATAGTTTAAACCAAAATCGATCATTATTTAATCGAAATTGTCAAATATAAACTAAAACCATGTTTGAAAATATTTAATTTTTTGATAAATCAAAATCCACAAGAGTTCATTGGAGAATCAAGAGAAGGCAAAGGATAGATGTGCTTGGATTGTGAAATATTTTACAATGCACAATAATTTACATATAAATAAATAAATAATGATCATGTGCTGGAACAACAGCAATTATAAAAATTAATAATAATAATAATAATAATAATAATAATAATAATAATAATAATAAATGTGTAAGAAGATGGTGATGGTGGGGGCAAAATCATCATGAAGCATGTGAAGAAACAGGCCATTATGATTTACGAAGCCCCTCTCTCAACTGATCATCATCAGAGTCGTCTGTGGATTGATGATTATCACTAACAAATATGCCCTTATTACATTCTCATCTCACAACACAAAACCAATAAATTAATTAATTAATTCATTATAATAATAACAATGTGTAGTTAGTTAGGTAAAAAGATGCTTTCAAATTTGGTGGGTCAAGAAGCTGAGACAACTGACCATGAATTAGATCAATTCATGCAAAGATTTCAGGACACCCATTGTAATAAATAAAAATGGACACTTAAGTTTTAACGTTCCCCCTTTTTTTTTGCAATAAAATTCATTTCTCCAGTCTTAGTCGTAGTCTTCTCTTGCAATCATACATACGGCTTTTAATTAATTTGCACCAAATTAAATTTTCGATCCAACAACATCTATTTATTAAATTTTCCCTTGACCAAATAACGTTGCATTTAATGCGACAGCCGCAAGCACTTTCTGTTGAACAACATTATATCATATATATATATGTATGTATAAATACTATGTAGCATAATTTTGACCAACATTCATCGTACTCACTTAGATATAAATATATATATATATATATTTACGACTGAGTGCAATATTTTCCATTTTGCAGAAATTAATTAAGAACACCATTGGTATATATATATATATATATATATATTATTATTGTATCCATGTGGAAGTTCAATTTGTCCAGACAAGACCCATTCATTCATTCTATGCAAGATTGGCCCCTACCACTTTCCTTAAATTAATTTTATTTAAGCAAATAAAAAATATATATATAAACATGATTTATTTTATTAGCTCCTAAGGCATCTATCTCATCCACATGGCATGTTTTAATGTCTCGGATTTAAGACAAATTTTTGTAGGAGTGTTTGGATGCAAAGAAATTTATTGAAAAACTCCAAAACGTATAAATATATACATATATATGTATACACACATCATGTCCAGACATCTGCACAAAATTCAGACAATCTCTACTAAACGCCAATGATAAGATTAGATCAACATAACGTCATGCAAAAAATAAAATTATTTATTTATATTATCATGTAATAGTATATGTTACAAGCGGCAGAATCTATAAGCGGCGATTATTCTGTATTTTTTTAATATGCATATATATATATATAATTGAATTTATTCTTTTACTTATTGTTAGTTATTAAATAATTAAATTAAATAAATTTAACGTGGGCCATAACTTATTAAAAATTGGATGTAAATTTAGGTGGGGGAGGTCAAGGTTGTCCTTGGAGTACAACTTACGAGTGAGTGAGTGGTTCATCTGTATACAAGAAAAAACTACAAAATAAAAAAGGAAATAATGAGGCACGACTTTCTTAAGAAGGCTCGTATGTTGTCGGAGATGGGTGCTATTGCTTCTAGTATCAACCAAGCATACTACAAATTATTACTCTACTTTTCTTCAAAATATACATTTATAAATATAGGAAAATGACTTTTTTAACTACGGTTTTTAAGATTTATTTCTTTTTCATTTTAAATCATTTATTATAAAATATAAAAATAAGTATTGAAGATATTATATTTAAATAATAATAAAAATTAAAAATATATATACACATGTACATTGCTTCTCTTGAATTTTATAAAAATATATTGTGTTATTAGTTTATATGTTTAATTTGTATTAAATTAATTTAAATATCTTATTTTTTTGTAGTAATATCCTTTGATTTTATTTCTTATAACATACAATGCATTATTCAGCATGGTGCTAAATTTTTAGACATATAACAACATAGAAAGAAAAATGAATATATCAATCATGACAAATACTATATTTTACATTAAATATATTTTGATCCAAAAATTGCATTCTTTAATTTAATCACATGAAAATTTTAATTATACCTCTATAATTTTATTTTTTTTTAAAAAAAATATATATAATATTAGAATTTTATTTCTCTTAATTCATATCCCAGAAATTTTAAGCATACTTTGCTTGCATGAAAAGAGTGAATTCTTTTTCTATTAAGGTTTAATTAAATTAAAAAATATTAACATAGTTTTTCAATGGAAAATATTACTTTATAAAAAAATATACTCATTTTTTTTTTCATAAATTTTAATGTATTGTATATTTTTTTGTTTTTGATAATAAAAAATAAATTTATTTGTTTAATAAGAGACAAAAAAGAATATAAGAATATCTTTTTAGGATAAAAGAAGTTTAAAGATAAAATTAGACTACTATTTTTATTTTATTTTATGTGCAATTTTCAAAAGAAAATTATTTTTAGACATTTTTGCGTGACTATTATTTCTTTTTATAACATGAAAATTATTTTTCGAGTACGCTAGTGCTCAATTTTCATTTTTAGAAAGAGGGAGGAATGCTAAATATGAAAATTTCAGCGGAGGTCCAAGGACCCCAGCTCCCAACAAATCGTATCCATCCATTTCGCGAGGTCAACACGTAGGGTAGTAGACGAACGGCAGAGATGGGCTAATGGGGCCGGGATCCAGGACTGGTGGACGAAAGATTATGAGAGTCTGTGTACCTCGGATCCTTCGCCAACAGTAGTACTGTTGAACGCCTCCACACCACTTTGAGCATACAAACCCAACCCGCATATGTATGTATATGTCTGCATCTTTCTCTTTCTCTTTCCTGTCTTAATTCTTTCGAAACTCTCCGCCATGTGGAGGAGAAGTGCGATAAATTCCTTCCAGAACCAGAAGATATAGGTTTATTGCTCTGCTCTGATCGATGATGGCGAATCAGACAGACACCATCTCTATTTAAGGCCACACCCGTTTTCTTTCCGCTTCTTAAATTTCTCGATTATGCGTTTGTTTCTTTTCGCCCTTTCCGTTTCCCCTGTCCTAACTCCATCTCCATGTGCTCGGAAATCGACCGCTTCTCTTCGTTTCTGAGGAGGAACATGTCTGGAACCAGAAACACGCTTTTACCCCATGTCAAGGAACAAGACGAGGCGAAGTCGCTAGATGGTGAAGAAGAAAAAGGAGAAGTCGCATTTCTGACGGAAGGTAAAGAAAATTCTAATGATCAGAAGGAAGTCGAAAAAGTCGCGACCGAAGACGAAGGAAGCGCTGATCGTAAGAATAGGGTTTCAGTTTCGGTTTCAATTTCGGAGGAGAACGAGTCAACAGACGGCGACGGCGACGGCGACGGCGACGGATTTGTAACTCCGACATCGGCGGATCACAAAATTCCGGCGATCATTCACTGCCCACCGGCGCCGAAGAAGCCCAGGCCGGAGCCGTCCAGAATGAAGCGGAAAACATCCCCGCCGTTGCCTTGCGAACTGGATTCAACGGCGGAGATTGAATCCATTTTCCGGCCAATTTCGAGTCAAGATACCGGCGAAGAGCAGAAATCGAAGAAAGCTCGAAGGGAGGGAGACGACTGAGGATCGATGAATGTAGTTAGGGTTCATCCCCATTTTCGCCACTACAAATGGTACGGTATTATGCTTAAGTTAGGGTTTCTGTTGCATTTTTTTGTCCTCTTTTCCATGTTGTAATGGATTCCCAAAACTGACACACCATGTTTACAGAGGAAATTTTACATGTGATTTTAATCCATTTCCTGCTTGTCCTTATCTTCAAATTCCGGTTTTGATATTGTGCAATCTCAAATCTTATACGAAGTTGAGTAATGCTGGCAAAAGAGATGACAAATGCTTGCAGTTGCAAACTTTTTGAGCCCCAGCTTACTTTCGAATCAAGGCGTTATGTTTGTGAAAAGAAGAGAAATACAATTATTATTTTGTACTGACATACTTATAAAAATTTAAATAAAAATAAAAATTGTTGTAGCTTCTTCTTAAGCTACATACTCCGCACTGTAATGCAATTAATCAAACCCATTAATGACCCAAAATCGTCAGGACATCAGTGGTGTGGGCGTTACGACAATTGTTGACCGTTTCTATCCGTTTTTTCCTCCTTCCCACTCCTTCCTCTCCAGTAAAAATAATTCACCAAATGCACAAAATTTCTGCATTTCTTCTTTCCAAAAAAGAGCAGATATTTTAATTCAATTAATTTTTTTTTTTTTTTTTTAAAAAAAAAGAAAATTGTGTTTTGTAGTTGCTTGTTTACAGTTCTTTGATTCATTGCGACCCTTCGAGGAGGAATTAACAGATTCGCGGCAATGAATCGAAGGAAGTTAACCATGGATTTCGACGGCCTCGAAGCGGAAGACGACGACGGCAAAGGCTTCTTCGATTCGAAAGAGAGGCTATCCACGGCGGTCCCCGTCGACTTGGTGTCGGCGCCGGACGACGGCGAGGAGTTCCAAGATAGCCGGATGTCGTTCGTTTCCGCCGCCTCCATCAAACGCATTTACTCCATCGAACCCAATTCCAATCCCAATTCTTCCTCCGCAATGTTCCCCAGCTACGACATGTGGATGGCGGCGCCCGGCGACGTCAAAGAGCGGCGCAAGCGTCTCTTCCACGACATGGGATTGGCCAGCCGCAAGGGCCCCCTCGCCAGCCGGAAAGATCTCCTCGCAAGCCGCCGGGACCTCCTCAAAATCGCCAGTTCCAAAGTCCCCCGAGCAATGTCCAGAAAGCCGGCGGCACCAGCGCCGCCGCCGGCGGTGAAGCCATCGCCATCGCCTGCACCACAGCCGGAGAAAGCGCCCAAGGCCGCCGCGCCAGTACCCGCCCCACCACCGGCGGCGGCAACAGCCCAAGTTTCAGCAGGCCAGGAGGAGTCTCCCCCACCCACTGCGGAGCAACCGAAAGCAGACGAGCGGCCGTCTTCTTCGCCATTGCCGAGAAGAGCAATCGTGTTCGTCAGGTCAAGATCAGACAGCGACATGGAAGCATTTTCCAGGAGGACCAAACAGCGGAAGGAAGAAGTATTCGGCCCTGAATCGAAGCAGGGACTTACCAGGACATTATCAGGGCAGCTTGTTCCCTGCATAGGTGTGCCACATTACATAGTTCCCGTCGCCGGATCTCCAAAAACGGACAAAACCAGAGCATCACCTCCGGCTAACGATACACCGGCAATCGACGATGACATTTGCTCCTTCTTCTTGATCAAGGATTTAGACACAGGCAAGGATTTCATCGTAAGAGAGTACAACGAAAAGGGACTATGGAATAAGCTAAACGACGTCGAAACCGGCAAGCAGCTCACGTTGGAGGAATTCGAGAAGTCCGTCGGATATTCGCCATTCGTCAAACAGCTAATGCGCCGCAAGCTTTCGACAAAGGTCACCGATGGCAAAGCCCACCCCAATATTCTGTCCAAGAGTTTTAGAAGCAGCAAGAAGAAGGGAGCTGCAATTTTGAAAAACATCAAGGGAGTGGCATCTGGAATTCTGAGAGAAAAAGATCAAGAGATCTCCAAGAACACATCTGTATGGATAGATGCTAACCAGCAGGGGAAGACCTACAGAGAATTCACAGCATTGCACATGTCACAGGAGATTCAAGCTCATCAGGGAGGGATTTGGACAATCAAATTCAGTTCCGACGGACGATTCCTAGCCAGTGCGGGAGAAGACAAGGTGATTCATGTGTGGGAAGTTCAGGAATGCGATGTCATGTCCGCCATGTCCAGCGACGATTATGGTTCGGAGCGCCTCTCGCGGATGCCGTCTGAAATGAGGAAGAAAGGGAGGGAGAATAGCAAAAAGGAAGGCTCTATTCCGGATTACGTCAAAATTCCTGAAACAGTTCTAGCACTTTCTGAGAAGCCAATCTGCACCTTCGAAGGCCATCTCGATGAAGTCCTGGATTTGTCCTGGTCGAAAAATCATGTCAGCTTCTTATCAAGGCATGTTCTTTTCCATTCAACCATAATCATATGTGTGTGTAATGTAAGACATCCTTTGTTATTGCAGATGTTGCTTTCATCTTCGATGGATGAGACAGTCAGGATGTGGGACATGGAAACAAAGAGTTGTCTGAAGCTCTTTGCACACAACGACTATGGTAATAATAATAATAATAATCTAAAACATATCTCAACAGCAAACAAGCATGTTCATGGCCCTGAATTCTTTCCTCCATTTCAGTAACTTGCGTGCAGTTCAATCCAGTCGACGACGACTACTTCATCAGCGGTTCACTGGATGCAAAGCTTCGAATATGGAACGTATGTAACCGACAAGTCGCTGACTGGACGGATGCTCGTGAAATGGTCACCGCCGGCTGCTACACTCCCGATGGCCAGGTGAGCTGCTCCGAATCATACAAGAACATGACAACATTTTACTGCTACGACCTCTTCTTCATTGTACTAACCTTTCTGCTATCTTCGTTGTAGGCTGTTATAGTTGGCTCTCTTCAAGGCAATTGTCGAATATTCGACATTAACGGTGAGAAAAGACTCTTCTTTTCATACTCTATCCATACTTCTGCCGGGCTAATTTTTCGAAATAGACTGCCAGTTGGAACATCGTCTCGACATCCAGGGGAAGAAGATTCAACCCAAAATGTTCCCTGCACTCCCGGCACAGGCCAAGAAAAATGCCAGCGTTCAGGCACATACGGGAAAAATTACCGGTTGTCAGTTTGCCCCGTGGAATTCATCCGAGGTTCTTATCTCTTCCACCGGCTCCCGGATCGGAATCTACAACGATGCAGAGCTTGTCCAAAAATTTAAAGGTCTGTATAGTGTATACTCTCGTGTAGCTAAGTTCAGATTTCATTACAGCAAGCATAAGCTAAATCTACCTGAACTGATGGATCTTTTCCTCTGCAGGAGTTCACAATACCAGCAGCCAGATCGCAGCTTCCTTTACTCCAAATGGAAAACACGTGATCAGCGCGAGCGAAGATTCCCGAGTATACATCTGGAAAGTCGATGATTCCAGAAACAACAACAATGGAGCTGCCAAGAAAAAAGGTGTGGTAACAGTTCAGGCTTACGAGCACTTCCACAGTAAAGACGTAACTGCTGCTACTACATGGCCCTGCAGCATAAAAAACAAGGCACCCGTTGTCGAAATACAGTCCAAAAAGAAGCGTGCCGGCGCCGCCGCGCCGCCGCCAAAGCCTACCAATGCTTCTGCAAAGCCAGAAGAAGGATCGGTCAAGACAAGCTTACCACCACTCCCCAAGAAAAAAAACGATCAGTCAGAAAAAAATGATGGAGATGAGGAGTCGTCGGCTCAACAAACCGATCCCGGAACTGGTCCAACCGACGATGCATCCTGTTCTAATTCTACCTCTGAATCCAACAATCAAAACGACTTGACAGCTGCCGGTACTTCAGCGGCCTCCCAATCGTCCGAAACTGCAGGTGCCAATGGCGCTGTCCAAGCATCGGCATGGGGCCTCGCCATTGTGACTGCAAACGTGGAAGGTGAGATCAGAGTATATCAGAATTTCGGGCTGCCCCTTAAGGTCACCCGTCAGGGCTATCTCTTCTGAGATAATGAGGTACATAGTTGCAGGTAGAACTAGTTTTGTCAGAAATGGTGTTTTGGGATAGCTCAGCAGTACATATTTAGGTATTCAATGCACCTCAAGATAGTAACCTTGTATTTGTACGCCTGTGTAGAAGAAGGGTACTTCCTTTGATTCTTCCTTTTTGAAGGTTAGTACGATGAATAATGTGTTGCGGAAAATTATACGTATATATATGTATATTTGGGCCGGTGTGGGACTTTTACGGCCCATTTGAGTACAGGTTTGAATTGATTGGTTGAAAACTTGAAATTCGAATTTCCTCGCCGGAGCTCGAATCGGAGTTCCGATATCGTTGCTAGCTGGAACTTGAATGGACTTGCCGTTCGACGACAAGGACCTAGACGACGCGGCGTTATGGGCTGTGATCGACTCTGCCGCCGCAGCGTCAATTTCCTCCTCAAACGCCGTTACTGCGAAACCACGGACCAAGCCTCTGACTCCCATCCCTTGCCCTGTTCAATCGCCGCAGATCAACGCGGCGAACAATACTCGAAAATACCGACATAACCCTGACGGCGAGGTGGTGCAGAAGCATCGACCTTGCAAAATTTCCAGAGCGACCAATGCGCCGCGAATTCTCGAGTCTAGTCCCTCGCAGCTGATGATTGTGAAACAGGTGCCCCGTACGCCCGCTACTCCTCCATCGTATATAACTGAATCTCCTGAGACTAGTAACATATGTGTGGGGAACAGCCACAGTCCGAGTAAATCATCGATGAGTTATGAGAAAACAGAGGTTAGACATAGTTTGGCTGGTCAGTTTCCGACTATTTCGCTGTTCAAGGACTACCAAAATGCAGCTATGGAGGTAATTTGTTCGTTAATTCTTTTTCAGCTTCTTCAAAAAAATTGATTAGCATTGGATAATCAATTATGAGGTGCATTTTATGCAACGGTATATAACCAGATTAGATGCATTCAGGATTATATTAATTTAACTGATTGGAAAAAACTTGGATTAATCTTACATATTTTTTTTTCTTTAATTTTTCAAAAGAATTGGATAGTCTATACCTAATTTGGTTTGATCAAGCTCTTGTAAAATCGACAATCTGTCTAGATGAGTGAAGGAAGATAAAGACGACCTACATTTACCTTGCATTTAGTATTCCTCCGACTTTTCTTCTTAATGATCTTGTTACAGTTGCCAGCAACATAGGGGAGCAATGGAATCAAGATAATTCTAATTACCGGAACATATTAAGATGTGTATATGCAAATTTTAAAGTGTTGATTACCTCGTCTATGAAGATATTTGCTTGTCCAATGCTTTGTAAAGTTTCCTGTTTAACTTAAAAATCAGGCGATGCTTCACACAGATATGGAACAATCAGTAGTGGGGTGTATACAAGCAAAGTTTTTTCCCTATCTGTTTAAGTTGAGGGTACCTTATGGAGGGTCTCCTTAATTATCCCTGTAACTTCTAGCTTGATAATATTATTCTCCGGAGACTTATGCCAGGCTTTCTTGCCTACATAATCTTTTGATCGGCCATATACATTAAAGCTAGAGCCCCTGCCATTCTCTATGTTTTCCTAATCTCTGAGGGAAACTTGTCTCATTCTTGTGTGTTCTGGACAGATACTAGAAAAGGGTGACTACACAATGATATCTGGAACTCCTTATATTAAGAAGTCAGGTATAACTGACGCTTATGCTACTTGCTTCAGTAGATAAAAGTGTATCTGTGATTTTGGGCTTTAGGTTGTGATGCGTTGCATGTGATGTGCAGGCTGGAGGAAGATATCATTTTACTTCAATCTTTCTTATGAAATTAAAGACAAAACCATTGAATTTGATGAGAACCGCAATGTTCAAAGGGCAGAGTTCATTGTCCGAGCTTACATGCAGTATGCTCTTTGACTGGCGGAGCTTAAAATATACTGAGTGTAGAGATTTTCATCTACTAATACTTAGTTTATGTGTTTATATTTCTTGTTAGGGGTGGAAGGTTTTCCGATGGATGGGGCTCATGTGAACGACGTGAGAAGAGGTTTATGAAGCCAAATCATGATATTCCATGCACAGCTGAAACTAGAGCAAAAAATAGAGCATGCCAGGTGTGTGTTTTCTTTCTGTATCTATTAGAACTCATGCTGCATTAGCTGCCATTCCTTCCTCTGTTTCCACACACTAAATGTGTAAAAAATATAAGTAGATGTTACAATTTATAAAAGGTTTGTTGTCAGCATAAATGGACAAGAAGTGGAAGCTTTGTTTACATACATATTTTGGAAGTTTTGACACTATAACTTGGTTATATTTGCAGGACTTGCTTGGCATTGGAGAGTATCGACCTGGTATAAGGCATCCCCATTAATTAAATATCATCTGGAGTTGAGACTTGGGGAAGATACGCATGACTGATGGATCCCACTGAAGTAGAGGACCTTCGAAATCAAATATAACCAAGTATTCTCTGCACAGATCTCATCGATCTTTCACCAAGGATTGAATGCATTTTGACAGTCTAGATATCTGCGTTTGTGTGATTGTTGTCAGTTTATTGAACTATCATAAACAAATCTGAGAGTATTATGCAATTGTTACTCTTGTGTACCTAAACATTTTAATATAGGGAAAGGCTAACAGCTCTTGAGTTTGAATGGTCTGATTGTGTATGTTGATTATGGGGCTAAGTAATGACAACTTATTATCTGGCTGATAATGTCTGGTGAAGTGTTTGATGGCGCCTGTTTTCTTCTTCCTTCCATGACTAATTTACTAGAAATACTGTATTGCTTTTGGACGAAACAAGGTTGCTGGGCCTGATTGGAATAAACCTCCAGCACAGCTCAGTCTTCAGCTCCTTCTGCTCTGCCGTGGCATGCCACTTCCTTTGGGCACTGTCAGGTATGGTCTATGTATGATATGACAGTACACATTTCTTAACTATTCAGAATGGATAACGAGATAAGCTAGAATTTCAATTTATTTGGTTAGAGAACTCTCCTGACATAAGTTCAATGTACAAAATTCTCTGGCCTTTTGTGGATAGAAAGAAAGGTGGGCCTGTAATTCTCAATACTCATTGCACATACTTTAACTGTTACTCTTGCTGCTTTTATCTGATTGATACTGTTAGAAAATATGGCTACTTAAATTTTTCTTTACAGCATCAATCCACCGACACTTCAGCTTATTGAGCATTGGGGAATTGCTTCTCATTAAAGTCTTCATCTTGCTTGATATGACTCAATTATCATTCTTGTTCTCACGTGCTGCACATGGAATTTTCTGAGTCGATGCTATAGGATGAAGAATTGCATGCAGTTAGATAAACATGAATGTGGCTAATTGATGAGTTCCTTTTCAAAAAAAAAAATTAAAAAAAAATTAGACTAGGATTTTTGTTCATATGCTGTGCAAGCTATCAATTTGGCATGTATCTGAATTCAGAAGGTTGATAAGGCTACTACAGCAACAAGGTATGTATGACATATAGTGGTTTGATCATCTTGGCTGAAGGGAATCTTTTGCACAATCAATTCTTAGTATTTCAGTCAAACCACCTTTTGAGACAGTTCATTTGTCATTTAGCCTATGAAGCTTTTCTGATATATAGATTATCATATCTTTATTCTAAGGATGTTATGAGTAGATTTGTATTAGTTAAAGTTATAAGCCATCACTTTAATTATACTTAAGTGTTAATCTTGATTATTTTAACCTTATAATGTAATTGCCTATTGACAGCAGAGCATAAAAGAGAAGCTGAACAAAGCAAAAGATGAGTATTGCTTCTTCCCCTTCCTCTCATATCTCCATGTGGCTTCTCTGATGAAATAATTCACTTCTACAAACCTCATTGCCATTGCACCGGAATATTCAAAGAATAATCTAAATGGCTCAACAGGTATGAATTTTCTGTCCTATGCATTCTCGTTTTATTTCATCATAAAGACCTCAAGTGTTGAGGTATTGTTTATTTGAATTCCGCCATTCCTTTTGTGGCAATTGTTACAGAGGATTGAATATCTGTTTGTTTGCAGGACGAAGGGTGGCCATTGGGGCTGAATCTGAGGGTTGGGATGGAGAGAAATCATGATCTCAGTGGCTCAATTTCATTCAACACACTACTCACTGGTTCCCCAGTCTCGTCAATGGATTCCTCTTCTGATCTTGACACCGAGGTCAGGTTCTTTTTCCTTTGAATGCTTATTTATTTTTCACATTCTTCTTGCCTTATCATTGCTGTATCAAAAGAGAATTAGTGACTGTAACTTTGCCATTCATCTCCAATTAGTTCCTCCCAAGAAATTCACGACATTCCCTTAGTTCATTCCTTCGTTTCTTTTGTTTCCTTCATATTTCTCCACATTTAGCAACCTTTATTGCCCTTGATTTGCATCTCCGTGTTTGGAAAGAATTAATGAAGCTACGTTGTTGGTGGGCGTTCTATTCTTGGTGGAAAGATTTACATCAATGGAAGAGACAAGGTGCAAACATTGTCCTGAAAAGTTTAGCATACATATAATTCTTTATCCATGCTCCATGCTAAAATGGGTTTTTGTGTCAGGCAGCGTCGCCATCATCTCTCATGCTTTCACCACTTAAAAGCCGTGCAAACCACTTTAATTATATCCCCACTCCCCTGCCCATGCTGCTTCAGATTACCTGTACAATTAACACCAAGAAAAAGGGAAAGGCTTACTTTATATATACAATGTGGATGCATATTATATTCATTGTGAAATGCTGATTGATTTTGACGATGTTCTCCCTTGCAGTCAACAGGTTCCTTCTTCCACGACAAGACCATCACTCTGGGCAGCCTTATCGGGATTTCCACCATTTTCGAAAGATCAACAAGAGGAAGAAAATCCGAAGCTGTATCAATACACAACAAGAAAATCAACAAGACCAAGACATGGTTTTTTTCCTTGTGCCCCCGGCTGCGCACCGATGCTGCAATGCCAGCGAGCACCAACGACGCAGCTCCATCCCTCGGCCACTTTCTTGAAGCCGAAAGAAGAGCTGCATGCAGACGCGGCGGCAGTGATCATCACACACGTTACCAGGCCAGTCACTCAGCTTATGGACCAGACGACTTCACCCGCGTTTTCGACCCGAATTCGTTGTTCATTGATGGCCGGATTGCCCCTCCTCAGTCCAATGCTGATACTGATAGAATCTTGATCAGGGACTTGCAATCCCATGCTGATGCTGATGAAACTCCGCAATCCCACTCTTGTTTATGTGGAATTTTTTGTCATTGATATTTGTACGTAGTTATGATCATATATATTCTTTACTTCCCATTTACAAATCATCCGGCTGGATTTGGGTGGACCCGGCCCAATTATACAAATGGGCCGTTGTGTTGCAATTTTCAAGATTGGGCAAATAAATGGTCCATTACGGAAAAGTGCAATACACGTAATGTCAGGCTCAAATTATTGTAGCGTCTCGGAATTAAATATCAATTATTACAAGTGGATAAAATGTGTCAAAAAAGTTGGATTCTCCCCTCCTTTGGTATTAAGGAAAGGTGGTCATTTCATTGTTGAGTATTGTAATTTGTACGTACGTATTGTCTTTGTAGTGGCAAGTGCTCATCGCTGTCTGTCATTCAATGTGTTGAGATTCTTTACCAATTATTACTAGTAGTAGTAGTCAAAAACCAATTCTATTTGGATTTTGGAGTATAAATCAATTTTGATGTGCTAGCTAGATTTTATTTTATTTTATTTTTTTAAAGTATCGATTCTTTATTCTGAGGTGGACGATGGGTAATGTAATCGTTAACATATAAATAACATCTTCAATCGGTATTCTAGCAAAATGAGAAATAGCCAATAGTTAGGTCTTCCATTGGGCTAAAGAAAATAAGTCGATCTAATGGGCCAAGAAAGCCCAAATGAAGAAAAAGCCTAATTTGTAGTAATTCGCACATGTAGTCAGAGTCATCTACTAACACAGTCAAAATATAAACGTGTAAAGTGGACAATGAAGGGTGAAAATGATTTTAAAATGATAATGATAATAAATAATGAAAAGTGGAGAAAGCAAAGCTAATAAGTGTAGATTGCATGCATGGATGGATGGCGTCGTAATGAAAATAATTTATAAAAGAAATTAATTAATGAAATATAATCGACAATGAACTGAAATCATACCACTAGCAAACCAAACAAGTGGTCAGTATCGTTTCTTGTAAGTTTTTTTTTTTTTTTAAAAAAAAAATAATAATAATCATCCTGATCCTATAAATAAATTAATTCGACACTGTTTTTGTCCTTATGCACAACAGGACAACCCCACTAAAAATAAAAAAGGAAAATGATGATGATGTCAATAATACTATAAATTATGAAAATAGGTAAGTTTGTTTGATAATTAACTTACCATTTTAGTTATGTAAACATATAATAATAATGAACAATGTGGGAAAAGAAAACATTGGATGCTTGTAATAATATGCATATATATATTCTTTTCAGCAAATTAAAGGTCAGCAGATAGATAGATAGATAAATAGATAGGTTGCTTTTGCCTTTGGATGGTTTGATTGATTAAACACTCTCTTCTCTTCTTTCTCTCTCTCTCTATCTCTCTCTCAGACACCATCAATCATCAAACCCAATCGAAAAGATTTCATTTATCCCCTAAAAAAATAATAATAATAAATTATTAAGGGGGACAAAATTGTCTACCCTTTTCCTACTCTCATTATGTTTGACTCAAAAGCAAAACATAATTATATGCTAAGGATCACTACAATTTTGTAGTATATATTGAATAGCGAATAAAGATTTCTTTCCATATATAAATATTTAGGTGATATATATATATATATATATTGGTATATAGGAAATGGGAGTTTGAGTAATATAAATATTCTCATTACTTTTGTTTGTTAAACTCTTGATAATATAAGTTTGAGAAATAAAAACAATAGTTCTTGATTTATCCTCTCTGGCTTTTTTTTTTTTTTTTTTCTTCTACGAAATACAATACACCATATTTTCTGTATGGATTCATCCTGGAATTTTCAGTCTCAGGTGAATTACTTCTTTCTCCAATTTATTTGTTGTCATTTTCCTCCCATTCCACCAAACTTACCCAAATATTCTGCCAAGAAAATTCCTGGTTCTAAAATTCCAATCAATCTGAATCCAACTGTAGCGTTTCAATCTGCGTGTGTGTATATATATATTGAGTGTGTGTGGCCACTACAATCTCTTATGAATCAAATCAGGTTTATTATTCACATAAATAAATAAATAAATAAATAATGGGAATCTTTACTACAACTACTTTATACATGTTGGGTGGAAAATGTAGCTAAGGGACCAAGGAATCAGATTCCTGCGCGTATGTATCTACGACTTTACCATCTAATTATATATATATATATATATATATTCTTACCCAAATCTATCTCTATACTAATTAATTACTTAATTAATTAATTATTCCATAATCTTTTACTTTTGCACACTCACAGACACAGATATGTGTGCGTGTATATATATATATATATATATAGAGAGAGAGAGAGAGAGAGAGAGAGAGAGAGAGTGTGTCTGTAAGAAGGTAGGCGACTTGGATTTCTGAGCCAGATCAGTAACATTCCATTCCCATTCCAAGGTATAGATATATATATATATATATTCTTCTGAGCATGCACGTTCTTGTGGGGACGATGAGTAGGTCCCATTCCATTTCATCCCCCACCATGCATGCATGAGATTATATGTACTACTATTAATTAATGAATTGCATATATAATAAGTACTATTTGATCTTGTAAATTAATTAATTAAATTTAATCAGTACTAGAGAGAGATGGTAACTAACTTTATTGGGTGCATATACATAAGTAATAAGCAGCAGCAGTAGCAGCTTTGCATATACATATCTATATATATATATATATATATATAAACAAAAGCATTGATTCTTACAAAAGTGAGTGACGACGGCGACGATGACGACCAAACTATTAAGAGCAATTCCCACATATATATATATATATATACATAGAAGTGTAAAGAGAAGAGATGGACCTTACAGCGATCTCTTTTATATATATATATATATATTACTTTGTCAATTTAACAATTAATTAATCATAATATATGGTTGAGACAAATTAAATACATATATATACTAATCACTTATGGAACAATTATAATATCAGATAGAGGGTTACATCAAATCGCAATTCCAATTAATGTGAAAATAATTTGAACCAAATAGATACATATAGGTGTATATGTCATTTGAATGATCAATGAATTTCTTTAAATGCACAATTCATACAAAATCACTAAAGACCATCTGGGTCACTGTGCTATTTTAATTAACCAACATATTACTGACAACATATAAAATTTAAGGATATTAGTACATTACTTGAATGAATGAATTAATTATATTTTGATAATTAATTGGTAGCATTCAAATGCAGCATTAGAAATGTTGTGCAGTACAGTGGAGGGAAGTAGTAGTCTTTAATTTTACTTTATTTCATTGACGTGATCTTTGGGGGAACATACATCGAGACAAGTCCTTTTCTTCTCAGAAACTTTGAACAACTTTTTTGGGTTTTCAAATTAATTAATTAATTATATATTACATATGATTTTATAAATATATGTTGTGCGTATGAAATTGAGTGCCACTCCAAATTGAATTCTGTGTCGTCTTTTGAGAGTACTCTTGTCTGATCATCATCGTCATCATTATCATCATCTGATCTGATCTGATAATATATATACATAAATCTTGAAGACCAACAAAACTCAAATCCATCAACACATACATGCATGAATTCCATTATTGTGAAATCATTGTACCTACTTAATATATATATATATATATTTGTATGTATATCGTATATGAGAGAGAGAGAGAGAGAGAGAGAGGGGAAGGGCTCACACTTTCAGACAGATTGAGGAATTTCATTCCTGGGCAGATTTTCTCAAAGGACAAAATTGAAACGAAATTCTCGGATAGGTCAAAAGTTAACCGTTTGGATTTTGCTCGTTGTACCTTTGGAGGAGGATTTTTCTTTTTTTTTTTTTTATATTATTATATATTTATATAACATTGGCAATAAATAAATCAGTGATAATTGACACAGCAACAACAAAAAATATTATCAATGACCGTTGAAATTTAAAGTTACAACATATATAGAAGTGTGCTCTTTTTCTTAAGTTCAACTTGTTAAATTATAGTAAATGTTATTATGTGGAAGTGGGATATAATAACTCAACGTATTGTGGTGTGTTTGGATATATTTCAAAGTATTTTGATGTTTTGAATTATTTTAAGAATACTAAAAATTTAATTTAAAAACTAATTGTTAAATATAATTCTTTTATATATATATATATATATATAAAAAAAAAAAAACTCTTTCATGGATTGTAAAACCTATACATTCGAGTTTTCAAACTATTGCATATATAGGGAGGGACAACATTGGATACTCTACAGGAAATATATGACATTTAATTGTACAATTATGTTATTATAAATGGAGTTTCACATATAATATATATATATATATATCTTTGAATGTGTGAAGAATTTCATCTAAACATTGAAGAAAGTGTTATTGCATTTCAAGTGTCTAATAGATCCATGGAGGGGTTTTATATGCATTTTTTATTTGATGGAAGAAATTTAGTAAAAAAATAAAATAAAATTGATCGGATTGTATTATTGTTGTCACATGATCTACACAAGTATTCTTCAATAGTGGTTGTTATTATACTAATTATATTTAATCAGTACAATACAGCTTATAATATTACATTCCTGACACTACATTATTTATAAATAAATACCATAAGGTATATATTATATAAAACAAAAATAAAATACATATAAGCCCCATAAGGGATGATCTGGTGGTGTAGGGATTGAACTTGCGACCGTAAGGTCATGAGTTCGCCTAGTGTGACGTATTGCATTTTTATTTCACATATTGTTTGTTCATTAATCAACATTAGCCCCTAATACCCTATTCAGCATCTTAACGAAAGAAACTCCCAATATATATATATATATATATATACACATCTAAATAATTAATAAAATGATTTGGAAGTATATGATTCATATACACAGCTAGCATTGAAGATGTGTTTAATCAAATCGATCATCCTATACATATAAACATACAAATAACAGACACAGTAATGATCATGTAAGAAAGCCATTGAGCCATGCAAATATGAACAACCAAATACAAATTTATTTTGCATCTTTTTTAATTTTAACAAAATCTCACTTACATTAATTAGGGAGATTTCAAACATTACTTCCAGAAACACATTCAACAGCAGATCATACATACATACATACATACATGCATACATATATATATATATAAGTATATATAAGCCATGCTAAGCATATGTAAAAAACCTACAAAGAAATAACACTCTCATAGAAATTATCTGAGAAATTAAACATCTCTCAGACACCAGAAAATACATAGATACATATATATATATATATCATATGAGTCGAAACACTAATTAGTGAATAGCAGGCGAACAGACCAACCAATTTTAGGGTTTTTTGGGCACTTATCATAACCATAGATCCATCGGTTCCATCTTCCCAATGTGTTTTAGGGTTTGAGTCGGTACTTGATCGCATCACTTCCAATTGATATTCTTCCATCACGATACCCTCTTCCAGGACCTAATTAAGCTAAATCTTGATAATTAATATAGATATTGATGACCTACATGGGGTTGCTTCTGGAGGAGGTGCTGAAGCTGGAAAGATCCGTCCATGGCGATGCAGTGGTTGAGTTCCACTGCTCATTTCCAGACGATGATCCCAACAACAACTGCCTCGACAAGTTCAGCTGCTGCTCGGGGTGGTTTTCTTCCATTTTCACAGATGACGACAGCTGACTCAGCATCCCGCCGGAAAGCTTCGGCCTCACCTGGTGGTGGTGGTGGGGACTGCCGTCGCCGCCGATAAACCCTGATTCGCCGCCTTGGAATGGGAAAATCCCCGACGAGGATGGATCCAAGCCGCCGAGGAAAGGGAATTGCTGAATCTGATGCTGCAGTCGCCATGGCTCAATGCTCCCGCCTCCGCCGGAAAAAAGAGAAGATACGCCTCCGCCGGAGATTAAGTTTGCAGATCCATGAAAGTTCATCTCAGCCGTGCCGGGGCCCACCGTCGGAGCTGTAATTCCACTATAATTGACCAAATTATCGCCGTTGAAAGTATCTGTCATTTGGCTCAAAGGAGACATGAAGCGCAGAGGCTGCAGCTGTGGGGAAAGCCCCAAAATGTTGTTGGCGGCGTTACTGGAAGAAATAGCGGCGGCGGCGGCGGAGGAAGAGGTGGAGTTATTTTGGCGGTCGCTGCTGGCCGGAGACTTGGAGCTCGCCGTGGACTTGCTTCTTTTGTTCCTCCGGCATCCTCCGCCAACCGGAACGTTTCTCAACGCGCCGCCTCTGGTCCAATACCTTCTGCACGTCTTGCAGAAGTGTCGAGGCTGAGAAAGGCTGTAGTTATTGAAGTAACAGAATTTAGTATTTGTGGAATCGCAGCGAGGGCATTTGAGGGCAGGTTCAGGCAAGGGTATGTTAGCAAGACGAGCTCGCTCGGCCATGGATCCCGGCCGGATCGATCCTGCGGCGGCGGCGGCGCCATGGGGCGGCGGATCGGCAGCGGGAAGCGGCAGGAGTAGAGGATTTGCGCCGCTGCTTCCAATGATTTGATTATTATTCGATTGCTACAAAAATAAATAAGTGAATAAATCATAAAGCTAACAAGAAAAAAAGGCAGGAAAATGAAAACACGGAGACGATGGTATATTCAAGAAACGAAATTAAATTAAGTAAAAGAAAAAAAAAAGAAAAAATTAAAGAAGAAGAGAAAAGAAAGATTGAGAATATTTGGCTTTAGAAATTCTACTTTTTTGACAAATTAAAGAAGGGATGCAATTAGCCATGGAAGCTTGCATAAGAAAAAACCCTTACCTGGTGCTGCCAGTTGGAAGGATCAAGATAAGCTGGAATGGAAGAAAACACCATGGCTCTTGATATATGTATCTTCCCCTTTCTCTTTTGTAAAGGTTAATTGGTTTTTGGAGGGGTGGGTGTGGGTGTGGGTATAGTGGTAGTGGAGAATCACATCAGCTGCTGCCCTCTCTCTCAAGGGCTGGGTTAGCTAGGGCAAGGAGAGAGAGAGACTTAGAGAGAGAAACAAAGAAGAAAGAAAGAATATTAAAGGGAAGAATGAGAATATAGGAGCTAAAATAAAGCAAGCTGCTTTATATTTGCACACATACACACAATCTCATATAGATATATATGTATGTATATATATATATGCATATGCATGTATCGAAGAGGATACACAGAGACACACACTCACAGAAGTCACAAGTACTAATTTGTTTTCACTCTGTCTCTAGTTTTGTTTTATTGCTTTTTAGGGTTTCGAGAGAGAGATATATATGTGCCACTTTATTACTTAGCCTATAAGCTTCTTTGTGTGGTGGCATTCCTCTCATTAATTCCATGAAATTTTAAAATAAATAAAAGTGGTCATATATATATTATGCATGTTTCCATAATTATTTGATTATCCTATCATTTTATATTATCTAATATATATATATATATATGATTGAAATGGCCGAGGTGGGTTCCCAGCTGCACCACTGCAAACAGAATATTATTAATTCAATTTACATGCAGCTAGGGTTTGACACCTACATTAACATTAAACTATTGTATATTATATATATTCTCACTTATTACTTTTTTTTTCCTTTTTTTTTTTTTTTAATGAATCATTTGCATGCATATTCTAGAGAAGCATATGGTAGAAGTATGAATTTATATATATTAAAAGAAATAAGAAAAACTGCAGGGAAATTAAAAAAGGAGAATGTTGGGGGAGATGATTATATATATACATATATATATATATATATAATATATTGTGGGTAAACTAATAGTAACTTTTTGCAGCCCCCAGCCTTGATTTATGCTACGTATGGTTCCTCCCCTTTTCTCTTTAATTCCCCCATATCTCTCCCTCCCTTTATTTAAATTTTCAATTAATTTGTATAAATGGGTCAGAGGGAGGGACTACTTCCACACTACATTCTATTCTGCACTCAGCACTACCCATTTTTATTTATTTTTATATGCATGTATGCTTTATATATATATATATATATTATATTATTTACACATGATCTGTACGTATATATATATATGGTGCACACTGCACAGCAGTCACAGCTAGCTAGGAATAAGATGGATGTCTGAAATTGGTTGCTTCAAGTTCAAGTTTTTTTTTTTTTTAAAAAAAAATTATACTATTATTATTTAGTTATATATACAGTTAGTTTCGTTGGGTTCTGATCCTTAATTAAGTGAGGCTTAAGTTACTGCAGTATGTACAATTTGAAATAGTATGAAAGTTATGACAACAAAGACCAATGCTTCCCATTATAGACACGAAAAAAATGCCCTAATTAAAGGGACCTAGCAAGATCATCAGAGTACGTATCAATCAAACACTCACGAGCCTCATCATGCACATATAAAATTTATAGATCGATTGATCAATTATTGATTTTTTATTTTATTTTTTTAAGTAAATTAAAGATACGAATGTACGTGTATCCCATCATCCCCTCTCCGATTAAACCACATTTGTGCAATCAAATATTCTACAGCCTACAACTTGTTCTTCAGTTTTCTTGGCTATTTTAATTCTTTCCATGTTTTTTTTTTTTAATGTCAGAATAATTTAAATCTTTAGTGCCAGAAGGTACAGTCATATTTATATATGGATTGGATAATAAAACACGCAAGTGTTCGGACATGGAAAGAAACAAGTACAAACCTCAAATCGTTTTGACCATACGACTTCGATTTACGATTATTGACTAGACCCGTAAATGTACTGTATGATTACTTTACAATATGGGTCAGATTTGGTAATATTTGGCCCAAATTATATGGGCTTTATATTCTCTAATAAACACTTCCTCAAAATCAAAGCCCAAACCTTTCAGCCCAAAATCAGAATTGAATGATACTTGTACATGATCCGTATGTATGTACTCAATTTCAAGAGAAATTATATTTTAAAAAAAATATATAGTCACACCAAATAGGCACTGAGTTCAGGTGGTGGCGGCGGCGGCGGCGGACGGGCAGTGGCGCGGCAGAGCGGGCAGTTGGGGTGGATTCCCAGCCACGTATCAATGCATGACACGTGGAACATGTGGGAGCAATCGCGGAGCACGCGGACCCCTTCGCCTTGTGTGAACTCCCCTAAGCAGACAGCGCACACTTCTTCCTTTGAGCCCTTGGATTGAACCGCATTCACGTGGACCGTTGGATGGTCCAACCTGGCATCCATTACAACGACGTCGTTCCGCTCTCCGCCCTCCCGCCTTGGAAATGGAATTGGGTTAATAATATTAACAGTAGTAGTCGCGTTTCTACTCTGACGCCTTTGCTGTTGCTGCCGGTCATTGCAAAACACGATTATGCTGTGGCAAATTGCGACTATTACAGCACCACCTACCACCCCCAGAAACCCCATCAATAGTGGACTCATATTTGCCACCCCGACCACCACAATACATACACTATTCATCTATATATATATATGTATCTAAGAAGTAAGAATTTTGTGGGTAACAATATCAAAACTATTATTATTATTTGTTTGTGAGGGTTGCTAACTAAATTGTACTTATTTGTTGGCAATAGGCAAATACGTTGGTGTCACGCCATTAGGGCATGATTATTTTGTGATAAATTAATATAACCACTCTTTTGGAGTGAATAGACCATAATTTTGGGCACTGTCAACAGAAAAAATTGACCCATAAGTAAACAATTTGCAAAGAAATTAAATTTCGCAATTAATTGTATATCATAAATTAAATCTAGATCTAGAGCATGCATGAAGGAAGGAAAATTCCTAGGACATTGTGGACCGTTCATTTTCTGGGATCCCACACCATGAATCAACGGTGCGGATTAACTAGAAGATGCAATCAATCCCTGGGGAATCAATCAAACAAACAAATAAAATTAATAAATAATAGCAATCATGCTGGTCAGGTCGTATCTGAGGAAGCAAATATCAAATCAGGTTTGCAATTGATTTATAATATAATTAAATCATTTTTGCAGCACCAGAACATGCACTTTTCTGCTTTGATAAAAATAATAAACATGCCAGTTATTATTAAGCAGGTGGAGAATTTAATTAAACTAATCTTTAAATGTTACTCTCTTATTGGAATATTATTAGTTAATATTAACTATCAGCCACAATTATCAAAGGCAAAGCACACTGATTTTTACCAGTTATTGCTGGGTGTTTATCCTAATAAGACTGCACTTTAATTTACGTCTCCTACTTATAATTTTATTAGAGTCGCCTATAATGGAAAATGACCAGAATTTTACAAATTTAAATATTGTATTCATTTCTTCTTTTGAAAATAAACCCTCACAATATTATTTTATTTTATTTTATTTTTATCATCATCGTGCATGAATTAGTGCTTCTTAATTTGAGAAAAATTCCCAGTAATTTTTTTTATTTTTTATTTTCACTAAAATAAGGTTGGAAAATACCGAGTAGGACCCATTATCCATACATAAATGCCACGCTGGCATTTACGACCAATGATAGTTGACATCTTATTTCGTATTTAATACTAATACAATGATAGCCTATCAAAGTCCAACATATATATGTTTTTTTGTATACGTATAAGTTGTGATAGCTTCCAAATTCCATTTCCTATTATTTTCCATTATTCAGAAGAAATAATTTTATACGAATAGTAATATTGAAACGTGCCTATTTCATTTCCACGATTAACCACAAACTTAGTCAAAATATTTTTAAAACTTATCCATTCGTCTAAATTTTCAAAATTGGCCATATTTTGGGGAAAAACTACAAAGACTTTTAAATCAGAATATAATTATTATTGAATAAATAAATTGGAGACTATAATAAACTGTCCTGATTCATCTTCATAGTATCCAATTATTAACCATCACTTAAACGTCAATCTCTCGTTAACTCAACAAATAAAATACGCCAATAAAATTCAGACACAAACTCCCAGAAGAGATAACATTTAAAACCATATATATTAATTTTTGTTTTTTTTAAAAAAGGAATCTTTTTAAAAATAATAACAATAATAATTATGATTACTATTTGCCAACTCAAAACAAGGATTAAAACGACGCCGTATGGTTCCAACCCACCATTATTCAGTGGAGGCTCCCCATCCATCTCCTTCTACGCCCGCCCCCTTCGGCACCGCCAAAGAAGTTGCCCTTCGGCTTGTTTTATAAATCGCTGGGAAAAAGGGTCGGAGTGTTGCGTTCTAATCTAAATCTAAATGCAACCCTGAAAGAAGCGCGTTTGACGTTTACCCCCTTTTGTCGCCATGCTTTTCTCCATTTCAGTACGGAACTGTTGAAAACACAAATAATGCGTGTGGGGATCGAAACGAATTGCTAGAGAGCTGGAAAAGTCGAGGGGTTTGGAAGCTCTGTGTGTGTGTGTGTGGAAAAAGGATCGCGTTGCGCCTGTCAAAGATCTGGGGATAAGATGAGGATTGTCAAATCCGTTGCGTCTTCGGAATACCGTGGATTTTTTGTGGTCGAAGCTTATCCCAAAAGGTATTCGTCTAAGATCCCTTCTGATTTGGTACTTTTCTTGGGCCTTGGTTTCATTGATTGGTAATATTAAGCAAGATTGTCGGTTGCCTGGAGAGTTTAATTTTATTTTCTTTTTCCCTTTTGGGTTTTTTACATTGAACAAATCCGGAAGAAGAAAGTTACAGATTTATACATACATATCGAGATTCTGATTGATAGAATTATGAATTGGATGGGCTCAGATTCATTGTTTCTCTTAGCCTAATTGTTAGATTTATAGTTAGTTATACGTTTTTGCTTTGGTGTCTGGATTCTGGAAAATTGGATTATAAATGAACAAGTATAGAGTCTTGATGGAGGTGGGAGTTTGTAGTTGGGATTGAGTTGATGATAAGAAAGTGTTGAACAAAGATTGTTACAATCTTTGTCTCTTACATCTGGGGATAGTTAAGTTTGGTTGAGAGAGAAAGAGGTGAGAGTGTTTTGAGATGGGGGATACACTTGTCACAACTTTGTCAATGGACAATCATCATCAACCTTCAACCCTCTTGTCCATGGATTCAAGTGCTTCTTCCACACATGGTGAATTAGACCTTGACATGAATTGCCAGGTCGGGTTTGTTTTATCCGGTCCACCCGACATAAACCTTCCTCTTTCAGCTCCTCTTCAGCCTTGGAACCCCGATCACTGTGACATTCTTGATGTTGGTCTGGGGACTCAGATGTACGAGGGAGAGAATTTCCTTAGTGTCCCTAAGGCCGGGAAGAAGAGCACTAAAAGGGTAGATAGCATATGGGGTGCGTGGTTCTTCTTTAGTTTTTACTTTAAGCCTGTATTGAATGAGAAATCAAAGGCAAAAATTACTTGTGATGGTAATGGGCTTTCGGGGTTCGATAGATCTGACCTCCAACTGGATATATTCTTGGTTCAACATGATATGGAGAATATGTACATGTGGGTCTTTAAAGAAAGGCCTGAGAATGCTCTCGGTAAAATGCAGCTTCGTAGTTATATGAACGGGCATTCGCGTCAGGGAGAGCGCCCCTTCCCATTCAGCTCAGACAGAGGCTTCATTCGGTCTCACAGAATGCAGCGGAAGCATTACCGAGGACTTTCTAATCCTCAGTGTGTCCATGGTCTCGAGGTTGTTCCAAATCCCCATCTTGGGTGTCTCGATGAAGAAGATCGGAAAAGATGGATGCAACTGACAGGGCGGGATCTGAACTTCTGTATCCCTCCTGAAGCTAGCGATTATGGTACTTGGCGAAATCTGGTGAATGCAGAATTTGAAATCGAGAGGCCTCCTGCTTTGCCGGTGAAGACTAATCCCCACACAAAGAAGTCACTCAATGGATCTGGTCTAAACTTGTCCACTCAGCCAAGCAACCACAGCAATGGCGATGTGATCGATCTTTCACCCGTCAGCCACAAAAGAAAGAAAGATTTTTTCAACCATGGAAACAGCGAGGAGGATGCAAGTGCTCACGACCAAATCCCGGATTTAGAAACTCACCCAAATGAGCCACATTGGTTGAATGGATTCACAGGAGTGCTGAGAAATGCTTATGGTCCTGTCACAGCTGCCAAGACAATCTACGAGGATGAACAGGGTTACCTGATCCTAGTCACCCTACCATTTGTCGATCTCCAGAGGGTTAAAGTCACCTGGAGGAATACACCTACACATGGGATCATCAAAGTTTCTTGTACGAGCACTTCCCGTGCGCCGTTCATCATAAGGCAGAACCGAACGTTCAAGCTGACAGATGTGTCTTCAGAGCATTGCCCGCCAGGTGAATTTGTCCGTGAAATTCCTCTTGCCACCCGGATCCCTGAAGAGGCCAATATAGAGGCGTATTACGATGGGCCAGGAAGCGTTCTTGAAATCTTAGTGCCGAAGCTCCCACAAGGACCGGAGGAGCATGAAGTTCGAGTTTGTCTCCGTCCTCACCATGGGGTGAATGATTTTATGTTGTCCTGAAAAGGGTTGGTTAGTAAAAGATGAGGTGCAAAATGGGGTTGAACTATGAAAGTTAATCATCGTCTAAGCCTTGTGCTTGTGGTGTCCTAATTTTGTGGAAGTTACTCTTCATGTATTTGAATTATTATCGGGAGACTAGTCCCCTTTATTTATGAATGACTATCCATATACACCCCTCTCTATTAAGTTGTTTGATGGGTATTGAGTATTGAAGGTTTCTTGGTTTACGTTTAACTAGGTAATTTTTTATGGTATTGGTGGGTGATGTTTTCAAAAAGCAGATGTGTTTTTTATTCATTTGAATTTCTGTGTGTTATTAATATTTTTAATTATTGGAAATTTCAAAGGGAAAATAATAAGTATGGGCATCATACACAGTCGAGTTGACATTTGTGTAACAAGGGAGGAGAAGGGGCGGATTTTGAACATGTATATTAAATGTATGGCTTATTGATTGATTTAGAGTCACATTATATAAAGGAATGAATCAGTAATGTGAAATAGAAAAATGAAATATCAATGTTTTATTTATATCCGATAGAATAATAATTTTAATTTAAAATTGTAGTATTATTCTCGTTCCAAACCTAATTCACACACTACTTACCTCTAAACTAAAACCCTTGGGCTGGAATGAGTCAATTTATATACAATCAACTATCCTGAAAGCTGTTAGGCTGCGGTTTATTGTGGAGTTGGGGAAGCAAGTGGATAGAAAGTGCCAAATTGATGAGATAAGGGATTACGCAAGTCAAGGGAAGAGGGAAGAGGGAAGGCCGCCTGCTTGACTCATCAACTGTTGGTGCATTTATAAGTACGTTAGTGCTTTTCTTTTTCTTTCTTTCTTTCGGTCGAAACAACCCACGTGACACGACGACGCAACCCACTTATCTGTCCACTTATAAGCACAGCCGATACTCACTTATGTCAACCTTTAATAATTGAGCACCATCTTAACTTAAGCTTAGTTGGATGGATTTTGAGAAAAAGTGCATGATTTTCAATCAATATCACATCACACCTTCCTCTTCACCTCAACTTATGAAACCAAATTACGAACCAAACCAGATAAAGATCTTCATAATAATTTCACCAAGTTCAGACTTGGACGACTAATAAAGGAGAGACAAACGTTTGACCAAAATAAATAGTAAACAATATTAGCAAAAAAGCAAACATGTTTAATGTGCTTAGTCGACCTCCTCAATCTTGGGGCCAGCTCCAGCTCCCGCTCCGGCACCTGCTCCACCACCACTGGGAGCAGGGCCATCGTCGTCCATGGGCACATCCCCTCCAGCTCCCTGGTACATCTTGGCAATGATGGGGTTACAGATGCTCTCCAATTCCTTCATCTTGTCTTCGAATTCATCCGCCTCAGCAAGCTGGTTTCCATCCAGCCATTGGATGGACGACTCGATGGCATCCTCGATCTTCTTCTTGTCATCCGCCGACAGCTTTGAGGCAATCTTCTCATCCTTCACTGTGTTCCTCATGTTGTACGCGTAGTTCTCCAATGCATTCTTGGCTTCAATCTTCTTCTTGTGCTCCTCGTCTTCCGACTTGTACTTCTCCGCTTCCTGCACCATCTTCTCAATCTCCTCCTTGGAGAGCCTCCCCTTGTCATTGGTGATTGTGATCTTGTTCTTCTGCCCTGTCGTCTTGTCCTCAGCCGACACATTCAGAATACCATTCGCATCAATGTCAAAGCACACTGTGATCTGCGGAACTCCCCTGGGGGCTGGCGGTATGCCGGAAAGCTCGAATTTTCCGAGCAAATTGTTGTCTCTGGTTCTTGTTCTTTCTCCTTCATAGACCTGGATCAACACACCAGGCTGATTGTCCGAATAAGTAGAGAAGACCTGCTCCTTCTTGGTCGGGATAGTTGTGTTCCTGGGAATGAGCACAGTCATGACACCTCCGGCGGTTTCCAAGCCAAGAGACAGGGGGGTGACATCGAGGAGCAAGAGGTCCTGGACCTTCTCATTACCCTCGCCGCTAAGAATGGCAGCCTGCACCGCAGCACCGTATGCAACTGCCTCATCAGGGTTAATGCTCTTGCAAAGCTCCTTCCCATTAAAGAAGTCCTGCAATAGTTGCTGGACCTTGGGAATCCTAGTCGAGCCGCCAACAAGGACAACATCGTGGACAGTGCTTTTATCCATCTTGGCATCCCTCAAACACTTCTCGACGGGCTCCATGCATTTCCTGAACAGATCCATGTTAAGCTCCTCGAATCTGGCACGGGTGATGGTGGAGTAAAAATCAATGCCCTCGTAGAGAGAGTCTATCTCAATTGTCGTTTGGGCAGTCGATGACAGAGTCCTTTTTGCCCTCTCACAAGCAGTTCTCAGCCTCCTCAACGCCCTCGGGTTGCCGCTGATGTCTTTCTTGTTCTTCCTCTTGAATTCCTGAACAAAATGGTTCACCATTCTGTTATCGAAATCCTCACCTCCAAGATGAGTGTCACCGGCAGTGGCCTTCACTTCAAATATACCCTCTTCGATCGTCAAAAGAGAAACATCAAAAGTACCTCCACCAAGATCAAAAATCAAGACATTCTTCTCACCCACACTGGTAGCTTTCTTGTCAAGACCATAAGCAATTGCGGCAGCCGTAGGCTCGTTGATGATGCGCATCACATTGAGACCAGAAATGACACCAGCATCCTTAGTTGCTTGACGCTGAGAATCATTGAAGTAAGCTGGTACAGTGACGACGGCGTTCTTTACTGTTGAACCAAGGTAGGCCTCTGCAATTTCCTTCATCTTCATCAAAACCATTGAAGAGATCTCCTCAGCTGAAAACTGTTTGTCTTCTCCCTTGTAGTTTACAACAATCATCGGTTTGTCACCAGGTCCAGGAATGACCTTGAATGGCCACAGTTTAGTATCACTCTGCACCGAGGCATCGGAAAATCTCCTTCCAATTAACCTCTTAGCATCTGCAACAGAAAAGAAAACATGAAAACCTCTTCATCAGAATTTAAGAGTCGCCGATGAAGCACAGTCGCAAGGAAGCAGCAAACCAACAGAATCAGTGGAAAACAACAACTTTAAACCGTCCGTTACAAATATAATGTCAATATTCAGATCGATACATTTATAAAGTTCTTAATAGGAGCCTATAAATAGAACATATCGTATGAATATAAAAATAGACATTATCAACTATAGATTGATACGTGCAATAAAACTGTCGGCGATTACAAAAGTACACTCTAAAGTTTTTTAAATATATTCATCACGCAAAAGTGAGCGATTAGATCTGTTAACTTCGTCAATTCGCCAGACCGAGAAAGATCACAATTAGCGTTTGTATGGGTACTGAAATTGCAACAAACTAAATTGCAAATCAGTAACTGGACGCACCAAATCTATTATATTCTCCGCTCAGAACAGATCTAGGCACGTTAGTCGTGTGCGAGCGATTAAACTGACAGCTTCAGGAAAATGAGATCGGGCAAACAGGCTAAACACATATATAATAATAATTTGAAAAGATGAAAACCTGACAGGCAGTATTTTAGTCATAGGAGGTATAAAAAAAACTGACAATTCATGTATAGATCAGATACGAAACCTCAGTTCTAATCAAAATTCAAGCGAAACACAGATCTTACCAAATACGGTGTTCGTCGGGTTCATCGCAACCTGATTCTTAGCGGCATCACCAATAAGCCTCTCGGTGTCCGTGAAGGCAACATACGACGGCGTCGTTCTATTACCTTGGTCGTTGGCAATAATTTCGACGCGATCATGTTGCCAGACTCCGACGCACGAGTACGTCGTCCCGAGATCAATTCCGATGGCCGGACCTTCACCCTTTCCTGCCATAGCTTTCCAACCACAAAATCTAGATTGGCACTAATAGAAATGAATTGGCTGCAAAATTGAATCTGAAGTATAGAAATCACTGATGAGAGTTTTCAAATGAAAGAGGATTATTTATAACACAGAGGGTAGCGTCGGTTTTTGCGTTCCAGAAGCTTCCAAATCAAATCCCAGATGATATGACAGCCGTCCGATTGGGTGTTGAAAAGTATCTGGGGTTTGATTGGTTAATGCGAGTTTGCTTGCAGGGGCATTTTCACTTTTTCCTTTTTATTTTTTGTGGGATACGTCTTTTCCTATTTTTATTTTAAAAAGAACATTCTGGAACCTGACCTTTTTTCTCGTAATTTGTTACATCAATAGCGCTTCACTCGCCTTATACCATTATTATTTTTATTTTTATTAGATTCACATGGACAAGAATTTTTTTAATCGATTCTCTAACAATTTTTTTCTAATTACTTAATTTTTAAAATTAAAATAAAAAGAAAAAAATTAAAAAATATAATTTTCTTTAAAATATTTCATTATTAATAGAAAACAAAATAAATTTAAGAAATTCTTTGAAATAAATGATAAAACTTTAAAATATTTTTATATATTTATATTACGTTATCTGGAACAACGTAGAAAGTTCTAGAATTCAATTTGATTTTTTTGTAGTTGTAGACTAAATAAATAATTACCAGATAATAAGTAATCTTTATATTTGGGATAATAATATCATTTGGTTTTGGATATATTAAAATTTTTAAATAATATATAAATATAAAAATAGTATAAAAGTTAAGTAAATTATTAATAAATTATATATTCGTTCAAATATATTTTTATTTTTTAAAACTTGTCATAAAAATATTTTGTTTTCTTTTTATGCTTGTTTGCACACTATTTTTTTATACAATTTTTAATATATATTATATTTTTAATATAAAATATTATTTCTCTAACATTCAAATTTATTTTATTTTTTTAGTTATTCAAAATTTATTTTTTTTTATTTTTTAGTATTTATAAGAATTTTCTTTTTTATTTTGCTCATTTTTTTATACTCGGGTCCTATCAAATAAATATCATTTTAGTAATTTTTATATTAATAATATAATTTTTTATATTTCATGTAAATAAATTTTAAATCAAAACACTGTACAAACAACTCATTGATTATTTAAAAAAATATAAAAATATCTTAAATTCTCATTTTGATACAGATAGTATCCTATAACTAATATTATCGTTGATAAAAACAATCTAATTGAACTAACCCATAAGGTAAGTGCCAATACAAACTCTCCTTTAAATATGGAAAATTAGTTGTGTTTGTTTTGTGTTTTTGAAGAAATTTTTATTATATAAAAATATAAATAATTATGTAGGTGATATAAAAATAATTAATATATATATAATATATTAATTTTTTTTATAAAAATGTGTAAAAAATATTTTATAAGAGAAACAAACCAAGGTCTTGGGACATTGCAGTTAATCGAAAATAAATATTGAAGCGATAGCTAATAATTTCTAGCACTGAAGCTCTGCTCTACTCGGATCAATTTTCCCATTAAAGGTAAGGTGAGAGTCCATAAAATGATGAAATCCACTCCATATGCTTTGCTTAGTTCGATTTTGCTTTTGATCGCTTGCCATTTTGAGGTCTCGTTGCAGGTCAAAATTGTTCCGGTAACAGAAGGTGGTCGGTGCTCTCTAGTTCAACAATGACCGCCAGTGCTAGCAGCGAAGATGACGTCGTTGAGCTCGAGGCTATGCGCAAGGATACTATCTCTTGGCATCCTTGCCAGGTCTCGCTTTGGTCGGTTCTACCCTTTTTCGCTTTATGATGCTATAAATCTTAGTACCTACTCTGTGTTTTATTGTTGTTGCTTACAAATTACAATGATGGTCAACCTCAGTCCCTGTGACAAGCTTTTGGAGGTGTGTTTCACTTCTGGAATGATATACACATTTGCAAACTCAAATTGATTGTTTCGAATGTATTCGAATGAGTTTCCCGTGGAGTATCCCAAAGGATGTGATGCTTCTGTCTGCTTTCATGATGTGGTGGATGTGTAATTTTGGCAAATATGAATATTGCTGCATAAGGACGAGTTGCATTTGTATATTTATGAATATCGTGTCTCTCTATAGTCTATAGCAGCTTAAGATAAACAACCATTTGCATTGTTTGTTGCAATTTGAATAGCTGAAGTTAATGCGTATCAATAGTTCTTACAACCATGATTATATGAAGACGTCAACCATGTTTCGGCTTACTGGTGTGAACATGTGTGTTATTTTGTGTTTATATTCGTTTGTTTTAATATATAATTTTTTTATGTGAAAATAGTATTAGATGAAATGTTTGGGTATAAAAAATAGAGGAAAATAAAAAGAATGTCTCCCTAGTTTTGATCTTGATAATGTTTTGTTCTTTTAACTTGCCAATGCTAAATGGAAGCTGAGGTTATTGCTTGAATGGGGAAAAGCTTATGTTGACGTGTTAATTCATGGATAACTGAAAGAGCTTTTAGTGATTTGTGTTTAGCTGAATTTTGGATGCCTTATCGACTTTGAGCATGGACTCTGAAAATAATCTTTGTGCTTACACAAGACAATAACATCTGTTGCTTTTTTAGTGCAAACAAGTGTAATCGAAATTGATGTCCTTGTAGCTCTAGTGGATTGGGTCTTCTTGTGCAATATGAGGACAACAATTTGGAAGAAATGATCTCCGACAAAGATGGAGTAATTGCATGTATCCGTGTTCGTTCGACTCCATTACAAGGTGATGACTGCACTTTGCTCCAAAAAGGGGATCGTGTGCTTGCCACACGAAATTCCCGGGTTAAGGGAGACTTCCATGATGCCCTGGTGGAAGAGGTACATAAACTGCCTAAATAATGATCTTTTGCCAGTTAATGTTATGTTATTGCCACATGCTGGAGGTGAATATGCCCATGGTGTTTGAAAGAAAGTGGCATCCTTACATTTAACTTTTGCTCTAACTAAGGTTTATTAGACCAATTTTGCAATTCTGCTACTGCTATGACATTGTAGTTTCTGTCTATCCATAGATAAATTTTGTGATATCTTATAGTATGATTTTAGTATGGAATCTGCATGCTGAAATTTTGATCAAATGAAAACCTGATATATGAAATGTTACAGCATATATGATTCATTGCAATATAGATTTTCCGATCATTACTGCTACATTAACAGGCAATTCGTCTAAGACACTCAAAGAGGATCAACTGCAGATGTTCGTTCAAAATGAAATGGCTTAACCAAGCCATTGAAGAGAAAGCAACGACTGTTCCAGCCAGTGCAGTCAGGAAATTGTCTACCAAAAACATAGTTCTCCACCCAACTATTTCTACATTCTTCAGCAATCTGGAATCCTCCAATGGTTTTACGAGATCACCATTTCTGTTCAGTTTTGACAATATGAAATTGGAAGTTGATATTAGTATGCTGCTGGAGAAACAAATCGAAGATATAAATAAATCATCAGATGGTCTAGAGAAGAAACTCTCTAATAACTTAGCTTTTGGATTAAAAGGTGACATGATCAATCCATTTTTCTTGTCATTGTTTACCTTCATTGCATGATTGTATTTCTTCTATCAATAGTTATGCTGTCAACAGCTAGTGAAATTTGATCAAGAATCATCGTCAACACCTTTATGCAATGAGGAAAGAAAACAGTGATAGTTGGATTGATAATTTCAGGATGTATTGATATAACTGCATCACTGATTTCTTAAAGCTCCCCTGTGCAGGTGATCTTGATGAGGAATCCCACATTTTTGCATATGGTGCATCATTGAAAGACCAGTACATGGGCACTGAGAAGAGACAATCCCTGGAGAGAAAACAAGAAGATTCCTCGGATTTTGTTTTACTAAACCAAGATCAATGGAAGGAAGGAAGATCGCCGCTCAGTCCTCTTGCTGCTCGTGCAGCTCTTGCTTTATTAAGATCCAGTTTCACTCAAAATGGGGAGCATTCTGATTCTAGCAATACTACTACGGATAAAAGAGACCTCTACAGATCTGCGTCAGTTTTCTCATCAGAAACAGATGCTAATATTTCACGAAAAGCATCAGCTACATCAGGAAGCAGGAGCAAAAAGCTTGAGAGCATTGCGAAGACACTCTTCCCATCAAGTCCTCCAGAAATTAAAGTTTCAAATGCATCTCCTGGAGCACAGGGTAATGGAATTGGAAAGAAGAGGAAGAACACAGAAAAATCGACAATTCAGCAGCCTTCAGAAAAGAGGGTTACTCGGTCACAAGTTCAAAGAGAAGCTGCAATTCAGGAATCTAAATCTACCAACGTACAGTTGAGACCACCTCCCAAATCACATAAGCTTACTTGCTCAAATGACCACAAGGAACTGAATCCAAGTGCTGAAGACAATGCGGAAACCAAGTTTGGCATTCCCCCATCGAATTCCATACGTCCGCAAAGCTGTTTCTCAGATGCTAAAAAGACAGTTTCTTCACCATTTAGGGGTGATCAAGAAATGGATCTCACCGACACTGCTGAAAATGTACTGATTCCGAAAGTTGACACTCATGAAAATAACAGTTGCAGAAGAATTACTCGTTCTGCATCAGCTCGGGAAGGGAAGGAGAATGGGCCGTCTATTTCCAAACATGATGGTAACAAAACAACCCAAAACACAGGTATATTATATATACAATCGGATTATATATTGATCCTTGTTTCTTTAACAAGGGGTGGTTACGTTAATTGAACACACAAATTGGTAACAAAAGGAGCAATTGTAATGGTGCAGGCACTATCGGCGTCAGCAGCGAAGGTAGAAGAAGACAGGAGGCAAGAACTTCTCAACCCATATTTCTTCCTCGGACACGGTCACAAACAAAAGCTTAGAACTTTATTCCATCCAGGTACTTAAAAATTTTTGTATCAGTTTTGTGATCTCCAAACCTAAAACCCGATGCTGTAGTACTTTATCAGACAAACTAAAACGGGAAAGTAAACAAGGAGAGACCATTGGAAACAAACCAGAATGTGCAAACTATAGTCAACGAGAAGATTGGCTTGCACAAAAACGAACTTAAATCCAAATTCCAAAATATCTTGCTTGAACCCAACAGAAACATTAGATTTAAGATAAATCCAACAACTTAAAGCTACAGCCGTTCAAAACGCTGAATAGCTAATTGGAACAATCAATATCCATTCAATAAGCCATAAAAAACTACTGAAAACACAAATTTACACGTAAGTAGTTCCTAATTCCAATTATCCACCAAAACCGTAGAGAGTGCGTCCCTGTCTCTTTAGGGCATAGACCACGTCCATGGCGGTGACAGTTTTCCGGCGAGCATGCTCCGTGTAGGTCACGGCGTCACGTATGACGTTCTCGAGGAATATCTTGAGAACACCGCGGGTCTCCTCGTAGATCAGACCGCTGATACGCTTGACTCCGCCTCTACGAGCTAGACGGCGAATCGCCGGCTTAGTGATTCCCTGAATGTTGTCCCTAAGCACTTTACGGTGGCGCTTAGCTCCGCCCTTACCTAAACCCTTGCCACCTTTGCCGCGCCCTGACATATTTTTGCCTCTGCGTTTGGCTTCTTCGTCGATTCAACTTTTCTGCAGATGATTTTGAAGTTTGGGATACCGAAGATGGAGTAATATAGAGAGCTTGGGAAGGTGGAAGTGATCGAGGTCCGTTGGATTTGATGATGTGAATCGACGGCTTAAAATGGCGATCCGCATTTGTTTGTTGGTTTATTTCTATCCGTTGATAAGAAGTAAATCAACGGCCGATATTGGCTTGATTGGATTGTGGCGCGGATTGTGGTTTTTCAGTGTTTGGCAATGGGGGGAATGTTTTTTGGTGAGAAGTTGAAATTTTAGAGGTAGCGAGGGGTACGTAAAGCGGCAAAATAAACCTTGTCTTTTTCTCATCCTTCAAAAAAAAAGAAAAAAAAAAAAGAAAATCATTATGGGTATATTTATTTTTTATTTTTTTTTCGAATTTTTTTATTTAAACAAACCATATATTCATTTACTATATCTGATTATATTACAAAAGAATAGCATACAAATTAATTACCATCAAATGTATTTGAAAATTTTATATCTAATTATATTACAAAAGAATAGCATACAAATGAATTACCATCAAATGTATTGAAGATTTGATAATTTTGGTATTATTAATCAATTGATAATTTATTTTAAAAAATAATATATTAGTATTTATTTTATTTTTTTCAAAAATGCATCACACGTTATTATAAAAAATTTGGAAAAAAAAAACTAACGAATTGGAGCTTGGGCAGTGATTGGTTGACAATAATCCCATCCTGTGAACTATAGTAGAGATATAACGAGTTCAGATAACACCACAAAGAGCATCTCCATTGTCCGGAGCAATTCTTGCAGTCACAATAAATGCAATTTTACATCAATTATCGTCAAATTTTGCACACGCAGCCAGGCAGGCCAGACAAGAACATTGCAGTAGTGATGCAGTTCAACGAGGATCTCCATCAATTTTCAAGAAACAGGGATGATAAACGAAGATCTGAGGACTGCGTATCAAAGGAACCCACCTCCAGTCCATTTACTATCTGCCTTACCATTGCTGTAAGTCTTGGAATCATCAGATGCAATCTGGTATGAATGATCATCTTTTGGATCATCCCAGCCAACCCAACCATCGCCGTTGGAAGTTGTAGTAGTCGACTTGGATGGTTGCTTCCTGCTGTCGTCGTCTTTGGAACCCCAATCGTCCCAGGAGTTGGAGAACTGCTGGTAGGACGAGGTTTCAGGGGAATTCCATCCTTTAGACTCTTGTCCAAATTCTTGATAGTAATCATTGTTGCTGTTGTCGTTTTGCTGCCAGCCGTTGTTCCTCCAGCTAGGATCATCTTTGGTGTACTCCGATACCTTCTGCGATGCTATGGCCATTACGCCTCTCATGAGGCCCCATGTCTTCTGTCCGATCTCGGATGTCTTTGCTGTAACAACGCTGACTGTTTCATTCACCTTTTGATCGTAGCCGCCCTCCTTCACCTGAAAACAGAAAAAAAAAAAAGAGTCCCATTTCAACTAAATCTGCATTGATTTGTATTTTGATGCAGTTAAGTGTCGAGTTTTGGTTAGCATGCTAATATACTGTAATATGGTAAGCATTAAAGAACCTAGGTAAATTGTAAGCTTAAATAAATGACGTGAAATGAGCACAATCAGATGAAACTTCCTCCTTCCAAGTATAATGCACTGTGAAATGTTGAAAACAGAAAATTAGCATAATCTAAGATAGTCCAAACACAGGACAACCACAAAATGGAGCAGCCTACATACAAAACACCTATTCAGTAGAACAGAGACAGCCACCACCATAAATGATGATTACTACATCACATAGAACACATGAGAAGACTTTTGATCTGCCATCTCAGAAAATCAAACCACCTATCACTTGTCTAATTTTCAAAAGGCTGGTGAAATTCATAGAACTATTACTTTCAAATCCATGAAACCTCACACTGTATTTGTGTAATAGATCTTTCCTTACGCAATTCAAATACCAACTAACTCAATTGAAGACTATATATATATCACCTAACATCATATCGAATTCCCACGTTCCCAAAAAATTTCAAAAGTTCAAGACTTCCAAAAACTTCCATCTAAAACGATGAAAAGCCTAAATCAAGTTAATCAATAGCCTATTTACACGAGATGAAAAAACTAGTTCAATTAGATGAAGGCAGTGGATAATAGAACGAATATAGACCTTGGACGTAAATTCCTTCGTTCCAGCTTGAACAACATTAGCAGCCGACTGCGCAGCAGATGCAGCCACCATGGATAGCCTTCCAAATCCCTACAAATTCAAAGGAATACCTAACATTTAAATAATCAATTCAACCTAAAGCTTACAAAAGCTTAAACTACCTCACCTGAGTAACGGCCGAAAGCACATCGCCCTCAGGATCATTTCTTGGGGCGGGTGCTGGACTCGATCCAAATCCGACGTACTTGCCACCTTGAGAAGGCGGAATGCCCTCCGGCCGCGACTCATTCTCCGCCATCCTCCTCGCAAAGAAGCTGCCCTTATTGGCAGCAGACGCCTCTAATTCCGCACGTGAATAAATATCCTGGGTAGACTTTGAACGCGACGGCGCAACTCCCCCATTACCTGAACTCCTAAGATCCCCCGCAGTATTGTTTCTCCTGATATTGTTGTTCGCATTGATTCCGGAATTTCCTCCATCATCGAAGTTATCCCAATTATCCCAACCACTATTGCTACCGAAATTGCCATTTCTACCATCCCCGCCGCTCAGCGGTGGTCTACGATTATAACTATTTCCCGTGCCATTAGTGGCTTTCAGTTCTTCCTTTACGACAGGAGGATCGCGCCAGGGTTTGCCCTCGGCAAGGGCCTGAATGCGATCGCGATAAACTGAAGCAGCCTTCGTATTGTACTTAACAACAATATCAGTTTCCTTAGAGATTCCGTACTCAGAAACGAATTGATTGAACCTTTCGTTGCCTCCGAGCTCCATTTTCTTCAGTTGGATCTCGGACCACGAATCCATAGTCACGGATCGGACGAAGGAGATGTGGACGCCAAGACCACGGTGCTTGCCGGAGCACTCTAGGCACATAAAGATTCCGTAGGAAACGGACGCCCACTGAGGGTTTTTCTGAGAACAATCGACGCAGATCTTGTTTCCAGGCTGCGATTGGAGCTCACGGAGCCGACGCGAGGCCGCCATGTGTCAAAAACGCGCGGAGAGATCGGGAATCAGATTGGATCCGAATGAATTGGGGGAGAAGGTGTTGCGATTAGATCACGAACTGCATCTGAGATGTATTCTTCTCATCAGTCTGCAGATGGGCGACAGCTTGAGAATGTCGGCGGCGTGTAAATTGTAACCGCTGGCGCACAGCGAGGTAAGGGTTGTCCCTAACCAATATATACAGGGGTAAACTTGTCATTTCGCATATGCCACAATTGTTAGTGGCGAGTTTGGTGGAAAGAGTCACGAGGTGCGCTCGGTCCGCATTATTTACCAAGTGGATCGATTTTGAGTTTGGGCCTAAGTTGGCCCATTTTACATCATAACTGTTGCGTAATTTATGGGCCCATCAGTTTGCGTCTTCCCGTTTTAATTTTTAATTATTTTTTCTTCAATAGTAAAAAATACATACTTGGTTGATGTCATTTTTTCTAAGGAAAAACAAATATTATAAGTGATATATTTCTTAAGAAAAATAATATATAAGTTGTTAGTGTTTGAATATATTTTGTGATAAGCACTGCTTTTTTCATTATTTGAAATATAGAATTCTGAAATTTTATAAAATAGAACACAAGTAATTATAATTATAAAGAAAGATGTATGCATAGGCTCTTTTTCCTTTTTTATCGGAAGAAGATGCACGCATAGTTGATCTGATCTGATGTGACCATTGGTTATATTTAGCACATTTTTTAATACGTCCCAAGACGAAGATGAAGATATATATGAATATGATGGATGGGTACCATTTACGACTAGGAGGGCTCCACGCCATAAATATAGATAAATATATGTACGGTCTTCTTGCGATTTAATTTGCTCTTGCTCTTCACTTCATCCAATTGATGCCAATATTGCATTGCACTTCATCCCAAATTAGATAAATTAGTAATTAGTAAATGTAATAAATTTATTACTTACTATTAATGGATAGATAGATGTACATAAGTGGACAGGCAGAAACAGGAATTAGCTAAGAAGAATGACAGACAAACAGACAAGGAGGGAGGAGGACACATGGGTAATGAATGAATGAATGAATGAATGAATACTATCCCATCCTTGTATCCCATCCTTCTTTACTTCGTCTTATCAAATCAGACACGATATATCATCCAATAAAACTATATATCTCTCATTCAATAAAATTCTTTGCTTAGCTTATAAATAATAATAATAACAATCAAGCTTTATGATTAATCTGCACATAAGTATAATTTGACAGTAGGCACATATTGTACAAGATTATTAGTATATATTTCATGTGGGTAATTGTAGTAATTAGAGGTTGACATTTTATTGTATTCTATGCATGATTCTATCCAATATTGGCAGGGCAGTTATAATAATGAATATGAAGGTGGCAAGCAGATGAGATGCGAACAAGACGCATATGATACGATGGGACCGTATTTATTAATTATATGCTACTACTGTACATAGGATTATATTATATTATATTATATTATAGTTCAACACGCTCGTTGCTGTGATCTAATTAATTAATCATTTTTCTCGATCAATAAAATTAATATTTATTTATGTTTAAAGAGAGAGGAGAGGAGAGGAGAGTTGGATCCAGTCAAACTTCAAATTTTGCTACAATCAATTATATGCAGTCAGCTGATATGGGCGATGGCCATGAATAGTATTGTCTTCCAAAATTGAATATATATACATGTAGGATATACGTGTGTCGTGTTGTAGGCATAAATGCATAAGGAATGGATAGAAGTAAAGCAGTAGCCAGTAGGTGCGTAGAATCTAGGGAACTTGTTAGTAGTTGCTATTGGTAGAACCATATTTGGTATGATCCTCCACCATATGTATATATGCTTCTTCAAGTAATTAAATTAAATACAGTTGGTAATAAAAGATATGATATGAGATGAGATGAGATGAGATGATTCACCCACCTGTCCACTTAATTAATTAATTGCAATCCCCGAATTTCATTCATACATTCATTACTGTGTCTATGCATCCATCATTTGTAGGGGCAGGGGACTAATTTCGATCATTCAACACTACCCATATTATATATACATATGCATAGTGAAATACAGTCAATGGATGGATCGTAGTCGTAGATATATGCAATGCAAACAAGGTGGAAAGGGAAAGGGAAATGGAAATGGAAAGAGAAAGGGAAATGTTGGGTGAACGAGTAGGTGAAGTCTCTAAGACCACTCGCAATACCATTAATTGCCCCATTCATATTCATATTCATATACATATACATACAATGTACCAGCTACAACTACAAGCCCATACACAATATCAATACAACCCATAAAATAAATAATAAATAAATAGTGCTATGGACTTCCTCTCTCTCTCTCTCTCTGTCAATATCACGATGTCTATATCTGTCTTAATTAAGATCGATGTAAAGGGTTACCTTACCAGTTGATGATGATGATGAAGCCACCCCACCCCCACCCCAGCTTTCTCTTCTCTGCATGCATTTATTGACTCGCTCCACCCCTAATTAGATCTTTCTTGCTTTCTTTCTTTCTTGGTTTGTTGTTTCCCTTTAATATACATAACATTATTCACTCTAGATCATCTACTGTATCTGTACGTATATTATCATCACATTAATTTCATGCACTCTTTCACCTTTTCCTTTACAATACATTGCCGTCCAAACTCAATTTCTCTCTCTCTCTCTCTATAAATACCCACACGCTCTTCCCACTTTCTAATCATCTCTTTTCTCATCTCCTTCCCCAACCCTCAACCTCTATCTTCCATCTTCTGTTAATTGATAATCCAAAACCCTAATTAAGGAATAGACGAAGAAGAAGAAGAGAGAGATCTAGAAAGCTGCAGGGATCATATCACTATCAACATCAGTATTAATTAATATCATCATCGTCATCACCACCATGTTGAGGTTCCTGACAGGAAGGGCTGGGGCGAGCGGGTTTGGGTCGGGTTCCACTGCAGAAGAAGTTACACAAGGAATCGACGCTTCCAATCTCACTGCCATCATCACCGGTAACGTCGTCCTCTAACTAGATTTCTGCATTGCATGGTGATGCCTATATTTAAAAATATATATATATATAAATAAAATATAATTTCTTTGAATTACATATGTAGAGATACACGTACCTTGCACCGCCTACTCTAAGTCTAGTCTAGTGTCTAGATATGGTCATTCTTTCTAAGTTTAGTAAATGCATGTGGCCGGTAGCTATGGAATTGGAATAACAAAGTACACTACACAACTGCTCTGCTCTGCTGGCATTATACAGACATGCAGTGGAGTAGGATTCTTCTGCAATCTATATGTAGTACTGTAATAATAACAATATTTTGTCCTTGACTATGTCTTCTATTCTATTCTATGTGGTCTGGTCTATGCCTATATCTTCCCTCTACCCTGCCGGGGTGGGTGGATGGCTGCCACGCCGCCGGCACATCTGGCCGTTGTTTGTCGGTCGGGGGCCCTGCAGAGATCAACGCCCAGATCTCATTGCACCATAAATTCCCGACTTCTCTACTACTAGTATTTTATTGCATTATATATATATATATATATTGTGTAATAATAATATCATACTAATATAGGGCTTACCCCTGTCTGCACAAGCACACGTACTAAAAAATAAAAAAATAAATAATAATATTAATAATGATGCATAATATTCTTCAAAAGCGAACTAAATGAGGGAAAAACAAAACAGATCTTCCGAAAGTTAGGTACTCAGCCCCAACAAATACTATTTATTTTTTAGTTTTTATTTAATTATGGAATATAATTCTCCCGGGTAATTAAAAACCATTGAAAAAAAAAAAGGTTTTCAGATCTACAGTAACTGGAGCCTCTGCAGGAGCAAGTTAATTATACTATTCTAAAGTTGTTTCCAGAAAATACAGAAAAAAAACAAAATAAAATAAAATAAAATAGGGGACCCTAAATCCATAGGAATTGCCAAGATAGTGAAACATACAGGGGGACCATATGATATATATTGCTCTAGCTAATACTCTTTTTTCGATCATCATATGAAAAAGGGCATCTTGATCAACATTGCAGGAGGTGCGAGAGGGATAGGATTGGAGACTGCCCGGGTTTTAGCGTTAAGAAATGCGCACATTGTTATAGGTGCAAGAAACATAGATGCTGCGAATGAAGCAAAGCAGATCATTCTTAAGGACAACAAGAATGCTCGGGTCGATGTCGTTAAACTCGACCTGGCTTCCCTTAAATCGATCAAAGCCTTCGCCGATAGCTTCATTGCTCTTGGCCTTCCACTTAACATCTTGATGTAATAATTCCTGCACTCTTAATTATATCTTGATGCATATTGAATTGGTTCACTTAAAATCATAAGATCAAGTGTTCTTCCTTCTGATCTGACCTCGATTTCTCAGAAACAATGCCGGCATCATGTTCTGTCCTTACCAGCTCTCTGAAGATGGCTTCGAGATTCAATTCGCTACAAATCATCTTGGTATTCATTTGTAAATGATAAACTCTCTATATTAATTCAAGGTGCATTTCTTGAATTTACTTATGATCATGATCAGGGCACTTCTACTTGACGAACCTTCTCCTCGACAAGATGAAGGACACGTCAAAATCTTCCGGCATCGAGGGCAGAATCGTCAATTTATCATCAATAGCTCATAACTACACTTACAAGGGAGGCATCGCATTTGAAAAGATAAATGACTGCAAAAGGTTATATATATATATATATATATATACTAGTTATAAACACATGAAATTCCTTTTAATTAATACGTCGAAGATGTTCAATTCATGAAGGTATGACGACAAGAGAGCTTATGGACAGTCTAAATTAGCCAACATATTACACGCCAACGAGCTTGCTCGACGCTTTAAGGTAAGAAAATACAACAACATTCGGGGTTCTGTTTCGATTCGGACAATGATGTTTTTATTACAATTTGCAGGCTGAGGGATTGAACATAACAGCAAACTCAGTTCATCCAGGGTTAATAATGACCAATCTGTTCAAATATTCTGGTTTTTGGATGAGTAAGCAAAAAAAAATTTGGCCTTAATTATGATGAAAGTCTTATAATCTAAATCCTCACTGCACGCAATTAACCTTTTTTACTGCAGAAATTTTCAAGTTCTTTACCTGCATCATATGGAAGAACGTACCTCAGGTAAATTAATTAGTAACTGATCTTTGAACAAATTTGGATTACAATTGGGAGATTTAATTTGATTGTTCTTATCAGGGCGCCGCGACGACGTGCTATGCGGCGCTCCACCCGAGCTTGAAAGGCGTCCAGGGGACATATTTTGTCGACTGCAACGAGCTAAAAACGAGCAAGTATGCGATGGATCAAGCATTGGCTAAACAGCTTTGGGATTTCAGCAACAAACAGATTAATGCTGCCATTGGAAACTGCTGAAGCTGAAGCTGCTTGTGTTTGATTTCTTTTCAATTCTTGCAATCAGTGTGTTGAGTTGAGTGAGTGAATGAGTAATTATTAATTATCGTGTGTGTGTGTGTAATGGATGGATCATTCCAAATCCAAGATCAAGAACTGTTTCATTGTATTTGTACCCACTCGAAAGAAACAAAGGATTTCATATTTGATTTAGCCAAAAATCCCATAATATATGTAATGGAAGAAAGAATACGAGTGTCAAAACTCATCGTCCTCATCGGATTCCCATAATCCCAAGGCTTTAACAAGAAAAGCCGAACCGGAGACGATGACAGCCGCGAAAACCGGCGGCACAATCACGTCGATTCTGGACCGCTTAAAAACCTGGCTCGGGAAGCAAAAATGCTCCGACGGATTATCTAACGGCAACCTAACGGAGCCCGCTTCGCCGCAGGCTTGAGAAAACGAAGACGACGAACTAATGGCGGAAACGAATGCGAGCTCCGGGGAGAACGACACCAGCGCCACCGTCACCGTCAGTACGGTGGTCCAGGCGACGGCGTAGAGCAGCAGAGGCCAGGGAGGGTGGGGGATGGCGTGAAGCAGCGAATTTGGGGAACAGAAACTCATTGCAGGGAAGAAATTGAGGGTTTTGGGGATTTAGGATGGGAATTAAATTGGGGGAAAACTGAGACCTAATCCCACCATCTATATTGGGAAGTTGAGGTGGTTGAGGAGGCGATGAACAGATCGGATCCGATGACTGACTCCTCATTCAGAGACAGACGTGGGAGAGAGGAGCGGGTAATTAGGTGGACGTTGTAATCGCCAAAAATGTAGCGATCGGTAAGAATTGGGTAGGGCTGTCCCAATTCCATTTGTCCCTTGATCCTGATCTTGTGTTCAGAAACCCCCGAATATGTCCAACCACTATATATATATATATATATATATATTTAATTTTACAAAGGTATAAAATACATGGTTAAAAGATTATTTATTTTAATCCTCATATCAAAAACTTTAGGACATTTGTTTGAAGGTTTGAATTTTGAATAGAAAAAAATTTGAATTTGAATAGTTGTATGATGTAATATAAATATATATTGATGTGATGTTTTGAATATAAAATTAATTTTTTAATATAATATAAAAAATAAAAATAAGAATTTGATTTGATGTTTTTGGAAAAAAAAATTTGTATGAATAGAAACACACCTAATTTTAACATCCTAATTAACTGATATTTAAATCTATTAAATTAACAAACACACCCTTAATATAACACGTGTAGGTATAAAGAGAAACACACCTAATTTTAACATCCTAATTAACTGATATTTAAATCTATTAAATTACATTTAAATATAATATATATATATATATATATATATTTAAATAGCTTTTTAAGCTGACAGGGTCCTTTTCTGTGATCCGATGGAGGTCAAGACGAGTCGCGGCGGCGTAGGAGAACATTTTCCACCTTGAGCGTGAGGAAGAGGAAGCAGGCGACGGAAATGCAGAGGGCGACGAGCATTATCGCCACCATTGTCTGCATCGAAATAGACGCGCTGATGAAATACACCACAGCTATCGACAGGCTTTGCCAGAGCTTAAACTGTGCGAACGCTCCTTCCTGCAACAACCAAAACGGCACCGTTTTCAGTCATCGTCGAGATTGGTTCACCTCTGCTATCAAAAATGGAGAAACAAAATTACAGTACCAAGTCATGTTTGAAGAGCATTCCGAGCAAGGCACTCAGCTGTGTGTTGAGAACTCCGTCTCCGATGCCCCACAGGGCGCCGATAAGAAGTGGGAGCAAGGTAGCGAGTAGTCCACTGCCCGCGCTGAAAGAAACAACAAAGGACAGACTGTCATACTGTTATTACAATATTCATCGAAATCTTTTATCAAAGATTGTAAGCTCAACCTGTAGTTCAGCAGAAGCCAAAGTAGTACAAGAAGCTGGATTAAAGATCCGCCTAATGTTATTATCATGATCGATGAAAGATTGGAGGTCAACCGACCGGCTAACAGCGAACTCTGAGAATCAGTCCAAGCATAACAAGAGATGATCAATACATATATAAATTAGGCGTGTCTGATTAAGTTGAGATCATTGCTATAACGATCACTCACAACTGCGTCAAAAGCTCCATAAACAGCCATTGCACCGCCAACACCCTGTTCTCCGAGTACTGGGTTGACGATTTCTTTGGTGTATTCAGCCCTGAACAAGAAAAGTACACTTAACTGCATAAGCTGAATGCAACATTACGAAATGCTCGAATCGAATGGTAATATTACAGCTCATTTACCACACAAATGCTTGCTGCAATCCCGAGTATAAGATAAGTGGGATGACAAGGAGGATTCTTATGTCGAGTAACAGATTCAGCATAGACTTCACCAAAGATCCAACAGAAGACGAAAGGGTAACAGGGGAGTTTTCAAGTTGTTCGTCTCGAGTGTTTCTATTACTCAAGAAGCACATGAGAATCGTTCCCACTGTCATGCTAAAGAGAAAGACAATGAAGAGTAATGTTGTTCCAGTCGTGACTCCTCCCTGCAGCTCATTTTGGAATTCTCGTCATAATTACCAAACACAGACATGAAAAATAAAAGCTCTGCAAATTCTTCAAACAATGTAAACAGAGGCTCGGCACTTACATTGTCTCTTAGAAGAGTAAGAGTTACAAGGTTGCCAACAAGCTGCAGAGTAGTAGGAAACAAATAAATTCACCAATTAGCAAGTAAGTAAGAATTAATTGCGACGATCATGCATAAGTGCAGCCAAATGCACCTGGTGAGCTGCAAACATCCCCCAAAACAGTCCATTGAATCTCCCAATTACTGTTCCTTCATGTAATTTGTTGTCACTTGCATGACTGCGAGCAGCAGAAGTAAGATAAGTCCCCTGAACGATCGACTATTCAATGTTAGAAAGGAATCCAAACATCTTTAATTTAAAAGCTAAGCTGTATAAAGAATCTAAGAGATCCACCTGCCCAACCCATATTATCGAAGCTGCAAATCCCAGGTACACAGAAGTCGGCACCATAGTATACCTACAAAAATAACAACACATATCGCCTCAAATGCCGTAACCATAAGCTTGACTTGAAGATCAAAAAAACATATAGCAGCTCTCACATCAAGCCAACACATAATCAACATATGGATGATTGCACAAAATTTCACAATTCAAACAAAGTGAATCAATGGGGATTTAAAATCTCAACTTGATCTTGCAATACTATCACTTTATTTCACCCTCAAAATCATCAATCCCAACATGGATATTACCAAAATTCAAATTTCCAATTAAACCATCTTATCAAAACTCTATAACATTAAAAGTTTGGGCTATTCTTGAACATCAAACCCAATATGCATAACACATACCAAGAGGGCAGCAAATTTGCAGCTGTAAACAGCCAATATCCAGTTGTGCCAAGAACCAAAGCATATTTTGCTCCCAGCTTCCTCACCACCACTGATGAAACCACAGAAAATACTGCAAACGATACATACAATATACCCAACGACGTAGTCCCTAAATCCCCTTCCTTAACGCCAGAAAAATGAATAATCTCATCATCGGAAACAGAACATCACAGGCGATGATATCTTGAAATTAACGAATTTGGGAAATTTGTTTACTCACAGTGTTGATTGTGCTTTCCAGATTCTGAATGGCCCCATAAGCGAGGAAAATCAGGAGGAAAGCCCAGCAAAGGATATGAACATCTCTCTTGTGATTGAGCGGCGGAGATTGAACCACGTTCTGGTCAACGAGAATTGGGGTTTCTTCGTCAATCGCCATTGCAGAGCAAATCCGATTCCCTCCCTGGAAGCCCAACCCCAATAATTCACCCAACAACCAAACCCTATAAATACAATAAAAACAGGTCAGCCGGCGAGACTCACCAGAGGGAGACGGAAGGAAGAGAACGCGATGGGGATTTTATTTCTGCCCCTTTTGTCGACCTAATCGAAGATTCTGAATCTGAAGAAAAGACAAGGCGGAGCGGCTGTTCAATATTTTATTCCGATTCCTTGAAGCTTTGACAAACCGCAATTCGACGGGAGCGTTGGCCAACAATTTTCCTGTAAACAATTCGCCATTAAAATGGGATATCGTTGGCATGTAACCACTGTTCGATTGGCAGACAGCGACACAGAGTGAGTCCGACTAAGTACTGACCTCGCAGAAGCAGAATATCGCGACGTTGGTGGATTGATGGGATTGTTTCCTTCGCGTGGGCAGTAGTAGGTAAATATGGAGAAAAGCTTTCCGCCGGACATCTTATTTATAGATTGTTGTTTAGGACGAAAATGAACGACGACGACGACATTAAAATTATTCACCGGCGTCGCCCGTTGTGCCGCCTGATTTGGTAACTGGAAATGATTTGTTTATGTTTGTTGCAGGCCACGCAAACGAGACAATCAATCACAATCGGAATTCAGACTTCCTCAGAAAAGGAAAAGCGTCAAAGCATGTCAACATATTCCGTTTAGTTATTGACTACACTTAATTACCTTCTTTATGTCTATAATTACCTTTTTGGAGATTTTGGCAATAATAATGTGATAAAAAAAAAAAAAAATCATTCAATTAAATATTCTTTTAAGGTGACGTAAGTTTATCAATTTTAAATATATTTATTATTTACCTCTCCCATTAATAAATATTTGTAACCATTTTTTTATAAAATTAATTTAGGATAATAATAAATAAATAAATTTTTTTATTCATTTATATTATATAAAATTTTATTATTTATAAAAAAATTATTCATATTTTATAATCCTTCCGTCTCACATAATTTGTCTTTATTTTTTATTTTTATCCGTCCCACATAACTTGTCATTTTTATTTTTGAAATATAATTATACACTTTAATGGTATTTTAAATTTTAAATTTTATAATTTTAATTAAACTATTTACTTATTTTAATTTTAATTTATAATTATTTTTATTAAATAATAATTATTTTTATTAATATACTTTTTAATTATTTACTAATTATATTTTACCTCGTATCTACCATAGTTCCATATTTTCTGGACTGGAGGGAGTATATTTTATAAAAATACCCGCCAAGTCCAATTTGACGGCTCCAACTTAGTCGTGGTTCGGGTGGAACGTGGAAAATTAATTAAGGAATAAATGCAATCAAGTTTAATGAGCTGGGCCGGAAATTTTATTTGGGCTAAACTTTTTGACCTATGCGCAGTACTAGAAACAAAACTTCCAAACAAACCCCAAATTTTGATTTAAATTTACTATTAAAATAAGTATATAATAAAATATTTTGTTAAAAAAAATGTATTTATTTTTAAAAATATATATATATAAAATTAAAATAATAAATAACAAAGTGGTTTGGCCCTAAATCTTATACCGCCTACCCAATAACGAAAAACCTTAAATATAAAAAAATACAAATAAATATATACAGAGTACACACAGAGCAGGGAAGAGAGACGAGAATTAGCAAATTGCGAAGCCCTAAAGAAATATCTGTATTTTCTCTCCCGCCGATAGACGACGAGCAATGTCTTCGCTTGCTGCTCCCCATATCTGCATCCGATTTCCAGAGATCCAGAAATCAAAGGTTTGTGCAATTTTCACGCTCATAATTGATTTCAAAACTTTGATGATACCACTGCGGACGTTGTATCTTCGATGTTCGTAGTCAGAGTTGTTCTTCTTGAGATTTAATTATGATTTACGATAGAGCAAGCATGTATATGTATATGTATGTATATTACTATTCTGTGCATTATGTATTTCGTTCGTTTTTTAACAATAATGAACTCCGGTTGTATGTCGTAGATTTTTTGCTCCGGTGTTCAGTTTAGAAAAAACACGAGTCGAGTGTTTGCAGTAATGTCTGCTGCCGAAGATGTGTCAAATTACATACCCGCTGCTCCGATTTTACTGCCAGAAGGGCCATGGTATCAGGTCAGTAGCTCCTTCTATATTTTTTCTTTTAAGTTTCAATGCACCTAAATTCTCTGAAAACCAACTGATTCTACAGAACTTTTAATGGACACCGTGGTTATTTGATTAATGGGGAAGTAATGGTGCGCCTGAAAGTGGCCATTTTAAGTTGTTTATGTATTAGTTTGTTTGAAATTTTTGATAAACATGAAATTTTTAGATTCCAGGTGGAGTTACAGCTGCAAAGGGTTTCAGAGCTGCTGGAATGTATGGTGGATTACGTGCTGCAGGAGAGAAGCCCGATCTTGCTCTGGTTGCGTGCAATGTAGATGCAGAATCTGCTGGTTTGTCTCCTGTCTTTAAAGTTTTGAGGCTCGTTTCTTCAATTAATGTTTGTGTTTAACAATCATTTTACCTTTATATAATTAGAATTTTAAGTAATTCATTGGTTCACATGATTGCCACATGAATGTGTTATAGTCTTATAGATTGACCTAGATCTTTATTTATGATTTTCTGTTTTGAACTCTACATGTCTGCAGGTGTATTTACAACAAATGTTGTCGCAGCTGCTCCTGTGTTATACTGTAAAGAGGTGCTGGAAAAGTCTGCAACGGTATGTTACTATGTTATAGTAAAGAAATATCCATGTGATTAAAGAAAATGCTCATAGTGTTGGGATATTGTTTCAGTAGGCAAAATTTCATATAGAATGTTCATAAGATTTATGCTGGCTTACACAAATGATGACCAATATGAGTTAAGTCAACTCTAACTAGTGTTCTTCTCACCCACGAAAAATTTTGAACATGAAAAGAAATAGTTGTTTCAATGTCTTCAAATACTTAAGTTGACACATTCTCTTAACATTTCAGGCTCGTGCAGTCCTCATAAATGCTGGTCAAGCAAATGCAGCTACGGTGAACCTTCTAAGTTCAATGGCTACTATTCATTTGAATAAACATATATACATATATATGCATACACACACATTAGATTTTGTAAAATAGGGGAATATAAAAATAGGTAATTCTAAGATCCCTTTATTGTTCTTAGGGTGATGCAGGTTACCAAGATGTTTTAGAATGCTCCCGTGCCCTGGCAGAGGTATCCATGTTATTGTTATTGATAGTTTGATACATCCTCAAACTCACATCACTACCAGTATCTAACCCCCAATTGATGCAGTTGCTGCAACTGAACCCAGAACAAATATTGATTGAATCCACTGGTGTGATTGGCCAACGTATCAAGAAGGTTACTTCCTTATTGTTGTGAAGACCTTGGTCTTGATGCTAAAAGACTTGTCATGTGTCAGTAAGATCATGACTTTCAAGTTGGCATATCAATATGGTAATTGTTCTTCTGTTTTTTGCAGGTTGCTCTTGTCAACTCACTTCCACATCTGGTAAATCGGTTGTCATCGACTGTTGAAGGGTAATTCCTCCACTCCTCCCCCCCCCCCCCCCAGCCCTGTCCGTATATGCCATGTAACTAGGATCTGTTTCTTGTTTGAACCTGATTTTATGACATCATGTTATACTATTCCATGAGGTCCCCTTTGTTTTTCTTCCCCTATGTTTATCCTGTTGAATTTTAATTCTTTGAGAACTTGATGGTGTACTTTCAGAGCAGACTCTGCCGCTGTAGCAATAACTACTACTGACCTTGTAAGCAAAAGTGTAGCTGTTGAAACTAAGGTATTAGCCTTGCTTTTTCGGTGTCCGTTTTTTGGCACTTAGTTGGTCATAGTTTGATATATCAGACTGCTGAGTCCTTGATAATTCTAATATCCTACTAATTATTGTACCCTAAGTCTCAGCACGTGTAAGAAGATCATTAATTATATGTACTTAATTTAGGTAGGGGGAGCTCAAGTAAGAGTTGGTGGTATGGCAAAGGGTTCGGGGATGATTCATCCTAACATGGCAACAATGCTTGGGGTAAGTCTTGTAATTTCCTAGTGCTATTATAGAAGTTCGCTTAAATGGTTCCTTGCATTACTTTGCACTTTTACAGGTTATAACAACTGATGCATCAGTTACAAGTGATGTATGGAGAAAGATGGTGCGGGTGGCCGTAAACCGTAGTTTTAATCAAATTACTGTGAGTGGCTGACTCTCGTTTACATTACTTGCTTTGTATGGGGATTCATCTGGCTAGAGATGAACTGCACCAAATCAAATAAACTCTTTTGCAGCACATACACTGTGTGCACTAATACCTTTCTTCTAATAATTTTGGTTACCTGGAATTATAAATTGTCTTGTTGATCCGCATTGCAGTTCTTTCGACAGTATGAATGAAATTTAGTTTTGTTCTCTCATCATCTCTCAGAGTTAAACAGATCCTTAATTTCATTGGCAGGTAGATGGAGATACCAGTACGAATGATTGTGTAATTGCTTTAGCTAGCAGCCTTTCAGGAGCAAACAAGATTTCTTCCTTAAATAATTCTGATGCAGAGCATCTGCAGGCATGTCTCGATGCGGTATGTAGTGTACACTCATCTAACATCTAACTTTCACTACCAAACTTGGATTAGGTTAAATCATAGTTTTACCATAGAGAAACTTATTTGCTGTATATTTTAACCATCCCCTTTTTCCCAATGTATAGCATTCATTACATGTTTATATTATTTGAATACTTCCAAATAATCCCACGGTACCCATTGTGGTAAACTAGTCATTGATATTTGATACAAAAGAACTTGACATTATTTCTTGTGTTAGGTAATGCAAGGTCTAGCAAAATCAATAGCTTCTGATGGTGAGGGAGCAACCTGCTTAATCGAGGTATGCACATAGTTTCTCAATAAGTTGGTCCTGATCCTTACAATTTCCAAGAGAACTTTGATAGCACATAACATTGTTGGTGAATCTCAATTTCATGATACTTAAAATTTTGATGTACAGGTCAATGTATCTGGAACAAGCACCGAAGGTGAAGCAGCGTCAGTTGCCCGATCAGTGGCATCGTCTTCACTAGTCAAGGCATGATTGAGTTATATAATTTTATTAAAGTCTTTCCTTCTATGTGCCATGTTTACTAAAGAAGTTATATTTCCTATGTCCCAAGTAGGCTGCAGTGTATGGGAGGGATCCTAACTGGGGGCGAATAGCTTGTGCTGCCGGATATGCGGGAATTCCTTTCAATCCAAATAAACTCCGAATATCTCTTGGTGATATTCTCTTAATGAACAACGGTCAGCCACTTCCATTTGACAGGTAGTTAAAATCTCTCAGTAAGGGCAATATATCCGGTGCCTTTGTCTATAAATCAATTAAACGTAGTTCCAATTTGTTCCCTAAGCGAAGTCAGAAAATTTTCCAGGGAGGCTGCTAGTAATTATCTCCGCAAGGCAGGTGAAAAACATGGGACAGTAGTTATCCAATTATCAATTGGTAAGTGTACCTCCCCCAATGCATACGATGCATCCGTAGCTTTCAAATGGTAATAACATCGATTATCTAACAGGTGATGGCCCAGGGAGAGCACAAGCATGGGGCTGTGATTTGAGTTATGATTATGTCAAGATAAACGCAGAGTACACAACATAGCCCATACTTGAAAATCCATTTTGCAGAGGGTAGGGGATTATGCTGTATTATGTATGTATTCAAGCTACAATTGTACTTATAACCAACAGGGTTTTTGGGTGTAATAATTATTCCCTCCATTCCAAATAAAAAGTGTATAAGATTTACAAATAATATATTTTGTTCTTATAAGTACAAAAGAAAATTAAATAAATTGAATTGCAATAAAAGGGTTCTAAATCACCTCACATGCATTTTACAGTTTACTGCTAGTTTATGAATGCCCCTAACGATCAATCCCAAATATAAATTTCCACGGCCAAAGATGCAATTCAAGAAAATTAAAGAGACTCTTGTTACAAAACAGTTAAAACGCAAGGAAACCAACAAGATCCCACACACACATATATAGATATGGTTATATATATCTACAATGATAAAACACACAAAAACAAATGGAGCATACCAGTGTCCGTTAGGTAGCCTCTGCAACAGAATAGTGTAACTTTGAAACAGATGCCTTCAGAAAGCTGCTGCCGCAGAACATATCCGGGCTCCTCGTGTCAAAATCCACACTGCTGACCTGAGGAGCACCGAAGCTATCCACTCCATTCATCTCATGGAAAGGCTCTAACTTACTGGAAGTTCGGCAATGCTTTCGACTTGACTTCTTCTCTTTGCTCCTGCTGCTGCTGCCCTGCGAAGAAGATTTTCCACGACCCTTGTGCTTGTGCTTCCCAGTCTTCTTCCCATGGCTAAGGTGGCGATGATTCTTACTCGATGGAACGTGTGATACAGAGGTTGGAACTGGATCATACACATCAGGGGCCCAGGACACAGAAAGCTTCTTAGGTGGTACACCATGCTTTTCACGGCTGCCTTTCATTGCAGGTATGAGCTTGGAAGGAACCTGGGGGAATAGCATTAGGCAGAAAAAAGAAACACAACAAATTTAAGACTAGGGCCTAAAATAGAGTCTATTATATCTGTCTCTACACTGGGAATCGTCTAATCCTAAAGAAAGTGATTCCCTTGAAAAAAAAAAAAAAGAGAGAGAGAGAAGATACACAACTGGGAATCTAAGAACAAAAGCTACAATAGATGAAAGTGCAGCACAGAAGGAAATTCAAAAGCTTTAAATTGACTGTTTCACATAGAAGGAACTGAATCTAACAACTAAAAACCACAACACTCATAAGTTGAAAGCAGAAAGAATACGAATAACTACATCAACATGGAGTTTTGACTTCATGCTAGATATTATAGAGTTTCCGGGGTCTGGTCTAGCTGTATAACACAAGTTAAGAGAGACCTCGTGAAAAGGCTATGCTAGCCACATGAATTACAGTTCACTATGCTACTAATCCAAAAAAGGTGTTTGATTAAAAGGGCATATTTCAAATAAAAGATTTGATTATTTGCGAATGAATACCAGAAGAAGATACTAAGAGGTTATGCTACTTACAGGCAAGGTTAAGGAAGGTGAAAAACATTGATTCGATGAAGGTTTAGAAGAGCCATTTGATTCAGAAACTTCAGCAATTATATCTTCTTCGTGATTTCCTGTCTTTCTCAAAAGTACATCTTCAGAGGATTTCACCCCAGAAGAGGGTGGAGAAGTTGCATCACAAGTAGAATTATTGAAAGCAATTTCATCAGAGTCGCTGCCGCATTGGTATTCCTTCACCCCCGTGTCTATTGCACTCTTGCAGCGACTGATCAAAATTTCATCATCTTCAGCAATCACTAATTTAGTCAAACGTGTTTTGAGATCATTCACGGAAAGTTGTGGATCTCTTGCAGAACCAATACTGCTGCTTATATCCAGAGAAGCTGAAATATTACCAGTAACACAAACTTCCATCTACAACAAGAACAACCGTAGAGAAGAGCTGTAAAACAAAGACACTAATAGGTTAGATTATGGATATGGAAAGGTGAGATCCCACATCTAGACATGTCAAAGAACACAAGGCATTTATATGAAAATTCATGATAAACACAATTAAGTAAATTTTACAAAAGGCAGATATGGCAATGGAAATAAAACATGTGATAGCTTCAACCAGAAAACATTTCACAACCACCAAAGTAATTAGGCAGACCCTATATAATAACAGGAGGCAAAACATGTGTGATCATGTTCACGCAAAAAAGACCAAACCAAAGATTAGGGAACACATGAAGAACACATTATTTGAACATGATTCCATTTGTTTATATGATGTATATGGATTTGTATATATATATATATATATAAACACACACACACATATAAAAGATATTGACTATTAGTAATTCCATCAAAATACAGCATACATATGCAGATTCAAAACGGTGAGAGCATAATAGAAGGCCAATACAAATATGTTTTTTGTGTGTGTAAAATAGAGAATTTAACAATCATCAATACAAGTTATATCAGATACCTGTATTGGTCTAAGCAGCCTGCGCTCGAATATTTGGGAACGAAATCCAATCAACAGCAGAATCTTAAGAAAGATTACGATACTGAATCTCCAATACCGATAGTAGTTCTCGTTGGAAATCGACGACAAATCACCGGAAAAGGCCTCGATCAAAGAAATCGATCCTAAAACGACGCAAAACAAAATGGCAAAACGTTAACTACTAAGATTACCACGCCGATCGCTTTTCTGAAGATGCTTCAGACGATGAGACGACGAGCCGCCATAGAAAGAGTTCGCGTGCGGGCGCGTGGAGAGAAGCAAGCAAGGCACCGAATGCATCCTTCGATGCTCTTCGAGTCACGGTTCTCCAATTCTGTTTCTTACAATTATTTCCTTCAGATCCAAATAACAACGCGCAGAGAACAGAAAAAACAACAAAAGTTAAAAATTAAACAGATCGTTCCCAAGCAGCGATGATCTTGCTGAGAGAAAATGCTCCTTAAGTCCTCGTATGGAGATCAAAATCAAGGAAGTGGCCGATCGAGCGGGATCGAAACCCTAGGATTAGGATAAGCGTTAGAATCGCGGGATTTATGGGCAACGAAAAGAATAATGCGATAAGGAAGAAGGCGTTTGATTTTTATGGAGAGTTAGTATGAGAGCAAAACAAAGATAACATTCTTGGTCAACGAATACGCTCTATCAGCCTATCATATCATTATATCATATGTAAATAATTAAATAAATGCATTTTCGAAATAATAATGTGAATTATCTCTTATCTCTGTCTTCTTATTACATTTGGACGTATTAGTTTTGTTTATTCAAATAATTTATTTTATTGATATATTTTTTAAAACAATCTATTTTTATCCGGTAATATTAATATTTGATTTAAAATATTATATTTATTCATACTTATTCATCTAAAAAGTACTTCTAACTAAGCGTATTATGAATTTCTTTTTGAGAATATAAATTTAATTTTATATAAATAAATACTTTAATTTTATTTAATATTATAGTTTTTAAAAGAAATATATCAAGTAACATTTAATTTTTTGGGAAAAGTTTGTAGTATAAAGCTAAAAATAATACTAGTAAACTATTACGATCATTTTTAATTTTACTAGATTAGATTAGATTATCCATTTTTATGAAGATTTAAAAAAAAAAAAATGCTTAGAGTAAAATATTTAGTAACAAGACACTGATGTAATGTCTTAATTGAACGATAAATGGTACTATTTTTTGTATAAATTTTTTTTGTCAGCTTTTTCAATTTGATACAATAAAAATATTAGTGTAAATCAATATAATTTTAAAAATATATAATATGTAGTATGATTAATTTATTAATATATATAACTTATTTAAACAAATAAAAATAACAAAATGTATATATTTTATGAAATGTATACTAATTCATGTTATTAAAGATTTCATCAATGATATATACTGATCGGGTCGGGTCAGATCGGGTCGGATTTGAACATACAAACAAATTTTGTTAATAAAATAAATAAATAAAAAGTTGTTATGTAGCAAAATTTGTAAGTATTAATTAAAAAGGAGAAACTAATCATGAGATAAAATGTGTTTCTTCCCTTGCTTCCCTCCCAGTCCCAGAACTCTAGGCGTGTTGGGAAAACCATCTTTCATTGGTCAGTTTTCGAGCACACGGATCACGAATCTTGACCGTTGATGAAAATTATCCAACGGTCAACAATATCTGCCTCTTCTCGTCCAGACCCAAATCCACTCTGCTACTTAAGCCTAACGCTACCATTCCGCTATTTCTGCAAACGAACATAGCAACAGTGATTAGGATCTGGTAAATCCCCTGCTCGTTGGATCTTCTCAGAACTCAGTAAGATGGACGCCGGCGGTAAAGTGAAGAAGGGAGCTGGTGGAAGGAAAGGAGGCGGCCCGAAGAAGAAGCCTGTCTCCCGGTCCGTGAAAGCCGGCCTTCAGTTCCCGGTCGGAAGGATCGGTCGTTATCTCAAGAAAGGGCGATATTCGGAGCGGGTCGGCACCGGTGCTCCTGTTTACATGGCGGCAGTTCTTGAGTATCTTGCTGCTGAGGTGACCTACTCTTTTTTTAATTCTTTTCTTAAATTTATCTTTAAGATTCTAATCGTTCATTCCTGATAATTACATGGTCGAGATTTTGGAATTCTAAGGAATATTGGTTGAACTTATCACTGATTTGCTGAGTTTTTATCGAGAAACATCAAATCTGATAGCTGAGTATCCGAATTTAGGGCTTTTAGGTTTTTTGGAATTGGGGATTCGATACGTCACTCAAACAGTTGACTATTTCAACTAGTGAGTGTATTAGATCTACTAAGCTTCAAAATCCCTAATTTTGGACAATTGGGGTTTGTTCATTCTCAATGTACACACCTCATAGAAAACCTAATTATCCTATTGGCACACTAAACTGAAGCATATACAATTTGATCCTATTGCTAACACACTAGAACTGGGCAACAGGTTCTTGAACTGGCAGGAAATGCAGCCAGAGACAACAAGAAAAACAGGATAATTCCAAGACATGTTTTACTGGCAGTGAGGAACGATGAGGAGCTTGGAAAGCTTCTTCATGGAGTGACAATTGCCCATGGAGGGGTATTGCCAAACATCAACCCTGTCCTCTTGCCGAAGAAGTCGGCTGACAAGGCCGGTGAGAAGACACAGAAATCCCCATCAAAGGCCACAAAATCACCCAAGAAGGCTTGATGGATGTTTGTGGATTTGAAGGGCTTTGTTGATTACTACTCTAGTGGCATGTTACCTGTTGGGTATGGATATTGGTATGTAGGGAAGATCTCTTTATATAACTGGTGTAATTGTTTTCTCTGTGATCCCTTCATCCTTTTTAATGTTTCATTCTCTGATTCATGACTGTGGAGCTGTGGGCTCTATCTGCACATTGCACATTCAAAGCCTGCACAGTTGTGTTGGGACTTCTAGCTTAAGTGCCAGCCTTTTAACATTTGTAGTGCTCCCTTGTGTTGTAGACTGCCTGTTTCCCTTGTAACTTGAGTACATTTCAGATGTTTAGTTTAAAATTTAAGTCTATACAAATCCATTCCTAACAGATTAGTCCTGATGACAAAATCTTAAGATATAAGATGATAGATTGATGGATTTGTGGTTGGATCGACTTTGGTGTATGATATCATTGGGTGCTAATTATTTGATCATAAAGGTTGTTATCAATAATTTGTTGGTATGATTTTTGAGGTTTTGGAAGTGATCTTGAATGTATCATGTCATGGCAGCAATTATTGAGGCAGGTCATGAAGTGAAAAGTATTGAATATAAATGCCCTTTTTATTCTTCTAGCTTTATTCTTCACATGCTTTCTTTTTCATGTATTATTAATGCAAAGCTATGGTTGAAAACACAAGACAGGCATACCCTATGTGTTCAAGGCATTGAAACAGATTCCTACTCCTCTTGGAGATGATTCTGCTGCTTTCAATGGAGATGAGTCTGAAGTTATGGATGGATATTAAGAATGAAATCTTTTTTCTATATATGCACCACAATAGCTTAATCTGAATCCTGTGAAATTCTTGAACATTAATATGCATGGTTTACAAAGGCGTTGTAATTAAACAGCAGCAGCCAATCACACATAATTGGCTTTTTTAAGAAGCAAGGAAAAGCTGACAAACAAGCTGATTGCACTGATTCAAACAATACCAAACATGTAATGCTGAATTATTATTATTATACAGGCAAATGGGCAACATTATGAAATAAAAGTTAATGGTCACCTGCAGTAATGGACTTGCATTAATGCTGCTGCCAAAGTTAAACTTTGGATTCTGCTTGTTTAATGCTTTTATGTCTTTGCAAGATATGTCAAAGTTGAGGAAACCTATGAAGGCAAGACAATCTAGAATGTATGTGTGGTGACACAGGAGGATCAAATAAATATTGAGTGTGCTCTCATCTTTATCCCAGTTGATTGTTTATTCTGCTACAGATAACCTGCAAATAATGGTGTTGGTTGTTCATAAGTTTAAACAACCAAAGTATATAACAAGTTCATAGAACTTCCGCATCTAACTTTGTAAGTAGAAGTTCTCCTCATCCAGCTCTAATATCATGTCTTATATCTTGATGGCACTAATGATTTCTAGGAAATTAATCAGAAAGATTAAAACTTAATATTCTAACATGGTCTCCGTGAATATGTTCCGTATTGCAATCAAGTAACCATTGCAAGGTCCGACTATCTTCATGATTCAGAACAGCAACATAATAATAGAAGAGGTTAACACCATCTCCTGTTTATTGACCAACAACTACATAAAATTTGAAAAATTCTAAAACGACTGAAGCATATCTTGAAAGAGAAAACATGGATCAATTGAGGAATCGAAATTAACATGCATTCAAGTTAAAAAGCCACACCAGATTGTTTTAAGAGTCATGAACTTAGAGCATCCATGACTTGGACATATAACATTTGCAAGTAATTGAAAGGAAGTCAGGAGTATATACATACTGAGAGTGATGGAAGTGCAGAGCAGAAAGGTGTTGTTTGATTATATATATCTTGGCGAGCTGGAATTGGTATTCAAATTCCGATGCAGGATCCGCCCGCTGCCTGATTCTCCAGATTTGATGAGTTCTTTCAATCCCAACTTTTCAGACTCGACCTCCTCCTCGTCATCGCTAGTCTCCTTTCTAACGCTCGTCTTCAATTCTACCTTCGAATTGGCGGTGATCCTCTCGAAGTAATTCCCGTAAATATACTCCGGTGCATATCCATCATCATCATCAAACAACATGATATGCCCGTGCCACTCCCACACTCGATAGTCCGATCCGGTTTCCTCCTGAAACCCTACGCAGACATGATGCTCACCGATCGCAATAGCCTGGCCAGAATTAGGCTTCAGGCTCTCAATCTCCCCACTGAGGATCGTGTGTATGATCTCCTTTTCGAGTTTGGATTCTTCTCTGGCAAGTGGTGTTTTGGTAGAGGAAGAATCCCCGTTTTCGGATTCGGAGTCGAAGTCGTGGAGGTTGAGGAGCAAATCGGAGAAGAGGAGGTCTTCGATGGATTCAGCGGCGGTGGCGGAGATAGACGATGGCGGCGTGCGGAGGTGGAGACGGGACATGAGGGAGTGGAGGAGGAGGTTATCGAATTTTGGGGAGGGCGTGGAGCCGCTCATTGTGGATTGAGAATACAGAAAGGGAGACGAGGACGAGGAGAGGTTTTGGGAGGGCTTTAGTCAAAGGAGGAGAGGATATTTTATATTCATTTCTCTTTATATTATCCAGAAACCTAAATCTATTTATCTTAAAATAGAACTGCTAAACGGACCATACCGTTCAGAGACAAACACTATTTAAAATTTAAATAATCTCCCGCTATAAAATATACCTATCAATATTTTGGAATATTTTTTTTTTACAAATACCTGATTTTACATCACTACTTTTAACTACTCAGAATAAAAAATAAATATTTACATTTTAAGTAGACGGAGAATAAATATATACATAATAAGTGGATGGAAAAAGTATTAATGTACATAAACAAGCTGAAAATGAGCTCGTTTTTGTTAACAAATAAGTTGAAACTTTGTTTGCGTACAAAGTATAATAACATATTTATAATATACATGATTATAAATAAAATAAACAGATAAATGATAATATATATTAAATTTGAAAAATAAAATATCAAACAAATTAACAATGAACTCGAATGGTTAACAAGTGAACACAAATTTTGTTTGTTAAGTTTAACAAGCAAATACAAATACTGAAATTTCTATTAAATTCGACTCATTAATAGCTCTATTTCTATGTATATTTTGATAATTAATAGTTTCTCAACTAAACAATTATCTATACTTAACAGCAATGGCGAGTATACAGATATAATCTGGAATGTTTGGAAAATAATGGATAGCATCAACAAGAAGCAGCCTGCAAATAGTTGGTTTTACAAATTTTAGCTGAAAACAACATAGCAACTGTATTATCAAGTAACATTGATCGCCATCATATTAGGATACTGTGAATATAAGCAAATTAACCGTTGTATATTTTCTTTCAACACTAAAGCTCAGAACTGTGGGGCTCCACTCATTACCTGCATTGGCTAGATCATGCTTACCGTCTCAAGCTCTCCATTATGTATTCCCCATACAAATTCCTGCATTACAGAAGGATTGTGAATTTACATGGTCTCTACTCTCCATTGTGGAGGTGGTAAAATAAATGCTCATGTGTAAAATTCATTTGGTCTTCAAATTACAGTAAGCATGAATAACAAACACCGAATCCACCTCACCAGTTCATTAATGTAACATGTGGTAGTGGGAAAGTTCAATAATTTCAGAAGGAAGTATTCTTCTAGGATTAACCAAAAGTAGTTATTTTCGTTTTATGGGACACTCATCAAAAAAATACCCAGATCATTAAATCAAAGATAGAAGACACCACTCACATGGAATCCTGGATGGCTTCATAGGCCTTGGAAGCTGGAAGAAATTCATCAACTGCAACATCTTTGTTTTCGTTTTTCTTGTCTGGTCAATTGTTAAGATACCAATGCCAAGCACAACATTTGAGAAGATGAAAAGAGATAACCATAACTCTATTTAAATATACAAAAGCAGAGAATATGGCATGTTACTGTTTGAAATTAAACTTTGAGGTTTCCTACTAAGGATACAATCTTCGAAAAATCGGCGAATCTCAGCTAATCGATGAGGTGGAAGCTCTTTGATATCTGTGTAGTGCCGATATTCAGGGTCATCAGCACAGACAGCAATTATCTTGTCATCTTTCTCACCCTATGCAAATTTTTAATAAAAATATCAGCTCTCTGTGATTAATGAATGGCGATCTGAACAAAATGCAAAGTTGATGTACCTGATCTATCATTGGCATCAGCCCTATTGCTTTAGCTCTGAGAAAGCAGCCAGGAACAACTGGCTCCTAAATATGCAAATTTTATAATGAGAATAAACACAGGTTGAAAAGCATTTTTTTTCCAATATCCAACTCTAAAATCACACCATGCGCGAAAACACCAGCACCTTATTAAATTGCATCATATATAAATGGATGAATTGGTTCGACTAATGTTTATATAATTCAAGTTGTGCCAACATCAAGAAAATTATTTAAAGTTCAACTGTTTCATAATGCATGACTAAACATAAAAAGGAAGATATTTCATAATACTCATGTGACAAAGGTATGTTGATCATACCTGCATAATGACTAGAACATCGATAGGGTCACTGTCTTCACATATAGTACGCGGGATGAAGCCATAATTATGTGGGTATACAACAGATGAGTAAAGAACCCGATCAACCTGCAGTTGCAAAGATTTTTAGTACTAGATGAGAAACATGTTCAAGAAGTCACTTAGCCTCATACCTTGATTAGACCAGTGTCTTTGTCAAGCTCATATTTCACCTTGCTTCCCTTACTTATCTCTACCACCTGAAAGGGTAATCTAAATTATTCTAAGAAGCCTCACACACAAAAGCACACAGAAAATTCAAATGATTTCTGGAAATCAATAATAGCAGAGTAAGCTACAAGGGCTCCAGCATGAAATCATGAAGTAGAAAGTCAATGATCCATATTTGAGCAGCTTGATGCTAACATGTAGGCACCTAAGAAAATTCAACTAAAGAATTTGAAATACTAAAAACTCCTCTCCACTAAATCATAACATAAAAGATAATTAGAAGGAAAAACAGACTTCCTTGTTCTTACACAGTTGAAAATTATTGGTGCACCAGGGCCTGCATTGGAAACAGTATAACCATTAGAATTCTTATGTGTTTTAACATGATGGAAGAGTTGAAATACCTACCTATCTCAAGATCGTGCCAGGGATGAGCTGCAACAGTTTTCCTACTGAGAGAAGAAAGAATCCTCTCATTAAGAGGCGAATGTGATGACTTCTGGACAACAGGGGACCCGTTTGGTGCCTCAGTCGTTGGATCCATAACTGCTTATAGCATATCAAACATTGATCAAGATAATGAATAGCACTTCCAAAGTTTTATCATAAAGATATAAAAATGTTGGATACGGAAGGTCTGGAAATATTTATCCAAGCACTATGGGAAGATCATATTTCAAATAACATCATATTACGGTGTGTTTTCTGCAATTAGCCATTTCCTAATTTTTCTGTTTGGCATGTCTGCATATAAGCTAAACCTATTGACTGAAACCAGCTATAATTTTGCAACCAGGCCCCATGCTGCCTATAAGAAAAGAAAACTAAAATCTAATATCAACAAAAAAAAAAAATCATACTAGTATAACCAAAAGGTAACTAAATTCACTGGAAATGATCGTTGAAGCAAATTCGCATTTACGAAACATAAGAATCCATAAGCGATCCTCCACGCGGTTGCTGTCTAGGTCTTAGCGCTCACGCAGCATATTCATTCGTAAAAAAGACAATAACCCATCAAAACCACTAAATCATAAAAGAGAAACAAAAACCAAGAATAATTGAGATAGATCAGCAGATAAAGCTTAATAGAACGTAGTTTACATGCTGAAACTCTACAGGCGAACTTGCATCAAAGTTTGTATCCACAACCGCAATGAACTTTACATGACATACAACCATTATAAACCAACAGATGCCTAAAACAAATAAAAATTTATAAAAACAAAATCATATAGCCAACCTAATCTTCAAAACAAAGCTATGAAACTTCTCCCCCGGAAAAATGAAGCGTACCTGTGACAATCAGATGAAAACGTCGGCGTGAAGGTGTAATAAACTGCGCGGATCTCGAACAGGCAGACGAAGCGTCAGATGAACGCAACGCAACTGGAGATCTTATAAAAGAAATGAGTGCTGTAGAGAGAGAAAAGCCCTAGAGAGAGAACTGAGCTGAGTAAAGGAATGACGCGTTCCCGCTCTGCTTCGTGCTGTTGCCATTTGAAGACTGAAAGCCATTATCAAAAGGGAAAGGGAACGTATAAAGAGGTCACAGTAAATTGCCGTTCTTGTTGTGTATTTGTATTCCCTCCTTACTACGTGGCAATCTCTGAGTGGACCAGTTCGGTAACGTGGGCGAACCTCAAAATTCAACTGAATATGCACCGTTCATTGTCGCATCATCCCATTGACGGTGCAGATCGGTCCTTGTCATTATGGATACATACTTATTTATTATGCCGCGGAATTGTTGATAATAAATGAAAGTTCTTAAATATATTTTTCAGTTATTAACAGTTTACGAGCGTGGTGTTTTTTTTTTGTTTTTTTTTTTTTGTTTTTTTTTTTTAAATAATATGGGATCACAGCCGAAATGCATTTTTATAAATTTAGTGAGCAATAAAAGATAATAAAGAGATATAATGTAAGAAGACAATGTATTTGTTGTAAAGAAGTGTTAATAAATTATAACAGTTAAATATAATTTTTTTTATTTTTTTAATATAGTAATAGAATAAATTTAACGGACGAAAAATTAAAGTAAAAATAATTTTGGGAGACAGTAAGAATATATAGGAATGTGCGTGTATTTATTCTAGTATTTTCATTTATTTTAATATAATATAATGTTTACATATCACATTATCAAATTAAAATTTACATTAAACATATCCAACTACATATAGTACTTCCTCCTCCGACCCAAACACTCTACAATATTTCTTTTTTTATTTGTCTCAGACTCACTGTAATATTTCCAAATTTAAAAATAAGTAATTATATTTTTATACATATATTAATATACACTTCACTTTATCCCATCACATTACTCAAATAAAAAAACAAATAAATAATCATTTATCTATCCAATCACATCACTTAATATCCAAATTATCTCAAATTACCATATTTAATATTCTCCACCTAAATTTCCGTGCAAAACAAAAATATTGTACGGTGTTTAAGACGGATGGAGTATTTGATAACGTCTCACCTAAAAAAAATTAAATTTGTAGGCATACTCAATATTTATTTACTTATATGTTTATTGAAGTCAACCAATAATAACCTTAAATTTGATCACTGAATATTGAGAACATATTGCAACTCATATTATTTTCTTTTTATTTTTTTATTATTATTTAAAAAGAAAACAATACTTAAATAAAAGAATCAAATAAAAAACTTTCCGAGTAAGAAAATATATTCACAAAATGTGACAATGACAATGTTTGGTTGGGTCGTTGGGTTGTTATAATGGAATTGTTCGCTTTGTATTTCTATATTATAATTCTATATAAATATTATCAATAGTAATATATACACTTATTAATATAATATTATATATATTCTAATATTACTAAAAAGATAATAATTCAATAATTTTTTTTATATATATATTACATGCATTTATTCACATTTAATATAAAAAAACATATATATCAAAAGGCAAGATAAACAAATGTAATGATTGATTTGATTTGTTTTTTAAAATTACTGGAAAAAATTGAAAATATATAGTCCCTCCGTCCAACTAAAAAGTATATATATTTCTATTTTGGGACGTCCAATTACAAAGTAACCATTTCATTAAATACCCAATTTTTTTCCACAAATATCCCTACTTTACATTACATCATTACTTTTATACCAAAAAAGTAATGGCAAAAATGTCATTTTACTACTTTTACCTACACACTATAATTAAAATATTATTATTCCTTAATGTCCGCGCCAAAAGTAAATGTATACTTTTAACTTGGACGGAGGGAGTATCAATGTTACTTGGTTGTTACTTTTTGAAAAAAGTGATACTATTTGTAAGAATGAGATTTTACCAGTTTCAATTGAAATAATTTATTTTTATCATTTTTGTCGGTTGAATTTGAAAGTTTTCATTTGATATTAAATTAAAAGTAATCATATATTAATATCATAATACTTTTTAAATTTATATAAATTAAAATATATTACTCTCCCGTTCCAAAAGAAGTATCTTATTGAGACTTGGCACGAGAATTAAGGAATAATAGTATTTAATTGAAAGTGGATATAAAGTAGAATGTAAATGACTAAAATGCCCTTGCTTTTCAAATGATTTTAAAGAGTATGTTAGAGTAATACTTAGGGGTAGTATAAAAAAGTATGAATAATTTTGTTATAAAGTGGAGACCACGACTACTAAATAAGGAAACTAAGACAATTGTTTTGGGACAAACGAAAATGAAAAAACAAGAATAATCTATTGAGACGGAGGGAGTATTACATTTACACTTATTTTATAGATAAAGTGCAAATTTACTATTAACCTCTATATTTATATATCGATGTTGGCCATATTTTACTTTATATTTGAAATATTGGGACAAATCCATCAAGTTTCTAAAGAATAAAATAATTCATTAGTTTTGAATAAAAATATGAAAATTATTTTATATACATCAACTAATCAATAAATATGTTACTATCGTTTTTAGTATTTTATTTTAAAATTTCGAAAGTCTTTTTAAATTGAAATGAAGTAGATTTATTTTTTTATGAACTGTTCAAATTGAATAATATTAATTTAACCTAAAATACAAACTAAACACACTAGGGTATATATCCTTTTATGCTATTTTTATTTTATTTCGATAGTTTCAAGCCGAGAACAATCATTTCATGTAATATTATAAAAAAATTATATTGAATAACAAAATTCACATAACTAATTTAAAATATTTGTCGAAAGAGAAACCACACTATTATAATTGTAGATTTGATACAATATTGATAAATATATATATATATATATATAATCATTTTAAATTTGTTCGGAGAACGTAGCTAATCATAATAGATATTTCTAAATTATGGCTGCGGTTGAACTTTTATGGCCCACGCTTCAAAACTAAACTTGTAAGCAACTTGTCGAAGAAAATTTTAAAAATATTTAAAATCTAAATTCATTATTATTATTATTATTATTACAATATCAAAGTGTTATTAGAAAAAATCAATGTATTTATTTAATGAGATCAAGCATATCATTGCGCTAACCTATTTATCAATCAAGTATCCAATCATTCACATTTAATATATGCTTTTCAAATTAAAAAAGAAGACCATACACTCGCACACGGTTCATTTTATTTTATTATAAAATCCAAAATATAAAAAAGGGGAAAATAAAAATCTAGAACTAAAGAAATCGTCAGTGCGCGAGACCATTTCTAACCACGATTTGATACGATTTTATAAACACGATTATACTTTTGTACTAAAACGTCTATTAATATTTCTATTTATTTCCATAAAATTAAATTATAGTAAGTTTTTTGGGGGTAAAAAAAGGGGGAAAATTATACAGTTTCAACGATCGAGCGCGGCTACTTCCCTCCTCTTCTCCTCATTCCTCAGTTATTAGATCTTTCTGTTCTCTCTACCCGAGATCTGGTAATCGTTTTCCGTTTTTGGCTTTAGTTTGGCTTAATTTTGTTGTTTCTTGATTCCGGGATTCGTTTAATCGTGGAATATCTGGAATAAATTGGTGGTGTTGCGTTGGGTTAGGGTTTATTTTTGAGGAATTTGTGAAAAGAAAGCAAATCAGATGGCCGCTCCACCCGCCAGAGCTCGAGCTGATTATGATTATCTCATCAAGCTTCTCTTGATCGGCGACAGCGGTGCGTGCACTTCCCGCAATCGTGTCGAATTTTCTAGATTTGTTCGGGGCATATCTGTATGTGGAATTGTGAACTAGTTTGTTATTTGACTGGTGCAAGCTGCATTAGTCTGGGAATGTTTGTTTTGTTTAGGAGAGCGACCGTTTTCATTAAGTGAGTTTAGTATTTGTAATATCTTTACATGCTGTGGGGCTTTTTATATGGTTGAAAGTGGTGTGTGTTTAATACGACTTATTGATTAAGAGAACCTGTTTGATTGCACCATACACGTAAATATGATTGGCAATATGAAGGGAAGGAAATGGAAGCACATTTGTATAACTGGAACAGAGGAATATTTTGAGTTTTTATTTATGATCATTGAGCATACTGAGTGGTTTCAAATTGAAGGTTAATTGGAGCTGTTTTTAATTGAACATAATTTTGTATGTCCCAGTATTACATTATAAGGCAGTAATGTCAAACCAGATATGAGTTCCCATATAAATGTCTATGCCTTGAGTTGATTATGTGATTTTGATGAGGCTACTTATTGTAACATCTGCTCCTGTTGCCCAAACATGACTCCGCCTGCATGATCAGGGACACTGCCATTGTATATTTTATTAGTCACAATCCTTTATCAATTGAATTTCTCATTGGTTGTTGTTAGATATTCCAATATTAAGTAGCAGAACAGTGTCTAACAAATATGCTCGAACTTTGAAATTCTCAGTGATTTTTGTTGAAAAATTTGCATTTTCTGGTTTTCCAGGTGTGGGTAAGAGTTGCCTTCTTTTACGTTTCTCTGATGGTTCTTTCACCACCAGTTTCATTACCACCATTGGGTAAGTGCTAATCAAACATAAGTTTCTCTCTTCATTATGATCTTCACCATCCACCCGTTCTGATTCTGTTCTCATATAGGATTGATTTCAAGATAAGAACTATAGAGCTTGATGGGAAAAGAATCAAGCTGCAAATTTGGGATACTGCTGGGCAGGAGCGATTTCGCACTATCACCACTGGTATGCTTTAAGTGATGGAGGAATCCACTCTCCTCTCCCTTATCTGCAGATAAGCCATGCACGAGCACTATTTCATTTGCAGATATGTATGTTATGTATGATATATGTATTGGCAAATTTAAAAGTGTTTCCTCCGATAAAATTTTCTAATCTGTAAGACAGCAGAGGAGAGGAATTCTCCTAGCTGGATCTACCGATCTACAAAACTCGATACTTACCCACAAAATTTTTTTGAGTGCTGTTTGATTTGAACCTCTAGTTACATTAAAGCCTCGTAGCTTTTCATGCATTTTTCGAAAATTGCTGATCTGAAAAATTAATAATACTGATGGATCCTCAATTTTAGGATTCCTGAAATTTATAATAAAGCTTAAATATTAGAATATTGTTCAGAGCTTTATCATGAATTTTAATGGCGACCACTTAGATGCTTTTATGTGAAAAATTGGAGGTAGTTTTAATATCAATGGTATATGCTCTGAAAGCTTTACCCTGATGGTTCGGGACAGTAAAACACCTCTCAGGCATGTAAGAAAATCTGTAAAATCACTTCCATCATGGTACTGTGTGCTCATGGTAATTGTTTTCTCTGATAAATCCGTATTTTAATGAGTCATATATAGATAGATTTATATTATACTTGCTATATATTGATCTTGGATAGGCAAAGCACCTTTTCCTTTTCTTGTGTTATGTGAGGGTTTACTGAGGGATTCATTCTTTTTGCAGCTTACTACCGTGGAGCAATGGGTATATTGCTGGTGTATGATGTTACTGATGAGTCATCTTTCAACAGTAATCCATCTCTTCATCCTAATCTCATATTTTTCCTCATAGCAAATAGAGGCTTATCCTTCTCATTTATGCTCCTGATTGTTTTAGGGTTTTATTATGTAACAAACAGCTTTTAGTTGGGTAGATATTTATGCTTCCATATATTCTATATAAAAATTATAATACTAGTTATTTATAGTTCATTTTCCCATTTTACTCAAAATGAACTTTCTCTTGTCAGACATTAGGAATTGGATCAGAAACATCGAGCAGCATGCTTCTGACAATGTCAACAAGATATTGGTGGGAAACAAGGCTGACATGGATGAAAGCAAAAGGGTTTGCTCTACCTCCTCCCTCCCCTATGCATAGCCAAATTATCCTAGAAAGCAGCTTGCACATTGTTAATATCAATCAGTCAAAGATCCAATTATATTAACTTGGCTAATCTTAAGAATTAGAATCACAAGTGAATAATGGAAATATTGATATGCCTATGGTATGATTACAACTTGCTCATAAATTTCTTTTAGTTAAATACTTTCTTCAGTTTCTTGTAATTTTTTTTTTTTAAAATAAACAAAACTATGATCTGACGCTGATTGACATCTTTTCAATGGCACAGGCTGTTCCCACCTCTAAGGGTCAGGCACTTGCTGATGAATATGGAATCAAATTTTTTGAGACAGTAAGTAGTATCAGTTTCCATACCGTTTATATTTAATATCCATGGCTTTGTCTAACTATCATCATGCGAAACAGAGTGCTAAGACAAACATGAATGTGGAGGAGGTTTTCTTCTCAATTGCTAGGGACATAAAGCAAAGACTTGCGGAAACAGACTCAAAGGCTGAGGTATCACATGTTTTACCAGTAGGCATATTTGACTTGCTCTCTGTTAGTTTTAGACTGATAAATATGCTATCCCATGCTGCAGCAACAAACAATAAGGATCACCCAGCCAGACCAGGGAGCTGGGGCTTCCCAAGCTGCTCAAAAATCAGCTTGCTGTGGTTCTTGAGCAAAATCCCATGACTAAGACAGGTGGCTAGATGCACCCCTTTAAATTGACCATTTTGACAAAGGAATGAATCTTTGCAATTACAGTGTTGATGCTGCTTGTATTCGGTATCCCTCTAATTATTTTCAGATTCCTATGCCATTGTGTTTTATTTGCACGTCTTTGTTAAAAGGAATTATTGTTAGTATATATGCCTTACTTCTGAACTGTACTTGAATCTGAAGCAATTGAATTGCTCTATAAACTAAGTTGCAATTTTTTTTTTGGGGGGTCTTGTTTGTGTAAAGTTGAAATTTCATTTTACAGTCACGATTGAAGGCAAACCTGAATTCTTTGTCAAACGCTATGAATTGAGTGATGCTATCTTTACAATTCTTGCACCTGCTTTTGATTCCACCAACCCAAAGGCAATGCTACTGCTTGCCCTTTTATGACAGCCAAGAGCTGGCTTATTTCACAGACATTGAATCTAAGGTCAAGGTTAATATCTGCAATCTACTGCTTGATTCAGGATTGATGTTAATAAATTGTTATAATCACACACTGTTTATTCTAGCTTTTATTTAGTAACTTTTCATATAGCTAAATACTTGATACTCAAAAGTTGAGCTTGAATCTACAGTCAAGCTGGATAAAACAAGCCTAAGTTTAACCTTACCCTGTTTCTGAGCTAAGAAAAGAAAACAGTTCAAGTTTGATTCTACATAAATTAGATATGATTTGTTCTATTGATTTTGATAATACAGTGATACTTCAGATTTTCACTTCATCTTTGTGCAGACCTTATTACTATTATTTTTATCGACTTGCTTAAGTGCTTGTTTTGGGAGTGCAGTATTTCCTTGGATTTTTTTAGTGTATATATTCAGCCTGGATGCTTGCTTGATGCAAAGCTTTGATTATACCTAGTTTTGAGTATGATAATCTTAATTTGCTTTATTGCAAGAAAAAAATATTAAATCTGAATGTTAGGGGTAGTTAGTGTGGTATGATTATAGAATTGTAGAAGACCCTACAAGGGAACTGAGGACACTCCTTTGCTAAATAATATTGTACAGCTTTGTATAAAGGGCATGATTTCTTTACTTTTCTATATTTTCCTGTTGAATATGAAATCAGTAGTGGGAAACTTGCTAGTGTTTGTCGCCTCTGCATTTGCTGATAATTTGATGTGAAGGAATACAACAATATTGGAGTATTATTTATGATAGGAAGACCCTTAGGGTAATACAGTCCTTTTTATCATAATGGTGTCCAAAAAAAGCTCACTGAGCTTAATTTGGAAATGGTGAAGAAGCATGGATTTGTGTTGTTTTTGGAATGACAAGATGAAAGTTTGATCTTTAATGACTGCAATTTCTTCAAGTGGCAGACATTTGTCTTATCAAACTTTTTTTGAATTTTGATCCAATTATCTATTTGGTGCAGACAGGGCACTTCACTAATTTCATTTTTGATGATTTTAATGATACATTCATTTTAATGCTACAGTGTGCAGCTATTAGTTATCTTGTGTTGACATAGATGTTTTGTTTCCCTTGGTTAGTGAACATTACATGAAATAAACAATTTCAAAATCAAATGATATATTGTACTATTTAATCAAAAGCTTGTACTAATAATATATGTGTGTAATGGTTTCAGGGCTGGAAAATTAAAGGTACAATAGATGATTTGTGTTTATTGCACTAGACTGACTTTGTACTTGAATAATAATAATAATAATAATAATAATAATAATAATAATAATAATAATAATAATTGCATTGGCAGAAACAAAATCTTGGGGATGAAAAGTAGTCAAAGGTATTTCAATTATTGAGTCTTTTTTAATTTTTTGTGATAATATATTTGTGTATAAAATTAATACTTCCATGTCTCCAGTACTTTTGATCTTGGGGATGCATGCTTACGAGGGTTTGCACTTGAAAATAAATAATTGTAAATCTCACACATAATATACATACATATATATATATATATGCATGCATGGGGATAAGGAAATTATTGAGATAAAAAGGCTTGTCAATTTTTAGAGTATGATGAAAAATACACACATCGATTATATATTGTGGATCATTGAAATGTGTGCACGACGTTCATTACCCTGAACATTATTGATTTAATAAAAAGTTGTGATTGATTCTTCATTGGTGGAATGGATCTTATCTGATCCATGGTTTGAAATTGAATTGACGACTGGTTTAACATACTCTTACGAAAAAATTGTTTTCAAAATTGAAATTGATTGATCGCAATGAAAGCTTAAGGTATATCTAATACCCTTACAACTTGATTGGTGCTGATTTTTTTATTTTTTATTTTTTTTTCTTTTTCTTTCTTTTGAAGTTCAGTTTACAATTGAATAATTAATTTGTCGTTTGTTGTTTTTATAATATACATGTATAAAATTTAAAAGTAATAGTTTGAATGTAATGTATTTTAACAAAAAAAGATAAGAATATTCATAATAAATAGTTAGGCTTTGTTTATTTCTATTTGTGTTTATATAATGGTTGTATATATATATTGTTTTGTGAATATATGCATAGTTTATAGAAAATTACGATGTTGCATTAAAAAAATAAAATAAAATAAAATAAAATACAATCTCAAAGTAAAAATCAAAATCAAAATATGCAGTTATGATGAATATAGTTAGTATGATTGATATTCATGGACAATTACTATACACATGTAAACAAAGTTGTTAATGGCCATCCCATTACTAAAGCTCAAAGTCAATTTTGTCTAGCCCGAAAATTTGGTCTTGTATAAGTTTGTTTGTTTCTAATAACGGCCTAACACACCTATATATATATATATATATGTTAAATATTATTCATTTATATGCTATCTTATATTATATTAAAATTAAAAAAAATTATATTAACATAATAAAAATATATATATATATATATATATAAAATATAAAAGTGTTGGATATATGTACTGACCGGGTGCGATGCTAATTTCAGTGATGAACACCTAAACCACCACCATAGTTTTGTATATTATATAATTTGAAAATGATAAATAATTCATATGTTCCTCTTAAATACCTTTGAAAAACGATGCGATGCGATGCTTTTCTGGATACTCAACAGTCATTCATCCACAATAGTATTTAGATGCAAATTAATTGTTCTCATCCTAGACTGCTGATTTTATTTGTTGCCTAATTTATACTATATATTGATAACGTAATATTCTGTGCATGTAATCAGGAAATAAGGTGGATTCCTCGTGGGAAACAATTAAATTCTATCCAAAATAGGGGTATCCTATATCGAATAAGAACCTTCAAAATATAATTGGGGTGACAACAAAAATAAAAAAATAAAAAAAAGTGATTCCCCCCACTACATGAATTATGACGGTAGTAATTATTTGAAACTTGAAATTATTATTGATTTGCCAGTGAAATCAATTCCCAAATAATTCTATGCAACACAACACAACAGTCGGTTGTTAAACTGCTATTTTATTTTGTTTTATTTTATTTGATTATATTTATTATAATATATTTGGTGCAATGCCAATGCAGAAACCACAAGAAAAGCGAAAGTGTATGCAATGAAAGCAAATCAATGCTATGTGAAATAATGCATTAGCTAGCTACCTTCCATGGCCTCTCACACCTCATCTCATCATCAATTATATATATATTATAATTTTTTATTTTTTATTTTTTTTAGTCGAGGAAGGGTAAATAATTAAGTAAGTTAATTGATGACCAACAATTCATATATAATAATCATTGTGTTTATGCCCAAAAACCTTAAAACGAGAAAAGTCCTCTCTCTCTCACATGTCTCACAAGAAATTAACATGATGCTTTCTTGCTCTCCTATCCTCCCTTCTACAGCTTCTCAAATTGTGCCTTTGAAACACTACCCATTCATGCATATCACACACTCACACACATGCATATATATATATATATATAGAGAGAGAGAGAGAGAGAGAGAGGGCATCTGTCCATGGAATGTCTAATAGAAACCCTTATGAAAAGAATATAAGAGGAGAATCTTCATCTACTTTGGTTGTTGCACGAATCCTTCCTCTAATTAAAATTAATAATGCTTCTCCCCCATTTTCTCTCATTCTTATTAAAATACAAAACCATTCATTATATAGATATTATATATATATATATATATATATTTACTTACGTATGGAATGATTGAGTGTCTTAAAAGTTGGAATTGGAGGGCAGTACATACATCACACTAACAAACCTTTTTCTCCTCTACTCTACACATATCTTCCTAACCTTCAAACAAAACTAAAAAACAAAAAACAACAATTTAAAAGGAAAAGTTAGAAACCGTGAAGAAAAGAATGAAAAGCATGAGTGAGGGAGGGAGAGGGGGCATAAAAGACATTTCACACTGCTCACTCATCACCTCCAAAAGAGTCCACCATCACACCACATATATATATATATATATATATATATAAATGGACTCATTCATTCATACACACACTCAATTTCTCATTTCCATACCCAATGGAAAACATATACACTTAATAATTTTATAACAATCCAAGAATTTTGCTGCCCTCTATTCTATTCTAAATTAAAAGGTAAGCTGATCTATGTTATATATAAATATGATCTTCTTGCAGCAACACAATAATATATACATATGCATGTGTATGTATGGTAGGAATTGAACAGTTTCAAGTTTAATACTTACAGATATGTCCAAGGAGAAGTGGAAGTTGTTGTTCAGGAAGATGAAGCCATTCTTGGGAGTAGTCTTCCTGCAATCAGGGTTTGCTGGAATGGACATCATTTCTAAAGCTGCATTAAACGAGGGTATGAGCAATTTCGTCTTTGTTGTCTATCGCCATGCTGTCGCCACCATCGTCATGGCGCCTTTCGCCTTCATCCTGGACAAGTATGATATCTATAAATAATACACATACATATCTGCATATGCGGTTAGTTATAACAATAACACTAATAATAAAAATTCAATTAATTGTGGATATATATCTCTCAGGAAAATAAGGCCTAAGATGACCCTCACTATATTCGGCAAGCTCTTGCTTCTTGGCCTCTTAGAGTGAGTTAAAAAAACATCACAATTATTAAATTCTACCTTAATTTTCAAAGGAAAATTTATAATAAATGAACGGATATTTCAGGCCAGTGATCGACCAGAATCTGTATTTCTTGGGGATGAAATATACAACTGCTACCTTTGCAGCTGCTATGGCCAATGTTCTGCCAGCCATAACATTCCTCATGGCATGGCTTTTCAGGTCTCACCCACTTCATACATTAATTCCTGCAAATTTCTCAGCAATAAATCAACTGACTTATAAGCCTGATAAATAAATTAGGTTGGAGAAGGTGAAGCTAACCAGCATTCGAAGTGAAGCCAAGTTAATTGGGACACTTGCAACAGTTGCCGGAGCCATGATTATGACGTTGGTGCGCGGCCCCAATCTCAACTTGCCGTGGACAAAACCGGGGGCAATAGATGTACATCCACAGGGACAAGTGAGTCTCGAGCATTCAATCAAGGGTGCTGTCATGATCATACTCGGATGCTTCAGCTGGGCTTGCTTCATGATTTTGCAGGTACTTACTAATCTCTATATGAATTAATTTAAATCTGTTTCAAATTCCAAGTTACCATCAAATCAACAAAAGATTAATTGGCTTTGTAGGCAGTGACACTGAAGACTTACCCTGCCGAGCTATCCCTCACCACTTGGATATGCTTTCTGGGGACAATTGAGACAGCTGCTGTGGCGCTTGTAGCTGAAAGGGCAAATGTAGCAGCGTGGGCCATAAAATGGGACACCAGTTTCCTTGCAGCTGTCTACAGTGTAAGCATAAAAGATTAAGAAAAAACAAAAAAACCACAAACAAAAAACAAAACCTGTACTCGATCTTAATTTGACAATGTTTCGGCTTCATTGCAGGGCGTGTTCTGTTCGGGAATCGCATATTATGTTCAAGGAATAGTGATGCAAGAAAGAGGGCCTGTTTTTGTCACTGCATTCAGCCCTCTGAGCATGGTGATTGTTGCTGTCTTGAGCTCTTTCATTCTGGCTGAACAAATGTTCTTGGGAAGGTATATATATCTATATAAATATGTTTATTCATTCATATGCACAATACAGTGAATTAATAACAGGAAAGTATAACTAACTGACTAGGGAACTGAAATGCCTTGGTTATATTTCTGCAGGCTTATGGGTGCAGTGGTCATTGTTCTTGGCCTATATCTCGTGGTGTGGGGGAAAGAGAAAGATTACGAGACCCCTTCAACTGAAGAAAAGCTACCGGTTCAAAAATGCTTAGAAGGATGTGAACATGGCCAGCCAATGGAGGTAGTTACAGGGGATGGAGGCGATACTAGCAAAAGTTAGCTGCTATTTCCAAAACTTTAGTTGAGTATGTGAACAGTATCGTTACCTGGGTGGCGAACTACTCTCGGAAGTTGCATGGCCCTTTGACAGAATAGGCTCGATTTCGCGCTCAACCTGCATTTATAAATTCATATATTCTATGCAATTTTCAAGTTGACAAATAATTAAGAGAACTAATAAGCTTGCATTTCTGCTCGGTGTGTCTAACTCAAAGTAGACAAAGAAACCAGAAAGTAAAGTAACCGGACAATGAGTCTGTTAGAACTTGAGGAAATACAAATACAAACTAACACCTAAATAATAATAATGAAAAAGGATATCTTCCTCCGATTACAAATACAAATTGGGAGGCTCTGCTTGCTTAAATGATTCCAATTTAATCTGCCACAACAAGACCATCACAGTCAGGTGTTATCTAACATACGATTTCTTCATACCATCAGGCCTGGAATGTAGAACGAGAGCACTATATTGATTACGGTGCAAAAGCTCAAAAACTCGTAAATGTCTTCAAATTCAAACAAGCATCAAAGCTCAGGACCTATGCAATTGCAAAGTGGAGGGATTTGAGTTCATTTGGGAGTAAATTCCACACCAAACAATGGTGTTCACTTTCTTGGTCTTAATGTCATATATCTTAATGAAAAGAATGATGAAACAAATTATGGTGCCAACTGCCAACACCAATAAGCTCTTGCAGAATCCCTAATTATTGTTACTAAAATGGAACATTTTTCAAATACTTCCTTCTACAGAAAAAAGATAATCAAACTTCCTGGACAACAACTATACACTCAAATAATTCGAAAAATGCATCAATTGGAAGTTGAACTTACGCCTGAGGTCATAGGTTCGTTTGCAGGGGATGGAAATCACATTTAACCTATACTTATACGCGATCATCTGAAGCCACACAGAACTAATATTTTTCTCACACGCACTCCAAATTTGATCAACACTCATCCATACTGTACTTATCACTGAGGAAAACAGTTTCTTACCGTTAGCTGTAGCCACACCCGATGGAACCTGATTCCTCGTCGAAATTCTTGACACACAGATTTCCCGATTCTTATACATGAAATATGATCGGACGTGTTTGAATAAAAAATATGCTAACATGACGAGAGAGCAAGAGGCAAAGACGGAGATTACCTGAAGCAGCAATCACGCTTACGGTTTTTGGCGGTCGATGGCGTCGCGCATCGCTATTTATATATAGATTCGTCTGCAATCATCGTGTAAATTATTAATTAATTCATTCATTAATTGATGGGCTTAAATTCTTATTGGGCCATATATGATATATAAATGTTACGCAATCCAGTTGGACCTTCTGGAGGGCCAATATAATGGGCCGCCTGGACTTATGACCCGAAAAAAATGCGTTAACATGATAAATAGAATTAATAATTTTTACTTTATTTTATTTCATAGTATGTGAAATTTTATGTTTTATATGATTGAACTGGATGAAATTACAATATTGGCTTATGGACTTTGAATTTAGAATTTAAAAAATAATACTTTTAAAAATAAAAATAGTCATTGAAATAATAATTATTAAAATTATTAATCGAATTAACAAAAAAAAAAAAAAAAAACTGAATACAAAACACTTTTTTCAAATGGTGTAATCCGCGTTGTATGAAAAATTTTGACACTGTTTAATAATATGATTCAATTGAATATATATATATATATGATGAAATAAATATCTTATATATAATTCGATTTTTCTTTTATTTTTTAATATTGTTCAATGTGTATATATATATATTTTATTTTATTTTAATTTTCTCCATTAATAGTATTATTACATGGAAGTTACGCATAATATTCATAAAATGCTATTCTTGTGTCAGGAAATATATTGAAAATAGTTCCCCCAAAAGCATTAATTAATGTTTGAAAAATGGTGATCATTTCACACTGTAGGTGAGGGGGTTCAGTGGTAACTGGTACCCTCCATGGACACTCCTAGAAGCACATATATAAATGGAGTCACCCTCACCCACATTCATTCATGCATACATATCTATGCTTGATCTTAAGTTCCAACAATTTGTTCAAATTCAAAGGGTAAGCAAGCAGATTATACGATCACATTGCAACAGTATAATAAGTATACATACAAATGTGTGTAATTGGTTTTAGATTTGTATGTTCTTATGGTTGGAATTGAACAGGTTCAGGTTTAATCCTCCGACGACGAAGATGAAGCTGTCGAAAGAGAAGTTGAGTAAGTTGTTTGGGAAGTTGAAGCCATTTTTGGCTATGGTATTTCTACAAGCAGGCTTTGCTGTAATGGACATCATTTCTAAAGCTGCAATGAATCAAGGGATGAGCAATTTCGTGTTCGTCGTTTATAGACATGTTTCCGCCACCATCATCACGGCGCCCATTGCCTTCGTCGCGGAAAAGTATAATACATACATACATATATATATATATGGTGTTTAATGAACAATGAATAAATTGTTGTTTGGTTGATCTCAGGAATATAAGGCCAAAGATGACCCTCACTGTGTTTGGCAAGCTCTGTCTTCTTGGCCTTCTTGAGTGAGTGTCAAACACATTATTAGATAAATATTAAATTTATAATTATTCTAAATCTGTCATAATTTTGCAGCCCAGTGATCTGCCAGAATCTGTATTTTCTAGGGATGAAATACACAACTGCTACCTTTGCTGCTGCTTTGTCCAATGTTCTTCCAGCCATAACATTCCTCATGGCATGGCTATTCAGGTCTCTTTCTCTCTGTGATAAATTCTTGAAAATTTCTAAGAAATACATCCTACTTATGGATCTATTGATTCAATAAATTCAGGATGGAGAAGGTGAAGTTAACCAAAATGCGTAGCCAAGCCAAGATGGTCGGGACACTTGCGACAGTTGCCGGAGCCATGATCATGACACTGGTGCACGGTCCGAACCTCAACTTACCATGGACAAAACCTGAGGCAGCCAAGGCAGAGCCGCACGGGCGACTGAGTCTCGAGCAATCAATCAAGGGTGCTCTCATGGTCATCGTCGGATGCCTCGGCTGGGCAGGCTTCATAATTTTGCAGGTACATACAGACTTATCGATACACATAAAGATAACTCAAATCGACAAAAAAACATCAAATGGGTTTGCTTTGCAGGCAGTGACGCTGAAGGATTACCCTACCAAGCTATCCATGACTGCTTGGGTATGCTTTCTGGGAATGATTGAGACGGCAGCTGTAGCACTGGTAGCTGAACGGAAAAATTTTGCAGCTTGGGCTATAAAGTGGGACATTAGCCTCGTCGCGGCTGTCTATAGTGTAAGTAACAAGGATTAAAGAGAAACCAAAGCTCAATCAATCGATCGATCTTGATCCATTTCACATTCAATGCAGGGTGTGTTCTGTTCGGGCATAGCCTATTATGTTCAAGGAATAGTGATGCAAGAAAGAGGACCTGTTTTTGTTGCTGCATTCAGCCCTCTGTGCATGGTGATTGTTGCTGTCCTCAGCTCTTTCATTCTGGCTGAACAAATGTTCTTAGGAAGGTACATACATACATACATATATATATATAACTGAACAACTATTATAAACTGAGCTCTAACTGTCTTGGTTATATATTTGCAGGCTTATGGGTGCACTGGTCATTGTTATTGGACTTTATATTGTGGTGTGGGGAAAAATGAACGATTATGATACTCCTACAACTGAAGAACAAAAGCTACCTATTCGAAAATGCGAACTGAGTCCAGGAATGGAGGTTATTATGGGGGATGGGGGAGACGCTACCAAAAGTTAAGCTGTTATTTTTAAAAGTTCTGCCGAGTATGCAAACCATATCATATTGCAAAAATAATTTTGGAGCAGAACAATATTTTGGGGTCAGTTAAATCAAAAACAATATCGATACCTGAGTAGCTTGCTGATCCGACATATCAGACTCTATATTTAGCTCAACCTGCAACTTTCTATATTCTTATAGAACCAAAAAGTTTGCATTTCGGCAAGGAGTGTCTTAACTGAGCAGACAATGAAAAAGCGAAATAACTGGAACATATGAGTGTTGTAGAATTTGAGGAAATACAAATCCACACTACCATCTAAAATAATAATAATGGAAAAGGATGTCTTCATCGATAACAAACACATAATGGGAGGGGATCTGCTTGCTTAAATGATTCCAATTTTGTTGGCCACGTCAAGAGCATCGTAGTCGGGTGTCAATCTAACATACGCCTTCTTGGTACCATCAGGCCTGAACAAAGTAAGAGAGTGCAATAAATCAATAACTGGGCAAAAGATCAAAGGTATATTAAACTCACATACATGCAAATGCATACTAAGGTGATGTATAGATAATTTGAATTATAAATAGATATTTCATATCAATCATACATAAAAATAACAGTTGGAATATGAACTGTGTAGGTATGAACAATAATGTCCGCTCACCTCTAGCCAACTAATCTACAATCTCAGTTTAATTATTCTAATGCCTCTTGGATATAAAGTTGTAATATAATCACGGTTTTCGAATTCTCCAAGCATTAGTTAACAACATTTTTTGCCTAAATTACATTCAAATCACACAAACAAATCAGATTGTGTATTACTTTATATGGTATATTTAGTTAACATTATTATTCACAAGAGCATATGATACAAAATTTTAATTCAAAATCAAAACACAACCAAAAGAACATTAAACTATTGGGAGTTAGGCTACCAAAATATAAAAGTAGAACCCTTTGTTGTATAAAGCAAAACTGTGACATATTGAATTCAGATTAAGGAATCATTGCTCACCTGACAAGGGTATTCACTTTCTTGGTCTGAATGTCATACATCTTCTTCACAGCATCCTTAATTTTTTTCTTATCAGCACGAATGTCCACAATGAACACCAGTGTGTTGTTGTCCTCAATCTTCTTCATTGCAGATTCTGTGGTGAGAGGGTATTTCAGAATCTGGTAGTGGTCAAGTTTATTCCGCGGAGGAGCACTAATGCGAGGGTACTTGGGGTTCCTCTCCTTCTTTAATGTCCTAGGCCGATGGAAGGTAACTTTTGTGCGTATCTTCTTGACCTTCTTAAAGGCTGTTGAACCTGTTTTAACTGCTTTGGCAGTCTTCAAAGCCTGAGCCTTTGGGTCTGCCTTCTTCTTGGCGGGATCAACTGCAGAAATTAGGCAGCATATTAGTCAACCAAAGAAGGCAGCCAAGATATCTTCCGAATCAAAATAATCACAATCGCAAATGAATCATGTCCGGCGAGAGGAAATATTATTACAATACTAATTCGCATGTTCATTTCACAAAATGGACTTAAAAATTATGGTGCCAACACCAACAAATTCTTTCAGAATTCCTGATTATTGTTTTTTATATTTCCCATAAACAGAAAAAGGACAAAAAAAAAAAAAAGATATCACATATTCCAGATAACATTTATCCACACATGAGTATTCCAAAGCTTAGTTGCGTAATTAATTCAGCAACGGATAACTTACAAATACTTTGAAAATTGCATAAATTCAAAGTCAAATTTACGCCACAGGCAATTAGTTCGTTTTTAAACCAAAATAAGGCGATGGAAACCACAATCAACCTAAACCTACATCTAATCAACTGTTGCAACACAAAACGAAAATTCTTCGTATACACGCACCAAATTTGATACATACTCACCCACATTATCGGACAAAGAGAAAAACATAACAAATAAACCATCCCTAATTCGATTTTATAAGACCCGATAATCACTTTTTATTCGTAAAACCCAGTATAACTAAGGAAAAAAGTTTCTTACCTTTAGCTGGAGCCATTTGTACCGGAAGCAATCTGATTCCCCAACGATGTTCTTGGCTGAAAATAAATAAAAACAACAGATTTACAGACGCTTAGACGTATGCTTACAGAATATGAAATTCGATCTAACGAAGCTAGAGAGGCAGAACGGGAGATAACCTGAAGCAGAAGTGATACGCCTAGGGTTTCGGCGGTAGACGGCGTGGGCGTTGCTTTATATATATACTGGGTAGATCAGCCACAATTTCAAATTGGGCTTAGTAACTTTCTACAAAATCGGCCCAACTATCAATTCACCAATAATTAGTAACTTATTGGGCTTTAACTTTAAATCGTCCCAATTATTTTATTATCTATAGACTTAGCCCATCCGGTTCCGAAGTGCCGGTTCGTCCGTTATCGAACCGGACTCGGCGGGCGACGGCGACTATGGAATGTGGCGGGCGGGCGGCGACTGTGAAGACGGACGAGGAGAAAAAGAAAGTAAGAAAGGAAAAAATTAAGAAAGAAGAAGATGAAAAAAAAATCTGTATTAGGGCAAAATTATTATACTATATTATTATATTGTTATAAAAATAAAAAATAATATTAATATTAATAAAAATAAAATAGTTATTAATGATCGAAAAATACTAAATTTTTTTATAATAATTTTTTATAATTTTAATTTAGTTATTTATTAAATTTATCTTTTTAATTATTTTTATATTATAATAATCTAATTAATTACTCATTTATATAATTTTTACCTAATAAGTAAATATATCTAAATAAAATAAAAATAAAAATCAATTATTTTTCATAAAATTTAAATTTTAAAAATTTTAAAATAAAAAATATTAAAAACGAATATACATAAATCTTCAATTCAAAACATAATTAACGATTTTTTAACCGTAATCAAACTGTCAAATCGTAATCGAAATTATGATTCGAAAAATTTGATTTCGATTTAATATTTTAAAAATATGTAACTGTTTGGACAAGTCTAAAATGTATATCTAAAATTTTTATGTATCCTATTTATTTGATGTTTTTATTTAAGAATTTATAATCTTTTAAAAATGTTACTTCTTATGAAATTTGAAAATTTATGTTAAAAATGTAAACATACAGCATAAGTTCGAATGATTATTATACAATCATCTCAAATGAAAATTTTGAAATTAATGCAAATTATGACGAAAAGTTTGAAATCAACATAAATGACATAATTAATTATATTGATAATTAAAATCATAATTATAGCCATCATTAGTTGTCTGATATTTTAATAGTCTATATAAATAGCACCTTTCATTTTAAGACACTCCAACTACGCGAAGTCTCTCCTTTCTTTTTCTACTTTTCTTCCTTTAACATTTCCGGTGAGTTTTCTGGTGTTATTTGGCAAAGTTTGTCAGAGTCAATGGTTATTTACGACTCGATTTCATTTCCTGTATTACTTTGTTTGGTTGTTGAAATAATTTATTGTGTTATTTCTTATTATTTAATTTATTATTTCGTATAATAATATTTGTATTATTATTTTTTCAAGTTTGTTAAATAAATATTTTGAATATAAATTTAAGTTTTACTTAAAAATTGAGGAAATTAATTAAAACCTACAAACAAATTGAGCCAGTGATTGTATTGTATTTTAATTTAACCATTATTTGAATATCTATGTTTCCCAATAGTAATTGGTATTACTGGAATTGCATAGTACATATTGAAATAAAAATAAGATAAATCGAAATGATATGAGTAATGATTATATTTTTTCAGATCAAATCTTTAAAAAATTTACTATTTAAATTCTTGTATTTTTTGAAAAAGATACAGATTTTTTTTTCACAAAACATCTTATATAACATTATTTTGATATCAAATTCAAACTAAATTTTTTTATTGCAGATATATACATGTACATAATATATTTATTCCTAATATATACATTCATATACATATGTTTGATTGCTAAAATTTTCTATTTCAAGTGGTTGAATGGGATCACCGGAATCCTCATCCAAATACATCCGCATGGTAGGTAATCGACACCCAACTGAGACTTGTTAAAATATATTTAGAAACAATATATATATATATATATATATATGACATTGAAATTTGAATACGCAGGTTCATCGTCTGATCGAGGAGTGCATGGTATTAAATATGAGCAAAGAGGAGGCCATGGAAGCTCTCTCCAGAAAAGCAAATATCGATCCCATTGTCACTTCTACAGGTCTGTCGGTCTGTCAGTCTCTCATTTTCAGCACAAACACGTAATCAATAAATATAATTCTAATATATAATTATATTGCAGTGTGGAAGGAGCTGGAAAAAGAAAACAAAGAATTCTTCGAGGGCTACCACAAGAAAATAGCTGATATTCAGAAGACCTCTCAAATCTCTCCTCCTCCTACTTCTTCAACTTCTTCTTCAACGGGAATCAAGCCATAACCATACATACATACATATATATATATATATTTATATGCGTACTACGTACAGTAATAAACCGAGCTCGAACATGGTCGACATGATCGGGCCGGGCTCACTGTGTTTTTCCCACTGGTTTTGCTATTCTACTCTACTTATCTATTCAGTGTTTTTAAAATATGTATATTTAAATCTATATATATAATTAATTATATTCATTAATTTGTGCATTAGGATAACAAATCAATGAAAAAGATAAACGTGCAAAGATTTCGCCTCTTAATTTTCTTTGCGCAGCCTGCGGCTCATAATTTGCATTCAGAACCACGATTAATTATGGCCTGAAGCAGCAATGTTGTCTAGGGTTTAGGGCGTATTAACTTCAAATTGGGCTTTGCAACTTTCTACAAAATGCGGCCCAACTCATAATTACTCATTGGGCTTTGGTTTTCATTTGGCCCATTGTAAATATTACAAAACCGTTAGGGCTTCTTGGGGCCCAACATGAGTGGGACCTTGTGAGCCACGTGGCGGCGTGGTATTTTAATTTGTAACCCATTATCAATCCAACAGTTTAATTTCAAAAAAAATATATATTATATATCGTTTTATTAAAACAATAAACAGTGAATATGGTATGGGTAGATGACATCGATAATTATTACAATCAATGCTACCCTACCGTTACGTTAAGTGTTATGTGCCAAAGAAGCAAACCCACATTTGAATTTGGATCCATTTGGTGAAGTTTTTTTAATGGTGTCTTTCATTAATTGTAGTAATTTATTACAATAATATTAGACAAAGCTGGTTCATTTTCGACTTACCTTATTAATCATCTGTCAATATCATTAACCTACGATATGATCATTTTTATCCAAGCGTGGCGTTATCTGATTCAATCAGCACCGTCAATTTCACGAACGGTCGGGATTCGTAGGGGACCTCGGGTCCCGGAGTTGCGAGTAGTTGGTAGGTTTCTAGCTGATGGTGCAGTCACAGTGAATCGTTATAGCAGCTATATATAGCCTGAGCCTCCCTCCAGTCTCGAGTTAGGCTTTGGATATTTCAAATTCCATTTCAAAAACTACCCTTCAACCGTCATTAATGGCCGCTTCCTTGCTCACGCTACTCTCTCCTTCACTCTGTGTAAGTGTACTGCAATTGAAACTAGTTTTTGTTTTTTTCCAGTTACTTTTCATTTGGCTGCTTCTGTAGTACAGACTTGTAGCCTAGTAGTTTTTCTTGGTTGTGATTTGCTAATGAATGTGTGGATGTTTTGTCATGGCTGCAGTTGTATGTACAGGCACAGTATTTATATCTTTAGAATCTGGTTGAAGATCTGCTCATGGAGATTAATTTTTGCTTTATTTGTTGATGTGCAGGTGTTTGAATTTAGCTGGAAATGAGCAAAAGCACGAATCGCGACGGTTTTCGAGGTGGCGTGTCGTTTTATGTAATTACAGTTTCTTTTCTTCGCTCCTTTGTTCTTCGGATGCTCTGTGCTCTTTTCGGAAAAAGAGAATTTGTCTTTTTCTTTTTGAATGTATAAGTCGTCGCCATCTTTTAGGTACTATTTTTTCGCCGTTGCTGTCTGCGTAGTTTGAATTCTCGAGAAAGAACATGGAAAGAGCTCGGCACAGGAGATCGAAAAGCATTTCTGCCATAGAAGGTAATTTATAACTAAGTCTCGATCAAGTTTAGACACCATGATCATATGGTGTACTCCATGGTAACCGCATTTTGCTCTTTTGAAGTTTAACTCTCTGTTTGTTGTGTTGCGACATCTGATTCGAATACTTGTTGTTTGAAGATTCTATAGAAAAAAGTTGAATTATGTGTGTAAGTTCGGTAAAGTGTTTGGCTAGTAGAACGAAAGAAACTTCTCTGTAGTAGATTAGTATGACATCCATTGATTATGATTGTAGATTTGTAGTTGCTGAGCCTTTTCTCCATTGAGGAGTTGCACTAGCATTCTTCTGCAGCTGTCATCCAGTTATTCTTCTCCAACTTTCTGAATGATTTTTCAAACGTAGTGGTAATGTAATATGTATTGAATAGCATAGATTATATTGTTGAGTGTGTTTGTTTTTGTTTTTTAACTTCATCGTGCTAGAATCATTGAGTAGATTTTTTCACTAGAATCTAGTGTTTGTCTGGAAGTATGCGGCCCTGGGCCCTGGCCGTGATTCACGATGATTAGGATTCACTATTTTCCTTCTACTTTTCCATGAGTTTAATTTCTGCATAGGCATGTCTAGCAACAGATGTATTTATACTTTGAACGGCGATTAAAGCCTTTCTTTGAACTTTTGACCAGGAACTCGGAAGGTGGAGCAACACAAAACAAAATCAAGAATATCCACCGACTCTCGATCTCATATTGATAAAAGCAATTGGGATGACACGGTTTGTGATTCCCCGTCGTCTAGCTACAATTCAAAAATGCATGCTTCCATTTTGTTGACTGTTTTCTCCATCCTACAGTCGCTCTGAAATTTGATGGTTTTCATTTTGATTTTTTATTTCGTCTCAGCAGGTAATGCTTGATTTCGGGCGGAGATCTGTTGGACGAGTAACGGGAATACCAATGAAGAAGTTGCTGGCAGAAGAAATGTCAAAGAAAGTTGAGTCAAAGAGACAAAAACCAAGTATTATTGCCAGATTGATGGGCCTTGAAGTGATGCCACCACCATGTCACAATCGTAAACAGCAAAAACTGTCGCAGGGCACTCGGCAAAAGGGGAATATTGCTAACCTCCAAAAAGTTCGACCAGTGCATGATGGTCTATTGAGCAAGAGAAGTTCATTTGATCAACAAGAATTCAAGGATGTTTATGAAGATCTGGAAGCATCACATCATGTGAATAGGCGTTGTTCTTCTAGGCGGCATGAAAGTTCCATTCAAGCAAAACCTGAAGTCTCACTCATTGAGCCGGAAGTTTCTGACATAGAGAATTTCTCAGCAGATGAAAACCTTCAGGATTCAACAATGTTGGATGCTACTTCAGAGATGGCGGACTCCAGCAATGGCTTATTGCTGAAATTTCTCACGGAACCAGATTACTTGCTTATGAACCATTTGCATGATCTGGAAGTTGATTCTGGCAGTTCTCTTCTCAATCAAATGGCCGTTTTGAAGCCACTAAATTCTGAGACATATGGAAGCAAGGCAAAACCCTGGAGACCTCGGGAAGATACTTGGACAAAACACCATGTTGTGAAACGTGAAGATAAACTTTTGCTTGAATCACTGAATCGACGCAAAGCTCGTGCTTCTTGCCAGTTTTCAAGGTTTCATAAAGATGAGATCAAAAATCAAGTTCCTACAAAGGTAGTCCTTCTTAAGCCAAACCCGGGGAAGATGAAGGCATCTGGCTCATCACTCAATCCCCCACATGGTTATCCGCTCACCTGCAAGAAAGATTCGCATGGTGTTGGATTCTCAATACCCATCTCTACAAATGCAAGAGACATAGCTAGGGAAATAACAATGAGGATGAAAAATGGTTTTGACGGGTCAGGGAATGCCGACACCATGTCTGTTGGGTTCAACGGATATGTAGGAGATGAGAGCTCATATGATGCCACTGATAGTGATTCTGAAAGTGATTCACAACTGTATAAACTACCATCCAGCAAGTCCTTCAATGGTGGTAGTTTGTGCAGAAATCTATCTCCTCGTCGAGGCGAATCATCTATAAATAAGGAAGCAAAGAAGCGACTGTCTGAGAGGTGGAAGATGAGTAAAAACTATCAGGATTTAGAAATGCATAACAAGGGACATACATTACTTGAAAAACTGGCCTCACCTGACAGAAAAACAAGGGCAAGTCTTGGAGGCCCAAGCTATAGAGTTGGTAACACTAGTAGCTCTGCAAAATGGGATGGTTCTTCAGGCACCATCAGTCCTAGAGACGGGGAGAAGGATAAACTAATGAAAAAAAATTCAAGAGCAAGATCCCTCCCTCCCCTCATTGCAGGGAGAAGTCCTTGCAGAAGCACCACTCGTGCTGAATTGCCTGAAGATCAACCAGTGATCCACAGTAGGAGTAAGGCTGTCAAAGGAAAACTCAGTAATAAAGAATATAGCACAAATAGAGATTCAAAATCCAAGAGTAGGAATCATCATTCAGATCAACATGTATTCATTAACAGGACAAGCTCATATTCAGAAGCCAGTTTTGAGATTCAAATGGAGGCGACCACAAAAGACTTAGCTGAAGAGCATTCTATCATTCATATGGCTGCAGGGGAAGAAGACATGCTTCAAAGTTGGGCATCCGATGTAATGATGATTGCTGAATCTGAAAGCTTGAATTCGAACTTGAATGTAGACGATGAAAAGTTTCGTACTGATGACTTGGAGAACTCCCCGCTTCAGGTTTGGTTCCTTCAGCATGTCATGTTAATACACGTCCTTCCTTACTTTCTAGATAAATCACAGTTTGAATGCTTTGAGCCTTAAGTACAAGAGGCACCACTTCACCGTGATGCTGTATCTAATGAATGTTTATTTGTAATGTTTTCAGGAACTTCCCAAGGAACTACCTGAACAATGTTCCCCTTTCTCACAACGCTTAGGAACTGAGCCAGCTCCTTCTGATAGCTCCAAGGACGCCGATAATAGCAGTCCTGTTTCAGTCCTCGATGACCCTTTTACCACTGAAGATATACCGTCTTATGAAAGTTTTGAAAGAGTCAGTGATGAACTTCATGGTAAGCAAAAGTTACTCTTGACCATAATATTCTTCTCTAGGACATACTAGGTGATGATATTCACGTTGTTTAAGCCTCACTTAGCTTGATTCTTCCTAACATGTCCACTTGGTTTTCCCCTCCTAGAGCTCCGAATTCAACTGCAGCTCCTCAAATCAGAGTCCGGCGAATGCAGCGATGCCTCGACCAATATCTTTCCCATTGAGGAACAAACCACACAATCCTCTTCAGTTGCCTTTGATGGAAATCCAGCACCGGGAGCTAAAGGCTGGGAAATTCCTTACACCGTAGATGTGCTAATCAGTGCAGGTCTTCAAGATCTCGAATTCAACATGCTTAGAACAGCATGGCACTCCCCAGACTGCCCCTTGGACCCTGACTTGTTCGACGCCCTCGAGAAAAAATACAAGAATGACACAGGTGAAATGAGGTCAGAAAGAAGACTGCTCTACGACAGAATAAATTCAGCCCTGTTGGAGATCTTCGACGAAGAGGTCGACAAGCTGTGCCACTGGGGGATGCCTAAGCTAGGAATGAGTTTAAAGAGGAAAGGAGTTGGAGTTGTTTTGGAGAAAATAATGAAGAAGGTGGAATGTGCAGCAAAGTTGGAGGACATATCAATTGTGCAGCAGCAGCAGTGGGAAGAATCAAGAGAATGCAATGGAGAAATTGAGGTAATAACAATAGGTAATGAAATTGAGGATATGTTGATTGATGAGATTGTTACACAGTTTGTGGATTACTTGCACTAAATGAAAGATGAGTAGTTTTATTAGGTGGTTCACATGAAACAAGTTATAAAAATTTTAAAAATATTTCGAGTATCACTATTAAAATAAAACAATTTATCTTTGTTCAATTTGCTTCATTAGAAGATAGGGAAAATTGAATGAATGCATCTTAGACTTAATAGGCTTCTCAATCTTTTCGAACCTCTCATACTTAATGATTTACGACAAAATTGAATCCTCATAAACTGATTTGATCAAATACAATGTGTATGCAAAGTTGAATAAATCGGCTTAAATAATGGTGAAATTTAATTCAAGAAAATAAAATTTGAAATATCTTGAAATTGATTTTTAGGTGAGTAATGCTGAGCCTAATATTCTGTCTAAGCTTTTTCCTTTTTATTTCACATGGTCTTCGGGATTGAATTTGGATCACTAGCCTGAAAAAGAGGTGGCAAGAATTGTTGTAGGAGTACATGAGTGCCAGCGACCTACATGTTTGCTGCCTAACACAATCAAAATAAACTTTTTTCTTGAACTTAGTTTTTAGATGATATAATTATTATTATTTTTTTTTTTTTTCTAAAAAATGAAAAATGAACGTTGAATACAATAAGTTTGAAAAAAAATATATATATTCTTCTCTATTTCGGAAAATTATGTACATTTGTTTGAATATGAAAATTAAATGATAATGATATTTTAATATTAAAATTAGATAAATAAAAAGTAAAATAATATACTATTATAAATTTATTAAAAATTGATAAAAAAATAATATATTAAATAAACAAAATAGTGACAAACTAATTATTATTTATTTTCTTTCATATCTCATATTTATGTTGCTTCTTTTATTCGTTCATATCTCATGTGTTCTATTTTGTTTTTTTTTTAAAAATATATTTTAATCATATTTTAATTTTTAAAATTTATAAATTTTAATTAAATTAATTAATTATTTTAATTTTAATTTACTCTCTACGTCTCATAAATATTATCATTTTCGTTTCAAAACAATATTATTATTTCTTTGTTAAAAACGCATATAATTACATTATAATTTCAACAATGCCATTACAAATATTTATACAAAACAACAAAATTGTAGTATATATGTCCTTTTAGTCTTATTTGTATTATACATAGGTATAATATTAATATACAAAAAAAATTCAATTCCAGAAAAGTAAACTACAATTTTTTAAATGGGTCAAAAGGAGTATAATTATTTGTATCATCATATACTTATTTTTATTAATATATTTTATTATTTTCCAATAACATCACTCTTATATGTTGGCGTCTATTGTAATTACAAAATAAAATATTTTTATTTTGTTGTAATTAATTTTTATTAATATATTTTTAATTATTTACTAATTGTACTATTCATATATTACTATGTCTGTTTGTGACAAGCGGTATGGAGCGAAAAGAGTATTTTATTACAGAGTAAATAAAATTAATGATTATAAATGAATTTATAACTAAATTCAATTGACGAAAAAAATAATAATACTATAATTTTAACTGTAAAAAAATATTTAATTATATTTAGCCCCAAGCAATGGAAATATTTTGAATTTATGTGACAATTAAATAATAATAATATTATATTGATACTAATGTTTTAAAAGACTAAAAATATTTAAATAGATAAAAATAATAAAATAAAATTATTATTTTTAAGACGGGAGGAACATATTATTATAAAATTAATAAAGATAAAAAAGCTAAGAAAATTATTGCCTAAATACTGACCCATTCACTTTTTCTAGGATTATTTTCTTAAAGGATTATTATATTTAACACTACTATATAGTAACAAAATTATTTTTTAAAAGAAAAAAGAGAGAAACGATGTGTGTTTTGGGGTTTGAATTTTGAATTAAGATTTGCACAATAAAAAAATTGAATTTGAATAATTGTATAATGTGATATAAATTGATATTGATGTGATATTTTGAATGTAAAATTGATTTTTAAGTATAATATAAAAAATAAAAAATAAGTATTTGATTTAATATTTTTGGGAAAAAAAAAAAAAGATGAATATTGTATTTAGAATTCATTCCCCCAAACAAAACCCATCACCGTCTTCTTATAAAGTCAAATTAATTACTTTATTCCGTCAGACCTGGCTTGCAAGGTATTAGGTTCGGCGAGGGGTTTACCTAGTGCGTAATTTCGGATAGTGGTTGCGGATTCTCATGTCATCCAAAAAAAATAAAATTACTTTATTTAAAATAATAATAATAATTACTTCATCGTTATGCAAATGTGAGCTTATTTGACCGGACATGAGTTTTAATAAAAATGAGTAATAATTATTACTTTTTTATTTTATAGTAAAAATGTACAAAAATATAATAATTTTTTACTTAAAAAAAACAAAAATATTTTTTAATGACAACTTAAAAAAAAAAGATTTAAATAACCGCTGAACTAGATTTAAATGACGGATGAAGTACTTTCCAAAATGCTTACCCATTCATTTACAAAATGGGAAAACATAAAAAGGAAAATGTTAAAAATCATTCATATAATCAATGAATGACTTTCCATATTGCTTAGATATAATCCTCACCCATTCATTTAATATATTTTAAAAAGTGTCACTAATATCACATAATTACTGTCCGATTTTCTTAATCCCCATCCATTCATTTATACAAATGATATAAATAAATAAATAAAAATGTAATCCCCATCCATTCATTTATACAAATGATATAAATAAAAATGATTACATTCCATATTTCTTAAACCCGACTTTAATGTAATCCTATCACGCAGTCGCGTTTCCTAATTTGAATTTTATTTCCAGAACAGAAAGCGTGATTTTGCCTTAACGTTCGCCTCCCCTTCTCTATTTAACCCAACGCCGCCGAGTGTTGTTTTCATACACAAACAGAAATGGAGAAATCAATCTTCCTCAGTCTCCTGCTATCAATTGTCATTCTAGGGTTTGCTCGACACACAGTTGTCGGACGCGAAATTGTCGCCGGAAATCTTCCGCCGTCCGGTCCCTCTAACCGTTCTTCCGACCCTCCACCCCCTCCGCCGCACCGTGAAATCGCCGCCGTTGACGAAGAATTAACCTTCGGGAAGCTTCCGAGGAACGTAGCTATTTCGCCGTCCGGTCCGTCGAACCGTACTTCCGACACGCCGCCCCCACCTCCGCCGCACCGTGAAATCGCCGCCGTTGATGAGAAGTTAACCTTCGGGAAGCTTCCGAGGAACGTACCTATTCCGCCGTCCGGTCCGTCGAACCGTACATCAAGCAGTCCACCTAGTCCTCGACCGCCGCATCGTGAAATGTGATTAGTTAGGTCGAGGCAGAATTAGTTAGTTGTATCGTCTTCTTGCTACTTGTGGGAAATCCATCCATTATCTATACACAAAATAAATTCTAGCTCTGTTAACAGTAATTTTTTAATTATTAGTGGTTTTTTTTTTTTTTTTTTTTTTTTTAAATTTGAGAAAAATTTGATTTGAATTTTATATTAAAATAATATATGATAAAATATTTTGTAGACAAAAGAAAAAAAATGCACTATTTTTAGAATTTTATATTTCAATAAAATGACAAATTGATTCCTTACAATCAAAGAAAAAACGTGTTCCTTATATTAACACAAGTGTAGGTCAAGAAATAAAAACTAAAACTATATAATACAAATAAATTTATATTATGTCATTCACACAAAGAATGTCATGTTTTTTTTTATAGAAATTTATATTAATCAAATCTACTATATACTACTCTAAAAAATTGGAATTGAATCTACATCATTCTCCTTCGAATGAACTTTATGGGTTTAATACAGTCTTGTCTGAGAGTATCCCTTTGACAAAATACAGGTTAAACTTCTCCTTCTACTATTGTTTCTCATTTAATTCCAAAGTTTTCATATAAGTGGCAGAAGCTACTTTGTGTATTCGGGCCTAGGTCTTTTACATGATTTGGGTTCTTTTATTTTTTTTTTTGAGTTTTTAATTTTTTAACTATGTGTTTCATATAAGGCTTGTAGTCTTTACTTGTTATTTTTTATGTTAAATTTATTTAAAGTTTAAAAAAAAAAAGAGAAACAAGAAAAAAAGGGTGAAGACACAAAATCTCCAATCATACCTAAGTATGGACCAATACACCAATCTAACTCGTATCCCTGGCATAAAATGCATGGACAGTCTCCCGCAACAATCTTGACATATGCATGGGATAGGCTGCAAAGTTCTTGGGCCTTGGTCATAAATTACTTTCGAAATTTAATTTCTTAAAATCCCCACCCATATTCATTTATAAAAATGAAAAAATATATATATATATATAGTAAAAATATATAATCATAATAATAATGTAATAATCTTCATATAATATCAAACAGTTACATTTCACAGATATTGCTTAAAATCCGATTTTAATGTAATAATCTTATATTGCTAAATAGCACGACTTTGCATTAGCGTCCACCTCTCTATTTAACCCAACGCTAGAGTATTGTTTTCATACACACAGAAATTACAGACATGGAGAATTCAATCTTCCTCAGTCTCTTGCTATCTATTGTCCTTCTAGGGTTTCCTCCACACACAGTTGTCGGACGCGACCTTGTGTTCGAGAAGCTTCCGCACGTGCCTATTCCCCGGTCCGGCCCATCGAACCGTACATCAGACACTCCGCCCCCTCCTCCGCCTCATCAAACCGACGGTTTTCTACCTCCACATCTTACGCCGACTTTCCCGCCGCCGCACCGTGAAATCGCCGCCGCTGACGAAGAGTTGACCTTCGAGAAGCTTCCTAAGGGACGTACGCCGCGTTCCGGTCCATCGAACCGTACATCCGACACTCCACCCCCTCCTCCACCTCGTGAAACCGAGGGTTTTCTACCGGTTCCGCATCTTCCGCCGCGTCCTCCACCGCCGCATCCCGAAATTTGATTAACTTGGTGGAGGGAAAATTACTTGTATCGTTTAATAGTTATGGGAAATTATCCGTCTCCATAATCAATATATAAATAAATTCTCTGGAGTCGGTTGAAATAGTTTTTTAATATTAATTAAATAATTACTGTATTT